TCAGAGGAGCCCAGCGCATCGATCTCGTCCTGGGTGGTGCCTGCGCAGGCGCCGTGGTACCAGCGATTGCACACGCCGCACGCCACCCACAACTCGTCCCGATCCGCCGCCTCGCCCCACTGCGCCCCGCACAGCGTGCACGCGTCCGCCGCGGCAGCAGCCGCTGCCCTTGCGGCCGCGCGTGCAGCCTCCTTCTCCTCCTGTGCGCCATCAAGCCAGTCAGCAAGGCAGATGTTGAGGCTGGAGGCATGTCTCTCAGACCGCTGCATTAATAAGGCATGACTACGCAGGGACGCTGAAGGAGGTTGCAAGCATGGCAGACAGGGTAGCCAATCAAGCAAGCGCACGTTTTTTAACAGTCAAGCAAAGGCCCAAGGGGGCAACTGCTGCCATCGAATGCTTTGACTTTGAAAGCGCATTCGCCAGAAGCAAGCAAATCTTCTCAGCAACCGGCTTTGTCTGGGAACCTTGAAGACCACTCAAGTGACTGCGGGTGAGCCGTTTCTTGAGTCCAACCCCACAAAAGCAAATTAGCTTTTGGGGCCGTACCCGCTCGGCCTCTTGCGCGGCGCGCGTGGCGAGGATGGCGGCCTCACGGCGCGCCTTCTCCTCGTGCATGCGCACCAGCCACAGCGGCAGCTCGCGCTCGGCCACCCACCGCGCGCACTCCGTCGACCCAGGCATCTGCATCCCCGGCAAAAACGGTCCCCCTGAAAACCCGCCAGGCCCGCCGATCTGCAGCCGGTTTGCGTACGCCGCTGCCGATGGCACCAGGCCCGCCAGCCCACCTGCGGTCGTGCAGCCGATATATATCATGATCCCCTATGAGACTTTCATGTGCCAATCTTTCAGATTGGGTCTTGTGCACTACTTTTACGACATGTTGGGCTACATGAAGGGTTATACTGCATGCCCAGATAGGGCTGTCGGGATGCCGTTTTGCAGTACTAGTGTTATAGATTGCATGAAAGGGGGACCCACCAAGCTTCGCACGATTTGCTGGGTCAGTCGCAGCAATAGCCGCACTGGCAAGCGGCAGCCACTTGTTTGCCGACCGAACGTTTTCAATGGTTGCCGCCACTGCCGCCGCCAGCCGCGACTTTGAATCCTCCTGCTTCCCAGACTTGGCTCCAGCGCACTTCTCCACGGCTGCCTGTGCTGCGGCCGGCGAGGCCCCATTGACTATGAGCAGCGCTGAGAGCTGCGCATCCGTGAGCGCTGCAACATGGGGTCTGCCATTTGCTGGCTGCTCCTTGGGAAGTGCAACAGCGCCGTTCTGCAGGACTGCAGGAACAGCTGCTGCCGGTGCTGGCGAAGGTGCAGCGAGTGGTCCATGCTCATTTGCTGCTGCCGTTTTGGAGGCTGGAGCGCCCTCAGAGCTGCCAGAAGCCGCTGCTTGAGCTGTCTCAGGAAGCTCTTTCTCCTCCTGCGAGAAGCACTGGAGACAATTAGGACGCGGAACACCGCTGTGCTGATGCCTAGGACCTGCGTACTCCCAGCAGGGCGCCAAAAGCTTGTGAGACTGATCAGACATGAACACCTTGCCAAGCATAGAATCATCAGACAAGCCAGCTGCCCACCTCGGGCAGGTCTGCTGGCCCGCCGCGCAGCAGGTAGTGCCAGCCGGGGCCGCGCGGCGCTTTGCGGCGGGCGAGGATATCCGCGCCGGCCCATTTGCCGTCCTCGGCGGGGCGCCGCAGCGAGTCCCACAGCACGGCTGCGTCCATCGCGCGCAGCTGCAGTGCCAGCTCCGGGCAGCTCTGCGCCGCCTGTGCGGCCGCGCGCCACTCCAGCCGCTGCGCGATGCCGGGCTTCTTCGCCGAGTACACCAGCCCCGGCACGCGCTTGCGCCCTCCCCTGCCGAATACCAAACACAGGTTGTGATTCATGTCCACAATTGTGCTCCTTCATCGCAATGTCTGGGTGAAGATCACCGCCACAACCATATCCTGCCCTTGCAGGGCATGCACACGGGAAAGGGCCAGCATTTTGAACCCAGTTATCAAGACCCAGTTGCCAATTGATCAGGGGTGCAGGTAAATCTGGCCCAGAATGAAAGATGATGTTGACCTACTTGATGCGCTGACAGCACGTGCACATGACGGCACGCTCACATAACTGCTCACTGCACAACACGCATAGGTAAAGAAAGGGGCCGCACTGGCGAGCGCCGCGCTTGGCGAGGTCCTGCGGCAGGCGGAAGCGACCAGTCAACCGCGCCCACAGGCCCCGGTTGTTCACGACCCAGTGCCGAGCCTTGCCCGACACTTCCTTGGTCGCCTCGTTCTCCACAATTCTCTTGTCGTGCTCGTAGTCGAATTCGGCGCCTACGTCCTCGTCAGCGTCCTTGCTGGGCTTGCTGGAGGAGGCTGCGTTCAGCTCCGCAGCTGTGGCCGCCAGAATCTCGGCCATGCTCGGCTCCCTGTAGTCCACCGCCGCTTTCTCGCGGACCCTCCGTGTGGTCATCACCCCGGGTGTGCCCCCTGCAGATTCCACGACCCAGTTCTCTTGGTACTTCTTCATAAATTACCGTTCTAGATCAAATATGAAAGGATGCTCTTCGTGATCCAAGTGGGACAAGGGGTAAAGATAGTGATCAGGTCCCAGGACCCTGGCAGAGGTGCACACCTGCATCGGCGCCTGCTGCACCCGCCGGCCCGGGCGTGTCCGGCCGGCTCGCCGGCTCGGAGTCTGTCTTCTGGGCGGGTGCGGGCTGCCCGGAGGTGCCCGGCTGGGCAGACGCGGGCTGCATGGCTTTGCGGGGCCGCACTGCGGCGGCTGCGGCTGCTCGCGCGGCCAGCGGGTCCCACTCTGGCTTCAGGGCCGTGCGGCGCAAATGCGACTCCAACTCAAGCATGGCCTGTGCTATGGTCTCCACGTGCGTGGCATTGCGCACCTGCAACGCAACATGTCATATTTACAAGATCCTAGTGATTGAAAGACAGAGCGTTGATATGTGCATGGAGCTCTTGAGGACAATATGAAGCAAAAAGACGTCCACTACCTTTGGCTCAATTTTCCCTCATATCCCACAAGGTGGAAGAATGATAGGACTCTATTGTGAGAAATGCATGTGAAAGGTAAGGTGTTTGGGCACCTGCGAGGACCAGGAGCGTCGGTAATTGGCGTAGTCTGGGCCGTCCCAGGGGCCGTCCAGAACGCCCCACAGGTCGCGCTCCGCCTTCAGTGCATAGTTCACCAGCGTCTGCAGCCTGCGGCCAAGGCAATGTAGATTGAATTTCATAATCTTCCATTGGGTGGCCTTCATGTGTGGCTGCCATGTGTCAAGCACACCAATTAAAACAGTGTGGTGAACGAGCAGTGGGGATCCCTGTCCTTGCAAATGCTGGTCATAAGTTTCAGTATGCATTGCATGGACAGGGACAGCCAGGACCACGCCCCCAGCTGCACTCATTGGCATGCTTCCCAAGCAGTCATTGCAGGGAATGAACATCATGCTCATCACCAACACCAAAATTGCAGAGAGAGATCGCACTTGGACTGCAACTCGGGGGCTTCGTTAGGGTTTTCAGAGCGCACGATGGGGTTGAGGCAGCCCTTGCGCAGCGCCGGCCGCGTGCAGTGCACGCACACTCCGCACTTCTCTGTCGGCCGCGCCCCCTTGCCCTGGCCCTGTGTCACACAGCACACAGGGATATCAGCCGAGCACGCATTGCAGGTCCTCACATTGTTCCCTGCGTCATGGCAGCAATGGGAATCTTGCCAGCAGTAATAAGGTGGGCAGTCCCTGGCTCCGGTGATTGGACACATCTGACATGCCCCGATCATCACAGCATGCCATGATTGTTCTTACTACACGAGAGAGTTTAACCAGCACATCAAAGCAAGCAGAATTGCTGCTCTGTGGCCGGTGCAATAGCCACGATGGCGCCAGGTCAGAGGGACAAGAAGGCACAAAGGAGGGAGCTTACAAAGGGCCAGAGGAAGCGGGAGATGGGCACGGGGACGAGCAGCTCGGCCAGCGGGATGGCCGGCTTGCCGCCGACGGGCTTGCCGCGGCGCCGCACGGTCTCGTCCACAAACGCCTTGGTGGCCGCGGAGGATGCCGCCCAACCGTTGCGGTAGCGGTTCAGGTACCCCTCCGCGCTCGTCATGGCGCGCTTCTCTGCGCGGGAGAAGCAGAGGTGCTGAGTCGATATTGACTCAATGCACGTACTGCAGCATCCTGACTCATGACTGAGGACTCTCTCCTTCCACATTGTTAATGCCACTGGAGACAGTCTGGTCAGGGGATGGTGAGAGACATGCAGCCAGAGTAACACCGGGGTGCTGGTAAAACAATAAAGGCATCCGATGTTCATGTTTAGGTGTGGATAGCACAGTCATATAGACAAAGGACACCAGGTGACAGGAGATAGCGATGTGAGGGCAGGCATTCCACCATCTTGCAGATCTTCGCTCTCGTGTCCCAATGGTTCCCTCTGTCAGTATCAGCTGTGCTGCCACCACTGTAACGGCAGAGCTGGCGGCTTCGGCGCACCTGTGGGGGGCGGCTTGAGCAGGGCCTGCAGGGAGGAGCTCTCGTACTTCTCCTCGCGCTTGATGCGCTTGAGGAAGGAGGCGCGCTCCAGCGCATCGGCGCCCACCAGCCGCGCGACGGGGACGGGAACGCCATCGGCCGCCTCGACCGCATCCGCGCCGGAGCCGGCCCGGTCGGGGCGCGCGGAGCAGAAGAGCGCGCCGAGCGCCAGCCAGCAGGGGCGCCGCGCCTGGTCCAGCCCAGCTCGAGGAATGCGCAGCCCCGCGCTCTCACCTGCGGGAAGCTCAGAGAACGCTTCAACATGCTTCAACATGCCGCTCAACGTTCCCCACAGACAATCACATTGGGCACCCCTTGACACAAGCACCATTGAAGGTCTGGCGGGCTTGCCGGAAGTCCTTACGGCATTGCTGATTTTTGATTATCACCTGGGATACTCTCAAGCTACTGCAAGAGAATAGCAGATATGCATGACGAAGCTGCACTGTGAATGGTGGAACTAATGTGCAGCAGCGATCATCATGCATGCTGGGTGTGAGTACAGAGAGGGGCGCGCACCGCGGCCGCCGAGGGCGCACTCGGGGCAGAGCCACTCGCCCTCGGGCAGGCTCTTGGCCTGCTCCCCGATGCAGCGCAGGTGGTAGGAGGCCGGGCAGCCGTCGCAGCACAGCAGGCTGCCGCCCTGGTTGCACAGGCAGCAGTTGTCCGTGTTGCCGTCCGCCTCCACCCCTATCTCCTTCCCCTGTCGCAATCCACACAGCCTTCAGACTTCTTTCTTACAATGCAACCGCAAGGCTCTGCTGCCCTTGCATCCTGTTCTTTGAGATGCACAGAGGGTTCATCTCTAAGTTATCTCTTGGTGAGACATACACTACCATGAAGATGGGACCCTATGCAGTGAGTGTGACCCTCAAAATGCCGAGTAGGACGAAGTCAAGCACTGACCTCGTCATCGGATGCGGCTGCTGCACGCTGTGCGCGCTCCTCGGCAGAGCGCATGGCAAAGGCGCCGCCCTCGCCCTGCGCGCCGGCCACCCAGTAGCCGCACGTTTCGCGCCGGTCGATCTCATGCCGCACGCTCCGCACGTCCAGCAGGTATCCAGTCAGCACCGACAAGATCTGCGCCTGCAGCAGAACAATCATGCTTCAGGATTAATGTATGCAGGTACTCCTCATTACTTCCTTCACAGCAAATACAGTACACTGGCAAATTTCCTTTGATGGCAGTCTGATCATGAGCCGCTCTGGTGCCTGTGTCGGAAAGGTATGAAGTGAGCATCCTGCAAGGTGAAGTGAGCTACCTTGATGGTGGCTGGCAGGCTGTAATACTCAAGGCAGCGCCTGCGCGAGAATGGGCCGCGCTGCATCAGTTCCCGGATCTCCGAGGGCACCTCCCTGCTCTCATACTTTTTCCGCCCCTGGCCCAGGGCGTTCAGATGATGCACGTCTGCAGCTTCCTCCTCTTCATTAGCAGCCCCCGGTGCCGCCTCACCTCCCTCTGGCGCAGGTACCGGCGCAGCCGCACCCTAGACAAAACCTCATGGTGAGAATGCTAGACCTTGTTTTCAAGTGCTCCAGTTGAGTGCGACCATTTTCAAGGGACAATTAGATGATAGAAGGCGACAGCGTGCTTTCCAGGGGGCTGCAAAGTGTGTGCCTCACCCCTGCTGGTGGCGTTTGTGGCTGCGGCTGAGGCAAGAGCGCAGAGGAGAGGTGGCCAGTTGGGTCATGGGCAATGCGCAGAAAGTCCCAGAGGTACTCCGGCCATGTGACGCCGTCCAGCAGGGCCAGGTCCAGGGCGTGCTCTGCGCGCTCTGCCCTTGTTTCGTCCTCTGAAAGTGCTCGCAGCAGGCTCACGTGCACCTGTAACATTTTTACGCATTGGCTCACATTTTCACAATCTGACATGGCATGTGCTGCATGATGGATATGGACCCAAGCAATGTTGTAGGCCCCGATACTTGGGTGCATGGCCACAGACCAGGCAAAGCTGAATGTGAATAGCAACTGCTTAAGGGAGTCAATCCTCTTCACAACACACAATAGCGGCAGGATGCACACCTCGTCCATGAGAGGGGTGGGGTGCGTTGCGAACAGTGCGGCAGCAAATTCCTCGAATGCCACCGGAGACAGGCGCAGCTGCCACGAGAACGCTCGCAGGATTAGATACGCCGCCACCGCATCACCTGGTCACCAAACTATTCCATCAACTCTACTAACAACGGGCAAAGCCCCTCTACAATGAACTAATGCAAACTCAACGAATGGAGACCAAGTGGCACAGCATCACAGCTGTCCAATCACAGTAGGATAGAAGAAAGGGAGAAGGAAGTGCATACCGAGGGCATCGGTTTGGGCGGTGATGGATGCTGCGCCGCCTGGCCGCTCCAGAACAATCTCGGCAGGCATGGCTAGGTCAGGCGGCAATTCTGTGGCAGCCTTGGCGCCCGCTGGCTGAGCAGCCTCTTCCTCCTCGGGCTCGACGCCCTCTTCCTCCTCTAAGGGTGCCTCCTCTGGCGCAGCAGCTTCGTCCTCAGCGCCCTCTGTAGGCTCCTCGGCCTTCACTTCTTGCTCACCTGAAGCAAGGAGAGCAGGTCACATGATACATAAAAATATTGACGTAATCATATCGCTGTAAGAATGCGAAGTAATTCATCCTGTTTTCAAGTTCTCCAGAGTCCCATAGCCTTATTGGTTTATCTCAGCTTGCCTCCCGACTGCAGCAGACAACCGTTCCCAAAGAATCTGATCATGTTGCTCACCGTCTGATGGAAATGGATCAGACACTTGGCTGGCCGGGGGGTCCTCTGCAGGTTCACCCAGGTCGTCCGGCCCGCTCTCGCCTCCATCGCTCTCCAGCAAGTCATCAATGTCGTTATCCTCATCTTCCTCGTCATCTGACCCACGCTTGGCGGAGCGGCTGCGCCGGCCGCGCCCACGACCCTGCGCAGTGCTGCCCCTCGCGCTTGCGGGGCCGGAAGCCATGCGCAGCCGCGAGACGCGCTCCAGGGGAGGCCGCTTGACCGCTTGCGTCCGGGAGCCGTCCGACATGCGCGCGCGGCCACGGCCGCCTTTCCTGCCGGCAGCCGGGGCGCTGGCGGGTTTCGGCGCCAGGTCTGGGAGCAGCTGCGGCGCGCCCGACGGCCGGTGGCTGTTGGCGAAGCGCGCCAGCAGCTCCGAGTTGCGCGGCCGCCCCGGGCCGCGCTTGGGGCCTTTTGGCACGATCGGGGCGGTAAAGTTTTTCTTTGGCCTGCCGCGGCCCCGCTTCACCGTCTGCTCTGCGCCCTGTGCTGCGTCCTCTCCCTGTGCGGCGTCTGCTCCATCTTCGGCTTCCTGTGCTGGAGTGTTTGTCTCGCCGGGGGATTCCTGCTCGGCTGCCTCTGTGGGTTGGCTGCCTCCTGCTGGCGACACTGCTGCAGGCTGGCCACTGGCTTCCTCCAAGCCAACAACGTCCACGTCCGCATCTGAGGCGCTATCTTGGCCCATCGTGCGCCGGCTCAGCTTGCGCGCTTCAAAGATGGAAGATGCGTGTAGCAAAGCAGCCTGCAGGAACCGACCATCGACGCTGTGATATATGCCCGTATGCAGCGTTTATGTCGTTGTATAGAACGGCAATCATTGGGATTTGCCAAGCAAGCGCTGCATATTGTGGAAAGGCAAGCACAGGCTAATCAGCCATCCCTGGAGGTGTTTCGCTGCCACCAACTGTCTGGATCGATGCTTTTTGAAATGGTAGGGCTGTCTTGGCAAAGAAAAGAACTTTTACATCAGTACGATCACTGAGATAATCAGTTGCAAAACCGTAGGCGTCTCTGAGATGGAAACCCCAGGCCCTCACAATTGTCTTCTAGCCGGCAGTTTGGACATCCCATGGGGGTATTTGTTCTCTCAAGCTCCTCCTCACATACCATACTCGCGCGAGGCTGCCCCCGTGCCTCCCTTGCCATTCCTAACAGAGGCACTGTGATGGGATGGCCACCTCTACAGGACGGCTCGGGAGGTGCATGCATCATCTGGGGCCATGTCATCCGATCAACGTACAAACAATCCATGCGTGGTTCCACACCTGTGACTTCTAGATGGCAGTCCAGTCATTTCCATCCTGGTGGGGAATCATCTATGTCCGTGTCTATTCTCACTTGAGCAAAGGATAAGGACGCTTCCGCTCCGCAGTTCCGGTCTGAAGAACTACAATTCGATGCGAAGAACAGGGCGGAAGAATCTGGCACGGAAGGAGTCCGGTGCGGTGAAGCGTTGGTGCTTCGTGTCGAGGTGGCTCGAGTGAACACACCCAAGACGTCTCCTTGGGCCAAAATGAACCTTGGGTGTAGCGAGTGGGTTGGTGGTGCTACCTCGGAGCTCTGGAGGCTTTGCATGCGAGAGGGATCAGTGGGCGCGCTAAATTTGGATGTGCGGGTTGTGTCCTGGCCATGCATGGGTGCATGCAAGACCGACTTCCATGATGGTGGACCAAATCCCTTGCCTGAGGCCTGCTTTTACAATTTATACTGCAGCTCCCGGCCCTGTACCGGTATCGATATACTGAGCTGGGCACGGGGCCGGGCTCAGCTCCAGGCTGTTTGGCAAATTTGTACAAGTGTATGTACAAAACCGCTGCCAGGCTAGGATGTTCAAATCATGGAAACATTGTAATTACGACCGCCCAGCCAACATTGAATGCATACCATGGGTACCCAGTCAGAAATTGGCACTGAGTTTTACCGTAACTGTGACTGTTAAATTGATGACTTAGCAAGGCCCTGTGCGGGGCTGGCTGGTTAAGTATGCCATAGTATGGTAGCACCACATGCCATCAATGATGTTCCATGCCGGCAGTTGAACACCCACAATCAAAGGGCAAAATGCAAAGTTCGATAACGGATCACCCGGCACATATTGTATTCCAGCACAAAGGCCCTATTCTGATATACCTCTCCCCCTCACATAGCAGCCGATTTCCGCCCTCACACTACTAGATTTAAAGTCAGCAGGAGATTTTCAATCTTTCAGTTCCATTTGATGGCAGAGTTCTGCTTGTACCCAGCAAGAGCCTGTCCTGAGGATGTGTTGCCCTGAGTACTCGATGAAAATGCTTAGACTGCTTCATTGCTTCTGGAGCACCACCAGTGGCTCGAGCAGCTCAGCAAGCTTTCCAATTGCTCCTGCAGCTGCGGCATGCTGCCCCTCTGTTGCCGCCGTTGTGGCTTCCACCAGCCAGCACCCAGGCGCCACCTGCTCGCCGGCTGCGCCGCCTGTCCCTTCCTTGCACACCCTCACCACTGCGCGCAGTCCCAATGCGCATTTGAGGAAAGGTCATTTCACCCCAAATGCAGGTACAACAGATGGAAATTGAGTATCAATGTGCTCGTATGCTTATGCCATCCGAAGTTGTTTACTCCATACAGATAAGGACAGAAAAGGAGACGAGAGTGCAAGCGACGGGAAGTGTGTTGAAAGCACCTGCAACATGCACAAAATGATCGTCCAGGTAGCAGCTGACGCAGAATCCCTCTTTGACCATGCTGTACCGCCGCTGGAATCCCAGAGCTGCCCAGAAGCCGATGATGTCTGCGCCGCTGCAGCTGCTCTCCGCAACCACACGCACTGTGGCAGGCAGATCAGCTGCGCCCTTGCCCCGCAGGGGCATCCCCTCATGCCTCACCTAGCAACGGCATGTCAATTTGAGTCAGTGACGTGGCCACCTGGCAAGCCGCTCTGTCCCTCTACGTCCTTGGGTCAGATCCAGGCAAACACATGAGCCGCTGCGTCCTTGATCACCTTCCAGGCGGACGAGCCTTTCTTGTGCTGGGCGGTGTCTGGTTCTTTAAGCTGCTGCACCAAGCGGAGCTCGGGTCCCTTGGTATTTGATGTGTATGAAGGGCCAAGGAGCAATATCTCCAGCTGCTTGAATGGAGCGAGGTGCTCGCCAGAGATGCAGGACAGACGTTCCTGCAGGCTTGTGAGCGCAGACTCGTCCTTGGTAGTGTCCAGCACTCCGCTTGCCTTGCACTCCATGCTGGCAGGCGCATGACGCGCATGCGTTGCGTTCAAAAGTTTCACCTGCACCCAGCTCACAATAAGTACATTCACTGTGCAAAGCAACGAAAGTTGCAGTGTCTAAGTTTCACTGGTTGCCCCCCTTCTGTGGGCAAAAATGAAGTTCATTCGAAGGGGGACAAAAAATATCGCACCAATCCAATCTGATGGAGAATCTTGGCATCAAAATATTCTCAATAGTATTTTTTTAAAAATCTAATGCATAACAAATGTGCGACAAACTGGATCTGCAGCGTGGATTCAATGTCCTGGAAAAGGCAAAGTGATATAACGATCAAGCTTGAGCTCCAAATGGTATATTCCTCCAAGATTCGTGCAGAGCACGAAGATGTGATCAGTTGTAGGATTGATGGCAGAGCAATCGCAAAATTGATCACACTGGCGCAGTGGTGACTAACACTTCAAGCCCCTTCCATCAGTTTCCTTCCCTCGCCTCTCAAACAGAACAGCACTGCATCTTCTCGCCATAGTGCTCCCACCCATGCTGCTTGTGGATTCGGTCTTCCACCAGATTCCGCTTGATGGCGTTGTGCGCAACGCCTCAACGCATGCTATCCCCTTCTTGTGATTGAGCGGTCAGCTTTCTAGGCCCAGCAAGCGGCCTGCTGTCCCTGTATTCAGTGGCAGGATGATGGACAGGAAGACATCCGCGGTCCCTGTACCCACCCCGAACGCGAAGAAAAGGAATGCTGGAAGCTTTACTGGGACGCACGGAAAGGTGTGCAGCCGCCGTCCTGTTGCAGTGCACCAACCTTTTGAACCATATGCACGTGCGGCAGCAGCTGCTCAGTTGTCGGCTGTTGCAGCTTCCCTACCAAAACCTTTCTACTGCATCAATAAGATGACAGCACTGCATGCAGTTCCTGCAGTTTCGCGATGTTAAAAGGAAGTCTGTTGCCTTTCACAGGGGCTCCTGAAGGACCAGCTGGAGCTGGTCAAAACCCAGGTTGATGGCCGCACCCGTTATGGGATCAAGGCGATTGAGGAGCAGCTTTCTTTTGACAAGGTGATCCCCTTTCGTCGGCAGCCTTGGTGTATTGACTTGTTGGGCGTTCCTAGAGGAGCTTTGTAACATCGATGGAAGCTAGCCCGCACTGATGGAGCGGCGACATTGAAATGAGTTTCTGCTTCCTATGCTGGCTCCGTTGGCACCATGCCGACTCGCTTTCCAATAGATAATTGCTACGGCCTCAAGACGCCCCTGTTGATCTGTGTTGCAGGGCTTTTATGTGTTCATCAGAGCTATCAAGGCGCTCACGGGCCACAACCATGGCGTCGTCGTGGTGGGTTTGTACACTCAAACTTTGCATGTTATCGTTTTTCGTACAAATTGTTGAGCAAGAGCCTCAGGATGCATATGGGTGTGCCAGGTTGGTTTGGCGGGTCCCTCTGGGTCTGGGAAGACAGCCTTCTCAGAGAAGGTTCAGGACTTCATGCCAGGTGCGGATAATGGAAGGCTTGGGACGATTTTGACATCATTTTGCATTCCATTTGCTGGGATGGTTGTGCCAAATTTTGGTGCGCTCATGTGCAGGCTGCTCAGTCCTATCGTTGGACAACTACAATGACGCCAGCCGGTTGATCGATGGGAATTTTGATGGTGAGTGCCTTCACAGTGTAGAGGCACAAACTTGTGTTGTCTTCCTTGCCATTAGTACAGGATCATGGCGGCTGGCTTCTTTAAGTGATCACCCACAACATTGTTCGTGCACAGATCCTCGTCTGACGGATTATGAGCTGCTGCTGAAGAACATAGCGGATCTCAAGAATGGCAGAGACGTGCAGGTTTGTCGGCTTCTCCCCACCGCCCATTTGATATTTGCAAATCCTCTTTGTAGACATATTCTACATCAGGCATGTGAGGCAGCTCACCTTCAGGGGCAGGTGTGTGTTCGCAGGCACCCATCTACAACTTCAAGACGAGCAGCCGGGAGGGCTATCGCACCATCAAGGTTCCTGAGTCACGAGTCGTGATAGTGGAAGGCATCTATGCTCTGTCAGAAAAGATCAGGTGTGAACCTGAACCTGCTCAAGAGGGCCATTTCATTGCACAGGAAAGCGCGATGCAAACCGATCAGCACCACAGTGGGAAGCTCTTGGCTGGACGTAAGCACGTGAGGAGAAGACTGTCACTGCTGCAGGCCCCTTCTGGACTTGAGGGTGAGCGTGACTGGCGGCGTGCACTTTGACCTGGTCAAGCGCGTGCTGAGGGACATCAAGCGCTCCGGCCAGGCGCCGGAGGAGATCATCCAGCAGGTGGGCCTTGCTAGCTTACACTATCCCCATTTCTACCAGAGATGGGCGTCCCCCCGTGCGGAGGCTAACTGTGACCCTCAATACTTATAACTCATTAAGTTCTGAAGGTGTCTCAATATGATTGGTCATTAAAGATGTTGCTATGGCGTGGGTGCAGATCACGGACACAGTGTATCCCATGTACAAGGCCTTCATCGAGCCAGACCTGAACACCGCGCACCTGAAGATCTACAACAACTTCAACCCCTTCTCCGGCTTCATGGCGCCCACCTACATCCTCAAGTCCGCCAAGACTGTCACGCCCGACGCCATCAAAGCTGTACTCAAGGTGCAATCCTACCTCATTTGCATGTCTTTGCTTTGGCCCGTCAAATTTCGCTTTGGGTACTCACAGGCCTGCAAAAAGAAGGCAAGTGCTGTGATAAGATTTCACTTTGTACTCTGGCTTGTAGATCTACAGCAAGGTTGAGCTTCTCAACCTTGCTGTATGATGTGGCAGAGCTGGAGTGGGTGTGCTAGCATGCCTTCAGTGGTAGTTCTGGGGCACTGGAGTGCGGGAATGTGTGTTGCAGGAGAATCATACATCGCGGATGGACAGTGACACATACGACATCTACCTGCTGCCACCGGGCGAGGATGTGGAGACGTGCACCTCGTGGCTGCGCATGCGCAACCGCGACGGGCGCTATAACCTCATGTTTGAGGAGTGGGTTACCGATGGCCCCTTCATCATCTCCCCCCGCATCACCTTTGAGGTGCGTGCCCCTGCCGCATGTCTCCACTAGCAAGCTTGCCCTGCTGGCAAATTGCGCCCTTCTCATTCCAAATTAGGGCCGGCTGCTTACCCTTGACATTGACCAAGTGTAGATATCGGGCAAACCCAGGCCCCATGGAAGCCTTGCTGTGCGGGGCTATTATAGGCATCGAGACCCCTCAAGATTGTTCCCAAGCAGGCAAGACCATTATACTCCTTGCAGGTGCCATGCAAGCCGAACATTGTGGAGTTGTGAAAGGCATCAAGCCATTTGACAGGAACGAATGCTCTGAGGGCTGTGTGCATGTGCGGTCGCTGCAGGTAAGCGTGCGCATTTTGGGGGGCCTGATGGCGCTGGGGTACGAGATTGGGACGATGCTGAAGCGGTCGAGCGAGGTGTACGCGGACGAGACGGTCACGGTGAAGCTGGACGACATTGAGGGCATGGACCGGCAGTACGTGCAGATCCAGGGCAAGGACCGCGCGGCCGTGGCCGAGGTCGGCCGCCGCCTGGGCCTGGAGGACACCTACATCGCGCGCTCCTACATCGAGCAGGTGTCAGCTCGCCTCGCCCGCCCTGTTAGGCAGGAAGCGGTCCGTAGGCTCCTTTCCCGCAGGCCCCTTTCTTTCCATTCAATCCCCCCTTCCCCTTCTCGGCAATCCCTGAGCGCCTTAGTAAAGTGTGCTGTAGCCAGTCATGCAGTCCAGCATTCCGCAGGTTTCCTCCTATACGGTAGTTTGCGCCCATTGCCGTCTTTTCGCGTGGATATTGATTGGGGTAGAGGTGTGCAGTGTTGTTTGTTGTTGTGAAGATGCAGGAGCTCCTCCTTCACAGTGATCATAAGCAGCGTGCTGAATGCGAGTGTGTCTGTGGGTGCAACAGCTGCAGCTGGAGAAGCTGACTGCGTCGTTCCAGTGTGTGACGGAGGACCTGCGGCGCCAGTTCATGGTGGACGGCGAGCCGCTGCTGCACGAAAACTCCATCGGCTCCTCGCCCATCCTCTCCTCCTCCTTCCGCCGCACCACCGGCTTCAACATCCCCACCATGTCGACCTCAGGTGTGCTATTGTTCCTGGCCCACACTTTCGTATTCCCCTTCCAAGTGAGGATGCTTTTATTTGGCACTTGTGGCCCTGCAAACCTGCCGGGTTTGTAAATGCTTGCTTGCAGTGCGTTGGTCAGGATGATCTGCTCTAATCTTGCCTGAGGGCAAAGCCTGCCATGTACATAGCATACTTTTGGAATACTGCGGCCAAATTTTGTGCTGTGACCTATCAGCGCTTGAAAGCCTTGCGTGCGTTGTGCAGCGCCGCTGGCAAATGGCATACATATGGCCAAGGCGGGGCGCAATGGCAAGTCAAGCGGGTCCTGCAATAGCAGCGGGCTGCTGAGCCACCACATGCGTGGCGCAGCGGAGGCCAATGGGAATGGCAACGGCTACAGCAGCCGCCACTCCTCGGAGCTGTCTGTGGATGAGGAGTGGGAGCCCCGCCCGCCCTCCTCCTCAAATCTTGGCAGGGTGCGTCATACATAACCTGTCATTTTCGCTGAGTGCTCTTGGTGCTGTGGTACCGTCATGAAGACTACATGTGAACACTAGATGCCATCACACATAGCGGGATTTCTGCGAGGTGAAAGCGCAGTATGTATTTGGTCTGATGTCCCGGATGTGGCGTGCGGCTTGTGCAGGTTGAGAAGATGGTGGCGCGGCTGACGGATAGAGTGGAGGAACTAGCAGCACGGCCGGCCGATGGGAATGCTAGCCTTAGCTCCCACGTGCTGGTGAGGTCTTTTGCCACTCGCCCATGGGCCAATTGATTTCTGTGACATGTGCAGTGACAATGTACGAATACGCCACATGTTGAAGTTGATTTTCAAGTGGCTGCAGCCCTGGGGATCATGTGCCCTCTGGGAAGGCTTCCTGATGCAGTAATGATGCTCAAAAGAGGAGGGATTGAGGAGGGAAGGCCATTCTTCTCCTCACCTTTCATTTTCCTCCCTTAAAAGACAAGAGTGATGACAGTTCCTGTTCTGACGCGCAGGACCTCACGACGCAGCAGCAGGCGCTGAACGCGCAGTTGCAGTCGCTGGCCAAGGCGGTGGCCGGCATAGATAGGCGGCTGAGCAGCGCCGACGACGTCACCAGTTACTGCTGGGGCGCGTCGGCCGCCGCCGGATTCATCGCCACAGGCGCGCTCGCCGCTGTCGCTCTCCTCGGCGCAATCAGCCGGAGATGACCACTGCGGCCCCTCCACAGTCACTGCCCGGTGCCAGTATTGATGCGTCTGCAAGAGCCGCGGTTCAGCTGAGGGCCGGCAGAGCATCTGCAGGGGAGAGCACGGCCGACGTGCTCTCCTGCTGGGATTGGGCAAGGTGGCGGCGTCTCCGGCCTGCACAGCATGGTTGCCTGGCAGTGTTAACTGCTGGGAGTGGGCGTCTTTGGAGGTGGGGTGATGCGCCATTCCTTACTGGATGCGTGGGATGGGTGCAGCTTGTAGAATAGTGCATATTTAAGGAGTAGGATTTGGTGATTGCATACTTTGTTCAAGTTTGCAGCTGTGGGTGGACAGCCTGTTGGCACGTTGCAGTGCGCGCGTGTATCTAGGCAGGGACAAGCGTGCTCGTCGAGCAGACTGGCGCTCACAGAATAGAATTAGCAACTAGTCATTCTTCTGGCACTGTTGAGTTGGATATCAAGCCTGCATCTGCCTATAATGTTTGAGCAGGTTTTCAAGAGTATTCGGTGCAGTGCTGTTGTACAGCACTATTAGCTTTAGGACAGATCTGCATCAGACTGATTTGTCCATGATGTTGATGTACCTTGATCAGACATCTGTTGTGATTATCATTCAACAATTTGTGACATTTTGAAGCTTCACATTGGACGAATTAAACTTCATTACAAACGCCTGCATAAATTTAGTAACGTTACAATTGCAACATCCTTGCATGGCATATATATGTGCTCAGAGAAACATACTTGTGGAGCTGCAAAGCTCAAAATCTGCAGGGTCTATTTTGAAGATACTTTCTCCCCAAATCTGCTGAACGACGACGTTTGTCGCTATGGAGTTATCTGCTATTCTGTGCTAGGCACTTTCTAAGTGAATGGTGAGTCGGCGGGAACAAAATTGGGACCAGATAGATGAATCATGCTCATCTTGGTCATGAATCTCAAGACACATCTTGACCAGACATGAAATCGGCCCCTGGTATCTTGTGATCCGAGATCAAAGGCTTTGCCTCGTACACAGCAATAACAGCTTCCCGCTTCCCCTGCAAACAGCAGCAATCATGGTGAGTGAAGAGCTGACAGGGCTTTCTTTTGGACTCTGGTGCTTGAAATAAAAAAATGTGAAAGAAAGAAAGTCTCATCTTTTCCTTTATCTAGGTTGAACAGCCACATCATTCCCCTTCAAAAATCACTGCCCAGAGATTGCTGCTACATAAGCACGTTGAGGTGTGCAAGCACAAGCAGTCTTGACATAGACAGAGCACAGCAAGCAGCACCGCAAACAATACCTCCGTGAACTCCCCCTTGAGGCCAATGAAGTGGATGCGCGTGGAATCAGCGCCAAAATTGGAAGGGATGTAGAGGTCGATGGAGTGCACACCGCTGAACTTGGGGACCCTGGGCAGGCCACAAGAATATCACTGCCTACGTCAGGCATTACCCAGTATCAAAGCGCTTGCGAGTGTGGTCAGTGAATATGTTTTGGTGCAGCAAGAGAAACTGCAGGCTGCAGCGCTTACTGAGTGGGGTACTCAATCTGGCCAGTGAGATTCTCTTGGAGGTCCCATTGCTGCACTGGTGGCAGGTCTGCAACGAGTGAGAAGTCCAGGTCATCGCGGTTAGTGTAGGCCCTGAGCTGTAATGGCGCCGTCCCATCTGCTCCCCCAATGATGCTGATAGCCTGCATTTGCCCAGTGCAAACTCCCTTCAATGGAACAGCACGATCCAGAAGGCAGGCAGACTTTGGAGCCTCTAATATCCTGTAAGTTATGTAGAGAATGGGCGGGGCACCTTTATTTTCACAGATCCATTGAACGGCACATGGATGAGCAGCTCAGGATCATCATCATTGGAGTTCAGAGTTGGCTGTGACAGATCCAGACGCTCTGCCCAGGGCCGAAACACACTGCGCACACTGCCAGCTTGGGCTTCGTTGAGCGCTGCGATCTGCACAGGCCATACAAGCCACTGAGATTCACATGGAAAGAAAACTTGGTTGAATTAAAGAGAAGGAGAATAGAGATCCTGATCTCGAGAAACCCACGTTGGAGTGATCGATGTGTTCGTGCAGGGACCAAGCAGGTCCACACTCTGAAGCCTCACAGTCGTGATCATGGGCGCAGCATCCCTCGTATGTTGGCATTATCTTTATCTACCGTTGCAGAATCTCGGTTTATGCACGAGCACCTGGGGGATCAGCGTCAACATACTTGCATCAGACCATCAGGAAGGCACTTCAGTAGGGGTCGTTGCCACCATCAATACTCATCTCCGACTCTTCACACTTGCAAGTAATTTGATTGCTGATCATCAGCAAATCCAGGCCATTGAAGTCCAAGACAGTTCCCACACCTTGCTGAGTCACGATCGACTCCTGGGCGAGTAGCTGCAACTTGCAAAGAAACACATGTTGGGAATGTCAATGCAAGCAACGGACTCTTTTAGTACAAAGAAATTGCTCGGGCACTCTGGATCTCCAGAATTTGAGGTATCTTGGACTCTGGATCACCCAAACCTCACCTGCTCAATCAAACTGCCCAGCGAGCACACGTCCTTGACTTGTTGAGGGGTACTATATTGTAATTAAGTTCTCGTAGAAAGTCTATTAGATCCTGATTGTAAATCCATTTGAGCTTTGCCCAGCAGTAATTTACGGGCGCGCTTACCAAAAAAAAAATGTTACGGTCAAATCAGAAGTTGCAGTCGCAAGCCGAATACGCTTCCTGGGATCGCTGGTCATCAGTTGGAATGTTGTTCACATCATTTCAAGGTTATGTTGATGCCGACAATACAATTTGCATTGTTCAAAATCGTGGGGCTCCGTCAGGAGCTAAGATTGGTTGAGAGCAGATTGCTTGTTGCCGTTGCTTCATGAATCTGTCGTGGCCGCTCGATCTGCAATAATGAGTAATAAAGGAAGCGGTATTGCAGAGATATTCAGTCGATGGTGTCAGTGCGAAAATGCAGGTATGTACACTTCTTCGCATTACACTCATAACTTCGTCTGAAGACTGTACACGATTTGATGAGTATGACTGTCATAGACTATTGCGACTCTTTACCTTTTATTGTGCGCAGGATGCAGTAAATGGCGCAGATTGCCTCCTGGAACAGAGGTCGACGATAGCAAGCCATGGTTAGCTCCCTCCTGCCAAAGAAGGACCTGATCCTTGTGACAACTTGTCACTCATCTAGTTTATGACATCAGTTCGATGATTTTTTAATTCTTTGGGCTGATCTTGCGGCTGCTGCAGGTTCTGTTACATGAACCCAGATGAATTGCGCAACTCGTGTGAAGCTTCTGAAGAGGTGAGGCTTATTGACCTTCTCCCATATACTCTAAATCACTCGATAGTGGCGATCTTGGCATGAGCCTTGGCGATCATAATGTGCAGCTCCCTGGAGCGCTTCTCATTGGCATTTGTCGTGATATGACGCCGCATGCATGCATGCGCAGAGCTACAATGAGGATGTGGAGGAGGATGCAGCCGCCTTCACAGACGAGGAGGCGTCCGAGCCGGCCACCAGGGCGAGCGGGATGGCAGGCCGGCCCAGCTCGGGGAGGGGCAGAGGCAGGAAACGAGGCGGCCGCGGCCAGGGGAGGGGCCGGGGTCGAGGGCGCGGCCGCGGCCGTGGAAGCAAAGCCGACACTGCATCCAGCCCGCCATTTCCCGGCGCCGGCAAGCGGCCGCGGGTTAAGGAGGAAGAGCCTCATGATTCTGCACGAGGTGCGTTGCTGCCACCCCATCTATGCTGCTGCTGCAGCACGGCTACCTTCTGCCTGCCTTCGGAAATCTTGCATGACGCCTGCTGTCACCTTGTGAGAGGGCTAATTGGGCTTTTCAAGAGAGGGCTTCATTGAATGTGCGATTGAACTCGTTTGGGTGTTTGCTGCTATGCAGGCATGAAGAAGCGGCGCATGGTGCACCTGTCAAATGACGGGGATGCAGAGGGGGACGCAGAGCAGGGGAGGTACAGCACGGAGCCATCCAATGGCATCCCGGAGAGCCAGCAGCCAGGGCAGGGCGAGCTTGCAGCACAGGCGCAGATTGCAATGCCACTGGCGAGAGGGACGGCAAAGGCCCGCAAAGCCCATAAGGGCTTTGAGAAGCTGCTTTCAGCTGCTGGCGTTTGGGAGGTCGCCAAGGCAAGCGGCTGGTCCTACTTGGGATGTGTTCTGTCGTTGTAATGTTAACATATCCAAGGTCACAATCATCGAGAATGATGCTGCTTGCATCTGCCTTTGCTCTGACCACATTCGTAGTTTGGTTGTGCCTACCAATGTAGCCTGTGCCTTTAGTGTTTGAACATGAGTATGTCAATTGCAGGGGAAGGGCCGAGCAGTACTGGTACCACCGCAGTGGATCTGGGAGGGGTTTGCACAATTTGCACCGGATGCTGCAGAGGTGGCGTGCAAAGCTCTAGACATGCTGTCTGCAGCACGCTACTTTGAGGTGTGAATCACTTTATTCTAGCATGTCACATACATGGTGCCTTCCTGTCAGTTGTCATTTGGCTGCTGTATGCAAACATGCAAGCTGTCTTTTTGGTTGAATTTTGGGGTGTCCAAATTAAGTGAACAGATTGCTGTGCAGTCGGGAGGCTCGAGCGGCAGCCCTGCAAAGGCAGGCGTGGAGGAAGTCCAGTCAGCAGCACGCCTGGCAGTCATGATGGCGTCTGCAGCCGCGGCTGACTCTGCGGCCGGCTCTCTGGCCGCCTCAGTGACGCCGCCGGCCCCGGCTGCAACGCCACAGCCAGCGGCGCCCGGCCTTGCACCCAGCCCCGGCCTGACATTGACCGCTCATCCAACCTTGCAGTCTCCGGTGCCACCCGCCGGGCCGCAGGCGAGCGCGCCTGCGCACATTCCTCTGCCGCCTGCTGTGCGGTCCCCAGCAGCAAATTTTCTGGCAAGCATGCCCACAGCAAGCCAGAGCTTTTCACCAGCATCGCCGCAGCTGCCGATGGGCCTCGGCAGCATTGCTCTGGGGCTGTGCAGTCCGCCTGCGCACTCCTTGTGCCAGCCTGTCGCTGGGATGGCGGCGCCGCCGCCCCGGCCAATGGGCGGGACAACGCAATGGTCGCCACAGCTGTCCCCACAGCTGCCGCCTGCAGTGGCGGCCCAGGCACTGACGCATACAGGGCCTGCGCTGCCGGCACCCTCAGGCCCGCACAGTGGCGCGCACTGGAGGCCCTTCAGGGGGCCTGGGACCACGCACACTGAGCTGAAGCCACTCCCAGCTGTGTCACAGCCGCACAGTCAGCCATACGCAGCCGCAGGCCAGGCTGTGTATGGCAGTGGCCTGCCGCTGCCTGGACAAGCCCAGAGCTATGCCGCTCAAGGAAGCCCAGCTGCAGCAGCTTCTACAGCACAGTCTATGATGCCCTCTAATACTTCCGCGGCAGTGAGTAATGGATGCAGGGAACATGTTGACAGCATTGCTGCGAAGGCAGGGCAGGGTGTGGTGGGGCCATCTCAGCAGAGGGAGGTGCCTGTGAGCAAAACATCTAGTGCACATGCGCCTCATGTCATCAATGCCTTGATCAATTCATGAATGCATATGCACAAGGACCACAGCAGGTCACCAATGAGTTGACATATTGATTGGCCGTTTGTGAAGTCTGGCTTGATGGTTGGGTATAATCCAGGTTGCCCAAATAGCGTCCGTCCGTCTCAAATGTGCAATTTTGTTATGAGGAGTCTGGAGTTCTCTTTGCATTCTGAGATAGACAAGTAGCAGGAAGCAATTGACTGGCGGTCGAGCACTAATTCCCAGTGTTGTAGCCTTTTGTTTCGGTCGTACCATAAATCAATCTAGAGCGCTAGCTAGCACCTCACACAGCGGCTCCTCCAAGTACCTCACACCTAGGCGCATTGCAACCAGGCACGGCTGCATGTTCTTGGGCATAATGGTGGCGCACTGGAATTGGCCTATCCATGCCACTGGCGCCATTCTGCGCATGGATTGCCACACTCATCATGATGATGAACAAGTCACACTGGCATATATATGGGTCCTTATGATGTTGAAGGAAGTTCTCTAATGCATGAGAGTAGTCTGCTTGATGTCCAGTTGTCTGCATTCTTTCTTGGCTCATTCCTGGCCCGGCCAGCAGCAGTCTGTCGCCAAGGCGTTCGAACCTTCTGGGTGGGCAGTGACAAACTGTGAGTAATAGAGCATGCCCCAAAAGGCAGCTGCAACCCTGGCTGTTCGCGCAGAGTATACTGCTTTCTCGTCCAAACAGGAGATTTTGAGCACCCATACAGCAAGAAGTCGGACACCATGGTGCTTCAGGGAACAGGTAAGTGCTTTATGTCGCCGTAAGCAGGTGGGATCCCTGCAGCCCTAAACCCGAAGTTCCTGCTCAAAGCCTTCTGCCATGCAGGAATGCTGCACGCCACACCCAAAACCTTTGCAAGGTTTGGCAGCAGCCTCGTTGCATTACCTTTGAAGGTGAGCAGGGCATCGCCGAGCAAAAATGTTGGACGCCGTCAAGCGCGCGCCTTGGCATCGAGTGGCGAGACAATCCGTGTGGGCATCAATGGTGAGCACCCTGGTGTTCAGCGAGTGAATTCTGTGACATAAAACAGTTCAGCATATTGTCTCGGCGCTCAAGGATACATTCTTTGCCCTGCTAAAAATAAAGCTGCTGATGGACCTAGAGTTGCTACCACAATCGGCGCCTGTAAGCCAAGCCAAAGAGCACCTCGTGACTTCAGAATGAGTAAAACGAAGACCAAAAATTAGATGCTAGATCCTTGGTGCGTGCAAAGTGATAAATATGACAAGAAAGCTGCTGCCCTAGAGAGCTTGATGAGTAGGATCTAGAGTCCAGTGTAGCAATCATCCTCGGCGTAAGACGAGATACTGAATCACATTCAATCGCAGGATTCGGCCGCATTGGAAGGCTTGTGCTCAGGGCCGCTCTTGCAAAGCCAAACGTGGAGGTACAAATATCCCTAGATATTCCAGCACCTTTTTGACCTTTACAGTTGTGCATCTAGGAAGTTACATTTGCACTGATCGCCCAGTGTGGTGTTTCCTTCTTTCTCACGACAATCATTTTTGATTCTCGCTAAGCCAAAGCGCCCCTCAACTTGTTGCAGGTGGTTGCTATCAACGACCCCTTCATCGAGAATGACTACATTGCGTAAGCTCGTGTTCTCCCTGCCCTGCCATGATCTCTCCTCAAGATCCTGGCTTGCAACTTTCAGTAGTAAGTGTTACATGCATGCAACACCAGAAATGCTTACCCGCGGGGGGTGTTCATGCAGGTACATGTTTAAGTATGACAGCACGCACGGCGTGTTCAAGGGAGATGTGGTCGGGAGCTCTGAGGGCCTCTTCATCAATGGGAAGAAGATTGCCTCCTACTCAAAGATGTAAGCAGACCTCTGATACGTCTTGTCTCAGATCTCGACTTTGTCTACATGACCTTGCAAAGGCATACTGGACAGCTCCGCGTTTCAAGCTTTCATGCATGCATGCATACATACATGCATCATCCTACCTGATCGCTTCAAGCTAATAGGGCTGGAGGCCGGGAGCCATGTAAGTTTTTATATTTATGCCTTGAGTGGGACTGCGCAGGAACCCTGAGGAGATCCCATGGGGTGAGGCTGGAGCTGACTATGTGGTGGAGTCCACCGGAGTGTTCACCACCATTGACAAGGTACTGCTGTTGAGCTGCCACACGTTCTCTTGCTTGTGATTGCTCTCTTTCACTTTCAGCATGCGAGCATGTTTTCTTGGCTGCTCTTTGCAATAAACTTGCAATAATTTTCGGTGTATTGCGCAGGCCAACTCACACATAAAGGGTGGTGCCAAGAAGGTGAGACATTAATGTCAACAAACGTCCCTTTAGCTTGCCCCGATATTGTGCAAGTGGTTGAGTCTAATTAGCTTTTTGTGCTTGTTCAGGTCATCATTTCAGCTCCATCAGCAGGTAGGCACGAATCTGTATTGCAATTCCTGTAGCTAATTTACTCCCACGATCCATGCTTGTGAATCATCAACACACGATATCACTGCTTGAAACCTAGATGTGCTGTCCAGATGCGCCGATGTTTGTCATGGGCGTGAACGAGGAGAAGTACGACGCAAAGAAGGACAACATTGTGTCAAATGCCTCATGCACAACCAACTGTCTAGCTCCTCTGGCAAAGGTGACATCTTGCACCACAGCTTGTTCGGTTTTCCCTCTCCCAAGCATGGGAGTGGTGCAATGTGTGTCTTAAGCAGTTGCACAGCAAATAAAAAAGCATGTGACAACTGTGACGTTTCATGTGTGCAGGTGGTCAACGAGAACTTTGGCATTGTGGAGGGGCTGATGACGACAGTACACGCAACGACAGCAACGCAGAAGACTGTGGATGGACCGTCCAAGAAGGACTGGCGCGGCGGCCGTGGCGCAGCCGCCAACATCATTCCTTCATCCACCGGCGCAGCCAAGGCCGTCGGAAAGGTGCTGCTGCCCCCAGACCCTGGTCAGCTTCGCCTGTTAAAATCAACATGCTATGAGGGGTACACCATGGCTGTGATGGAGCCTTACAACGGCTGATGTGGACCTCTTCTAACTGTCTGAATCCCCAGAGTTGAAAAGCGTGCGGCTAATTTGTTGTCATGCTGTGACTGATGACAAAATGCAGAATTTGCCGAGCGTGAAAGCTGGCGTTGCTGCATGAAAATGATTGGCATGGAAAAAAAATCAGCTGGTGTGAAGCGGAGGACCTCAGACGTGCATGGCTGAGCAGGTGCATGCATGCGGGCGCAGGTGCTGCCAGAGTTGAATGGCAAGCTGACAGGTATGGCATTCCGCGTGCCCACCGCTGATGTGTCTGTGGTGGACCTGACCGCGCGACTGAGCAAGCCCGCCGAGTACAAGGAGATCATGGCCGCGCTCAAGGCAGCCTCTGAGGGGCCCATGAAGGGCATCCTCGGGTGCGCGCACCCTCCAGCAAACTCCTTCACGTCCTGCCCAGCTCAATACCTTGCACATTTGTAGGCACGTACACAGGACTGGAGCAGTGTGAAATGCAGGCTGCCTGGGATTGCCACTTAGAGGCCCTTTTAACACTTGGTCATGCATGTGCAAATAGCAGAAAGACCTGTAGTGAAGGCTCATAAAAGCAATGACCAGTTCAATGCGATCACCACATCTTTTCTGCATAACTTGTCTGCATTGCAACATTACGCGCCAAGTGGCTGCAGCTGCTGTTGAGGACCTCGTAAATGTGTGCATGGCTGCAGGTACACCGAGGATGCTGTTGTGTCCACAGACTTCATCACTGATGACCGTTCCTCCATCATCGACGCCACCGCAGGCATTCAGCTGTCCCCCACCTTTGTCAAGGTGATTTTCACCCTGCGTGGAGTGCTGCACTACCCTGAGCTTCACCAGCAGTTTTGCAATGAGCAGCTGTTCTCAATAGAACAGTGCGTATCCTGTTTCGCCTGGTTCGTACTGACTGCTGGTTGAGGGCTTGTGTGGTGTGCTACAGCTGGTCTCCTGGTATGACAATGAATGGGGCTACTCCAACAGGGTATGCATGCCCCCTCTTTTTGGTTTATCCCATGCCATGATACCTCGTTATCTTTTCCTGCTCTGTCAGCTTTTAATCGGCTTTGAATCGGTGACTGCAAGCTGAGCTTTGTACCTGCACAGGTTGTGGACCTCATCATGCACATGGCAGCTGCGGAGTAAATGAAGGCACGTGATGGGAGATTCGATGGCAAGATGCTGCATCGTCCTGTGTGGTTTAACAGACTCAGTGTCCAGGCCCTAGGAACAGAAGTGCCATATGGTGGCGTGCTGCTTCCAATCAGTGGAGCGGCACGTGCTGTATCAGGATTGCTAGTGAGCTTCGATTCTGCTTCTGCAAACGTTTGCTGCAGGTAAGCAAACGAGGCATTCAATATTGGATGGCACTGTGTTGGGACTACAGCAACCAGTCCCAGCTGGTGTGCTGTTGTGCAACAGAGTCTGAATGCTTACATGAACGTATGCTAGTCTCTTTCAAATGGAATGTATTATGTCTTGCTGAGTTGCATGGAATGCAAAGGCATGAGGTGCTTGCTCTCAATTCTGTAATCAGAGTGCCATAGCTACATTGGGGCTTTCCAAAACCCCTTTCTTAACATGCGGCCCATTTATTTCCCTCAATTGCCCTATATTGCTCCGACACGAGATGTCGGAATTTATGCAACGGGCGATCGGTGGAAAAGCCTGACGCAGTCTTCGATGCTGGCGCGGAGATTAGCACGAGTATAATATCTGTGAGATAGATCTAGCCTGCAGCACGCAAGCCATCTACTGAGTTGTCCCGGGAAGCAGATCCACAAGAGCAGGGACACCGATGAGCCGATAGCAGTTCCTGGATGACACCTCCATCAGGGGGTGCCGCGAGCTTCTGCCAGCGGCATCTCACCGCACTTTGCAGCACAGCTCTTCTGGGCGTCTTGCTGCTTTCGCTCATCTGCTTCGAAGGCCTCGGCCAGGGTGTCCGGAGCGTCTTCGAGGCTGTTCCCCTATTGAGCTTACAGCCTCAGCTGCAGGGGCTCAGGCCTTCATCTGCAGTACTACAGCCACCAACAGCTGCTAGATGCAATAGATTACACTTGCCAGCCGCGCTAGCGAACTCCACGGCAGTTCCATACTACCCTGCAGCCGTGAAGGACCCAGTCACTGGCGAGTGGTACCTCTTTTTCACGTACCAGGAGGTATGCGACAGCGCAGATGCCCCCTGTGTAACAACTTCCAAAACTTGGATAAGGCATCGCGAGGCGTTGCTCGTTTGGAGCGCCCTGCTGACCTCTGCATCTTGGTCATCTTGAATGAGTGTTCCAGCTAAATTTTATCGCAGCGACCAATTTTCGCAGATCAAGAAAAGTTATATTAGCTCGTGACATTAGTATTCACGGCAGATCTGTCGCCTGCCTTGCATCGACCTGAGATGATCCCAAAGTGGGACCTGCAGATCCTGGGAAGCCCTTCAGTCAGGTCTGTACCACTTGGCTGCCGCAGGAGGTGAAGGCGGGTTGCAATGTGAAGGGAGGGTGCGACACAGGAAGGCATCAGGGGGGTAGGAGTCGGTCGCACCCACTGCTGCTGCGACTGGGGTATGGAGCGCTGCCAGACATGCGCCTGGCGCAGAGCGACGTGCAGAAGCTGCAGCTGCACGAGAGCTTTGCCAAACTCAAGCAGCAGCATGGTGTCTCAGCATTAAAGGCAACAGAGTGGAGGTGAAGAATTGCTACAGTTGGCTTTTGAATAAAACAAAAAAACAGGCATTCTGTTCAAAGGCAGATGCACGACGCTCTTGGCAAATGCAAAAAGAGCCTTGTATCAGTATGTTGGCACCTCTTGTCTAAGGCCTTGCATTGAGTCATCTGGTCGAGAATGGAGACCACTACAGGTGCAGCAGCACTTCTCTTGCCAGGCAAGGTGATGACATTTCCGTGCCCCGCATGCGTGCGCAGGCCGTTCCCGTGGAAGGGGCAGATATTCCTGAGCCACTGGCTGGCGCTGCCGCCGGGGCAGGAGCGCGCGGCGCTGGCGCGGCTGGACCTGGAGCGCGGCGCCCTAGAGCATGTGTACCGCTTTGAGGTGCTGCAGGAGGAGCTGGCCAAGGAACTGGCCCACACCCGCCGCACGCGCACCCACGACCGCACCACCTCTACCCTCGAACAGGCACGGGCCTGGCCCCCTTCAGCACAGCCGCACCTTCAGCAGAGTGCATGCTGCAGCCAGGACACTATGCATGCTTACACTCCTGCAGCAGAATGATCCCGCATGTGCAATGATCTCCCGCAGCAGAGTGCACGGGAGCAGGCAGAGAGGACAAGTATCAGAAAGGACTGCCCTTGCGGTAGCCCTATATATAACGCGCAGTGGAAAGAGCAGTGGCTTACATCTTGGGGATGACGGCATCTCAAGGGGCGCCGGAGACTGAATTGAATGCTGTTGGCTGGCGCAGAGGGTGGACACAGAGGCCAGCTGGGGGTTTGTGGCGGAGAAGGACGGCCTCGTCATCTACCCTTCCCTGCTGCCGTGCACGGTTGCGCTGGAGTTTGACGCGGAGGTGCCCGAGGGGGCGCTCCTGCGCAGCAAACACTGCTACGGAGACCTGGCCTCGCGCATCGAGGACCACACAGGCACGGCCCCTGCTCCGGCTTCCTTTGTCTGCAGCTGTGTTGTATTCTTCATGACATTCTGGGACAGGCATCTGATTTGGAATGATGCAGAAGGGCGAGAGCTTTAAAGGACGGCCTCTGGGCCATGCATGCATTGCTACTCGTGTCTAAACTTGCGCAACAAGGGCATCTGATGCTCCATCTTTGCGCAAGAACCCATGTCTTGCAGAATGGACCTTCCCTGGCTAATCCCTTTATAGAGAGGCGTGCATCCCATCAAAATTATCCCCAGCCGGCTGCGCAGAATGGCGCATACAAAGGCACTGAGGAGGCGTGCCGTTCGTGCAGGGCTGGACATTATGAAGCACGACATGCTGAGCAGCGGCAACCCGGTGGCGTGGGACATAGAGCAGGGCGTGCGGTCGCGCGAGCTGATAGCGGTGCTGCACAAGCGCGGCCACGACACGGAGCAGTGGGCCGTGCGCATCGACCGCGCTTCCCACCGCATCACCCACGTCTCCGCAGGGCCCATCCTCACCATGCGCGACTTCCAGCCTGAGGTGAGATATGCGTGTATATATATATACGGTAACTTACATTTCTATAACTGCCTGAGCACCGTGCCCACGGTTGATGGGGTTTTGCTTGGGTCTGGCGAGTCCATCAAGGGGCAGGATGTGTGGCAGCTTAGACCAGCAGCTTGTCTGCAGACGAACCTTGCCTCTTGGCAGGAAAAGGGTTTGATGAGGATGTTATTTAATAATATTTACATCGTTGTCAGCCAACACGGCTCATCAGGTGAAGCTGCAACACACGTGTGCCAGAAGGATGCCAGGGATGTTTGACGCCTGGCAGTAGGTTTTGCCTGGGGTCTCTTGGGGTCACAAGAAGCTCCAAGTATCCTGTGTCAAATGGATGCAGCCTGGCAGTTGAGGTCTTAGAGTCAGAAATGCCATTGTCACACCTCAACAAGTATCGTCAGCGTTCCCACTTGGGGTGTCGAACACGTTCCCTGCAGCAAGGCATCCTTCACAACCAAACATGCCTGATGTCATGGCATATGCATGCGCAGGGGATCCTGAAGGAGACTATCGTGGTGAGCACGTACCACGTGATAGACAGGGGCGAGCCCTGGGGCCGCATCCTGCGCGTGGTCTACGGCGAGGGAGACCACCTCTTCTGCTGGGTCGACATCACGACCGAGGCCATTGTTTGGCACGCGCTGCCAGCGCCGCGCACGCTGCCCAAGCAGACACGCATGCGCTTCAAGGCATCCGGCACCATCTCCTGATCTGGCCGTTTCAGGTGTCGTCGCCTGATCAGGAGACACCGGTCTTTCCCCAATCATTGTGTCGGGAATATTGTGAGCATGGCGGCCTGGTGAGGGCGCCTAGCAGTTCTTAGTTCTGCTGCTGCGGAGTGGCAACTTGGGCGCTGAGAACCAAAGGCACCCTGTCGGGGTGTCTGAGCCTAGGCGTGCGCGGGCAGACAGGCACAGCGCAAAGGGCAGAGTAATGGAAGGGAAATTGGGCTGCAGTCTCGGGAGGCAGGGTCCAAACTTTGGTGCAGGATCCTGCAAAGCAGACAGTGCATTGGTGTGAAGGCAGGTGTCGTTTGCCCCAAGTTGTCTTTGCTCTGGAGTTAGGGGAATGATGTGCTGCAGTCGTAGCTTAGTGAGTAGTTTGGACATATAGCAGAGAGCGCATTATGTTTGGAAAAATGCTTTCAGGGCAATGTGGAACAATTGCTGAGAAAGACCTAAGCATGACTCTTTCTTCAACCATGTGGGTGTGTCATTGTTAGGCAGCAGCACTTATTTTGGTGCATGAACAGACCGTCCAAGGTCATTCACAGGGCTTTAAAGGAGGAGCCAGCAACTCAACTCGCGTTTCCAGAAGCTGCTATGATAGATCATCCGGTGTGTTCCACTTGGGAGTTACTAAGGGCGCAGGTAATCTAAACAGAAGAACTATTGTATCAGTGCGCTCAAGTCATAGCCAGGAGGCCAAAGAGAGTGACCAGTCAACAGAAAGCAGGAATGTGTTATAAGTGAATCCCATGACTTGCTCTAGGGACATCAGAATTCTTTCTATTACACCACTTATTATGCAGTAGCATTGCATGCATAAGAGGTTGAGGCTGGCAAAATTGTGCCCCTCTATCAGCTTGTGGTATGGTTGCCAGGAGAGCTGCAGTCAGCATGAGAGTCTCTGCAAGTGTGTCAAATGGTGGTTCAGGCCTCAATGTTTGTCCTGTAAATGATGATCATGGAAACAATTAGCTGCAAGCCTCTACATGGCATGTGATTGCTCTTGGCATTGATCAAACTCTCAATGCTGAGTTCAGCCACTACTTAACCACACATGTCCCTTTGTATGGTAATTTCGATGATCACTTGGTACCCAGTAGACCAGGCACATGTATCTGTGTCTGAGCACTGTCGTTGAGTCATCCAGGCCTTTGCAGGGGGCCTGGCCCGAAGGCTGGTCGTCCTGCCTTTGTGTTCTGCCACCACACAGTCACAACGGGAAGGCCAGCGCCCGCAAGCAGTATCCCAAGGCATGCTGCACCAACCTTCAGCTTGCGATGCCGTACCTGCATGCAAAAGTAAATGTCATGCTGGACCATGCAGGCAATCAGCAGTCTGCTTGAAGAAGTTTTAATAATAGAACACGGTCTCTTTGGATCCTCACACTGTCCTTTTCATGTGGGATTGAGATCCTGTATTGCCTGACAATGCATTGCAGGAGTATGATGGGAAGCTTTATGTTCCAGAGATCGCACCCTCCATATCTCGTACATGTGCTCCCGGTGTATGTAATCTGCATCCTGCACGCAGTAAGGGAGATTCTGAAGTGGAGGTTGTCAACAGAAAGCCGACGCAAGCTCGGTTGCTTCACTGGCAGTCCTTGATCAGGGCACATGATCCACGTATAAAATGTAGACAAGCTAATCAATAATGAGAAGGTGTGATAATGATATGCAATTATTGCACGACATGCGCTGTCTCTGCTGGGCCAGCGCACGTAGTAAGGCAGATCGCTCGCCGAGATCCCGTTCGGCGACACTGCAGGCAACCGAATTTCCATTCCTGTATGTTTAAGAATATTGGAGACACTCTTTTAAGGTTCTAATCTGCTTTTAATGCTAAGAAACGCCAAGAGAACTCGTATGATGGCCAAAAATCGAATTTCCAAAAATAGATTAGCAAGATTGGGAACGCCGCTCGACTGCGGAGAGCTCTCGGCTTGCGGGCTGCTGTCGGAGATCTTGATGGGGGCATGAACGCAGCTTTTTGGAGCGTCATTTTCACCCTGAAAGTGTTGTGCGATGTAATTTGAAGATACTGAAGATCACTGCTGTTTCGGTCCTCTCGCTTAAACGGAAGGCAGAGAGTGATTGGAAGTCCAGTGTGCAACTCGTTCCGTGTCGAACGGGTCAAGAAAGGAAGCTCTTAAGATATACTGATGGACATCTGAAATAGAAAAAGTCACTGATTGCATCGGTATTGCATCGGCGCTGCACGACTGGTTGGGCAGAATGGCTGTAAGTATATTCGCCGACACTTGTCGACACCATCAGCGTTCTCAAAATTGTCTTGTAAGCGCTGACAGGGTCGCATGTGAAGCGTGACAGCATGTGGGATCTCAATCTTGTCGTGGATGACGATGCAGGCTTTCCGATCAGGCGCTGTTTTGTTATGCCTTCTGGCATCAGCCTGCCTTGCAGTAGGCCTCGAGGAGGTACCAGCCTACCGACACTTACAGTCAAAATGTCATTCAAGCGTCACCTATATTTGACTTCAAATGGTCGAACCTGTTACGTGCTGCTGTGCTCAAATGTAGCAGGGCCAGTTTGAGGGGAGGAAGCTGCTTGTGACTGGCAACAAACGATCAGCGCTGAACAAGCAGAACACATGCATGGCAGAGGACATCTGCGTGCATAAGTCTTGCGGCAAAGCCTATGACCACACTGCAACAAACTTCCCCTTCACCATTGACTACCAGAAGACCACATCCAGCGAGGCAACCACCTTTGACTTCCAGGTGCGGATTTGCATCCTCACTGCACTGACGCCCTTTGGTCTGTCTATCAAGAGGCTCAGCAAAAATGTGTCATCTCGAAAGGTGTGTTCAGAGCGCCAACCGCTTGTGCTGAGCCAGCAGATCTATCTACAGAGAGCAGGTGCCGCAGTTGCAGGATGTGACCTCAATAGTATGGAGGATGGGTGTGCGAGCTCATAGGAAGCACAGGAGACACCGCCCTGTGTGGCAGCATTGTGAGCTCTCAAAGTGGTGCGGTGTTAAACAGTGCTGCGGATGCAGGTGTGCGCCAAAAGCTGCTCTCAGGAGGCGACCCACTGCGACACCCTGGCGGCCTGGTCACTACGGCTAGACACCGGGCTGGTGTCCGACAGCAGCTTCTTCCAGAGCGTGCAGCCAGGTGGGCATGTCTCAAAGCCACTCCATTGACCTCATTGCTGCCTCATCTAATGCCAGACAATGACGTCATCACATGATATTGTGCTTTCATGTTCCTGACTACAGCTGTGCAGCCTTTTTGTGAGCATGCCAGATTGTGCAGTCAAGGCTCCTGCAAGGAACAAAGGAGCCTTCCAAGAGAAATTGAAGCATAATCTAGCACCCAAATGGTGAGACCAATGCGGAGGCTGTAATGCGGCTGTGTGGCGTGCGCAGAGGGCGAGCTGCTGAGCGAGTGTGCGGAGACGGGGCTGGGCTACAGGTGGGCAGGGAGCGCGCTGGGAGATCTGGAGCAGCACCACCCCTCCACAGGGGACAAGTGCGAGCACTTCCAGGTACGGCTCCCACACCAACCACTGCACTTTCTCAGCTGCAAAGACTGCTACTTCACTCCGGATATTGACTGGATCATTAGCTATGCTGCTCGGCTTGTGCTGCACCAGCTTGTCAGCTTTGGAAAGAATAGCTTGTGGCCAGTGCCGTGCTTATGCCGTAGCTGACAGACAGGGCCTCAATGCCTGCTACCGGAATAAGTTTTGTTAAGCGCACAGGGCACAGAAGAAAGGCTGCTTTGATATATGGCTCAGGGAATGGCACCTTGCCTGAGGTCTGTTGCATGTCCAGCTTGTGCTGACGGGGCGTCCATGTGGCGTCCAGGTGTCGGTGAAGCGGGACCCCCACATGGCGGGCCACTACTGGCTGACGGACATTTGCCAGCAGGCTATTGACATCGTGTCCAGCAAGTCCGGCTCCTCTGCAGTCACACAGAGCAACATTGTGCTCAAGGCGGACCGCTACAGCGACGTTGGCTCCTGCCTGTGAGATCCCCTTCCCTCCTGTTGTGACATGAATCTTTGTGCGTGAGGAGTAGGAGGCAAGCTGCATGGTGGGGTTGGGAGGTCATGCATGCCACTAGAAGGCGAGAAGCTTCAGCCCAGATATGGAAGGGTGCCAGCTGATTGAGCAAGACTGCAGTGCTATGCCGAACTGCACTGTGATGACCCCGTCTACAGTGCATCTAAAAAAAGCTTCGCTCTATTTGATAGACATCTTGAGGGCAAGATGACACATGCTGCGCATCTCCCAATTGCCTTGCAGACTGGTTTTATCAAGGTGTGCTGGTTGAGAGGGCAGTGTGCTGAGTGGCTGTGTGCGCATGCTGCAGGGTGCACTACAAGCTGCAGAGTGGAGCGTACGGCTTCACCATGCTGGAGGATAAGGAGTATGCAGAGAAGGACAAGCGAAACAATGAGGCCAGCGATGACTCGTCAAACAGTAGATGACGGATTGGACAGTGGGAATTGCGCCTCAGATTCAGCAATTGTGACTCACATTCCATCAGTTGATGTGTGCGTCAATGCATATCACAAGGAATTCATGACATTAGCTGTACTGTAGGGCCGATATAGTTGTCTCGTCACCACCATTGAATGGTACGTTTACAGGCAAGATTCCTCGTGCCTTTGGACACAGCGAATAAGTGTAATCTATTCCGCTCAGGGAATGTTGCTGTCAAGGACATGCATGTGACATCATAGATTGCAAGCACGATCAGAGCTCTGTGGCCCATGCTGTCTCTGGTTCATAGCAAATGTTGGCTTTAACTTTAAGCTTGAAGCTTGAAGCTGCCCACAATTTATAGCTCTGGCCTCCGCCCATATGATATCTAGCTCATACATCAGTATCTAGCTCATTACACATCTACATGAAGAAGCACAGGTCTACTTCGCATCGTGAGCATGCATGCATCCCAGAAGTGGCTGACACCAAATCGCTCTGTTCTTCTGTCCTTTCACGCCATCATTCCCCACTGCCCCTCTCGCAAAACACCCCTGTTCACTCTTCCTACGCTCCACGGTCTTCACTGCCGCTGCCATTGCGTATGAATGCCGCTGCATTGCTTTCCTGCCCTTCCCAGTTTTTCAAACAGCCAAGCCAGCTGAGTGCAAGGCAATCAAGTGAGAAGCACTCTCCTGTATCAAGTAATAAACCTGCAAACAACAACCTTGATCTCAGACTGTCCCTGCTGCCACTTCAGAGGGCACTCTGCACCGGTGCTAGGAAACCTCATGGCCCTTGAATGTGCGTGCCAGTTAGCATACATATCCTGTCCGCAATCAAGACTCAGATCAGACAAGGCCAGGATCGTTTGTAAGGTGAGATGAGATAAAACCAGATGCAAAGGGAGAGCCCGCACTTCTTGAAGCTTTCAATGATGGCCTCGTCGGACGGGCCTGTCTTCTTGTTAGACTCTCTGTCCATTGAAGCCTGCACACATGCACATTCTGCCTCTTGTCCTGTACAGAGCAACCCTAACGTGCACCTACACTATTCTCCTGAAACACATGCATGGCCCACTACCATGACAACTGAAGCACAAATATCCTAGAAACTTGTGGGCACAAACCGCAAATTCTGAGAACGCCATAAACAGCAGTATTATGAAGGGTCCTGCCAGAGCAGAAGGCATGACTCACCTGGATCCAGGCAACAAGGCGGTCGAGGCCCTTGGACTTAGCGATCTCCAGCGGATCAACACCCTTGAAGTGGGGAAGGGTGACCAATGCGCGCCTCACGAAGGGCGTTGTGACCGTCTCCGCGAAGCTGTACCGCTCTCCCAAGAAATAACCGCCGCCCTCGCTGCCTGACGCCTTGATGAAATTGTCCAACACCTGATGAAGGGCAAAACATTTACCATAAGTCCCACTTCGCTGAACATATTATCAACAGGAATGAGTCCATACAGATACTTTGGTACAGCTGTGCAAATGCATTTGCTACTACAGTATCAAATGAACAAGACACTGTGTTCTGCTTAGCTGCATGCAGACGGAGGGAACAGCGGCGCACCTCAAGGTTGTGTGCAAACTCCTGCTTCAGCTGGGCCAGCTCATCATCGCTGCCAGCGCGCAGGATCTTGAAGAAGGGCGTCTGGAATTTGCTGCTGAACAGCTCCACAAAGAGCTTCACCTGCATGAACAACAGCATGCTCTAGGTAGGAAATGGAGCAGTCTCATTGATGAAGGCTTAGTTTGGATGTGCTGTGTGCTTGGGAAGCTGCAATGCCTGATCTTTGCTGCTCACCTTTGCGAGTTGCGCAGGGTCACGTGGAATGATGGGCGTGTCACCCCCATACTTGGCATCCAGATACTCGACAACAACCAGCGATTCTGTCAGCTTCTCATCGCCATCTACATGACCAGTCACTTTGAGAAGCAAGAGGCTTGTTTGAGGAACAAATGTCACCGAGCTCAGATTGGTGCAGACATGACCAGTACTGATTGCAGTGAAGATTCGAGTGCACACCGATGATGGTGGGGACCTTGGCGGAGTCGTCTGTATTTTGAACAATACTGGCGTACAAGTCCGTGAATTCTTTTGGCTTATTAGCCGGATCCGCCAGCTTGTGCTCGTATGGGATTCCCAGCTCCTCCAAAGTCAGCCACGCTCGCTGAGCAAAGGGGCATCTGCATCAGACGCGCAAAGGAGTCTCACGGAATTGGATACCCTGATCATGCATTTGTTGCATTCCTCGAAGCTATGACAAGTCCCATTGCCATTGCTGACAAACAAACGTTGGTTGATCAAAGTCCAATAGAAGCAATAGTACACACCCCCCAGGGCTTGGGGTGATGTCCCAAAATGTTATTGGTGTAGCTGCAGCAGTGGTCATGGTTTGTCGTCGCGGTGCAGCTGTTGCGGAGAGCGATCTGAGACTAGGTCGGCCGAAGCGGGACGTTGAATAACCAAACGCACGCAGTGCTTGCTGGCTAACCATATTCTGACAGCCAGTCACAGGCATTCTCGCATTAAGACACCATATCGAGGTCCAAGGTCGAGACTTACGAGAAGGGAATAATTCATGACGTGAGGTAGGCACGTTGCAGCACGTGCAATGTTCCACAAATACCAGCCCATCATGGCTTTGTTGGGACTGTCCACTACGTAGACTACCAGAGCTGCGGCTTCCCGTCATCAATGCATTGAATGTGATCACGAGAAGGCATGCCAAGCTTTGACAAGTCTGCTCAAGCTGGACTGCCCTCCGTCCAGTCATTGACTAAGTCCGGTCACGGTGGCGGCCCGGGGCCGCCAGTCTGAGGCTCATTTGCATTGTTTGCAAGCTGCAAGTTGAACTTACACGGATGACACGATGACTGTCCATGTGAGCCAACTTGGCACTCATAAGCAATGCTGAGCGTTTGTCGACTAGTACCAAAGACAGTGCATGTTCTCATCATACCAGCATGCTCGCTTGTCACAGTGGTGGCAATTCCTGATGATACAATTGGCTATGGCGGTGCCCTGACGAATCAAGCTCTCAGGCACACCTCCTGATACACGTCCAGTAACCAAACTTGTGAGGGAGAATGTCATGTCATAGTCTCATGAACACCAGATTCTTGCTAAAGCGTTTCTAAACTTCCTGAAAATAAATTCCTTGCCCATGTACCGCTCTGCTGCAGCGCCTGCCAATTTGGGGCAGATCAGGCTGCATACCAGCACAGCACACCATACTTGACGGAACCCAATCTCTGCTGAGTGTCATACATCAAACATGGCGACTCTGCGTGCTCTTCTCAAATACTGTATCAACGGGAGCGACTGGCTTGGTCTGTTGCCAAGCTGCAGCACAGCTTGGCCACGCCAAAGCATGTGACAGAACCCCGCACACTCTGAACAATTGTTGCAGAAGCTCCCAGCACTTTCACTGCTCTCTCTATGGACCACGTGCAAGTGCACCAGTTCTGTCTCTGTCCCTCGTCCCACTGTTGTGCTCTACAGCACTGCGTGCGCCGTCCCCAACGCACACCCCGCCATCGGCAATTGGCACTTGCACCCAAGTAGAACACTTGTTGCTTGCCACTCCTTCTATCCCAGGGCTTCAACGCCCACCCCTCTCATAACACTCTCAAGCCGCAGCCAGAATAAACCCTTCCGCCCTGATCCCAGAACACCCGAAGCAGGTCTGATCTCATTTGTGGGCCGATACTAATGTGCAGCCGTTGCCAGCCACGATTTGAATTCAAATTCAAGAGCAGCGCATGCCAGATCAGGCGGCGACCTTCTCGGGCTGCTTGGAGCCGAAGGAGACGGTCTTGGCACCCTGGCGGAGGGCGTTGCCTCTCAGCAGGCTGCCCAGGGTGTCGAATGCCAGCTTGGCATCGTCCAGGGGGTTGCCGGGGACGACGGTCTTGTAGAGGTAAGAGTCAAAGGTCATGCGCTGCACGTACTCGCTCTCGCACATCTCCACGAAGGCCTCGCGCGCCGGGTTGGACCGGTAGAACACCTGCGCGCACATGACCACCTCAGCCGCTGCTTGCATGTACCCCCGACCAGAAGTACCACACCGGCACCTCCCTTTGGCGCTCTTGTGGCAGGCTATCAGCGCTCTTGTGGAAGGCTAGCAGCACCATGGCATTGGCCATCAGCACCCTGAATTTGGCCAGCACGAAGCCGTCTTTGAGCCGAACACAAGGCACCCAGCTCCTCATGTCACCACAGTGAAAGCAGACCTAGCCCGAATAACTACTGTCCAATGTCAGCTCGCAAAATAGGTAAGAAACAGCAGCTAGCTATAGTTAGGGCTCCTAGCAAAATCAAATGCAGCAGCAAGTGAGCGGGGAGGGCACGCACCTTCTGCAAGATGTCCAGGACCTTGTATGTGAGCCAGTACTTTGTGTCGAACTTGGAAAGGTAGACGTTCAGGTCCTGCTCGCTGACCATGCGCGTGCCTGCAACCCCACACCCCTCCATCAGATTGACCTCCAGCAGGATTCACTAATACACATGCCATGCCGACCCTGCTTGCCACAAATGGTGATCAGGGCAGCTTCCTATACATTTCTCCATCACCTGCCTGCTAGAAACTCCTATGAATGCAACATCAAGCGAGAGCTGAGGCAATGGGGATGATATAGGGTCTCACTGGCACTAGATATCCTGCAGGTCCCATATCCTGCACGTCCTCTGGGCAGGCCATCACTCGATCTCCCAACACACAGCCACCGCAAGGGGGCGAGCAAAATAAGGGGAATGCACCGTTCTTGGAGCCGGCGACGATGGCCTCGGCGCACATGCGGCCGGACTTGGCGGCAAAGTAGATGCCCTCGCCGGAGCACTTGGTCACATAGCCGGCGGCGTCGCCCACCAGCGCAACGCGGCCCTGCGCGCGGCGCGGCCTCGGGTGCTCCGGGATCGGGTGCGCCTCAACGCGGATGATCTTGCCGCCCTCCGTCTTCACCTGCAAGGTTATGCATGCGAGTCTCAGCAAGATGAACACCTGCTGCCTCAGACTCAGGGCTTGGCTGGCAGGCAGGAAGCTGCGCAGAAATGCACTATCTCACCCCAGAGATGTGTGCAGCATCAGCAATGTTCCTGCCTCAAGCTGTGCAGTAGAGGGAGTGCAGTAAGCAAGATCAGGGACTGCAGCAGTCACGATGAACGGCTAAATTTACTGCTGCAGCGCCATTGTGGTCACAGTGGCTCCATAGTGATCAAGCGATTGAAAAGGGGCCTTTGCTCTGTCCGTGGACGCAGGTGGCTCACCTTTGACCTGTCACGGGTGGCCTGCTGGTACTGCTTGATGCCGCTCTTGTTGATGACGGTGCCGGTGCCTACGCAGCACTGTTTAATCAGGAACCACTCTTTGACAGAACATCCCCACAGAAACTCCCTGGCATGTATTTTTCCCAAGGGCAATCAATGGCTCATCCCAAGTCGCACCAAGCTGACTGCTTAAGGGCAGAAAGCCATGCAAAATATGAAACCAGGCCCAGGGCAACTTCAGGGTGTGAGGCTGGTGCGCACCGACTGCCACGTGGTCGTACTTGGGAAAGACCCAGCCGTAGAAGTCTGGAGACACGTCGTCGCCCACGTACATCTCTGCCAGGTCCATGTAGTACGCCATCTTGTCGTCTGGGATGCGGATGCGCTCCTGCGCACAGCAATTCTTTCATTTCATACTCTCCGTTTCCAGAGCACATCGATTAAGATGCCCTGCTCTCAGGCATGCTCCACAGCCAGCACAGGCGGAGCTGACAGCCAACATCCTTGTCCACCCACCACGACCACAAATGCGGAAAGGAGATTGAAAAAGGATGTGTGCAGAATGCAGCTGCAGAGCAGCCATAGAACCAACGACTGTTTGCTGCCCAATGTGAGCTCCCGCACAAAAACTGCAACTGCAAAGTGCTGCCGAAAAGTGTGAGCGACACTCCAATCACAGGATGCCAGCCGAGCATAGGCTTGCACTAATACACAGTATGACTTGACGGCCGCCCCACCTGGAAGGCGATGGCGTAGTCGTACTCGCCGGCGTCGATCTCCTTGGCAACGCGGCTGTTGGCGCCGTCAGCGCCCACCACGGCGTCCACCTTAATGGACTGCGGCTTGCCCACCTTGCCGCCCTCCTCGTAGCTGTTGAAGTGCACCGTGTAGCCGCCCTCAGGGCCATCCTGCAGCACCAGCACACCCCATTTTGAAAACTGCTGACACAGCACACACACAAGGCAGCCGATGGCTGCATGCATCTTGATCACTCAGGCTCGGGCCCCACTACCAGAGCAACGAAGGCTGTCTCACAAAGAGAAACCCCTTCTGCAGTGAGCATCAGAGCGCTGCTGGGCATTGCTGCAGCGAGTCATGAACCCGGCTTTCCTCACACAGTGCCCAAATGACATTAAACAGGCATTTTCTTCTTTTCTCTTGCACAGGAAGAGGTCAAGTGGTGGGCAGGGGATGCGCGCACCTTCTCCATGCGCATGAAGAGGCCGTTGTAGACGGTGGCGCCGTTGGACTTGGCGCGGTCGCGCAGGTAGGCATCCAGCACCTCGCGCCGGCACATGCCGATGTACTCCGTCTCTGACAGCGTCTTGCCCACATCCACCTCCCTGTTGCTGGGCGAGATCATCTTCATCTTGGTCACCTGCGCGCACACAAACACCGGCAGATTGTCAGGCCACAATAAGACTGCATCCTGGTAGTCATCACTTTGAATGGGAAACGTTTGGCCATGTGAGAGCTGCCTACAACAGTCACTGCATATTCTGTCCTGAAGATAATCTGGATACTACATCAGCAGGTCAAGGAGTGATGCAGTGTCAGGAACCGGGAGATTTTAGGGCGCTTCTGTAAAAATCACTATGTGAGACCCTCCTCAAGCTTGATAAGACATGCTGCCAATCACCGAGTAATGCTAGGTGTGGTAACATGGCAGGAGCGTGTGATCACCTTTCTGTCGATGATCTCAGCAGGGATGTTAAACTCGTCCACCATGCAAAGAGGGATGGCACCGCCGCAAGGCTGCAGGGTAATAACAAACGCGATCAGCAATTGTACAGACGCCAATGCAAATGGCCCATGAAGTGACAAAGGCCAATACATGAATCCCAGCAAATGCAACACTGTTTCAAACTATCCTTCCTTCAGTGTGCTACAGAAACCTAGTGATCTGCATATGTGTTTTCACAAAGTAGAGTAGGCGAGCAATTGAAAAGATTCCATAATCCCGAATACAGGCAGAGCAATACTCCGAGTTCCTGCGCCGTTGGGCCACACCACTGGCAAGCTGTATACATAACATACGTAGACATGCAAGAAAGCAAGTCAGACCCACCTTGCAGTTGTCGAGCTTGCGCTCGATCAAAAACGTCTCGACACCACCGCTTGCAAGTGTCTCAGCAGTGCAGGCGCCGGACGGACCGCCACCGATCACTGCCACACGCAGTTTTCTGTCGAGCACTGCTCCGTCCTTGATGGCGCACACTCGCAAGCCCACAGCACGGTCCGCTCTGCTAGTTGGAGCATTGCATTGAAGCAGCTTCTGCCCGCTGATGCTGCTGCTGAAAGCGACGCGCATATTGGGAGATTGGCTAGTTGACAAGCGTGCAATTCCACGAGTTTGTGAGCAGGCCTTGGATGGTGCAGCAACAAATGCAGTCTGCATATTGAGACTGTTGGCAACCATCCTGGGCAACTGCACTGAAACAATGACAATGCAAAAGACGATGTATTTACAACTTTTGAAGCAGCAATATCCGTAGCCCTTGCCAAAGATCAACCGCCTTATCCTGCTGGCCACGTGGAAGCAATTTGGTATGTCGATGAGGGCGCCGGTCAGAGGTACATATATGGTAGAAATTGACCAATTGCCATCACATCAAGCGACTTTAGCTCAGTTGGGAGAGCGTTAGACTGAAGATCTAAAGGTCCCTGGTTCGATCCCGGGAAGTCGCAAATAATCATGTTTGACTTTTTTGCCCTTTTTGGTGTACTTTCTTTATGGCAGCTGTGATTCCTTCACAACTGACATTTTTTTCGGTTTTTTTGCCGTTCACATGAGACATGCTTTCAAAGAGGCTTCATGACGGTACTGGTCGCCGGGCCATCATGGATGACCTTGGGGCGGCCGGCACGTGCGCATGCGGCACTGCTATATTGCCACTGTGCCTGGCATGGGCGTCTCGGCTTTGAAATGATCTAACAATGCAGCTTGCTCAATATGCATGGCAGATTGATGCCTACGTCTCAAACACGTGTGCCACAATGTGTGCACTTATGGTGAAAATTGTGAGAGCGATGCTGCGGCTCTGGCCCTGAAAAATGGCAGAGATTTGGTTGATGAATCTGGTTAATTTGATGCTAGCATCTGTCCTGATATCAGTACCACTGTCTGCATCTGCAATATCATGTAAATGGCACTTCCAGTAGCTGTGCAAAGCGCTCATAATTTTAATAGTCTGTAATCTGCAAAGCAACAATTACAGAATAACTGGCAGACATGCACAAGTACTGACATCCAATCTTGCTGAGGCGCTAATTTGAACGAAGGCACCCTGTATAATCATAGCATCGAGCAAGCAGATAGTACATTCATCAATGGTGAGGTTGATGTCACATCACTCGCACCCACTGGAGGTTTCAAAGTGTACAGCGTGTCAGTGTCATTCGACGAGACACAGTGAGCTCCCACATGCAGAGCTGCATCCCAGCGCTGAGGCAGTACACTCAGCTGAGTCAGCTCATACAGGAGGAGGCACTTGAGCTAATTTCCATCACGCACATCTGAAGGTTCTCCAGCGCCTTCTCCTTCTGTGGGCTTGAGAGACTTCAACGGTGCTGACGTCCCCTGTAAACACCAGCAAGGATGAGCTGCACCTTGCCAATCTTCAGATCAGCACAGAGAACGCAGTGCACTGCGGCATGCTGAGCAAGGCAAGGCATAGCGCAGCTGATGCAGCATGCATCTTGCCGTGGCCGTCTCAATTCATTGAGATGGAAATTTTCATCAGGGACATTCTCCATGCTGCCGACGGCCCACTAGCGCTTGTGATTGTGCCGTCTGGACTGCAAGACAACCCGCATGTGGACTCCAGCACGAAACATGGGCCACCACCGTGCGGAGGCACCGCACCTTCAGGGCCTTTCTAAGAGCAATGGCGTGCCGAGCTGCAGCCGCCACCGCTCGATCCGCTGCCAGCAGCTCCGGCGAGAAAGGATCCAAATCATTTTCCTGCGCCCATACCATCCGCTGAAGATCCTGGGCGAGGACAGACAGAGGGGCGTCTAGATAAACTGGCTCACTCATCTCCAGCCTTCATAGACACAGCATGATGCAGACAAGGAGTACTGCTGCACTGCGTGGGGACAGTTGGGATCAACCGTTGCGAGAGACAACCACCTGCATGCCAAAGGCATGGGTAATGACAGAGTCAAGCTCCCTCATCGCTCGCTCCATTGACAGGGAGACCAACTCCTCCTCATTACCTGCCTCCCTTACACCAACCTGCTGGAATCAGACAGACACAAGGAGTCAGCACCTCCTAAGCACAGAAGTGGGGGCACGGAATCATGGTCGCCAGCCTGAAACAAGAAGAGCTTTAAAGTGGTGAGAGCAAGTGTTGTAGATCTTATTCATCTTGGGGGTGAAGCCTGCACACCTCTATGTATCTGGATGAATCATCCCAAGCATCCCTGACAGCAATACAGCCCGGGGACCAGCGCTCTGCATCGCTGACAGGGATCCGTATGCAGAGGTTGCACCCAGGCTTCCAATAAACAGATCCATCTTCGCTCCGCACCACATACTTGTACTCTAGTTCCGTCCCAAGCCTGCACAACACATCTTAAAGTGAAGAAAGAAATGACTGGGGCCAAACTAAGTATCAGCAACAGGGTTTAGCGGCAATACTGTGCAGCAAGACTTGGGTCGCACTGTAGAGGGAGGTCAAAGTCAGCGCTCCACAGATCCCCGTCAGACCATTCCATGGGTACACCCTGATCGATGTTCCAGCCACCCAGGCTCTCTGTCGATCCCACGATGCATAGATGCTGGCCGAAGTTACAGTGATAGGGGATTGCCAACTTCAGACGGATGAGCCCGTCCTCAAAACTCCCTCCACAGCACACTGCAATAACATCACCTTGTTATATAAGTGTTGCAAAAAGCTACAGGGTAAGGGCACAAAGCAAGAAGTGACCTGCTTTGTACCTTTCACTGTGCTCCACCTTGACCTCTGGCATCCCTCTGCGGATCTTCTAAATGCCAAGCCTGCAGTACTCCTTACTTTCGAGAAGCACAATAAGGCTGGCTGAGAGAGCTGCGAACAACAGTTAGGCATCAACGCTACTCTGGGTAAGGACGTTGATCCACCTCCTGCAAATATACATGGGCTACCTGAGGGACTTAAGGAGGAAATTTTCAACCGCCTTTGCCCAAGTTGTGATGGTCTGCGCCTCTGTTGTCAGAAACAATCTCCGCACGTGCGATGAGCAAGCGCGCATGTGAGATATTTCGAGCTTCCATGAGCGCTGACCCTCTCGTAAGCTTGGACTTCCAAGACATAATAGAATGTTAAAGACAAAATTTTTACCTCTTTGACCTTTGGCAGCCGAAAGCGAGAATCTTGGTTCTGACAAGAATTTTGCTTCAATTCCGACCGGCATTAGCTCTTGCTGTATCGAAAAGGACAATGTCTCCGTCAGCCACCAAAGATCCCGTCCACTTTTATGACATCCTGCCAGCTCCGGGCATGTGAGTGCTCCAGTCCACATGAAATCGCAGTTACTATTGCAAGCAGACCGATCTCAGATCAGTTGTGTCATCAGCATGCCCTGTGTGAATTTCGACAATGCTGTTGGGATGTAGTTGTCCATATGCCCAGCGAGCTTGGATAGCTTTGGAGGAGCTGGGACTGGCGTATACAACTACACTCATTGACGCAACCAACAAAGCTGAAGACTTCAAGGTCCTGTATGCAAGCATTGTGCAGAATACAGAAGACCCAGCCAAAGTACCAACCATTGTTGGTGCGCACCATGCTGGAACCCAATCTTATAATACGCGCGCTTCTTGGTGCCTTCCTTGATGAGAGCATCGCAGTTTCATGATGACACCATGAGGAAGGCTCATGATCAGACATGTATCGGCTCTTGCTTCCAGAGTGTCAGCACACAGGGCCATTCATGACATACTGTGGGACCTGATTGACAGATGGAGACACCAAATTGACAGAGTCATTGGTAATTGTGGAGTACCTGGATGCTAAGTATGGTGGCAAGAAAGGGCTGCTTCCCAAGGACCCCGTCCAGCTTGCCCAGGTCAGGCAAATAACCTAAACGTGTCCTATACTTCTTAATGTCACGCTGTGAGAACCTTGGGCTTCTACACATGCAGATTAGTGTTGCAGCTGTTTCCTTGAGCGGCATGAACATCTAGGGACCAAAACTATTTCCTGGATCGACCGGTCAATCCAATCCAGGTACCTGTGTTGCTGGAGAGGAATATTTAGTCGCGTAAGAAGATGCTGAGATGAGGCTACTTTGCGGTGCAGGTCAAGCTGTTTGTGGAACTTTTCACCAACAAGGTGAGCAACTTGATCCTGCTCAATACACCTGATGTCCAATGCTTCTGCATGCCGGCGCCCATTACAATCCTTCTGTGAGATAAATACCTGGATCTGATGCGAGACTGGAGCCATCTCCCTTACCTGAGGCCGTCTAGCAACACGGGTCACTAGCTGACTTGTCATGATTAAAGTGTGTTTGCTGCAGTTTTCATCGTACATATACAAGATGCTGAGCGCCACAAGCGAGGAGGAGGTCAACACCTTGGGCAGAGCACTGGAGCACAATCTCACGGTGTGCACCTATCCGATTCCCCTGCTCATATCCCTTGCATCTGGCGTGCGGGCCTCGTTCTGCAGGGGCAGAGCTCCCAATACTTCAAGATCGCTCTGTCTCTCTGGCTAGAATTGCCTGCTCGACCAGTCAGAGTCACGTGCAGGACCTTATGCTCCGCACGTTTGCTACAGCTGTTGTGCCAGCCATGCTGATAGTGTGATGTGTGCGTTGCTTAGGTGCTAGACAAGTTCATCACCGCATCAGGCAGCAGGGAGGGGGGCACCTATTTCCTGGGTGGGCGTTACAGCTATGCCGAGACCGTCACGACCCCTTTCTTGAGGCGTGCCCTTCTCGTGCTCAAAGCGCACCGGGGGTTTGACATCTTGGACCTGGCGAGCAGCAACGGCCTGAACAGGCTGCTCCAGTGGATCCAGGTGCAGTACTGCTGTCTGCATTCAACCCATTTTAAGAATAGGTGTAATGCAGCGATGCAACCGGAAGAGACAGCTTGCACAGAGCAGACAGTCTCTGGGACGGATAGGCGCTCAGGGCTCTGCCTTTGACCAGCAGTCATCTTTCTTGAGTATTGGAAATGCTTTGAGGAACAAAGATGTGGGTTTCTTCATGCGAGTAGTTGAGCCAGCCCTCCTTTCTGCAGTGTCAGGATGCAGGGCAATCTCTCAGCACAGAGGGTGTTGATGCTGAGAAGGGTTGTGAACGCAGGCATCCCTGGACCGCGAGTCCAACAAGTCCACTGGGCCGTCGGACGAGCAGATTGTGCAATCTGCCAAGAAGTAAGGACACGCCCAGACCCAAATGTGCTTGTTGACAAGTAGTACTCTGGGGCCCTGCGGCTGGGCAACATGCAATCTGCTTGATTCTGCTGACGCACTCACTGTGCAATTGCACTGGCAGAACGGTGGCATGGTAGGTGACAACAGCAATTTCTTGGCGACGTAAGATATTTTTGATGAGCAAACACTGCTTCCGTCTGTCAGATGCACAGCACACCCCTGCACCTGTCAGACTCTGAGGGGGATCTAGTCCTGCTGCAGCAATCCATTGGTTATTTGACCCTGAAATCCACTGACTTTGCAGGTGGCTTGGGGCAGCGCTCCCAGACTACCAGTACAAGAGCGCAGGGGCTGCGTGATTTAGTGCTGTCACAGTGCTGGCACGGCGCTGTGGAGTTATTTGCTGCACAAGAAAGCCACTCTCAATTGAACAGTGGCAGCTGACACGCATGGATGGTACATTGTAGAGCAGATGCTTCCGGATCTAATGCTCAAATGGACAAGACTCGTTGCTTATGTTGTACAGATGGCATGATGCTGATCTTGAGTACACTTGGAATTACCGCACACATGTAGGGCTGTACTGTATAATCTCAGAGCAAGCTTGTACATTAGGGTGTTGCTGCTCCCTTTTCCAAAGTCCTGCACTGCTGGTCATGGCGCCTGTGTGAATGTCTTCATTTGAGGTTTGAATAAGCAAGTCTTGCAAATTGTGGGTGACGCCTTGCAATTTATTGGAATGTTTGCCTGCCATTGTTGTGTCACCAGTGTGTGTTACATGCACAGCATACTAGAATGGTCTATCACAGGCAAACACAGGTGCTTGCACTTCGCTACCCTTAGTGCCCTTGCTAGCTTCTGGCCAAGGCTTGGCTAGCTTAACCCATCACAACCACCCTTTTTGCGCCCGTCAAGCACATGTAATAACGGTGATTACCCAGAGATTGGCAGAGCATCTGATACCCTTCATTCTTCTGAAGAATGTAGGTTCAAGTTGCTGCTCAACTCAAGCTCTTCTACACAGTGTAAAAGGGCCCGTTACATGAAACCCCTCAGAGCGGTACCAGTACAAGGCCAACAGTAGCACGCAGCAATATCTTCATCAGTCAACATTTTGTACAAGGGTTTGTGGCCACATGCATCCTTTCAAGTTGGGATGCGCACGTGCGCGCATGACAGAGCATGCGCAGGTCAGGCAATTGCGCTGACTGCCCTAAATCTTCTGCCGCATAGCCACGTATGGCATCAAATCTGCCAGCCAGCAAGTGGCCCTTCTGGTGCTCGCTTTGTTACCTATGGCAGTAGCCGTAATGCCGCATCTGACTGGTACTTTGGTCCAAACTCAGTGCGGGGCGCCAACCCACAACGCAAACAAGTGACGTCGCTGCTCGATTCGGGTGACCGGACCAGCCTGTGCCGCTGCAGGACCCCTGCCAAAGTCCTCATCGTAGAAGTTCGCCAGAGCATCCAGCTGGGCGTGCATCAGCGCGCCAAGCTGGCTGGAAGTGGCCGGGTAATCGCCAGCAGGCTGCACAGCAGGCTGCGCACCCAGGGGTTGCAGCCCTCCAGCTTGCTCCTTGTGGAGCACGACCAGCGAATCAACCCCCCATGTTGCATGGTTGTTGACCAGGCGCAGCAGTGAGTTCCTGTGCTGCTGCTGCTGCTGCTGCCGCATCGCTGCCAGTTCCTGCTGCATCGCTGCCAGCTGTCCTGGCAGGCCCCCCAGCTCCTGCTGCATCGCTGCCAGCTGTCCTGGCAGGCCCAGAAAGGGTGCCAGCTGCACCTGCAGTGCCGCTAGCTGTGCTGGCACACCTGCCAAAGCTGCTAACTGGCCTGCCAGAGGTCAAAAGTACTGTCAACCTTGTGGTCTTGTTCCGTCTAGAGAACAAGCAGAAGGGCTTGTAACAAAAGACAGTCGGCTGTAAACAAGCATACCGTGTGCTGCTACGGCTTTCTGGTAGTTGCTCGAGACATCAGCTTCTTCGTGCGCTGCAACAAGAGCTGCGCATGTTGCCCCTGCAACACGGATTGCAGCAGTCAGCAGAGTGCATAGATAACACTGAACTGCTTGAGTATAGAACGATAGAACTCTGCCAAGAGTTTGCCACATACTCTTTAGTTGCTTGACAGCCTTCTTGTAGACGGCTGCGGCGACAACATCTTGCGGGGTGACGGCAGCTGGCGTAGCAACGGCTGCTGGTGCTCCAGGAAAGGCTGCTGGGGCGCCAGCGAATCGCTTTCAGCGAAAGGCTTTCACACTAAGCGGTGTCAGGCACCTGGCTGGGCCAAATCTGGCCGGTACCGCCGAATGCCGGTGGTACCCCCCCAAAAAGCCTCGTACTTGAATTCTCTATCTGTACTCGAGATACCTTCAAGATTAATCCTCGCCATTTCGTCGCCACGATCTTTCAGGTTTCTGCTTGGAGAGATTTTCTCCAAAAATCCTCGAAATGTGCTGTCGCAAGCGTATCGGCAGCAACTTCTTAGATGAGACATCTCTTGGATGATGAGAGACGACATCATCAAATGAAAGAAAAATATTTGAAGCTGAAAATCACTTGAAATTGTCTTAGTGAGCGAAAATACAGTAGTAATAGAGGGAGAGATTTACCAGTAGGCAATATGAAGGTGGCATCCCTCTTCACGGGAGCCGGGGGTTTGGACATTGGCCTGGAGCAGGTAGGAAGTCATGCTATCTTGCAAAAATAAAGCTCTTGAACTACATACAGGGTGTGCATTCCATCACCCGTAATCGCTTAGTATACTTCTCAAGCGTTGGGTCACGGCTGTTCCGAAAGGATGGGCTGGCCCGACAAACTAGTCGTTACTCGCAGGCTGGCCATTCTATCATCATGCAATGCGAAATCGATCCAGGAGCCCAGCAGGTAAGTATTACCGTGCGCCGACAATCTATCAGCGTTTGCATGGATCTCGGTCCTGGACCTTGTACCTTGACATCATGTTGACGTGCAGTGTTAGGACTCCTTTTTCGTCTGCGATACCCTGAATACCTTAGTAAATATATTTCAAATGTTCTGAAAATTGATCGAACTGTAATCAGGTCCTGAAGCAAAGGTTCCCTGGGAAGCTCTTGGTGCCCGACGTGGGCTCCCTTGCTGCACTTCCTCAGGCAAGCTGACGAACGAGCTCCCTCAGCGTATTGTGTGAGTACTTACTACGTGGTAGTGTCAATGCAGAGTTCTTAGATGATGTCAGACTGTGGCCATGGGCTTCTGACAACGTTTACGAACACAGGAGACCGAGATATTGGCGGCTGGATTTCCATGTATCGATGTCAGCCGAGCGGGGAAAAGAAAGGGTTTAGATGGGGAGGTGCTGCAAGCTGCCCCTCCAATGCCTTGCCTCTCCTCTCACGACACTTGTACAGCGTCGGACGTGCACACTCTTGGAAGGCCAGCTCAATCATTGTACCACTGACAGAGCCTTGTGCTGGCCATGCAGAATACTGGCCTTGTCCGGCATGTCTTCCGGCTGCTCGAGGCGGCTCTGAAGGAGAACAGGGGCGTTCCGTGGGTGCTGCTCGAGAATGTGCGCACTCCACGCAGACTTTAAAAACATTACTCCACATCACTAGCTCTCTTTTCACCGAAATTGCCAGCATGCCAAGATTCAGACCGCTGCAGTTGCCTCCGTGATGCATGGATGCCATGATAGCTGCAACATGCTTGCAAGCACCAGCATGAGAGAATTTGAGGGAATCTGTACGCTCTGCAAGGACTGATGAAGGGGTTCAGTATCCTTGTGCAGGTGGAGGGCCTTCTGGACCGGATCAATGGGCAGCCGCCTGTGATCGAGTATATCGTAGAGCAGTTTGAGCGCCTTGGCTATGCCAGCTGGGCGCATCGCATCATCAACACAGCAAGTGTGGATCTTGGACACCCTGTCACCTGCTTGCATCTGTCCACTTGATGCAGATCAGATCTGTGCTGAGTTGTCACTCTCTGGTGCAGTATGAAACTTCTCCCAGTTCTTGTCTTCAGAAAAATCCAGAAGTCAGAGTGACTCATTGCCCCCGACCGAGCCAGCATGCATCCCTGCCTTGGATGTCATGTAATAGTTTGCCCCACCTACAGGGCATCTTGTCAATGAAGGCCAGAGAATTGTGTTCTTCTGTTTCACCTTCAACATGCCTATGGGGCATGCCATGATGGGATGAACCGGCGAATGATTCACAGAATAGATGTGCCTTGCCAAGTTGGCATGACAGGCTTCTGTCAACATAACACGCACCAGGGTTGATCAGTAATAGCTAGTAGCTGAGCTGCAGGCATCTACATGCATTACTTTGGGGTTACCAAATTTGTGTCAGGCTGTTTGGATGTGATGCTGGGCGCTGAATCTCAGAGTCAGAGTCTGACGATCACAGTCAGACATCTGATCAGCCTGAGGTGGCTGGAATTGATGTAACCGACTGACTGACTGACTGACTGACTTTAATTTCCCCTAAGGCACATGGTTGCATGGTGCCGGCAGGTTTTGGCGCGCCGCACCGCCGCAAGCGGGTCTTTGTGCTGGCATCTCTACATGGAGACGCCCGCGATGTGTTGCTCAGCCAGGTGAGAGAGCGGCAGCAGAACCTATATCCGTGATACCCACTGTGCCACATCCTGTTCCTACCAAATTATATGGGCCAACAGAAGAGTCCACACGGTACATGCTGGTTCAGAGCTTTGAAGTCTCCGACTGTGGCCTGATTATGACTCTGGCCTGATCAGTGATGAAGCAGGCCTGCTTCAAGAACCACTGCTGGCAGCATGGTGGGCGATTATTGTTTTCTGCTGGCGCAGGGCGTCGTGTGCAAGGGCGCCTGCCTCCAGCTCTTCAGTGGGAAGCCTTGCTACCTGTGCCACCAGGTGCATGGCCCCGACGGCCCCGCCGACGCCCCGGACTGCACCTACGCTCTGGACCTCGCCAATGCCCAGTGCGCGCACTCGCCCACTGACGTGGACTCTTGACAACGCTGCCATACAAGGATCATTCATGCCGTCACGCATAGTTGCACCATAAGGATTCGGCCATTCGGCATACGGTGAATATTCGGTCGTATATTCGGTGTTTTGGGCCGAAATAGGCCGTTTTTGACCGTATTCCGTATATGTTAATACCGTATGACCGTATATTCGGCCATATATATGGTCCTCAAAATGTGTTCTGACCAAATGGTGCACAAATGCCGTAACGATTTCGAAATAAAGACTCAGATTTGATTTTCTGTCTGTTGAATGAGCAGTGATGAGAGGCCATGGGGACACCATGTCAAATTTCTTAATTAAATGGAATGTTGTGCTTTGGTGATCAGGAGTGGGCCGGGCGTGGATGTCGTGCCGACCTTCAAGACGGGAAATGGGCGAATCTGCCTCCTGCTCAAGACTGGCCAGCTGGGAGCCCTGCGCACAGAGGACGCCGAGAGGCTGCAGGTGCAGCACTCAAACACCCCTGAAGCATCCACATGTTTGCAGAGTCTCCCGAGAGCAGAAAGAGACATTTTGGCTCGTCTCAGACGACTCATCTGCATGCTGAGGCTGATGAAGGACCAGGTATATGCCGACGTGCAACATGCATGATGATTTGTGTGCTGTTGAAATGGGCAGGGCTTTGACGAGGGGTACACGCTGCCCTGCTTCCCCGTACGCCCCCCGGGCGTTGCCCTCCATGGGAACCCGACCCTCAAGGAGACAGAGGTGGAGCGCCGAGAGGTGAGCAGCGCGCTATCTCCTTATTTCCCTCCCCCTGCTGAAGCCGAACATCACAGCCCTTAGGAGCAGCCGACACTGCATCTTTTAATAAGAGAGCTGAGTGCATGCATGCAAATCCGAGTCTGCACAGTTGTGACAATCATGATTTCGAATTGGATTACAGAATCAAACCTGGTGTGCTCCTCGCTGAGTGCCTGAAATGTGCACATTCTTTCCAAGAGGCTATCAAACATCGCACCCCTAACAAGCAGCTAATACTGAATCTAAAAACAGAGAACAGAGTGCATGCATGCAAATCTGCACAGTGGTGGCAACCATGAATGTAACTTAAATGTAAAAGTCAAAGCTGATGCCCAAATGTGGTGAATGCATGTTGACATGCACTGTGTGTCGCAGTCGCACCGTTGGGCCCTGCTGGGCAACGCGGTGTCCGTTCCAGTCGCGGCGTGGCTGGGAGATCGGCTTGCCAACCCCCACCGCCACAAGTATCACTTGGGGGCGAAAGACCGCAAGATCATGGCACCACAGACCGCCGCTCCTCTAGGTGATCATGTCCTCAGCCCTTGAAGCATATGCCTCCCTGGATGCATCCCTGGCAGCCTTAACCCAAGATTCTCATTTTCTTGTGACAGGGATGGTGCTCGAGCAGGCCATGCTTGCCTGATCAGCGTGTCATGACAGCGCGTGCACCTGAGGCGGCCTTCATCCAAAGTTCACTTTTCATAGTGACTGGCATGGTGCCTGAGCGGGTCTTGCTTGCCTGGCGCCAGTTTACATCAGAGAAAGGCGCTGAAATCAAGCCATGCATATAAAAGTTTCAGTGAAGGTGCAGACCACCGAGAGGTAGGGTGTATGACAGGAGTCCAGCGGAAGCGCCGCGCAGCCCAATTCGAGTGGGAGATAGATGACACTGACATCTACGTGCCTGCCGAGGACCTGTACGAGATGGATGCTCAGCAGGAGGATTCAGGTGCGAAAAACAGGTTTACTTGCTGGATAAAGTGGTGGCTCGAGGTGTGAGCTCAATACTTGATGTGGACTTGATATGGACGTCCACCAGGCACGTCCTTGCAGAATTGTCTGACCCCTGAAAAAGATGGTGATTGCTCATTAGTCACGAGCAGAAAGTCTTTCGGCAATTTTGCCAAGCGCACTCCCCGTAATTTATTTGTTTTGTTTGTGAGCAGGCAAGGAGGGGGGAGTGGGGGGACCGGGGTCTGCTCTGCCTGAGGCAGGCCCTGAAAAGGCGGATTCAGCGCCACCAGGGCGCATGGAGAAGGTTGCAGTCATGGAGGTTGAGGACAGGGCGCCTGAGGAAGAGAAGGTTCAAAAGGAGTCACAGCCAAGACTGGGTTACTTTCAGTTCAATATCATGCGCCAGGTGACGTCACCCTTACATCACATGACGTAATGGCGGTGTCATGACCGTGATGGCCTGAATGCAATCTGCTTGAAGCCTGACACCAGGACGCTGGTGGCACAGTGCTGACCATCGCTCGTCTCACAAGTACAAGCAGCTCCCTAAGCATGGTTACTGGCAAACACAACGCCTTATCTGTCTCTGAGAGGCAGCGATGCCTCACTGCTGCCAGCTGCCACTGCTGTGCTTCACGCTGACTCTGGCAGGGTGGTGCAGACATCCAAGAAGGCGCAGGTGACGGCAGCGGGCCCCTCCGCCCTTCACATGGACGCCAAGACTGCCTGGCCGCGCGCCGCCTGGTACATCCGCGGGCTGGGCCGGTGCGACCCTGCCTCCTGGCTTCACTGTGGCATCAGAGAGGAGAATGGTGCTCCTGCTCGTCTGAGCAAATCAGCAGCAAGAGAGACAGTTCTCTGTTGGTTTGTGATGGTGCTCCAACAGCTGGCAGCATATTTGTCACTTTAAGCTTGGCAGTTTGCAGTTCCAAGATTATGATCATGGTGGAAGGCACCAGTGAGCATGTGTCATGCTTGTGCGCAGACCTTCTTTCTGAGGCCTAAGCAAAAAGAATTCAGGATGTCTGCACCAACTTGCATATGGGGTCAATAAATCTGTGCCTGTATGCAACTGGTATGCTTGATCTGTGTCTCCATCATCACGCCCTAGGCTTCATCAGAGCATATGTGTTTGATTTCATTTTGGTTTTCACTGCAGCAACATGCAATGTTGGCATGCTTGAGAGGCATTGCCTCACAGATACAACTGTCTGTCACCGCCTTCTGGGGTCGGGAGCAGGTTTGCCGCCGAGGGCGTCGGCGAGGCACCCATCCTGACGCCGCTCACTCTCCTGGGCGACTTCATCACCAGCGTGGGCAAGGCGCCGGAGAAGGAGGCCCTCACAACCTACTTCGCCCGCCTGCGTGAACAGGTCGCGCTGCGCTCGCCAGAGAGCAGCATTCTACCAAACCTGTTTCAACCATTACGGTATCTTTTTAAAATTTGGAGACCCAATTGAGCTTGAATTTTTTTCCTGCTTAGGGGGCTTGGGTTTAGCATACATCGGCAGTGGCAACGTCATGCATTCCTTTGGCATGCTCGACCTTCGTCTCCTTGTTCCCGCCCCGGGCATAATATCAGGGTTTCTAAATTTTTCTGTGGTATTTTGCTCTAGGCATGTGCCCAGCACCGCCAAAGAGTTCAACTTTAGAACCATGCCGGGAAGAAGGCCAGCATGCACGTTTCTAATGATCAGAAGAGCCAGTGATGCATCCGGCAAGCTCGAATGGGAGTAGAATGCGTGGAGCGCTTGTATTGCAAGCCTGTGCGGCAATTAAACAAAGATTTGTGGTGTGCACTGCAGGGCTTTAATATGGAAGAAGTCGTCAAACGAGCGCAGCAGTGCGGTGCTGCACTCAATCAGGAGGTGCGAAGTCCTGAGGGGCCAACACAGCTTTTAAACCCTATAAGTGTCACCTCTAAGGGGCTCCGGCTGGCGGGGGGCGATATAAATACTGAGCACCGTGCCCACGGTTGATTGGGTCTTGCTTGGATCTGGCGAGTCCAACAAGGGGTAGGATTATGAAAAGCCTTAATTGCAGCTTGTCTGCAGGACGCACCTTCCCACTTGGCAGGAACAGCGTGTAATAATAATACTAATAAAAGTGTCACCTCCATCCATACCGTGCTATGTATGCACATTGGTTTGGTCCGAGGCAGGATCAGGCCGATCATTGAGCAGTCCATGGTTCTGAGCGCTGTAGCTTGCATGTCCTAATGAGGCAGGCCCCAGGAGCATGCTTAGGAGACCGAGGTCAGGCAATATCTGGCCACACCACTGTGAGAATTTCAAAAGATTTAGGGCAGTAATTGGACCAGAAATTGGCCCAGTGTGAGCTCCCAAGTGCACCCTTAAGGTCAAAGCTTTGGGCTGTGATTCTTTGCTTCACAGTAATTCATGTTTTCAGATTCCACACCGTACCTGAGGAAAAATCCTGAGATAGGATCGTGCACATTTGGCAGGCGGTGCGCATCACTCGCTTGCCAGGGTACACGCCGGACGCAGCCACACTCGGCGTGCTGGTGTGGGCGCGCACCCCGGCCGGTGTTTGGTGGCCAGGCGAGGCGCTGGACCCCTTCCACATGCCGCCCACCCGCACCATCCCCCCTCTGGCAAGTGCAGGTGCGGTCAGCCTCTCCCTGATCAGCTCCCTCATGAGGCTCATGAGCCCTCTCCCTACTCTCAGAAGCTTCAAAAGGTTGGCTCGAATTTGACATTGGAGTTTCTAACTTAATAATAAATAGTAAGCTTGTGGCCTGTACAGGCGTACGATAAAGTGCCCAGTAGGTTTGTTTCTTTCAGAGGCCGTCTTTGTGGCTGGTCCGGTCTCCTTGAGGAATTTTGAAATCATGATATTGATGGCAACCTTGAGCAGACTTTTAAGGTGATGTGCCTTGAGCACATCTAGAGCAGATCTGCGCGCACCGCATGCTGCCGCTCTGAGCGACTGTGCTTGCAGCACTCACCAGCGCGGAGTACCGGGCGAGCATATACAAGCCCTCCGGCCAGCCGCCGCCGCCGCCAATGCGCATCGGGAGCGCCATCGTGGAGAATGCGGCTGTGAAGCTGGAGCCTGCAGAACCTGGCCTGACGGCCGTTGGATTCGGATCCGAGCCGCCGCGCTTGCCTGCCTTGCGCGACACAACTCTGCCTGGCAAGCGCAAGGCGCGGGCTGAGATCCAATTGCAAATTGCTCTGTGTGTGCACTCATAGACCTCAGCCGTGGCGGTTGATTTCCTCCTCGAAGGCTCACGAACATGCATGTCCAGCAACTGATTGGATTCGACCCCTGAAGACGGTCAGGCTTCGGACTTTGCAAACTTCAATGCTATTAGATTGACCCCTTGACCTAAGGGATTCTCCTTCCACTTTCTGACAGGGTCTGGTTTTTTTTAAATCTGCAGGTTTTGGTGGTGCTGTTTGGGGAGCGGAGCTGCATGTGGGTGTCGCCCGCGCAGCTGCTGCCCTTCCAGCGCCACATTCTGGAGAAGGTGGGCGAGGGCAACGAGTTGATTGCTGCCAAAAAGATGGCGCGCGCTGGCCTCTTCAATCGAGCCGTGGAGGTGCATATTCCTTCGAGCTGAGCTGCCGCATGCGCCCCTGCATGTTCATGAGCATGGCGTGCGTGCTGTATGCTTAGAAGTTATAACCGCTTTGGCAATCCTAACATGAACAGGCAGAGTGAGAATCTTGTGCTGGTGCCAAATACTTGGGATCATCCTTGCGCTACTGTGTGATACGGATAATATTTGACATCTACGTATGTTGGTGCAAGAAAAGACATCCAAAATTTTGGCAAACTCCCAATTTGTTGTGGGCAGGAGGCCAAGGGGCTGGCAGGGGTGATCGCGGCAGCGGCCAAAGGGGACGAGGCTCCAGAAAAGGGCCCGCATGAGGCGGCACTGGCGGCTCTGGCGGCGACGCGCGCGGCTGCGGCAAATCTGCGCGTGCGCTGCGGCCGCTGCGAGGCGTGCACGGCAACACAAGGGTCCGCGCGCCGCTGCCTGGTCAACCGCGCCGCAGCCGCCGCAGCTGCCGGCCACTCCGGCGCCCAGGTCTGCTGCCGTCCCCTCCCCTGCATCGCCCTTGCCACCTCTATTCTTTGGGCAAGAGCGCCGGCACAAATCACATTGGCCCTGAGCTATACGATCCAGTCCATTAGACTTTGAAAGCATGCAGGCTTCAAGTTGCCAGGTGACTCAAGGGTTAGTCACCCAGAGGCCTCGATGAAGGGTGCCGTCAGTCCAGGATGGCTCAGACCATGGGCTCAACACAATTTCTTATGGGGGCCTTGTCTCTCAGCTGTTGCCATGTGTCAGGTTTGAAATTTCCTTAGGCTGGCCCATGATGCCTGTAGTAATGAGTATCTCTGCGATTTCAGACATCGTGAAGCGTGTAAAGGGAATGTTTGCTGTGTTTACAGATCGCCATCTTTGGAGAGGCCGCAATGGGGGCGCGCGTGTCCGTCTGGTGGCCACTGGACGAGGCATTCTACACTGGATACATAACTGCATTTGACCCCTTGAGGCAGCGCCACACTGTGTCCTATGATGACGGCGATGTGGAGATAGTAGCGCTGTGGGCGCCGAATCAGCTTGTAAGTTCAGCGCACCTGCTCAATCTGCACTGGGTCACACTCAAGCGGATGTGATCAGACAAAGAACACACTCGGTGGAAAGCATGTGAAATCTTGTTTGCATGTGCATGCGCCTGTGTTCGGTCTAGACCATATCAAGATCTGATCAAGCTGGGAAGGCAGTCCATCAAAGTTGAGTCTTCGTTAAGCTTAATCGGCACTAGGGCAGAGTAGCCGACGTCAAGGCCGAGAAGCTTTTATTCGGCCTGGTCCATTCAAAGTAGTACTTTGTCGTGTCAGTCAGTGCGTTCCCTTCTGACTTTGCAACTTTAACATTGCCTGGTTTGGTGGGTGATGCAATTTGAAGTCAGTCCAGCTCACGGCCTGCTCATACTCTGGCGGCAGGTACGCGCGGAGACTGACCCCTCCTCCTGGCCAGAACAGGCGCAGCGCATCGACAACGATTGCAAGCTGCACAAGGCGACCTATATGAAAGAGGTAAATCCATTCATCTCCCCCGTTTGGCCCCCTTAAAAGGCCCCCAAACTTGGCAATGTACATATTGCCATGCCCTCGAACCCTTCCCCTCTGCCTGACAAGTGGCCAAGATACTAGCCAGCAAGTACATGCACGTGCAAATGTTCCCCTGGCGTTGCTGTGTCCTAAATTGGCAACCCTGGTGGTTCTGCCCAATGATGAATGTCTCTTTACTATGCCTTGGTGTTCCACTGACTCTGACTGGGCCTCCTTGCAGAATCAACTGGTAAGTGCAAGACCCGTTCAGACCAGACCCTGATGCTGATTTCATGTGGTGCAGAAAAGGGCCAGTCGAGCAACCGCCTCGCCCGCACCCAGCCTGCCGGCACAGCCTCTGAATGAATTTGAGCGGCAGCGTGCCGACAATATCGCGCGCAACAAGAGCATGCTGGCCGAGCTGGGCCTCTCCCGGGCCAAAAACTCCGCCGCTGCCCCTGGCTCTCCTGCCAGCCAGGGAAACACGGCCACTGCGGTGAAGGCTGCAGCTGCATCTCTGGGTGGAGGCAGCAAGCGTGTAGGTACCAGTGGCGAATCTGGCTGCGCGTCTCCCAAGCTCGACTAGGAATACGGGTGGGCCTGCACACCGGTAACATCTTCCGTTGCCACTGAAAGCTTGAGCAGCAGACGAAATCGGCGGTTTCTAGAAAAGCTACGGGATTACATAACATTTGGGCATACCATTGCATCATCCCGCAGAGGATGCAGTGCATGGCCTCTGACACTGCCACAGTGGCGGCCACTCGAGTGCAATACAATCAAGGGCTGGTAGCTTCCCGACGAGAGAAACCTCCTCACAATGCGCGTGGGGGCAATTGTGACTTGTAGGAAGCTATACGAGTGACACAAGACTGTGAGTAAATAGCCCACCCTGGTGTTATAATTACAGGCAGCAAAAAAATGATCCCGACAGGGTACACATCCCTTGCACCACTGCCTTGCTGGTGATCTTGTGAGAAAACTCGGAAAGAGCACTGCTTGACAGCAAGAACAGAGTCCACTGGCACCGAGTGGCAATTTTATAGCATGACAGCTTTTGGCAGAGCAAGGATTGTGCACACGCATGCATGTCAAAGGCGACTGCGCCTATGGCCACCTATAATTGATTCGTTACTCCTGTTGACTCAATGAGATGCATGAATTTGGAAAGCAGAACAATGGGCAGAGGAGTGCGACAGAGAAGGAATGTAAAGCATATATGAGTGGGAAAGGAGTGTGGCAGTGATAGTGACAGTGCCTTGACAGTGCAGGTTTTGTTGCATAACGTTGAACGCCCGACACTCAACTTCCAAGATGAGAAAATGAGTTGAAGGTACGCTGACTGGCACCAGTTGCGCATCTGATGTCTGCGTGCATGTGAGCAAATGTGTGTACAACCGAAACTATCAACAATTGGGCTCCTGGATACTGTATCACAGGCTTGCGGGTCCGGCACTCCCAGCTGCGAATCTGCGTCGTGATTTGAAATTCAAATTTTGAATTCATTGCACCGAAGGGCATCGTGACATGATGACGTCATCTCAAATCCTTGTCATGCTTCGACTACCAGGCACTCAAACATTATACAGTAAGGATTGACTTGAGGCCCCCCAACGAAACACTTTCTCCCCCAGCCCGAAGATAGAACGATCATCTCCTGTAGTCAATTGTTATTCAAGCTTTCTCTGCCTGATTGAGAATTATTGTTAAAAATAGACCCTGCAAAGGCCCCATAAATTGGCGATGTGACGTACCTAATAAAACGTTTGGAATGAAGAACAGAAAGCATGTGGACTTCACTCACAAGAACATCACATACAAAAGTGCGTACGCGTTGTGATGCAAGTGCCCTGTCAGTATCTTGTTTATTGACCTCTGAACTCATTCGCATGTGCTCCTGACGTGCAGTTGGGGACTGCATTTTGGTGCGCGGCGCGGGAGCGAAGCTCCCCTTTGTGAGAGCACACTCCTGATCCTGCTTGATATTTGAAAATTGTTGCGTGCTTATGAGTTAAATGGACAATTTCTGGCTCGTGACATTGTCTCTATTATGCAGGTGGGACAAATAAGGGATGTTAAAATTCAAGGGAAGAGCAATCAGATCAGACTGCAGGTGGCCTGGTTCTACAGACCCGAGGATGCCGCTGGGGGCCGAAAGGTGAGGGGGTTTGTCAGTCAGAGACAGGATGTTGGCCACTTGAAACTTCTCAGGTACACTTGCACATTAGGGACATCCAATTTTTCAATGGTGCAGCTGTTCCACGGAGAGAAGGAACTCTTGAAGTCAGAGCACTTGGACTGGTGCTCCGCCAGTACAATAGAGGGAAAATGCAGGGTCCACTCTTTGCAGAGCTACCAGGTACAGTCCAACAGATATGGTCGAGCTTTCCAGTGCAGACAAGTGCATTCACATATGGTCATTCCCTAAATACTGGTACTCTGTGAAACTGCAGGCGCTGCCCCGGGTGACAGAAGCTGATTTCTATGCAAGATTCACGTACAAGGTAGCTTTTGTTCAAGTCTGCATTGCAACCTCCAGCCATTTTAAAAATGCCGATCAACACATGACAACTGTTCTCGTCTGTTGATGCAGCCTGAATCTGAGGAGTTCAGCCCAGACCGTGTGCCTGTGTAAGGATTCAACTCTTTGCTCCTTTCCTGCCTTTCAATCTCACTATCCTGCACACGCGTCTAAGGCATGCATGCTTATTTGCGTTGAGCGTGGTGAGAAGCTCATAGTTGCATGTCGCAGGTACTGTCTCTGTGAAATGCCTTACAATCCTGACAGCTTCATGATTCTTTGCAGCAAATGCGAAGATTGGTACGCACATTTGAAGCGTCTTGCATGCAAATACCGCATCACTGTATGGGTATGAATGTGCAACCCGATTTCTACCCATTGTGTCATAGCTACGTGGTAAGCATCGATGCATGTTGCCATTAAGCAGCTCAGGCTGATCCAATTGTTGCGCTATGGCAGGTATCATCCCAAATGTGTCAACCTCACAAAGACTCAGTGCAAGAAGATGGTGTCTTTTGAATGCCCAGTGTGCAAGCAGGTAGATGACTGGAAGCTGAATCAAGCCTGGCTGAATTTGCTCCTGGTGATGGCTCACCTGTCAGGGCTGAAAAGTTTGCTGTGTGCAGGGCAGAGAGAGTGTGGAGGGCCGAGAGGGTGTGCAGGGCAGAGAGACGAAGCGCCGGAAGGCAGGCTTATCAGCGAATGGCAGCCACACTGGAGCCTAATGCACGTTCCAAAGAGTACGCTCTCATTCCTTGGCTCCTCCCTGTCTTGAATGATTGAGTCTGTGTAAAACCATGCGCTCGCTGGAACAAGATCAACCTTGGTCAATGCCAGCAAAGCAGACCCTGAATCCAGATATGCCGTTGTGCAGCCGACTGCGGATCAGTTTGTAGGAGATGAGATCGTTGGGATAGCTGTGCAGCATGTGGAGGATTGCATATGTGACATCACCTGCGGCCTGTGCTATGCATGCCAAGATTGAGTAGGTGCAGTGTCTGTGCTGGCACTTGTTCATGGCAATCGCACTGACTCTCTGAGGATGGCTCAACAGGTGTGAAGTATAAGTGCAGATGTGCACCGATGATGTGCATTGTGCTGGGTTGACTACTCAACAGCTGCAGATGTTCAACGATCGGAGACGCCTGCAAAGGTCAACAGCTGGCCACTGTCACACAGAGTCTTTTCTAACATGGCAGTTGATTATGAAAGCACAGCATCGGCAGCCTCACAAGCCAGCAGTGATCCGTGAGGGCTCTTATTCTGCTCTCCATTGTATCGATCCTCGGCTGGCAGGAGCCGGTAGAAGCACCGAGCACTGTGCTTGCAGATGACTGGATGTAGCTTGGATCTAGCAAGTCTATCAGTACGAAGGATTTTCAGCCTAATATTGCGATCTGTCTGCGCATACAGCTTGCAGAAACCAAGAACAGCGTGTGTTAAGTACAGGTATTGCCTGAGGGATTGCCATATGGCGGTTAAAGTGCTAGCAAAAGTGCGCACATAAGAATATTCCAAGTGTACTGGCCATGGCTCCTGCCCCACAGGCTTTGGTTTGAGGGCATGCCCACTATGGTCGATCTCATGCTACTATCAATTAGTGCTTTTTGGCTCTGAGCAATGCCAACAAGAGATGCCCTGAACGCTCAGAAGCTACAGGGGCTTACAGCATGCTTGTTGATTTCCATGTTATATATCTGCTGGAGGTTTGATGAATATCCTCATCTTTCACATACCTCGCTTGGACAAGACTGCAGCGCTGCGGAGTGTGGCAGCTCGGTGTCAACATTTCATACTTGTAGGAAATCAACATCACAAATATCATGCGCAAACCCTACAGGGAGACATGTGTTGAACACCATACAAAGGATTGGATTACGGTTTTGCATTGGTTCAACGGAAATATGCATTGCCTACGAAGAACCCATGAGAGAAAATTGACTAGGCAGTCAAACATAACCGCATCCATGGTATTCCAATAGACACCACTTCTGGTGTCCACATGAGGGACAGCTCAAGACCAAATCCACATAAATTAAATGCAACCCCTAATAAGACCAATTGAATGACAGAATGTGCTGCCATGCCCTGTCTACAATTGGAATCCTTCTTCATCTAGTCCTTTTCGCTGATCTGATGTTCAATAATGCTGCACGTGCACGTTGCCCACATTCTGTACTCATCCACATTCAAGATCCGGTTGCTGCCTCTCCTCACGGTGATCTGCCGCTGAGTGCTGCCTCTCCTCCTTTGTGATCGCCGCTGCACAGCCCATCACATTCTTCAGCCTCTCAAATCGTACCCACTGCTTCAGAACGGAATGGGCGGATTGAATTAAAACGATCATCAAAGAAGCGCGAAAGCCCCAGTCCACAGGGACACTTGAGATGTGGCAGGCAAGCAAGGCAGAAAGGCAGGCCTATTCAAAAGTCACCAACTATCATGACCAGGCTGTCTCAGTGCCCAACACAACAGGCTGCAAGCGCCAGTGCATCCAGCCGCAAAACCCCTTAAAAGCCCATATAATTAGCAGCCAGAGCAGAAAGGGTGGTCTCACCCCGGAAGCGCAGAAGGTCGCCAATCGCATGGTGGCTGATGGGCGTCTCCGGGTCGGCAGCCACCGCGCGCACCGAGCTGACAACTCCCAGAAGCCGATGCGCATCGGGCTGAGGAGGCCGCAGGCCTGACGCCACGGCCGCACCAGGCCGGCCGGCCGCACCGGCGCGCTGGTTGCCGGCTGCCGCCGCGGCCGAGAGAGGAACCGCCGCGAGCTTCGCCTTCTTGACAATTGGACATGGCGAGGCGCGCTCGCCAGGCGCGTCGGTTCGCACGCGCTTGGTCGTTGGCTGGAGGCTGAGCGGGGCTGCGGCAGCACGCCGAGTGGCGCTGCCGGGCCGGGCAGGCGTGGCCGAGGGGGCCTGCGCAGCCACGGCAGCGCGACGGCTTGCCTCCTGCATCGCCTTCTGCTGCTGCAGCGTCATCGGGGTGGGGTCGAATCTGCGGACACAACCTGTTTCAGTGGCAGTGCAGAATGCAGTCTGATCCTGGTTGACAAAGTCCAATCTCTGCTGACAGTGTGCATGGGTTAAGTGGGCTGAATGCAGCAAAAGCAGCAACAGCTTTATCCACTAAGCTGAGAGCCACTTCACTCAAGAAGAATGAACTTTCAGCATCAGTGCTTTCGCTGCTTGCTGGAGCCCATTTGTATGGCATAGAAGAGATCAGCAGCAGCAGCAGCAGCTGCAGCGCCTTGCTCACCTTGGCTGGGTCCTCAGCGCTGCGCTCCTGGGCGTCAGCATCTCGTCCGCAGCAGCTGCGCCGCCGCCAAGGAAGGACAGCTCCCGCTGGAAGCCTCTCTTTGTGCCGGCTGCTGACAGCCTCCCCTGCACCCAGCGGCCTTGAGCGTCTCGTTGGCCGCCGTTGCCCCTGACGCCCGCCGGCTGCGCTTTCCGCGCGCGCGCGATTGCAGCCGACAGGACCACGCCGGCGCGCGATCCGCAGCCGCGGTTGGCGGCGGTCGCCGGCACCTGTGCCGGGGCGTTCCCGGGCTGCCCGGCCCGCGTCAGCGCCGGGGCGCGCAGCTGCGCGGCAGCTGCGGCGGCGCGCGCGGGTGCAGGCTTGACTGCGCGTGCCCTCGGCGGCGCGCTTGGCCCTGCTGCCTCCCCGGCAGCAGCGTTGTCGGTGGCCGGTGCCGGTGTGGCAGCCGCGTGGCCCTGCAGCAGGGCGCCCTTCTCCGCCTCGAGCATGGCTATCTGCTCCGCCTGCTTCTTGATAATGTCCTGGAATAGCAGCACACATTACAGTCAGCGCTTGTGTCTAAGGGCCCCAGAGATAAACGTGTCACTCGCAGCAGTGCAGATCGACCTGCATTTGCTGGTGGCTGCAGTCCTGATATTCAAGGAATATATAGCACCTAATGCAAACAGACATGCTGAACAGCCTTAGAATGCTTTCAAGCATGGAAGCTTGATGCAGCAAACTCGACCTTATGGCCTCCTGTCTTGATGCATTAGAAAAAAGCTGCAGCACGAGCCTTTGTTTGAGAGCACGTACTGCTACCCAGCCATCCTGCCCTGCCTCGGCACTTCACAGCATTATAAGATGCAATAACAAAGAAAAGCAGTCTGCAGGCAGCAGCACACCTCCAGCTTCTTGTTGACGGCGTTGGATTGCTTCAGGCTGCCCCTGAGCGTTTTCACGTCTCCCTCCAGCATTTCCACACGCGCCAGCAACACATCCGCGCTCTGCGCCGCACTGTCAGACACCGCCACCTGCACCGCATGCAAGTCACTCCTCAGCCATTCTGATAACTGCCTTCAAGAATTTTGCTGACTCCCATCCTAGCAACAGTCACTACTGCTACACAATGCGAGCCCCTGGCGGTGTATCAGGACAGAGCTACAAATATCTCATCTGGGACTTCTCTGAATGCAGCTGTCCATCACCGGTTGCACACAAAGTAGCAGCTGCAAGGGATCCTTCATTCTTTAGACCCCGGAAGAACCCCAGACTTTAAAGGGGCGTGGCAGCACCTGGAAAGCCGCGGCCTGCCTGGGAGTTGGGTTGCAGGGACCCGCCACCTCCTTCATTATCTTTTTCAAAGCCGCCGGGAAGCGCGCCGCCGTCGCCGGGACGGCCCCGGCCGCCGGCTCTGCCCGCAGCCGCCGCTGTGGCCCCTCACCTACAATGTCGACGTCCATGTCGTCGTCGTCCTCTTCTGGCTCTGCCGCCTCCGGTGTCTGATCTGGCACGTCCTCGCCGCCCTGCCTGGCGTGGCTGACAAGGCTGGCGGCCCCCTGGGCGCTGACTTGCAGCGCGCCCTCCAGCCACTCCTGGGCGGCCTCCAAAGAGGGCAGCACAATTTTGGGGAAGCTGATGCCGGCGTCCTTCAGCCTCTGCGTGAAAGTCTCGTCGGTGTCGCGTTTCTGGCGCCCCAGGTGCAGCCACTCCGGCCTGCAGGGACCAGCGCACAGTCAGTGCTGGCAGGACGAGATGCTCAGGGAGTGTCGGGCAACGCAGCAAACAGTGGAATTGCTGTGGGCGACACAGTGATCTACACAAGCTCCTCCTTTAGCAATTGGCTCTGGCCGCAGAATTCGATGGGCGTGGCCCGCGTGCATGCAGGGCGGCGATGCTGCAGCCGATGAAACATGCTCAATACTAAATAACTAACCGGCAATCGAGCTGACAGCAGCTCGGGCTGTTGAATGCGCAGGCATGCACATGCTTCTGAGGCTCAAATGGAGTGAATGTTGCCAAGCAAGGCACAGCACAGTGGCTGGCTGAAACCCCCCAGACACAGGCTTCAGAGACATTCAATGCAGCGTGGAAAGTCAGCTGCATCAGTGCTTGTTGCATGAACGGGGAGAACAGGAGCGCACATGCACAGGGCGTGGGTGTCCAGGAAGTTTCTCAGCTCAGAGTAGCCCCGGAGAACCCGACTCGCGTAGTCAAACGCGCAATCCAGACGCAGCTGAACCATCACCTTGTAGCGCCCTTCCGGCGTCTCCTTGATGCGCCCCTCGCGCGTCATGCCGGTCGGCAGGGGCTGCAGCGGATGCGCGCATGCGCCGTCCTCAAGCGGAGCCGAGTCTTCCCGCTCTTCCTGCCTGCCTGCACCCACTGCAAGGCTTACTGCACATTTGAACTAAATACCCTTGCATCTATCCTGACAGGGAATCCTCGAGACTACTGAGTTGTCTTTAGTGCACCCTGATCCTGAAGTCATTCCTGCCAGAGGAATCAATATTACACACCTCCCCTGCTCCTCCATTGCAAGTAGCAGACGGCTGTTCATGTTCATAGCATCAGGCAGATTGACATCAATGGTTCCTTGCTTCTGTGAATTTAAATTTGCAGGGTCAGGTCACCATCCTGTTGTGCACCTATCTGAAGGATGCAAGCTGCCGTTTAACAAGTATCTGACCCTCAGAAAAACCATTTCTCAGTCCATCCTTTCAATATGCAGATAACACCCCCATGTACGCAAAGTATTTACCCTCACAAGGGTTGAATTTTTGGAACCTCTGGACCCAGGTGAGCCCTACCTACTGGAGCATGGTATCAAAAAGGGAGTGCACATGACACACCCATTGGGGCTACAAGCAACAAGGAATCACTGCTCTGGTGCAGGTTGTATTCCTGCCCAATGTCCCGCCTCTTACAGCTCAAAGGACTGAGTGCCCCCATAACAGAGTCAGGTCTGCCTCTGCACCCCTGCCGTTTCTGCCAGGTGCTTTCCCGTTACAGCAAGCCATGCTGGCACCTAAGCATCTCGTGGATCATGAGGTGTTTTCCCGTTCAGCAGCCTGGGACCTTAGGTCCCGTTAAGTACACAGATGCTGCAAAGTGTCATCATAACAATTGTATGGGGCTGCACCTGCCGCGGGCGACGCATCGGCCCCGGCCGAATGACGGCGGCAGCCGGCCAGATTGGATGCGGCCACGATGGCGCCGGCCTCATCAGCAGAGACGTCCAGCAGCTCCAGGACCATCTCCCGGAGAGAGTCGTGGCCGTGCATGACCCTTGATTTGAAGCGCAGGCCAGCAGTCTTCATGCGCTCGGCGAAGTCCAGGTCGTCCTCCTCAGCCTTTTGCGCCAGAGCCTGCCACTCCGGCCTGCACAGCAGCACAGGTTGTTCAGGATTCGTGCGTAAATTTACGGCCCGTTAGCATACAATGCACTGCTGTTCGCAGCACTGAGGAGGAAGCTGCACCAAAAAGCGCTGATCGACCGAAGGTATGCGCTGCGCAGGACAATGTAGATTGACCCATTCCAGCCAGCTTACAGGGAGAACATGTCTACAGTACATGAAGTGCTGACGAGGTAATTGATAGGAGCAGGTTAAGTACAGTGTTTCAGGGACTTTCCACGTTGGAACAGGGAAGGTATGAAGACATTGGGCGCCCACCTGCAGCCGGCGTGCCTGCGCAGGAACCTTGCAATGTCCTTGTAGCGGCGCAGGCTCACGTCAACGCCGTGCGCCGAGCATTGCGCATGGAAGTAGATGCGCAGATTAAATGCGGCCGGTCCCGCGCGGTCTTCCTTGGAGAGGCGCACGCTGAAGCCATCCGGCAGCCGCTGCCCCGCCTGCCCGCCAGCAATCCCCGGTGTGGCCGGCTGCGCCGCCGCGGTTCCGTTGCCCTCGGTGCCAGAGTCATTGTCTGTGCCTGCGGCTACGCGGCTGCTTGGCTCCGGTCCGACCCGGACGTTCATGTCTTTGGCGATGAAGCCTGACTCCAGGAGGATTTCTTCGGCAGCCGCCCGGTCGGTGAAGGGCAGCATGTGCACCGTCATGTCCACCAGGGACATGTAGCAAACCTGCTTTGTCTGCTGGAAGTGCAGGCCCGACTTCGCCAGGCGCTGCGTGTGCTCGCGATCGGTTTCATGGGTCCGCTGCATCAGACTCGTCCACTCCGGCCTGCACATGCGTACACCTGGCATTACTAACTTGACATGACCAGGGAATCAAAATTGAGACATAGAAAAGATCTCGCAGTTTCTGGACAAAGGAACGGCAAGTTACAACCAATCCGGCTTGCTGGTGGTGGCCAGGGGCCACACGTGGCGCTTCAACAGGAATGCAGACTTGAGCAAGATACAGAAGACACCGTCGCTGCGTCGGCTTCAAGGCACCGGCTCACCTGCAGAGTCCGTGGTCAGCCAGGAAGCGCCTTGCCTGGCGCGGCCTCACCAGCATCTTGCCGGCCCTGTGCATCTGGCACTTCACCTCGAACTGCATCTGCACCCACGGCCCATTCTCCTTGCGCACCACCCCCATGCGGTTGGAGAACCCCGTGGGCGGCCGCCGGATCAGGGTGATGCCGTCAGCGGGTGAGTCATCGTCGCCGTCGCTGCCTGACTCAACATCCACCGCGTCAATGTTGTTCCAGTCCAGCCAATCGTCGCGGCATCTCAGGTAGCTGTCCAGAGCTGGGCAGCACCCCCCGTCCGTCAGGCAACCACCCCTGTAGTCCCTGAGCACCGCCTCGGCTTCGTCATCGCTCATGGGGATCATGGACTGCACGGCGTCCACGGCACTCTGCCCCGGCCTTGCCGCAGCGGAGCTGATGCGCAGCCCCAGCCCAGATAGGCGCTCCTGGTAGGCCTCACCGGACTCCCCTTCACCCCGCGCCAGGTGCGCACACCCCGGCCTGCGCACACGCCACACAAGCTTCAGCTAGGCTGCTAGTTTATCCATGCCTTCTGGACCACCCAGATGTCTACAAGGACATTTCAGCTCAGGGCAGGTATTTGTGCGCATGTGGTGGTGTTCAGCCTAGAAGTACTACCCCAAGTATGGCGATAATCACTGCGGCTTTTTCTGCAATACCGCAACGAGGCGCCATCAGTGCGGTGTGCTGTACTCCTGGTCATGTCATGGGTCAAGGAGGGGACACTAGTGACTTGCGAACAGACCAAGAGGCGCACATGCAGGAGGAGTGCGCAGCCACGAAGTCCGCGACGCTCTTGCTGTCGAGCAGGACCTCGTCCAGGCCGTGCTGCTTGCACTCGGCTGCCAGAAAGATGAACATCCACCGCCTGCCCGACGGCTGGACCTTTGGGTGCCAGCGAGGGAAGTAATGGAATCCCGGCGGCAGCACCGGCGGCGGCGGCGGAGGCGGCGCGGGCTGCGGGCGGATCGCGCGGCGCGGCGCGGGTCCCTTGCGCTTGTCCCTTGGGCGGCCGGGCACTCCGTCGGAGACGGCATCCGCTGCCGGCTCCGCCCTGGCCAGTTGCGCCGCAATCGGCTCCGCCGCGGGCATCGTTGCGACCGCGGGCGCCTCAGCCTCGGGCGCCCCAGCCGCGGGCGCCGCTGCCGCCGCGGGAGCCGCCTCCGCCGCTGGCGGCCCGACCAGATCTGGGAGGATCACGACGCGCGCCCCGGGGCCCCAGGCCGGCCGCAGTATCGGCCAGTGCGCGGCGCCGGCCTCCGAGTCGTAGCTGCTTAGCACCACTGCGACGGTGTCACGGCCCTCGCGCTCGCCCCGGATGGTGTCGAAGATGGGGTTGAGCGGCTGCGGATCGAGGCGCGTCTTTCGGAAGGTTACGCCTGACGCGCCCAGCCGCGCCGAGTACTGCGACTCCGTCTCTAACGGCCGCTGCCGCAGCCCAGCCCACTGCGGCCTGCGCGGTAGTATAAGAGTTAATGTCAGTCAGCTGTGATTACTGCCCAAGCCCTTGGAACGCTTGGTGACCTACAAAGGTGGACGGCGGATACCATGGATAGCAAGCTGCACGCTGGCGCACACGAGCAGGGAGGCTGGTGGGGGCGGCCAGCGCGCACCTGCACTTGTGCCGGGCGAGGTATTCGGCGAGTTCCGCCTGGTGCACGAGCAGGCAGGTGCCGCGCCGTGGGCAGGTGGCAGCATAGGCCTTCCTCACAACGTAGCCCTCCTCTGGGAGCGCGCACAGCTGCCAGTGCTGCTTAAACCCGGGGGGCGGCGGCTTCTCTGCGGGCTTCAGGGCGACCAGCAAGCGCGCTGTCTGCGCATGGACCTTTGCGTCTTCGAGCGCCATTGCGACGGCCGCCTTCCTCACCCGCAAAGTGAACCTCACCGCCGCAGAAGCGATGAGGAGTGTCAGACTGTGGGACATAATGGGGCAATTTTGGGGGATCCCGGAGTACGTCGGGAAATCAGAGCCCAGTTTGCACGCTACTGCTCCTTCGACTGGCCATGCGGGCCCGGGCTCCTGGAATTTATTCTGCGGCCCGCGGCCCTCGGCTCGCGCAGCCAGGCCCGCCTGGCGCATTGCCAGCAGCACGGCGGCAACAGCCAGCTGTAACCGTGTGATGACCGCCACCTGCTGCGGCGGCACCGAGGGCTCTCCCGTCGCTGCCGGCTGTGCCCGTCCTGAATCACGAGGAGCTTCAGAGGCGCCCCCTTTGACCTCCACCGCTGCTGCAGCTGCCGCTGAAGGCCCCGTATTGCCTGTGGCCATGCGTGCAGCATTCGCGCCCCCGCCGCCACCCCTGGCCAGCGCAGAAGAGGGCTGCGGGGATTCGCGCGCTTGGCTGCGCCGTGGGAGGCCACCATTCATCCCTGCACCAAAAGGACTTGCATACGTGACTGGCAGGTAGATTGCCGTTCTGCTGGACCCGCTACCTCCTTTTGCAGGTTCCAAGAGGCAAAATGACACATGCCTGCTGCTGACATTGTCATTAAATGAAGGCACTGACTGTACAAGAGACTCATTAATCTGCAGGCCGACGCAAATCAATCGAAGCAATAACCAGACAGGAGACTGATCAGCACCCTACCGTTTGAGGGCAGACCCGAGGGCATAGCCGGCCTGTCCTCCGGCTGTGCTGCGGCATCGTTCTCAGCATCGCTTGCTTTGGTGACATTATCTGCCGCAGCCTGCACCTGCGCCCGCGCGCAGGCAGCCAGGCGCTTTGCCGCCTCAGCCGCGCTGGTCTCAGTGTAAGCGGCCAGTTCCTGCGCTGCTCTGGCTGCGGCAGATAGGCTCGGCTGTGCTCTGTCGCCACACTGATGCAGTGCTGCACCTGTTGCAGCAAGCTGCTTCCCAGCCGCGATGTCCTTCTGCTTCCACTCTCTGCCCGCCAGCTGACTTGCGCTCACCCCAGCAAAGCTGTCCGACCCGCTGGTGGGCAGCTGAGGCTGCACAAGCTGAGCGCCAGGTGGCGTGGGAGGACCTGAAGCGTCAGGTGCACGTGCCTCTGCACCTGCTGCTGCGGCCCCCGGTCCATCTACAATGCCTTCCACATCTTGAGCCTCTAGCTGACGAGGGATCAAGGGCCGGTTTGAGCTGTTGGGTACTGCTTCACCGGCGTCTGCCATGTCTAGGTCCTGCGTTCACCACAATCTCGTCTTGAGGAACTGCGGAGGACATCGAAGCATAAAAGGAGAGGCTTGGTCCCTTGAGGCAAGCCAGGGTGGTGGCAAGCAAGGCTTATTGCCTGGGTTCGAGAAAATTTGGGCGCCCATCTCCATGCTTACACCATGCTTGTCCGCCAGTGAGGACAGCAGACTCCTCTTCAAATGGGTGGATCAACCCCTGTCACGAAGGTACATAAGGTTATGTCAATGTCGTGGATATCCATGACCATCTGATCTTCATGAACGATAACGTGCGATCGGTGCAGTACTGCTCACTTAGAACGAGCTGAACAACAAATCATGGACGGATGTGGCGTCCTGTCTGAATGGCAAAGTTCTGGACAGGCTTGCTTTGTGGCGCTAAAAACACCATGACCTCGCGTCATGAAATGGACCTTACTATCAAGCGAAAAGGCTCATCTACTAGAGAGGACCGTTGCAGCCAAAAGAGTTAAGCATACGGTCGTGATGGAAGATCAGCCTCACCGATGAAAGCCCTCGGTAACGCACTGGCGCATGGTAAACCAGCCAACAAGCATTGCCCGTATCTGCGGTGCTGATAAGCAGCTGCAGCCCACTGTATTCTCTGCGGCGATAGTAATTTCTATAGCACCTCATCCGATCGGCTAGGGTCCAATTGCTGAAGCAGCATCTCAGGAGGGAGGAAGGTGATGGAAGTAAGATTGCCTCGGAAAGATTTCCAGAGCTACGCTCCAACTAGGGCACCCATTGCTTCCATGTGAACTTCTCTTTCAGGATAGCATTGCAATCATACTAGTCAAAATTGGGTGTTACGGGTTATAGGTTGGCAAGAGCAGGGTTCTCGAGAAAAGAACAACTTTGTAGAAGTGCCTCTTTCTGCTATCCACTTAGCAGCCAAATTAAATCCAAGATTTGCATTATCTCTTGGCGGAAACGATGCTAGCGGGCTTGATACCCCGCGTGTGCGGCGCAGCTTCAAGGACGCCATTGCGTGCTTTCGCAGCAGAAGCAGGTGCACACAACCTATGTGAGATGTGACTGCAGTAGAATGATAAGCGAGTGCAATGTGGGTCAAAGTGATGCATGTGAGTGCCTTGATGTCAATATGCAATCGACATCAGAGGATAACCATCGATCCAGGTCCTTACTGCTGTCACTGCACGCAAAACAGGTTCCAGCAAGCAAATTGTGAAGAAAGAGAGCAGAGGGGCTGGAGATGTCGAGAAGAAGGAGTATGACGCAGACTCCAGGACCATCACCGTGACCCCAGGCCAGGCCTTTCCAGGGGACAACCGCTCCTCCAGTGCGCTTGGTCTTGGGGATGGCCTCTTTTCACACACATCCAAATGGCTGCAGGTGTGTCAGAGTTCTTCAAGCCCTACTCTCTTTTACCTCAAGATGCGGCAATGCAATGCAACAGGCACAACAGGCAGAGCATGCGCATTTCGTGCTTTCAAGTCAGGAGATTCCTGTTTGATATGTGCGGGGTCTGATGCATGCTGCGCATTGCAGGTGGACGGCCACTACTCAGGCAATCTGAAGTCTCCCATGGAGTACATACATGATGCCCCTCCCATCAAAGTCCACGGATCCATTGTGGCTTCCTTTGGATGTGAGTGATGTCACCCCGCTGTGGTTCTGATCAGATGTCTGTGTTCAATAGACCCTCAAATGTGTTTGGCAGCTGTGCCTCTTAAGGGACACAGACACTATAATATTGGCGATCTGAGTGCTGAAGTTTTTGCGATTGGAGCGGAAGCATTGCAGATGAATGACTTCCTTGACGCATTTGGATGTGGTGCAGCCGATGATCCTGCATTGGGGGCACCTGTAGAGTACATTGACCTCAGAGGGACGTCTTATGACAACCCGATGGTCTGCAAATACACAGGTGCAGAGCTGACTTATTTCTTGCTGTTATGTGAATCTTCCATATCTAACCTACATAATGTATGTAATGTATAAGCACCAATTTAGGGACTACATTGCCTGACTGCTATGGCTGGGGCTGGTGCACAGGCAACAAATACTACAGCGATGATTGGGGCCCTCCCCACGCACCTGGCCACTCATCAGAATCGCATCATTGAGTGGGGGAGGATGCACTTCCCCCAAAGAGCGCCCGGGCTATCCAGCACTCAGCCACTGGTCGTCCAGCCCAATGAAGCGCTGCAAGACAGCAGGAGGAGCAGAGCAGCATTTGTTTGCATGTAACATCTTCGGAGCAGCTGCCATTGGCAAGGATCAAAGGATCCAGGTGCTGTGAATCCAGACCCCATAGGTGTCTGTGTCTGCCCCTGGAACCGTGTTGACAGTAGCATTCAATAGAAAGCCGTGGAATCTGAAGGTACTTGGTCGTCGGTAGAGGATGCTGTGGCAAATGGTGTCGCGTGGCTTGCATGAGGCCACAGCATTCAACATCTACATGATGGAGGATATTGTAGGACGTAGGTGAAGTGTAGCAGCCGTTCAAAATTGCCACAAAGTACGCATGCGGCAGTCTGGAAACTGTGGTGCCACTCTAGCACAGCTTCTAGGAAATTCAGCTGCTGCAATATATCAAGAGGAGTGAGGGCAGTCTCTGGGGCATTAAAGAGGCGAGCAATTGAAATGCTTCAAGAGCTGACCAATGCTTCACAGAGCTGACCACTCAAAAGTGTGCCAAGTGCCCAGAAGGGCAGGGCAGGCAATAAGTATAGCCTAGGTTCTTGTTGGTACATTTCCTTGACTTGCTCTGGCCATCTTTCTTATGAGGTGATCTTATTCACCAAGCATTGTCTCCAGATGCTATTATTTGTAGTAATCTGTAAGAACGCTTTCGCTGTACCTTCCTGAACAGATCCTCTGGTGTAACTCCCCACCTTGTAAAAGGCTTCACGGAGAAAGTCGACAACAGGCTATGCAAACGACACGTTATGGTAGCAGCCAAAATGGCTTGCAGGATACTGGTTCATCACGAGATGAACCAGACCTGGAGGAAATGAAGTCACAGTTCAACGATGTCTTTTCCCTCAGGAAACCAAAGGATGCCAGGGCTGGATTGTCCAGCGGCGCCAAATCTATCGGCAAAGGTGTGTTGGCAGGCGTTGTGGGACTGGTAGCGGCTCCTGTCATGATGGCCAGGGAGGAGGGCGTGAAGGGATTTGCCAAGGGCGTTGGAGCAGGTGCGTCCTCTCCTGAGCTTCTGGATGTAGAGACCCTTCTCTTCCCGCACAGCTATCAGTGGAAAGCTTTTGGTACCTTCCATCACTGGTCTGACGAGTATTGGCGCTTCTGTTCAGTCACCTGGATTTCTGTGTCTCCTTGGGCAGCACTACCTGATGCCTTGTGGCACAGAGTTGCTCAACTCTACACGTGTTTTGTATGCAAGTAAGCCCTCCATACTTCCTGCAGGCGTTTTAGGAGCTGCAGTCTTGCCGGTTATGGGAGTGGGAGTTGGAGTGACACAGATGGTGAGGGGGGTGGCAAACACACCTGAAGCCATCAGGGAGGCCCAGCGTGGGAAACACTGGGACACGGTGAGATGCCTGTGCTTTTTCAGACACCATTCAGCTACAGAAGAAGCTTTTCTGACTGCTCTGCGGTAACCCCAGTACCAAGCACAGTCTCCAGCGCAGTGTTACAGCTGAAGTCTGCTAGGGTGCATGCAGCACATGCAGCATGCACTCTTGAACCAAAATTCGTTGATCTGCAAAGCTCATTGCCCTTCCTTACGCTCAGCAAACAAGCAACCTGCATGCAGAATTTAGACTTTCATGTTGCAGCCTGGTTCACCACCTGGCTTGACCACCAGGCACACACCTACTGCACCTGTAGGCTGCTTCCTGACTTCAATGGCCAAACACGCCTAGTGCTGGGAGGCAAGCATCTAAACCATGTATTTTATCCCTCGTTATGTGCGCGTGTACATGCAGGATGCGCGAGTGTGGGTGGACCAGCCAGGGAGCGCGCTGGTGACCGATGACGAGATATTTGCGAGCGTGCGCGAGCAGTGGCACCGCAGCGGCGGCGGCGCTGCCGGTGCATCGGGCCGGGTGGATTACTACGCGCTGCTGGGCGTCGAGCGTGACGCGCCCCCTGAAGCCATAAAGCGCGCCTACTACGTTCTCGCCCGCAAGTGCGTGGCCCTGCCTCCTTGCCGAATACGCCGTGTGTTCTCCAGCATGGCTGGCAACTATTCGTGTGCACACCTTGCGGATGGACGCAATTGACAATGAGCCTGAAAAGGCAGCAGTTTTATTGCTTGCAGATCAGTTGTAACATAAGGCTGCTGATCAGTGCAAAGAATGAAGGGCAGGCTGTCTCCAGGCTCCACTTGGTGCAATATGGAGCAAGCTAAGAGAATCGATGGGAAGGACTGCACTTGTGCAGGTACCACCCCGACAAGAACAGGGGAGACCCTACTGCAAATGAGCGCTTCCAGCAGCTCGGTGAGGCTTACCAGGTACGCTGCTCCTGTGCTCTGTCACTGCAACATTCCAAAATGCCCAATATCTCTGGCTTCACACTGCCAATTGCTTGACTCCTCTACCCCGGAGTAATGGTTCTGTAGTGGGCGTAGCAGCACGTCAGATTACTCAGCAATAATTTTTAATCTTTTTAGATGAGGATAAAGCAAGGATGATTGCAAAATTTGTATGAGCGCATGTGTATGGGGCATGACCTACCTGGTGTTACACGCAATGCATGCGTCATGAGATTGCCTTGTAAAGCATGCATGGGGCGCCTGATCAGGTGCTGGGCAATGCGGAGCTGCGCGCGCGCTACGACGCCAACGGCGCGGACGGGTTGAATGTGGATTTCATGGACAGCGCCGAATTCTTCACCGCTCTGTTTGGCTCGGACCGCTTCGATCACCTGGTGGGCGAGCTCATGATCGCGTTGGCCGCTCGCAGCGGCGGGGATTTCCAGCCGGGGCAGATGAAGAGGCTGCAGGTGCGCAGCTGCCCCTTACCTAATGCATTGTCAGCTTCTTAGCTATCAGCTCTCATGCTTTGTCAATAGCATGCAGGATCATTGCTGACATTTTCTGCAAGTGCTCTGATTAGAGGAGTATGCAGGGAAAGATGCACATCCTCCTTCATGACTAGGGTTGCTGGCATTTGATTGCATGTTCTTGTGTAGCAGCTTCGGGTGTCTCAGCTGGACATGACAAACTGCACAGGAAGTGCTTCAGTTTAGGGGAAGGTCAAGGGAAGCACCGGGAAGGTGCAACAGGGTGCTTGAAAGATCACAAATGAGTGCAAGTGAAACTCTGAGAGGTTGTTTCGTCTGTGCATGCAGGCAGCGCGGCAGGAGCGGCTGGTTGTGATGCTGAATGCGCTGCTGCGGCGCTACGTGGAGGGCGACGAGCAGGGGTTCAGGGTGCGCATCCTTCTATTCCTCAGGGATCTTGAGTTTCAAATTGTGGACTCTTCTCATCGTTGGTAATCAGCTGACCTTTCGTGGCGCCCCTTATCATCTGTGAGCATGCGCAGCAGGGATGCGTGACAGACGGGCCTGGCTCAGACAAACGGCACTGCAACTGCAATATTCCAGCTGACAGACATGTCACGGGCACACGGAGACCACCACTAAACTCGATCATTCCGGCGTGCCCCCCTTCTAACAAGGGTGGTTGGTGCGCAGGAGGCGATGGTGGCTGAGGCGGACAGCCTGGCGCAGACGCCGTTTGGGCCGACGATGCTGCGCGCAATCGGGGGTACGTACCGCAGCCAGGCGGAGATCGCGCTCGGCAACTTCTTCGAGGGCTCCGTTGCCGCCATGCGCTCCAAGGGCGCCGCCTTCAAATCCCAAATACACGCCGCCGGCCTCGCCCTCAAAGTGCGGCTAACCGGCTTTCGGTGGTCCTTGTCCTGTTCTCGGGCTGCAAGGAATTACCAAGTACTTTGGAATGTTTCTTTGGGGAGGCCTCATGGACACAGAAGTGCCGTGACAGAAAGATCGACACTACATCTTTTACATTGAAAGCTGTCGCATGTTGTCCATAAGTCTGTTCACTGCATATTTGCCTTCTTTAGTGCCAAGAGGGGTGTGGGAGTGCTTTGCTGCTGGTTGGCTGCAGCAATGCATGACAAGCTGCTGCCTGTGCAGGTTTACCAGACGCAGCAGCAGATAGAGCGGCTGGAGAAGCAGCACGCGCAGCATCAGCGGGAGAGTGGAGCTGCGTCATTTTCTTCTCAACAGCAGCACTCGTCAGGGGATGCTCAGGGTGCAGCAGGCTCCAGCAGCAAAGTTTCAGCTGAAGGCGAATCAGCTGATCACTCCAGCGCTGACGCAGCTAGCGCGGTGGGCATCTGTCACCCCTTTAGAGAACAATGACTCGGAGCACTTTGTTGCAGCAATGCATTTTGGGTCAGGCAACTGCAGGAGATCTCTCTCGGTCACGCCCTACTCTCATAGGTGAATATATTTGTTGGAGAATTATCATACTGCACTGGGTGCATGACAAGTCCTGGGTAGATCCGAACAATGAGCACTGCATTCCTGCGGAAACACGCTACAAGTGAGGACGCACAGCCGTGCCAAAGGCAAATTTGGGCGCTGTTGCACTGTGCAATGACCAACTTTGTGGCAGTGCATAATTTGAAGGCATGCATGTGCGCTGGCAGGCAGAGGAGCGGAGGCAGGCGGCTGCAGCGATGGCGGCCGAGCGCGCAAAGCTGGAGGAAGCTGCGCTGCCGCTGATGCTGGATGCCATGTGGGCTGCCAACGTTCTGGACATCCAGCACACAGTCAAGGCAGTCTGCCAAGAGGTGGGTGCTTGCGGCTGCAAGACGCCCTGTCACACTCACCTCTTGATCACTCTCTCGGGCACTGCAGTGCATCTGATCTCATAAATTCCTGCCACACAAGCGACATGACTCTGTGTCCTTGCAGATGTGCATGCACCTTCGATATGCATTTGTAGGTATTTGGCCTCTTGAAATCATCGACCTCTAGGTGGGGTCATCTATCACATCATGTACAGCAGGTATGTGTGATAGGCGAGCCTGGCTCAGGCAAAGGGACGTACCGGGGAACCCTTAATCGACTGACTTAGAATCCCCTGCATGTACCTTGCGCTGTGTCCTGCTCGGCCCGCGCTCGTGCTGCTGCAAGCAGAGCTGGCGAAGCAAGCAGCAAGCTGCGCTTTGCGCTGACAAGGTACACACCATTTTTGCGCGCGCAGGTGCTGCGGAGCCCGGCGTCGCCGAAGGAGGTGCGGCGGCTGAGGGGGCTGGCGCTGAAGGAGCTGGGCGGCATCTTCCTGGACGCGGCTGCAGCGCACCTGGAAGTGTCACCGCCGCAGCAGGAGGAGCAGGTGGGATTCCCCGCTCCAGGGGTTTCTCAGAGGGATTGATCATTGGTACATTTTGTGGGTCGTTGCCTCAGCCCAATCAACACCATATCCTGCAATGATGGAGTGATCATATGTCTGCTTCTGCATCTGCATCTGTACTTTGATAGCGAGGCAGGCTCTGCTTTGATAGAGAGGCGCGGTTGCAATGTTGTGTGCCTGTGAGTCAATTGCAGGATGCTGTAAACCTGTGCAAGGATGTGTATAGCATGTTCTCCCAAGAGTTGATCTGTGTATGGCCGCCTGTTTGCATATTTCAGCAGTGTTGGAGTGGCCGACTGAAGACTGCGGCATGTTTCTGCTGCAGGGACCCTCACGCGCGAAGCAGCAGTTTGAGGATGCCATGCAGCGTATGATAGACAAGAGGAATGCTGTCGATGACGCAGCATATGGGCAGGCCCCCAGTACTTAATACTTGGTCACCACGGTGTCTGTCTGCCGAGGGCTGAAATGAGGCATTACTTACCAAATGGCAAGGTTGCGCATGTGAACACTGCCGAGGTATTGATTCGTCATGACCAGATCTAGATGCCCATGCATGCCGCGCACATGCCGGCTGACTAGTAAAGCCGCAGGACTTCCGGCCAGTGTAGAATAGTCAGGGACTGTCAGGCTGCCAGTACTGAGTATATTGATCCCAGTAAACATATTGGCCCCTGCTGGCGGGGGGCGTTACAAATACTGAGGACCGTGCCCACGGTTGATTGGGTCTTGTTTGGATCTGGCGAGTCCAACAAGGGGTAGGTATTTGGCAGCCTTTACATGCAGCTTGTCTGCAGACGCACCTTGCCTTCGGCAGGATAAGCGTGTAGTAACAATAATAATAAAAACATATTTTTGAAGGTGGGACACTATGGCACTGTAGTACAAAGATTTTGCCTCCATGTATCTGTCATGCCCATTGTAGTACAAGATGGTTCAGATCGTGGCCTGTTGCTAAGGCAGAAATGGGCGTCATTCACGCATCCTGCTGTATGTTGTAGCTTCTTGTTTCTCGAACTGCTGTTCCAACCCTTACGGACACCCCAACTCCCCTTGACCGTAATCGTCGTATTCCGCCCATGATCTGCTGGGGAGCCCATCAAGTAGTGGCTTGCTTGAAAGCGCAGATGCAATAGGGAGCGATTGCGGATCTTTACACTCATTGCTACTACACACAGCTTTCGTTTCAGTAGCCAAGCAGCCGCACCTAGTAAAGTGAGGTAGGGTTCCGAGCTGCACATCTGCATACCGATGAATTGCTACATCCAAATCCTGAAGGGCATTGTTGGGTTACAATAATTCAATAAGAAGCAGCGAACTTTGAAATGATCCTCACGGAAGCGTCTTCAAGTCGCCTCGCAAGATCCCATCTTCAGCTTCCCATGCTTTTCTGGTCATACGGGGGTAAATTGGTGCTGTTCCTGTGGAAAGCAACGATCTAAAAGCTTCCAATAAGTCCTGATCGAACAATTTTTGTTCAAGCTGCGACCTTTCGCAGACTGTCATTCGCAAGAAATCACCCCAGAGGCTGGAACAGCAGACACAGTGTTCCCAGCATTTCACAAGAAATTATGCGCGAGATGTGCATGCATCCAGCATTTCTTTCATTTGAAGACTCAACGGGGCCCCACATTCTGAACATCACAGTGATCTGGACCTTTCTCTGCCTGCAGGCTAGTAGGGGAAAGTTTATCTTCAGCAGCCAAGCCAGACCACAAGAAACTGAACAGAACAGCCTTAGGGCATGAGGTGACGTACCAATTATGTCAGCAGTGGACTTGCCAGCAATGGGGCTCAGCCCTGGGGCGCGGCTGCGCACGCAGCTGTGCAAGGGCAGCCTCGCCCCATTTTGGGGGGCACATGGCAGCACATGTTCGCAGCAGCAGCGCGGAGGCAGCATTAGAAGCCGGGCTCCCAGCAGGAGCCTCATCAGGCGGGGGCAGCTGCAGATCGTGGCCCTCAGAAACGTCTCCGGCCATGCAGTGCCTGTCTCCTCCCCCATCATCAACGAGAAGGGCATTGTGGTGAGTGCCCAGCTCCTCAACTGCCACTTTGCATTGCTTTAAAGCACTCGCACCATGTATTTGACAGTGTCCCGCTCGCCATATGGGAGGCCGAGTCCCTTGGCTGCCTCTTTTCCTTGCCTGATTAAGGGAAGCATGCATTTGCAGTGCCCTGCTTACTATGCTAGAGCACTTCAGCAGCACAGAAGTGCTTGTTCTGCGTTTGCTGTGCGTGCGTGCCAGCCTGAGTTATTGATGCTGAGAGGCTGTTAATGCATGCATGCATGCATGCAGGTGGACGCGGCCGAGAAGACGCCCTTCAAGAAGATTCTGTGCGCAAATCGCGGCGAGATTGCCGTGCGCGTCTTCCGCGCAGGCACAGAGCTCGGCCTGCGCACGGTGATGCACTCTCCTCTGTGCTCTCTAAGTCTCCTATCTTGACAGCATAGTCCTTTTCTTGGCTCAACAGCGCGGTAATGCGCTCTCCTCTGTGCTCTGTGTCTCATCCCTCCTTTGACAGCCTTGCTCTCATTCTTACCTCCAACAGGTGCAGGAAGATACCTATTGCTGCAAGTGGGTGCTGTATTGCAATTAAAGCTTGGGCATGCATGGGGTACTTGGGCTGTGCATGACACTACTTGGGCTGTCCATGATACGTATGGGTTGGCCCTGCCCCAATGATGACCACGATCAGGAGCAGGGTGCCGTCATCGGTAGCTGCTTGGTCATCCAGTTACTGAGAGGGGAGTTGTGGCGCAGCTGGCGATCTACAGCCCGGCTGACCGGCTGCAGCCGCACCGCTACAAGGCGGATGAGTCGTACGAGGTTGGGAGTCCGGACATGACCCCCGTGCAGTGCTACCTCGACGTGGAGGGTATCCTCGCACTCGCCAAGTGCGCCCCATCTCCCCTGCAGATACACTCTTTATGCCCGGGGCTGAGCGGTTTCCTCCCTGTGTGAGATTGAATGCAGATGTGGCTCATACCCCTTGGTTCTGAAGGCAGTGCAGGGCTCTTCATCTTGCTGGTTGTGTGTGGATCTTGGGGCTATGTCTAGCATCGCTTGAAAAGGCAATTGTATGCTTGGTTTCTACTCGGCGCTCAATCGGCGGTTGCTACAGGATCAAATGTGCCATGCGCGAATGCGTTCTGTGTATACTAGCATTCCACCCTCAGCGGTTTTAAGGCACATCAGATGAGACTTACTGTGGCTTGTTGTGTGATCCGTAGGGAGCAGGGTGCGGACGCAATTCATCCGGGGTACGGGTTTCTGTCGGAGAACCCGACGTTCGCGCGGCGGTGCGAGGAGGAGGGGATTGCGTTCGTGGGACCTGCGCCCGAGACCATCCAGGCAAGCTCACTACTCCCAGTGCTGTTGAGACTGTCAAACAGAGAAGAGCTGCCTGACGTGTGAGCAGATCATTCTGCGGGCTGCATGTGGCAAGCAGGACATTGATCTGCTCCTGGATCATCACCTCGACACCATGATCAATACAATCAATCACATTTACCCTCAGTAGGCTGCATGAAACAAAGGAGGAAATGTGCAGAGGCATGCTGGTCACAGCGCAGCAGGCTCTACCCCTCAACATGCCGCCGCGTCCTGCTTGTTGGAGCTGCAGCTATTCCATCTCGCCGCTGCTTTGCATGCATGGGGCCTCCCTCTCACCTCTACCTCGCATGCATGCGGGCTCCTTCTCCATGCTGCTTCGCATGCATGCAGGCGATGGGCGACAAGACGGACGCCCGCAAGCTGGCGGAGGAGTGCAACGTGCCGGTGGTGCCCGGCAGCGCCGGCGCCATTCTGACGGCGGCCGATGCGGCCGACTTCGCTGGCAAGGCCGGCTACCCGGTCATTCTCAAGGCGGCGTACGGCGGCGGCGGCCGCGGCATGCGTGTTGTCAGGGCAGGCACGCCCCTGCACAGCTGCCTTCCTTAATATGCTCGCTGCCAGGCCCAGTTTTGGTTTATCTTTCATAGTTGTTCATTGATGCTGCTCCGTTGCTATTGTGTCATTGTTGCCACCATTCGCAGCTGTGTCTGCACGCATCATGCAGTAGCTCAGCTGCAGATTACCAGCAAAGCATGCTGCTTCATAGTGAAGGCATGTGGCTCCTTTGCGAAGATCCCCAGCTTACTCTAGTTGACCTTAATGAGGATTGAACCGGGAGCTGGTTCATTCCTCAAAGCAGGAAGACGGCTAGATGCTGAGGGGCGCTGACGGGATGTTGTGATGTGCGCAGAGGAGGAGATTGAGGATGCCTTCGAGCGCGCGAGCGCAGAGGCCAAGGCGGCGTTTGGCAACGGGGCGATGTTTGTGGAGAAATTTGTCGAGGATCCCAGGCACGTTGAGGTTCAGATCCTGGCCGACAATTACGGAAATACGGTCCACCTCTACGAGCGCGACTGCTCCGTGCAGCGCCGCCACCAGAAGGTGCGCGCCCGTTCTCGATCCCATATTCCCCTTTTCACTAACCTAATTACTTGTGTGACAGAGGTCAGAAAAGTTGAGAAAAGATAGCGGCGATTGAGGTGACAAAGCAGCAAGGTCGTGGGAGCTCTGGCGTGGCTGTTTGAGTCCGGGGGAAGTCAATTTCCAGCATGTGGCCAAAGAGAACGCAGTCAAGAGATGCAACGCTGCAATGAACCCGACTTCAGTGTTCTCAGTCATGCTGCACTCAAGAGGACGCGCAGCAATAATGCGAACGTGTGATAGCCTGCCTAAGAAATATGCAGCACGTGGATTAGCAATCATCCACCACCAGCGTACATCTGTCAATCATACATGCAAGCGGAACAAATCAGACGACCTGGCAATTGTCATGCCACGGCTGAGGTGGTGCCTGTTCTGGCGCGCACAGGTGGTGGAGGTAGCGCCGGCGTACGGACTGGACCCGACGGTGCGCGCGGCGCTGCACCGGGACGCGGTGGCGCTGTGCAAGCACGTCGGCTACCGTAACGCCGGGACCGTTGAGTTTATGGTGGACAAGCACGGCAACTACTTCTTCCTGGAGGTCAACCCGCGCATTCAGGTGAGTTTGAGCCGACCTGGTCTCATGTGGGAGAGAGTGAGGGGAGGCCCATTGCTGGGGGAGAGGAAGAGGGGCCACCCACGCTGGCCTGCCTTCATCACGGGTCTGATGGGAGGTTGTAAGTGGAACTTCATGAGTGGATGATAGGGAGCTGTATGTCCTGAGTGCAGGCTGTCTCCTGGTGCACCCCTGCACTCTTGAGGTGTATATTTTGATGAGGGGAGTACGCCCTTGCTGAAACTACCAGAAAGGTGCCACAGAGATTGGCGTGTAGCCAGCTTGAGATATGGCGTAGCGGCCTGGGTCAAACTTGCATGCAACAGATTGGGAGCTTACAGGAAGGTGTGCTGCGTGCGCAGGTGGAGCACACATGCACGGAGGAGGTCACGGGGGTGGATCTGGTTCAGGCTCAGATCAGGATTGCAGGCGGTGCCTCGCTGGCAGACCTCGGCATCGCAAGCCAGGTGGGGCTGCTGCAGCCTCCAAGAGTTGATTTGATTGCCGAGTTTGATTGAGACGTAAGGCTTGGGCGGACGTAAGACAGGGAGCCCCTCTTGAGCCGAGAGAGTACCTCCTGGAGAGCGTCTGCATGCATGCTAGGATCTTGCGCAAATGTCACCCCTGCAGGACATGCGAGGCTTATAGGTTTGCCCAATGCTTCATTGATGTGCGTGCGCTCTGAAACTCCCAAGCCTCAGTGCGTTTCTTTTCTGAGCAGATGGGATCATGTGTTGCTCTTCCAATAGAGCAGTCTGAAATCCACCTCGCTCCACAGTACAGCAGCTTGGTGGAGTAGTTCAAGAGCATCTGCTGAGAGCACTGAGGACATCTTGCGCATGGCTGTCCAGGAGGACATCCCGGAGCCGAAGAGCTACGCGATTCAGTGCCGCATCACGAGCGAGGACCCGGAGCTGAATTTCCAGCCGGACAGCGGCCGCATCCAGGCGTACCGCTCCCCTGGCGGCCCCGGCATCCGCCTGGACGGCGCCATGGCTGCCGGCAACTTCGTCTCCCGCCACTACGACTCACTGCTCGTCAAGGTGACTACCTCTACGAAGGAGTGAACAGCTGCCAGCAAAGTAGGATGTACGATTGTTGCAAGGTGTCTGGTTGCTTGTGCACCTGTAGAGTATCTCCCTACAGAAGTGCCTGAGCACATATCTTTGCCTGCACCTTGAGCTGGGGAGTCTTGCTGTGTCGTCAAGTTCCTTCTGTCGGACGTGCTGGATCTAGGCTGGGGTTTGCACTGGGCCGGATCTCACATAGGTGTCAAGCTTTGAAGTGCAGCGTGCTTCATGATGTGGCAAGCGGTCCAAATCTTAGTGAGGCTGACCAAAGCGACCTGATGGTGACTGAGGGGTGACTGATCGCGCGCAGGTGATCGTGCGGTCAGGGACGTACCTGCATGCGATCCAGAAGATGCAGCGCGCGCTGTACGAGTTCCACATCCGCGGCGTCAAGACTAACATCCTGTTTCTGGAGAACGTTCTGCGGCACCCAGAGTTCCTGTCTGGCACCGCCACAACCTCCTTCATTGACAGGTGCTCCTTTTTTTCTTTTTAGACCGCCACTGACTCGATTTATACTTGCAAATTGCTCATCATAAACTTTACTCAGCACGCTGATGTGCCTTCACAGCGTTTGATTGCCTTGGACTCAGTGCCTCCAGTATCAAGCTTGGCAGTTCCGTTTCGTTACACTCCTTTTCTGGGGTGGCCGATGGAACACTCATCTTGTCACTCGCTGATGCAGAGGACATCAGGCTTACGGAACTTTCATGTGTTGCCGGCTCCTGTGTGTCTGCTACGGTTACATGTGATCGCCCGCTATCCAGGGGACATCAGGCTTCAGATCATGCATGAGTAGCTCCAGGGTTGGTCCCGGTGTTTGTTGTGTTCCATGGGTTGGCTGAGAGCTGTGTCTGCTGCGCAGGAACCCGCAGCTGTTCAACTTCAAGAGCCAGGGCTCGATCCAGTCCTCAAAGCTGCTGACCTACTTGGCAGACATGGTGCGGTGCTCGTTTGTCTGTAGTCCAGCACTTTTTAGCTTCGCAAAAGATCCTTTTCTGCTAATTTTAATTCATGCAGCCCTGCCTTTCCTTTTCCCATTTGCGCTCTTGCTGATCTTTCAGTACACTTCATGCAGCACTCCCTTGCACTTGGCCCATATATCCTCTGTCAGTGCTTTTTTCCTGAAGCCCCTCAACGGGCGAAGCCCGCTTCCACCTGTCCGTTACAAATCCTGCTCATACACGTGGCAGCACATTCCTCGAGACATTTCAGTCTTGTTTGCTGAATGTTTGGTCCTTCCTCTGGCACGGAGCGAAATATAGGTAATTCTCTGAATCGCTCACAAAGCGGCGCTAGCGCAAGAGTTTGTGGTGGTCGTGCAATGTCGTGTTTAAGATGGGCAGCATGTGTCCGTTCACGTGATACCTTTCGCGCCAGATGCTTTCCTAGCTGCATTTCTACGCAACTTGAGCTTAGGACTGCTTAGGAAGTGTGTCAACGGGGAAAGCGGGGGTTTGGGGAGGCGCAGCCCCCAAGGTTCCCATATAGGGAGATGGTAAATACGGTTGAGCTGGGATCGGGGGGGCGCAGCGCCAACAAAAGGGCCGCGTTCGAATTGACCCAAATAGGCCGCCCACTAGATGTCATGCGTGATGTTAGCTCAAAACATGCAACGAGCATTTGCCACTGGTGCGCAGGTAGTTAATGGGCCAAAGCACCCAGGGGCGGTGGGGCTGCCGCCGGCCAAGATCACACCGCCGCCGCCACCCGTGCCTCAGAACATCGTGGCTCCTACGCCCTCCTGGCGCGACGTGCTGGTGAAGGAGGGGCCAGAGGGCTGGGCCAAGGCTGTGAGGGGGCACTCCTCGCTGCTGCTCACAGACACCACATGGTGAGCGCCTGTATCGGATTGCGAGCTTACTGCATCTGACGTGCTCTTTTGTCCCGTGACTTGCTCTTTTGTCCTATTGGCACCAGCTGCATTCGTTCAGATCATAAGATGAGCCTTTGGGCAAGGCCGTTTTGTGGGGCAGGATGGGGAATTTATCGCTCCCCGTCATCAATATGATCCGTCGGTATATAAGTTCTTCTAGATTTCTCGCAAGAAAGGGAATCGAAGACGGGACGGGCCCGTCTCATAACCGGAACGTTATTCCACAATGAGGGTATGTATATAAGGTTGTCAGGCATAAGTCTGTCCTTCGGGACATCTGATAGAATTGGAACGATACGGAGGAGCATAGCATGGCCCCTGCGCAGGCGGGATGCTCACCAGAGCCTGCTGGCGACACGCATGCGCACGCATGACATGCTGAAGGCCGCACCGGCCACCTCCAAGATCCTGGCGCCCTGCGCCAGCCTGGAAATGTGGGGCGGCGCAACCTTCGACGTGGCCCTCAGGTCCGCCCTTGCGCGCACCTCAATCGATGAGGTTCATTAGGTTTATAGTATAGACCGGGCCAGAACTGTCTTTGAGTATCTCTGCTTTGCATGTCATGCGATTGCCCAACCCCACTTTGAGAACATCTGAGGCTCCGGGGTCCAAAGGAATACATAGCGGGCCCGGGACTGTCTTATTCAATGGTATCTCTGAGCGAGTTCAGCTTTCAAGCATGGGTGCTGTTATCTTGAGAAGTTGTCATGCCCTGTGATCATGGGATAGGGCCCCATGCCCGTGCTTGACTGGCTCCATTATGAAGTGGGCAGCAGTTGTTCAAAGCAGCGTGCTCACGTCTGTTGGGGCCGGAGAGAATATACATGCTGATGGCAGCGGTTTTGATGTTTGGGATGTGATTGGGACAGGTTCCTGCACGAGGATCCCTGGAGGCGGCTGGACCTGCTGCGCCAGAAAGTCCCCAATATCCCCTTCCAGGTACGGGTACTCCTCCCCTCCCTGCTGTTTGGCCCCCCGTCGTGAGATCAAGAAGGAATGCCCTGTTGCTGCACCAATTGCTTGGCAGAAAATGGTGCAACAGGACATGTATGCTGGTCTGCTGACAGAGCTGAGCCTGCTTTCCATCCAAGCTGAGCTTGATTGGCAGCTCCTGCACGTGCATGTTTCAGCAGAGACCCTGCATCTGCTGCCTGAAAGAGGAATTTTGTAAGGGATTCTGCCGGCGCAATGCTGCGCGCGCATTTCTTGCATTGTTGCATCGGCCGCAGAAATGAATGAAATGTGTGGTGCGCACAGATGCTGCTGCGGGGAGTGAACGCCGTCGGATACACGTCCTACCCCGACAACGTGGTGACGGCGTTTGTGGCGGAGTCCAAGCGCGCGGGCGTGGACATCTTCAGGGTTTTCGACTCCCTCAATTACATCGACAACCTCAAGTTTGGCCTGGACGCTGTGCACGCGGCGGGGGGCGTTGCTGAGGGCACCATCTGCTACACCGGGGACATCCTCAACCCAGAGCACCACCCCAAGGTGAATTGCTCACTCTGCTCTGTCTGCCTCAGGCTGGTGCATCACAGAGATAGCTTTGAACGTGCTTCTCCTTCTATTCTCTCTCGCTTTGAGACATTCGGGGTTGCAAGTTGACACGAGTAGCCGAGTAGAATAGGAGAGTGAGCATGCACTCTTTGCTCGCGAACTGTAAGAGCGAAGCCTTGGAAGCCCACCCCTGCTGCAACGATTTTATGCTGCGCTGGCCGGTTCTATGTTGCTGCGGCTGGCACCTTGTGCTCAAGCTGCTGAGATACCCGCCACAGAAGCGGTGAAGGCGGTGGTGCCTCCCAAAGGCAGGCCTGACAAGACCATTTGCTGCTCTTGCATGGGCCAACCAAATCTGATGTGTTTCTGCAATGCTGGGCTTGTTGTTGTCGTGCAAGCAGCATGGCTCTTAGAGGCTGCTTGTGCTTTGCAGTACACGCTGGAGTACTACCTGAAGATGGCGGAGCAGCTGGTGGACCACGGCATCCACACCCTCGCCATCAAGGACATGGCAGGTGGGCAGCCGCCCCCACATGCAGCTTAGAATGTTGCCCATGTAGATTTGCTTTCCTGCACGGCGCAGCAAGATCCCAACTGGCTGTTGTCCCCAGTGGTCTGGTTCAGACTACTGGACCAGACCCTCCCAGACTACATCATGCACAGCCTAATGCCAGCAGGTTGCCTCTTGCCAGCCAGATTACTTCCTGTTAGGCATTGGGCTCTCTTTCCCAGGATTGAAGTTCAGGATGCTGAGAGGGACTCCAGGGCCTAAGACCTCAGCTTTGAGATCTGCATGATGTGACAGGCTTAGAGTGGCTTGGTGTATAATGTGCCATAGGCTTGCTGAAGCTTCTCCTTCCCCGCCACATGGCAAGTATGACAGACCAGACCAGGGCAATGCAGGACCCTGAAACACCAGTAACGCAGTGAGGCGTTGAGCTCTCGACCATCCATGAATGCTGTCATTTCTGAGGTGCCTGGTTTGGCATGCGCTGCAGGGCTGCTAAAGCCGCGGGCGGCGACGGTGCTGGTGGGCGCCCTGCGGGAGGCGTTCCCCGACCTGGTGCTGCACGTGCACACGCACGACACGGCGGGCACGGGCGTCGCCACGCAGCTGGCATGCGCCAACGCAGGCGCTGACATCGTCGACTGCGCCATCGACTCCATGTCCGGTGCGCGCCGCATGCTTCACTGACTTTAAGAATGATATTCATGGAAGGTTCATCATCACGCAGATGGACAGGGGCTTCATGCTGTCGCCCTTGGGGGCGGGAAAGAGTTAGACAGCAGTCCCTGGCTCAGTTCCCGGCGGACAACAAGTTTTTGTGGTTCTGGGAGATTGCTCGTCGCTAAATGTGCACAAAGTTAAGCCACATGGACTTCCATGTGCGGGGCCTGCTCGCTAGGATCTCTGGGGGTTTGCATGTGATTGGGAGTGACAGGGCATTCTTGCAGGCAAACTCTCAAGTCAGCCAGGTCCCCGGGGCACGTTTGTCAGGAACCTTTGTGCCCCTGTTGTCACCACTCAAGGAGCCTTTTAGGTCTGCACCATTTGGGATATTTTGACACAGCTGGGGTGCGCATGAAAACCACAAACCCTTTGTCTTTTGAGGCTCTTTGATGCAGTAGATGGATAGAGGGAGCTGATCAGGCAGCGTGTGCGCATGTGCAGGCACCACGTCGCAGCCGTCGATGGGGGCGATAGTAAATTCGCTGCATGGAACACCCCTTGACACGGGCGTCGACCCACTCTCCCTTGCACGCCTCTCCATCTACTGGGAGCAGGTGTGCTGCCGACAGAATTGATCACCTGAAATCCAAGAATCTTTCAATAGATTTGACAACAACTCCCTACATCGCTATCCGGATTTTTTTTCGACTGTCTAGCATGGTTCTGTTGGCAACAAACACGTAAACTCTCTTTTTGCGCTGAGAATATGTCAGGAAGATCTGGTCCGTAGAAGCCGTGAAGATATATGAGCCTGCTGCTGAGAAGAATTCTCGAAGGGAAGACTTCACAGTGCCCATCTGCCTGACTATGCCATTGACACGCCAGGACCTGCCACCACCTTTCTATTCCCAGCTTCTGCAACTCAGTGCCGGACTTGTGTGTCATTGGGCTGATCGAGGCTGCGCAGCATTGAGTCAAGGAGTTTGTTGGTGTTGCCACAAGTGTGGGCAACTGAAAAGAATGTGGGGGAAAAAGAGGAAAATGTGTAACAAGTGTGGGCTGTGCGTGCAGACTCGGGCGCTGTACGCTCCGTTTGAGTCGGATCTGCGCAGCTCCTCGTCAGACGTGTACTACCATGAGATGCCGGGCGGCCAGTACACCAACCTCAAGTTCCAGGTACCCTTCTTGCTTCTTCACTTCCATCAGGCCGCTTCTGATCAGCGCCCACTGGAGCAAAATTTATGGGCAAGGTTAGATGGCGCACTTTGTGGTACCTGGCACACGTTTGTGCTGGGCTGTTTAGCATGCAGAGTGCTGAGCTTGATCTTGTAAGTCAATTGCAACGCTGGCAGCTGCCCTTGCACTTCCTGCCTCGTGAGCATTCATGCATGCCAACCAAAGCATTGCCCTCTCTGCGAGCCCATTGCGTTTGCCACTGACCCCTTGCACAAGCAGCTGTAAGGTGAGATCACCGTGGCAAGACCTGTCTTTACGCATTGTTCTGTTGCGCCGCGCAGGCGCTGTCGTTGGGCCTGGGGGAGCAGTGGGAGAAGGTGAAGACGGCGTACGCAGAGGCCAACCGCGCACTGGGGGACATAGTCAAGGTGACGCCGTCATCCAAGGTAGTGGGCGACCTGGCGCAGTTCATGGTCCAGAACAACCTCAACGAGCGCCAGCTGGTCGACAAAGCAGAGAACCTCTCCTTGCCCTCCAGGTCTGTCAGCGGTCTCTTATCACTCGCTCCTGTGATACCTACACAGAGGTCCTTGGCTGCAACAGAGCACCAAGACAGGGAGGAGGGCATAGAGATTTGACTGTTTTGGTCTTGTGCTTGGGACCGATATGTTTCTTGCCTTCACCGATCGGACAATCATATGCAGCAGAAACCAAAAAAACAGAAGCCACTCATTTTCAATGCAGCACCAGACACGGTGCTTTTCTTTTCTTTTCGCACAATGTGTGGGTGTGTACGGCTAGCCACTGTCACTGCTCAGCCAGTGGCTCCTATATGCTTTGAACTGATGACTGACGCATGCGCCGAGCTGGCGTTGCTGCATGCGCCGAGCTGACATCCTGCCGGTGTGTATGCACACACGAGCATCCCTGGCCTCTTGCTTCCTGAAGGGGTTTTAAGGCTGATGCATGCGCTGAGGTGATGTCCTGCCGGTGTGTGGCGCAGCGTGGTGGAGTACCTTCAGGGGATGCTAGGGCAGCCGGAGGGCGGCTTCCCGGAGCCGCTGCGCAGTCGCGTGCTGAAGGACCTGCCGCGCGTTGAGGGCCGGCCGGGGGCATCCATGCCGCCCATGAACCTGGTGACCATGGAGGCCAACCTTAAAGACAAGCACGACCAATACTCCATCACCTACCGGGATGTGCTGTCCGCCACGCTCTACCCCAAGGTCTTCGACGAGTTCAAGTGCGTACTTCTCTTGGTGTCTCCCTGTTTGCGCAGTGAATGTCACCGCTATAAGGACAACGGGAGAATGACATTGCTGAGCCCTTTTAAATTGTTGCCCCATTTGAATGTGGGCCTGCCACCGCAAATGAAAGGATGCTTTTCAGTCGTACTCTGTGAAGCTTCTAGAGTCTTCCAGCGAGGGGATTAAGCTTGGTTAGGTGAGTAAGTCATTTATTTGGCAGTGGCTTTCATATCTTTCGAGTTATTAACCTCACATCCGTTTGAGTTCTCTACAGCATGTCGAATGTTTCTGCAGAGAGCACTTTTCACTGTCCACATCCCAGCGTGCTTAGCTGCGTGGCTCAAGGAAGTGCATCGCTCCATGACAGTGACTCCAGATCAGCAGAAACATCAGAGCATTTGTACTGCACAGTAGGGGTGATCCCATGCCCTCACAGCAGCGAGACCAGCCATGCCATTGGCATGCTTGATCGCTGTCTCCTTAATCACGTGCTCCAGGCTTCAATAGGGGGTCTAAAGTAATAATAATAAGGATAAAAATAATAATAATAATAATAATTATTATTATTATTTTCTAATTTCTAGACTCTTTTCTAAATTCTATTACTACTGTTATTATCATTATTATTATTACTATAAGCTTTTCCTGCCAAAGGCAAGCTGAGTCCTGCAGACAAGCTGCAAATGAAGGCTGCGACAATATGGTCAACACCCTACCCTTGTTGGACTCGCCAGATCCAGGCAAGCTCAATCAACCGTGGGCGCGGTGCTCAGAATCTATACCGGCCCCCACCAGCCGGGCCCAAAGACTATTACACACGCTTGTTCCGTCCCTTAGGGCTATGTACGTTGCAGGAACCCCTCAGGGCGTCTGTACTTGATTCTGATTTTATCTTATTCTGCTGCGCAGGGCGTGGGAGGCGAAGTACAGCGGATTCACAGCAATGCTGCCGACCAAGGCGTTCCTGGCGCCCATGGACGAGGACGAGGAGATCGAGGTGGAGCTGGCCAAGGGGAACACCGTTGTTATCAAGTACAAGGCGCTGTCCGAGCTGCAGCCCGACGGCAAGAGGTGGGACTGAAGCTCTTGCTCGCAGAAATGACGTACGGATGCCCTGACGAAGCCTTAGGCATGCTTTCTCAGGCACCTGTGTTGGCCGAGATGCCCTCGCCTAGGCTTTGAGCTGCGGTTCTTGGATCATGGTCATGCTTTGTAATCGCGGTTATAGATTCTTGCGGCCAGCCAATCACAAGAGTGAGGGCCATTGAACTGGCCAGCAAGTCTGCCTTCGTCCTAAGGAGGTTGTGGCTTCAATGCCATGCTTGAGCGAGGACTCAAAGCCAGTGGTCAAGCAGGATCACATACAGTATATTCTTGTGCATGGACACGACTTGCCGACTTGCTAAATACGCTTTGCCTACGTCTCATGGCTGGGTGCGTCACCAATTGCGCTGGCTGTTTCATGCGCTTACATGGTTGATGTTGTTGGCTTGCCCTGTTGGTTGAAGCCCCTGTCAATTCCACCTACGTAGGATCCCTCACATCTGATTTTATCTGATTTATGTGCGTCGGTGCAGGGAGGTGTTCTTTGAGAGCAACGGCATTCCGCGGGTGGTCGAGGTAATCGACACGACGGCGGCCGACACGGCAAATGCGGCCGGGAGCGCCAAGGCGGCGCGCGACAAGGCCAACCCGACCGACGACGGCTCCGTGGGGGCACCCATGGCCGGCGAGGTCATCGATGTCAAGATCAAGCCCGGTGCGCGCGCGTTCCCTCCCTCTCCTTTCCTTCCCAGGGGCAGGAGGGCACTATCGCCCTGGTCACTCTAAACACCACGCCTCCGGCGGTGCGGAATATTTTGAAGGGCACCATGTAGGGTCCTTCCTGGCAATGTTATCACTTGGGCTTGCTCCTTTGGATCTGGCTTGTCGAGAGCTCCCCAAATCTGGTCTCAAAGCTGCCGCAGGTGTTATGTTTTGGGAGATACGGTCTTAAGTATCAACTTACTTCTGCCAAAAGATATAATCTGCAATCTATATATATATATAAATAAAATCTTCTGCCAAAAGATGTTTCAGCTTTTCACTGAGCAGCGCTACACTAAGGATTGTCTTGACCACAATACCGAAGCATTTCTGCCCAAGCGTTTGCATGTGAGCTGATCTTGGCATGTGCTGCGTTGAGCAGGCGAGACTGTGAAGGCGGGGCAGCCGCTGGTGATTCTGTCGGCGATGAAGATGGAGACGAGTGTGTCGTCGCCCCTCAGCGGCACCGTTCGCCACGTGGCGGTGACTAAGGGCGACCAGATCGATGCAGGTGCGTGTCATGAGCCATCGCCACCTCAGCAGGTCCCTGACACATGCAACACCCCGAGCAACAGGCCGGCAGGAAGTGCTTACGAATGCAAGTATAGTTGCGCAAAAGTTTGCAACTCGATTTTCGCATGCTCATTTCTTTGTCTAGCTGCACTTCTGGCGAGAGCTTTATTTCCAATTTTTTGCATAGCCTAACTTTCTGTAGCATAGCCTAGGAAGGTGCCGCACCAGCATGTTGCCTTTTGCCCCTCTACTTGTCTCGATGCCCATGTGTTAATCTCCATGAGCTCTCTTGAACACTGTGTGATCAGTGCTGGTGTGAACTCACACAATTAGCAAAATTTGGGTGGCCATATTGTCGAGCTTAGTGTCGAGCTTACTTTCAGCTTCTAAGTTCACATTTGTGTATAAGTGCCCGCAGTTGATTGGTCTTGCTTCTAGCAAGTCCAACTAGGGATGGAATCGTGGTAGCCTTCAACTGCGCAATTTGTCGGCAGGACGTTCCTTGCCTTTTGGCAGGACACCGTTTGATAACAATATTATTCTCCAAAGTGAACTTTGATGGTGTTGATCTGAGATGGATGAGCTGAGGAGTGAGTACATATGTGTGCAGGTGATCTTGTGGTGCTGATCTGGGAAGGAGGGGAGGCCCCTGAAGGAGAGGACGCATCTGGCTCAAAGTCTGCTGCACCAGCTCCCCAACTGCAGCCTGCTGTTGCATAGAAGCATTGTCCTGGAAGACCTCTGCTTGTTCTAGAACTTGACACTGCGCACTGCAAGCCTTACTGACTGACAGTATTGAATGATCTTTGGCTGAGAATGAGCACTCTCTGATCCAGATCGGATCTGGCTGAAGGATCTTCTTGGTGATATGTATATTATGTAGCGTGCGTTGATGAGCATCTTGGACTGCAGAATTGCACTGCACTTAGCAGGTATCTGTATCAGCAAGATATACACAGGAAAGTCATCATGCATTCGGCATGATGTCTTCATTCAAACTAGTGTCCAAAATTCTAATGCCTGCTTGAAGCTTAAAGCCATTCAATGTGCACAATGTCCATGTGGCACACAAGGTCTAGACTTAAAATTGTAGCGGTACCGCCCTGGTCACCGTTCGACTCTAGAATGAGCTACTGCAATACAAACGCTGCACAGTTCAGACTTAAGAAAGGTTTTGTAATTTTGTGATATGATGGACATATGCATGGTGTTGGCGCTGTACCGATTCACTGACTGAGAGGTGAGCTTTCAGAAATAATATCGTTCGTTAAGTTGTGAAAGCTGAGTGCCACTGGCTGGAAACTCGCGTGAGGAAGTTGAAGAAGGACATGCAAGTGATAAAAGAAGAATCAGATATTCTTGCTGCCTTTGAGGCTGCAAGATATAAGTCCCATTGCTCACCTTGATTGATGTATGACTGATTGACATGCGCATTTGAGTAATTTTGATTTTAAAAAAGCTTGAGGAAAATTTCCACTGAAAAGCTCGGTAAGTGCAGCCAGTGGTCCTCGAGCTATATCGAAATCACTGCCTTTGGAGTGCTGCTCATGACGAAGGTCCTCCTGGATCGATCAGGGAGTTGATGAGTGCTGAACGTTAGGCTAACGTAAGCACACCTGGCAGGGACCACGAAATCCCTAACCTGTCATCCGCACATGATATAATAGATCAGTACAAATGAAGAACATAAAAAGGTACTCGTATTTGGGCTTTTTGAATACGGGCTGGGAACGTATTTGCGCATCTGCAGCATTCGAGCCCATCTTAGCCCAAGTCATACATTTTTCTGGCTGTTCATCGAAGTTACACTGCCATTTAGGCCTTAAATATGGTAAAATGTCCTTCAATAATACTTGCTTGCACCTCGAAGGCTGTGTCAGTCAAGTACTGACTGTAACGCTAGACTATCGGTGTGGCGATTCCCTCATGAGCAATTGAATAGCTTCTAAGTTGCAATGCTTGAAAATTTGAGCAAAACTGACCAAGTGTTGGTTCTCTTGAATCGCTTAGCAGTCGCCAACGAGAATCCAGGGCAGTACGCCAGCAGTTTTGACCCTCTACTCACACAAGATAGAGGCAGTATTGTAGGACTGCAGCAGAATAATGCTTCGCCAGCAGTACCTCGTAGTAGCGTGAAGGGTGTTTCTTATGACATTACACAGCCTTCAGCAGGCGATTCTTTCTTTCACAAGGAAGGACAAGCTCCCAGAGCATCCTATGTAGCTGTAAATAAGCCCTCAGAGGCAGCAGTGCGAGTGGTGCTGGGCGATCAATCGCACCCTGCTGCCAGAAGGAGCTCCAATGCACAGCGCAGGCTCAGGTATACCCTTGCTGCAAGACTTTGCATGGGAGATTTCTCTGTAGTTCTGTCCAGTCATTCTGACCTTCCTGAGGCTGAGAGACCGCGCAAATATCGAGCCTGAGTCTTGCAAAACAAGCACCTCTTGCGAGCATATGCATCGACGTTGGACTGACCCTACCAACAAGCAGTGTCATCATCAGCAACCGAGCCACTCAACAATAACTTACTAGTGTGCTGCAGGCGGTCGACAAACAGCTTAAGGACAAAGCTGTTTGGGCAGGCAAAGCGAGTGCCTGGGGAGGAAGACATTATAGACACCACAGGAGCGTTGTCGGATAGTGTGCGCGTGCACCCACTCTCCAATTTTCGCCGCTACTGGGATCTTACAGCCATCGCCTTTACCATACACACAATCTTGGTGCTGCCGTTCCGAGCCGCGTTCTTTTGGGATTACTACCGCGAGCTGGAGGCTCACCACACTATCTGGGAGCAATTGCAGGTGATGAAATTGAAGGTGCCCCCATTGGCAGCAGACCTGGAAGGCTAGCAGCCTCTTTTGAGCTAATGTCAAGATATGTGTGACTTAAATATAGTGGGGCCAATTTGCGTTGGTTTTGCAATATGTGACTGATGACCAGCAGCCAGGAGCTCTGATAAGGCGCTAGTGGCTCTAGCAGAAGACCTCACTCAATTAGTAGAACAGACTCTGTCAAAAGTGGATTTTGGCAATGCAGGCGCAACTTTGTTGCAGGATGCATCATATGAGCTCATGCTGATAAAGGTGTGGCATGTGCAGGTGGATTGGATGCTCGCAACAGAATTGATTATAGACTTATTCTTTCTCCTAGATATAGTTCTCAACTTCAACACCGGCTACATAGCAGACCAGGTGAGCCCCTTTCCCCGTGTTGCAATACCAGCCCACCCATCCATAATTGCCTGGATCAGACCCTCTGCCTATTTGTATGCTTGATTGGACATCCCACAGAGCTTTTGCTTATGGCACAAATTTGAGCTTTGCCTTTTCTTCTCCTAGCAAAAAAGGAGAATGTCACTGCCTGCGTGGGAAATAGGTGTTGGTGATGGAACGAGGTGCAGTCAGGAGGCACTATTTGCAAACATGGTTTGCGCTGGATATCATTGCCTCAATCCCCCTGGACCTTTTGTTAAAGGGGCGGCGATTCGATATTCTGCGCCTACCCCGACTCCTGAAAGTCATCCGGATAATGTACTACCGTACACTTATGCAAACAGGTGCTCCATTCAGCCGCATCCAGCACCCACAATTTCCATACGAAAAATCGGGCCATATTTTGAGTGCTGCACTGCCTTTTTGCCATGTTAAAACCTCTTTGCATCCTGGCAGTCATTGCTTGCTTCAATGCAATGGAGACCTGACCCTTCACTGGGAACTTAGTCTCACTGCCAGCGCGCTCAAATCGCTCCCATAGCACGCCAGGCTTCTGGCTTTCAGGGAGCATCTTTGCGTATGGTTGCACGTGTGGTGTTGCACCTAGCTTGAGGCAAAATTATCATGGTGGTGCTGGGTATTTGTAGTGTGAGGTGAGGTAGTCTAAGAAAGGTTCTGGTCAGGATTCAGAGGCAACTTGTGTTCTGTGCTGCAGTGCATGATCTTCGAAGGACGCCGATAGTATCTAGCATTTCGCGCTTCCACATTCAGATCATGCAGATGTTTCTGTTTGTGTTCATCTGGGTCCATTGGGACGCCTGCCTTCAATATGGTGCTTGCTCGGCTCAAACACCCCTCAGGTGAGCCATCATCATTCTGCGCTATGGTTGTTATTATTATTATTATTCTCAAGCCGCAGTTGGCTTAGGTGCGTCGCGACGCACCTATGGTTGTACTATACTATAAAATGGTATTTGTGAAAACATGGACTGGGAGCCTCCATGCCTTGCCAGCATTGCATGACGGCTGGTCAAATTTCAATCATTGGAAGGTCTCGAAGATTCTCATGTTGATTACTGCGCACATTCTGGGCGCCCACCGTGCGCCCCAAGTGGCTTGCGATACATTTCAGAAATCCCAGGGGTGTTATTTGCGATTGCACAACATTCCTCAAGCTCTTGTCAAGAATCTCTACTCCGGAGTTCCATCGTGCGAATGGGTGTCTCAGCTGATGGGTGTTTGCCAATTAATTCTAAATAATTCTGTAGCGGCTGCTGGGTATATGCCAGCGGACTTGCTGATCAGAGCATATACGAGAAGTATAGCTGGGCGGTGCTCAAGGCTTGGTCTGAGACTGTCAGCGCCGGTGCGTGCCATGTGCCCCTTTGCCATTCTTGCATGTTGCCATCATCGAGTGATGAAACATGGACATCTGCTAGCATTCAAGGCCCTTAACCCTGGTTGCTAGAATTGAGGGCCTACGCCCCGGGATGCTGGCAACAATGAATCTTCAAGTTCAGAGCCGGTTGCTTCTCTAGGCAATCTGTCTGCACTACCCCAGCAAGAGAGTTCAAGCCAGAAAGAACGGCTTAGCTCCCTCTAGGGCAACAGTTCATTGGATCCGGACCCCATGGATTTATCACATGTGTCATTGCTCGCTCCCTTAGGTCCACAGTGTGTGCTTGGGACGGGCCCTGCCAAAGTTCCAGCCAAGTTTTAAGCATACTATGATCTGAGCGCTCAAATGCTGCCATGATGTGGTGGCAGGCTATGGCGCCCAGGACCCAGTGACAGCATTTGATTGCTGGATGACTACTGCAAGCCTCTTCTGGGGGATGTGCATTTGGACATTCCTGGGAGGCATAGTCACCACTCTCCTAATCCACCTCAATGCGGCCTCCTCGGAATATACCGCCAAGATCACCGCTCTCAACCAATACATGGCACACCGGAGGCTGCCCCAGGTGAAGGGAAAATTTCACCTTTCTGCATTACACTATCATTGGAAGATGGTGTAGGATTGCTGTAGTGTTACAGTACGTGAGATGGCTTTCCAAAAGAGCTTTTTTTTTTCTGTTGGAAGCTTCTTTGGCTTGCACTCTGGAGATTTCTGGCACAAGATAAAGGCTGTCGCTGTCTGCTAGTGCATGCTTCGAGGTGTTAGGGGGAAGAGGTAACTTTGTGGAGAAGGCCATTATAGGGATCTACCGAAATTTGACAAAGCGACCAGCTGTGACAAAGCCCTCACATTCTGCCATTGGCTATGGGTGTACACGGCTTGTCTGTTCTCAGGCCTCAGCTTCCTCTTCATACGTGCATATTTAGATTGTGTAATGCGCTGCATCATATCGCGATGTGTACTGCAGGGTCTACGCCAACGGATTAGAGACTCGTATGAGGCGCGTTGGAAGGCTGAGAAGCACTTTGATGAAGAGGAAATTATGCAAGAGCTGCCAAATTCCTTGCGCACAGAGGCAAGGCCAATCTTTTCTGCATGAGGCACCACAAGAGCAGCTAGCCAGTACACTGACTTAAACAATCAAAGGAGCAACTGAGTGTGCATGTTCACAAAGAGCAGATGGACACTGAGCGCGTGGCCAACATTGCACGCACCTTGAGCCAGACTCAGCTTTGCAAGCCCTTCAAGACTGTGCAGTTGGAGGCATATGCGCTCTTCTTTGCTCACTTCATTGGAATGGGTATGATTGCAGGTGTGTCTGTATACTTGTGGGGACCTCATCGCGAGCGTTCCCTTTTTTGAGGATGCCGAGGAGGGCTTCACCACCTCGTTGGTCACACTGTTGCGCCCTGCGGTGCGGCCATCGCACATTCAAGCACTATGGCAATGTTTCAATAGATCTAGTATATCCATTGCTTAATAATACTTTTAAAAAAGTACTGGTAGCAGCCCTAAATATAGTGGACTTTGCTATTGTGCTGTGCCACACTGTCTTCGGTACCCTGGACAAGAACTGCAATTTCAAATAGTTCCTATATTGCTGCAGGTGTACTTGAGAGACGATGTGGTGATTAGGGAAGGGGAAGTATCACGAGAGATGTACTTCATCAAGTCAGGCGCTGCACAGGCAAGCACCTCAAGCGGCCCTGTGCGATCTGCACGAATAGAACATTCATTGCAAGATTCATGTATGAGGCCCGCGAGTGGCCTGCAGAGCACCCCGGGTCCTTCCCATGCATTCTAGTCTTGATGGAACGCACCAAGCACCAACGGGGGAGATTGCATGAGGGCCCATGTGGCTGCGCGCAGGTGGAGGTCAATGGAATGGTGGTGACGGTGTTGAAGAAGGGGTCCTATTTTGGTGAGATTGGGCTCTTGCGAAACTGCCGGCGCACAGCCTCCATCCGTGCTCTCTCTCAAACCTGCGACCTATTCGTGTTGAGCAAGGTGCGCTCAGCACACTTCCTTCCTGATAGTCATGTCTGACCGGCAGTCGTGTCTGAGGGCGCATTGCAAATGACCAGATGTAAATTCGCACCAGTCAGTCTGCTTGATTATGATTGATTTTGCACAAGTCCCTTTCTTGGCAAACTGAGGTATGCTGAAAGTACACAGAAAGTGACATTTTGCATGTGCATGCACCCGCGTCACGCACCCACGGGGGCATGCTGCTGACAAGTGTCTGGCAATCGAGTTGTGGAGTGCTCAGGACAGCCTGTTCAGGCCGAGCCAGCATGTCAGCCAAAGAAGCAAATTACTCATTACAAACAGCTTCTACTATATGACACTGCTGTTTAATAGGGAGGGCCTAAATTGGTGTGGAGAGGCCGCGAATCTTGCTTACACTTGAAGTCCGTGGTTGCTGCAGGAAAATTTTGACGGAGTGATGAAAGACTACCCGGACTCCAGGAGGGCGATGGACTTGATCGCCGAGCACCGGCTGCGGACGCTGCACTCCAGCTCAGCATGGCAGTTCAAGCAAGATGCCCTGGGCGCCAAGAGCGTGAGTCTGGGCGCCAAAATAGAGTCCGTCCTTGAGGTGCGCAGCTCTCAGTGTGTGGTGATCTGTCATTTTGTAGCCCTTCCATTCTGCATTGAGAAACCTTGAAGGCACCACATGCCTCGAGTCTGCAGAGCCCATGCATGAGTTTGGAGAAGTCCAGAAATGTTCACGGAGGTTTGCTTGAGCCGTTGCCATGCTTCAGAAGCCAAGAGCTTCTGAAGTTCACTCCAATGCTCCTAATGATTATCATACCCATTTGCGATGCTTTATGGGATGCCGGCTGATAGGTGCAACACAGTGTTCTGACCGTCAGAACATCAGCGTGACGCTGATCGCATGGATCCATGCAGATGGATGACATTGAAGGCGGTGACTCTGGGCAGCAGCCGCCCACGCCCACCCGCATCCAGGCCACTATCTCTAGCAGCTCTGCCCCTGTGCCAGGTATCACCCGGGGCAACAGCCGCGCCGCGTCGGGCGGTCGCAGCGCGCCGGCAACGCCGTACACACTGCAGCGGACTATGACGGCCGATCTGGCGCGGCAGCAATTTGCAGAAACGCCATCCAGGGTCCACCCGCTGCGCCACGCCAGCTCAGCGACCTCGGAGGCTGCGCTGGCGCAGCAAGGGCATGGCATGCTTAGGCGTACTGCCAGCGCAGGAGACCTGTCAATGCTGTCTTTGCAGCAGGGCGATGCAGATAGAAGGGCGCGGTCAGCTGCAGCGGAAGGAAGCAATGCGCGAGAGAGGGGCGGCGCTGGTGTGCTAGGGAAGCTGATGGGGAAGGTGGGCGGCGCTGGCAGGCAAGCAGCTAGGAGAAATGACTTCAAAGCATTTCTGGGACCTCCCGGGGTGAGTTGCTGTCCACGCCCCAACAAAAAGTCTGTTTTATACTGGCTGAGGCATGTATACACCTACGTAGCAGCTTGCCTGAGAAATCCAAATGAGCATTCCAACAAAGGCTCCAGAACATAATCATGATTCTCTTCTCTGCCAGCAGTACCAATGCACGAAATGGTGTTGAGCATATTCAGCAAGATGAGAGATGCCCAATACCTCCATGACGAATCTAAACAACATGATGACATAGCAGGGCGCGCGATGAGAGTGAGAAGGTGGGAATGTATTAATTCTATGGAGAGCATGACTTGCTAGGTGACCTCCTGAACCATTTCTTTGAGTGCTTTACGATATACCTGTCGTTGCATGCATGCAGATCAGAGAGGACGAAGAAGACTTGGAGCAGGGTCATCAGTCAGGGGTCACATCTCCTTTGCTGGCAGGGTCGCAGCGTGCCAGATCAGGCGCCTACACCTCTGAGGCTGAATTGATGCCCTTGTATCGTAGGGACCAATCCTGGCGCTAGTCTAGGCTGAGCATAACTTCAAATAGGTGTGGCTGTCAGCGGCCTTGTCCAGACTGGGATATTGAAGACTGCACTGCTTGAATGTGGCATTTGTAACACTGTTACAGTACAGCCAAGCGCAGCCAAGCACAGCAGTGGCTGGCAGCCAGTTGGTGTGCTTCAGCAAGTTTTGCGCACAGCCAAGCTGGAAATGTTGTGGGTTTTCCCTGGGTGGAAAATGGGCCGTGCTTAGAGCAAAGCAGTGCTTTAACTTAAAGGGGGATTGTGGAGAGATGGTGCACTTGAAGGGAGTCTGGTCATAGAGTCATAGATTGTCGATATTGGAGGTGGGGATAGGCATTTGCATGGCTCATATATGGTATATTTGTTGTGTAGCGTGTGGCGACAATGTGCCTGGACAGCACCATGGGGGTATGACATGGTAACATTGAAGTGTACTATGTCCTGTAGACCTGAAGGCTGCAAGCGTGCATTTGCGAGTTGACAAGGCTGCAAGCCTATGCATATCGGCCCCGGGTTCCGGCTGCAGACGGACCTGTGTATGCCCTATGGCCCTCTGGGCTCTGGGTTCGCCACTCATAAAGATTATTATTATTATCATTATTATTATTATGATGTCCAGTACATGCCATACATCCGACTTAAACATCACCATCCACAAGTCTATAGCAGCAAAGGACAGAAAAAAAAAGGCGCGAAAAAAAAGCATGTAGATTGTGGCACCCATTAGGACTCGAACCCGGGCATTCCGAATTAGGGGAGGGGCTCGAACCCTCTACCAACTAACCCGTCCAGGGATTGGGCTCGAACCAATTACAGCCTGACGCCACCAGGAGAGCCGTGCCTTGCTCAGCTGTTGCTTTCAGATTCATATATTGCCTTGCGTCTTTAGTTTTGTCCAAGCCGCATTTGCCAGGCCCTTTACCCAGCGCAAACGCGTAACAACATTTGGGGCGTGTTATGTTGAGGCAGCCAAGTTTTTTAAAGATATTACAGCAAGGTGAACACCCAAACACAAGAGTTTAACTTTTTACATGTGTGTCTGACTGTTTGGGCGGGACTTGGCAGCAGCAGTAATGCATTAATCGAGACTGCAGTAAATTTTGAAGAGTGTTTTCGACAACGAGAGGTATCTCTTCGAAGCTCACACAAACTGACATTTTGGCAAAGCTCCCAAAACTTCAGCACCCGACCGCTGCTCGGAACAGTACGGTATATCGTAGGTGAATTGACCTATTTGCGGCATTGCAGTAGTAAAACCAGGGAGAGTAGCCTAGGAGAACTCTCCCTGGTAAAATTAGAAGTCGGAACCAGCTTGATCTGTGCCGCACGGCGAGCACCTGGCCGCCATGGCTCACGCCACGTGACGAGTGTATCGTTCGTTCTGGCTTTGCCGAGCCGAGCTCAAACCTTACGTAAGGGGAGCTGACCTGCCTTTCTTGTGCATGATTTTAAAAACCTTTGGCATCCAGAGCTCAAAGCCTGTCCTCGAGCTCACCGTCTTCGATCATCAAAGATAAGCAAGTGACAAATGCAGGAAGGGGCATGTGGCTGAAATGGATCCTGTAATGATGTCATTGCAGATGATGTTTTAAACAATGTCAGGCACTGGGGCTAGAGGCTAGAAGCAGACCACTGAAGGGCTGGAATGCCTGTGTGGGAAGTGACCTTGCTGCCATCGCGATCCAATCGGGCATGCATATGACTGGTGGAGGACGTGCAAGAATTGAGAAGACTGGAGAGCAAGAACTTAGGCATTACTTGAGTACCTAGTCCTTCAGGACTGAATTACATGTAAATTTAATATAAGATGATAATAGTGCCGTGCATCCCCCACTGAGATATGTCAAGCAACTACTATGTTTCGCACAATAACGAAACGTATGTATAGTAACAACTACAATTACAGTAGCAGTGCCAAACTTTTGAGATTTGCAATCTTGTTACACTCATCGTTCAGCATGTTTGCTTTCGTGCCCAGGGGGCTAACTAAGGCTCAATCATGCTGTGCATGATGTCAGAAAGGGTTTAATCATTCATTGTGGTCACTAATCATACAGATGCGTCTACGACAGCATACAATAAATCTAAAATCCGACAAAACTATGGGATGAAGAAAGCAAAAATACTTCAACGTTCAGACTTAGGCCCCCCGGGCCCGGAGCAGCTTCAAGCAACCCATCTGGTGATCATTTGTAGTTTCTCCCTCCAGGCATGCACTTAATTGATCTGCAAGGTCCTTCAAGACCTGATGGGTCCCTTACTAGGTGCAACAGAGCTCTAAGATCCGGCACTGTCCTTTTCACTGAATAGCTCTTTCACTACACAAATTAGTTATACAAAAGCAAATCTGATGACTTCAATGTGCTGGCAGGCCTATGCGTCTTCCAGCATCCAAAGCATCTGGAAACAGAAAAATGTGTTCGTTCGCGCCAGAATGCCGGCTGCCAAGCTGCTGGTAGCCTGATGCATCACAGCTGTGAATTCATACTCAGATACAAAGCGACTCCTGCTGCTCCTGCTACTGCTGCTGCTGCTGCTGCTGCTGAGTGAGCTTGCTCAGGCAGCTGCGCAGCTCGTCGGGCCGCAACAGAGGAACTGCCTCACGCTCTATCAAGCTGGGGGGCGTGATGGGAGCGGGGGGTCCCTCACACCAGACAATCCCAAACCCACCAAACTCGCCATCTGGCGACACCTCCCGACTGCCCTGGCAGTGTGCGTGGCTGCCCAGGGGAGAGTCATGGTCACAGGGGCTGTCGGGCGTGAAGCTGGGGGGCGGCTGGATGGCAGGCATGGGGAAGGCGGGCCCTTCCAGGCCGTGCTCTTCCATGATCATCTGCGCCTGCTTGCGCCAGGTGCGCTCCTTGATGACCTGCAGCGCACAGCACAGCATGCCCTCAACGTGAAGGAAACTTTGAAAGCAGAAATCTGCAACCTGACATGCCATGATTCAATCACCCGTTGCACCGGCAGGTCATGGTAACTACATGGTGTCAAGTGAAACGCATGTCTGCAGCCTGACATTTACAGCATTTAAGCCGATAGGTCTTGCTCCATTGCAGGAAACTGATCAGGTGCTGCCTCTTCAATCTTGTATTTATGTCGCCTTGCCACCTTGGCTTTGGGGCTGGAGGAACTTGAGGCTGGAATATCAGGCATGCACCCTCCCTAAACTTGAGTTGCATGCCTAGACAGCGACCGCAACTTACCTCTGATTCCAGCATAGATCTATCCTGCAGGTAGAATCAAGGAAGGGGCCTGATAGGTGGCTGCACACCTCATTTGACAGCTGGCGCACTCTGTCCTGGGCATCCGCCAGCTCGTGGCAGACGTGGGCGGGGTCGTCCAGGATGTCCCAGGCTCTGTCCAGCTTATACATCAATTCCTTCGACTTTTTGCCCAGCCGGGACGCGCCATGCCGCTGATCGGCCGCTTCCAATTTCGCTTCCCCCATCTGCACAAGCGCACATCATGCGATCTGAAGTCTTTCGCTTGTGCACCCTTTTTTCCTCTCAGCCGGGCAACCGGTGAGTCCGGCATGCGCTGACCAAGATGCCCATCTGGATTTATCCGGCAAAGTACGAGTACCACCCCATCAGGAATCCGGCCATGCTAGACACAATACACAGATCCACAGAGTCAAGTATTCCTGAGCCCTTTTGCATGAAGATCTGTCGCAGCCAGCTTGTCTCTGCTAATTTGACCTGGGCACTGCAGTGGTGCTCACCTTAAATGTCAGCAAGTTGCGCTGCTCGTTGTTCTGCTGCACCAAGTCTTGCTGGGCAGCCAGGCTCTTGCGCAGCAGCCGCCTTGTGCGGTCCAGGTCGGCAGCACTTGCTGCATTCTTCTGCTCTGCTGTCTCAGCGCGTTGGAGAGCTTCTGCCAACTGCAGGCGAAACACAGAACCAATGTCAGCAATGTTCACCCAAGGTGATCTCATATCTGCAGGCTGCACGCAAGATGTAGATGGGTCTTGAGGAAGAGGAAAGTTTGGAAGTTGTAGAGACGCCTCGGTGGGACAAAGCTATATTGATGGCTTTGCTCAAGCAATGGGACTAGGCCTTCCTCACTGTTGTGCCAAGGAAACACAACGTGGCAGGATGCAGCAATATGCAATCATCCTGCGCTGAACCTGGCATTGTGACATTCGACTAGGAGTCTGTGGGAGTAAAAACAGCACAGAATGCACACGCGCCTGCTTCTGCATGTGCTCATCTGGCCTTTCTCGCCTCCTTCGTTGCCGCCAAGCAGACGGGCGGCGGCCTCTGCTCGCCGCATGCCCTGATGTGGCTGTTTCTGGCGCAGACTCGGAGTCTCCCTCAACAAAGTCCACTTGTGTATGGTCGAGGCGCGCACGCTTGACCTGCAGGTGCGAATGAACATGATTAGCAAACACGCTTGCTCAGTGTCTTGGTGCCCTGCGATGCGAAGCTGGCAGAACCCAGAATTTTAGGAACCTTCAGATGCAGGATCCACAGTTCTGCACCACTTATAACAATGGGGGGTGACCTGCTGGCGGTCTTCGTCGTCATTGGGCTGGTCAGCTGAGTCCTGATGCTCCCGAGTCCTCTTTGATGAAGTGGAAGAGGTGGCTTCCTCCTCAGAACCCAATCCTTCCTGCAGCAGCCAAGAACACTCCTTGTGGATATTGTACAGGCAAATCAAGCTATCTGTACTTTATACATGCATCACCACATTGACTTATAGACGTGCCCAAAAAAACTGCGCCAACCCAGAAACCCTTGGCGATCCCGTCACTTGGCAGCCCCCAGGACATAGCTATGGCAAGCCAGGCGAAAGAGCTTGCGTCAGCCTTAAATCGGCAGAGGACCACCTCTGACTGATTTCAATAATCAATTATTGACTGATGTGCATTTATCCTACGACGCAGTCCTCCCTCGACAAAGTGAGCTCATGAGCTCGGCCATTGCATCGAAACAATGCAAGCGTTGGTATGGTGCCAAAAGCTGGGATTATCCACCCTAGTGACATAATCTGCCCACAAGCGTCTTGACGCCGTTGACAAAAGGGCCATCGCCCCCGTTCGCGCAGGTCTTGAGCTTCATGTCACTTTGGTGATCTGTTCTGTTGAGGTGTTATGTATAGGCTTATGGATCCACTGGTTTTACTGCAACAGGTCTAAACCAATATTGCACAAGAATGAAAGCTGAGGTTGCAGATTCTTACGTGCAAGATGGTACAATGAATATGTCTGCCTTCACACAGAGGGTAAGTGGGGTAATTTCTAGGGCTCCTAATAAAGAGGAGGTGATTTTAAAAGGAGAAGCTGTCAGAAGCACACTTCAATCGTTGCAGCCAGACTTCATCATTGCTGCAAGTCTGGAAGACAATTCATCGTGTTGAATCACCCGCTCACTCAGACAATTGCTGAGGCGACTTTGTTAGTATATTCCTGGAGCCTGATCTAGGCGAGATCCTTTCAAGGCAATTATTGAATCCCACACGTAGCGCCTTTATCAAATTGCGTACGATGTCACCAGGATTTCTGGAGAATACGGTGATTTAAAGGCTTGAGATTCTAGAACACTAGGTGAGAACGTGCGCCATAAGATCAAGGACACAAGGACGGGTCTTGACAAGCACAGCACAACTGTCGGCATCCCGCAGAGGTATATTTGTGCGACACATAGATTGTTTGCTCACACCCTGCATTTGGTGCGGCAAGACAGAGAGATCATTGGTGCAGCTATAAGGTCACACAACACAGAAAGTCAGGAAGGGGTTGTGTGCCGCAGGCGATAACAATGTTCAACTGATTAAGGCTCAGACCATACAGAGCTTGCTGCGCAGCTGCCGGCCTGCAAAAGAGGAGACGGTGCTGCAGGGGTCAGAGCGTACCTACTGACATCAAGGTTGTGTTCTGCATCACTTTGGTCAAAGTGCGGCAATTGACGCACTGCGAATTAGTGTAGCTGAACTATGAACTGACTTCTCCAAGTGTGCACTGGCAGAGATGAAAAAGGACGAGTTGAATCGAGAACTTAGACTTTCAAAAGAACTCTTCAAGCAGACGCACAAAGAATGGGAGTGGGTAGACAGCTGCTATGAGGAGTTGAAGGCAAAGGCAGAAGTACACGGCATTGGTACGACCTCACGACCGCTTGAATGGCCCACCCCAGTGGCAGAGCAATGCAGGAGAGCTGGTTGACTAGTGACCAACTTTAAACATCGTGTGTGTTTGGTGCGCAGACTTCGAACTTTTAGACATCCAGGCAATCTATAGCATGCATTCTCTGCCCAACGATCTCAGAGAGGATCTCTACCGGGCCTGGTGTTATAGTGACCTCCGTGCAGAGTTCAAACGCCGCCAGAAATGGTGAAAGAGGGAACTAGCAATGTTTTACCAGCAAAACCCGCCTCGTGCTGATGGTGCCCCCCCTACTATCAAAACCTGACATGACACTGTTGTTCCAGCAAGGTTGTTTTGCCCGTCTTTGCTTTGCTCGCCTGTGCTGCAGAAGCTTTTCAACAACGACGCGACAAAAAATAGTGACTAGCTACACAATGTTGTCTCAGAGAGTCAAAGGCAGTCTGGTCCTTCCTTAGCTTTTCAGCTACATGGCAACCTGAGGTTGCGCTGATGCTGTTGTGAATGCGCTGATGCTGTTGTGAATGTGAACGTGAATGTGAATGTGCATGGTCAAGAGTGCAGAGTTAAGTTGGTAACATTGGTAATACAAATTAGCAAGCCCAAATGCCTTGGCTGCTTGGGCAGGTACAATCTGGGAGCGGATGGGTGGCTACTGCCGCAGAATGTTGCTCCAGACTGATCAAGAGCCAGCGCAATTGGAATCAGCACCATCGCAGTCTCTGAAGCACCCGGATACGTCGATGCCATCCCACATGCACGACTCCTTCAGTTCAGTCACTGGCAGTCACTTGCACTTCGATTGAAGCATGGCAGCGGGCTGATGCAGCACAGCCAATCAGCTGTTGGCGGCATGCGGTTCCACCAAGGCCTTTTCTGAGCTGACAGCCACTGGGGTTTGCAATGGCCAGCCCGAGCAGGTCATCCATGGGACCGTCCGTGGGACCGTTGTGACAAATCCACTCTTGGGCAACTTGAGCTGCTGCATGCATGCATATATTGTAGTTGAGCTCCGTAGCCAAGCGTAACCTCTGTGGGTTATGAGAAGAGTGCCCTTTCTGACTTGTTGTGTGTGTTGGACCACCATGGCATATGACTTACCCCAAGCGGCTTTGTGCATGCGGAGTGCAGCTAGGGACTGACCCTAAGATTCATCAAGGAAAGAATTCTCTTGCAAGTGGGTTGTTTATAAAGCCGTGCTTTCTGTTGCATTGCCATTGTGGACTCCCCAACTTTTCTTTGTCATGATGGTTGATAAATCATCCAGCAGCATAAGGTTGACTTGACAATAATGTCCCAGCCACAGGGCCAAGGTTGCTGCCACCTGTGATACCCAATGCTGCTCGGAATTTTGTCAAGCATACGTGGAAGCAAACAGATGTGCTTCAAAGCAGATGGCAACATCATGTGGACCTCATGATGTGGACCTGGCAAAAATAATGATATAAGTCCTTTTGTCTGGGACGAAATGCCACCCAGGGGTCTCCTTCCCAAGTGTAAGCCTGAAGTGGGTTGTTTGTCACTTGTCACTTATCAGAAGGGATTGCCAATCTAGATTAAGGCAGGTTTGTTTGGGCTGGCAATTTAAAGTTTGAAGATCTTTGTACCCCAACCCTTTGGGGCTCCGGGGTATTGGTGGGGTTGCGATGATGAACCCTACAATCTTTCGAACAGGGTTCGTTTTCTGGGATGGGCCAAGTGACGGGGATCGAATCCTGATACGACAACTTGCGGGAAATCTAGGACTGTCGAACAGCTCACACAAGTTGGGGATTGAAGCCAGGCTGACTCTCATAATTCTATGCATATTTTTCAGTGCGAACAATTGCTAGATCGCGAACTGCAACGCTATCGAATTGAAAACAGCAAATTAGAGCGCTGACAAGCAGGACATTTTTCTGCTTCGCTTGATGCAACATGCCCGTTCTTGCCGGTGCGGAGGCCTGCGCACCATAGATGTGGCCTGTTGGAGCATTCGCTCGATTTGAATTCGTGTTCCGTTCAACATTGGGATGTAGAAGTGAGCGCTGCCGCTTGCACTGCACTGTCCAGGTGCTAAGGAATTTCCGTTTTCCCTGTGCAGATGGCTTCTTGGAGGCTTTCGTCACGTTCATCGTAGCGCTTCCCTTGGCAGACGTATGGCAGGTGCGCCTTTCACAATTCCATATCTCTAATTTTTTTTTTCGCGTTGTGGCACAAAGGCTGGCAGATTTGATAGAAGATAATTCTGTATGTGCTTCAACCTCATCTCCTGATGCTTATCTGGGGCCTTTAATCCAAGATGCTCTGAAGATCCACCTGTGGAGAGAGAGAGAGAGAGAGAGAGAGAGGGGTAGAGAGAGAGAGAGAGAGAGAGAGAGAGAGAGAGAAACATTACATCATGCCAGCCAACAAGGCTGATTAGATGATCACTGTATCTAGATCAGTATTTACTCGTTCTGATGAGAGTCTGATAAACTGAGCCACCTGTACTAGATCATCTTGCCACATGAACTGACGCATAGTGGTGATACTGGGCCTAAACAGTGGATGTGGCTTGGTGAGCTCAGCGGTGAAGTGCTCTCTTTGTGATGCACCTTGCAGGACGTGGCATGGCGGGAGCAGCAGCGGCGGCTGCTGACGGCGCACTTTGGTCCGCGCGATGTGGAATCACTGGCCATGAGCTGCCGCTGGACACCGACAACGGCTTCACAGGGACGCCCCTGCGCTGGGTGCAAGAGCGAGTGCTCAAGGTGCTTTTGCCGTTCTGCTTCGATTATACTGGCAAAACATGATGGATTAGGATTGTGGCAATAATGATGTGCATGATGTGCATAGCATATTCTGATTCGAGTTGATTTGGAGTTCAAGGACCTTGCTGGTCATCCACATGGAATTGGGCTGAAGATGTACTTTGCACTGCTCGGTAGGAGAGAGCGCACGCGCCATGCCGACACTTTCGCCGCGCAGGACGCGCCTGCAGGCGAGAAATGAGGGCGCTTCTCTGGATAGTGTTTCGGCTGAAGCTGCCGCAGGGCATCAAGTCGATGGGGAGAATGTGGGCGGTGAGCAACCCCCTACGAACCCTTTCTCTCTGACACCGAAATGCCAGAATTGCCCTGTGTGCCTCCTCGGTGCAGGCTTGTTGAACAGGCATTGGTTGTGCAATCTTGTAGGACTGCTATTAAAGTTGTATAGGCCATTTACCTTCTTCCTACCATGTGACGACAACCAACCGGAGCTAGAACTTGACTCAGGAAGGCGGGATGCCAAGCCATTGACACTTCAAGAAGGGAAGGGTTACCAAGACGTTGCCGACCTGTTCCCCAATGTGATCTACGAGGGGCATGAAACAGAGGCAGCTCACCTGGGCGCCGATGGAACGGCCACCGTTTCTCCGGATGCACCAGAGGAAGTGCAGCATCTTGGCCTGCGTGGTGGTGGTTCTGGCGAATATTTGGTAAGCACTAACGCCGATGATTTAGACAACATTCCGATTCGTGAGTCCGTCCACCTATTCAACAATAGAGGGGCAATGGCTAGCTACTACGAGCCCAAAGGGGCAGAGCCCGAACGAGATCTCGTCAATTTCACTGGCAGCCAGGGGGCATGCAAGCCTGAACGCATCCCTGCTATGGAGGGCGACAGTAGGCCAGGTGGCTTTTCAGGTAGGATTAACCTTGTTGAACTCTCTCGTTGTTGGCCTCGCCATTGGTGCCAGAATTGTCTTGACGCAAAATGCAAGTGCGTGGGCTCAAAAGTGGTTTCGCGAGAGGGCATCAAGAGATACCCCAACTGGGACCCACGTTCTGAGTACTATAGGAACAAATACCGCCGATGCCATGGATTTGAACAAGGTTATAGAGGCTAACGGGGGAAGGGGGGGGGGGAGGGGGGGGGGGGGGACCCAGGCCGGGCTCTAGGATATTGAAGACATGTAATGGAATGCGAACTTCATTAGCCTTAATTGGCGGCTGGGGCTATGCGCCAGTAGGCATACCATATGACAGGGCCAAGTAGGCATTGGGATTGATCAACATCCTGCTGTTGTACAGTTGTCGTTCACTAGATGGAGCTGGAATACAAAAGGACTCTTACTAACCTAGTAAACAGTAATTAATTAAGCTAATTTGATGTTCCCTGAGAAAATTTACTAGGGGATATATATATCCCCTATTAAAATGCTGGAGTCCAGAAGGGATACAATACTTATGTAGTCATCTGGCGGGAGGTCTTGATGTATATGTGAAAGGGGTTCAACAGGACTGCAAGCAATTAGCTTAATATTTGCTCACTAAGAAGGATAAAAAACTGTGTCTGCAGCTGCCAGCAACATTGAGCAGACAGACATGTGGTAGCTCTAAGGAATAGCATAAGGAAATTTCATAGCTTCCAAGGGTGAATGCATGCAGCTGCTGCAGCGGTACAGCCTGTACAGCTGAGCTTTTCATTGATCAACCAGCTTTGCAGCACGTTTTGATGCGCGGATGCGCTGGGTGATCGCTTAGTCACTCGTGTCAACATGCAAGTGCGGAAGCCCTCAGTGCGCCGGGCGTTGCCATGTAATGGATCCCAATTCTTACTTACCCCTAGAGCTACCCACAAGTCACCTTCAATCTTCTCGATCCAATTCCTGCCAGTCTTCCAATGCATCAGTTCCACATATGTTCAACAAAACAGTTCTTATCCAATGCAACCCTTTAATTGCATGAACACGCCATATGAGGTGATTCCAAAAGGACATCAACTGCAAGGCAAATGCCAACATTAATTCAAGGTCCGCAACTGATCAGCCCCTGTAGCACATCAATATTGGAGTGCCCATACTACGCCACACTCGTGTCATGCTCAGGCATTTGCATTCCTTAAACGTAATCAAGACTGAACAACGGTTGTTCAATCTTGACATTAGTTCAGCTCTCCATTCAATATTCGTTCACGCAAGATGCTACTGTTTACCAAAAGCATTTCACAAAAACCCCAGTACTCTGCGTTTGATATTAGCCCAAAAATCAAACTGCTGTCTGCGAGGGGCGCCTGAGATCACCATGCATCCTTCCAGCCAAGACAAGTTTCACTCCTGCTTCTCAGCAGGCCATTCAATTTTGTCGCAACAGGAGCCAGCGCAACTTCTCCTACGACTTTTGCAGGTTCAGCATTGCATTCTTTCTCATCAATTGTGCTGCCAAGCGCGCAGCTACCGCGCACAACCTGAGGTACAAGTGGCACAGCACTCCCCCAGCCAAATGAGGGCACTAGAGCCAATTGCCTCCGAGGCTTGGTGCAGAGGGTAGGTAGGTGGGTGGATCCACGTGGCTGCAGCTCCAGCGGGTGGATTAATGGGCAGGTCCAGGGGTGGACCCACCGGGCGGCGGCTTCACCGCAGCGCCGCGAGGGAGGCGGCCGCGGCGCGCGCGATCATCAACTCAGCCTGCAGTTTGGTGATAAGGCGCATGAGTACGACATGCAGTATTCTAGTGGACTGATCAGACGCATCTTTGTACAGGGGTGAGTGTGCGACAGACACACGCAGCTGATCAGCAGACACAAGAACCTGAGTCACTCAAGAGTCCATACGCTTAGTGAAATTGCATTATTCCCAGGCCTCTTCTGATCTGCGCTCTGCAGTGTCCCCAGAGATCTACTTTCCAGCTGCACTTTCAGGAGGACCTCGGCTGGCTTCACCCCCAGCCAGGACGTGAGAACTTGCACTGGGGGACAGAACAGACCTGCAGCTTGTCGCAGTGTCGCCGGTCTTCTGGGGCTTCTGGCTTTTCCTCTCCATCCTTGTTCTCGCGCAGAGTCAGCTGCCGGCGCTCCTGCATCAGCTCCAGGCACTGCTCCGCGCTCTCCGGGCTCACAAAGTCGATTGCCACTTTGATGCACGACTTCAGGTTGCGGACCTGCGCCCCCATCATACACCCCTGTGAGCTTCCGCATTTGGTTTAGCCTCAATCCCCTCTGGCCTCTAGAGGGCCTCTATCAAACCCCTGCAGTCATGTAGGGTATGGCAGCGCCTCCAGGGACATGCATCATACGTCCACCGTCAGTTCAGATACCCCCGCCTTGACCAATCAAATTCCTGGCTTCCCTTCACCAGGAGTTGGAACCAAATAAAAGTCAGAGAGCCTTTGCGTGCTTCTTTGCGTATTCACGAGGGTCAGCTGAAATTCCTCTGAAATCAGGGACAGCCCTGTCAGCATGTGGCTGCTGTTCCTTGAGGCCCAGTGGCCTTGGTGATCTCTCAGGGGGGTCTATATAGAATTAGACATACTCACATCAAGTGCCCTGCCAGGCCTGTCCAAAAAGGGGTCTCCAAATCAAGACAAGGGGTGGATCGACAACTGGCGCACCTGGTGGGGGCAGCCGGCAGGGATGAAGACGGCCTCGTCCTGGTGCTGCTCAAAGTGCCATGACTCGACGCCGTACTCGCTCTTCAGCATCGCGCGGTGCCTGGCCGTCAGGAAGAAGTCCTGCATGATGCATTGGATGGAATGTGTCAGTGCAAGAGCAGTACAGCAACAGGCAAAGGCAGCTTGTCATTGACCCCATGCGAGGGAAGATTAGGGTGTACTGCAGACTACCCCTAAAGACCTGTACTATTTGAAGAGCCCTGCACTAAGCTCCGGACAGACCCAGCTCAGCAAGCAGGACGAAACAGTCTGGCTCAGCACCTTCCTGCTGGCCAACAACAAAGGCGCAGACTTTCTCGTGATGACTTGTTCCTGAGTGCGCTACCATTCCTGCCTTGCTACTTCAGTGCCGATCTCATGCTTGCTGATCTGTTGTCTGTGTTTTGGTTTGTGCCCAGCTCCTCCCACAAAGAACAAGGGGTGGCAGCGCGCCTGGTCGTGGATGGGGTGCAGCATGGTGTCGACGTCGACGTTGACGCCCTCGGCCGCGAATTCGTCCGCATGGCGCCGCAGGAAAGCCTCCAGCTCCTTGCGGCTGTCTCGCGGCCAGATGTCCCACACCGCGCCCGCGCCCCCGTAGCTGCACGCGTAACACAGGACGTTTCAGCGCCCGTAATAGAGGTTCATAAGCGCACGTAACACAGGACGTATCAGCGCCCATAACAAAGGTGTCAGCGCCCGTAACAGCATCTGAGCCGACACTGACATCCGCTTGGATTTGTGTGGACAGGAAAGCGACAGGGACCCATTTCGGCATATGAGCTGCATGTGCAGGCACACTTGCAGTGCCTTGGCAAACAGCATCAGCCGACAAATTCACTGGCAGCAGTAAAGGAGCAGCTCCTCAACATGAAGTGATTCATCCTTTTTCTCTGAAATAGCTGGGCAGGGAAGGTTTATTGATTGTGGGCCACCAGACGGCTAGTTCTCCACCACGGTCAAAACCCCTGAAAGGTTGATATAGCATTTAAACCCCAATTAAACCATGGCAAACGCCCTTGGAAATGTATTTCTGCGAAGACCCCTGCCTTGAAGTTCCAATCACCTTGACAGCAGTTGAAGTGTAAACCAGAGCCTACATCATTCAAAGGGCTATGTGAGGCACCTGGGATCGGAGACCATGTCGGCGAGAGTGTTGCCGCAGCGAACGATTGAGTCAGCGCCCTCTCCTGCCTGGTGACACATGACATTGATGGCGTCGCTCAGATCGCAGTGCATCTTGGTCACGCTGTCGCCCTCGCCCGCATGCTCCTTCACCCTGCACGCAGAACATGCAGATCAGTCATCAGAGCTTGGCAGAGCAGCAGCCAACTGCCAGAGGCCCAGAACACTGCTGTGCATTGGAAGTCACTTAAGGCAACAGGCCAAGCAGTTTCAAAGACAGCGCAGGCAATGACAAACAGAATGACCGCCCTGTTCTCATCTGACATGCAGAGGCTGGCAGCGCACACAGAGAAGGCCAGAGTGGAAGCAACGGCAGGATCTCCATGGAGCTGCGTGGTCAATCTGAGAGACCAAACGCGGAAGGTGCAATGCTGACACCATGGATCTAAGACTTTGGTGTCTTGCCTCAGCACGCTTGGTAAAAGCGTGCAACATTAGTCTCACAAATAGTCACATGCCTGCGCGGCAGCTTCCGCCTCGTCCACAATGACACCCCTCGCCGCAATGACTAATGGGGTTATGCTAGTGAGTGACTGTTTTCGATCCTGCTGATGACGCACCGGCCGCAGGCGACGTAGGATTTGGGTCCCAGGTCGGGTTTCACGCCGTTGTCCTCCAGGTAGGAGACGAGGTTGAGGGGCCCCTTGGGGTGGCTGTACTCCGGCATTGGCAGCATCTCCAAAAAGTCCTGCGCGAATGATCATTCTGAAAATCACCTCTGAGAATCACCATGATTGTCCAGCACTGTTTCTGCTATTTGCCAGTTTCAGACATCATAAGACATCATCAGAAATATTTAGATCACAGTCAGACACAAGGCTGATGCAGTTGTTATGACACAAAGCGCCCCCTCAGCCCATCAGTAAGTGCAGCCCAGCCGGACGCCAGGCAGAACAAATGAACCCAATTTCCAAGCAGATCCAGGCCTGTCAACCTCTCGGCAGCGTTGCCTATTCAGATCGGCCCACAGATGCACACCGCATGCATATGACAACAAGCTCCGCTGGCCAGCCGGGTTTTGCTTCTGTCTGGCAGTGATGGTGGGGTGCAGTCTTCAGCCACAACATCGTCTGATATATCGCAACCTATGGCCAGCCGAAGAGCCACAGCAGCCCAGCCGGCAGTAATTTTGACATAGTCACCTCTACACAGCTCCAGAGCAGACTCACACCCAGGCAGCTCTTCATGCAGTATGCCACTCAGGAAAGTGGCAGGACTCCTGCGACGATCAGGTCTTAGAGAAACTTCCAAGTGCACACCGCTCCTTGGAAGAAATCTGCTTTGCAGCATGTGCAGCACGCTGATCGCCTCTAGATGCGCCGCTGCTTTCTATTCTATTTGACTCTCAGCAGTCAATGGTTCGAGGGCGGGAGGTGAATAGCAGTGGATACAGCAGCAAACCTGGTTGTGGCGGCCGAGCCGCTCGGAGAAGTGGGCGTTGGGTGGCCAGTCTTTGAGTTTGTACAAGTCCCCGTCTCCGCGGCCCTCCTTGTAGAGCTTGAAATATTTGCCCTCTGTCATTCTCTCCTCGCTCCAGTCCGTGCACTTCAGGACCTGCAGTGGGCATTTCAGACTGGTCACACCTTCGCTCTGGTCTGATTCGCTGGCAGAGCAGGGCCGCCCTAAAAAATGGAACACCTCATGGCTCCCGCCGGGCCCCAAACCACCGCAGTGCCATCGTGACAAGCCCAAGCGATGGATGGTGCAGAAAGGCCCCTGCGCATCTGCGCTGTGACTCAGCTGTGACATGCGCTGATGTCAGCAATGACTCAGTATGATCAGCCATGCCTTGCGGCGGCGGTTGTATTGTGGTCATGACGGTGACAACTCTGAGGAGGCGGAGCCAAGAAGTGCATTTGGGTGCCTGGGAGACGTGTCTCGTCAGATCAGGCGGGAGAGGCGCTCACATCAAGCTCCTCGTCCTTTGTCGCGCCATGGGCTTTGTTCTTTTCGTTGGTTGCGCGGGACATCGTGTCCGGGTCCCACGCGTAGCCCTTGCGCACGGCGCGCACCACAACCGGCACGCCCTCCCGCCAGACCTCCTGAAACAGCCTGCGCGGCAGCATGCGTGACTCATTGCTTACTCATCCTGCATGCATGCGCTGGACACAGTGGCCAGCGCACAAGAGCTCAAAGCATCATCATCCGGTCGATCAAACAGCAGAACCCGAGGCTACCAGCCCACGCAACAATCCTGTACCCATTTCCGTTCAGTCATTTTTATCCAGACAGTCCAGGCATCTCAATCCAAACAGCAATCATGCTTGGAGTCTCTGATACATCCAAGAGTCTCAGAAATGTCAGAACATGCTGATGCGGGTTCAGAAAGCTGTGTTGCACAGATTTTAACTGAATTCACAGAGTCAGACACAAATTGGCAGAAGCAGCATCGCTGAATTGAGCATTCCTCACTCAGTGCATGCATGCAGCATGAAGAATAGATGCTCCCATGAACCACACAGCAATTTCCTTGTCTGAACAGTGGCTCAGCTCTCCCTCAAGCGCCGTCCACAGCAATGCTGGCCATCTGAGAGGCTCTGGGATTGGAGGAGCAGGTGCGATACATGGGCCGCTCCCTTGATTGCTATGTATTCAGTTGAGGCATCTAGGTGATGAGGCATCTAGATGAACATTGCACCCAGGCAGCCAGCGAAGTGCTGCTGCCAGCATGTCAGTGTCATTGCTCACAGCGAGGCAGCAGGGAGGATAAAGCAAGCAAATGCATTTGTAGGAGGCACAGTGCGCCCCGGCTGGCGGGGGGCGGTATAATTACTGAGCACCATGCACAGGGTTGCTTGGATCTGGCGAGTCCAACAAGGGGTAGGATTGTGGCAGCCTCCAACTGCAGCTTGCCTGAAGGACGCACCTTGCCTCTCGGCAGGACAGTCGTGTGATAAGAAATAGTCATGATGGTGCAGCTGCGCACCTGACTTGCGCAGGGCGATTGGGGTTCCACATGGCCAGGTCGTCGGCGGTGGGCGTGTAGACGTAGTTCTGCTGCCCGTCCGGCCGCGACGCCGCCAGCCGCTTGCTCTCGTCCGGCACCACCTGCTCCAAACAAAAGCCTCATTCACTCAGTTGACAAATTCTTATATTCTAGGTACCAAGACAGCCTGCCCCATGCCCTTTCAAGCCACCACTTATCCTTCCTGACTGGCAGATTTCTTAAACTTATGCCATGATGGAAGGATAAACAGAGCTTGACTTGATGAAATCCTCTCTTCAGAAGAAAGCAGGGGGGATAAGTGCTGTCAGAGAAGGAGGAACAGGGAACGCTGCACACCTGGTGCCATGATCTCTGGCCGGCCGGCAGCGGCGCAATGCTGGCAGCAACCTCTGGAGCCCGCGCAGCCCATCCCGGAGCTTCACAAGCGCGTTCCGCCGCAGCTGCAGCGTCCTGCACGGCGGCATCCGGCTGCACGTCAGGCGCCAACGACGCCGAGCCGGGATCCTCCCCATCGCGCTGCTGTGCGGGCGCCGGTACGTCGGCGGCTGGCTGTGACGCCGGACCGGCAGGCACTGCGGCGGCATCCACATCACCTCCAGCTCCGTCTGACGCCTCTTCAGCAGCCACTGCCGCCTCCCGCACGGGAGCGGGCGGCCGCAAAGAACGCGCCGCGGCCCTGCTGCGCCGCTGTGCGGCTGGACCCGGAAATTTTGCGACTGGCTGGGCGGCCCCCACTGACGGGCCGGGGTCGGCGGCCGCCTCTGGGGCGGCCTCCGGAAGCACATCGTCGTTCATCAATGCGCCCCCAGCTGCACCTGCGCGCTCGTCCGCCGCTGCCGCGGAAGCAGGCGCCGCAGCCGATGAGCCCGGGACCCCCCTGTCGCCCCCCTGTGCGGTCGGCGCCGGTGGCACAGAGGAAGGCTGCGCGGCAGGCGCCAAGCCAGCATTCTCCCTGGCGGGCTGCCCGGCGGCTGTCACTGGTGGGACAGGGGCAGGCGGCGCGGCCTGCTGCGGCCGGGTCGGGGCCAGCTGAGCGCGCTCCATTGCACTCCAGACACCCTGGAGGATGGCCATGTACATCGCCACATCCCTGTCGTGCTTGGGGAAATTTTTGATGAATGTCTGCAGGTAGGACTGAGCCAGGCTGTCACGCTGCGCTGCCGTTGAGCCGCTTGGCTGTGCGTGCGCGGCTGACACCTCCGAGGTGAGAGTCCGTGCGCGCTTTCTGGGGTGCCCCTCCTCCGGCTCAGGGACTGCCGCAGGTCCCCCGGTCGCCACCGCTGCCTGCGGTGGCGCCGCGCGCGACGGACCTTCCGAGCAGCTGCTTGCCACCAGTCTCTCGAGGATGAGCTGGGCATCTGCGAGGAACCATGGCGTGGGTCACTTGGAGGAGACATCTGCAGTGGTCACCTTTGCAGAGACTCTGGTGCTCTGACGCGCCATAGTTTGATTTGGGACAGGCATGCTTTGCATCCTCAATGAGCAAGGACTACTTCAGCAGGATTACCATGTGGCAATCCTGTGCCACACAGGCTTGACATTGGACTCGCTCACGCAAGGATGATATGCTCACCCTGCATGGCTGCACTCAGGAGGTATGCGCCAGAGCCGCTCCCTTGGCCATGTGGAATGGCCAGCGCTGCAGCTGTGACAGGTCCTGTCACGCGCACGGTGGCTGCTGCGTCGGCGACTGCAGCGGTGTCCTGCTGCGCGGCTCTCTGAGGCTCCGGCCCTGAGGCTACAGCTGCGTCTGCACTGGCCCCTGGCTCATCTGCAATTCCAAAAATCATTTCTTGTCGGCTTATTTCCCTTTTCCATTGACATCAGCCCCCTAGGACGGGATAATTTGACACTAGCTGACCACAGGCTCAACAGAGGCCATAAGGGCGCCAAAGCGAGTACAGAGCATAACATGCAGATCATCCAATGCTTCGCGCTGCGGACCGATGTCTCGGCGAGCCCGCAAGCTTGACCAGGGGTTTGCATGCAAACAAAGAGGGTCACAGTGGGTTTCAGCATCGAGGGAGATATTAGGGCTGCAGGACACACCATCCTCAGCGCCCGCGTGTTCCCTGGGAGGTGGAGCAGCCTCTGGAGCAGCAGACTCCTCGGCCGTGCCTTGGTCGCCAGCAGCGGCCTGAGAGTCGCTTCTATCCTGCGCAGCAGCGGCCAGCACAAGGGCCTGCCGCTTCCGCGCTCTGCTCTCGCGGGCAGCTGTCCGGGAGTCTGGGCCTGCGGCTGCAGGACAGCTTCCACTAGCACCTGCTTCGCATGCAGTGACGGCAATCATTCTCTGTGCTTGAAATGCTTTTCAATTTGCACGGCGCCCCTGGGGAGGACTGTCATGAGGCCCCTGGCAGTTCAAGCAGAAAGTTAATAAAGCTCAACGGACGCTATCAGCCACATGGCTAAGACCACGCCAAGAGCGGCACTTGCACAACACGCGCAAACAACAGAACGAATCACACTGCCGCTTGTCAAACAGGCAATGGCAAGGTCTTCCATGCAAAGGAAAAAGGATAGTCGGGATCCACGGTATCAAGGGAAGTGTCAGGCTGGTAGGGGCGCACCAGCAGCGCCCGTGCCTTCTGGAGGCACAGCAGCTGTGGGAGCTGCAGGGCCCACAGCAAGGCCCTGGCTGCCAGCAGCTGCCTGCAGAACGCCGGCACCTGACGCGCTAGCAGACCCTTTTGGTGCAGCTGCTATTTGCTGCCTCAGGCCTGCGCAATGCCAACCCGGTCATACATACATTGTTCAGGGGGCGAGGGCAGCAACAGGGCTATTAGAGGTTCTCCCCGGGCATGAATGGGCGGCCTTTGTAGCGGCAGGGACATGTCAGAAAATGCAGGCAACGCTGGCGTGATTTGAGCAATCAAACAACTTTGTTGGGTGTCGCGGGTAAACGAATTATATGTTACCTGGAGCACGCGGGTAGAACTCAGTCACCCTGGGCTCGGCTTCGGGCTCGGCTTCGGGGTCGCTTTCATAAAAGTCCGCAATCATCCGAGCGGGCTTCTTGGCCCCGCTGACCCGAAGAGCCACGTAGCCGGAAAGGGACTCATTGCTGACAAGAGGGAGTGCATCTGCATAAAGAGCATTCACAGCATGAGGAACCGCACGCAGCAATCTGGGTGGGATATGACAGAGTGACCCTAAATCGCCATGGAGCCTTCTGTTTTCCCTCCCCGCTGGTGTTTTGAGCAGACCAGGAACAATACCGTGCTCATGAACAGGCGAAAACGAAGCAGGCATGCCATGCATGTGCTGCAGAATCTGACCTGGCCTCGTTAAGGCTTTGTGCGCTTCCACCGCCGCCAGAGCCTCCTCTACAAGGTCGACAGGCAGCTCCTCATCACCATCGTCGATCCATCCGTCAGGATTGCGCTCGGCGGCTGCAGCGCCGCTGCCAGACCCCCCGGGCTCATCCTCCCCAGCGCTCCGCCTGCCGCCGTTCGCGTCTCCGGCAGCGGCGGCCGGGTCTTCGGCAGCGGCGGCCGGCTGGCTGTCAGGGCTGGGCTCGGCGGCTGCAGCGGCGCTGCCAGAGCCCCCGGCCGCATCCTCCCCAGCTCTCCGCCTGGCGCGGCACTGACCGTCTGCAGCCATGCTTGCAAGGTGAGTGATCTCCCTCCGTGTCTTGATGTCCCAAACTTGAGACAGACCCACAGCCCTCAGGCAGGCAAGAGTTTTGGCACAATATTCTCCATTCGTCGTTAGTCTGCACAAGATTCCGTTCCAGATGCTACGGGCAACACCCCCATCAGCAGCCCTTGCATGCGCCAGGGATTGCTGTTCTCCATGACTAGCTCTGAGTCCCCTCTAGCACTTCACAAGTGATGCTGTACCTCGTGCGACCCTCCACAAAGCTTCCTACTGAGGCATGATGCAGCAAGTCTCAGTGATGTGGAGGATTCAGCATGGGCAGACAGCAGACAGTAAGACACACCTCTGCTGCGAGCGGGCGCTGCTCCGGCAGATGGCCCAGCCTCTCGCCCATTGCCTGTCAGCTGCTCCTCGGGCCTTCCCATTCGCAGGGGTTCCCTCCCCGTGCTTCCCTGCCTCCACTCCCAAAAAGACATGTCTCCACCGTCCCCCATCTGCACCAAACACAGCACAGCGTTCACACAAATTTGCATCTGCGCATGAGCTGCTTTGAAGACTTCCTTGAGGCTGCCGGCAGTCCAGAGCAACATGGAAGTCCTGGCACTGCCAGGGTTTGTGCTCGGTGATCTGCAATGAAAGGGAAGATGGTACCTCGATGGTCTGCTGGAGGGCTGCGGCCATGGCATCGTTGAAGAAGCGCACCAGCTCCATCGTGTGTCCTTCCTCGCAGCAAACCTGCGCCTGACAAGACAGCATACACAGGGTCTTCAGTGTGCCTGCGCCTCAACACCAATGCAGAAACATTACGCCTCTTGTGTCCAGCTCAACCAGCCTCATGGAGATGGAACAGAAAAGATTGTGATTTGAAGGATCAGCAGGTTGATTTCAACATCCAGAATGGGCCAGATACGTGCAGGCAGGGCCTTCTCATTGTACAATGCTGTGATCCATGCTGGCGCCAAAGGCATGTTGGACCCCTGTTCTTTTTATCAAGCCCCAGGCTTCACAAGGGTCTTCATCATTATGTCATAGTTAGTATCCTGGGGGCCAAATAACACATGTGCCTCCTTCATCGCACCCCAGGCTTCACCCGGGGTTCTACACTAAAATGTTTTCGCCTGGACGCTGAGCCCTCAGATGCCCTCTTAGTGGGGCACTCCCATGACATGCAAGTCAAAGATGCTCAATCACGCCAGAGGCTTCATCAGGTTCAATATCATTACGTCATGGTTAGTATCCAGGGGAAAAGCAGCACCTGGCCAGCCTCGCGGGCCTCGGCGCAGCAATGCAGGCACAGTTCGAAGCCGTCGCCCTTCTCGGTGCTCGCGCACTCGGCGCAGGTGCGGTGCAGATCCGAAATAGAGGTGCAGCAGCGGTCGCACATGTGGCGGAAGTCCTCCGGGTCCTCCCACCGCACGTCCCCGTACGCCACCGGCTCCGCGCCAGCCGCTACCTGCGCCTCCGGCATGCCGCGGTTCTCAGGATCGGCTGAACGTAAGAATTCTCACTGTCATGGCCATCACACAGGATGTCATACACATCTGAGAGGGCGCGGGGCAGCTCCGGCACACGAGGAGGTCTGCAGATCTCATCTTGCGTCACACTGCTTTGCGTGCGCAACTGGTGCCCAAGAGTTGAGGCACCCGCGATCTGTTCGCCAGGGGTGCCCCCACCACACACTCAAAGGCAGTGGTGCCTTCCAACGATATGTATGTCAATGCTTGTTCATGACCAGCGACAGGGGGGCTGTGAGGAATGCTACACCTCTGCCAGCTTCAAGGCATGCTGGCCTGCCAGCAGGGGGGCGACATAGCGCAGCACGTGGCGCGCGTACTCCCTTTCCTGGTGCTTGGGCGCGGAGTAATCCTCGCGCGGATGCAGCTTCCGCATGCATGCGCGGCAGGTGCAAAAGCCCAGGCAGCGAGGGCACCAGCCTGCGGCATACCTCTGCCACTCCTCGTCCATACACACCTCCGAGATATGCTTCAAACTCTTGCAGCACCTGGCAAGACATAAACCCAGGTGGACCCCACCAGTACAGAGGCAGTTGTGAGGGACAATGTGATTGGACTGGTGTGCAGCAATGATGGAACAAGGTCCGGTAGTCGCATTTACAGATCCACAACAAGGAGATATGCCGAGAATTAGCCTTGCAGATGACCCAGGGAAGAGTGAGGAAGCGACGCACCCGTGGCAGAAGCTGATATCACAGCTGTCATTCTTTGACTTGCACGGCAAGGCCACATGCTGTTTCATGCAGATGTGGCACGATTTGGCGCCCAACTGCACACAAGGAGACAGTGAGCATGCATAACCACGGCGGAATATTTCATCAAAAAGAGGCCTGTCAGTTGCAAGCCCCCGCAAGGCCACGCCAGGAGCGAAAGCACGAAGATTCTCTGTGATGCACAAGAAAATATTGGCAAAAAGACTGCGCAGCCAATTAGATCGTTTGTGCCCTCGCACCTTGAGCTGCTCTGGAGTGAAGTCTTTCTTGTGCCTGGGCAATTTGAGCAGCTTGGCTTCCGGTCGATCAAGCCAGTAGTGGCCGTCGACCGATCGCCTGCACATACAGGACATTGTGCCTTATTGTGCTTCTCTTGACAGCTGCCCTGTTGTGATTGATCAGGGCAATCTCTTTGTCCAGTCACCCATGCAAAGCCTGTGCTAACAACTGCAATCCAATCAGGTTTCCTTTACCAGCAAGCTTGCTGTTGGTACGTTGTGGCCCCTTACATACACCAAGAGACATGCGCTGGTGGCAACAGGCGCACCCGTCACCCGGTGGCAGAGGTTGTCTGGCGGGAGCCAAGTCACCTCCAGACTCCTTCCCCTTGTCTTGCTTCTTCATGGCCACAGCGCGCTTCTTCCTACTGATCTCAACTTCCTTGCCTGCCTCAGCGGCCTTCCCCTTGCCCACTGCAGCCTTCTTCTTCCCGGCAGCTGCCCCTGCCTTAGCATCTGCGCCACACAGCACCACCCCTTGATGAGAGCTGGCCCACCTTTCACCTGCTCAAAGACTTTTCACCAGGCTGCGGTCACCAGCCAGCAGGTCCAGTAGCACAGCTTCTCATCAACCCCTTGTTGCTGCATGGGATGAGGGTCGCATCATGGGCCACAGAGTGTTCAGCAGGCAGCTGTGGCTGGAGGGTGCAAGGACCCACCTGCCCTCGGGCCTCTGGAGGTGCTAGGGACAGAAGCGGCTGCAGCGGCGAGGTCGGAGTCATCTCTGGCAGCGCCGCTGCGCGGCTTCTCGGCAGCTCTTAGAGCGACAGATGCGCCGACTGCCCGTTTTCTTTTTGGGGCGGATGTTGAATGGGTTGGGGCCCTGGCCGCGGGGCCACCGGCGCCCTCCTTGCCGGCTTTGGTGCTGGGCCTAGAGGACATTAACCCCTTCAAATGTGCTCCTGCGCAGGCGTCAGAAGGTGGTCATATGTCTGACCTGATGTGGCAGTTGGCAGGCAAGTTTGGCACATCCTCCCTCTGCCATGAGAGGGCTGACCATCAAGCATGGGTTCTAGGGGCGTTCAAAAGGGGTGGGTGAGGTTTGGTATTTTCAGAGGACCAAATACATGACTTGAACCCAAACTCACCCTACTGCCTCGGATGCCAGCGCGATGATCCTTCTTTGATGTGCAGCAAAATCTTTCTGTGCACTCTTTGGACTGTTGGCCTGCTTCGATGATGTTCTACCAGCTGCAGGAACCTGCAGAGCATGTCACAAATCGAAAGTGGAAAAGCTACTCCAAAGAGAGGAGAACGCGTCAAAGATGTATATTGAGACACATCATAGCATCCCATGCCCATACAACCTGACGAAAAACAGAAAAGGCAGCAGTGGATGTCAACAGGTACTCACCTGCAGCACGCCCGTTCAGGGCCCTGGTCCCTCTTAGAGTGCACAGTATATAACGTTTCAGATGTCATCAACGGTGATTCCTGCGGCACTCATCGATAAGATCCAAATCAAAGATTCACTCGTTTGAATGCATCCACTGATGGTAATCTGCCGTATACAGTCCTGGCGACGATTCCCTTGGATTTTTATCAAGAAGGCATATCTTCCAGATTATCAACCATATCCCTTTGCAACTGTCTTTCCTGGAATAAATTTTGATGAGACTCTTCGGGCTCAGCAATTTTGAGGCAATCGCAAAAATTTGCAGGTCTTCAATCAAGCCCTCTAAAACCCTGATTAAACTCAAGGAGAGAACCCTATTTTGTCCTGATCAATATTGCCAGAGTGCTCAAGAGACGCAAAGGAGCTTGACAAGTACATCTCAGAGGTGCAGACACATAATCTTTACCCAGGCACTAGACGTCTGTATCCCAAGGATGACAATCTTCCAACGACGTGGAAACTCGTCACCACGCTCGTAGTGTATTTCTCGCTACGCTCGTAGCAACGAACAGCAATGATCCTTGAACACGTGCATAGTTTTTTTAATCACCGAATTTTTCTTGCCTCTGCATCTCCGAGGCGCAGAGAGATTCTTCAGAACATAGGCCTGCATGTGAAGGCGAGATCAATACGACCTGTCTCGACAATACATTAAAAGTATTTTAGGGCTCCTGTCAGTAAGAGGTCCAGTTTTGCTCTGAGGAGCACCGTAGCATAGAAGGCGTCCCATGCCACACAATGCGAGCGAGGCAGCGTGTTGTTCAGGTGGTACCAAGCACGTTTGAGGAGAACTTAGATAAGAACCTCTTCCAGAATGGCGCAGCATATGCATTGGAGACAGCCAAACACAAGGCCATGGAGGTGTCAAAGAGGACCTGGCTTGCAAGTGACCTGCCTCATCTTGTCATTGGGGCAGACACAGTGGTGGAGCTGGAGGGCAGCATCCTAGAGAAACCAAAGGATGCCGCCAATGCCGAGTCCATGCTCAGCAGGCTGAGTGGGCAGCGACACGCAGTGCACACAGGCGTCGCCATGGTTCTCCCACACTTCACAGGTGCTCGTGCACAGAGGCGCTGGATGCTGTTTCTGCACTGCTTGCATGGAAGATACCTGCAGATGCAGCAGCAACTGTAGTGCGTCTGCAATAGAGCTGGTCCCAAACGGGGAAGTGACCCATCTTGCGCACTGCAGGAGAGGATGGGCAGCTGTTCACTCGCTCATTCTCGTCCACCACCTCTGTGGACTTTGATGAGCTGTCCCTCTCCGAGATCAGAGCCTACATCGAGACAGGTGAGCCGCCCCTGATCTCGCAATCACCTGGACGGAAGAAATGACTCCGGATCTGACACCTTCATGCCACCATAGCATTGCTCACAAGCAAGCGCATGCTAACAATGATTGTTGGTCTGCAGAGGCATCTGCATACATGCCCTTCCATTTCTGCATTGATAAAACTAGACTTTCAAGGAAGCAAACGATGGGGTGTGCAGGGGAGCCCTTTGGCAAGGCGGGGGCGTATGGGATTCAGGGGCCAGCAGGGGCGTGGGTGAAGCGCATAGAGGGGTGCTATTTCAATGTGATGGGGTTTCCGCTGCACGACTTTGCGGCAGAGGTTGCAGCGCTGCTGCAAAGCGGGCATCTTTGATGAGCCATCGCCGGCCATCAACCTTGCACACAGGATGGGCCGATATCTAGCTGACAGGGTATGTCACTTCTGGGCGGAATATTTTACACTGCAATTCATATTATGCAGAGCACGTCTGCTACAAATCTCTACTTTGCTGACATCCTTCTCTATTTCGAGGTCCTGTCAATGCACTCAGCTGGCGAAACCTACCTGTACTGCCTCCATCTTGGCCTGTGAAATTCAAAGCAGAGAGCCGGTTTAGAGGGGCATACACCAGGATAAAAAGTTGGAGCTTGAGTAAATGCAGGTGCCTTTAGACTGACCAATATACTATAGACCATATCTTCCAATAGAACGCCGACTTGCATGCAGGCCATGCAGGCCCTGCACTCCAAACAAGACGAACCGGCCCCAGGCCCTACTCGGCGCCAGCGCAGCCGAGCAGCCCCAGGAACGCAGCGCAGTCGACCAGATCCCGTGAGCCAGCTTTTGAGGCGAGCGCGACATCTGGCGGGCTTTTGAGCGTGCAGCGCGCATGCATGTCACAGGGTGTAATCATGCCCAAAGTCGGTCTGGTAGCCGCGCCAGACCGCGCGGAACTCCTGCCGAGCGCTGGCCATGCGAGATTTGAGATTGGGCGCCCTGAGCACAACGTGCAGCAGCACCCCTCCATCGCCTGCGCCAGATCAGGACGCTGTGTCAGCGCAGTGAGGCCCTCTGGGCTCGCCAGAGTGAGAATTACGCTTTTTCTACTCACAGAGAGACTCTAGTGTCTCTCTAACTAATATTTTCCAAGTCAATAGAACAATTCTGAGTGCTGCATGGTCCTTGCCTGAAGCTAATGCTGGTGAGACCTGGTCAGGGAAGCTATGTGCGCATGGCTTCTGCTGAAAGAGCATGTAATGATGATGAGCCAGGCCAAGTTCCTTTGAAAGACAGACAACAGTATTTTACTAAGATGCTGGTGCACACCAAAGCTGGTGGCAGAGGCCTTGCAGCTGGGCGCGCAAAATCATCATGTCTTTTTTTTCCTGAAGCGCATCATGCAAGCACAACGACAGCTGCATCGAGTGCGCACCCAGGATGACTGCGATTGCAAGAGTGAGAAGTGCCCTGGTTCGCCACAGCAGAATGATCCCGAGCGCCAGCAACATAAACACCACTGTGTTCCTCTTGATGCCCACTATCTTCACCTCCCTCGCCTTCCCCGGTGCCCTGCGATCCAGCAAATAATATATATCATGAGTATTGAGCATGGGTCTGCAGTCTTCCAACCAGTCAAGACTCGCCATGCCACAGCGGAGCAGCTGCGCCTCTGCCGGCACTTATCTCTGCCTGCAAAAATCTTTTCGACCAAGTGTAAAGCTAAAGGCTGATCATGTGGGCAGGGCGCTGCATGGGATGTGGCAAAGTATCAGTGCATGCAAGAGCCCCGCCTGATCTGGTGCAGCCTCCCCAGACACCTCTAATACGCCAGAAAGTTCTTGCTTCCACGCAGTCTGACCAATCTACTATCGACTCGCAGGCGCTAAGACTCTGCTGATTGCGTGGGACCCATGGATTCCAAGTCGAGAGCAGCGCACCCCAGACCAGCATGCCCCCCAGACTGCGCCCTCAGCTTCTGTGCCAGTGGCGGGTGTATTCTCCTGATCATCCGCAGTGTCCGGTCGCTGCACAGGACAAATCGGATCAGTCACCCGTGCAGTCACCCGTACGCCAAGTGATGTCCCTCTCATGCCAGTGCTTTCAGCTCACAGGCACTGCATGCATATGGCCATAAGCTGAACATGGACCTGGGCAGATGAGCAGCTATGCTGCCCATGGGAGTCTGAAAAACATAGATGATTTGAGGGCCCACCTCAGGGTGATAGCGAAGGTGTCGTTCAGGCACAGGCAGCCTAGGACACAGATGCCTAAGGCCACCAGGGCGCCAATGTTGCGCAGGAATGCGCCGCAGAAAGCCAGCAGGATAAGCAGCACGTAGTTGGTTCGATAGTAGTACAGATTACACTTGATGCGGGGCAGGAGCTTGTCCTGATCTGGCAGGCCTGTGAACTTGCCAAAGAACTCCTTTGGGGACCGGGGTGGCGAGTTCCAGTCCACCTGGAAGGACACACCAGCTAGTGTCAGCAGGTGCAGAGACAGCACACGTCGAGAATTGTCCTTCCCTGGTCAGGTGGTCAAAAATCATCTTGGAGCGATGCGTCATGATCGGGGGAACGGAAATAATGACGGAGGTGGCTTTTGAGCCATATTTTAGAGAAATTCTGTAGCATGGCAGAATAATCACCTCTTGTAAAGAGCTCAGGAGCTCCTCGAAGGTAACATTGGCCCAATCCATGAGTACTTGGTTTCACTCCCCAGTACTAATTCTAAAGCTGAAGCACCGAGTAAATTCAATCACAACATGTGGAAACGCCTATTATAACAAAGTATGTCCGTCCTGTGCTCCAAACGGGCATATAGCGCTTGAGGATCAGCAATCTGCGGTAATTTCAAGGGCTCCTACGGTATTAGGATCAATTACTGACGAGTTCTCAAAGAAATATCATACTCTAAAGTTTGTCTTGGGGCAGGTTATCCGCTCCCATACAGAGCAAGTGTTAAACCAGCAATTGCACCAGAAGGAACGCTCCTGCAGCATTTTAAATACACTTCTGCAAAGATCACAACACCATAAGAAGTACATTCATGCCTTTAAACTTATGCACTCCTTCCAAAGCAAGTTTCATGTCAACTTCGCGCAGCTGCTCAGTGCTGACCTGCACCTGACTGGATGCTTAGTAATGCCTATTTGATGGTGGAGGAAAATGCGCCTGGACTGCTGCCATTGAAGCAGACTCGAACAGTTAGAAGATCAGTGTGTAAAGATCTCGGGAAGCATGAGCCTTCAAAGCCCATATTCACCAGACTGTAAGATCACATCTGCAAAGTTATGGGCATGCCTTTAAGTAGTAGTGCAATTCCAGCATCCTGTAGGAGATGAGTTTGATCTGTAAACTAAACAGATCCTTAAGGGGAGCTCTGGATATTGATTGCGCGCAATCATAAGGGCTTAGAAGTTAGCCAGCCAATGCTGGAAGTTGCCGTCTCTCAGCAGGATGGAGGCGTCGATCAGGGCAGTGTCAGAGGTCCACCGAGGCTATCAGCAGCAGAGACGACGCAGAAATCCTTGCGTGGCCTTCCCATCGTCGCGAAGGTGCCTGGAAGCACATTTTACTCCCAACCCTGCTAGCTAGTGACCTGATCTGTCCATACAAAGTGGAGAGCTTTAGCAGGCTTGCAGAACAACTATGATATCTGTGTTCCTGGAGGGATGTGAACCCCGATCATCTCGCAGGAACTGCTTGCTGGGGGAGCAGCTGGAGGCCTGGCGAAGACAATGGTCGCCCCTCTCGAAAGGGTCAAGATCCTCTTTCAGGTGACCTTCTTCCCATTACTTACTTCTACCTGAGCGCATTTATGTGCTGCATGCTGCTTCTTGCTCTCAGATCAGACTTTTTGTATAACAATTAAGAAGGGGCATTTGCTGCATGCAGACGGGCCGCATGCGTGGCAAAGGAGTAGGAGAGACCTTAAGGAACATCTTGGAGAAGGAGGGCGTCGGTGGGCTATTTCGGTGCTGCCCAGATCTGCTACCTACAATACTGATCATTATGAAAGGGAGCCCTCACGTTGGACTCAAGACTACCTGCATGCTGTTGGTGCATGCAGCCCTTGCTAGTACAGCTGCTCAAAGGAGGAGACTGCACTCCCTCAAGAATGGCAAGCTTCTTTGCAATGCCGGCCTCCCTTTGGAAATTCGCAGCTGGGCTGATTGCATTTCATCCGTATCTAACAGGGGCAATGGGGCGAGCGTGCTACGGATAGTGCCCTATGCTGCGCTGCACTTTGGCGCGTACGAGTACTATCGGGAGCTGCTAGTGAAGGCTGCGGCAGCTTCCGTGGGCAAGGGTGTGGTGGAGTATGATGTGCCGCCCGCTCTGGACCTTGTGGCCGGGTCCGCTGCCGGCGCGACAGCTGTGCTGGTGCGCTCCTGCCCGTCAACATGCCAGCTCTGGGCTCAGTATGTCAGCTGGGAAGATGCTAGCTCAGCTGTAGGCACACTATACCAGCTCATAGGACAGGAGACGACCGCGGTGATGGGTAGTACACCTGGCAACGGCACAGTATATCACAGTTAAGGCGTTGCTGTGCTGCTTCCTGGATGCTTCCCAAGGGCTTAGGTCACCTCTGCGGCTTCTGCCGGCCAAGCGATTGCAATCTTTTGATTGGGTTCTTACTTCCATGATATTTGTTCAGGGCCATCGATCTCATGGCCATTGAGAGTGTGCACCCTGGATGAGGGCATAAGGGCTCCTGCTGTGCTGTCAGGTCACGTACCCGCTGGACCTTGTCAGGACGCGGCTGGCCTACGACACAGAGGCGAACGGAGTGCGCCAGCAGAGCGGCACCCTCGCCTCAACCTCAGGTAACAGTCCCCAGCTAGCCACATGGCTCCCTTTACAGGGCCATCACTTGCAAGAGTAATGTTTCAGAAGACGGTGCATGCCTGCGCACTCACTGCAGCAGACTTTGTCCCTTACAATGCCAACCCTACCCTTTTTTATCGCGCTCGTGCAGTGCGGTACTCGTCTGAGCATAGACCAGGTTCTTGCACAATTACGTACCATTTGTGCTGCCGTTTGTCATCCGTCCGGCTGTGTGCTGAGCTGGCACATGTGCGCGCAGGTGCCGCGCAGCCGGTGCCGCGGGTGCGGTTGACGATCCGCGGCGTGCTGGCGGCGACGGTGCGACAGGAGGGAGCCCTTGGGCTGTACCGTGGCATCGGCCCCACACTGTGCGGCATCCTGCCCTATGCGGGCCTCAAATTCTACGTCTACCAAAGCCTAAAACAACAGTATCGCAGGTGTGTGTTCGCTCCCCATTATTCCAACTGGGGCGTGAGAAGGCGCTGATTGCCCAGATCCTTCCAGACACTGCAGTCTTGGTTCCTGCAGCCTGCTTTGTGCCCAAACACCTTGCCTTGCCTTTTAGATGTTCATGGTGAGAATGGACTGGCTGGCACATCCAGGATGTACCAGAACAAGGACATCATCTTTGCAGGAAAAGTCAAAGAGATGGACCATCGGCAGTTTTGAAGCATGCTGCAGCCTTCTACCTATCCTTTGTGCCGCTCGTCGACATGCACCCCACCCTTTTTCCACATCGTAGCCGAGGTGTCCTTGGGGTCCCAATGTGCGCAGATTCTATGACGATGGGGGCGGAGGGCCTGGGGAGCATCACTTGCAGAAGCTGCCGGTGGGCGTCATGCTGACCTTTGGCGCCTGCTCCGGCCTTGTGGCGCAGACCTTCACCTACCCGCTGGACGTGGTTCGCCGCCAGATGCAGGTACAGCATCTGATTGACTGTCTGAACAAGAATCTGCTGGAGCAATAGAGCTGGTTGCCTCCACTGGGCACCCTTGGAGTGGATATGAGTCATATTATGATATTATGAGTGGTTATATGAGTGGATACGGCGGGCAGCAGGCCTTGGCAAGTATCTTGAAGCTGTGTCTGCTGCCTCTGATTGCAAAGACATCATCATGATCACGGTTGCTAGCCACTGTCAGCGTATCTGCACAGCTATTAGATCCAGAAAAACAAACGAGGTGTTATGTCTGATCTGCCAGAAGTGAACCCCAGTCTTGCCCTTCAATCGGGTCTGGTGTCATCTGCGCAGGTGCAAGGGCTGCAGCCGCAGCAGCAGCCAGGGCAGGCGACGCAACAGATTCGGTCGACATGGCAGGGGTTGCGCCTCATTATATCTCAGCAGGGATCGCGCGCACTCTTCGCCGGGCTCAGCTTGAACTATATGAAGGTTGTGCCATCGACTGCAATTGGCTTCACGATCTACGACGCCCTGAAACATTACCTGGGCCTGCCGCAGCACCTTTAGCGCCCACTAATGGCTTTTGTTAGCCAGCGCTGCTGTTAGTCATGATTGAGTCAGAGCCGTTGTGGTCCCTGGCAGTCCATGATTTGCGCAACATTGCGGCTGCAGCAAGTATTTTGCTCGTTGGGTTGTGGAATTTAGTCAGAAACCGTGGCAGTCGTGGCAGTTGAGGCTTTCAACTGCCACGACTGCAAGATTCAGGCAACCAATGTCTGTGTGACATAACGCATGGTCAATGACTACAAGATGAAGTACCATGAAATGCATGGCATAATGGATAAATAGTCTGAGGCTGAGTCAGCTTGAAGCTGTTGCAATCCGGCGGTCATAAGCCTTCTGCTAGGGCAAATTTTTACAACTCACAGGTCCAAGCAACTGCATGCAGCCAGTGACCAAAACAATTAAACAACATCGTTAATCATCATGATATGAAGATTTACAAACAAAGATCATTTGTACCAAGTAGGTCATTTAAAGGCACCTACACATCCACAGTAGTGAATTCCATGCTGCACCGACTACTAACTAGCTTTCTTCAACTGTTATACAATCCCATTAGATACGAGGTGATCTCAAACGGTACTGCATCCACAACAGAGGAGAAGTGATATCACAACTGCAGACATCATGCCTCCTCAATGCGACACTTTGGTGCTCGCAGATCCTGCAAGCCCCGCAGCCACGCATGTCAGCATTCTGCCAGTACAGATGCCAGTACAGATCAAAGCTTTGCCAAGACTGTGTTGAAGTATACAAACACACACCCTCCAATGAAGCCCCATCCGGGCAAATACGACAAGGGCGCTGCAGCTTGCTGAGGCCAGCATTTCAAGCAGCCCAAGCTCAGCACCTTGGATGCCAACCATCGAGTGCCAGCAGACCACAATCTTGCTGATGCGCTTCTGTATTTCTTTCAAGAAGGGTGCAGGCTGATCAACCACACGGAGTCAATGGCACACTCAGATTTGAGGAGCGACACTGTGGAAAAGGGGGAGAAAAGCGCACCGGATTGCAGCGCGCGCTGCACTTGTGGCGGCATCATGTTTGACATGGCGCCGAACTGGCCGGTACATTCGGACTCAAGACCCGCCACCCACACTGACATCAGGCCCATGACCCCTGCGCCCACACCGATAACCACTCAACATCAATTCTTTTGCACCACACTAGAGATGGGTCACTTCTCGCACGACTGCCGGCGCACATGGGTAAGCAACAATGCTTGCAGCCACAAGGCATTCTGAGGACCCAGAATTTTGTCTTGTTGAAGTTCTGACCACAGGGTGCAATGCTGAGGAGCTTTGTTGCATGGTGTAAGAGGGTATGTCAAAAGATGCCAGCTTTTGAGAGGCCCAACCCCATTGCGATTGAAAAGATGACAGGCGATGAGGTGAGGGGTGACTTACCCAGGCGGCGCTCAGCCCCGTCGTAGTCGGAGAAGAGGCGCACGTTGGTGCCGGGGGCGATGAGGTACGGCGGAGACGGCTCTCCGTCTGTCATCTTCACTACATAGCCCTCCTCATCCCCAGGGACACCTGCGCAGAGACCAGGATGCCTCGAGCAGTGAGCACACCTGACCGATGCTTGTGAGCCATTCCAACAAGCACTACATTTCATACGGATCTCATCTGTTTTGCTTTCCTTTTGTGTCTGCCCAGGCATACTACTGACACCAACAGCAAGATCACTGCGGTCCACCCTTATTGCACATGCTCAAGGCAGGCTTTCACCCACCCAAGCTCCTACAAGACGTGCGTGCCAGGGGGTCTGCACAAGCTGAACGCTAGCATATAGTCCTTTAATCAGGCGCGGCATAACCATATCCTCAGGGCAGATTAAGAGCCGCAAGCAGTTGTGACGTAAAGCTGACTCACCCGGCTGGGTCCCATAGACCGGGCATGATTTGCAGATGAGGTCATCGGTGTCCAAGTTGTACAGGTACATACACTGGGAGCCGACATGCTGGTGGGCTGTGCACCGCACCACCTCAAAGGGCTTCTTTTGTGGGCATGCTCCGTCAATGACTGCATCGTACACCTGTGCAGGGCAGAGCCACGTCAGCAGGATTGGCAAAGTTCTGGACCGTGGCTCTTCCCATGCATCTTAGCGGCGCTTCCCTGCTACAGTATTCAAAGACTGCTATGCTGCAGACACATATCAGCTAGGATGCTGAGAAGCACAGAACCCATACTTATGGCAAATAGTATAAGTAAGCACGTGAGTGCTCCTGACCAAGATCTAGAAAGTTCCATTTAGAAGTCATCAGATGACAATGCCTCAGCAAGGATGCTAGAGGGCACAGATCACAGGCGCTGGCAGACCACAAAGCTGTGCATACTTTCCAAGCAACACTGCTGCCCATGATCTAAAAGCAGGAACTGTGCAGTGGGTGATCTAGACTGGGCAGCATTGCTGCAATCTAAACGGAAGAGGGCAGCGCACCCGGCGCAGCGTTGTGTTGGGCCCTTGGGGTGCAGTGATGTCATACTCAACGCGGCCGCCCACAATGTCGAATCCGATGAAATCAATCTCTTTGATGCTCGCATCATTCTCCTCGATAGGCCTGCGCGCATGCATCGCTCACCATTCAGGGTAAGATTTTGTTTTGGGCGACCACTATTGTCATGGCAACTTATTCTGGCTCGTAGGAGGAATCCTGACAGCACTGCAGCTGGCCACTGCGGCACTGCATGCATACCGGCAGGCAGCATGAGTGAAAGTACCGCACTGCCCTAGACGTGACGACAGGAACATGTGGTGAAGAACGAGGTGCATGAGTGCGTTTCTGGCTCAAGGGTCCAGAGTCTTGTGGTCTCAAATGTGACAGAGACAACAAATTTACTCAGCAGGAGCTCACCGGTAGGTGACGGAGTATTGCAGGTGGTAGTCCACAATTGGGCCCTCCTCAGCCGGACAATTCTTGCAGCACATAAAACTACCCTTGTCCGGGTTATCCTGCGCAGCCGCCAATCTCCCATCAGGCGCATTGTTTCTATTCCTTTGCAGCAGGACCTGAGAGGCGCCAGCACCTAGGCTACCCAGTTAGAACATGGATGGGTTATGGGCCGACCGTTCAAGGATGTGATTTTACCACAGCTAATCATCGGCCGACATGGCTTGATAGGAGAATCGTGGGGAGGCACGGGTTTGAGATCAGGTAGCCAATGTGCAACGGCGCACCTTGCACCAACATTCAAGGCACTCGCGCTTGTCGGCCTCCTTGACGCCGATGGTGTTGATCAGCTGTATGTTCGTATACCTGAAGATGCAGACAAGCCAGCTGTCAGGCGCAACACACCTTCTCAAGCCAAACTGGGCTCTTAAGGTAAATCAAAGCTCTCCTTGACATGCGCCTCAGGGCTTTGCTACAATAAGTGTACAGAGAAACCCAGGCATGCATGCAGCGACATGATCACAGCAGTGTGCACATAGAAGTGGGTGACAAACAGTCCATGCTGAGTAACAGGTAGGGACGTGCCTGATCAGGTCCTCCTTGAGATCAGCGGTGTCCACAACAAGCGAGTAGGGCTCCGGCAGGGGCTTCCGCGAGAAGCTTCCACGCAGCTCCGCGCCACTGCCCAGAATAAACTTGCTGCTGGAGACGTAATGGTGCACGTACACCTGCAAGACAGTGTCAGCACGGCGGCATCAGCGCAGATCTTGCTGCCATGTGCTAGACAGCTGCTGAGCGACATGTCAGCAGATTGTTTGAAAGCCATGACTAATCGCATGCGCACAAAACAGACTGCAGCAAACTCCTCGAGCTGAAGAGCGCTCATGCTAGCAGTGCACAGCAGATACTGCAACCATGGGAAGGGATCTCACGTCTGACAAGGGTACCGGGCGCCTCTCGCCGTCCACAAGCTCCGCCGTCAGGTTGAGAACGCTGACCTTGCCAGCGGCAGGGTAGGGATTTCCCAGAAACATCATCACTGATTCTGTCTGCGCACAGGTCAGACAAGGATTGAGCCATCACTGTGTCTGAGAGTCCTTAATGTCAGGCTCTATCTCCAGGACAGTGTTTTTACAGACGTCAGGCAGATTGACATATGTTGCCAGCAGGATTTCTGCTGCAGGCAGGTACAAGCAGTGTACCATTGTACAACCAAGGTACAGCGCAGCAGGAGCATGTTGGCGTCTCACAGCAGGTGAGTGTTTGATGATTACCACTAGAAAATGCAATGTAAGCCAGTGCAATTCTTGTTTGGCAAAGGGACGTCAGTAGCTAGAAAGGACACCGATGCAGGAGCACTACCTGGCCCGGCTTCAGAGGGTGCGCTGGCCCCAGACACTTCACGGTGGTTGTACCATCATCGTTCTGGGTCGGCTCTCCACAAGTGCCGTTGCCAGCAAACGGCAGGTCTGGGAAAGGGTTGTATTTAGACTGCAGGGAACACAGCCCAACTGAGATCAGTCTGGAAGATGCAAACTTTGGTCATAGAATGCTGAATGATCGAGATAGTGCTTCGGTACAGCATCGAAGCCCTCGCAACAGAGCGAGCGATTGATACTTTCCAAGACGTATCGATGTGAGGCCACGGTGGAACGAAAGATCGGTCAATCCTGGCAACGACACCTGGACATAGACCGCTGGGGTACAGTCTGATCAGATCTCAAGATCACTCACCAACTCAAGGAACGCGTTGTCCTGGTAAAACTGGCGTACGGCACCCGTGCATGTGCACAGGGCGAGCAGTATGAACAGAGCCGGGCGGAGCATCGCGCTCGCTGTGGGTGCCTTGCGCGGTAAATTGGTGTTCCTTCGGGGTTTGTAAATGTTATAATTGAGGGATAGGCTGTATTCGAACGCATTTCTTTCCTTTCTCATCACATGATGAGCTAATCTGGGCAGGCCATGTTTGGGGCTTTGGGAGCGACCACTTCCCCAGCAGCTTCCTCCAGCCCCATTGTAAAACTTCTTCTCCAAAGCAGACATGCCCACACAGAGACGATTGTATATTTGGTGTCTGCAGGTGTGTATGTTTGCAGGAGTTGCAGCATCCAGGGGCAAGTGCACATGCTCTGGCATCAAATTTGCACGCGACACGGGATAAACCTACCAAAAGCAACCCCAGCTGGCACCCGCGCCAACATAGTCAACAAAGGACAGGTACATATGACTGATCACAGCATCCCACTCAAGTCTGTGACGGCGCCCAGCCAACTCTCTTCCAGACACAGCACAGCAGCAGTCAGTGACAGCACTGACCGGTGGGCGTGACACTCCCAGTTGCATTCCCAAAACCCAGCTCAAGGCCACCCTTCGCTGGGCCCTACTTTGTCCAGCTCGGTCTGACATTCCTAGCAAATCGTCTGGCGCCTGCTTCCAGCCTTGAGCTGACTAAATTTCCTTCATTTAAAACTCGGTCTGGCCCAGTTTGGGCATCGCGCGCGCGATGTCCCGCTTGGCACCGGGCTTTTTGGGTTCGGCCGCGCCCTTCTCCTCCAGGCGGCGCCGGCGCATCTCGGCCTTGCGCAGGGCCTCGAGCTTGAGGCCGGCCTCGCGGCGCGCGGAGTTCCCTGCCGCATCGTCCCAGTCGAACGCGATCTCCTTGTCCGCCGCCACGCTCGCCCAGCCCTCAAACTCCGTCACCGTCACCTGGCCATCATCCAGTCAGCGTCCGGTCAGCACCGGGTGAACTGAATCTGCTCTGTACCCACTCAAGCAGAAAACTGCATCTCCTCTACGCCCACTCAGAACCATGGTGCACGCGCAGGCAGGCCCCTGTATCTGCTCTTTGCGCACTGAGCACCAGAATACACTTGCAGCAGCCCCTCACGGCAGCAGGCTTGCCCATTGTGCATCAACTGAATTCAGCATGTGGCTCACTTCAGGTGCTCATTGCGATCATCTGGCAGGTGAAGTTGCTGTGACTGGACGTGTTAAAATCCCATGGGATGCAAGTCGAAGTATGTTGATGCTAGTGCAGGTGCATTCCTGACCAGCTTCTTGTCTTCCGCCATATGTCAATCACTCGCCAGCCGCAAACCAGATAATGAGAGAAGATCAAGAAGAGCAGAGCGGGGCCCACCTCGTTCTTGCCGCTGGGGAGGGTGTGGGAGCAGAGGGATCGCAGCACGGCCGGATCCGCGCGCTTCTTCTCGGGCGACCCCACTATGAGCCCATGCACCCGCAGGCCCAGCTTGTCCTTCGCGCCTGACCACAGAGCAAACTTCTCCCTCAGGCCAATTGTATTGCAGCACAACAAAAGTGCCAACTACCGCTGCTAGGCTGTGCATGCTGTCCGTCTTCGAGAAAGGTCTGGAGCATGGAACAGTCAGGAAGCAGTAGCTGCTGCCCTTGATCTCATGATATGCATGTCTAGCAGGGCAATGTACAAGGCCGAATCAGGGGGGCTGCAGAGGCTTGGTGAGGCATCCCAGACTGTCAGCAGATCTGACTACGAAGCAAAAGGGCAGGGCAGGGGTGTGATCTTCACCACCCACCACGCTCGGTCAGGAAGTCTCATTGCATCTGACAAATTACACACACAAGCATTTGGCAACGTGCTACTCAACCAAGCAAACCTAGCAGAACTTGATAGGGGAGCTCTTGGAATGGAAGTGAATTGCTGGGCTCTTGCAATTTGAGCAAATGTCTAATGCAAGTCCTTAGCCAGAAGGTAGGGGAGGGCTGCGGTCTTCACCTGACAGCTTGCGCATGATCTCTGAGCCGGGCTGGCGCAGCTCGCCGTCGGAGACGAGCAGGATGTCGCTGTTGGCCCACGCCGCCGTGTGCAGCCGATCCAGGCACCGCTTCACCGGCTCGTTGAAATCTGAGCCCCCGTTGAAGACCTGCACGCGCATCGAGCCATGTTCACATGTCCTGTGCAGAGAAGGACCTTTCCTGGCAGCAGCACCAGTCAACATGGCAGAAGTTTCTCCTCCGCTGAACATCTGGCGTCGGCAGTCTGCTGCGCACTGCAGCGGCATCAACACCAACAACCCCGTTCATGTACATCTACATGCACATGCAAGTGCAAGTGCAGAAACGCTTGGACATTAAAAGAATACCTCTTGAGAGGAGTGTACTTGTCACAGCAAAGCTCAAATTGACAAAAAGTGTAGCAACAAGGAAAATGATGGGCGTGCCTTTTCGAGGAAGCCGAGGAGGTTATTGACGGAGGCCATGTCGGTGCCCAGCTCCAGCTCGCGCACCTCCTGGGGGCCCGAGAACGCAAACACAAAGCAGCCGCGCTCCTGTGCGCGCATGCACCAGGACAGCGTCAGCCATGCCGGCATCTACATGCAAGAACACTACGGGGCAGCCGTATGATACTACTTTCCTGATTTCGTGATCTCCATGCAGCTACGCAAATGCTGCAGCAATGAAGGCAGCCAATCCTGGGCTGGCTGCATGGCAGCTGCATCAAGGCAGCTTCAGAGGTGACATCAAAAATTCTGAATTCACCCCAGGGGCATGCTGACATCTTGACTCTACACATGCACCATGTCCTGACGCGGCGTTTTCCCTAGCCTGGAACATTTTAGCTCTTCCCTGTGCAATCATGCATGCTTAACCCTGGTCACAAAGCTGTCCAGAGGCAGTCCCTGCCGGCCTCCAGCAAGTACAACATGGCAGGCGCCCTTGTACGCTACCTGTTATGCAACTTTCTTTGTGCAACAATCCTTCCTCGAGCCTTTGCATCTCACTTACAACGCTCAAGAAAGGGGGCTGACCTGGGCGCGAGCGGCGCGCATGCACTCCAAGGCGAGCGCCTTGGCGACGGTTTCGCGCGCGCCACGCATCGAGCCAGACGTGTCCACGCACAGCAGAATGGGTCCGCGGTCGGCGGTGGGGCGGATCTCGCGGCGCTCCGGGACGATTTGGGTGTCAAACTCGCTCCAGCCGTCTCGCTCGTACGTTTGCAGGCCCTTCTCCGCCAGCTGCGCATGGAAATGTCCAAATCTGATCTCTGAAGGTCACAGCCATTACCCTAGCAACAGAATCCAGCATGGCTGCTGGAAAAGCTGGAGATATGTCAATCAGAGGGCATTTCTCAAGATAACAGGAGTCAATACAAGGGGTACAGGTACTCATTATGGTTGCAGACGGTGGTGATGGGACAACACATCAACTAGGACGATTCATGGCAAGCCTGGCGGCTGCGACGCAGCATCTCATGAACACCAGGCACCTTAGGGAAACAGCTTTGGCAGCACAGGGAGAGCAGAGAAAAACACGCCTTGGCGAAGAAGAGGAGCTTTGACTGGCGGATGCGTCGGCCGCGCGCCATGTTGGCGGCCTCGCTGGGCAGCAGGCGGCTGATGTCGTCCGAGCGCGTCAGGCCCCGCGTCTCCTGCGCCTCCAGCACCGTCCGCAGCAGCCCCGGCCGCCCCTGCACACCTCTTTGTCATTCAATCTCTTCTTCTTTTCAAGCTACACAGTGTCTCACAGACATCCCAAGGCAGATGCCGGTGACCACGGCGGCGTCTACCGCCCCTCTGCTAGTTGCTTAGCCATTCAGGCTCTTGGATTGGGTTCACTGAATGCCTGCCTCAAGATAGACCAATGCACTCGCCCCACAGGCAAGCACCACCTTTAATAGCAGGAGCAGGACTGCATCTATCAGGCAACCTCCAACTTTTACAAGCATGCCTCAGGGAAGCAGAAAATGATCCCAAATGGAAATATCACTGGGCGGCAAGCCAGCTGGACAGCTTGCAGCGGCGGAATTGTGACAGCTGCTGTGGAGTGACGAGGGCATCTCGCGCAAAAAGGCAGTACGAAAACGGTTATAGAATATGCAGCGGTAGAGTGGTTCAGCCCGGCGCACCTTCATGTCCAGGAACTGGATGGGTGCACGGCGCAGCGGCCCCCAGCCGCCGCCGCGTCCGAGCGAGCGCACCAGATCGCGCAGCTCCTTCAGATCCTCCAGCTTGGACCGCATCTTGTCCATCTCCGCCCACCCCTTGCGCCGCCACACATTGCCCTGCGCACACCCCAGAGGCATTAATCGCCTCAGCTATCTTTCATTGCAGCTGAACGGTCGATCATTTCGACGTTTCAAGGTCCTCTGGCCGGTGATCAGATAAAGCTCAGGGTCGAGCCAATTGGAGCATGCTGACAGCAGGACTGCATGCAGGAGTACCGCACATGCGTCTGCATGGCTGCAGGCGTCCTACATTACAGAGCAAGCAGCAAGAGGGAGATATGGCAATGCAGCCCTGTTGGTTGCGATGACCTGCAAGAGAGCTATGTCATTATTCTCACCCCAACATGATATCACGAAGCAGCACACCTGCAGGTCAAAGGTGCCGTTGCGACCGCCGCCCAGGAGCGCCTCCAGCCCATCAAATGCCTTCCCCGCGCGTGACAGTGTCTGACTGCGCCACATGACACAATGCCATGACATCATTTCTCTCATCTTCCCAAGATTGCAAAGGCCGCATGCCGGTTGTGGTCACGCCCCTCCCAGTCAACAATGCACATGAGGCATGTCCGCCCATGCGCGCTCCGTCCTTGTCAGCCTTATAATGATGGAGCCACTCACATGCAGCACGTTCACAGTCTTTTCCAGCGCATCTACAGAGGAAAGCAGACCTATGCAGGAGCCCAAAGCCCATCAATCCCAGTGTCCGTCCAAGGAAGAGCAGGTAGACATGGCAGATCAGTGACATGAGATCAAATTCCACCTTGCTCACTCAGACAGATTGAAGGAATGATAAATGTATTAGATGCTCACATGGGCGCCCGCCACTCCTCCAGCAGAGCTTCCACCAGCTGCTCGGCAACTTCCCGCTCGCGCGACCAGCTTCTCCGCTCTTCCGCGCGCTCCTCGTCCTCCTCATCCTCCTCCGGCTGCGAGGCAGCTGCCGCTGCAGCCGCCGCCGCGGCCGCCGCCGCCGGGCTCGCCTTGCTGGCGCGAGCTGCATGCATGGGAGCCAGGTTCAGCCACTGTCACACCAGCGTTCTGCACAATTGTTTTCTGATGCTTCTGCCTGAGAAGGTGAAGTGCTGTGCAAGCCTCTTGGCTTGTGCAAGGCCCACCAGAAATTGGCCGAGCATCTTAATGCTAAGGAAGTGGAAACTCGATCAAGACTGCGAGAGTCCACAGGGGTACATTCTTCTCCGCAGTCAACCCTCACATATCAGCATGCAGCGCTCAATACGGACTTCAGCACATGCCCAACAGGGATGTAGCCTCAGGGGCCAGGGTCATTCCAGTCCCTCGATAAGCGGTCAGCTCACCTGCTCGCCGCTCGGCTTCCTGCTTCATGAGCTCCTCCACGGTCATGTACACGTTGCCACTCGCATCCACCGCTCTCCCCTCCACCTCCTCCTCAAGCCTGCAGCCAGCAGCAGTCAATAACTCACACATCTCATCCTCGCCATTCTTACATGACACCACTGCAGCGCACAGTCGTTACTTCCCAGCAATAGGCAAAGGGCACGTGACCGTGACCTGTGCCCAAAGTATGGTATTTGCTGATCCGCAGCAGTAGACTTCATGCATGCTGTTCACAGCGTTATCTAAATACCTCATGATGTTGAAGTCCAGCAAGTCAATTGGTGGCCTTTTACTCTAGCAGGCTTAAATCAAGCCACATGGCGGGCTTGTGGGCTGGGGTGACAGCGCGCACCCGAGAACCTGCTTCTGGTACTTGCACACGAGCTCCAGGAGGGAACGTTGCAGCGTGGCCAGCACCGCCGGATACTTCTCGCAGAAGCGGCTCACCCCCAGCGTCGACAGCGACCCTGCACCAGCACAAGGCAGGCTTATATTGGTACCTTAAGAGTGCCCAAAGAGGAATGCAACAGTGCTCAAGTGGTGATTGCAGGAGACAATCTACGATACTGCATTCAGGTGTGCATCTGGCCCTCAGCACCTAAAGCAAGCAGTCCATGTGCACATCTGGCACATGCAAAGCCAGGCATGGAACAAGCAAGCATAGCAGCGCTCCAACGGAACAAGGATTCACAAAGGACTCGGCAATGTCAGACCGGCCTGCATGGTCACCAAGGCACAAGCAAGAAAAAGCGCGCACTGATGAGGACGAATCGCAGCGGATCCTCGGGCCAGGCGAGGCTGCCAATGTCGCGGCCGCAGATGGGCAGCTCCGGATCAGCGCTCAGCTGCTTCAGCGTCTCGTCGTCCGGCAGCAGACCCCTCTCCAGAGCAGCCTGTGGCAGTACACAGAAGATCAGGGCTGGGCTGAGAAATCTTGATAGGTCGAGACCAGGGGGATCAAGGCTAAATTGCGGTTGCTCCAGTGTACTGACCTCGCCCCACTCTCACAAAAAGGACCACCTGTCTAAGCACAGTGTTGCTCGTTGAAGTGCGCCAGCATGCTGCAATAGATGCTGACCCACAGTGAATCGCCAATGGCAACATTGCATGCTCCTGCTCAGAAGCAAGCAACGAGGGCTGCACCCAGCCCCCTCGCAGTCTGCTGAAGCTGTCAAGCTCACACCCACAAAGGTGCACACTGATCGGATGACTACTTGGGCGAATCCCTATATCTCAGCAGGCTGATGTGGCTAAGGCAGCACACCTTCCAAAGCAGAATGCCCCGAGCATTGTCCCTCAGCGCCTCATTCGAGTCCCCTCCCTGAACTTTTGCCCTGTGTCGCAGCACAAGCGTCAAGCTGATAGCTTGTACTGCTCCCAGCATTGCAGTAGCATGTGAAAGAGGCCCACTACATAAGCACAGTGACCAGATCAACACACGGGAGATGACTAACGAGCACACAACAGTCTGCTGCAGTTCGAGGATACCGGCGCACCTAATATGCGCAAGTCTTAGCAGCCATGGCATCAACGCCGGTGCTACATCCCCCACTTCGCCCAGCCCATTGAGAAGGGCCACATGGCCATCGTTGCCTTTGGACACTTGCTGCATAGGTGGAGCCTCGAGGACGCTGCTGATCGACATAGTGTGCGTTCTGCTGCTCTTTTGTCCCATCTGCTTGCCGCCTTGCTTGTGAAGAGGCGCCACCAGACTCGTGCTGCTGAGGTGGTGTGCATCGTGCACAGGACAGAAGGCCGTCCGCGAGGCACCTTGCCTCGAAGGTATGTTTGACAGCATTTATGATTATGGAGAATGATAATTACATCAATCAGATGTGACTGCTTCAATTGCACACTACATCAGATTGTGTTTCTGAGAGATTGTAGTTCTTGCGAGGAAATCTTCTGCAGTGAGATCTTATATCGTCACCTGAGTAGATCACATAAAAGAGTAGGAGAATGGGTCAATAATTGTTGTAAAATGTTCAATGCCCAAAGAAGTGCCCTGCCACGCTGGCAGAAAAGATCGCTAAAGGATAACTTCCTAAACAGACTCGCCCAAGGGAGAAGTTGCCGTAACGGATCTCTAGCCATAGACGATCGAAGCCCTCCTGAGTGTCTTTGAATGATAAGTGGCATGAATCCACAACAGAGGATGCCGAGGTCAAAGGCTGAAACTTTCTCTCCATTTACGAAACAATTTGAAATCTAGCATGCTTAATGATAATAATAATAATAATAATGCTTAACAGGGGCAGATACACTCATTGTGACTTAGACAAAAACACAAAGCAGGATGCAAGTTGAAAACCATCCTCCGGGCTCAGTAAACAAGACTTGATGACCCTTGTGCAAGAGATGTGGAGCTCATGCGATTAGTGATTCAACAGGCGTGACGGGTGTTTGTCCTACTGGGATGTACAGAAATCTGTCTTGCTCAGCCAAGTTGAATGGGCTCTGCCACGCCAGCATCTGAGCACCCCTATTGAGGGGAGAAATGCGCTCTTCACAGCCAGCTGCTGTAGGCGTACCTTCCAGGAACTACGCCGGCCAGGTGTAGCCCTCAGCTTCCATCTTCCTCAGGCCCTGCACGTTCAAGTAAGTCTTGGGCACAAGCTTGCCCAAGACCGCCGACTGGAATTCCTGTGGGGACGAGGAAGACATTGCTCAACAAGAAGATGTCTGTGAGATCTGCCGCCTACTCCTGAAACCCTCAAGAGAACTATCTTTTTTAGAAAATGGGTTTGCAACGCTTCCAACACACATATAAATGATTCATGGGAGACAGAGATGGAGCGCATGTAGTTGTGGCTCAAGTTCACTGAAGTTCACTTGGCAAGTGCCGCTGTGGGCACCAGAGCATCCCTTATTACCATTCCTTGCCACATATGTGAGCACATGTCCCCCGCCCCCGACTAGCAACAAGCAGAGCCAATTAGAACGAGCACACAACATTGTGGATAGCATCTGCAATGCCAGGTATGACAAGTCCTCTCTCATCCCTCCACCTAGTATGCAAGCGAACATGGCGGATCCAGGCACACACTCCCCCGTGCTACACACATTATCAACATTTGCTCTGAGTGCCAGCAGTGCAAGGTGCTGTTGTTTGAAGGCTGCGCCTTAACAACTTGTTGAACTGCGAGTCATAACTCCTTTTTATTTCATAGCGTGATCTGAGTCCATATAGAGGCATTGAAGTATAATACTTCATCCGAGTCCTTGCCAGCCAACACCGCACTTTAGCACGGCAGTGCTTTTACATTGCTCTGGGATCTCCAGTCTTGAAAAGGTGCCCCTGCACACACAATGCTCTGGATTCAGCGTGGCCAGGCTTTCATCGACTGATATCTCCCTTGGATCTTCCACGGTATTGATCGTCAGCAGTACTCTTGCCGACAGGCCTGGCCTGGGGGGCTGTCAACGGCAACAAAAGAAACAGGCCGCCAATTGTGCCACGGTGTTCCGAAAAAGCATTCATTTGCATCCTACACTGCTCAACAATTTGCTGGCCTTGCAGCCTTGCTTGGCACACCCTCCGCTGATGCTTTGGTGCTCCTTCTCTGAAGTAACTAGAGTGGTCCGCACGTAGGCACTTGCCTAGATAGTCCCAAGTCTCTGCATCATCCAATTCGTGCGTCTGCTGTTGTTTCGAGCCCCAGGCCCCCATTACGGCAGCTCGATCTGCATTTGAGCAGGTCGTAACGAGCATGGGACACATTTCCTCTGGCGCTCCTCTATATTGGGCGGACTAGAAACAAATTACCTGCAGCTCGCTCCAGCACGGGGTGTGCATGCATGCCGATGATGTCACCCGTCCGCAAGGGCCGTACCTGCGCATCTTTGGCTGTTGAGGCTGAGGTGTCCTTGGGGGGGGGGTGCATGGGAGTCTGCGCTGGTCTGGGCCGGCATTGTGTCGGTGTCCAGCCAGGCGGCGCGGGGGTCGCCAATGGCTGCTATCGCCTGCCACCAGCAAACATACAAGCAAATTAGTCAACACAAGCGCAAAGCGCAGCATGCAGGCAGAACAAGCGGACGTCTTCCTGCCACACTGACATCCTGAAGCTTCAGGCTGGGGCTTCTGTCAAGTGACCTGTAGTGACTTGTGATGAACGCACAACTTGCGAAACGGAAACATGAACATGGCTCTTGAAGACCACGCGGATCCACAAAATAATTTTCCTTGTGCGAATTGAGATCCTGCATGCATATGCATGCTGCAAGCAAATCATCTGCCCGGCAGGGCGCCTGAGCAGACGAGCAGAAATAGACAATAGCACTGTGCTGGTTGGTCAAATTGGTCTAGGTGACTGTCCAATGTCAATATCTACTAAATGAAAAATGTCACATGCAGTGACTCCCTGTCACCGAGGATATCATCAAGCATTGCTGCAATGCTTGTAAAGGTCCAAATCTGCCAGATGCATGAATTCATTCGAGACTGTGTGGAGGTGCGCACCTGGGCAGCATGTGCGTCAGGGGATAATTTGGCTGCTTTCTGTGCCACTGTGGCATTGCTGGAAACCTCAGGTTTGGCAGTGCTGCCCATCCAGGTAGCGCGAGGATCGCCCGTCTCGATCGTGGTCCGGTCGGCGGCGTGCCCTGCGCAAGAAGATTACGATATTGGCTCAGCCAATTTGGCTGCAGCCCATGTTCTAGGCCATAACATGCTACGCTTCCCACCGTCATTGTTTCAGCACAACCAGAGGTAAATGTGCACTTCGCTCATTTTGATTTCAGACCAGAACCGTTCTGTGACAGCATGTACTTGGTGTTCATCTGACAAGTACAATTAAACTCAAAACTTCTTGAAGCTGCAGCTGCTTGAAGCTCTCAGAGCTGGAGTCCTTGATGTCTGAATCGGTATTAATTGACTTGCAACAAATCTTGTGCAACACAGAGAGAGCTTTGGGATCCCTGGAACAAGTTTGGGCCACAATGCGCGAGTGAAGAGCACATGTATCTGTCAGCATTGAGAAATCTGCAGTTCACCTGATGCCCTGGAGAGCTGTGGGTCTAGGCCCTTGAGGGACTTAGGGAACTTCCCTTCCAGCAGCAGGTTGGTTGCTTGCTCGACATTTCCGCCGCAAGCCACCAGACAGGCCTCTATGAAGCCATCACCATATTGGGGCGTGACGTCCTTGACCAGTTCGATGCTCTCATTCAGCTGCTCTTGGGATAGAGTAGCTGCTGCGGGATCAAGCCAAAACGTCTTTTCAATGACTGCCCAGCTTGTCTCATGCCAAACGTAAGTCCATGCAGCCAGACTAGGCCTCTAATTGGTTTTGCTCAGAGCATGTATGCTTGTTCAAGACATCTGCAACACAGGTTCAAGACCTACGAGGATTATGGCTTTCTTGCGAGCAGGCAATCGACAATGGACTCATGAGAAATATTCAGAATACAGTGACATGATAGAATCTCCTAGAAAGGAGCTATTCGACCATCAGGCAAACATCGGATATATCCGAAAAGATACCATCTTACCTTGGACAGAAAATTCGCGGCTTGTGTCAAAGTTCAAGAACTGTGCGCGGGGATCTCCGGTGACCTGATGAGCCATGTGATATTTGTCCTGGGTTTGGGACTCGGAAGCTTGAGGTGGCAACTAGGCGTGAAAGTCCCGTTGCAGCGATCCGCTTTCTGTAGGACCGCCAACGACGACGCGACGACCCTCGGTTGTGCTGAAGCCAATATAAATATTCACTTGTCAAGTACAGACTGTTGTTGGTCTCGCTTGTGCTCTACTTATACAGGATGAAAAGGCGTTCGACATCAAAATGCCGCAAACGCCGCTGCACATCGCCTGTCGCACGTGCTGCGCCTGATGGAGCGTCGTGCTCTGCAGCTGCAGGGCATGGCCGACAATGAAGCTTGATCTTGGTTGATCGACATCACTGCACTCCCATGTCGTCTCCTAAGGGCCACTGTATCATTTGAAGAGCGTTGAAAGCATCCATCGACTGGGGATTTCGCTGATATCCTAGGTGCGATAAGCCCGCATGTCCTTGATGGGCATAGTACGACACTAAGTTGGCATACAATGATCGCTTATGCGCGATCATTGCAACAAGTGTAACCAATGAGATGCAAGAAATCTGGCCGCTGTGGCGGGTCGATGTTCAAGCTTGAGTCGCAACCTGACTCTTGCTGGCTACGGCCATGTCCTTGCACATCAGCTGGCACACTCAATTTTAGGCACTTGCGATGTTTAATAGGATCAATGCTATTTTATGGCCTTGTGCTTACTATGCCGTGCTACGACATGAGAGTGACGTCTCCTTGACATGGCCCCCATGCCCTGTCCTGCAGGTGATCTTTGGTGATTAGCGTGTGTCTATGGCTCCTAAGGACGAACAGGGCTCTTCTGCGCCTCTTCTAGTGGATGATGACGTTGCAGACACCCTAGAACAGGGGCTGTCTGACAGCCATGACTTCCAGTCAATCATCGCTGCACGCCCCAAGAGGGTGGTGCAATGGCTGCAGGACGATGCAGTAGAAAAGCTTGGAGAGTTCCAAATCTCGGTGAGCTGGGATAGTTTTCCTACGTTGCAGGCCGTATTGGGTCAACGGAAAGCTTGTGTAGAGGCAAAGCTGCACATTATGTCCCTTTGTTCTACCTAGGTCCCTGTTCAATGCATTCTGAAACGATCTCTGGAAGCAGCAGAAGCGTGTGAACGCTCTGTTGGTAAATGTTTTCATATCAGCACGTGGCATGGTGCGCACAGGACACCCAGTTCTTTTCTGCAGGACCCTCGGAGAGTGGGTTGCTCACCGAAGGCCACAATAGCAGGTGCATCGATGTGGAGCGGTTCTGGAGGAAGCGTCTAGAGGAAGCAGCCTCCACTCGTGTATCCTCTGGTGGGGCTCCTCTGAAGCTTTAAAAATCCTTGATCAGACACGCATGCCATCTTCCAGCTCTCTTATAGTCAGGGTCAAATAGATACCATGATGGCCAGTACTCGGCTTTGGCCGGCAGACTCGAAGCTGGCTCGTCTTGCTTCTTTTAGCATGTGGTCCTTGTGGCCTTGATGCCGACATCAAATTCTTGTCAAGCTTGATGGCCACAATGTTCTTCCCATGTCAGTGTTGCCAGGATCCGGTTCCAAGGGACCTGCGGTCAGAGATTGGGATTCCCACACTAAATTGTGGACACCTCGGTAGAGATGTAGAGCCCTATGTGGGTGTCTCTGAAAACCTCAACGTCCATGATGGAGACTGCAGTGCATGCATGCTCGAGTGCCTGATGTGGCTCTGTTGCATGCATGCGCAGAGCCGGAGGAATGGAGCGAGATGGTGAAGGTGGAGGCCTGGGTGGTCACCTTGAAGAATGCAGCAGCAGCTGAGAATGTGGGGCTGCTGCAGCCGCTGCTCAGCCGCTTCCAGGCCGGCAAACTGTCAATGATGGTCTTCGGTCTGCCGGCAGTGATGGTGCGCCGCCCTGACTGTTCTCTCAGGGCATGCCAGTGAGGTGCATGCAAACAGGAGGCGGGCCTGGCTTTGCTTACAACTCATTTGCGAGAGCCTGGGCTGCTCGCAGCTCTGGCAGATCAGGTCCAGCTTGCACGTATGCGAGGCAAATTAATGGGGTCGGTCTTCCTGACGAATGAAAGGCAGATCTGGCCACTAAATGGGGTCGTACTTGCATCCCGAGGAAATGTTCAGAGCATTGGACGCAAAATGATTGAATTCTTCTGGTGCTGCATGCAGGCAACAGTGGAATTTAAATGGGTCCACTGGTGCCGGCGGCTGCTCTGGGTGCAGCTGGCGCTGTACATGCTCTGGTTATTCTCCTTTACGATCTTCACCATCCTTTTCCAGGTGGGCCCACCCATTCTTGCCTCTGTTCATTTTTTGTTTGACGAGATGGACCAGTCCTCGAGTGTTGCATCCTACCTGCAGCCTGCACTGAGTGGCACTGCCAGCCTCTATCTTCAGGCTGTGCCTTATTTATCAGTAGCAAAGCCACAACGGCTGCAGTCCCTCAATATGGCGCTGCATTGTGGCTGCGCGTTGGTGCTTTCAGGCTTGCGACTCATTTTCGGCAGTGACAGCATGTGACTTTACAAGCAAGTCTGTGATGCTGACATTCGGATGGTGTCCTGCCCCACCAGCAACATGGCGGGGGTGAGTCACCTTGCTTAGTCACCCCAATTACTCACCAAACGCTGCTTGATTTGGCACGGTGCAGGATGAGGACGCCGGCTCAAGCCTCGCTGAGGTGGCGGCCACGCCGCGCGGGCAGGCCACGATCGCGCTCGAGATCGTCGCGCTCTTGGCGATGCTCCCGTTTTTGTACATCGAGGCGGCAACAATCATTGAGTACGGCAAGACGTGGCTCAATGCCCAGAACATCATCGACGCACTCACCTACGTCAACCAGGTGTTTGGAAATTTGGCACTGGGGTCTCAGAATTTCCGCACTTATATGGGAGCAGGGTGCGGCAAAATGATATTGTTGACAAGGATGCACAGCCCTGCTCCTGTAGCAGTGAGGGTCAAATCCAACACCATGTGGCCTCATAAGTGGAAGCTGGGACTGCAACAGTAGTGCAGTACTATCTAGAAGGACTGCACTGGGCATCCAACACTAGGTTATCACAGGCGAGGCGGCTGGAGGATCCTGCATGTCCTGTAGAATTGCATGCTCAGCGGTTGAGCATCAGATGATTCCTTGCTTGTCAAAGCTGTGCGCATATCTGCCTGCATTGGAGAGCTGACAGTGCAAGCTTCGAGTTTGAGGGACCCTTATTGCATGTGAATGCGCTGATTCGCTGGGGCTCAGCTCTCAAAGCTTATGAGGACTACCAGAGATCGTCTCGCTGCCTGGCACAAATGCATGCCAGGCACTGATAAATATGAAATGCTTATGTGCTGGACATGAACACTCTGTGTGCGTGCTCAGGTGACAATTACAGTGATGCATCTGACACGGCGCCACCTGGAGTCCGACGTCATTCTCTTCCTCATGGCCGCCCAATGCATCCTGCTCTGGTTACGCCTGCAATATTACCTCAGGCATGCACCTTCTTGATCCTGCCTCATGTCATGGGCTGACCAGCGGTAGTACCCAGACTTATAAAATGAGGTTGCTCTGTGCGTTTTTGCCTGCGGCGTTGTGACTTATTGCCTCCTGCCAGCAAAGCTTGCAGCGAGAAGCTCTGTACTTAATTGGATCTGCACCGTTCCTCTGTTGATCATGGGGCAGAAACACTACATTGGCTGGCCATGACTTTTAACATTACTGCAGACTTCAAAGGACGCTAAATTTGTGATACTTTGTAAATTTGTCGATGCATATGTGGGGCCACCTCTTCAATTCTGGTAATGTGCCTGTCTTCAATTCTGTTAATGTGCCTGCTGTGCAGGCCTTTCCGGGCATCCAAGTTTGGCTTCGTGGACACACTACGAGTGGTGCTGTCGGACGTCAAGTGGTTCTTGCTCTTCCTCTTCTTCACCATGTGGGTGGGTGCTCGCTGCCAGCCTGCTTCCCAAAACTCATGCCATGAAGGTCTCCACTCTGCTTGCCCAGTCATCATCCAGTGGTCAGGCAGTGCAAGGAAATATGGGGATCTGTCATCATCATGGTATCATGTGCATGCTTCAAATGCCATAGGATTGCCGGGCATGAAGAGGACTTGTCACCTGTTCAGTCCAATTCAAGGCAAAGGTGCATTGACTGAGGTGCTGGGGTTTCTGTGCGAGACATGGCCGATGCGTTGATTCAAGCTTATCTGTTGGAGCAATGCGGGCTGCTGCTTACCTTGGGAACGTGCTGACTGCAGGGGTTTGCGTGCGCCTTCCACGTCCTCTACCGCAGCGACCAAGACGATGCGCCGGTACTGTCCTCTGACCCGTTACAATGACTTCACCCCTCAGAGGCTCTTGAAGCTGGGCTTTGCGCATGTGCTGGCCCAGGGATGGCCTCGGGGCATTGTCGCTAGCGGAAACAACCCAGTCATTCACCATGCGAGGGCGCTCTGCAATCATGCCAAAACATTAACAGGACTTCTCCTGTGCGCAGGAGTTCACCTCGCTCTGGCGCAGCCTCTACACGGTGTTCACGGCCGCGGTGGGCCAGTTTGAAAACGACACTTACATCAACCACCACAACCCGCGGCTGACGATTCCCCTTCTGGTCATCTACCTCTTCGTCGTCACCATCATTATGCTGAACCTGCTCATTGCGCTGCTGACCAATGCACAGGAAAAGGTGCGCCTGCTGCAGCTTCCTTGCAACTTCCTAGAAAGTGCCTCTTGTGGCATTGATGAGCCAAGGCAGCACAGCAAGACAGCACACTATGGTGCCTGCTGCATTGATGAAGGAACATATAAAGAGCTAATGGCTGCGGTGCTTTTCACGCCTCTGGGCAGTTGTGAAGAGTGAAAAGGTGGAATTATGGTCCATAGGAAAATACAGACGTGTGCGAGCTCTTGCTTCTCGCTGTGACACTCCAATCAGCTGCATGCAAGTTGTCAGTGCCTCACAGATTGGTTCTGATATACTCTGCGACTTTTCTGGCTTGCGCAGATGACGGAGAACGCTGGGCTGCGCGCAATCCTGAGCAAAGCCCAGATCATTGATGAGCTGGAAAACACGCTGCCCAGCTGGCTCAAGCGCCAGGGAGGCAACCGTTGGTACCCCAACTACATCCACATCCTCAAGGTGCGCTGCCCAGGCATGTCACTACTGTGATTGCAGAAGAATATCTCTTAGGTTGCATGTGCCCCGGGTGTATGTTCTGGTCCCACACTCTGGCAAAAGTCTTGCCTCTCTATCATACAAGATAAATTGATCAGGCGGAGAGTAAAGTACTGCTTTGCAAGGTGGAGGACGTCCATATTGAAGAGCAGGCGCTTGGCCGATAAGCCCATGTGCATGTATGAGTGTCTCATGGGAAACCAGTGTTATGGTCTTTGCGCTTCGGAGCTCTGACTCGACACTGCAGATTGGATAAAAGTTGCCAGTGCTGCTCTGGCCAGCTGTGGCCTCTCGTATTGCAAGCAATTGTCAGCTTGCGCTTGCTGGCTTGCGCTTGCTGACTCACCCGATGTGTCACGGCACAGCTGGCGCCCAGTCAGCGCGGGGAGCTGTCAGCGGAGGCGCTGTGGGCGGAGCACGGAGACCTCCTGGACAGCAGCGAGGAGGTGCGCATCCGCGTGCGCGCCCTGGAAGCCAAGATAGACGTCTTGCAGGCGTCGATCGACGCGCTCATCGCCGCGCTGCCGGCCCAGGCGCGCGACCGGGCCGCCGCCGACCCCGCCAGGCTGCAGGTGCGAGCACATGCCGCGTAGATTTTCGTAGGGGTGCTGCTACGGTGTGCTGGACAATGACAGATCACCCCTTAGCCCATCATGCAGGGTGGTCAACTTGACAATGTGGCCAAGCAGCAGGTGCGAGCACATGCCGTGTAGACCGTCATTATTACTACCACCTGCCAAAGGGCACGGTACGTCCTGCAGACCAGCTAGACCGCCATATTATTATTGTTATTATTATTACACGTTTTCCAGTCCTAAAGGACTAGGTACGTCAAGCAACACCTGAATTATTGCTCTCCAGTCTTCTCGGTTCTTGCACTTCCTCCACCAGTCATATGGATGCCCAATAGCATCAAGGTCATCTCTCACATAATCATTCCAGCTCTTCAATGGTCTGCCTCTAGCCCCAGTGCCTGACATTGTACTGAACATCATCTGCAATGGTATCCTAGTGGGATCCATGCTTGCCACATGTCCCAACCATCGAAGGCGTCTATATCTGAGCAAGTCTGATATCTGGGGCATCTTGCACCTTGCACGAATCTCCATATTTGGAATCTTATCTAACATACTGATACCGCAGAGGCTTCTCAAGCATCTCATCTGGCCGCCATAGGGGTGGTGATAAATCAAGTTAGGGTACATCACCCCTGAATCCATCATGCTACCCTACTCAAATAGCCAAGCAGCAGCTGCAAGCACATTCTGATCAGAGTAGTGATCAGTATATAGCAGTGATCATCCTCTCCTTTGTGGGCGTCTGTATTGCAATAGTGCTGCATTTTTGCACAACGCCGCACTCACATGCAACTGAGTATCACAATGCCCGTGTCACATAGACAAGCAATAGCATCACAGGCCAGAGGGAAAAGGTCGGTGTTTGGCCTCGTTTGCAGTGCCAGGGTGAATCACCCTGAACCCACTATGCAGAGCTCTCCTATAATTTGCCTTACTGATAACGGGCAGGCAGTACAGCAAACGCCCCAAGAGTTGTCACGGAGGGTTCAGGTGCTCAATGTACTCTTGGTTGGAAGGCAAGTGCTTGCACAGCAGGCAGCTTTATGAGGACTTTCTAGACACAGCACATCACACCGGGATTACATGCAGCCGCCTTTATAAGCTGCAGGAATGTGCATGAGCTAATGAAATTCTGGGAAGAAGACCTGCTGGTTAGGAGAAATCTTAGCAAGGCGTGCTGCAGGGATGTAGATCGTGTGGGGAGTGTCGGGATGACTCATTATTCCGGAAGCCCTGAGCGATAAATTGAGAGACTTGGTGCTCAGCAGGCGCTCTTGAAGAAGGCACAAGAGGAGGATGAGCTTGTCAGCTCAATCGAGCAGCATGACGATTCCGAGGAGTGAGGCTGTGAGGGACGGGTCAGACATCTACAGTGCGAAAATTAGCATGGCGCAGCATGTGCATTAGCGCCGGATGAAGCAAGATGGTGTCTGGAGCTGAGCAAGCTTCACTTGGGGCACTCATTGGGAGCAAAGATATGTAGTGGCGGTAAGAAGAGGCTTCAGAGATGATGGGCGGGCTGTCAGCTGGCTGCCAGCTGCACTGCATGTGAAGTACGAAAATGAGTCATCAGTCATCAGGCACCTGTTCACAGTGTAGGTGGCGTTGGCTGACTGGAAGTAAGCGCTGAAGTGAATATGTACGGGATTCTGCTCAGATGTGTACAGTGATCAAGCAATCCTTGTATATCATATGAATCCGTCTTTTTATTGTCCGAAGGAGTCAGCTATTTGGCCGGAGCTTTGCAGTCAGATACTGGGATCTGAGTACCGTTACGGGAGTCTTGCTAAGAAAGCAACAGAGGGGACTGGCACTCAAGAGCAATGCATTGGAGTGAGCAGCACAGCACAAGGCCGGTTGTGACTCACGCGCAGCTGCTAGGATTAAAAGAAATGATTGCAACTTGTCAGTTCATCAACGAGGCATTGTCTCAGCTACTATCTAGTGAATTGCCTTTAAAGGAGATCTAGATTGCAAAGTTCTATCAAGGAAGATGTTCTGGTGTTGAGAGCCCGAAGACCCGTCTGCACTGTCACTAAGGTGATACATTGGTAATACATCATGCAGCTCAGCATGTGACATGACTCACACTGATCACTGTCATGACACGTCGGTCTCATGAGCACACTGATCAGCACCACTGAATTATAACGGCATTGGTCCTGCCGCTACAGAGTGGTAAATATGTGAAAAGAATTTGACGTAAAAAGGAAAAAAGAAGATCATGCCTGGGGCTGGAAGTGTGTTCACTGTGGTACTGACTAACCCTAGCACATGAGATGACATCTCGTAACCTAAAGTAACTGACCCAAAACAGGCTCACACCCTGGCTGATACACCCTGACAATTTTCTGCCTTGCCAAACTCCCTCCTGACAGCTTTTAACAATCACTTCTGAAGCAAAGAGTGATTGATCCAGCAGATCGCCGTGCAAAGTGTGGCTTCTGTCAGAAGTTGTGTGGCAGATCGTGCTAGCCAGTGATGAAGACAAGAGGGAAAGACTACTCATCGCCATCAGGTTCTGCTTCCAGCATGCTGCAGGTGCAGGTGCAGGAAAAGGTGCGTCTCCGGAGTCTCTAAATCTCCTCTAGGAAATCACTACGCAATTACTTCGTAGGCGTTTTCACGACTCTCTTCGGACCCTAGAAGTTGACAATGGCTGAGTCTAGTGAAAGTAAGAGGGGCTCCCAATCGATCAATCGGATTGGCTGGCAAGATTCTTTGTATTTTGCAATATGCAGATACATACCGCGAGATCAAGGGGGAAACGTCGTGGCGCATCCTCCCCGAGTGAACGCCAGGCGCGTCCTGCAACGAAGGTGCGTTGAGCAGCCTTGCGTTTCTCATATATTGGCCACTCGATGCCGGCGTAGATCTATTGAGGGAAAACACAGTTTCTGTCACATTATAACGATTCGATCGATCGTTCCCGTGTAAGTAATAAGAGAGCTTGCTTGAAGGAAAAAAAGCCACCAGAGCTCATTCGTCAGCCAGAGCCCCTTTTCAGCATGAGCGTGAGCCATAAGATCCTGCCACGAAACCAGCTCAAGATCTACATCTGAGGCTCTCTTTCTATACTTTTTGTCCTGTGTCAGACGAGCCTGCAGCGCAAGTGACTTACAAGCATTTCTGCCTTGCAGGACATCTGCTCAACAGCGGGGCAGCTCAATGACAAAAAGAGGAGGCGGGATAGCATCCTGCTGGACACCGTCCGAACAGGCAGCGAGGAGTCCCCATCCAAGAAGGTGTGAAATTTTCGCTGGACGAAAGCTTCACTTGCCTGCATCACAACAAAGTCTTAACAAAGTCTGTACATCCTATACCCCTTTTTGCCGCTGTCTCTCAGCAGCTAACAGGTCAAGAGACCTCCTTCTATGTGCAGTCACCACACACACATTGAGGGTTGCACCACCTTGTGTTGCAGCAGCCATGACTGATCAATGCCCATTCGATACCTGATGACTGAGCAATTGTGGTGATGAAACTGCAGGCGCGCACAGGCCCTGCCGAAGTGCGCAGCAGCGCTACAGCCCAGAGGCTGCCAAAGGTGACGGCGGCCCATAAGATGGCGGCGTTGCAGCGTCAGAATGAGGAGCTGGCCAGGAAACTGGAGACCAGCAGAGCCTGCTGCAAGGCTGTGCAACAAGAGGTGCGCGCAATCATTCCTACATTGCCCTCACTTGCTTTTGCATTGCTCTGTTGTTTTGTTGCATTGGGTACATGCAGCGGCTTCAAGATTCCCTCAAGGCAGGTCAAAAGCAGCTGCAGCATGCCGCCTGAACCATCTTCAGCTGGTCTTGTGCAAATGGTGACTACATGGCGCGCTTGCATGCATTGCATGTCATTTGGACACTGTCTGGCAGTGATAGACAGATCAACCGTGAAGGTACTAGGATTCTGGCTCAGCCATGCGACGCTTGCCAGGTGGACTCTTAGTACCACTCAGTAATTACTTCTAAGCAGGAGCTGCTGTCTGGTGATGCAGGCGGAGGAAGCCAGGACGGAGGCGCAAGCAGAGCATGTCAAGGTGAAGGGGCTGCAGTGTGCCATATCGCAGTTCTACGAGGAAAGGAGCGATCTGCGCAAACAGCTCGCTGCAAATGTGAGACCTGAGACATCATCACCCTTCCCTGCATCCGCAGCTGCATTACTGTGCAATCCTGTGTGCCCCGCAGTGCATGTCTGCCTCTATAATTTGTGGTGGCATGGCGCCTCTCACTTTCAAAAATCTGTGCACTGGCACCATCAGTGAATGGCAGCACGCTCATCAGCGTACCCTTTGGTTGTCAGCATGCATGCTCACATGATTGGGCTATCTAAGAGGCATCGCTGACTATATATACACATATCATATCAGCCATCACAAGACATAGTAAGTGCACCTTGTCTGCAGACGCATCTTGCCACTTGGCAAGAAGGGCCTGCAACAGAACAAATAGCAACTGCTGGTTGCTTGCGTGCAGTTTCAGGAGGTCTCCTCCCTGCGGCTGCACGTCAGAAGCCTGGAGGCAATCATCGGTCACCTCCGCACCAACTCACATGACATGCATCGCAAGATGCTCAACACCGACGCTGACCTGGCGGAGGCGCAAAGGGCGCAGGCGGCCGCGGAGGGGCGCACCAATCGGCTGGCGGCGGCAGGCGAGAAGCGGGAGCTACCGTTCCTGCCGGTGCGCTCCCATGTCATTCTGTGCTGGATGCTGCACAAAGGGCAGAGTCCACAAGCTGTGTGCAGTGTCTTGGGACAAAGGCTTTTGCCACAACAAGGCAGCTGCAGCCTGCTATTGCAAATTAGCTTCAAGCATGTGTGTCTGGAAGGAATGCTTGAACGGGAGCAACTCAAGTGGATGATGACCTGCCTATGCCCACCGCCTCTACGCTCATCAGAGATTCAGATGAACTTGACCATGCCAGTGCGTGATCGCATGGGTGTTGGCACTAGCAGAGCTGCTAGTAGCAAAGGTGGTATCTCAGGTGACCGCCCAGTGGCACTTGGGAGCAAAACCCTGACCGGAATTTTTTGTTGCACAGGCTGACGCCATCAGGCTGAGCCGAAGCAAGCCCCTGGGCCAGGGCGCCAGTGGCACCGTCTCCCAAGCGACTCTCCGCCTGCCGGTGGCCGTCAAAAGCGCGAACCTGATCGCGGAAGCCTCCATCATGGCGCCCCGCGACGCAGCATACCGCAACAGAAAATACCAGGCTGCTGTGATGTACGAGGCCACTCAGCTGGCGCGTTTCTGCGGCCACCCATACATTGTACGGGCGCTGGGGATGGTGGTGGAGGAGGGCCACCTGGGGCCCAGCATAGTGCTGGAGCTCGCAACCCACGGCAGCCTCCACAGAATGATGTGAGTCACCGCTTCCTAAGCCTGTGCATGCGTGCGCTTGCTTTCGCCTGTCGTGCCCACTCCTTGTTCTGTAATATTCTGCTTGCTTTTGGCTGGGGAGTAAAGGTGCGGGGGGAGTTCTTGGGTATTGATTGGGGTCAGAGCAGGACCATCTGGCTTGCAGGCAAATGCTGTCATACATGATGCGGTTCCCGGGTCTTCAGCAGGTTTAAGGATCCAGCGGTAGCTCATTTTCGGTTGCTGTCTGCGTGCGCAGGGCCAACAATGAGTTCATCGACATCGACTGCCAGGTGGCATTCGCACACTGCGTCGCTGACGCCCTTCGCTACATCCACGATTGCGGCTATAGTCACGGTGACATAAAACCGGACAACATCCTTACCTACGAGGACGACGACGGGGTGTACGCCAAGGTGACCGACCTGGGCCTGACCGCTGCCTGCAACCCTGCCACCGGCCGCCTCATCGATCCCAAGCGCGCCGGGTGAGCCCCCTGGATGCAATCAACCAAGCCCCCAGGCTGCACTTGAGTAAAATTTCTGTTCCCCTTAACTGTGCCAGATTGGAGGTCATGTTGCTAGGAATATCGTCATCTTGGCTGCAGAAGAAAAGAAAAGCAGGAGTGGGTCTGAGCTCCATGCGCATCCCATCTTGCATGCACAGAAGCGAACGTGTCATGGATCTGTAGTGCACAAGTATTTCAAGGAAAGTTCCTTCTGCCCTCAGAGGGCAGAAGAAGAAAGGGCACTCATTTACGGGCCGTTGGCCTTTACAAAGGACATGCGCGTGCCGAAAGCTCAGAGTTGACTGTCATGTGACATGACTCTGGTTTGGCGTGCAGTGGGACCATGGGCTACCTTCACCCGGAGAGCTACCTGGACCCGGCTGCAGCGGGGCAGCGGGACGACTCCTATGCGTATGGAGTGACTCTCCTGGAGATGCTCATGGGCCGCACCGCGCGCGAAGTGCTCGTGGAGCAGTACGAGGCTCTGCCCAAGAAGGCGCTGGATCAGATCACTGCCGAGGTCCGCCGCCGGTGCTGCAGCTGGGAGATGGCCCCCAAGGATTTCGACTTCATCAGCCTGGCGGAGTGCTACAAGGTGCGCCCCTGCTTTAGAAAAAGTCTGAAGTGTGTTTTTTGAACCTGAATACAAATTGAGTATCTTGTTTACGCCCTGATGAAGCTTAGAGTCTAGGGTGATCCGGGCGTATAGTGCAAAATCTGCTGTCTCCCATTGTGTACCGCAGCTCAGTCAAGCTTTTAGGATGCCATGACAAAGCGTGACCCCCCTGAATTTCCATGGCATTGCTGCCCTTGCAAGACACAGTGGGTCAATCTCAGAGAGTCTGAGGGCACTTGCTGCAAGTATGCACTGGTTGCAGTTGCGCAAGGGCCAGCAATGACAAGGGCCAGCAATGACAGGAGCGGGTTTCTAGTCCTTTCGAGGGTGTATCTTAACAGCACCGTGATCTCCAGAGACATCAGGCATTGTGGCGGGACTGACAAATGTGCATGCTTTTGCTGCAGGAGAACGTGCAAGAGGAGCTGCAGGCTCCTGACATGTATGTGCAGATGGTGCTCAGCCTGGTGAGGATAGATCCCCGCAGCGCCCCCGGCCCCTCGTGGAGCGAGGTGCTGCAGACTCTGGACCGAGTGCACACGATGGTGCAGTGCTAGACTAAGAGCAGTTGATGGGAATCGCGCTCGGTTGATGTCAACAATGCGGAGTTGAAAACAAAACAGGCGGCGGCGACTGGTCTGGCTAAGTTTCTACAGACAGTATCTTGAGGCGCAATTGTCCTTGCAGAGCAGCAGTTATAGTCGTAGTTCAGACCCTGGACTGGCTTAAACTTTGGAAGGTTCGGCATCCATAGCATTATCATGACAGACAGTTGAGGCCCAAAGAACATTTATGGGCAATCTGAACGGCTCAATGTCTCAGTCGGCAATTAGAAGGCATCTGGCTCCGGAAGGTTGAAAGTACGGGAGGTTTCTGTATTTGCTTTTGGGTCTTCAAGTTGGGTTGGGACCCTGCCGCATGCTGCTGCTGTGCGAATTATCATAAAGTATTATATCGGCCGTGCATACTTCAAATAGAGAGGCAAGAGGGTCCACAAGCTGCAACGAAATGGCAGACTTGCTTTGGATGTGGGAAGCCATTGTGTTGAAAAAGTCTTCCCGCAAAGGGCAATTGGATGATGGCTTGGTGAATGCACTGGCATGGCGCCAGAATGCACAATGGAAAGACTAAGCAAAGGAACAAATGTGAGTCTGAGTGCGTCAGGAAGTTGAAATGTTTTGATATATTTGGGGCAGAGATGCGCAAGGGAATATTATGCGGGTATGGACGTTGACGCCAATGTTCTTCACTCCTTAGCAAGATGTGTAATCAGATGATAAGATGGTACTAGTGTGTTGTCTGCCCTCAGCATGGCCCATGGCGTCCATCATACTCAGCATGCTCAGCATGGAAAGTCAAGTACAGTGTTTCTTTTGGTATACTTATCTAACCCAAGGGCAGAGCCAAGGCCTGGCCCACATTCAGTATATAAACGACAAATGAAATGCCTTGTGAGCACTATAAGAGTAATGCATATCACCATCCAGTCTTCTTAGCTCATTTCTGACTCAGGCATCTAGCAAAAGATCATCGTTCACCACTTATTTTCAACAATATTATCTTCACGCCTCAAGACCCACGTGTGTAAGCATGGGACATAACAGCAACTTTAAAGCCATGGAAATTACACAAGCATAATAAGAAAACAGAGCATCTCACACATGCCTTGGCAATAGAGCAGCAGTGTTCAAACACAGTGCAACTTCTCAAAGAACAGGCTTCAACCGTCCAGACAATACATCAGCAAACCCAAAGCAATCAGCACAACATGGAAATCTCCTGTCACTGTGTGTACATCCTATTCACCATCCTAAGCCAAAGTAGCCGTTTTAAGGTCCAGGGGTTGCAGTTCAGCTTTGAAGCCAAATCCAGATTTTCAGTATCACTCAATATCCAGACAATGTTACACACAGGCCAAGTGGTGAAGTTGTCCGACTGAGTCAGCATTTAGCAGTCAGGTGTTGCAACATGCAGTGCAAGGACCATCTCAATGGATCCAGGAGGGAAAATTGAAGCTGCTGTGTTTCAATGTTTTCAAAAGTATCAATTGCACCAGCCAAAAGCTGCTAGTCAAGTCACTTGATGCCAGTGACTAAATTGCCACGGCTTATAATCACCTCAATGCTTCAAACTGGCCAGCAAATCATGTGCCATGCAAGCTCGTAGTTGCCTCTTACTTACAAGTGCCCAGTGCCATGTTTGACAATCTTCCTTGTGTGCTGCGATACCCCTTGCTTTCTCACCCGGTTGGAATCACCTGCAAGACGTCGGTCAGTTGCAGATTCCGGCACTCGTGCCTCAAGGTCACCCTTTGGCCACGTTGCGCCGGGCCAACATCAGCCGCGCGCTCCACTTGGCAGACTGGCTCCTCGGCAACATTTTGCGCCTCTGCAGCGCTCTCAGCGCGGCGCTGTGGCGCTCGTTCTCTTTTGCTATGTCTGCGTCAACATCCTGCACCGCCTTCTTGGCCTTATCCACCTCCATTGCAATCCAATTGATGTCTTGCCAGCAAGCCTCAACTCCCTCAGAGGATTTGGACTCCAGCCGGGGTGAAGTGATGTTACCCAGATCATTGTTGGAGACAGCTCGCGCCAGAGCAGGCTGCGCGCTGGCCGCCTGCTGAGCTGGCGCTGCCATGCTGGCAGGGGGCACCTGATCGAGCTCGACCTGCTGGAAAAAGGACCCCCCGCCGGACCCCCCGGCCTTGCCACCACCGCTGCTGCCGGGACTACCGTCGCTGAGGTTCAGGCGAATCGTGCTGCTGAAGGACCGTGACGGCTCGGGTTCAGTGGCGGCCGGCTGCGGATCAGGCTGCCAGTAGCGAGGCGGCGGCTCGTTGTCCTTCTGGACGGGCTGAGAGGGGCCCTCTGTGAGCTGAGGGTCAATTGAGATTTGTTGGGGCCCGCGGCCGTCGCTTGTCTGGCTGTTGCATGCGCTGTGGCCTGTCGACTGCAGGTCTAGTTCGCCTCCGTCTGCAATGATGCCGGGTGCGCGGCCGCCCTGCCCCGCAGACGGGATCATGGAAAAACCCCTGAGTGTTGGAGGGGCCACCGGCGCATCATTGGACCCATCCTGCAGCTGACTGGGCTGCTGAGCTGGCTCATGCAGCTGAGTGGACCGCTGACCTGGCTCCTGCAGCTGACTGGACCGCCGAGCTGGCTGCACGCTCAGCACCGGATCGTTCATGCTGGCATCGGCTGTGAGCTCCTTCCCAGCTGCAATGCTCCGCGCTGTCTTTGGCGCAGAATGCCTGTCAGCTTGCACTGTGTTAGGTGGAAGAGGCAACGCCAGCAGACCGCCGTGGCCCTCCCGGCGGCTCGGCACCTGCCGCTGCAGCGGCTTCAGCTCGTCCTTGGAGTACTCTGAGGGGCACTGCAGCACGCTCACTTCTTTGTGCTGAATGTTCGCCGAAGTGAATTGCCACACCGGCTCGTGCCCATCCTCGCCGGCGGCCGGCGCCGCCTCTGCTGGATTCATGCGGTGCGGCCGGCCGCCAGATACCCTCTTGGCGGTCTCATTTGCGTCCGCTGCCTGCACCTTGGCGCTCTCTGCTCCTGCCGCACGTCCCACAGCTGCATTGATACTGGCGGCAAGCTGAGGGAGCTGAGGACTTGGGCGATGACTGGGCTGCTCAGTTGCCGGCTGTGTTTGCTGCTTGGCACATGGAGGGTTGTCTGCTGCCATTCCTGGCCACGTTGATCCTGACTCGATGATGACTGCCTCAGGGCAAGCAGCCTCCAGGTGCCGATTGGGCTGCAGAACATGCTCCTGCTCATCTAAGGGTCGAGCGCTGGCCATTTGCAGAGCTGGTCCCCGCTCCCCAATCATTGCTGCAGCCGGGTGTCCTCCCAAATCCTCCTCCGCTGCACCAGATGCTGTAAAATCTGCTGCTAGCATTGCCTCTATCACAATAGTCGCCATGTCCTCACTCCCCTTGCCTGCGCTCCCTTCTGCAACCTCGTTCTGAGTCTCCTCGATAGTGCTGCCTGTTGCTTGCAGCGCAGGCTTGCTTGCAGCCGGCTCCTTGACCCTCTCATTGCTGCCGGCTGACTGTGTGCCTTGCGCTGCTTCAACTAGAGACAGCTGCTCCGTCTTGCTTTGGTATACATCCTCATTTGGCGACGCTGCAGCTTCCGTCGCTGCAGCAGCAGCGGCCGCCGCCGCATCGGCTTCTGCTACAACGGAAGCTGCCGCCGGGCAGCCAGCTCCGCCTGCTAAAGCAATCCCAGCCGCGGAATCCAAAATCATGCTGTCTGCCAAGAGGGCTGACTGCTTCACCTTGATGACACCCTCTGTGGGACCATCAACTGACTCTGTGGGGGCAAGTGAGTCACCGGATTGCTCCACAACAGCCCCTTGAATCCCAGAGGCTGTTGATTGTGCAAGAGCAGCTCCGACTCCCGGATAGTCTGCCATGGTATGCTGCTCATCGCTGATTATATTCCCCTCGTCCAACAGCGCCTGCTTTGGTCCGCTGCTCTGCTGGGCGGTGCCTGCCGCTTTGTCCTCTGAGCAGGCCTGCTTAGCTGACGCCTCAACCCCGGCATCTGCAGGGGCCTTGCTCTGCTGGCAAGCTGCGGGTGTGAAGCCCCATGAGTCGGTGTGGCAGCGAACCCCATCTGCAGTCGAGGCTGCGCCTTGGTTGCCCTGCGGGTCAGCATTGGCCTCGGAGGTGGTGGGCTTGCACTCAGCGTGCTCACCTTCATTGCCCACGAGGGCATCGGCTCGGGACGCCACAATCACATGCCCAGCTTCAGAGTTCTGACAGGCGGCCCAGGACCCCTTGATCCCCTGTGACTGGCAATCTGCTGACCCCTGCACGACCCCATCTTCCTCTCCAGCATCCGCATGGCCCATGATCTCCTCATCAGGAACGCCCTCATATAGCTGTCCTTCAGCCGAACCCCCCTGGGTCCCCTTCGCGGCTGGCGCATTGTCGGCGTTGTCATTTCCAGGCAGCTGCGCTTGCTCCGTTGTCACCTCAAGAAGATATCCTGCATGGCTTGGCGTTGGGCTGGCATCTGCGTCCTTGCAGCCAGCATCTCCCTGGGAGCTGGTGGTCCCATTTGCATTCACCTTGCCGTCACCCCCTTGCTGGGACGCATCAATGCTTTTGGAGAGCATGTAATTGCCACCCTCTGATCCCTGCACATCACCTGACCATACCTTCAAAGCATCCCCCTCAGCAGATCCCTGGCGACCACTCCCACCCCCATCCAGGCCATGCGTGCTACCATCCTCCAGCTGGCAATCCTGCTCCGTCGCATCAGGCGCTCCCTCTGCTTCTGCCGCTAAGTCAACAACGCTGTCATTGGCGGGCATTCCCTACACTTCTGCTGAGTTAGCGGCGTTTTCATCAACGGGCGCTGACTCAACCTCCATCGCCTCTGCGCTGCCAGCCTCACCCGATGGCTCTTCTCTGGCCGCCATTGCCATGTCCTCATCCGCAGCATCGTCATCTGCGCTTGCCTGTGCAGAATCTCCCGGCTGCTCTGACTCATCGCATACAGTGGGATTGCACCCGCTCCGGCGCCCCTCTTCAGACCCCTCCACCTCTGACCCGGTAGCCCCACGCATGTCGCTGCGGTCAGCAGAGGAGGTCCTCTCAGACGCGGGGGCGGCGTGCTGCCTCTTCTGTGCGCGCTGATTACTGACGTGGCATTCGTCCAGGAGCGATGCGGGCCGCTTCTGGCTGCGGCCTCCGGTGTCTGTGTCCGCGTCTGCCGGTGCTTGCTGCCCGGCGCAGGGTCCGGCCCCTGCGCATGCATCATTGAAGCATTTCAGACCGCAGATCATCAATTGGGAGTCTCAGCTCATGAGGGGTAGCATCATGAAGAGACTTAGCAGCACGCGGTGAGCCACTGCGGTTCGCATGCCACTTGATAGACAAGCATACATTCAGCAACCTGCATAGTCGCATGCCAAGCAATTGCACTCCTCAAGAGGTCAACAACTGCACGATGGAGGTGCTGCAAATAAAACCCACCTGATGCTGGCACAGGATCATGTTCTGGGGACCCCTGTACAGACATATGCTGTGGGGCCGGCGCGGATGGCGCTGCAGCCTCCACACCCACCAGAACATCTGCGACAACAGGCACCATTTTGAAATTCTACACATTGTTGCCTAACTGCGCTTGCTCAACTTACCGACACATCACATCACAGGTTTAAGTGGCATTGACAAGGCTTGGTCAGTGAGTCAGTGCTTACTACTGGCAGTCCCAGGCAAGACCATGTACTTAAGAACATAAGTGGCACCTACCTGCCGTCAGAGGGGGAGCATGCTGTGATGGGGCCGGGTCGGGTGCCAGGCTATCTTCCACGTCAGCAGGTGCCGGCTGACCTGGCGCTGCGGCATCCACATTCACCGTATCGCCTGCAGCAGCGGGCAGCAGTTTCTCTTTGAATGTAAGGGGCAAGGTTCTATCTGCACAAGTTGTAGCCTTAGAGCTGCAGGTCAAGGCTACCACATATCCTACCCCTGATGGACTCGCCAAATCCACACAAGGCCCACTCGCGGAGGGCACAGTTTTAAGTATATCTACTGAAGCCCATGTTGTACCATCCTTCAATGTAACCCACATCTAGAAATAAAATTTTGAAGTAAAGGAAAATGTTTTGAATGATGGTCTCCAAAAAGAGAGAAACATCACATCGATATCACAGGATCCCAGCAGCATCAACACAACAAGTGGACTGAAGATGCCATGTTGGTCAGAGCTTACTAAGCAGTCCTTAGCAGGCCGACGTATTGATTCCAAAACAATCGGTGGCACCTACCCGCCGGAAGAGGGGGAGCATGCTGTGTTGGGGCCAAGTCAGGTGCCAGGCTGGCGTCTACGTCAGCAGCTGCCGGCTGAGCTGGCGCTGCGGCATCCGTAGCAGGCATTGCCTCCTTTGGCCGCCGGCGCCGTGCAAACAGAGCCGGCAGACCCATCGCGCGCGCCACGTTCGTGCGATCCTTATAAACCTTGCGTGCCGGCGCACCGTCCACAGGCACAAAACCCTGATGCCAAAGCACTTACCATCAGACGCAGCATGCAATTAATGAGTATGCTGCAGATAAAAGGGTCTTGGAGGAAAGTGGCAGTATGTATGATGCTGGCTCCAACCTTCCAAGATTAAAGCATACATTGCTTCAATTCGATCTTGAAAGTGTGCTTGAAGGGAGGCATATCCTGCGCTCTGACAATTGCCAGGGACTTCTGAGCAAGCAGACTACATGGAAAGTTGAAAGCGTTTATAAAGCTTACCGGGGGCGGGAAGCAATGATAGCTGCCAGACTTGTTGATGGTAACACGCCACCCGTTGTCCAGCACCCCACCTGCATGCCGCACACTGCATCCTGTCAAATGCCGCGCACCTGCACATGTACGGTGATTGCCACCAATTCAAGGCACTTGTAAACCTTTCTGCTTGGGTGGATAATTGCTTGCCGTGGGGGACAACAGAGCAAACGCAGATATCCTCAGTGCTCGTCGCTGAAGGCCCTAGTGACCTACCACAGCGCATGATGTATGTGAAGAGGCTGAGCTCTGCCACTCTGTCGTGCGGCCGCGCATGGGGTGCAACTTCCCTTGCAGCTTCCCCGGCAGAGCCATGCTGGCCGCCCGCTGCGTTTGGCTGCCTCTGGTTGTGCAAGAATTGCCCCCAAGCCTGAAGGGAGGCAGTCAGTCCTGGGGGGCCCAGCAGTGGCGCAGCTTTTGGTGGCTGCATTGCGGCGGGCCCTTGATGCGCTGGCTGCATGGCGGCTGCCGCATGGGGGCTGAACGGGAGGTTCCAGCCTGCATCGGCCCCGGGTGCATGCCTCAGCGCAAGCTGCGCCTGAGGCACCTGCGGCAGCCACAGCAGAGTTGAAAGCATGGAAAGAACCATAAATGCCCACATTGTATTTGAGTGCTCCCCACAGAGTCTGAGGTGGCAGGGGAACATGCTGAACATTTATTCATGATGCATGCAGGGACGATTGGCCGGAGGAGGTGCCCAACCATCATGGCGCAAAGTGGTGCTTCAAGCATGACTCATCATAAAATCTCGCCTAGAGTGAGTCTTGTGATTTTGCATTCTGAGATTACTGGCTGCGCAGTGCCTGATCCCTAGGAGCCAATGGTGCTCAGAGTTCACCTGGTCCATGGCATGAAAGCTGGTGCGCCCCGCATCAACAGAGTCCTGTTCAGGCTGGTGGGATGCCTTAGCAGCTCCCTGCACAGACAGAAAGAGTATCAGACATGTGAAGCCTGGATCCCAGCAAATTGGTGACTCCAATCAACCTTCTGATGTGCTGAACACAGAATACAGAACCTGGGACTCTTCTGCCAACCATCGATCCAGAAAAAGGAAGTTCTTTATCCGACATGCATGCTGTTGTGGTGCTCTTGCAACTGGCAATTTTCAAAGCAGAGAATGTCCTCACCATCTGATCACATCGCGCATGCATCTATGAGGCATGCATCAAGCTCAGCAAGGCATGCATGCCCTGGCATTCTCACTCATTTGGGCCACACACAACTGATGTTCATCAAACTGATACCAACCTCCTGCCCTGCTGCAGCTCCCATCTCCCTCACCCCAGGCCCTGCATTGACAGGTGCCTGCCAGTGGCTCCCCGCTGGCTGCATGCTGGGGCCTGCTGCGCTGTCAAGTCTGGCAGCTTCCCATGGCTGCTCAAAGAGCCTCTCTGTGGCTGCATGCTCCCTGGCTAGCCACTGCCTGGCTGCCTCAAGCGCATCTGGCCGCCCCTCTGTCTCTGATATCACGCTGGGGGTTTCTCGCTGGGGACCACCATTCAAGCCTTCACGCTCCACAGTAGCTGCTGGCTGCTCAGCAGCTTTGGCCTCCATGTTGGCCACCTTTGCTTGCTGCTCAGGCCGGTCCAGTTTTGCTGCTTCCTGTCCGTCGCGCACAGCACCCCTGCGGCAGATTGTTAGGCTCGAATCAGGCTGTCTTCGGTCGTTCGGCCCGACGCAGCGAAACAACGACTGGGACCTGCGGGTGCTCCACGTCCTTCTTATGCTTGCACCTCGAAACGGACTTTTGCAACATTTCAAAGCCTAATCAAACACACATATCATTATGGGATACCGTAGTTTGGAAGTACAAGATTGCAGCGGAACCTTGTACTGGATTCTTGAGCGTACCGTTGTTGTCTTCAGACTGCGCTTCTTCGCGGAGCAGCGGCGAGGAGACGCCTCCGTCGGCTGGACTAGTCTAGCTGCGAATGACAACGAATGCGGATGATTTGAATCTTCTCCCAATGCCTTCAGTGTTTGCAGAGCCACATTAAGAGCCCGGTGGTTGATCAGGTGGGGCCGGAAAAGGTTCATTCTCCTTCAGTCCGATCATCGTGCCGAGGTACGGAGGAGGCAACAACTGACTTCAAAAACGCATTTCGTGTCGATATTCCTTCTTATATGTCTGATTTCAATGACCTAGTGTTCGAGAAGGAAGACTTTGCAATCGAACCTCGGCCGCCGGGCACGAGCCTCAGATTCTTGATGAATTCCTTGGACAACGTGATCGTCACATGCAATTTGTCAGCTTTACACACAGCACATGCATGCAGCCATCACTCAAACTTCTACTTCAAAGGCAATGTGAAAACCAGTTGCCCCCTTGCATCTACATGGTAGCTTAACAATGACTGGCTTCTGATGAATGCCGTGGTCCCCTTCAACAAGTTGTGCCAGGGCCAAGAATGCATGCAAACACACTCAGCCAGCACAGGCGCACAATCATCCAGCAACATGACGAAGATCTAGATGTACAATATGTTTGCGCACATGAAATTTAGCAGCTGCACACCACACAGCCACTGCAGAAATGAACCAATCGGTATCGCATGAACACAGTGCTGCGCATGCACAACCAATGCAACAGCGGTCACTTGCCAGGCTACCCAGAGAGGAAGGCTTGCGCCTTCCTGCGCCTTCCTGTGGCTCTCTAAGCATGGCTGAGCACTGAGCATTGGCACGTTGCTGGCAGCAGTATTCTGCGACTGTAGCAAAAGGAAAGACATGCATGTCTTCTTTGCCCAGTGGCCATCAGCATCAGGTCATCCACTCTGACCAGCATCAAGGATAAATTCTCTGGTTCAGGATCCAGGTTCATCTCCATCTTGCAGGGACGTAATTTTCATTCACATCATGGTAAACATGCAGCAGCAGCTGCTCTGGCTGCAAAGATCAACGCACCAACCTCGCCATTTTTGCCACACAAACGGCATGCAGGCTCCAGCATTCCTTCCTTCTGTCAACACCGGCTGCATCTGCAGCTCAGACTTGAGCCTTCTGGTGATACTCAGCCCAGAGAGGCTTTGCTGCGGCTGCCTCCAGTGCGCCTAGTGGACGGTGGTGTTGGAGTGGTGGCCTGGAGGGAACACTGACATACCAAACGGCGCAGACAGCTCCAGCTCCTTGAGCACATCAACCGCCGCCTGTACGCGCACGCGTCACTTGTCTCAGAGTGTCCAGAGTTGGGAGAGGCTGGCACTACAGTGTGCACGCACCCAGGGCGGGCAGTAAATTTGAGACATCGTTGTGTCCTAAAATTCAATCAAAATTAGATTTAAAAATTTGCTACTTCATCAGTGCGCATGCCCTCATGATGGCCGCGCTTACAAAGGAATTCCACAGGATTAATTGAGCCCATCTGCATGCACTGTAGCTCGACGCGTACGGCTCCTCAGAAGTAATCACCCACTGATTGCTCACTTCCATGACAAGACCATTCCGTGACAACATCACAGACCAGTCCTACACCGTGGACTCTTCTAACAGAAAGTAAACACTCTCCATATGCCTATGGATGGCTGTCTTGCTAACGATAATGGTAAATTGATTGATCCAACTGGCATCACGAGCTTCCACCAGCTTCAGCTGCTGCGGCATAATATACTTGGGGCTCTTTGCATATCGTCATTGTGCCATTGAGACTTTGTCAAAGTACCTTCATGGACATGCATGAAGCAATCATTCAGGATTAATAATTAAATCGCTGTCAGCTACGGCCTGCAGGGCGCCAATGGGCTGCCAGCTTGCCAAGTTACCAAATAAAAAGAAATTGTTGAATTTTATCAATATTGCACAGCCATCACTTTCAATTGTGCCTGTCTTTCAGCAATTTCCAGCTTCCGGCTGCAATTGCTGCCATCATCAGCTGCCAAATCGGCTGCAGCTGCGGCACCCTCCCATCCTCATGCTGATGCAATCCACTTTGCCATCATGATGACGCTGTGGCCAAACAACTGGGCTGTGGACAATCGAGCGCTGGCGAAGATGCACAGCTGTATGGGTATCATGCATGAGCATTATCATGATCATGGGAGGGTCGGATGTCAGAGGGCGTGCCTGGGCGCAGGCGGCGATGCCGTTGGCTCCGCGCGGGGGCAGTGTGCCGCCGCGTTCCATGGCCTCCATGCGCGCGATCATTATCACCGTCTGCGGCTGTTGCGCCACAAGCACCGCCAGCTCATCGCCGCCCACGCGCCGCAGCTTGTTGAAGTTTCGCGCCGCCCGCTGCACGCCAGCAAACCAATGGGTGATCTATGAGTTCCCGGTGCAAGCTCATCAGGAGCTACCGGCAGGCGACAGTAGATGATGAGAAGTTGTGATCATGTCATGCCATGCATGAGGCAGCATGCTGACACTTCTGCAGCGGCAGTGTCTGGCAACCCGCGACCTGCATTGCTGCAGCTTATGAAGCAATGAATAGCTCTTGCATGTCCTCTAGATGCAATGCATGTCAATGCCTTTGCCCAGGATAACATTTTCAGGCATGGTATGGCATCCCAGGATTTTCAGATGCAGAGCTGGCATTCAGCTTTCCACAAATGCAACATGCATCACATTAGAAGCCTGTCCAAGTTGATCACCGCGTGGAAGTGGACTAGAAGCATTTAATCTGTGAATGTTGAAAGCATCCAGCCTCAGAAGTTCTCTATCTGGTAGATGTGAACCCCTTCTGGGGATGGACCCCTGGGGAATGGACCTGGGATCTCAAGGAATGGACCAGTGGGGAACCAAGTACTGGGGTCATTGGGCATTCCTGGACAGATGTCCCTGGACACTTTGGGCAGGGGCCAGGACCTGGAAAGGCATGACCATGCATGCATGCATGCAAATATTTAGTGGACTTTGGCAACTGCAGAGCTGCGGGAAAGGAAGCCAAACAGGCCCACCTTTGCGATATTGTACATGGCGTCTGGCAGCACGGAGAGCAGGTGGGACTTGCCGGCCACCATCAGGACGTCCTCGGGGGTCCAGTCCTGGCCACGCATCTCCTCTGCGCGCGGGAGCAGGCGGCGGCCGTCAAAGGATGGGGGCGCGGAGGGAGGGAAGGAAAGGGCGCTCGGGGATTTGGCGCCAACGGTCTTCTTCTGCACCTGCGCGCATCACAAGCAGTCTCATGTTGGTGGCAGTGCCACAATCATTGGTAATGTCAACCAGCGACCCCATCTTTTCTCTATGTTTGAGCAAATGAGTACTGTCAACTTCACGGACTTGAAGGAGCACTTCTGAAGGCACTCAGTAACTGCTGGAAACAGCTGTAAACTTGAAAGGCATGTCAGGCATCTCATGCCTCAGCTTGCATGCATCATCCTGATTGTCGTGCACACTATGTAACAGCGCTCAGCGGGTGGCTCTTCACATGCCATAGTTCTGTGCTCTCGCAAGGATCCTCACCTCTGCTGCGAGCTTCTCAGCCTCCTCAGTCAGTTTCTGCAGGTAGTGGGGTGGCTTTGAGTCAGCGCCCTCATCTGCCTCACGGCGCTCGCTGTGCCTGGGCGGCCCTGAGGTGACGTCCATCTCTCCTGATCCCTGCAGAGGCAAGCCAGTACAAGTCAAACTTCAAGCACAGCGCTGCAGAGCCCTCAACTCAGATTCCAGAATTTTGACGAGAGCATCACGGGCAGCACTGGAAGGCAGCTATTTAAATACAGCACAGATAGCAACCACCAGCACGTGATTTATTGAGTTTAGTCTTGACTGCATCGTTCATGTCAATGAACGAAGTCCTGTCACCTTGCTGGTGGCCATCTCCGGCAGGATGCGTGAAGCAGCCTCTTCAACTTGGTCGGGGTTCATCCTGTTGCAGGCAAATCAATGTTGAAAGTGTATCACAAGAAAGTTTGTGACAGGATTGATGGCAGTCAAGGTTGCGAAGCCTGCGTTGTCAAATTTGACGTGCCTCGGTTGTCTATTGCAACCTTCACAAAATCAGAACCCTCGATGCCAGTCAGACTCATCTCAGAGCCTCAGAATCTTTCCTTTCAAGTGAAGCCTTCAGATGCGAGCCAGATTGCGGCAGGATGTCGGTGACTCTTACCTTGGACGAGGATCCTGCGCCAGCCTCGCCTGAGGCCGTTTAACAATGTTGCGAGGATCTGCTGTCGCTCAAGACACGTTTTGGATGCTCCTGCAAAATAAACCGAGGTGACTTTGACCAAAGGATGGTCCAAACTTTCAGGGTTATCACCGATGAAATGTCTTGGGCCAGTCACACGTGGAGGGGTGAAGTGGCACTCATGTAATTCGTTTGTTTTCAGCATGCAATTTGGTCAAGAGTTCCTGGCTTCCTGCTGCTCTCAACATGTGTTCTTGTAAGTGAGCTCAGTATGATAAGTGGAGGCAACAATAAAACACTCCCCATTTGCATGCGTGATTGAATGGCCACACTGTGCCATGGCTGTGCATTATGCAAGGAATGCATGATGCCCGCATCTGATGCTCCGATGAGTCATGGCGCCATCACATGCTGTGAAAGGCAGTAAGAAGGCTTTGCCTTGAGGGAAGTGGGCAGAGTCAACTGTCTCAGAGAAATGGTAACAATTGCAAGGAGTCCCTCACCCCAGACAGCTCAATCACCAAACTTCTTGAAGCCCAGAACACAGTCTAGACAATTCCTCATATGGGATCGATCCCCAGATCACTTCCAGCTTGCCTCTAACGCGACATCCTACCGGCCAGGAAAGACAAGCCAGGCATTAGGAAATTGGCAAGGTGGTGAAGGGGCGCCCAATGCAAAATAGATGTCACAAAACAGAAGGTCTGTCAAGTCGTGTATTGTTTGCCTGGCTGGTAGTGAAGCCCAAGCAAGTTGATGCAGCAGCCTGGACCAGCCAGTTGCGCCTCCAAGGCTGCCTTAGCACAGTTTCACACAAGAGGTTGGAGCCATTTGTAGGGACCCCAACAAGCAGGAGCTGCACAGCAACACATGAAAATAAAATAGACTAAATAAGATTAAAGACACCCTGATGAAGCCTGGGGCGTGACTAAGTAGACAGAGGTATGGCAGACCTGGCCACCGACATAGTAGGATACTAAATTTGTTGTAAAGCTGATGCATCTGCAGCTGATGCATGACATATGTCAGCGATTTATTGGTTCAGGATCAGAGATTGCATCCCATATGGGCGCATTGGTGCCATCACCTTCTCCATCTTGTGCTCGTGCACAGCAGCCTCCATCTCCTTGGCCTTGACAGCCAGCCTCCTGACAACATCATTCAAAACTCAAAGACTACTTTTTCTGAAAAAAAATTGACACTCTGATCTAAGTGTGGCAGGGATCACCCGAACCTGTTCAATGCTACAGGGCCGGGAGAGGGCGCGAGCAGGACTGCATCGTCGACCAAATATGCAGCACCTCCACAGCGACCTCTCCACCTCGGCCACCACCACGCACTTCGAAGCAGCGGGATCCGCGAAAGGCTCTGGGAGCGCCGCCGCCGCCGCCCCTATCACCGAAGGCTGCACTCACGCAAGCGAGACCCACAAAGAAAGGTTCGGCGCGCCAGATGCTCTACTGGATGGCAGCATGAGGCTTTGGCCAAGGAGTCGTTCATGTGCAAATTCATTTGAGCATCTGGTGCGCCAAACCTTTCTTTGTGGCTCTCGCTTGCTCGCGTGCGGCCTTCGGTGATGGGGGCGGCGGCGGCGCTCGCAGAGCCTTTTGCAAATCCTGCTGTTTTGAACTGCGTGGTGGTGGCCGAGGTGGGGAGTGTCGCTGCGGAGGTGATGCAGGTTTGGTTGACGATGCAGTCTTGCTCGCGCGCCCTCCCGCCCCTGTAGCATTGAACAGGCTCGGGTGATCTTGTGCAGTGTTCAAATGTTGATGCAGCTTGAAGCACATGGTTTTGCCATGCCACCAGATATTGCAGCACTCAGTGATATTGGAACTCAGTGTCATGACATGACTCAGTGATTGTGTACATTTTTTATTAGTAAAAAAGGAATACTACGCCCTTCGAAAAGTTGGGGGTGAGGTTGACCCTAAAACCCCTTAACCCTAGAATCTCGGACATTTTCCTGGGAAGAATGGTCGCCTAGCGTATCTGCAAGGGCCTGAATTAAACAAATCTCAAAAGTGTAACACAAATAACTCCAAAACCCATATCTTTGCGACTACGCCACCAAATTGAGCAAACTCAGTTGCTCCGGATCTCACTAAGCGAGCTCTTTATGTCGCGACATCGACCGCCGAAAACGGCGATAATCGCACGGAGTTGCGCGGTCGGGCTGCAGGCATCGGGGACTCGAACCCTCATAAGTTTGCGAGGACGTAACCGTTTTAAACGAACCCGGGTGCGATAGAATCGCCTAAACGAGACCTTTTTATCGCGACATCAATGACAGAAAACGACGGCATATCGAGTGACCTGTGCGTACCGTGATGTCTGCTGATGGCCGCGAGGGACCCCCCCAAAATGTACACACCCCCAGTGGCCATTTATGGGCACCTTCTCTAGTATTGGATATTGGAATTCAGTGCCATGCATACAACATCAGAGGAAGAGCTGGTAAGAAATACCTTTCTCTGTGGCATCTTTTTGCTTCTTCTTCGCCTTCTCCACCTCCTGGGGCAGCAGGAAGCCCAGGAGGATGGCCACCACCAGCTAAAGCTGATGGACGGCCATGTGCAGGAACCACCGCCACCCTGCATGCCAGACATCCCCTCAATAAAGTTTAGCACACCGCAGGCCATTGCTTGCAAACTAGATATCTTCATTTTTGTGTTCAGTAGGTTCTCAGAACCATTTAGGAGGCACAAGCCCAGGCATTTTCCGTGCTGAAGCTGAAGCTTAAGCGCACATCAGGCTTATAGCACGGCCAAGCACTGGCAGGTATGTAGGAAGTCTGTCAGGCTGACGGGCTCTTACATGTCAGTAGTTGGTCTGCAGCAGGCTGGCCATGACCATTCACAGCTGCAGCTGCAGGAGGCGCAGCAGGGGGCTGTGGTGTCCCTTGCTGGCCCAGAGGGGCCTCTGGGCCTTCAACCTCGGCAGGGATGTGCTGCAGGGCTGCCTGAGGGTCGTACGGGGCAGGAGAACTGCTTGAAGCCTCGGGGGATGGTGCAGCACGCGCTCCACTGCTGTCCTGGCCAAGGTTGAAGCCTCCCGCTCCGGGTTGCTGTAGCCCATGCTGTAAAAATGCACAGAAATATTTCGATGCTGATTTGTGTCGAAGGTAAGTCTCTGCCATCGACAAAATTCCCATGCTCCGAAGCCGATCGCTTCCAAGCAATTCAGATCTCCCAACTATTGCTTGTTACTGGCATGAGCAAGCACCACGAATGGCGGTTTCAATAACATTACGTATATTATGGAATTTTCAGATCATTGCAATGAAGCCTTTCTGAAGATGCTGCGTTGACGGTACCGTGGATACTCACCACCGTGGGCTGAACATATTGTAGTGTGTAACCATCGGCCCTCGCTAGAACGTCCTGAACATAATATATAAAGAACGAGGTCAATTTTCAAAGCAACCATGCTTCTCAGTAGTTCGAATAGGCTAGGAAGAGGCAAACTAGAGGCAGGGTCTTTTTTCTACTCCGGCCTGCTGCTGCTGCACCAATCATTCAACGCGCCCGTCCACTGGATCCACCTACTATTGGAGCACCACATTATTGTTCTTCGTTCCACACGTGCAAATCCATGCCTCGCAGTTGTTCGAAAGTGTACAAAGCGGAGGTGTCGTCCGGACTTGAGTGGCTTAATTTGGAACTGGCACCGTTCGTAGGAGTTCCCATCTCTCAGGCTGCTGTGCAGGTTTCCCCTCTCACTGAGGCTCTTAGATACCATCAGCAGCAGCCCTCTTTGTACTCTGCGCCATTGCTTTCAGAGCAGCATCCGAGCTGGCTGAAGGCAACCTTGATTTCCTGGTTTTTGACAATAGATAATCTTCCTGAGAGAGAGCCTGGCCTGACAAGGCAACTCCATTGATCGCGAAACACGTATCGTTAAGATACGGAGAAAATCAAGCAAGCTGATTTCAAGACTTCTGTGCGCGGGCTTTGTGACTTCGAGACTTCAGGTGAGCCATCTGGCCTAGTGCTGGGGACGTGAAATTCAGGAGCAGCACAAATCTATAAAGCTTTCACGATTGTGGAGAATTTCCAATCAGTGATCGCTGAAAGGGCGGTTTCTGATGGTCGCTGCATTCCAGGAAACTAGAATTGCCAAGGGCTTCTCCAATTAGTGATCTTGTCAAAGAGTCCTAGGAGTTCTGGGCCCAGCCATTTATGCGACCTCCCTTCTCGAGGTCAGGGCGAAATTACATTCGATGTCACGCGCTCCAGGCGCTGTTCACACACCTGTGTATACAATCTGTAGTATTGTGGTCACAAGTATGAGGTCCTTGCGACAGAGAATTATAGGCTCTGCGATTACATGGACATGACATGTCGTTCAGGTGGTAAGGATGCTAGAGAAGCTTATTCAGCAGGAACAAGGAGTTCTCAGCAAACTTGAGGAGCGTTTTCTCAGAGAGAAGACATGGGTCGAGGAACGCTTGTCTGATCTCGAAGCAAGATCACGGCCTTACGGTATTGGTGCGCGGCTCACTCCACCCTGACACTTACATTATGTCAGGGCCTACTAGCGCATTCATTATTCAGCTGACTGCACAGAAAAGTTTTCAAATGTTGTAATCGTCACTTGATATTTCCTTGCTTCGGCAGATATTAACAAGTTGAACATCTTAAGCATCTACGACTTACCATGCCCACTGCGGCAAGATTTGTATCGAGCATGGTATGCCTGGGCGTTGGGTGAAGAGATGGATTCCCATGAAAAGCAGGTGCAGAGGCTTGTCATCCTTCAGCAGAGCGAAGGTATGCTGCTCAGCCAGGTCAACATATCCCGGGAGAGAATTCAAAAAGTGAATAGACTTGAGACCGGCGCAGGATACCAATTTTAGAGGTGTTCTGCAATCACGCTGCACTGAAGGTCGACGCAGTGACGCTTTTTTGCGCAAGCTCTGGTGTTGTAGCCAGCACATGAAGTCTCGTGGCCTCTCGTGTTTCATGCTTTGCAGCTCGATGGCTTTAAAGGTGATGTTGAAGACTGGCAGTGCATATTGCGGACTGATTAAGGTGCCTCAGGCCAGGCAGGCTCATGTGATTGAGCCAGCCAGCCTGAGATGTAAAGCTTGTGAGAGTCGCTAATCTGCTGGTAAATTCCTGCCTGCACTGCAGTTGAATACATTTGCATTGTGTTGATGCAGGCACTCTATGGAAGCAATTGGCAAATGCTTTCCAAAGATTGCGACAGAGAGCAGCCTGTGAGGGGACTGGAAAGACTCCTCCTCATGAGTTGGCTGCCTTATTCGCTTAAGATGCAATGGACACAGTGAGTCATACTGCCAGACACGATCCTTGCATCCTTTGTTCAACTCTTTGAGCAGGATGAGCTTGAGCTGATGCAGCAGAGGTGATTTCCCTGCAACCTTTGACCTGGCACCTTCATGTCGCCAGCATTTATTGGCTGAGCCTGCCAGCCTGAGGTTGCTGTGGAACTTGAGATTGCAATCACTGATTAATGCAGGTCCTACATCGCTTATATTTGCCTGCTCAAATAGCCTTGGAAGTGTAAAAGAGTGCAATGATGAGCAAATAAAACCATCCTTGGCCAAAAAGTTGGAGCAGCTAATTGCTTCATGAACCAAATGTGTGCACATGGCAGCCTAGCATGTCAAAAAGATCATGCTTGGTGTCCAATGGCTGCTTCCAGTTGAAGGGTGACAAACCTCAGGTTGTCAGGGTGTGAGCACTCATGGATCACATGGCAGATGCACATGAACAGCGGAAAGTTGCCATACCATCATAGCACCTACAGCTCATTGGAAGCTGTAATACACCTCTACCAGTAATGCCCTGTTCTCGGTTGGCTGGTCGTTCGGTTGACGCCCCCGTCTTCTTAAAGCCCTAGCTAGCCCTGATGGGTCATATGCACAGGGTCGCTTGAACCCTCACTTGCTGAAAGCAAACTGAATCTGCACAAGTTTCCATTGTTCAAGCGCACGATGTTCGTGGAGTTCCGGGACATTTTGTTGCTTTCGGGAGGTGGCTAGATCAAACTTCGGTCTGGCAACTATTAAATTAAAGCTGATGTCATGTCAACAATGTTTTTCATCGCTCCTCTTTGGTCATAAGAGTAAGAAGGTATGGAGATCGATGAAGCTAACTCGTTTAAGCCTCGCTTGGGAGCATTGGCTACATCACAGATCATTGAAGGCCTGAATGAGGGAAAGGTGCGTGATTTTGAGAGGCCTCCTTACATACAGCTCCCTATTTTCAGCTAATTTGGCGATCTGCTGATGCATTCTATCATTGGACGGCCCCCTATATTTACTGCAATAATGGCAAACCATAAAACGGCGGCTCTTCAGCGATCTAGTGACAGTGATCCCATGCCACAACTTCCAATCGTGCGTGTGAGGACATAGCAACTGCAACGCCTTGACGTGCGCTCGGAACGTATAATACAAAGAAGCACAGTGCTGTCCCAGCTAAGGCAAATTCATTATTGTCCTCTTTGACACCTCGATCGCCATGCAACAGGTGCTGGCCAGCGAGATTGGAGCCACAGTGACAGGCATCGATGCAGGAAACTTCCGGCAGTACCTGTTGGAGCTTGCACATGCCGTCGCGGCGGGGCAGCTCCTGCCAGCCAAATACGCAGTGGGCATGAAGGCCAGTGGCATCCCTGTGGGCGAGGACACTCCACTCCTGCTGGCAGAGATCCTCTGGTGAACATCCGCCTCCTCACATAACTTAAGATTTCGGCACCAATCTACAGCCTTCACATGTGAAGATCACCATTTCTGCTTCTAATAGCAGCCTGGATAGTCGCACTTCCAGCATGGCAGGGACACCTTACCTAAAGACATGACCGCAAAGTGGTGAGGCAGACTGTTTGATGATGTGGCCTGTGCCTGCAGGGCGGTGTGGGTGGAGGTGCAGGGCGAGGGGAATTCAGCAGCCCAGGCGCTCATTGCAGACCTGGCCAAGGAGCTCCTGAAAGATCAGCTGGTGTGTTCCTAGAACCTCATCTCACCCATTCCTCTTAATCCCACGTCGCTCATGTTCCAGCAGAATATCAGGCGTGCTTGCCGGATGACAGGGCTAGGTCATGCACGTCCTGCATGCGATGCATTTCTACAAGAGTAGCCGTGCCTCCTTGATGCCTGCCAATTAGAAGACTGGGGCGGGGAATTGAGAAAGGACTTCCGTGAGAGTCCAACTGTGTCTGACCAGGCAGCACAAGGGAGGGACAAGAACAATTGTCACATGACGTGTTTTGAGACTACGTTCACTATATGGTGTGCAGGTCAGCAAGGATGTATTGATGATGAACCTGGACGGGGAGTTCCTGGAGGAGGTGGGCGCAGTCACAAAGGCAGCCAACCTACGCAAGAAGGAGGTCCAGCTCAACACGAGAATGCACTACACTCAGCGCAGGTGCGCGCACATGCCCGCACCTCCCTGCTGATTGCAGCCCACTTGGGACTGTATTGCAGCATGCCAGAACCCCAACAAAGCAACTTTCAAGCAAAGCCAGCAAGCCTGTGTAGTGTCTTATCAATGCACAAGGGCGATTGTGTCTGGTGTTGCTGGCATGCCCTGTATCTCTGCAACTCCATCCCATCCCCATCGTGTGGTTGAACGGGGCCATCTGTCTGCAGATGCAGAGCTGAAAGCAGCTGCATGACAGATTGTCCTGCTTCTTTGTGTGCAGCTGCTTGCCTTACTTGTGTGCCTATCTGCTCATGACAAATGTACTCAGCACAAGTCCTGCTGCACAGGTTCAATCTGCTGCGGGAGGAGAGCGAGGGATACGCCAAGCTTATCACCGCCCTGTGCCAGTCAAGCAGCGGCACCCCCGTCAACCACATGGTGCGTGTCACCGCTTACTAATAACTGAACGAGCGCATGCGGGAATGAGTGCTTTTTGCTTGTGCTGGACAGAGGACTTCAAATACAAGTGTGCGCAGAGGGCTGGCGCCTGGCATCAGTGCTAAACTTGGGACTCTGCATGCTGAGCAATCCAACAGGCCCCATCTGCTGGATGGCCGTCCCTGACACTAAGTGCAGTGAGACTGTGCCAGAGCAGACTTTTAGGCTTAGCCCTAGTATGTGAGTGGGCTGCACTTGGCGCACAAAGCAGTCCCTGACACGAATTCGTGACCTCTGCAACAAAATTGACCATGCCTGAAATTACAGCACACTGCAATGGGCAGAAACACGCAAGCGAAAGTGGAAGTTGGCGTTGGAGCAAGTATCACTGCAGCCGAATCAAGCAGGAAGATGTATTTCAGGTGCTCGCTGCTGCCCAAACAGGTGACGGAGGTGAAGGCGCTGATTGGCTTCTTTGACCTGGACCCCAACCGAGTGTACGACGTTGTGCTGGACGCGTTTGAGTGCGCGCCAAGGAACGCCGCGTTACTGGCGCTTGCGGAGATGTTCGCACCAGAGGCGCGCACGCAGATACTGGGCTTCAAGTTCCAGCGCCTGGCGTCCGGCGGCGTACCCGCTCCCGATGCCCTCTTCAACATTGCCGCGAAGCTCATCAAGGCACGCACACTTCGATCTACCTCCAGCAATGCATATCCCCAATGCCTCAATGTGGACACCCCCTGGTCAACCCAACTGTGCTCCATGCTGCTCTTTGTCTCCAGCGCTGGCTCGCCGGAGTGCTGCTTGGTGCAGCCTTTACCATACTCCTTTCAGCAAGACGATTAAAATCTGGAATGTGGTGCATAAAGGGTAGAACAGCATGTAATATATGTTTTTATCACTGGAATCTTATTACTTTGAAGTGTGATTCGATCAGGCGGGGCTTGTGCCTCTGGAGGGACTGCTGCCGCACTTGGCGCCGCCGGATGAGGAGGCGGTGACAGCGCTGCAGGCCGCGCAAAAGAAGCTGGCGGAAGCCGTCGCCAAGATTGGCACCGTCAGCCTCACGCAGGCAGCCGCCGAGAAGGTGCCGCTCCGACTGGGCTTCGGAATACGGTTCTTCTAGGGAGCATATCCTGAAAGCTGTCTTGCATTCGATGCATAGCCTCACACACTGCTCTACGCTGTGCCAAGAGGCGTGTCAGCTTTCCTTATACGCCAACTGCTGGATCATGTTCCCGGCCACGTCCAAATAATCCTGGCGATTCCATTTGGATTGCTACCAAAGTGTTCATTTAGGCTGCTCAAGCTCGAGAACAGGCAAGGCCTTTCTGCTTCTTACCAGCTATAGTAGGGCAAGAAGAGATGTCTGAGTGCTTTTGTTGATCCAGGATGAGGCAACGCGGTCCAAGGTGGGCCTCACAGCTGCCAAGATGGACCTCGATGCACGGGCGCTGAACAATGACATCCTGGCGCCCGCGCTGGCTGCCAATCACAAGCTCGGCCTGGCAGCCGGCCTGCTGCAGGTATGCACCACCCTTCATTAGGGCTGTAACAGGGAGGGAGAAGGGAGTTTCTAGCTGCTTGGTTCTCTACTGGAGGTCTGGTGTGGTGGACTGAGCCGATACACATGCTGCTTTGTGGGACGACTGTAGGGTCATATATAGCATGCCAGTGTCCAGTGGCGTCCCTGCCTAAGCTTGCAGGCCTCAGAAGGGACCTAGTGTTGAGCGAAGATGTTCTGTTTGGCCTGCTAAAAGGGTGGGCCTTTTAGTGCAAGAGGCTGCCCCCTGATTGGCTGGCGCAGCTTGCCAGAGCCAAAACTGGTGGAGAGAGGCAGAAAAGAGGCCGTTCTGCCTTGCGAATGTATGGCCTCGTTTTGGCCACAGTCACCAAGGATTGCTGTGGCGAGCTCAGGAAGCAGGGGAGACAGTCGTCTCGCCCTGTGCTTGACTCAGAAATGGCAGACCCTCAATCGGCAATTCCTTGCTCTGGAGGGCATGCAGCTCCCTGAGACGGTTTTAAGTCTGAGACAGTGTTAAACTGCCTGCAGGTGGACGACTGGGGCAACGCCTCCAAGCTGCTGAACTTGCTGAGCGGGTTGGGGCTGGATCCGGTGGGGTTCCCTCCCATCGCGCGCGCCCTGTGCGGCATGCTGCGCTCGCAGCTGCAGCCCTCCTTCGACGCGCTCTACCCCGAGGGGCCCCGCGGCCTCTCCATCCTCAATCGCAAGGTGCCGCCCTCTCCTTGGCAGACAAACCTTGGTCCTATACAGGGGACTCACAAATGATGATTGCTGTATTGTTTGGAGTCCTACGTCATCCAATGTTGCAAACATGTGTTCCAGTGGTGTAGCGAAGCAGGGCACCAGACAGTTCAGCGAACATGATTTGTGGGTTTCCTACCCTATGCTGTGCAGTAAGATGGATTCTTCTTGCTTGCCGCACAAGGTATCACTTTATGCGCCATTCTGATTGGCCCTCTCATGCCACTGGAAGGTTTACACCCCTCAAACTGGCAACTGGTGAGGAGCTGCACAGCGCATTGATGCGCACTACGATCCGACCAGGCATCTGGCTTGGGGACATAAGGGCAGTGGTAATCAAGAGGAGATCTTTGAGTGGACTGTATGTGCATGCAGAACGGGGGTCCTGATGTGGAGGTCCCCACGCCGGGGGACGAGACGGTGGGATTGCTCTTGCTGCTGGGCGCGCACGCGCATGCAGACGTGACCCTGCTGAGTCAGCTGGCGCGCATCCTCAAGCACATGATTCTCCGCAGCTCCTTCCTGCTGTGCTCCCCGCCCACCATCCCCCAGGGCCGCCACCACATTGAGCTGGTGCGCTGCTGCCCGCTCTCTGTAATTAGTAACATCCCACTGCGAGAAGTGGGCGTTTGAAAGACTCGGAGGAACAGGACTGTGCTTTCCTGAAACCGCATGCTAAAATTGCTGCAGGGTGCACATACCTGTGCACTGAAGCGGGTATGCGCGCAAGAATGTAAAGCCATCTTCATGGTTGCTCGAAGGGATTCAGCAACGATGCAGCACTCTGCTGCTGTTCACGGAAAGCTTTTGCAGGGTGGAAAGAGCGCTCCTGGGCCGGAGGTGTCCTTTGCTTACACTTTGCACTGTCAGAATTTACTTGAAACTCTCGCAATCGGTCGGCCTCGATGTCGTCATGTTGCTTTGAACCGATGGTTTATGCTGACTGTGCGCCTGGCTTCCGCGCGCAGGTGAAGCTGCTGCTCTCAGAGGTGCTGCTGCCTGCGCTGTGCATGGTGCCCGCCAATGTGGGCCTGGTCAACGACGTGTGGGGGGCGCTGCACCTTCTGGAATACACCGACCGCTGGCGCATCTACAACAGCCTCAAGGTGGGCGCTGCTGGCCCGCAGGAAGCATCACAACTATCCCTTTTGAAAATCCAAAAGCAGGAAAAGGTATCCGAGGATGTGTATGTGAAAAGTTGGCAATCAAATCCAGATTGTGAGACTGTGTGCAGAGACAAAAGGAGGATAGCGGGATGAAGGCGGCTCAAGCCCTTCCCTTCTGAGTCAAGAACAAGGAATCCCTGGTTCGAGTCCCTGACTCGCCAATGGATTTTCTTTTACTTTTTTCTTTTTCCTCTTTAATTTCCTAGGTACACCGGATGGCTGGAGAGTCAAGTTCCCTCATCTTTGGACGTGCTTCTGCATATCCGCATATGGTACTGAGCTCCAGTACTGAGTTTCTCCGTGAGCCCAATTTGCTTCAGAACCTTGGCATCTTGCTCGGCAACAAGCTGCAGCTAAAATGCCCGGATCCTGTATTGAGCGTGTCTGCCCCTCTCCTGGTTACAGTCTCACTTATCCTTGCTTCTGCCAGGTATAGCCATGCTGATACGCACGCATGGCAACATCTCTTTCCATCATTCAGCGTTCCCTTCCCTTGGAGACAAATATATGAACGGCTGAGATGAGTAATCTGACTCGTATCTTCAGAAGGCCCACAGACTGCCTATGCCACTCGAGACCATTTCTTATCTTGAAATCACTGATCGGAGGTCAGAAAGATCATTGTCATCACGCAGGTGAAGGTGGCGAAGAACCCGCTGCTGGCGGCTGCAGGGAAGCTGGCGGTGACGGAGGTGCGCAAGGTGATGAGGCGAGTGCACGCGCCGGACTCCAAGGACAAGCGCGAGCGCAAGAAGTTGCTAGCGCCCTTTGCGCGGCTGCTCGCCAAGGCCGCTCACGCCAACCCGCTGCCCGTCTGCGACCACATTGTCGGCCATGTGTGTCACTCCTGTCTCCCTTAAGCAACCATAGCCGGAAGTATCACCGCGAACATTTCTTGAGTGGAAAGGCTCAAGTGGCAGTAGGCGATTGAGCTGGTAGTAGGCGATTCTTGTGTTGGTCGTGACCCCTTAATGGCCCGAGCTGCCTCATTGGGCTGAGCTACCTCTTATGGAAGAGGGTGGGTAGTCGGGTGGGGAGGAGGCACAGCTGCTAGATCAGGCAGTGAGATTTTTGCAGACATGCGCATGCGAGCAGGTGGAGGCTTTGCCCATTGGCAAGCAATCAAGTCCTGGGTCCTTCGTCTTTGCAAAGGGAGGAGGAGCGCCAGCACCGGGCCACCATGTGGACAAGGAGCACCTTACTGCCTGATCAGGAGTTGAAAATATTGAGGGCATGCATGAACGCGCTCAGGTGGAGGCGTACCCGGTGATGACGGAGCCAATCCTGGACGCGATGCGTTACTTCACGCCCTTCGGATACGATGTGCTCTCATTCGTGCTCGTGGACCGCCTGGCCTCCCCCGGCCGTGACAAACTCAAGGCCGACGGCCTCAACATCTCCGACTGGCTCCAGGTGACTGACTCACCCTTTACTCGTGCACACAGCTGCATGTGTGTGTGAGATTCTGGGACCCAGGAGGGGCAGGAAGGGGGTCCTGGGTCCAGGTTTCAGGGGGGTGTTGGAGGAACGGGAATAGGAGAGACTTGCTAGGTGGCCAGCGACAAGAAAGTTTGGATGTGTCTGGGAGGAGAGGTCATTGAAGGCGGCCATCAGGGGCTTGGCCTTTGCCTCCTACCGATTGAAGCCCGCAAAGGAGAATCTTCCTTGGATGGGTGGGAGGTATATGCTGTTCCGTAAATGGCCGCATTTGGCACTTCTCCTTTTGAAGACACGCTAAAAAACTGGCCGAATTGCTCATTTGCAATGTTGAGATTGGCGAAGAAATGACAGTGTTCACAGCTCTTGGTAGTAATCTTACATGATATTCTTAGGAAAGCTCAATTCGTACAACGCAGGGGAGTAGGCAATTTTTGCGTTGTGGGCAGCATTCCTGCTGACATGGAGTGAGCTCATTTGGTGCTTCTAGCTGGCGGCCATTTTCCCGCATAAAATTCCGCCCATTTGACTTGCCGGAGGCTGAGGCTTTGTCAAGGGTTGGCTCCTGCCTATTCAACCTTTGTCCAGAACTTTATGCCTGCCAGGAATCTCCTGGCTCAGCGAGAGTGCCAGCATACAAAATTGGCCGCGGTTGTCTGCATACCCAGTTGATAGCCATGGGCTGCTGTCCCTAGAGCCATGCCCTCTTTCTGCTTGACCCTTTTGAGACAATGAGGACTGACACTCTGCTCGTCACGCTGCTGCTATCACTCCTCATCTCTGCCAATGCTAGATGGCAGCACCGCGTGGGTCCTTCTTGTCTTGCAAGTCTGAGCAGCTCTCGTCTTCCAGTCTCTCATTACAGTTGCGTTTGAGGGAGTGGATGGCTGACGTGGCGCTGCGCATGCATGCGCGCAGGGGCTGTCGCAGTTTGTGGGGCAGGCGTGCAAGCGGTACGAGAAAATGGACTTGAGCGCCATCTGCCAGTACCTGGCCAACACCCTCAAGGCCGCGCAGTCGTTTGACATGCTCGTGCTCAAGGCGCTCGTCAGCGATATGTCGGTGAGTCACCAATGGAATAAATTAAGTTATAGACGCCCTGATGAAGCCTGGGGCGTGATTGAGGCAGAAGCTGTGCACCGGGAGGAACCCCGGGGGTGGCCTTTGAACCCCGCGGCTCAATAGCAAATTTTGTAGCCAGCAGCAGCAGTTCTAGTGAGATAGGCGCTTATCAGCACCTAGGGCGTGATCAAGGGGACAATTCCTCCCCACCGCGAGGGCATGGGTGAACCCATGCCCCCTAGAGTCACCGATACCTGCTCCCTGCTGCTTGATTTTGGCATTTTGCTTGTTGCGTACGGGGGAGGAGGGAACACCGCTTCCTGCTCACCCTTGTTCAAATATGCTCGTGACTCTGGGCATGTGCATGCGTCCTGTTCAGAGCCTGCCATGCCGGGGGCAAGCGCCCACTACAATCAGTCTAGCAATGGAAGGGATTGATTCTGTGAGTGATTACGCCTGGCGTGGCGGGCTCTTAGTTCAGGATGCCGTGGGTGCTTGCCATGGTTGTGGTCTTGCATGTTGGGAAGAGTCCAATCACTGGTGCTCACTCGAAGAGCACACTGGATTGTGTTATCTAGTGTGTATTAGGCTCCTGCCGTCATTCTGCCATATTCTCAGCTTACTAAGCACCGATCTGCGCCCGATGGCGGGTGTTGACATCACCTTTGTCGCTGTGCTGAGGCACTCCGCCCTCTGTAACCTTCAGACCACATAGATAAGAGGTCACCTCAACACCTTCTGTTTTCCACACAAACACACCTTAAAGTATAAGGTCTGACCCTTGTATTATTTTGCGCGCAGGGCATCGCCCCCGTGAGCGATCTGAGCGCGGAACAGGTGGAGGCTCTGGCAGGGGGGCCGCTGCTGCAGCAGGAGGTGATCAATTTGGGCGCGCAGCAGCAGACCTCCGCCAAAGCCCTGCAGCGCACTACCGGCCGCCTCATCACTGCCCTCCAAAATGTGCGCGCCTGCTTGAATTTTGTCTCTCGAGGGCTTGGTATCTCCAAGAGGGGGCCTCAACCTGGGCCCCATTGCATGCATGGGTGTCCCTGACACATGGTGTTGAGGAGCCTGGCACAGATTTCCTTCATCTGTATGGTCAGAGGCCCTGTCATTTTGAATGCTTCTTGGGTTTATACTTTTAAATGGTTTATGGTGGGAGGATTGGGCATCTCTGGGTTCTGCTGCTGGGCATGCTTAACAGTGCTGGGAGTTGTGTTGTGCCATGCATGCAGAACAGGGGTATTGTGGCAGCTTCTGTGCTTCGCAACCCACACCATTTCTTCATGTGTCCGAGTGGCATTCTGAGGTCAACCTTTGGATGCTCTAGGAGGCCAGACGTGGTCCGTGGCTTGCATTGTGCAGATGACGCCCTCAATCTTTTGCCTCCCCTGGCTTTTCACAGGGTCCGCTCAATGACATCAATGCAACATTATGCGATGTGCCACTTCAATAGGGTGATTTGGAGACTGTTGTGCGATGCACTGTAACAGGACAAGTTGGCGCTGCCGCTGTATGTGATGTTGGCGCAGCAGCGGCGTTACATCGTGATGAAGACCGAGTCACGCCACCTGAAGCTCATTGCCGAGCTGTACGACAAGTGCCAGGAGACGCTCTTCCTGGTGTGCCTCTCGGCCCCTGCTGCATATTTCACTGTTGCTTTCTTGATATATGATATCCTTACAGACATGCAGAGCTTTGCAGGGCATGTCCTGCTGCCAATGCAGATGGGTGTGCAACAACTTTGAGGTCTGAGGCTTTGCGGAGTCTTTGTTGACCAAGCACACTTGCACTTGCTTGTAGCAGCGTACAGCTATGTCAAGAGCACCTCGCAGGGATATCTCTGGGGAGATCTGGATGTCCGGATCTTCGCAGCTACACTTGCAAGCAAGATTCGCCTGGGAGATGTGGCTGTGCTGCTCTATGAGGATGAGCTTCCGCGAGGGCGGAAGTGCGTCTACTTGGCACTGCAAGGGACCATAATTGGCAGACGCCGTGCTGTTCGAAATCACTCTTCTCTGGATGCTGTGAACTGATTTGGCGCAGTACACGGAGTTCCTGTCGACGGCGTTGCCTCCGGCGGAGAGGGCTGCGCTGCTGCCGTCCATCTCCCAGCTGGTGCAGCGCTACGGCGTGGATTTTGAAGTCGCCTTCCAGGTGTGAGTCGCCTCCTGCTGAGAGTCCTACTCAGTAATCTTACTGTCAGGTACAAGGCGATCCTGAGAAGAGGTAGCTAGGTCGAGGAGCTGGAATAGATCAAGTACAGCAGCCTGATGCATAGTAAGAGCCTCAAGTATGTTCTGGTGCCAGTGCTGCCACAGCAAGCACTTTTGCATGTCTCTGCCCAGTGCTCAGTGTAACACAGCATCAGCAAATATACAGAGACATAAGGGACACTCATGCTAGATTTCTGACATCACTCGGCGTGGCGGTCACAGGCGCACCGGCCGCTGATTCGTGAGCTGTCGCCGCCGGTGCTGCCGCCAACGATACCAGGAACGCCGCAGGAGAACGGGGACACAACGATGGAGGAGGTGGAGGACGGCGAACTGGAGGAGGAGAAGCTGCCCGCGCAGCCGGAAGCCGCCGGGAACCTGCCCAACGGTGCGCCCTCTTACTCATCCCATTCCCACTGAATCCATCCTGATTTAGCCTTCCCTTGCTCTGTAAGATCAACATTGGGGACTTTGTCCTCCTAATAAGAGAATATATACAATCATGTGGGCATTGCTCCCACGTCATTGGCGCTGTCAATAACTGTGAAATGTCTCCCCTCTCTCCAGCAGGATCAAGATTTCTTTAGGAATGAGCCTCAGTCAGGTCCATGCACCACAAGAAACCATCTAAATCCCACTGTCGTGCAATGTCGCAGGGGTGGGATTGGCGGCCGGCCGGGACGGCGGCGCGGGGGCGGCGGGGCCGGGACCTGGGAGCATGAGCTGGGCGGCTCTGGTGGAGGACGTGCGCGAGACGCTGCCGGACACCGTGTGGCGAGTGATGAGCCCCGAGTTCTACATCTCCTTCTGGAGCCTCTCCTACCCGGACATCTCTGTGCCCGCCGAAAGGTGCGTTGTCTTGCTGTGATTTCTGGAGGCATTCATAGGTGTGCTACCAAAACTTAGACGTGGTTGCCTACGTGGCAGCCCTTGATGATGTATCTATACTGCTGAAGAGTGTGTGCTGCAACACAACGGGTGAAGGAGCTTCCGTCAGCGCTCTGCTGTCAGAGTGAAAATCGGCAATTCAGGGAATGAAATGGCACTGTGCGCAATAGACAAGGGCATCTAGATATGGCTCATATCCTGGAAAGTCTTACCTGTGCTGCCAGCCCTTAGATACACCTGTTCTCTCTGGCATCTGGCCAGGCGCAAGCCCAGGGTCTTAGAGTCTTGTTGTCTGCGATGATTTTCTGTCTGGTGCTGTGTGTGCAGGTACCACCGGGAGATCAAGCGGCTGAAGGACCTGCAGGCCATGAAGGAGACAGAGATGCGCTCCAAGCAGATCATGCTTGACCAGGCACGCACCCATTTCGTGACTTCTAGACCCTTGGAGAACACCAATCAAAACCGCTGATGTCCTGCAACTTTCTTCTGGAAACCATGCACGCTTGGTCTGAGCAGAGGCCCATTTCACCCCCTGTTTGCTTATCACTTGATGCCATCAAGGGTAGGTACTTGGCAACCAGTACCTGCAGCTTATTTGCAAAGTAATCTCTTGCCTCTCGGCAGGAATAGCCTGCATTAATGTACAGTTGTATGCTGGACCAAGCGCTCACCCTCCTATATATGCAAAGACCCCGCTTCAGGGATTAATAAGATCATCGATTGATACCCCTCTGACATGTGTTGAACAGGCGCGCGACCGGGGGTCGGCAGGCGGGGGGTACATGGGGGGCATGGGCGGCAACTACCGCGGCAATGAGCCCCAGATCGACCCTGAGGAGCTCAAAGACGACATCGATACCATCGAGAAAGTGCTGGATCGTGTGAAGGTGAGTGATTGTTCTCTTGCGGGAAGTGCGTGTGAAGTCTTGAATATCTCTGGTGGTGTAGAGAACTAGGAGATGCGTGGAGGGGCAAGGGTCCTTTGGGCTGTACTCTGCCGGACTTCTTGTGTGAGGGTATATGAGGCCGAAGAGGCAGCGTTGAAAAATGGGCATGATGTATCGTGGCTGAGCCAAAGTCAGACCTACGGGCCTGGCGTGCATGATATATGGCACCTACGCGGCACTTTTAGCTCGGACATATTGCCCGTTGAGCTTGAGCAGCCCTTTCATCGGAAGCAAGTAATCCGAATCCAGGGTTAACCCAAAACCACGAGCCCTGACTTGATGCAAGTGCTAAAGGGCCTGCTCGATGGACCCAGGCTCCAGAAGATTGAGGTCTCTCGTATGTTTGAAGTCCCGATTTTACCATCGCGGGCACAGGATGCTGTGTTGCGCTTGTTGTCTGAGCCAACTCTGCCTCTGGCCCAGGGCTGCATGGGGCAGCACTGCACCCTGCACCTGTCTTGGCATATAATTGCACAGAAAGCATGCACAGGAGAGTCACTGACTGAACGGTATCTGCAGTGTGCTCTTCCAGTGAGGCAGCTCTTGAGTCAGAACCCAAGCGGGCGCAACATGCTGTGGTCCTCCTGGCCCTGAGCTTGGGTTGACACAGCTCAGGCTCTGGCAGTCCTAGAGGCCCAAGCATCCTGAGTCTACAGTGGTTAGAGGAAACATCCTGGGCGGACCGAAGAGAATGCTTCATGAATGTGCACATCGTACTGAAAATGAGACTGATCAAAAGAGCGTGTGGTCAGCAGCATGCCGCCATCCATAGCTCCTCAGAGGAAGACAACTAGACTGGAGTACTAATGGCACTCCCTGTGCAGGACGCGCTGAAACGGCTGCCGGAGGAGCTGAAAGCGCAGGAGGCAAATGCGGCGCGTGTCAATTTGTTCCTGACGCGCGCGCGGCCGTTCTGGACGTGCGATCGGAAGGGGATGCTGTACGCATACCTGCAGCAGTGCATTCTGCCGCGCGTCGTGTACTCCCCGCCTGACGCGGCGTTCTGCGCAAAGTTCACCCAGCGGCTGCACGAGCTGGCCGTCCCATTCTTCCCCACCATCCTCTACCTCGACACCGTGAGCGCCTCTTCCAAGACGCTCTCGTTTGAATCCTGACTATATGTGACTGATCAAGTCTGGTACTTCTGATCGGTTTCTTTTACACGACCAATGGGTCTGGTCCAATGATGGCTTAGAGGAGATCGTGGGGTATGGCAGTGGGGTGCTGAGGTGTGTGTCTCAGGGCCCTGCTCTTGATTGGGTAGAGGACGTGCAAAGGGTTCTAAGGAGATCATGTGGCTCCGTACTTCTTGTGAGTGCCTGTGAAGATTTGGGCAGGAGTGGGGCACTGCTGAGGCATGCTGTGCAGTGGCATGAGCATGGAGAGAGTGTTGTTGGACATGAGGGCGTTTTGGGAGGGTTGTGCAGCTCAGGTTGGGGCTGTTGAATGCGCAGATGATGAAGCAGATGATCAGCCTGGTGTTCTCCTGCACCGACCGCGAGGCCCTCAATCTGGCCATCTTCCTCAACGAAACCTTCATCCTCCTCGAGCGCTGGCGGGTGAGGCCCCTGCTCACCCACCCTGCCTGCCAACAGTTTTGCCAGATGCTGCGACCGTTTTACGTATAGAGGCAGTCGAGGAGCGATCTGCCAAGCAGGGCTGGGCGGTCACGCCCCTTAGCATGCATGCAGTCACCCCTACACTTTTCAGTATCAACGCCTGCACGATCAGGGCAGATCAGGCATGCATGCTTAAGCCAGGCAAAGAGTACCTGCTGACCCTGCACTTGTGAACCTTGCCTCTAGGGAAAGGAGACCGTGTCTGCTCTGCAAAATTCTCTGCATACTGACCCTACCCTGCTGACCCCTGCATCCAGGGAGCAAAGCCGTCTCAACCTTCTCATGCATGCTGACCCTAATCTCACAACCCCCGCGTGCAGGGGAATGAGGCTGTGTCAAACTTTCTCAAGCACGCTGACCCTGATTCCTGCGTGCAGGGGAGCGAGGGCGTGTACGCGCGGGAGTGCGCGGCGCGGCCGGGGTTCTCCATGTCCTTCTCAGACCCGGGCGCCTCGCGCACATCCTTCAGTGACTACCGCCGCCTCTGCGCCAAGTGGCAGCACACCATCACCTCCGGCCTGCGCGCGGCGCTGCAGTCCAAGAACTACGTGCAAACGCGCAACGCCTTCCTCATCCTCAACACCACCGTCAAGGCGCGCACCTTTCCCACCTCCAACTCGAGCAAGATCTGCAGATGCCGCTGTCAGGAGCGCCTTCGTGCAGCCGGAAGGTACTGCGATCTTGCTGCGGGTCAGGAGACCAGATTGTCTGGGTTCTTGCAGGAATTTTGAGATGTGACGAGGGGGAAATGTGAGAATTTCTGGGGCTGCATGGCTGCATGTGAGCCTGGGAGGCCATAACACAATCTGGGCAGAGTACAATACTTTTGCGGCTTCTCTCGGAAGTGTGGCCCTGCCTTCGGTTGGGGCAATATCTATCGCAATAGGTGCAAGGAGCTGGTGATAGCCTACATCGACGTTTTCAAGCGCACGATCATCGAGAGCGCAAAGTGCAACCAACTCGATGCCCAAAGCGTGAGCTGCGCTTAAAAATCCCAGCCTGCGAGCTTCAAAATTGTCGTTGTTCATTAATTTCCATAAGAATAGCTGGACTGGTTAGATGGGGGATAAGAGCAAGGCTTGAAGGAGGCTTATCGAGGAAGACCGACGAGAACCGAGAAAGTACTGTGACCATCTGCTTTCGTTACAAAGGAGTTGTACGAGTACAAGCTTAGAATAGAGATTGCATTGGGCGTTTGTGAGATCAAAGCGCAAAGGTAGAGGTAAACTGGCTGAATGAGGATCCTTTGTTGGCCGGTTTCGCGGAAATTGGACCCGATCCCAGAAGACGATTCAAGGTGCCACTCCAGGTGGAGTGTGTACGGCAAGATACCCTACCCGGTGAGAGAGCAGATTCATTTTGTTGTGTTACTGGCTGGCCGAGGGGAGACAGGTAGCGCTTTATTGCATTTTCGGCAAGTCCATCGACACCCAACGTCAATCGCTGTCTATGTTCGCTTCCTAAGAGCGTGAAATTTATATTCTGTCTGCACAGGTATTCCCGGCGATGCAGACGTGCGCGTCGCGAATAAAGACGGCGGTCCAGGGCGTTCGCGATGCGAGCTCTAGCGAGGAGGATCTGAAAACGATGTCGAACATGTACTCTGCAGCTCTGGAGAATGAGATCCGGAAGGATGGCCGGTGCGACTCCCTTGCTCTTTTGATCTCTTCTATTGCATATTCCTGAGCGAAGCCCTGCATATGCTGCATTGATGCTATGTTGGAAGCAAACATGAATGATCCTGTTGCTTCAGTCCGTGACCTGTGCTGTCTTGCTCTACTGCATACCTATTTGTAGCTTGTGTGCCGCCCACCTTGTCATTGGATCACGCAAGAGGCCATCCATTTGGAGAGCTGCGTGGATGTGCTGCACAGAGAGGACACAGTAGGTTGATGAGGGAGTGCTGCATTGTGTCTTGATGTGCTCGCGCGCTGCTCGCATGGTAACAGCGGTTGGTGTCATTGCATGTGCAGGATGCTGAGCAAGGAGGCGTATGAGGGGGCGCCGGAGCCGCCTGTGCCCAAGGCGCTGCTGGTGAAGAACGGCTTGCCACCCACTGGCGAGCCAGGTGAGCTAACATGGTTCATCTATGACCTCAAGATATCCTGCGCCGAGAAACCTCTCCCTGGAAAGCCGGCCCCTCAGAACCCCATTCCTGGGGACCCAGCTCCTGAGGAGCCAGCCCCTCAAAGACTGGCCCCTGAAAAGCCGGTGCCCAAGAAGGCAGTGCCTAAAAAGCCGATGCCCAAGAAACTGATCATAAAGGAGCCCATTCCTACAAAGATTCCTAAGAGGCCGATCCCGGTCCCAAAGAAGCCTGCCCCTGAGATGCCGGCACCTGAGAGGCCGAAGCGCAAGCGCAAGAGAGGGGTCCGGGACACGGGTCGGTAGGGTGGCAATCTTGCTGCTCACCCACTCCCTGCCAGTCTGGCTTTGCTCTGCCCTAGATCATTGGTTCCTCCTGCCCGGCAGCGTCCCTTTGCCGCAGCGGCAAAAGTGGCCTCAGCCAGAGTGCTGTTGTCCAAGGCGGAAGTTTTGGGGACCTCAGAAGTGCAAACCTGAAAGGATAGCAAACAGCATTGCCCAAAGACAGGGGTGGCGTGAGCCCATGACGTGGGAAAGATCTCACAGAGGTCCTATCCCAAGCGCAAGTCAAGCCTGAAGAAGGTCTGGGTTGGCTGTGCTCTGAAGCACAGTCCATGCACCTCTGGCAGCCCATCAGAGATCTATCAAACGCATTGAGATTGGCCTGAGCCTACTTGAGAGCATTTGACGCTTTCAGCATATTTGGTGTCTGTGTTTTCACTTTTTGGTGTGCTGCATCAGCAATGCTAATGACTGCAGGGAGCCCCCAGACTCATCACCAATTTGGTATGAGGGAAGGGACAGCCCTTGTTCCTGTGTGTCACCCAGCCTGAGAGTTGTCTTATCAGCACTATGTCCAACGCATGCTTTGCTGTAGATGTTTTTGTCTTGCAAAAATGGTCGACTTGTGTCAGATTGGTACAAGTCCATTGCCTTGTTTCCCGGATTTGAGACAGTGCACGTTTCAGTTTCCCAGTTGCTTTTTTTTTTCTTCAGATTGAAATTGACACATAGAATTGTGTCTTTTCGCCCTTGTCCTTGGGGCAGACTGCGTGTATCACTGTTTGATGGTGTGTGCTGTGGTCTGTTGATGGTGGTAGGTTGCATTTGTCAGGTGGGTCAGAACTGAAATGAGAAATGAACCCTTAAACGACATTTCACAGATATTTCAAAGCAGGTTGTGTCCAGTGTGCAGAACATGCACACTTCCTTAGCCTGCGTACATTAAGCTGTCTTTGCAGGTGCCGGAAGTGATTGTCTGCCTAGTTGCCTTGTCTCTTGCTGAGACTGTAACGGATTTTTGTATTCCCCTCTTTTACTTCCCATGTATTATTTATCCGACATTCCATATCATAGGCAGAGCCTTAAACAAGGAGTCTTCACCCTCTATTCAGTGAGGGTTAGCAGTTCTGATCTGGCCCCCGTACTGATTCTGCAGGCACTGGCGGATCCAAGGCACAAGAGAACGGGGTCACTGCAATCCGCGAGGTGATTATTCTCCTATCTTGCTTGCTGAGCTGGAGAGTGAGGAGTGAGTCTCATCTGCACGCGTGCATTCAAGCATACAACCTTGTGCTTGCGTGGCGAAGTTTGGAAATTTTGGCTGTTCTGGTGTAGTCACACTCTCTCTGCATGGGGCACAGGAGGCCACGTCAGCGGCAGGCAAGAACAACAAGTCCTCTTCAGGTAAGCTGCAGCGATCTTCTCAGCACTTTTCCTGGTATCACATTGCCTCAACAAGTTGAGAACAAGGCCTTCTGTGCATGAGCTGATAAAGTTGTCCTCATGTTCTGTTTGATTGTTCTTGTGCGCTTGCAGGCGATGCAGCGAAGAAGGCAGACTCTTCAAGCGCGGCCCAGAAGAGGAAGGAGCTCCGGGCGGAGGCAGCAGAGTTCAGACCGAGCAGCGCCAGCAAAACCTCAGATGCGAAGCCAGCAGCCGATGCCAAAACGGGCGCAAATGGAAAGTCAGGAACGGATGCCAAGTCAGGAACGGATGCGAAACCCCGCGGCGGCTCCGGGGGAAAAAGCGAGGGGAAGGGGCGGGGCGACGCCAAATCTGGCGCGGATGCCAAGCGGCCGAGCGACACCGGCCGCCGCAGGGACGGCGACAAAGCAGAGGCCGCCCCCTCGGTGAGCAGCAGCTGTGACTAATAATCGATTTTCAATATCTTCACAACCCCTCCAGAACATGCGTCTGTGTGCCAAGCGTTTGCCTTTGATTGTGGAATGCTTGTGCCAGGTCAGGCAGCAGGCATTAGCTTGCTGCCTGCCGCTGCATGTGCTCAGCAGGTGCAGCATTGCTGGCTGTCCTGCACTTCTGAGCCGTGGTCAGTAGAGGACATCACGTACCAGAAATCCAAGCATGCAGTGTGTTTAGAGTCTTAGAGACAAGCATACAAGGATTGCACTGCTGCTGGTGCAGGCAAAGGGAGAGGAGGCTCCGAGCAGGAGGAAGGCAGAGGAGGAGCCCTCACAGCGGCCATCCAAACGCCCGCGCAGCGACCCTGCTGAGGTGCGCAGCTGTGTGGGACCCCTGAATATGTGTCTTGCGGCCGCCACTTGCCATCTGCAGGCAATTGCCTTGCTCATGTGCACTGCGCAGCAGAGTAACCTTGCAGATATCTACTGTCCTGCTGTTGGCCAAAATTTTCAAATCACTGCACCTGGAGCCAGAATTTTGAATTGAGCCGCTGCATGAGAGGGCAGCTTGTCCTCCTCTTCTGGCTGGGGGCATTATCATTGCAAGTTCTGATTGGGGTCATCTCTGGATGCAGGCCAAGGAAGCACCGGCAACAGCATCGCGGCCGCGGATAAATCCGCCAGTGCGAGAGAAGCCGGCTGCACCAGCCGAGCGCCGGTCTGACAACGCCAGCGAGCGCAGAGGGGACAGGTATGCAAAGAACATCTGCAGTGTTTTGCCTTCATTGTCACATACATCCCTCAGGTACCATCAGCTTGGTCGCTCTGCTTGCTTGGCCAACTCTAGTTTGCATCGATGTTGGAAGCTCTCTGCATGCACTTATTTACAGTCGGCAGAGAAGCAGAAATTAGGGTTACCATCGCGTGCATACAGGGATGGCCTTGCTCGGCGCAGCCAGTCAGCCGCGGTGGCAGAGGGCAAGACCGACGGCGACGACACGGCAAAGCGCGCGAAGCGCGCCGAGCCGGTGGCCGAGGCGCGCCGACGCGCGATCCCGGCGCCGGCCGCTCGCGGCAGCGCAGCCCCTGCCGCTGAGACGCCGGAACCCGGCGAGGTTGTCGTCGACGCCCCGGCCACGGCTCCAGCCTCGCGCAGGCGCGGGTCGGAGAAAGACCGGGAGGAGAAGCCGCCGGCTGATGCGCGCGGCCGTGCCAGCCGGGAGCCAAAAAAGGCGCCTGATCAGGCGGCGGCGGCCACCGAGAAGAAATCGGCGGCAGCTGAGAAGAAGCCGGCGGCGGCCAAAACAGGCGCAGATGACAAAGCCCCCCGCGAAACTGCCGGGGGCAACCGCGCGGCGCGCAGCCGCGATGAGCCGGAGAAGCCGGCTGCGGTGGCGGTGGCTGCAAAAGGCAGCGGGCGCAGTACCAGGGACGGGGGCAAAGAGAAGGAGAAGGACAGGGACACGCGCGTTGCCATTCCAACCAGGAAGGAGCAGGAAAAGGTGTGTCTGCTTCATGAGCTAGGGCCTGTTCAGCCCATGTGCTAGTTCGCTGAGGTCAACACTATTACTTTACATGTTGCCTGGCAGATTGAGCTGTGTGTGTGCATGTTGATCGCCTTGAATGATATTGAATTTGGTTTGCCATCCGCCACATGGTGGGTGGTCCAATGTGCTGCTGTACACAGCGCATCGTTTCGCTGACTGGCATGTCCTGACTCCTTGTGCAGGAGAAGCCAGCGAAGGCCGAGGAGCGAGGGCCGTTGCCTGGCCGCCTGTCGCGCGAACCCAGCGTGAGTACCTTGGCATCCTGCTGCCATAGTGCAGGCCACCTCCCTTTCAGTATGATGCACTGTTTGGAGGCTTTAAATCAATTCCTTGAGGACACAGAAGGAGCATAGTTCAGATTGCAGTGCGTGCTGGAGTGCTGTGCTGAGTGCTGTGCTAACTCCCAGCCACAGGCTGTTATCAGACCTGTCGAGCCCCAACTTGCTAGTTTGAAAGGCTCCTTGAAGGCTCTGTAAAGGTGCTTAGGGGTGCAAACTACTGTCATGTAAGAGATGCTATTGATAAAATTGCAAGGGCGCTCAGGCATCGTGTGTCAGATGTGTTGAGGGTGCTGCTATGGCGGCAGGTGTCTGAGAAGCCGACGCCGGTGCGGCGCAACATGGCGACGCAGTGGCTGCAGAAGGCGCACGAGGAGAGTCTGAGTGAGCGCATGGCGTCCCGGCTCGGCCTGCCGGCCGACGCGCGGCTGGCGCCGGCCGGTGCCGCCGATGTCGCCGCTGCCGCCGCGTCGCCTCCTGCTGGCAGAAGGTGCGCGCTCCAAGCTGTGTGGGTCGGCGCATGCTGGAGATGTGATACTGAAGCTTGGTTGTCTCGGTGCTGCTGGCTGCTGTGATGAGCTGCATGGTGCTGGGGGAATGCCTGTTTGTCCTTGAGAAAGGTTGTCATCAGCGGAGTGTCTGGGATGTCTGCAGTTGCATTGCAGTGGGGTGTAACTTTTGTGTGGAAGCCGTGTGCAGATGCTCGTGCACCCACCAGCTAGCTGCCTGCTTTGAAGCTACGGGGCTCCAGCTAAAGATAGCTTGCTGGAAAGAGAAGCTCACCTCCTGCAATTGCTGAGGAGCTGACCTGATGTCCATGCCTCGCAGGGTGGCCAGGCAGGCGGCAGAGGCTGCAGCTGGGGTGGAGGAGCTGGGGGATGGGGATGGCGGGGAGGAGAGTGCAGGGGAGGACGGCGACAAGAAGGGTGAGGGAAAGAAGAGGAAGAAAAAGAAGAAGGACAAGAAGCGGCACCGCGACAAGGGAGATGACGGGGGTGAGGAAGGCGCTGGTGATGACGACGGCGGCGGCAGCGCACGTGGGAAAAAGGACAAGAAGAAGCACAAGAAGCACTGAGCTTCGCTCCGCTTTGCTAGGTCTTGCGCAGTTTTTATAGGGTGTCTAAGATGCTCTAGTGGGATACAACTTCATTATTAGAATTTCTTGGACCAGCGCCTGTTGGAAGGGTGCTTGACAGAGTGCTGCCTCAGGACAGGCGGCTGCTGGGTGCTTGACACATAATCTAGCAACAGTATTTGGTGAAATATATTGAGCATATTGCTGAACTTATTCAAATTAGACCGAAATTTGTAAGGCATCTTTCCATAGTCTATTCCTGCTGTAGCGGCCATCGATGCGGATATCATGCATACTGCTAGCATCGCTGATAAATAATCACCTTCAAGCTTGGCTCGCCACAGATGGACATCTTGTTGACATCGTGACCCATATCAGGCACGCCATTCCTCTGAACAATGTAGCTGCTCAAATCCTTCTCCTCACTGCACTCTTCAGCTTCCTTCAGCTTCCCAATGGAGACCTAAGCAGATTACTGACAGCTAGAAGCTGCAGTTTGATTATGATCGGGCAGCAAAGTCAGTCTGAAAGCTTTACAGCCCACGATGGATCTAGTTGATATACTCAAACGGCGCACTTCAAGTGGTGGCTCGGAGCACACCCAGTCCCGCAAACAGTGCTGCACCGGCAATGAGCCCAAGTCTGTGGCTGCGACTGGCCGGCTGCGCCAGATACATGTGCCCGGCCAGGTAGGCGCTGCATGCAGCACAAACGCCTGTTCCCAGCACTCGACAGGTCGTGCAATCTTGCTGTGGTGTGATACCCTTTTCCTCTGCAAGGTCCACAACGTGTGCGCTGGCTGTCCCTGTGCTTGGCTGCTCTGCGCTTGAGCGGCCTCTTACTCCAGGAAAGCTGCGCAGGAGGTCTGAAAGCGCCTCACATGGCGCGCAGTGTGTGTCCTTAGAGGTCTGATTGCCCTGAGGTGAGGAACTGCTGCTTGCCTCGAAGCCCATGACCTGCACAGCAAAACCAGCACTGCTGACGGCAACACAGATGCAGCACGAGCACCTTCTGGGATATTCCTTTGGTACGCACTCAGAATGCGTCGTTAGTGCTATATGCCAGCCTCATGGGAACAGGAATGCTGTGTAAGCAGCGCTACTCTCAGTTTGCCTAACCAGTGTCTAGGCAACAATGCTGCGCGTGCAGAGCAGCATGCGCACACCTGACAGCCAGGTACACGGACTGGTCCAACCTGCACCCTATTCACCTTGTATTATCTTGATTGCTTGTCTTCGATGATCCAAAAACACTCCAAACTCGTGCCCTCAACTGCCTGCACAGTGGTCTCGGTCGTGAGCTTTTCGATCAGATCTGCTCAATACAACAGCGTTGACAATACGGCAAATAACCTGTTGCCCGCACAATGATATACACCTTCAGGCTGCTAGTCGCATGCCTGTTTTTTCCTGCGACTGACTTTCCACTTTGGAAGTAGGGGACATTGATAACTTGTAGATATTTTGTATCGTTATTTTTGCATCTCACGTCAAGAACAACGGATTTCTGCTGAGGTCTGCTCAAGGCATCAGAATGACCTTGAGACCTGACAGGTCACCGATTTAGTCAGCTTCTCCCCACCAGGAAGCTAGGTCATGTGCACCTCCTGGCAAAAGGCTTCTGGGCCACTTAATTTCATAGGCTCACTGCAGCATGTGTGAGATGGTAGTAGACAGGTGTCAGCATTACGATATTAGGTGTAATGACAGCGTCAATGACCATGACACGACCAGAGGTTGGATTATTAACACATCATTCATTACATTGGCTGCATGCAGTGCTCACACCACGCGCGACTGTCTACTTGCATGCACAAGTTCACGAGACTCATCACTGATTCCTCCAAAGCAACTCTGGGCAACTGGTTGAAAAGGCTGTCGTCAGCAACACGTAATCAACGCAATCGCAGGCAAAAGTCTGCCAGCAATGAAGTTTCTGTCGCACAAGATCAAGAATGAAGGCACATGGGGCACTCCAGAGGGGCACACAATCACAGACTCTGCAGATCTGGCAAGAAAGATCGTCAATCTTGTGAAAATGGAGGGGCCTCAGGCCTCACACAATGCAAAACATTGTCTCAGCTCCAGAGAATTCTGTAATTCTGCTAAAAAGGGGCTTTTCTGGCCCGGCTGTCCCTTTGCTGGCAGGTCCCTTTATGAGCAGTGAGAAGGGCCAGCAGGAACGCTTGCAGCAATAGCTTGGGCCATGAGGCAAACTTCATCTAGGCTGATAGATCTAACTGACCTGACTCACTCCTCTGAGCGGGTCACCTCGTTCAATGAGCCATCCTGCGCAACATGCATGACAGCTGTGAAGTCCCAGCATCACCCAAATGCCCCATCTGGCTCTGAAACATGCCCTTCAGTGATTATATACTGCACCAGTGCTAGCCCTGTGAGCGCGCACACGCTGGTAATGAATTTCTTCAGAGACTCAGAGGGTGCACGATCAAGGAGCTTCTCATTGGTGCAGTACACAAGCTGACCACTTTTTGGGCAACCTCCGCAAGTGCTTGCAGAAGCAGCACTACGGACAGGCAGGACCTCTCAGCTGACTTCTGCAGATGACCGCGGGTGCAGCGCAAATCCCAAGCATGCATGCAGGGCCCGGGGGCCGCACCTTGACGTCGTAGACGAAACCGTAGATGGGGACCTGCTTGGGGATGAGGGGCGATGCGCGCAGCTTGTGAACGTCCTCCTTCACACTCTCCGCCAGGTCAGCATCCGTGGGGCCGATGCCCAAGAAGTTGTAGTTGCTCAGATCCACTCCCTGCACCCCCATGCAGCACCTTGAGATTGCAGCCTGGAACCCATACGCTTTCACAACAGCATGATGTGTGCATGCAGCTGAGGTTCTGCTTCCAAGATCCCCCTGTATCCTGATCAGGGGTCTTCAGAAAGGTGCCCTACATGCGCAATAAGGGCTGCAGGGTTGCTGCCTGACAGTAGCACTGATCCACACTGCAGTGCATGCCCCAGGCAGGGCTGATGATGGCAAGCTAGAATGGCAACAAAGCCCATGCATGGCGAAGGTTGCAGTAGAGCAGGCAGCTTTTTACTGTGGCAGAGGGGTTTCCCAGCGCACCAGCTTGTCCTTGATCTTCTTGATGAGCCAGCTGTGGTGCTTCTTGGCCGCCTGCGCACCCTGCACACCACCGCAGTAGAAGCAGTCAGAGATCGCCTTTTTTGCTCCCGCCACTCCATCCATTGTGTTTGGTGTGAAATGCAGCACTGGCTTGCCATCGAGGATGAGTCAATGACCCCCGAAACAGCAAAGCCCTCAAAGCTCTTTTGAAACAGATCATCATTTTATTACTCTCAAGCACCATCAAAAGGTCACCCCAGCCTCATATCCAGATGCCACAGCTCCTGGGAAGCAAATCCCAACAAAAATCCAATCCAAAAATCCAAACAAAAAATCCTGATGTCAATCAACACTGACCAAGCTATGACCCGCACACATTGCCCCTCAAGGGAATCCGAGCAAGAGATGAGTTCCGGCACAGCTCTAAACGACCAGCAGGGACGCGCTGCATGGAGAGTAATCCTTCCAGGCCTGTGTCAGGGGATGAACCAGGGGCTTACGCAGTCGGTGTGGTGGACGAGCAATATGATCTTGCAATTGAGCAGCTCCTGAGCCACCACCAGCGACCTGTGCAGACAGCACACGGTGTGCTCTCAGCCAGCGCTGCAAAATGAAACAATGCACGCAAGCATGCAGCATCCACAAAGTAAGGCCACACACACAAGGTCCGGACAAAGCCTGCACGAGGAATGGACTGCGTAGAGAAGGCCAGGCTTCATTACATCGCGCACAGGGCATCAGCTGTACGATCTGGAAAAGCAGTCGTTACAGGTGAGAATGGCTCAGAGATTAGCTAAGAGCCATGCATCTCCACGTCAGCAACAGATGGTCACGATGTACCATCTTGACCACTCAAATGTGCTGGCATGCACATTGGCCATGTGCTGATGATGGAATGCAGTGAACTCATGTCACTGAAGTGACGCCGACCCACCTGATGACATCGTCAGTGACGCGGCCACCAGCATTCCGGATGTACTCAGCATCTGCACCAGGCACATCACATCTGCTCCCGGAAATTGCTCTTGAACTGGCACGAGACATCAATCAGTACATTGCACTAGGTGCCAATCCTTGTCATGGTGATCTCAAGGCTCAAGGCTAGCATCAAGCTAGACTGCTAATAGCAGAAGGTGGCAGGACAGGGCATCGCAGGTCAAGAGCCAGGTGCAGCTCTACATGGTCAGCAGCACATGCTTGACACATGTCCCCCTCACAACCTGGTTCCAGGCATACAGTCAGGGCAAGCACAGGGCGCACCGCCCAGATCCAGTCCAAAGATGCTGGCAGGCATGACGCGGCCATCCTGCATTACACACACAAGACCCTTGTAGTACTGCAGTGGGTATGCTGGGGACTAGGCTGGATACCTCCTGCAAAAGTAGTGCTAACGGACATGGGCAATAGCAGGGAGCTCCACCATGCATGTGATGATCGAGACGGCCTTCTTGACGCCCAGTGGCAACGGCTTGTTGAAGTTCTCCTTCCATTTCTTGGCGTTCTCCAGCAGCTCCGAAATGGGCACCGGAGGAGGGTCGGGATAAGGCGATGAGGAAGCCATGGTGTTTCAGGAGGTACTTAAGACAATCAGACACCTGCGATGTGCATTGCACGTCGTCACGCCCATACTTGCAACGTCCCGCAAGCGATGATAAATGAGCAGATCTGGTGATCAGGGCGACAGCCTGCTGCGAAGTTAGGGAAAGGACAGTATACAAGTAATAGAACGGCATCGAAATCCATTAGCTAGCCAGTAGTATTGTTCAGCCACTACAGGCCACTATGAAGCAGCAACGATGCACTGGCATGCATGCCTTCCCACAATAACAGACAAGCTGACACGCACCAATGCTGTGATCTCGATTGATCGCTTTCCTGTTTAGCTCTTCTCGCAGTCTCGTTGTTGCACCGCTTTGAAAGAGGATCTGCAGCATCTGGCCAGCCTATATTTAGCACAAAGGACTCCTCCGGGACACGGCACGCACTACGTATACGGAACGAGGAGTGAATCCGAAAAACTCGGGTCACAGAGCTCGGTGAGGAAAAGAAAAAGTTTTCTGGAGTAGACAGAGCTCTGTCAACCGACATTTTCGGTATTTATTTTAGCAGTGAACGTGAGTGGTCCGAAGCTGCTCTTTACACGCTCATCCTAGTTTCCACGCGATAAAACGAGTCCTACAGCCGCTCGGACAGTACTAGAGGAATTGATCTATGCAATCAACGCCTGAATATTGATCTGAAGCAGCGAACCAACGAGAACTAGCAGCCCGATTTGGTCCACGGGCAGCCCGCAGTGCCTTTGCTGGGGCGTTCCAGACCTAGCTTCATGAGTGACCGTTCCTTTCAGATCTGAGATATTTGTTTTTTGAGGACTTCAAAGCAGTTCACATCATCCAGAAGTTTCGTTTCACGAGCTGGTGAGCAAGCATGTCGAGTTATTGTTGATCAACCAACCACCGCCTACCCGACGGTTACATCGCCTTTTGCCTGTCTCATGAAAGTCAAACATCGGTGCAGATAATCTGTAAAATCAAGCGGCTTCCATTTGGCGACTCAATGGTGAACAAAAGCAAGAAGCCTCAGATTCTGCAACATCTGCAGAAGAGCCTCAACTTCACGATCTATGACACCAGGTGAGACCGTCCTGGTAGCTGACGTCGAACATAGACGTCTAACACTGCTTATTGAGCTCTTGAACCTCTCAAGCACCTCGCATGTAAGCACAAGCACCTTCCTGCATTGCGCAGGTGGGTCCCCAACAGCGCTCGGCTGGTGGCGATTGGAGCATGTCCGAGGGGAACCGGTTGCATCCAGGTGACCAAGCGGTCTTCCGTTGCTTAGATGTCATCTTATCACCGTTTATGAAGACCTATACGAGTCGATCCAATCGTGACTCACGTCTTCTGGTGCAGGTGTATGAGCTGAAGGGTCCTGATCTGAAGCTTTCAAAGGAGGTGGAAAGACCCAGCAGCTTCAGATGCGCGGCCTTCGGTGCCAGCAGCCTTGCAGACCGCCACCTGGCCACTGGCAACCACAAAGGTGCGCTGAAATGCCATTCTTGCCCATTTGCTGAGATCTTTTGGCGCCCGCTGACAAGCAGGGTACAGCTTTTGCCCCGCAACTGCATGGTGCCAAGCGGGGAGCCATAATCTATTGTGTTATGTGGCAGGTGGTTTGGAGTTGTGGGATCTGGAGCGATTGCAGGAGCCGGTCTACAGCGCGCAGGCAAACAGCGAGATGATCTACTCTGTCGACGCATGCGGCGGCCAGGTCTGCACCATCGCTATGCCCACCCTCTTATCTACTTTAGCCCCCCTGCACCGCTGCCTGCAACCATCCACCTTTAATCCATGACAGCAGACAGACAGACCCACCTGGCACCTGATCAAGGGTGTAGACCTGCTCAGCTCATGTGTGTGCAAGGAAGAGGAGACTGCATGGCTTCAGACTGTTACCAACAGCGCAGTACTGGAGTGATGGTGCAGGCGTCAGGTCAGGGCCCCCCCGAAGTGGTGACAGGCGGCAGTGACGGCGCAGTGAGAGTGTGGGACGTGCGCCAGCCGGACTCACCCGTCGCAGCGTTCCCTTCTGAGGCCACCGGCCCTGACAAGGTGCCGATTCCATGGGAGCTCCCCCTGTTGGTGACCGCGCTCTGTAACATTACAGGATCATGAGGTGACATTGCACCAAAGCATTGGATGGGGGCATTTCAGCCCCATCTGTGCAGTCCTCATGAACATGGAACATGGTGAGCTGTCACGTGGATGTGGTGAATGTGTCACCCAAATCTCCCTATCAGCACACACTGGTCTCAGGGACAGCTGCAAAGATGCAGCAGTTTAAGCTCTTGACTGCCGGCCGGCGCATGCGAATCGTCTGAGGGCTTGCTGCTGTGGTGCTGCGCAAGAGCCAGCTGCATGGCGCTGATGGGGAGTGAGGTTTGCATTGTGGGGCCTGCAGGCGCCAGAGTGCTTGAGCGTGGCATTTGGCAATGCCTTCAGCAATGATGAGCGCTGCATGCTGGCAGGCTACAGCAATGGGGACATCAGGTAGGATATTGCCTATATCGTACAATTTGTAATAGATCTAGGAAAATCAGCTTGGTGCACAATGCCCCTTGCATGCGTCCTTCTACCGCACGAAATCTGAATTGGAGTTCTGCCGAGTCTGCCGTGTCCACGGTGTATCATAAGGTTGAGCTGTCTGAAGATTCCATGCTGGATCCCTTGCAATCCAGGTTACTGCAGATGCAAGCTTACAGGAAGAAAAGTAAAGGGCAGGAGCACTGTATTGCATCAGAGATGTGCAGGCCAGAGCATAATGGGCCCTACAGGTCATTGCTGATCAATGCTGATCATGATGTGCATGCATGCAGGCTGTTTGACCTGCGCACTGGGACGGAGCGGTGGAAGGAGGCAGCGCCAAAGGGTGTTTGCAGCGTGCGCTTTGACAGGCGGGACATCCCGATGAACAAGATGCTGACAGCCGGGCTTGACGGCCACTTCAGAGTCTTCGATGCCCGCACCCAGCACCCTGATCAGGCATGCCCCAAACCTGCTTTTTCAAATGAATTACATGCTCCACGTAACAACTTATCAATAAACCCTAAAATGCCACTCGCCAGACGGGAGTGACTTCCAATGGGTGTTACCTAACAGACCTACAATTGCGAAGGTACATTCATCCTGGCATAGATTTGCCAGCATCATGTATGGCAGCTAAAAGTATGCCAGTAATTTTAGACGACTGACAGGGCAGTGCATGGAACAGCAGCCTCAGGTGCTGGGATTCACGCTCTAAATGCCCTACCATTGCCGCAGGGGTTTGCAGGGGTGAGCGGGCAAGTAAGGAAGGGAGTAACACTGTGGGCGGTGGCGCCGCTGCCGCAGAACCGGGAGATCTGGGCAACGGCCACCGGCGACGGCAGCCTGCACCTGCACCAGTACCACTACCCAGACCAGCGGTGGGGACCTTTTTCCTTTTCCATTTTTTTTTGTCAATCAGCGAGAAGATTATGTCCCGGCAGGCCCTCGCATGTCCTTGCCAAATGTAATATATCTGGAGCCAGAGGCACCAATGGCCTCTCGGTGGGAGCATCCTGTGGAGTAGCATGCAAGGCAGGCATGCAGAGACAGGCCGGTCTCTGTTGATACCGTATCAGATTTGCCTCTGTCTTTGTCTGAGGCAAGGCGATTGGACGTGAGGCTGTGAGGGGCCAGCCAGGTCATTTGACAGAAGCTGTTGGAGCCCACAACTCGGGCAGCATGATATGTGTGGTGCTTGGCAGTCCTATGTGCACAGCGCGTGTCTCCATCCTGATGGCATGGTAGTGTCAACTCTTCCACTGTGTAGATCACCGCTGCTGCTGCTGCCAGTGTCGTGGCAGGCCTGCTGGTTGAGCGGCAGCATAGCTCACTGTGCAGACCTCACAAAGTGAGGCCTGCACAACAATGGCGACCAAAGTTGCTCTTGGAACTGTGCGATGAGCCCTAGCCAAGCATGGCTGGTGCATGCAGGAGCGTGAAGGACGGCCAGGGCCGGGAGGTTGGAGTTGCGGGGACTGTGCGCGAGCTGGCGCAGGCATCGCTGTCCTCGCAGCCACTATCGTGCTTTGACTGGTGCGCCGATCGCCCTGGGCTGTTCTGCTGCGGAGCGCTGGACCAGTGCCTGCGCGTGGGCATCGTCACAGGGCTGCCTGCTTAGTCGCGTGCGCTGATCTCAGCCGACAGCCGCATGACATCGATGGCATGCATGATGACATCAGCTGGGGCACGTAGAGTAACTTTTATATCTTTGATTGTTCAACTGATGCGCTGACCATGCCGGAATCTTCTGGCAAGGGCCTTGGATGAGTGCCTGTGAAAACTTTACAGGGCTGCCGGTGCGCGACTGGTAGTCGTGCGCTGATGGCAGCCGACAGCCTCATGACATCAGCCGGGAGAGGCCTACATTGTGTGGATATTGGTTCGATGTGCTGAGGCTGCCTGCTTACCAGTGGTGCTGTGCTGAAGTCAGCCTACAACCGCATGACATCACCTGGGCATGAAACTACAGCGTACTGAGTGGCAGTGAATGCGGTAGTGGGTGGGCGTGGGTGTTGCAGCTCGTGCGGCTGTGCAGACTCATTCGACATCGGATGACAGCATGTGTGCAGAAATGATCCAGTGTGACAACATGGCCCATGACCCGGGGTTCCTCCAATAGCGTGCATGCTAAGTTGTCCTTGATCAGGACGAGGTTCAGAAAGCATCGTAGCAGAAGAAGAGTCTCAGAATGCCGCTTAAGGTCCTTGCATCACATTGACTAGACCACTTTTCAGCTGTCGGGGTCTCTGCACAGCCTGTTCAGAGTGTGCCCAGAATGTGGCAAGAGGATAATTGGAATACCCCGCGCACACGTGTTTAATTTACATGCAAGTGCACAGGGCACAAGCAATGGCATACCCAAGCACCCGCACACCTTGTCAGAGACCAGAAACGCCAGAGAACCTCACCACACAACACGGCCTTCCTGTATACTGGCAAGGTCACTTGCTTCTAATAGCAGCCCACAAACAGAATGCCAGCATGCACGTTCGCACCTGCGCAATCAGCAAGAGAGACAAGGCACAGGCATCCATGCCAATCTGCATTGCTGCAGGCGAGGATATATTAAACACTCATAAGCCCAGAAGTTCTTGAAGTGTTCTTTGCTCGAGCCCAGAAAAATCTGCTGTGACAGGACAAAAAGGATACGCAGCACAAGCTTGAAGAGATGCACTGCAGGGAGTCACCCAAATCATCCCAAGAGGGTCCCAGCAAGGCCATGCTGCATTTATGCATGGAATGTGTTGAGGTACGCTGCTGCACATGCATCTATATGCAGCTGATAGGTCGCTCCCAAACAGTCACAACAGGCTGCTGACAAACGCACAGACCTCCTGCTATACTTGATCACTGGCGCTCCGCATTACCCTTTCTCGTCCACAATGATCTTCAGAAAAAAAATAGGTTGCTCCCAGATCCTGCCAGGCCAGTGACCGGTTCCAAGGCGTTTGCCACTCGCTCTGTTCAGCAATCACACACTTCTGGACACGACAACACTGCGCTTGCAAGCTGCCCCCTCTGCACCCGGCCACAGCGTCTCATGGGGGAGGCTTTTGAGCCGCACGGGGGCAACTCTCCCCCCGCTCTCAGTTCACCGCCATCCCCTCGGTCCCCGGGACGGTGGCAGCCCCCCTGCTCTGAGCCCATCGCCATCCCCTTGGTACCCACGGTGGTGGCAGGCCTCCTGCTCTGACACCACCGATGTCCCCTCGGTCCCCCCTCGCGGTGGCGGGGGAGGGTCCCCCGGCGGTGGCGGTTGCTCAGGCCATGTAGCGGAAGGTGTTGGGGTTGTCCTTGTCGCGCTCGAGGTACTCGCGGTTGATGAGGTCCTCGATGCGCTTCTTGATGACGCGGATGTCCGGCTGGAACATGCGCTGCAGCTGCTGCACCACCTCCAGCACCAGCTGCGCACGCCACCCACACACACACCCCTCAGCAACACCACACACTGAAGTACTGCTGTGAAGCTGGTCGACTGACAGCAGCTTAGGCTGCTGCAGTGCTAGAGGGCACACACAACAGGACGCACGGCAACACCACCTAACAGCAATCGAGACACTATCATCTCGAATTTGGCGTGCTGCATCTGTGCATGGGTATAAACATAGAATCTGCAGGCTCACACAGAGACCAGACACTCCCGTAACACAGTGCAGCGAGCCTCGATAGCTTGAAATCTCTGCTTCTGGAGGGCGCCCAAGACTCGAGGACACAAATCATCCTGCAACGGAAGTAAAAGAGCTAGTGTGATCGTGTGGGAGAAGGGGCATGCGCGGGGCGTGCCTGCTGGTGCTGCAGGATTTTGCGGGACTTCATGGTGCGCACGATGGCGGCGTCGATGGAGTAGCGCCGGTCGCGGTCCACGTCCTCCACCACCTTCTTCCGCTCATCCGACGGCGGGGCTGGCAGCTGCACGCGCGTACACACTTTCTCAGAGAGCTGCACCAATTGACTTTCATGCCAAAATTCCAGATCAGCCAAACAAGAGCAAACTGATCGAGCTGTTGTGAGCTGGAGCCATGCTGGACTCCTGGGCGGTGCATACTCCAAGAGCCAGCGTACGTCGCCTCCATGAGTGAGCAAACAGGTGACCTGAAGCTCAACTGCCTTGGATAGAAAGCTTGCGAGGCATGCATACTACCCAGGGTGATGTAAGCATCTGCTGTAGAAGACTAGGAGAAAAGCAAGAACAGCAGGAGAAGACCGCGCGGACCCTGATGCGGCGCATGCGGTCGGTGAAGGCGGCGTTGAAGGTGAAGATGTCGGCCTTGTTGATGGTCTTGTTGTTGGGCTCCTTGGCCAGGATGCGGTACTTGCCGCAGGAAATGGAGTGCAGGATGCGGATTATGTCCTCGTCCGGCAGGTTCACACGCTCCTTTATCTCTTGCAGCGACAGCTTTTCGTCTGCGCACAAAGCACAGAAGTGAATTAATGCCAATTCTTCAGATTCCCCAGCATGACAAACGTTGTGCTTGCCAGCTGCAGTGGCCGTGGCACTGGGATGCAGCTATACTGCTGCGCATCACATGATCAAATGACAGAATCCTATCTGCATACCTATGAATTTGTACACAGGACGTCGTAGAAGTGTCAGCAACGGGCAAAGCCTCACACACTCCTAACGCACCCTAACTTCCTAGAATGCTGTCCTGCTTATGCAGATAAGAGAAAACATAGCAGAACCAACGTTTGAAAGGAGCGCGCACCGGCGTTGAAGAGCAGGAGGACGGTGGCCTGGGTGGTGTTGGTGGTGATGTCAATTGGCTTGGAGCGGAAGTTGGCGCGCAGGTTGGCGTAGCCGTGGTGGTAGTACCACTGCAGCCGCCGGTGCTTCACCGTCGCCTCGTAGAACTCCTGCGCAGCGCATGTGGCGCCCACATTAGTATCGGCAGTAATTGTGACGACAGATAACATCCTGTCATTTAGTAAGCAAGTTCAGCTATTGCAGAGCCTGCACCGAACTTCTACTTTAGATCTGGCAGGTGCATATGCTTGCCCTTCGCATACTACAAAGGGGCTGGCGCTTGAGATTATCTAAGTCACGAGTTGAGGGGGTGCAATCCTGAATGACAGGACCCATTGCTGGAAAACGCTATGCAAATGAGAGGGGTCACCTTGAACAGCGAGACGCCATCCACCATCTCCTGAGGCAGCGCCAAGTCCACCACCTGCCCACATCAACGACAGCTCACCAACCACCAGACACCGCTTGGGCAGAACGTTTTCCCGGGACCATTGAGAGAATACAGCTCAGATGAGCATGCCAGGGGCCATGCTGCAATCAGAGGAGGGGCCATTTCTCACGACCCAAAATCGGTTAAAGGTAAGCAGAGAGCCGAGAGGAGGTGTGGTCGCACCTTGTACTGGGGCCAGAAGCCGGTGGTGAGGACCTGCACGGACATGTCGATGGAAATCGTCTTGCCGTTCTCTTTTTGCCACGCCTCAAAGCCCTGCTGCTTCTCGCGCGCCAGCTGCAGATCCGTGACCATGCCCTCCATCTGGGAAAGTCACATTTGAGCTGTCAACACATGCGCTCATGATGCTGCCTTCCTAAGAAGCAATGTTGCCCAAGAATGGCACGATGCACACCAAACCTGCATGTGTTACAGGGCTGGTTGCCCAATGAGGCACCACAAACACTGTCATGCAGTTGCCCAGAGCGGCAATCACATGGCTTCATGGCGCGCCCCGTGTGAAGAAGAAAGGAGGTGAGGCACTCAACGACGGCCAAGTAGACTACACTGTGGACAGTTGGATGAAGGCTTCTTCAGGCACCCGGCAGTCATGAGAGGGAAGGGGCCCACCTTGGAGGTGAACTGGGCGCCGCACTGCTGCTTGAGGCGGGTGAGGACGGCGCGCTCATGGTCATCGGACGCCGAGCGCTCGGCCAGCAGGCGCCGCGACAGGCGCTTGCGGTAGAACTCTGCGAAGAGGTCCTTGTCGCTGATGTAGGCCAGCAGCTTGACCACCTTGTCCAGCATCTCCTCCACCGCGTCATCCGTCATCTTGTCGCCGCCGCCGCCCTGGATTGACGAACACAGCATCCAATGTCATGTTTGGTCAATGCGGGATAAAGACTCACAAGGCTCAGGCCGCTAAACAGATGTTCAGCGTGAGCGTTCCAAGAAAGCCAGGAAATTAAGGCATGCACCCTATGGCGGTACGAGCAGAGGGACAGCTGTTCCACCAGCACATTGCAGTCCATGTACAAGCACAAGCACAACAACGTGCAGCTGTTCAGGCTGTAGTGTGCTGCTGCAGTACTAAAGGAGTTCATGTGAGCGCACCCTGGTGAGGAGGGTGTTGCAGAAGTTGGCCATGAGCTCGGCGGAGGTGATACCGGCAACGGTCTTGTTGCAGAAGGACTCGAACGCCTCCTTCAGTGCCTTGTGGAACAGCGAGCTGTTGTTGAAACTCTCCACCACGTACTGCGGGCAGCAGAGCAATTCAGCTTTAGAGGTCAACCGGTCATCAACTGGCTAAAATGCCCTCTGGCATTGGATGCACCCAGCTAGAATACTTTCCAAGCATGCCATTAATGGATGCAGGTGCCTGCATTTTTCACTTTCGAGACATGCAGGGAGATGGGACAGACAGGACAGACAGCGAAGGGCAAGGCACCTGCAGGTACTTGTCATGCAGCTCGATGACAGTCTTCATGTACTGCTGCTCGTGGGTGCTGCCAGAGTCCTTGGACGGCTTGCCTGCACAAACACAAACCCACCAGCTAAGCAAGCAAAAGAACATCTTTTTGTGATTAGTAGCTATGATAGATCTAGCTATGATATCTCTGATGATTGTGGTCTCGCCAGCTTGCCCGACATATATACTTGGATCCCAATGAACCCTTCGGCCGATCTCTTTGACAACAATGCTATATTGGTGAGATGAGCAATGTCTCTCACCGGCGTCCTTCTCCTTCTTGCTCTGGATGGCTTCGGTGACCTCCTTGACCAGCTTCATGCCCTCCGCCTCCACATGCTTCTTGAAGATCTCCGCCACCGGCTCCAGGCCCTTGGGTATCCTCTGGAACAGCCGGTACATGCGCGCCAGGTCCTCTTTCTGCAACAAGGGGCACGCGGAGGAACCAATCAGCGCTTTCTGTAACTGCAAGTGACAGTCAAGGATGCCAAGGCCAACATCCTAATCATGTCCTGCGTATCAAGTATGGCTTCAGATGGAAGAAACCTTATGATGCCGCAATACATGTCCATGTTTCAATGCAGCCAGGCAAAGACGCCCACATCAGCACAGGGCAGACAGAAGCACGAGCCTCTCAAATGTACCAGCTCCCAACCTGCCTGATCACACCCCACGTCTAGCATGATTAGAGTGGAGGAGCTGTCAATGAAAAGCGGCGCCCACCTTGTCGTCGCGCATGAGGGAGGCAGCGCCGGAGTTGTCCTTCTCCAGCAGCTCGCTCTCGTAGTGCTCCAGAATCTCCGTCTCCACCTCCTTGAGCAGCTTGGGCTTGGTGTCCACGTGCAGGTAGTTGGCCACGCGCTCCTCCTCCGCCTTCAGGCACTCCTCCGCCTTCAGCATGTAGTCTGGGCACGAGTCCTCCTGCGCAACATAATTAACACCAGGATGCCTCAGCACACCACAGAGCAAGATCAACAGACCTGGAAGATCGAAGCTGACGTGACAGCACAATTTCAGCACACTTGAAGAGGTCAAAGCCCTTCAGAGGGCTGTTGTGTTGAGACACAACATCATGATCTTCAAATCTTCAACACGCCATCAAATTGTCAAGGATCTGAGCAGCAACCTGTACAGAAACACTGCCTCTGTATCCTAGAGTGCGTGAGACACAGCAAGCAGCCTAAAACAACATAGAGATACCACCTACATGCCAAGAGATGAGCAATCTAGGATGCTGAGGCAACAACTTCATGATGCGCAAGTATCAGAATAGCAGAGGGCACCGCACCGCGATCCAGGCGGTGGCCTTTTTCTTGTAGTGGGCGGCGGAGTCGGAGAGCAGCTGCTTTTCAAAGTCGTCCGCGTAGCAGTCCATGCCGCCCATGCCCACTTCGATGAAGATGCCCAGCACGTTCTTCAGCAGCGCTCGGTCCACCTGCTCCCCCTCACGCTCCCTCTCTATTAGCGCCAGGATCGCCCCCCGCGCCTGCACCTTCACCTCCGTGTACACGTCGTCTGCGCGCGCACAACAACTCCCCATCACATGAGTACTTAATGAGGACTTCTCATACTCCTAAGTATGTAGCAGTATCTATGCACGGGGCAAGCGATGTTGGGACACGCGTCTTGTGGCGGCAAATGGTTGTGCATGTGCCAAAGAATGGGGGCATGTGTGGAACGGAGCTCAGCCCAAAAAGATGATGCTGGGCATTGCTCAGCAGTGCTTGGCATGTGCTGGGCAGGTGCATGTCGGTGGGCAGTCATATGCTAGTACAATGGGGCTTGATGAAAGCAGAATTGTCATGAAAGCAGGTATCGAGACAAGGTTCTGCTGGTGCGCACCTCTGAAGCGGATGAGGCCCACATCATTGAGGGAGTGCAGCGAGTGCCGCGTGATGTAGTACCTGCAGCAACACACCTGTTTCAGACTTTGCTGGTCATAAGTTGTTCCTCAGCGCTGTCACACGGCATTGCAGGCATGCAAAATAGAAGAAAGCAGTTGGGGTGCGCAAAGAAGAGAGCAGATGAAATTGGCGCTTACCTGTCTAGGTAGTTGAAGAACCGCGACAACCATCGCACCATGACCTTATGATTGCCCCATCGCTTGTACAGTTCCCTCAACAAGTACTCTTCGTGGTGTTCTCTAAGAGCTGGCAACACCTACAAAAGAAGGCACACCATAGCATGAGGGCAGGGATGAGCAGCAACCCTATATTCAAGCTACAATTGCACTTCGAACGATCCAGAAGTTCAAAGCTTGAATTGGGATGGAAGCTGCTGTCACCTTCTCCCTAATGTACAGGCTGAAAGAGTCTTTATATCTGTTGTACAGCTGCTCTGAGTAGTCATAGGGCGGCTTTTGTGTGCACATGTTGTAGATCGTCCTGCACACAACATTAATGAGCAAACGAAAACGTCGCCAACCCAAGAAAATGAAAGGTTGATCAAAACTAAGGTGCGTACGTGTAGAGCATCATATAATTTTCAGCAGTGAACTGCTCCTCTTCTTCTCCCTCCAATAGCTTTCTCAGCTTCATGATCCCATTCTGCGGGGCAAAATGGGCCCGGTCAGCGCTATGTTACACCTATGCCAATCCTTCAAGACAGACAAGAAAAGCAACCTTGGGCCTACCTGCATGAAGGTCCAGCCTGCCTCAAGCTCGATCGGCTTGCGGTCCTGCATGGTGGTCTCCTCGGATGGAGGCGCGGGGGCTTTCCTCTTCTTCCCCAGTGTGGCAATCTGCCCTCCCCTCCCAAGCTTACACCTGAGGAGGGTTCAAGCGGGCAGGATCCTCCAACAAACAGGCGCCAGCTGCTGCAGCAGACACTTTGCAATGTTGCATTCGATAGCTCGCCACGCTCTCGCAATTTTTACCTAGCAAATGTTGTCAAAAACGATTGGGAAGTCACAGCAGGCCCAGGTTTGGTCGCAGACCCTCTGTAAAGGGTTGGGGCAGTATGATATAGGTACCGGTCCAAGGGTTTCACAACTGGACGCTGGCACATTGCCAAAGCCAGACCAAAACCTGGTACTTCCCGCGTTCATTTTGCTCAAGAATCTTTCATTCGAAATCGTTCAAGGCTGGCTTGCCTCGAGCAGCCTTCAGCAACTCTTGATGCCAGAATATGCTTTGTAATACAGCTGGTTCTTTGATGAACGTCCTTGGACCAAGAGAAACGCCTTCTTTTGTCTAAATCTGAGTACATGAATACATCTGATACACTCCGGTACTTTGCACAAAACTCCAAGACTTACTACTGGTTTGCAAGGCTTGCATTTTCTGAGCCGATATGGTCGACTTTATGGCTTCTTGCTCGATTCGACTGAGGTGACATGGCCTCGTTGCAGCAGTGATCAATGAGAGCCTTCTTCTGTTCGCTTCCTGGTAATTATACAGGAGCCTTTTACAGAAGGGCTGAAAAACAGTGGCGTTGAAAAGTCCACAGCTCCAGGAATTAGTTTGAGGGGTGCTGGGTTCTCGCTATTCCCGGCCGCAGCGTGCGAGCCATCATGAAAGCTTTCAATTGGCAGTCGAAGCTCCAGGAAACTGTGGGGAAGACGGTCACTGGCTTCTCGGACAGTGCAGCACGGTGAGCTCATGCCTTTATGACATGCTGCCCTTTTGCAAGGAAAGGTCCTCAATCCGTGTGCAATAGCATGCAATTAAATTGAGAAAAGGCAAAAGCATTGTCATCTGGCTCTTTCGTACTCAATGCCAAGTAATTCTTGCAGGTTCAAAGGCTGGACGGAAAGGCCTGGGACCAGCGAGGATGGCAGTCGCCAGCAGGCGCTCAGCCAGCATGGATCCAGCCCCAGAAGCACAGCCAGCTTCAGCAACAATCAGGACACTCAATACCTCCGCCTACCGGTGTGTGACAGGGCCCCTCATCACCAAGACAAGAGAAGTACCAGACTGATCGGATGCCTTACAATCTTCGCTCTCCCCCATGATGCTCTGTACTCGGCGCATCCTCTGCCAAGCCATGCAGGCGTATCCTCTTGTACTTCACTCATCCCGTATGAGCAGGTGACATGGCATGCTTTTGCGATCACTAATGACATGCCTCGTGTGTTGCAGGTGGACAGCTTAAAGAAGCTGCGGTGGTATGACCGGGACGACCTGTCAACGCTAGTGGAACTCTCAACGCGCGAGAAGCAGCAGTTGCAGGACACCATCACAGCCCTCCGACAGGCACGCCACTACCATCGCATTTCCCGCTGCGCGCAAGGCAGCGTCCCCATTGATCACTCATTGTGATCCAATCTTCCAGCAACCGATTAGTCTAGCCTGAAATGATCACATCACCTGAAGCATGTGATGTCGCATGGCGCCATGCATCGCAAAAAGGGGGGAATGAGGATACATGACAGCCCATCCGAACAAGAATATCCCTGGAACATTGCTGACATGTTCTGTGCTCCACCGCCAGGTCATCGCTGGCCTGGGAACTACAGAGGAGGAGCTGGAGGTGGATCTGCAGGAGCGGCTGGCAGATGCCGAGCACATGCATGCCTCGGACGAAGCGCTCAACGGCGCACTGCTCGTGTCTGCACGTGCCGAGATCACGCAGCTGCGCACCAGCGGCAGCAGCAGCGCTGCCCAAGCGGTCCCTGGCGAGGCAAGCCCCTGTTGCTTTGAATGAGCTAATACTGTAGTTCAATCCATGAGATTCTCTTTCAATTTGGGACTGCTAATAAGCAGGCAGACATTACCGCCACAAGCGTCATGGAGGTTTATTTCTGACCATGTGCCTTGCAAGGAGGTGCACCTATATTATTGGGACGCTGAGCAATCGAGTGCTCCGACCATTGATCTGTTTGGAGACTGACACTTGTCTCTGTTCTCTGGTGTACAGGCTGCAGCAGGAGAGATGGCTTCTCTAAGAGAGAGGCTGGAGGCGCAGGAAAGGGAAGCCGAGGGGCTCAGGGACAGCCTGCGGCAGAGGGATGCTCGGTTGAGGGAACAGTCGGAGACCATCGCCGATCTTCAAGAACGGTGTGCCCCCATGCCAGCTTCAGCCTGGGACACTCCCTTTCGCACTCCGCCATGCATCCTCACAGCAATTTTCCCCTTAAGCCATGGCTCTTACCCAGCCATTCTTTCACCAACGTGCAATATGCTGTCTATTTCATGTCCTTGTAAACTAGACAGTGTGACTGGAGAGTGGCCAAATGTTGCAGATGCGTTGCAGAAGAAAACCAAGCAATCTTTGACTGCATTTTGGCATTGGTGATGGCAAGCAGGCTCCTAAGTGTGGAGGCCGCCGAGGCACCGGGCACACCCACAGCCGAGGCCAAGCGGCCGCAGACCTCTCCGCGAGCCGAAGCAACTTCTGACGTGGCCGGCGCTGCGGCGGTACTGGCCGCTTCAGCATCCGAGGACCCGGCTCGGCCGCCCGCGGTGTCCCCGCCCCGCCAACCCCAAGCAGCCGCTGCTACCCCACCAGAACCACTGGACCTACCACAGGCAGAGGCACAGAACGGCCCTGTAGCTCCCGAGCCGCTCCAGGAGCCTGCAGCCGCCAGCAGTTCTGGAAAAGGTGCAGAGGAAGTAGAGGAGAATGGGGCGGCAACAGATACCCGGGCGCTGCCAAACGGCGTGGCCGATCACGCAGCTGCCCTGCAGCTGCAGTCTGACCTGGAGCGGCAGGCACACCTGGCGCAGGTGCGAAGCCCAGAAACATGTACCGTCATTGTGGAAACTTAACATGCTTTGATAGGCAATCGATTAGACTCGCGCCTCATCGTCGTGCCGTGCTCGGTTATCTCGACAGGGAGGCTTGAGCATTACAACAGGCTGAGGCGACAGTCCCTGAAGTCTTGCATGCGCGACTTGCGGAAATACACATACCAATCATGTTGTCCAGAAGATTTGTAGTAAGAATTTGACTATTTTGAAGACCTGCTGAGCTTTTCTTGTGGCTCCAGGTTGGGCGATTGGAGGGGCGACTGACAGAGTTGGAGGCTCAGGCGGCTGCGGCTGAGGAGCGGTGCGCTGCTCTGGAGGCAGAGCTGCAGCAGGCAAGGCAGGGAGCGGAGGAGGCCAGGACGGCTTCAGAGAAGCATGTGCAGGTGCATCTACTGTCTCCCTGTGAGCAGGGGGTGAATTCAAGGGTCCCGGGGTTTGGCATTGACGCCCATTTTGCTCACAAGCAAAAATCTTGCCAGATACCGTAATACTGAGGATTCCAAGAGGATTTTCACTATATGGGCAGATTGGCATTTAATGCCGAAGCTCCTGCCCCTATCCAGGACCTGCCGTCAGTCTCGTATCATGAACATGGCTTAGGTTTGGATTTCCATTGGTCATCATGGTGCTCGATTGTGTCACTGCTCCATGGAATTGATGGGAGCTGACCCTGTCTCATCCTCACAATATGCACAGGGAAGGATGTACTGTGATGTGACATGCAGGAGCTGCGGGCCAAGGTGACAGCCGCGCAGGCATCGCAGGCAGAGATGCTGGCGAGGGCGCAGGACATTTGCGCGGAGGCAGAGGAGCGGGGGGCCACCGCCCAGCGCCGTGCCGACCGAGCCGAGGAGCGCGCCAGCAAAGCAGAGGCCGATCTCAAGGTGCGCATGCAGCACCTCGTCAGCCCTCCATTCTCTTGCAAGGGTGCTTCTTCAGGATGAAGAATGAGGACGGCAGAATTCTGGCAGCGCCAGGAATTCCCGTGCACCTCACATGTGGACGCGATGGAAGGAAAGCTGAGACATTGGGCACCATCAGTTGGCCCGCATGCCATCTCAGCTACTTGTAAGTTTGCTCAAACAGCCTGAATTTGTAGATTGCATGTGGGGATGTGATAATCTCCCATTTTCTTCATCGCCCCTGGGAGGCAGAATTTTTGCTAGGGACGGTGTCGGGCTTACTGACACTAGAGATGATGATACTTGTATCGACTAAAGTATTTGCGCGCACAGGCGAAGGAGAGAGAAAGGGAACGCGGCGCGCCGGACGACGCCTGGCTGGCGACGGCGCGGCGTGCGGCGGACGAGCGCGAGGCCGAGCTGCGGCGTGCGATGCGCGACGGAGAAGCCAAGCTGCGTGAGCGCATCTCCCGCCTCGACGAGGACAACCAGGATCTGCGAAGGTGCGAGTGCCAGCAGTGGCTTCCCTCAGATTTCCAGATTCCTGGCATCACACTTGCCACCAGGGGCAGAGTGGACCCAGTGGCTTGGGACATAAACTGAGCAGGCCTTTATGGGAGTCATGTTCGCAGGGATCGGGCTCCAATCTTTCTGAGATCCCAAGATTGGGGCCCTGAATCTGTGAACTGCTCTCCATTGAAGACTTGCTCAACATTGCTTTACTCTTGAGAAGTGGATTGTGTGCCGTCTAATGTTACAGCAGATAGCAAATTTTGGTCATTATTATGCTCACGGCCTAGGCAAGCTCATGCCATGACGATTTTGCTGTGGATATGCTTGTCACTGCAGACTCGATACGCTGGACTACTCCAATTGCTGACGTGGCATTCTCTTTCGTCAACAGACATGTTTCCCCTGACCACTATCTGGAGCTTCAGGTCGCTGGTTCGTGCACGGGCTGACGCAGAAGCGCTGGAGGCACGTGCGCATGCGGCCGAGGCGGTGGAGGCCGGCCTGCAGTCGGAGCTTCGCGCGGCAGAGGCGGCCGGCGCCGAGGCCGACGCGGCGCTCGCTCGGTGCCAGGCACTGGAGGAGCGCCTGTCCGAGCTGCGTGCAGAGCAGGTAGGGAACAGGCCTGCTACTCCACAGAGTCAGTGGCAGATATTGTAGTAGCAAAGACACGGACAGCTGTTCCAATGGCAGAAGTCTCGAGAGTAGGACCAGAGCTGTGTTGCCAATTTGCTGATCATGCGGCACAGCTGACGATCTTCCACCTAGGAGATGATGTGTTAGAACCCACGACAACAGCACCCCTTCAACTGCTTGCCATGCCTGAGCAAACAGGGTGCCATGAATGACAGAGTCATGGCCGCATATATAGCTGATGGCTGTTTTGGGTGAGCAGGGCCAGCTGGCGACATACAAGGAGATGGCAGCGGCTGCAGAAGAAGACCGCGGCCGATTGGAGGCGGAGGTTGTTGCGACAGCGCAGCTGGCCACCGCCGTCGAGGCACGGCTGCGAAGCGCGCTGACCGCCAAGGACGCCGCTGAGTCGCGCGTAGCTGCCGCGGAGCTGCGCGCCCACCAGGCATGTGACTGCCCCCTGCCTGCCTCAGGGAATGTCATCAAGGGGATTGCCGATTGTCTGATCTGTATACGCATAGTACATCAGAAGTCTCAAGGTGGATACATAAGCACCACGTTCCTGATGGCCCTTCCTATGGTCTGCAATCTCGGCAATCAAATAGGTGACGGTGACTGCCGGAACATGTTCAGCACATGAGGCTCTCGCCCAAGCAATCCTTGCATCTCGATGTCCTCTTGGGCATGCAGCTGCATAGTGATAGTAATAGTAACAGTTGAGGATGCTGTGTGCAGGCGGAGGCGACCATAGAGGCGGAGGTGACGAAGCGGCTGGAGCTGAGCGGGGCTGATTTTGCGCGGTGGCCGCGCGCGGCCCGGGAGGAGACGGCGCGGCTGGAGAAGAAGCTGGACGCTGCGCAGCGCATGACTGCCACGCTGCACGCTGAATTGGACGCCTCTGGGCGCCAGCGCCAGTCAGAGGCCGTTGCCCGCGCGCAGCTGCAGGCATGGTCCCTGAACTTCTGTCTGATATGATCAAGCCGTCATGACATCCATGTGTCACTGTCGCCGGCAGTAGGCTGATTTGCTTGTCTTGTTGGCTACAATATAGTCTCCTCTGATTTCTTGCAGAGGGCCTTATTTTGGGAGACCCACCAAAGGGGTGGGCCTCTGTATTGTAGTAAGAAGGGTCTGACGCCATAGTAATCGAGGGTGCCATGGTGGATGCATAGCACGTGCAGTGATTACAGTGTTTGTCGCGGCATTGGCGAGGGTGCATAAAGGTAGAACATGTCAGAATTGTAAAGCGCCATACTTGCGCGCAGATGCAAAGACTCTGTGTCGGATCGATCCTTCAAAGCTGTGGTGCAAGAAATCTGAAGACATTCATAACAGTGGAGGGTCGCCGGAAATTTTACAGAAGAATCCCGCTACATCTGCGGCTGTCTTGGGTTGGCGTTTGGGAGGTGGCAGATGCGAAGTGCCACTTGTGCGCAGGTGCGGCTGTCGGCTGCGGAGGAGCGCGCGACGCGGGCGGAGTGGGAGAGGAGGGAGTCCGTAACGGGGCTGGAGCGCCAGCTGGCGGCCGCGCGGGCCGAGATGCTGGACTGGCGCCGCGAGCTGGCGGCCGCGGAGGCCGAGCGCGACCGCCTGGCGGCCGACAAGAAGCTGCTGACTCAACGCGGCTCCTCCGGCAATCTCTATGCCGGCTTCAACGGCACCCCCAAGGCCAGGGGTGCGCAAGCGAAGCAACCTGCCTCTCATGTGTCCCAGATCATGCTTGTTAAATGAGATCGTTGACCCAGAAGTAATGTCCTGTGCACAACATACTATCTAAGAGGTGCTTTATTTGCTTCGCTGTTGATAATTTGCCACACTCTTTGCATCATTTCCTTATGCATGATGCCAAAGGCATATGGCAAGCATTGGCCGAGCATCAGTATCCTAGGATAGTCATTAGTAAGCCCTGCGCGGCAAATGCTGAGATGGTTTGTGCTACTTTGAGCAGGGGGCGGCAGCCTCCGTGGCATTGCAGACACATTTTCGGAGACGCCGACCAACGGACAGCGCGATCAGCTGCCTGGCGTGGACATCCTCTACCTCAAGAACGTGCTGCTCAAGTTCCTGGACTCCGCCGCTGCAGGCCGCACAGAGCAGGTGCCTGCTCAATCGCCCGCACTCATAGCTGTCCTACCTGGCTGATAGCAAGGGTAGTCAAGCGGAGTGCCATTGTTTTTTGGTCATTGTAGGCCGGCTATTATTTGCAGAGAAGCCAAAAGAAGGGTGTGCATTACTGACAAGTGATGTCAAGCAGCCATCCGTGAAACTCGCACCCAAGCGCATCCTCTGCAAAATTTTTTGAATTTTGCATGACTCGCCAAATCCACATTTGATAGCCTTGAAATGCAAGCACACACTAAAGAGCTTGCGCGTAGCCCTGCCGATGTTCGGTCTCAAGCTGTGCCCTGCTGTGCTACGCAGTGTGATGCGCTGCTGCCTGCAATTGCCACGCTGGTTCGCGCGAGCCCTCAGGAGTACCGGGAGCTCAAAGCTGCGCTGCATGCTGCCCGCCAGAGCGCCTCCTGGTGGCCATCCTAGCGCTAGGGCCCTCAAGTGCAGAGTGGAGTTTCATTGCAGATCAGGGGACTCGTTGGTCCAGCCTGTCATTGGTTGTGTGATTATAAAATTTGTAGGGTTTCTCCTGAGACCTGCTACTGATGATGATGGGTGGGCTTTGGTGTAGCGAGTAGATCCCCCTGATCAGGCCCCTCATGAGCCTATCAATATATATATATAGGCGCTGCGGATGCAGCTGGATGTCTGTCAGCTGCAGCATGCGCATGTGATCATCTACAGCTGCCGGCGTTTGGGTAAGGCCACAATCTAGTATATACGGACTGCGTGCCACAGTGTGCATGTTACAGGTACAATATGAGATTTGATGATCACACACAACAGAAAGATTTTGCAAGCACTAGCCTAGGGCATGCATGCGTGTGCCGCACGTGCACGTCCACCGCGGCTGACTGCGCAGTCATATTATGATATTTACACGCGCAGTCCTATACTTTAGTACATGTGATGCCAGGCCGGCATCATGATGTGTTGCGCAACGGAGCGCAGGTGCTGGCGCCAAGCTCTTGAGTGTTTCTACAATGGTCAGCCTGTGCACGACCCACTACGTGGAAGCCATTGAAAGTTCAACTAAATGACTCGAGAAGACCGATCAAAGTGAGTGGGCATTGCAGTTTTCCTCCAATTTACATTCTGTGCATGAAGCCCATCCCCAACGGTCAACTCCCCTGCAGCTGCAACCCTTCCGTAACCTGGCCCTTCACCGCAGATAACGCCGCTTCGATTGCGTTGCAATCCAATCCTGTGGACATCCACAACAAAATGGTGATTGTGCGTACGTTGGAGGGCAATTGAAGCTGGTATTGTTAAGATACCCCTTCACTATCAAATTTTCTTCTTGTGCATGGCCGTTGTCGACAGTAGCCACCTATGTTGAAAGCTGACGATCCCAGCACTGATTTGCGGTTTCTATCTGTGTTTAGGTACCATACAAACTTTCAAGACGCGATCTTTCCAGGAAGGGGCCAAGCTGCAGGCTTCGGCTTTCGAGGGTTTCATCAAGGTAAGCGGGAAACAGTCTCCTGTATAGCACCTTCCGCTTTCGCCCCTTCCAGCAAATTTGCTACAATGAGTAGCTAAGAAGACGGAAGCTGCCTTTTTTATCTCTTTTCCATGGACACGTCTTGAACTTCTTGAATGCGATGGAAAAGGCTTGGCTCGCCCGCTCTTTCGCCACGCAAAGCATTATGTTCTTTGCTGAATTCGTTTAGAAACAGTGCAAGTCCACTTGGTGCCAAAGGGGTGGATAGCAAATCACCATTGCGATTGTTGCCGGCGATCATGCCTGCCTCTTTGCTGATTAGACGTCATACCTTTTCTATCTTCTTCGTTTCTATATGAGATGGTGATCATCCAGAGATGCTGGACTTTACCTTTTGCGAAGACTGTTGTCTTAATTGGCGCAGTTCCACGCAGCTAGGATTAGATAAGGGTTAGCTTGGAGTCCCACCTTAGCAAAAGACCGTGAGGCTCTTAATCTATCGTACATCCCCTCAGCTTGTTGACAAGAGCCTCCCAAAAAGGCCAGAGCGCGATCCTGTTGACACGGAACTTTCATGCAGGCCCACCGCTCCCAAGATTACGATTGAGGACGGAGTCATGGCACCAGGACCTGCCGAACAGGGCCTACCACTTGAGGGATTGGAGCCGGCAGTTGTGATCAAAACTTGCTCTGAGCCGGTACTGGCGCCAATAATGGAGGTGAGCCTTGTGCTGGCTACGCCCTACTGCAGACATTGCTGCTGTCCTGTGTGCGCGATGGAGTGTGTGTTGGAAGCAGTGTCGCCACATTAGCTGTAGCACAAAGTGTACGGGTATTGCTGTACATCTGCACCCAGGGTTTGTAGACATGAACCTGAAGAGGGGTCAATCTCCACCTGCAAGATGCATAAGAGCAGAACATGAAGGGTAGGACGTCATTAATCCGCTTGTTCCTGCAGCTAGCGCATGCCGCTGAACCAACCTTGATGTTCAAAGCAGGGCTCTGGCGCACAAGCAGCGGCGGAGGACAGTGTTCCAGTGGCAATGGACATCACTCCAGGTATCTTCTAACCACTGCCTTTGTTGCAGCACAGCAATGCCCCTCGACTAAACCGCACAGAGCGAGTACCTTATCATCACTGTGTGCACAGCTGGCAATATCTATAGCAGAGTGTCACAGGAATTGGTCTTTTGCTTGCAGGGCTACCACCACCGCAGCCAGCTGCACCGCTGCCAGCACCAATGGCCGCCAGTACTGGAGCAGGCAACATCAGCTTTTTTAGTCAGATTACCAAGGTGGTTCAGACCTTCAAAAGCAGCCCTGCACCAAGCCTGCCTCCACCTGTGGCCCGCGCTGAGGATCAGGTGCACTCCTACACCTCTGTTTGATGGGCGCTGTGCAAGCTTGTGTGTGAAATCTGCCTTACACAACAGGCCTCCAAGTCTACATGTGTTTTATGAGCAGCTGACATTACATGTCATGTGGATGCACCCTCCTCGGTTGAACCAAGGGGAGAGGAATCCTAAATTAACTCTTCTCACTTGATTGACAATGCAGACGCGACTCTTAAGTAATCAATGAATCCAGAGTCTCCTGCAATGCATTACGAGCGTGACAGGGTCCGCCAGGCAGTACACATTCTAACCACTTTGCATGGCGACTGCAGGGGCCCAGCAGCGCCAAGAGCAGCGCGGATACCCTGCGTGGGCCAAGCCCCACACAGGCATGCAGCCTCGGGACCGCAGCCAAGGCCACTGCCGCTGAGTCTCCCGCCGACAACCGTTTTTCAGATTGGTGTGGCGCTCTCAGCAGCCCTGCCAGGGCCGACGCTGCGGTGGAGACCCCAGTCCAGGTCCAGGCTCCCAGTCCAGCTGCTGCCGCTCCCGCCACCGCGGACGCCGCGGCTCAGACCGGCTGGAAGGCTCACTCGTGCCGGACAGCGTGCCAGACAGCGAGGCGGGCACCATCAGCGTGAGCATCGGCGGCAACACGGCGGCGGCCAAGCCTGGCACCTCGCACTCCAGCGCCACAGTCAACGCGCCGGGCGCAGCGGCGGCCGGGGCCGGGGGAGGTGAAGCGGATAGCGCGGAGAAGGCGCCAGGCCTGGCGGCGGCCGGGTCGCTCAAGAGGCAGCGCACAGTTGCGAAGCGGTTCGAGGCGCTGTTGAACGGGAAGGGGCACTGCATGGTCCCCGTGGGGAGTCAAGCTCCCATTGCCCCATCAGAGGTAAGACTCCTGAGAGATCTGTGGCTACCTATGTTGCACAGCCACTGTGATTGGTAGGTTGTGGTTGGGAGTTCCCCGCTATCAGCGAATTGCTCCTTGGTTACGATCCTGTGCGTCATGCTCTCACCACACTGTCATGCTGCATGTTGACGCTGTACCTTGGTGAAGGGTCATGTTGAAACCTGTGAGGGGTTTGTTGTAGGAGGGCCCTTCTCCAAAGAGGAGACGCACAGGGACGAGAGGCGGCCTAGGCGGCAAAATTCCCTGGATGCTGCACTCTTCCAAGGGAGGCCACGGTCGCGGCAAGCCCAAAGGTAGCCCAATGCCTACAGACATGCCATGCAAATATGCCTGCCTGACAGCTCCCAGATCATCTCTGAGCTGCTGCCTTCCCGCTCCAGCTGCAGCATGCATTGTAATGAGATTTAAAATGGTGGAACGTCAACAGTGCATGCTTGCTAGCCCGATCGTGCAGAGTGGTGGCCAGAGAGCGCGCCTGAAGAGGGGCAAATGCAGCTAGCTTTGCGTTACCCAGAGATTTCTACATATGCGATGCAGCAGGCTACGGACGCATATATTTCAAATCTGATTGGTTAAGGCTTGTACTGTGCAGGCAAGGCGTGTCTTGACAGCGCGCACAACTGGGCGGCCCCGGCCGAGGCTGTCGTCTTTGACGCGGCGGGGGGGGGTCGCGGGAGCCGCGTAGGAGTGCAGAGGCCTGCAGCGCACGGCCAGGGCCGAGACCCGCGCGGAGACGGCCGCCCCGGCCGCGCCGGCCGCGCCACAGCCGGTAATCAAGCAGGAAGCAGCGGCGCCCGAGCAGGCCGCGCAGGCGCCGGGAGTGGCGGCAGTACATGTGGATGAATCGATGGAGAAGGCCCTTCTGAGGCGGGGCCCTCAGGGGAGGCGGGCGGCAACCCCATGACCGTCAGGGTCGTCGACTTGGATGCTGAGCTGAACGAGGAAGAGTGAGCACACCCCTTCCTGCTCTCCTCTCTCTCCGAGCTTACCTGCCTCTGTTCACTGAGCTCCTTGCAATTTTGCACGCTCAGGCAGCATGCATGGTCTCTGATGCCTCTCACCAGGGACTGCATGGCACTCGCCAATGTGGCAGCCCATGCATGCTGCGACGTTCTGGAAGTGAGGACAGCCTGCTTCACACCTGTACGATTGTAAGAAGCATTGCAGCGGAGGTTGAATGGTGTGTGCTTTGTGGAACGCAGCGATCTGGTGGAGGAGGTGTACAAGAGGAATGTCTATGTGGAGCTGCTGGAAGCGCTGGCTGATCCGCGGCGGCCAAAGCGGCGCGATGTCATTCTGCTGCCTGTCTCTGACAAGATCTCCCCTGGTGGGTTTCGCAGTCACCCGCATGCATTCCGGCGCCTTGTCATTCATTCCATGCTTGCCAAGCTGGAAAGTGCAGCGTCGTCAGATGTGGGCTACTGGGAGTGTGGGAAGTCCCCTCATACTTCGCGTCTTCATGGAGAAGAATTTGATTGCATCCGTTCTGCATGTAACCCTTCTCTGGGGCGAGGCGATCCAGTCTGGGGCACATTGATATTGCAGAAGGCGAGGGCCACCCCTGAAAAGCTGCATCAATGCTGGGGCGTGTTGCTGCAGATAAAGCCGAGAAAGCCGCAGCAGTGGAGGCCGCCAGGGAGTATCTTGCGCTGGGACCGAGCGGCAGGCGCGCCCTCATGAAGGTGCGAGCAGCGGAGACTGCCACAAGCATGACAGCACATGAATTTTCTAGTGCTTTAATATTTTTAGTTGCTGCTTTTGGGGGGTTGGAGGGAACACCGCTTTCCTCCACACCTGACACACACATATAACAGCAATCTGTGGAGTTCGATTGCCCATCACAGCTAGATGATCAACAGTTCAATGGGCCAGGTGCTGTGAGAGCAAAAGCACATGCCAACTCATGATGCCCGTTAGCGCAGATGTCAATTGGTGCCGTTTGCGTTTGCATGCAGGAGCGGATTGAGGTCTGCTTCCTCTCAGAGGACGACGACTGGCACCCGTCGATTCAGCATGCGGTGAAGACGCTCAGACCTCTGGGCATCATCCGCCGTGAGAGGGGCCTGAAGGCTGTCAGGGTGCGTTTCGCTCACCCTGCAATGACATCCCACCTTTACAGTACTGGTCAGTCACAATCCCGCACCCCCGGCGGTGCGGGAAAATTTTCAAGGCAACATTTAGGAGTCTTCCTGGCATTTTCATTATCATGGGCTTGCTCCATTGGATCGGGCTTGTCGAGAGCTTCCCGAAGTTTGTCTCAAAATTGCCATATGGTTTATATTTTGGGTGACAGGATCTTGATTACTGATTGCAGCTCTTCGTGTGAGAGGAGAGATGCCAGTGATGGTGAACGGGTACTCTTAAGGCGCTTGCAGGTTCTATATGCCTTGAGTATATCAGGGAATATCAGCTTGTCTGCAGACGCACCTTACCTCTGGCAGGAAAGGTGTGTAATGTTAACATCAGGAAAATTGACATTGAGCAATTTATTTCATGCAGGACCTGCCGGCGAACACTCTGCTGGGGGAGTATGTGGGGGTGGTGAAGAAGGGCGAAGACGCAGAGAATGAGAGCGCGGAGGACCCCATCGGCTTTGGCGGCCTCAGGGCTGACAAGCTGAAAGACTTCTGCCACTCCGCCCCTGACCAGAACACCAGGTTAAAGGGTGCGCCCTCCCTGCAGCCATGTCCCCATTCCCACCGGTTTCCTTAATGTCCAACATCTGGGGCCGCCAAAGTTTATGTGCCGGTGCTGCTCGACATACTTTTGCTGTGAGAGGTCTCTTGCTGCTGTGATGCAGTGACTGACGAAGACGTACTGCTATGACGTACCCACAAGGCAAATGAACCCTTGCAACTATGTACCAAAGACCCTGATACAGGACATGTTTGTGACCGCAGTCATGCGTCCTTGTTGTGGACTACTCAGCTCTTGCACCATGCTGCATGTCAGCGTCTTTGGGCCGTGGCCTGCTCTGGCTGAGCAATCCGTTGCCTGAACAGGCCGGCTTGTGATCCCTGAGCCGGCCGACAAGAGTCGCCGTGACATGCTGCAGCGGTTTGCCCAAGCAGCAGGCATGCGCGAGCTGCCTAACCTGGAACCTCCCTAGCCTGATCCAGCCTGCAGGCATGCGCGAGCTGCCTGAAGTGAAATTCCCCTAGCCTGATCCGGCCTGCGCCAGGTGCCTGACTGGGTGGGTCTCTGTCACTGGTACAGGCGTCTGGAGCCAGATGCAGGGCCTGGTGGTGGACCCGGCGGCCGGGGGCAACATGCTGCGCTACGTCAACGACGCCATAGGCTTCCCCGAAGGCTACCGCAACACCGTGGCCACCGTGGAGGTGTTTGACTACGCCACGCTGCGGCCCCACATCTTCTTCTACACCACCGAGGACGTCAAGGCCGGGGAGGAGCTGCTTATGGACTACGGCGTGGTCAGTGTTGCAAGCTTTCCTCCCCTTCCCCCATCAGCCCCTGCGCCTGAGGCAGTGTTCCCATTGGTAACTGTATCATGCCAATGTGGCAATTCATAAAATATCCACGGCTAATGTAAAATATGTTGGGCGGCTGCAGGCAGCCACACTGTGGCTGGAGATTTTTAGTAGGCACTCGCCAAATAGCCACATTCTTTAGGGAAGGTAATGAGTTGATGCTAAGATTGGCGATTATTAAGCTAAAGTAGTCATAAATGTGCATTCTTGTCCCTGCGGGGCTTACGAAATAGCCACAGGGTCATAATTCAGCAAATTCTTTGTTTTGAACACTGGCCTGGGCTGGGTGTCAATACGCGCATGAAAGCTAGAAACAGAAGGCAGGAGGCCTTGTCTTCTGCTGTGGCTTGTGTGCCATGCTCAAGGTCGAGTGCGTGCAGTACCGGCGCCCTTGCCTTCATAGTTGATAGAGCCAGATGAATTTTTGAGCCTTCATAATTTTGTCGGTCTTGTATTGTGCAAGCATCAAACCTGCAGCAATGTGACCTCAGGTCATGTCCCATACATGCCAGAAAATCAATTGATTTGCCATGAATTCATGGACATCCGACCTGCTACAATAGATTGCAACTTGGGCAACAGCACACATTCGAGCTTTTCGAAATTTTGGTGGGCCATGCAGGCATGATGCGTGCCCCTTCCGTTCACTATCTTTGGCAACGTGAAGGGATGGATTGTACAGCGGTAGAAAGATTGACACAGAGGAGGCTGACGTTTTGTGTGTCTGCAGGAATTCCACCGCTTCATCAAGAGCGAAGCGAGGAGGGCCCAGTCGCTTGTGGTGCGGTCTTCACCTCCTTCTTAAGAAATCACAGCACTAAATGGTGATTCCTGAAATAGGAGCTCTTGTCCTAGAAAAGTGACTTGTGTGGTCCTGGTGCTGAGATCTGCAACGTTTACCTTGTGTTAAAGAGCATCTATGTTAAAAACAAAATTCCACTGAGCAGGACCCTGCCATGCTGCACGCCACATGGAAACACACACACAACACCGGCAGTTTGGCCATCCTGCCCGGCAGTAGCTGCTGCCAAGGTCAGATGACTCTCCAGGCGTGCGCAGCATCTGCCATGACAGTGAACGAGCCCGGCACGACTGTCTTGCCTGGTCGGGTGCAGGATGCCAGGGAGGGGGCCGCAGCCGCGGTGGAGGCTGTCAGGGACCTGAAGACCAAAAACGGCAAGCTGACCAGGCAGCTGAGGGTTGCCAAGAACGAGTCCTCGGAGCTGAGCACACTGCTGGCGGAGGCCAGGGATGACGTGGAGAAAGAGCAGCGGCTGGTCAGGGCGGCCAATGCGCTCGTGGCAGGGCTGGAGGAGGACAAGAAGGACCTGAGCACGAAGGTGAAATTGCTCAAGGGCATCATCAAGGACCACGGCATCAATCTCGAGAGAACCTCTGCCGCTGGTTCAGCGTGCTCGTCAGGTGCGTTCCTGCCAATCACATACATGCTCCCAGCCTTGAACTTGCTGCATGGTGTGCGGCCATGAAAGCACTTGTATCCCATAGATCCCTGAGTGTTGGGGGTTGTGGCAGATTGCCTTGTTTGCTTAACTGTGCTCGGCAGCACAAGTTGCAAGACGCCCGCTTTCCCCAGTCAAATGATCATTCTCCATATCATGATGTTGACAGAGGTGTGCTGTTGGACAGGTGCAGAGCGTCTTCTCCATCAGGACGCCATGATTACAAGCAGAGCTGACAGAACAAGCTGATGAGCTCAGCTTTGACGACAGCGACGCACTCATGCTTGTGCTGAGCGCGCACGATGACCTTGCCAGCTGGATGCTGACATGGCCGCCAGGGCGGCGCATGATGTCAGCACCACCACAGGCAGCAAGCAAATCTCTTCCCAAATCCTCTCTTGAGCTCCATGGTCCTGTACATTCTTTTGTGGGTTTTGTGTCTCTGTCAACACCGATTGACGGTGGGTCTAACCTGTATGGACACTTGCCAAGTGGTACCAGTTGTATTGTTGAGAAAGTGAATGCTGACGTCATTGTTGGTTGGGCACAATGACTTAATTGGAAGTCCTTTGCAGCTGTTGTAGAAATGCCTTTAGATTGATGGCCGTTCCAGCTGAATTTGTCAAAGTAGTTGCATTAATGGGTCCCTTCGGTTGACTGGCGGCGATAGGTGGTCAGACATGCTGCTGCAAGCCTGCTGCTGCACCTCTCTGGTGTGCATGTCGTGTTGGTCCGGTTTTTGGAGAACTGCAGTCTTCTCTTTCATTTGACAACTGAAAATTGAAATTAGTGTGTGGAGCTTTCACATCTTGTAATTACAAGATCCAAACTTGCACTGCACTTGGGCAAGACTGCTCCAAAATTGCAGTTGCCTAGTGTATTGATGCAGTCCTTTGTGTACCTGGCTTAAATTGTAAGGGGCCGCCTTGGACAATATGTGGGATGTTGCTCCATAGCTGGGAAGGAACGCCATGTATCGAGTCGAAAATGAATATGTAACTGGTTTGAAACATTCACGATGAATCGTCCCTGTGATCAGCTGCGCGCTTGCGTGAGACCTGATGATTCTACAAGTGCATGGAGTTAACAACGTTGCACGCAGCTGTGCTTTTGTTGGAATGACAATCAATGTCTCTTACCGTCACATTGATTGCCACCTTATATCCTCAACCGGCAGATAGATATACGCCACATCGTCCATCCATGGCCATTCTGCCACCCTCCTACCTCAGCTTCTTCAGCCTGACATGCCCTTCACACCAGACACACCCTGCACTTGGGAGCCTCTACCAATAAAGCTAGTAGAAGTGGTCAGCGCTGGTGCAGGCACAATCAGTGCTTCGGCTGTTGCTTCACCAAGTTTGCAATGTCCAACGGGTCAGGCAATCTCTGAATAAGTCTACACACGTGCAACAATGGGCTGCACTGGTCAAACACCACGTCGGCCTATTTGCCGCCACCATTAGCAACCGCAACACACAACACTGCAAGCTAGTGAATAGAGGCGATCTGTGTGCTTCTCTTCCCTAGAACCTGCATGGACGAGGCCCTGTGCAATAAGCCCTCGCGCCTCAGACTGCGCCTAAGGCAGGATGATTGTCCTTTGTCCATCTCCATCTGTCCCAACACCCAGGCCGTTATATATTCTTCTCAGCTGCATTCATTATGTCTGCCACCTAATCCACCAAATCAAATCTCACACCGGTGCACAGCCGTCCTTCCACGCCTCTGGCAGAGGCCAGTCCTGCAAACTCCAGGCAGGCGTCCCTGAAATGTCTGCTTGAACTGCCCGCAGATCGCTAGCTTCCCATTTGCCACCTTCCCCCAAGCATTTCCACACCTGCATGCCCTCTTCACCACATTTTGCCTTAGGCCTCACATTCCAACAGAGAGGCATTCATCCCCATTTCACTACACCAGAACCCATCTCAATCCTCCCCCTTCCATTCCCTTTCCAATCCATCAACCTGAGGCTCCACTCCAATTTCCGGCGCCCTAATCAGAATCCATGCTCCCGCAGTTGAGCTACTTGGTGGCGGCTGTGAGGGCGGCCACGGGGCCGGAGGATGCTTTGGCGGTGGACTTCTTCTGGTCGCCGGCGGATGACTGGACGCCAAAGACCTTGGCGAGGACGACGAATGAGATGCCGCCCAGGATGTTGTTGGCCGTGCGCAGCAGCGACGTCAGCACCTTGAAGCCGCCCGGGCCCAGCCGCGGCTGAACCACCTGCAGCCCACCGCATGCCCAATGTCAGAGCACCAGACGACATCACCAATGCAAGGGCTTGGTGCAGCCAGGGACGCTCTCTGATTGTCAGAGTATTCGCCGGTGGAGCCGCCAGCGCTCATGCATGTGCATGACCGCAATTGAGAGATCCGTTCAATGTTCATCAATCCCATATACATCACTGTAGCAGCGATGAGGAAGCGAAATTGCCCTCAACATTCTGTTTTTGCCTCGACGCTTAAGAGCCATTCTGCCCGCTGCCTGTTGAGAGTCTTCTGAGATCCCTGACATGCGGCGGCGCCCTGAGATCCTTCTGTGCCCAGCCTGGTGCTGAGACAGCCCAGTGCAGGGGTGGCAGCGCATTGTGCAGAGGACCCAGCAATGCTATGACCTTGAGGAGGGCTATAATCTACAGAGATCAGGTCCGTCCACACTCCCCAGCCAATGAACGTCTGCAGTGCATGATCTGCTCCGAGTCTAACAGAACAAGCAATGCGCCCGCCCCATCATCCCTCTGTTCAGGGAAATCATCATCGTTATTTATGATATTTACTATTATCAATAATAATATTACTTCTGCACGCTTTTCCTGCCAAAAGACAAGGTATGTCCTGCAGACAAGCTGCAGTGAAAGGCTGCCACAAACCTACCCCTTGTTGGCTCGCCAGGTACAAGCAAGACCCCAATGGTGGGCACGGTGCTCAGTATTTATACAGGCCCACGCCAGCTGGGCTCAGGACAAGAGAAGGGCAAGAGGGAGATCGAGTGGGCGTACCATGTCGATGCCGTTGAGGATCTGGTAGCGGATGTTGGAGGAGATGCCCATGTGGGTCGCCCAGGTGCCGGCGTTAAGCAGCACGTCGGGCGCCTCGTTCTGCGACTCAAAGTTCTTGTCCAGCGCCTGGCGCACCGCCAGCAGCCCGTTGCTCGTCGCCGTGCCCACGATGCCCGCCGCAAAACCCACCACCGCAAACACCAGCCCCTGCCCCCCAGGCACATGCTGGGTGAACATTTGGCACACATTTATAACAAGTCCGGGGCTGCATGTGTAGGGCTTAGGGCCATGTAGAGGAGGAATCATCAACCACGGACATGGCAAACATCAAATGTCGGCCGGGGCGCTGGCAGCTGAGCTCAGATGTCAAGTCATGTTTTTGCAATAAGCACTTTGGCGTTTGCCCGCCATGGCAGAGATGAGTGTGATCAATAAGTACAGATGGTCACCTTGTAGCCGAGGTTCAGGAGGCGCTTGGTGAGAGGGAATGCCCCCGGCTGGAACATGTGGCCCCCTGCACCGTTCCCCCCCCTCAGAGCGTCAGACAACAAGATTTCAAATACAGAAACCCACAGTGAAGAGCAAACAGTGCACCTCGTGCCAGGAGTTCTCCAGCTGCAAGTGTAGACCATTGCATCGCAGCATCATGACAAATGCAGCCGTAAAGCACAAGCATGATGATGTGACGATATCAGGCCCGCCAGGATCATGCGGCCATGTGACATGTGGGTGTCCAGGATGCACACCTGGGGCGCCCAGAGCCTGCAGCGTCTGCTCGCTGAACAGCTTCTGCAGCAGATTGGCGCCGACTGCCGAGGCTCCGACTGTGGGCGCCAGGAAGTACATCAGCGAGAAGTTGACGATGCTCCCCACCTGCGCAGCAGCAAGTACCGGTATTTCAAGATTGTGACAGGGCACTAATGGCAAGTTTGTGAAGCTCTTTGGTCAACAAGGATTGCAGCACAGTTCTGCCCTCTGAAATTGCTTGGATCACTTCCAGAAAGCTTCCAGAAAATACTGTGCAGACATTGGAGGCACAAGTCTACATTTGACAGTTCCAGAATAAGCACTCACAGTATGCCTGTGTCATTGACATAGAGTCATCTGGTAGGCCATTGATACACATTAGCTACACATTCTGCAGACCTCACTGATACTCCCTGCCTGAAGGTGGATGAGGGGCTTACCACAAGGGTGGAGAATACAAAGTCGAGCTCATACAGACCCCAGTAGGGCCGAGATGACATGTCCCCAACCACTGCTGCGCCCACGCCAATGACCTGCAACACACCATGAAACCTTTGATAGGTCTAATTCAAAAGATGCCATCACACAATCAAAGGCTCCTGCAATTACCTGCTCAGGCATCATTGTGACTCACTGATCATGGTGAGGACTGCCATGCCATGCAAGAATTGCCCTGACGTACTTGGTGGCTTACAGCAGAAGCAGGTGAGAGTGTGAGCGCTGTGGCTGAGTGCCCACCTGCTCTATGAAGACCTTGTAGGGGAAGGAGGGGTCGGCTGCAACGCGTTCCCTCCATCCCTTCCACCTCAGCAGGATGCCCTCCTTCTCAGATTCATCGCTGCCATCACCGGCCTCCTCATCTGCATGTTACAGGTCGCCATTAGCAGAGCTCCTCCACATGTCCCTTGGCACTGCTCTGAGGCTCCCAAATGCTGATCCATACAGCATCCACTGTCCTTTACGTGGACCATGTTGCCACCATATAGCCAATCACAGATGTTGCTTTTGGGCTTCCATGCATACAGCTGCTGAGCAATGGTCAGTCCTCAGAGAAAGAGTGTGTCTCAATAGAGCAAATGTGCATCAGTAGCACGGCCAATGAAAAGGAAAGTGGCACTCACCGCCGTCTCCTCCAAAACCTTTTGCTCCACCTCCGCCGGTGGTTCCTCCACCGCCGCCTGTTGTGCTCACTTGCATGTGGACATTTGGCTTGCGCCGTTGCCTGTGGTCGTGTCCATACAACTTTTGGTCAGAAGGTAATGACTGTTTGTGTATCTAGGTGAGAAATCAGTGCTACAGAGACAGTCAAGATGGTCTTCGTGACTTGCTTTCGAATCAAAGTCTTACGGAATATACCTTCACACTGTGTGATGTGCATAACGTACCTATTTCTCGGCAGATGCAATTAATCGAAGGCAGGTGTGACACATTTGATCCGGGAGGTGGAGACTGAGCTTCACCTTAGATCGTGGAAATTCCTATTGAAGAAGGGTCTGCTGGCGGTGATGTGTGATTTTGGACTGTTGAAAAGGGCTGCCCTGGGACCCTGAGGCAACGCGACCCCCCTGTAAATGGAACTGAAAGCCATCATCTGCGCATGTGCTTCTCCCCGAGCAGCCCCCCTTTAAGATCCTGGCGCAAGGGAACGGCTCCTCGCGTTGTAGAACTATAGGGGACCCTTGATCTTCTCTATACAAGCTGCATTGCAACGCAGATCTGATGTCCCACCCTTCTAGCAGGGGTATTGATATATGGAAAGGGTCGCTAATACCCTGCTCAGTGCTTTGAAAACGTTTGACGTTGTCGTTGACAATAACGTCAAGTATAATGATAATTGTCGTCTCTTTCTCTCGCGATAGGGTGTCCTCTATCAACAGATGACGAAGACTGGCGCGATCAGGAGCATTCTGCATACATCAGTGTAGCTTCCCTGACGTAAGAAGCTGTCATTTTGAGTGTTTCTGATTAGTTGTACTAAGCAATGATGAACATCAGGGGGTAAGTTCACGTAGATGCTACTGTGTCCTTGATGTTCAGCCTATCAACTGAAAGACCTGGGCCCTCTTTTCTCACAGATCAACTTGGTCTTTCTGTAGTACCTGCAAGAAAGGTCCACCTTCCGCGAGTAATAATACGATCCAGCAATGATCATGAAAAAAGGCGCTAAGTCAGAGCTATTGGCAATATCTTGGACAGTTGTAGCCAGCGAGTATGACAGAAGACTGGCTCCCCTATTCCATCCTTGGATCGACCAGCTGCTGAATCTTTTCATTGCCCAAAGCATGCCCACAGGGTCCATCTTGGCTCCTGCATGTGGCCCAGGTCATGTCCTCCCAGATCTCCACTTGGGCATTTTTCTTTCATGCTACTGTTTTCACACATGACGAGGTTGATCGTGTTGCCAGGTGCCGAGCTGCTGATGCTCGCACAGGAGCTACCTCCTGACAGACTCATTGTTGGTATCGATCTGGCTGAAGGCATGGCTGGCCTTGCTGCACAGCGCCTGTCAGCATCTGGCCTCAGGTGATGTCTGCACACGTCTGACTTTAAGCCCACAATGAACATTTGAGATCTGTGATCTCGACTCTGCAACTCATCGACAGGCTCCAAGAAGAACGGTTTTCAATTGTGCACTGTGCAGTGAGAGGGTGAGCGTGCGAGTGGGCGATGCATGCCATGTGCCACAGGATCTGCAGCCGTTGGCCGGCATCTTCTCCTGTTTTGGCCTGCAGCAGATGCCTGAACCGCAGCAGGTGCCTCCCTCTCCCTGTCGTTGAATCTGCCAGTGACCATCTGGTGTAACTGCAGCTGAAGAGGGGACCTCCCTGTCTGCATCTCATCAAGCGGTGATCATGTCTGCCAGAGCTCCAATACAGATCTTGGACACAGGGCTGAGAAGGGGAAATTACCTTTCCATCCCATTCAGGCTGCTGTCATGCATAGCCTGACTTTCTTTTGGGTGTGTGCTGGCATGCAGGTGCTTGGCAACTGGATATCAGCTCTGGCGCCCGGGGGCATTTTGGCGCTGTGTTACTGGCCGCCACCTGATGGCCAAAGAGATGCAGCTTGGAGAGCGCTCACTGATCCCTCCCTGTTCAAGCCCTCCGCCAGCATACAAAGGTGATTCAGCACACTGTCGTTGGGGCTCTTCATTATCGACATGATCCTTAGGTTCATTTGTAAGCTTATAGTTCTGCAGAATTCCACAGGCTGGGCTGTGTGATCAAGTTGTGTGCTGCAGCACTGAAGGTTGCAGGGGACTCTAGACTGATTACACCCTGAAGGTTGGCGGTAAAGGGAGATACTGAGGTGTAGTAATGTCGCCAGGGGATGGGACGCTGACCTGGCGGCGGCAGCCATGGCAGCTGGCGCTGATGTGCTGGGGGACATCTCACCAGCCCATCCCATGCAATTTGACAGCCCCTCCCATTGCTTTGATGTGCGCACCAGGGACCCCTCTCAAATGGCTGCTTGACCGACTGCAGAGCCTTCTGTACCCCAGAACCTCCTTCAGCGTCCATTTTGAAGCTTTGAGCAACCTCAGTGCATATGAAGCTGTTTGGTGTCAGGCAGCTTGGCATTTCTCCGCGTACAGAGTGCCCTTGGCGAATGGCAGAGCCTTATAAAGTACTATTCTGTGTCCAGGTAATGATGGAAGCAGGACCGTTGCACAGTCGGCTATTGCACCTGGGGAAATCTCACATGGCGGATCTGAGGACGCGCTATGTTGGCAATTTTCCAAAGTATATGCCGGGGAGCCCCTTTGTGATCAGGCCCAACGCCCGCATGCTGCTGCTGAGAAAGTGTGCAAGCATACGAGCGGCCCTATGAATGAAGGGGAGGATCCTGCTCTTGGTACCTCTCCGTCACCGTGAGGTGAACCATGATTCTCCGGGTGAGAGTTTCTACTTCGAATTCGACTGGTGTCCTGCATCTTTGACCATGGCGGCCATATCCTGCTTGATATCCTAAGTGACCTCACCAATCTCTGGGAACTGGGAAAATAGCCCTTGCAGTAGTCTTGATGTGGCGTTACCAAATTGCATGAGGTTCCAGCAAGTGAGCTTGACGTGCCATTGCTGATCACTCTGACACTGTGGCGTGCTTGCAGAGATATAGGATTAATCTTGCGGACCCCAATGAGGAAGAACTATGCAGCCATCGTCAATGTGTGTATAGTGCCCCAGTGGTCAAGGCGCCAGACGCTTGTAAGAGTATTACAGAGGACAGGCCCTGTCCTGAGGTACATGCTTGTATAGCACAGTATACGGTTATTAGGTAACAACAGTCAATGTCAGCATACAATATTTTCTAATCTATGAATTATATCTGATCAGATATATAACACAAGAATTGGAAACTCGAGCTTGTATTGACAGACATTTGGCAATTTCAATGCATCTGCTGTTTATGCTCCTAGCAGTCACCGTTCTGCACAGCCATACACAGTATATGTTTTCTCCACCACAAGCTTCCCCAATATGGTAAGTATTGAACATCAAAATACAAAAATTTTACGTTATTCAGTTGAACAGCAGCTACCGCCATGAACCAAATATTCACATGGGTCATCTTGAAATAGCAGAACCAACGAAATTGCAAAGCAAAACCTCCTGCCTCCCAACTGCTCAATACATGACAAAGCATGGATCTGAGAAGGCTGGAATAATCCTTTCAGGCATCCTGTATATATTAAAAAATGCCTTCCAAAACGGGATACTAGCAGAAACAAAAATAATGAACAAGGTGATAACATGCATACATGAACAGCTCGACTCCCAATTTTGAACGGCCATATGGCCTCAGCTTCCACTCGGCAACGACTTTGCCACCCCGCAAAAAAACGTTTGGGGTACTAGGCATGGAGCCATGGAGCCATGAAAACTCAGGGCGCTGGGATCCGCCTCAGCAGCCTTTGGTGTACTCGTATTTGTCGTTGAGCAGTTTTGTGATCTCCTCGCACAGCAGACACCACTGCTTGCCGTACAACGCCTCTGCATTCTTGTCCTGCAACTGCCAGAGAGCAGATCAGCAATGCCGTCAGGCCGCCTGCAGCTGCAAGCGGGCGAGGCTCCGATTGCTGGGGTCAGAATACTCAGAATCACCAGCGTTGATCAATTCCTCGCGTTGATGTATCTTATGAGCATTGGGGGTTGGTCATGTGCAGGACGAATCGGGAAGTGGCTCATGGAACGCCTCCAGATGATTGCGTTTTCCTCCTGCTCTCCGCCAGAAACGCGCCTCGAATGCAAATTTTCAACAGAGCGTGCATCTGTCTCAAATCTTTTCTCAACTTACCTAGTTTTCCTGTTGTTCTTGACATCGGCCCAGGACGGGATCTTGACCTTGGTTTTGATCTGTATTTTATTTCGTGCACTAGCTATGACTGTCCGCTCGGGTTTCTGATAGGATCAACAGCTCTTGCTTGAAAAGGAGAGCTGTTTGCGGAAGGTCGTTTCATATCCTGGACAAAATGGACCACATGGGGCACGATCATTCTGCCCACGCTGGGATGGAGTCAATGGATGGTCCTATTCCACACCCGTCCCACGGGGGATGGTTGGGGCACATGCTCCCAGGCTGGTTCTTTTTTGGATGGGCCACCTGGTGGCTCATAGGCGTGTTCAGATTATACATGAACTCCAGCGTGAAGGCTCCATACAGTGCAAGGACTTGGTATGACTTTCCCACCTGCAGCAGAGTGCCCGTTGAGCCTCTGCTCAAGGTGCTGCTCACGTTCATTGGCATCAATGGGGAGCTCTGGTTTGGCCATGAGTCCTGGAGGTGCGCGCTACACCTGGTTGATCACCTTCAACAAGCTGTCCTGCCAGTGACAGACTTATCAAGCCACTTGCAGTGTCCGGTAACTCCTGCATGCTTTTCATTGCAGTCACATGATGTGCAGCTGTAAGCAGCATCGAAAGCAGAGCTTGCGCTGCACCTGAGGAGAGGAATAGTTGACCTCCAACACATTTGACATAAAGGAAGGGAAGTGCACTTGTTCGGTTTACCCAAGGCTGCTGTGCTGCAGGACACTCTATGGTGGTGACGGCCGCTTCATAGTGGACAACATCAACGAGTGGCAGCACTCGGCCATGTACGCAGCTTTCATGCTGTCTGGGATTGTGGATTTGGTGGCTTTCTACACCCCACAAGGGACTCTGCCCGCTGGCACAGAGCAGGTGAACACCTTTCTTTTGTGCCCCTGCACCTCAACAAATCAAAGTGTCCTGTGTAAGGAATGTCTGCACATCTTGGGCAAAGTGCAGGGCTGACTGGATCAAGGGAATGCGGTGACAATGCAGTGAGAGGGAGAGAGAGAAACATTACATCGTGCCAGCCAACAAGGCTGATGTGATGTCCACTGTATCTAAACCATCATAAACTTGGTCTGATGAGAGTCTGATGAACTGAGCCACCTGCACTAGATCGTCTTGCCACATGCCGCATGGTGGTGATATAGGGCCTACACAGGCTGTCATACCTTGCAGTCAGATCATGAGCAGGACACTAAAAAACAGTGAAGTGCTTCATATGACTATCTGGCCACCTGAAGCCTGCAGCATAGCCGAGCACCATCAAGTCTGGATAGAGACCCCTCATTGTATATTCAATCAGGGTTCTGATGATTTCACGCCACCTGTGTTACATGCAGGGTTTTCTGGGGGCAGCGTTTGTGGTGGAGGGGTTGCTGTTCGCGTTCCATCTGGAGGGCAGCGAGTTGAACTGGAAGGCGCACCTGCTATTAGTCATGTCCATCTTCGCGGCAGCTGCCGTGATCCTGGCAGAGCTGCCCTTCCCCCAGAGTGCGCTGCTGGGCGTCCTGCGTGCTCAGCTGGTCATGCTGCAGGGCATCTGGTTCATGCAGATCGCCAAGCTGCTGTTTGAGGGTGCGTTCCTCTCTACCATCAAGTGCATGTGCTGCACCACAGGGCAGTCATGCAGCGACAGCATAACTTGCAATTTCTCAGAGTCTGTAGCTGTTCTCAGAGTGCGTGGGTGCCAAGCTGCTGGCTGATGTTGAGACCAGAGGGCCCCATAGCCCCTCTCAGGCAGTTGTCATTTGGGGTAGGTGCACCCTTTTAAAGGGAACATGCAGAGCATTGGGCTTAACGTGCTAGGCTTCCAGTCATTGCAATGCTGCCAGCTGATGCTGCATGGCTCCTTCCAAGTGCACCAGCATCTTTTCTGGCGCTGACAGCAACATGTGGTTTTGTTGCCATGCAGACAGCCCGACCTGGGATCCGCGCTACCATGGCAGCATAATGATGGTGCCGGTGCTGTACTGCGCCTGCATCCTCTGCATCATCGGCGTCACCTTTGGGGTGTTTGTGTTGCTGCGCCTGTGGCAGTACCGCGTCGCAAAGCGCCCCTTCCGCGCGCAGGGGCGCGAACCGCACGACGAAGAGGAGGTGAATATCTAGCTCTCCCCATGGTACCTGAGGACAGGATGGCTGACAATATGCCGGGGCAACGGCGGCCACTTCTGGGGCTTGTTCCTGGCCTTTATCGTGGTCATCAAGGACTAGATGGCAGGCACAAAGCTGGCAACCGCGGCCAATATTGGGGCATTGTCCAGGATGTGGATGTGCTGTTTGTGACGAGCTTGATCGAGTGCTGGGCTGGTGGGAAGGGAAAGGACCATTATGGGGGTGGCAGAAGAGGTGTATGGAATGCACCTGGTGGCAGGGGAGAGGATATGGGGTGACATAGCTCGGTGGGCGCAGGGGACCTGGGTGCTGGAGCAGAAGGTGAAGGAAGCTGAGCTGGCGAACCGTGGCAGCCCCAGCACAATCCACGCTGTGCATACTAGGGACTGAAGCTGGACAGCTCCTTCTATAGAGCATAGCAGCATTGGTTATGAGGTTTGCAAGTTTTCATGTCAAGCTCAAGAGCCAAGAATGTTTAGTTGCACACCTTGTCACAGCAGTAGCCAGTGCATCTGCTGGTTCCAGAGTGAACTATCCCTTGAAGGGTCATAAGGATACCCATAACACTTGCGATATGAATCTCTGGGCAGCCTGCACCTCCATCAAGAAAGTGGCTTAGTAGTAGGCTTCATGCAGCTTTGATGATGCTCATGGATCTTGGAGAACTAGCATTGTTCAGCAGCAAGTATCTGACATGTCCGTTGCACGTGCTGTTGCACTTGATGCGATTTGTCACGGATTGGCAAGCATTCAAAGGTGGGTCCAAGTTGGTACCAGTTCAACCGGTCGGTCTGCAAAAAGAAAGTCTGCACACGGGTTCGTAGACATGTCCATATGCATATCAAATCATCTGCAAAATCCGCTTTTCATGATCATCTCTACTAGAAGTAGTATGGCGTCCATGAATTTTCAAACCTTGCAGTGCCATACCACTGATCTGCCCGCAATAGGGCGCTAATACGAGAGAAAGATCTCCCTGTATGCGGGCATCGGGCAAAATCATGTGGATATATACGTGCTCGCACAAGGAAGGTGATGCCCAGATCTAGATCTGTCGCCGACGGCGTTGTTGATGTCCTGGTGTGAACTCCTCAAAGGTTGACCTGGGCAAACAATTCAGTGGCTTTTGGATACAAAGAGCGAAGATCTGGTATAGTAGTCATATTAAAAGGCTCCAATCACCGAACTTGCAGCAGTCTACCAATGTCTGAGTGTGTTGACTAAATGTATATGGCAGGATGGTGAAGGGCTTATGATGGCATTAGGCAGGGCCGCACGAAGCGTGCCCTGCATCCTTGCTGCTTTGACGCAGTTTATCCTTGCTGAATCTTCGCCTTCAACCTGGCCCGTCGTGCACCTGCACACAGCTTCAATAGACACCAGAACACACCTGCAATGGTGGGTGCCTATGGCGAAATTACATGGCAATGCATTTGGCCGAAAGCTTCCAAGGGAGATGTCAGCTTGATTTCAGCATGTACAGCGTACAATAACAGTCACTAAGCAGCATTTAGCCAAGGTCTTCCCAGCTTCATTCATGCGGAAGGTATCTGCAGTTACAGTGCATATGGCGATGGAGGTGCCCAGAAGAAATATTGGATGTCGATATTCTTTCTATATGTAATGTTGCGCAATTCGTACCCTCACATTTGGTGAATAAGAACCCTTGTGAGGGCTTGACCAGTGCTGTCAGTGACAAGCATGAGGGCTGTACAAGGTGAGGAAGGGCATGCTGTGTTTGGGCAGCAAATTCGTGAAACTGTCCTACAAAGAATACTGGAGTACTATTGCGCTCCTTCAATATTTCGGGATGTAGCCCCACGCACCTTTCCTATCATTGAGCCTACCAGGCTCCCACCCTCTGCAAAGGAGGATTGCTCGCTTTGATGATCAAATGCTGATCTGCGATGGCTGACAAAATCTTATTACTTCTTTTCAGGCACGAAGTACAGCGCAGAGGACTGCAAGAAAGCAGGGGCCTGGTCACCCTTGATGACAGGTGGGGCGTGCTGCGCAATGCGGACCAGTTTCTCATTTCCATGCAGGGGCCCCTGAAGGAGGAGACTCTGCAGAGGGTCAAGGGGGTCTTGAACGACCATGGGGGCTGGCTCAGCAGCTATATTCCGGACAGCTCAGTTCTGGGCATTGGACCCAGCACCTCTGCTGAAGCTCTGCGCAATGTCCCGGGTGTGCTCTGGGTGGTGAGTCCCTTTCCAAGCCTTGCACCTGGCAGTGGGTATCGCATTTGCTTGTTGACTACCAAATATCCGGTGATGGAAATAGTCATTGATAAAGGCATCTTTCTAGTCTGAGAGGTGGGTTACAGCACTTCCTGTGCAACTAGCGGCAGTGCTTCGTCAGCAGCTGCAGCTGTGTCAACTAATAGAAGCTTAGCTTGCATAGAAGTGGAGTCTTTGGGCAATGCAGTCCGATTGGATGTCAACGGGCAAATGTTCTCTGTGGGCTGCAGGGTGAATACAAGCCCGAGTACAAGCTTGCGGAGGACTGGGGACCGCTGCTGGAGGCGGCAGCTGCCGGGAAGCTGCACGCGACGCTGCAGCAGCACCACGAGCAGCTGCGCACGGCGAACGGCAGCTTCCGGGGGACCACTGCGCCAGATCTGGCGCCGGGGGGCGGCTACAATGTGGTGATTCATGTGCACTTCCCGACCGTGCGCAACGCCACGGCCGCGCGGCTGTCCGGGAGCGGCGCCGTGCCGGCTTTTGCTCCGGCGGAGGCCGCGGCGGCAGATTGGGCGGCGGAGGCTGAGTGGCGGTATGGAGGAGGAGTGAGCCTGCGTCCTGAGGGGCGCACGGTGCTCGCCGTCAGTACACAGCCTCAACTGCTGCAGGTGCACGCCCCTCTTGAAAATTGTCGTTTCCACATTCAGTACAGGAATTTATGCGCAGCTTTTGCTCAGTGAGCTTGCAACAGACAAAGGGTCATTACAAATGAGGTTACCGGCTGGCATGCATGGCCTAAGGTTTTGTAGTGCAGCTCGCGATTCGATGATCCAGACAGCGGCCGGCGCAGTCCTGCAGCTGATGCTTACCTGGCAGGATGTTGCACGGCACTCCTTTGCTGCAGCCTGCCACGGCAATCTTCTGAAAATGCAGCAAACTGTGCGCAGGAGGTGCTGGGCTGGTTGGCGGAGCAGCCAGCGGTGCACTGGTTGGCGCCGCGCGCAGCGCTGCAGCTGCACAACTGGCAGGGGAGCGCGATCGTGCAGAGCGGGAATGCCGCGCCAGACGCGCCCGTGGCTTTAGCACAGGACCGGGGCAGCCACCCCATCTGGGCAGCGGGCCTCACCGGCGCTGGACAGATCGTCGGCGCAGGCGACAGCGGCATCGGTGCGGCCCCTGCTCCGAGAGGCAGTCCCTTTGTGGTCTGTCAAGAGTGCCTTTCAGTCGGCAACAAGGCGCAGCTGTTCAGCCGTCCGCAGTTGCTCTGCAGAAAGGTCTCAGATCCTCTTGCTGCGATTCATCTTTCAGAGATCTGCAGTGCCAGACGCGGTTGCAAATGACACATCAGAAGTCCCGATTTATTACCATGGCCTGTGCTGACCAGTGTATTGGACTTTTAGGTCTGTCTGAAGTGGGTTGTTTCATGGTGGCTCCTTGGACATGTGACATCTGCACTATGCTCGTGCAGATCGCAACAACTGCTTCTTCAACGACCCAAACGTTGACTGGAAGGGAGGCCTGAGCACCGATCGGGGGTCCGGCGTGGTCACTTTTTCCAGCGAGGTGCACCGGAAGATACGGCTGTACAGGCAGCAGGCGGATGATGTGGACAACAATGGACATGGCACCCATACCGTGGCGTCCCTCCTGGGCAGCCCCTTCGACATTAGCAACACCAAGAACCTGGACTACAGGTACAAAATTAAGTCATGCTCTGCTCAGTTTTGCTCAAGCTGCAGCCTTTTGGATCATGACACAGGCCTGATTGAATGTACAGCACTGCAGAGTGTGACAGTGCTGGACCAAGCTCTGCTCTGCGGGAGCAAGGCAATTTCTGAGCTGGCACTTACACTTTCTTTAAGTCACCATCTAAAGCAGCAGAGAGGCAGAGGCGCGCTCTGCATCTCTGGCCAATGTCATGCTGCTCATGCTGTGTCTCTTTTATGGCCCAGCCACGGCTCTACCCATTGGGAGCGCTTACGATCACTGATTGATAGGGGAGCGCTTGCGTGCGCAATGTACAGCATCCAACGAATCTTACTATTACGTAATGTGTTCGCTGAGCTGGCCGCCACATGCGCTCTTGCAGGGGGCTGGCGCCGGACGCGAAGGTTGCCTTCATAGACCTGGCCAGCCGCACCTCGGGCGGCATCTACACGCCGCAGGACTTATCGGAAGCTTACTACCCGTTCAGTTATGATGTTGGGGCGCGCGTGCACAGCGACTCCTGGGGTTCGGGGACCGTCGCGCAAGACTACGACTTCATGGCGTCCGAGGTCGACATGTTCACCTGGGAGCACCAGGTGCGCTGCTTTTTCCCAGAATAGCCACGGCTCATTCTGCGATGCTGAGCAGCACGTCCCTGCAGTTGGTACTGGAAACTGTCCATGTTTCCATGATTCTGCATGGGTCTCATGCAGCACGGCTGAATCTGCATCCACAAGGATTGTATGGAGATGTATGTGGGACACATGTGGGATTCTTTGCCTGCTGCCAGTGGTGGCTGCAGCGGGCACCACGGCGCAAGATGCGGCATCGCAGGATCCAAACATGGCACGTCATTGGGAAAGAAACGACGCGAAGGAAATGCCGCAGGACTTCACGGCGGTGTTTGCATCAAGTAGGGCTGACATGCATGGAATGTGCAGTACAAGAAGTCACTCAAGAACATGACACTTGGGCGCGCAGGACTTCACGGCGGTTTTTGCGGCGGGCAATGAGGGGTTCACGGCCAGCCAGCGCGGCAGCGGGGGCCTCACCACAGTGACGTCGCCGGCCACGTCCAAGAACTGCATCTGCGCGGGCGCCACCAACACGGCGTTCCAGCAGGCGGCCTCCACCGCGTCCTCGCAGTACACCGTGCACCGCATGTCCATCTCCCAGCTCGCCGACGGCGGTTCGCAGGTCGTCGACAAGTACCGGGTGAGCGCGCATTATTACCTTTGCTTTGCTGGGTTTCAGCTCAGCTTCGAGAATAGAAATGCATGTCTGTCACATCACAGCCTTCTCGAACTGCTTTGCTGCAGCTTCAGTGGGAGGCGAGCAGCCTTGCTCTGGCATGCCTGACAATGGTGGCTGTCCGCTGCTTTGTTCTCACTTCATGACAGAGGCTCGGAGAATCTTCTTGGCACAAGCAGGGTGGCATCGTTGGCAGTGCAGCCTGCTGCCTATCCTGCTAGGAGCAGAAAAGAGTGGGTATCTCCTTGGAAAGGTTTGAGTTCCTGGAGCCCAAGGGCTACAAAGTGGGCAAGTGGCTGAGGAGGATGCATGTATGTGGATCACGTGCAGGTGATGCAGGCGTCATTTGGCGCATCCATCCGCAGCCTGTTTGGGCAGCAGATTGCGCTGAGCGTGGCGCACCCGGCCGATGGCTGCGCGGCGCTGGACAACCAGGCCGACGTTGCCGGCACCGTCGTGCTCGTCCTGCGCGGCACCTGCTTCTTCGCTGTCAAGGTACTTTTGGCAGATACCTATGTCACATATCCACAGACGCCCAGGGTCGAGCAGGCAAGATGCTGGTGGACATGCCTGTGCTTGTGGATTGAGCCAGCGCTCGCAGGCCTTTCACACTTTCTCCATGCGGAAAGTCAGTAAGGACCACGATGGTGAGCATACAGAGGGTGCCAGAAGTGTTCAGCTACATCAAAGAGCACCCCTGACGTTCTGGCTGACGCAAACGGGCGAGGCTTTTGCTGTGGAAGAAGAGTTCTGGCACCGTTGTGTGCATGAGCACCCTCCAATGACACAGAGATGGAGCACAGAATGTCCTAAAACCCGCTTTCACATGCACTGCAAAAGCATATACTTGGATGGCGGTCAGGTTGGCAGCGATAGCGTCATAGGATGAAAGGGATGCTGAAGTTTCTCTGTCTGTGTGGGACAAACAGGCGCTGAATGCTCAGACGGCCGGTGCGAAGGCCATCCTGGTGTACGACGACCAGATCAATGACTACTTTGTGCCAGCCTCTGACGGCTCCCTCACAGGCATCACCATCCCCTCAGGCGCCATCCCCCGCCGCACCGGCCAGCTTCTCGTCAGCTCCTCCCTGGTGCGCGCGGTCCCAGACTCGGTTCTATTCATCTTATTGCATTGATGGAGACTTGCCGCATCCTTCTTGCTTGAAGGCGACTTCCTTCACATCTCATGCCTCCTCCTGCCAACAGCAAGGGTCTCAGCCCACTGGCTGATGGCTTCCATGAGGTTGTGCATGCATGCAATGCAATGAACATATCTCCATTGGTTTGCCTTATTCTCACCCAGATCTGAGGTGGGTGGCCCTTGCTCTAGCAGGGCACCTCACCCATTGCAGGCTGATTTGACACGTGCCATCGTCAGTGCTGGACCACTACAATGCACTGGACTTTCTGTGGTTGCTGCCTGACGCTTGAACTTCCCGCACAATCGCACGCAGGCGGGCGGCAAGCTGACGGTGTCATTTTTGGAAGCGCCGCCGCTGGCGAATGCGTTTGACAGCCTGGCGGAGTTTTCGTCCAAGGGCCCCACCAAGGACGGGCGCGTGAAGCCGGACCTGCTGGCGCCCGGCACTCTGCAGTCCGCCTACACAGACGGCGAAAACACCTGCTCCCTACGGTGCGACGCCCCCTGCTGCCGCCGCTAGGGGGCCGTAATTCACGAGATTTCCTTGCATGCTTGCATTCAAGGGGTAACCTAGAGGAAAGGGAGATTCAAGGGGGGTCCTTGATAAATTGAGGACAAGCGCAGGCTCACAGCCTATGATATCCGCAAGAAGCACTCAGAAATGCCAGTGTCTTGTTTGGCTGCCTGCTGTACGACATGTCATGGCGGGAAGCCTGCACCTCCAAGAGTTGAGCAGGATCCACAGATGAGTCCGACTCAGCAATTTCTCGTCACTTCTCATGCGACGAGGTGTACAAAGTTGTACAAGGTTGTCGCAGATCCTGAAATGGTGGCGATGCACATGCGCAGGTACATGGAGGGGACGTCCATGGCGACGCCGCTGGTAGCGGCCTCAGCGGCGCTCGTGCGGCAGTACTTTCTGACCGGCTTCTACCCGAGCGGCGCCCCGGTGCCGGCCAACCAATTCGCGCCAAGTGGCGCCTTAGTCAAGGCCGTGCTCCTAGGTGGCGCCGCCGGAATGGACGGATTCGAATCTGACACGGGTCTGCCGCTCGCGCCGCCGCCCAGCTTCCGCCAGGGCTTCGGCCGGGTGCATCTCGGCCGCTCGCTGCCCCTGCAGGTATGTTTTCTATACAATCAAAGGGCTTCGTAAAGGGATAAAATGGTGCAACCATATTAGAATCACAGGACAACCGCACAGGACATCGTGTATTCTGTGGGGAGATGGCAGGGTTTGTGGATCAGCGTTTTGCCCGGCTGGTGGTGGGTATGGACACTCATCCAGGCGGTGTGGTCTGGTCAAGATTCCAGCACTGGCTACCACACATAACCTTCACAGCTAGCCCAAACCGGGGGCTTTGCCATGTGCTGACACAAGCTATCAGTGTGGGAAATGGTCTGTGGTACTGCCTAGATCTGCAGATTCTTCTAGCAAAGCCATGTCCAGCAGCTCAATAGCTTCCTCGGCGGTATCCTAGCGCAGTAGATCCTGATCATTGAGGCGCCGCTGTCCCATTGCATGATTGCTGAGGTGAGTTGTGAGTCGCTCCTGTGTGGCAGGGCTCGGGGCCCGGCTGGAACTTGCAGGTGGTGGACATGGCCAATCTGAGCACAGGCCAGGCGCACCAGTACTGTGTGAGGGGCCTGGGAGGGCCCTTATCAGTCACCCTTGTGTGGCATGACTACCCCGCGGCTGTGTCTGCCAAAAAGGCGCTCGTGAATGACCTGGACCTCACCATCCGCGCAGCCGGCCTCAACGGCGTTCCCTTGCTGGTATGCTTCTGCCAGAAGACTATCCCCGCCGTGAATGCCATGCCTGATATGCGTTGGCTGACAGTGAGTAGATGACAGTGAGCATGAAAGGTAGGTGGCATTGATGAACTATCTGTGCGCTGTGCCTTTCTGCGCCCCAGAATAGTCTCTGTATAAACTTTCTTGTAAGGCAAAGCCGGCCCTCAGATCATCGAAGACAGTCAGCTGATGCGCACTGCGGCCTCGCACGGTGCTCACCAAGGGTGGCCTCTGATAGACTAGTATAGTGTGGACCTGTGAAGTTTTGTTTGCTTTAAAATTGGGGACATGTGTGACCGGCAGATGAATTATGTATCATGTGGCTGCAGGGGAATGGCGGCGGCATTGGCTCGGGCGATTCCTTCGCACCGGACCGCACCAACAACGTGGAGCAGGTCTCTGTGTCCTATCTGCCGCCAGGAGAGGTCGCCATTGAGGTGCGCCTCTTGACTTATCAAGTGACCCAAAAGGGCTTATTGTCATGTGGATCAGGGGAGAACTGGAGGGTTGGTTTTTGGTGAATTGCACAGAGTGCTCTGCTCGGCTTTTGCCAGACGGTGTGCCATTGCGGCCTGGCAGCAAGCTGAGCTGCTGGTGGCACTACATAGTGCACTGTCTGGCATTTGCCACTGGTGGAGGAAGCTGCTTGGTCATGCTTCTGGATGCCCTGTACTGCGTTTCAGAGGGCTTGGCATCTCGACAGACCCCTTAGCTGCAGAGCCTGACCTTCTCATGTTCCCAAGGCCCTTCACGCTTCTGTGCCCAGCGCATGCCTCTTGCAGGCTGCAGACCTGGCATACCCAGCAATGTTCACCCAATTCTTATCATCCCAGAATACACTCCAGGCTTCATGTCACCCCTGCCAGTCGCTTATTCCCCTGATATATGCCCGCGCAGGTGAAGGCATTTCAGACGTTTGTCACGCACGGCCCTCAGGCGTATGCGCTGGTGGTTCTGGGCAAGTTCAGCGGCATTTTGGCGTCCCCCGGCAACCCTGCCAACGGGGGGACCGCACCCCCCGGCACCTGCCACATCATCGTCACCACCATCACCGGGGGGCCCCAGGGCCTCACCAATCAGCGGTGCGCTCTTCTGCACACACCGCATGCATGCACTCTTGCTGTTTTAACACACCCAACCTGACTCACAGAGATCAGACTCTCACAGACCTGAGAAGGCCTTGAGAGAGACAGATCAAGACTGGAGACTTCGTCGCTAAGATCATGTCGAGCTCGGGAGTTACAAAGCAACATCACCCGAGTGCCAATGTGACGCATATATCGACACCATTGCAGACAGACCTGCGCCTCGGCAGATCAAGGGCTCCACAGACACATGGTGTATCAGGCTGCTAAGGGGAACCTTTGTCATTGGCAACAGATCGGTGACGTTCGCATTCACGACGGCCACCGGCAATCCGGCAGGGGTGAAGTTTGAGTGCGCGCTGACGCCAGGCGCCAAAGCAGGCAATGCCAGCGCAGCGTACAAAGCGTGCACCAGCCCAACCACGTTTGATGACCTGGCGGACGGCGCTTACACATTCAGCGTGCGCGCTCAGGGGGAGGACTCTGCAGACTCCCGCTCCTTTGTCAAGGTGCGCCAACAAATCTCATCTGCGGCTCTTGTCTCGCTGTATAAAAAGAATTCCACGCTGGCGGAGAGGTAACGCTTATGTTTTGGCATGTGGACATGTCTTTGTCATGTCTGCCAGGATCCCCAAACTTGCTTGGGACGCAGGGTCAGGTCTGATTCTAGCTGGTGTTCCAGGTGCTAGTGCAAAAATTGGAAGTTCTGATATATTAGGAAATTGGTTGGAAGCTGCTGAATAGAGAACTGTGATACCTCGGTGTGCTGCTGCTGAGGAGGCCGCTCCATTCACCGCGCTGCTGGAGGCTGAACCCCACACACATCTACCGTGTGATCACATGGTGCCTCCATAGTGCTGATGGATTGCAGTGTGTGGGGTTCTGACCTCAGCTGAGCAGGGCAGAGAGCACTAATCAAACAGCAGCATGGGAGGTGCAGTAGACAGTGATCTTGCCTTTCTAACTCACATGTCAGGTCCAAGTTTCTCTCTTGGCTTCGGTACAGCCTGCAGTGGTTCATTGTCTGACATTTTCGCATATTTGCGCAGGACACATCGCCGCCCAAGCTCAGCTTCAATGCATCGCTACCAGAGTCCGGGACCGCGTCCCCTACGGCGTACCTCAGCTGGGCCGCGGATGACTCAGCGCCTGTCAGCTACCGCTGCCAGCTCAGCGCGACCGCCGCCAATTCTGGCGCTCTGCAGCCGCCCGTGCGCGCTCTGCTGCCGGTCGGGCCGCTGCCCACGCCTGCCCTCACTTTGGGCAGCTGGGCAGATTGCGCGCCACCGCTGCAGCTGTACTGGCTGCTCCCAGGTCAGTGACCCTGCTGTCTCTGACCATGTTCTGCTGCATGCAGATTTGATCGTCACTCTCAATTGTGCAAGGAATAAGGAGCGCATGGGGTCTGGACGAGCAGCTTCCTGCACTCCCAACCAGGCTCTCAGTTTCTGTGCAAGTGGCAGCTCACGCACACCGCAAAATCAATGTATGCTAAGCAGAGCCTTCTTGTTTTTGCAGCAGAATGGTGGGTTCTTTGTTGGTTCTTGGTTCATTTGATAGTCTTTGAGCATTTGTTTAGTGCCTCGTCGTTCATGGACATTTTATATCAGATGCGCTTCTGCCAGTCCACGGTGACAATGCCATGCGCTGGTAAGAGCGAACCTGATGCAAGACCTCCGTACTGCCGTGTACACATGATCTCAGTGCCGTGTGCATCATTCCAATGCCTTCTCAGCACTTGCACACGTCTTGTTGCAGGGTCTTGGAGGTTTGAGGTGCAAGGGCAGGACGCAGCAGGGAATGCGGCGGTGCAGAATTTGTTGGCAGAGTGGATTGTGGAGATGGAGGCCGGAGAGCAATATGCGCGCATCACCGCCGGTCCTTTCGGCCCCACTGCCAACAGGACAGCCCAGTTTGCTCTGCTGGTGCGCTCCCTGCTGCAGCACATGCATGCCTCATATATTATTGAGTCTGATCCCTTCTGATGCCTCACTTGTCCGCGCAGAGCGTCGCAGCACCTGTCTTTGAATTCTAGCGTTGTAGCCTTTCATCCGAATACCCTGCTTCGACATCCTGGTCATGTCAGAGCACTGCTAGTCAAGAAATGCCCAATGGGGAACACCTCATTTTGCATTCATTGTGGGATCCAGTCCTTGCCGTGATGACTCACGTCCTCTCTAAATGCAGCATTGCCTCCCAGTCAATTTAGGTTCTGACAGTCCTTAATGCACCTGTTCAGGCGCTGGAGGGCGGCGGCGCGCAGGAGACAACAGCCGTCCCTAATGCGTCATTTGATTGTCGGCTGAGCGGCTGGTCCGAGCAGTCCTCCTACAAGGGGAGCACGGTGTGGTCGCCCTGCGACGGTTCCACCGCATTTAAGAACCTGAGAGATGGTGACTACACCTTCTGGGCGCGCATCGCCGGCCGAGCCGATGCGCCGGAGGCCGCCATGGCCGCCAGCAACTTCACTGTCGACACTTCGGCGCCTGTGTTGAAGGTGAAAGCACTAACCTATTGCAATCTCAAGAAGATTAGCCATTGTTGATGTGTTGTCAGCGGTTTACGCAGCTGTCAAACTCTATCACAGGGTGTTCGCATGCTGTGTGGTGTGAGTGCTTGTGTAGCAAAAGATTGTGGCCTGGCAAATGAATCAGGCGCTGGCAAGGCTGCGAGAACGAGGGCTTTTCTTTGCGGTGATGACTTCTGGTCTGAAAAGGGGATTTGTATGTTTCTCAATTTGTTTGCTGGTTTTGTCTCTGCAGATCAGCAGCGCTCCTCCGGCGATCAGCACGGCCTCCACCGTCTCCTTAGAGTTCAATGCCGACAAAGCGGGCGCAAACTTCTCATGTCTGCTCACTATCTCAGGTGAAATTTTGATCATGTAACGATGTGCAAAGTCTATCAGACCCCAGTCTGCCTGTTCATGGAATGCTAGTACTGCCCTTCAAAGAAGCAGCAATCTGTGCCCATGTGTTGGGCATCCGGACAGCCATGCAGCAAAGCAGCCGCTTTGAGGTGCACCATGACAAGATCTCAGAGCAGATCAATCTCAAATCAGATAAGATCAAGTCCCAGCAGAAGGAATATGTGCAGGCAATGCGACGGGAGGGAACGCGCAGCCGACGCCATGCGCGTCCCCGGCGCGGTGGGATTCTTTGTCGGACGGGCGTTACAGCTTCTCGCTGGCCGCCGCCGACCGACTGGGCAACAAGGCAGCGCCTGTTCAGGCGGCCTTCCTCATCGACACGACTCCCCCGGTCATCGCTGATGTGGCGTACCCCTTTGCCACGCGCAACACCAGCCTCACCGTCACCTTCAACGCCTCCGACAGCGAATCCGGCGTCAACAGCACCCAGTGCAGGTGCCAGCATTTCCTTCATATCATGTGTGCCAGCAAATTTCACATTAGGCATATGCATGTGCACTCTAGTAATCATTTCCTCAAATTGTCATCTATGCCAGTAACTTACTTGAAGTGTCCCAAGAGGGGCCCAGTAAATTGAATGGATTGCAGTATAGCCTAGAATAGGTGATTCATATTATGTATCGTTGCGGTGATTGGCATCAGATGCGTCCCGGAGAACTGTGCTGGTGCCAATGATGATGCACGTGTGATCACTGACCAATTGTCTTGCCAAGAATTCTAGTCTCCTTATGAGAATTTTATGGCATTTGACTCATAGTAAGGCTGCTCACATGATTGCTGACCTGGCGTTCCCGGCGCAGGATGCGGCCACAGAAGCTGACGTTCTCCAGCGACAGCGCGCAGCTCAAGGGGCCGCGCTACGAGTGGGGGGCCTGCGCCAGCCCCGCCAGCTTCAGCAACCTGACCGAGGGCAAGTGGGGCCTCTCCCTGCGCGCCCAAGACAACGCCGGCCAGACCCGCACCACCAGGTGTGTGTGCGGATGTTCCCCTTTCGGCAAGGCTGCTTCAGAGCACTGGCGGCTTATCAATGGCATGCCCACATACCTGCATTGTCATCTTTGATAGGATTCATTTAGGGAGAGCTGCGCGGGTTGGCCAGTGGACAGGAGCTGATTAGTAGCAGGGACTCCTTGCTGGCCGTCCGCGCTGACATCCCACCTGTCATTTGCTCGGTGGCTCAGGGGGACCCGGAGCTCAGTGCAAATGACAATCAGTGACACTCCACAACGGCTCTTGGTATCTTACTATGCGTGCATGTGTGCCTGCAGCGAGGCGGAGGTGTATGTGACGCGCACGCCCCCCAACGCGACGGTGGTGGGGGGGCCCAGGACGGGGGCCGCCTCGCCGCCCAAGGTGGCCTTCAGCTTTGCGTCGCAGGTCGCCGGCGGCGGCGCAGGCGCGCCCATCGCCTACAGCGTTTGCCTGCTGCAGCTCGTGGACAACAGCCAGGTGCGGCAGCACACGTGTGTCTGGATGATCTCATCATGCGAGGCATGGGGTCAGCTCTTTCTCTTGTTCTTATGGCCTTAGGGACCCTGCATTTGATTCGCTTTCCTGGAAAAGGCCTGCAATTCTCACATGCGACAGCATGTGTGTGGCGTGGCACCAAGGGTAGGTACAGCAACAAAGTGCAATACATCAGCAATGAAGTGGCAGTAGCCCTGTCGAGGCAGGTAGTGACTCACAAGGTCTGCAGTGGCGCTGAGTGGGTGTGTTGGCGGTGACAGATGGCGGCGCTGCAGCAGGCAGGAGGCGGGGAGCCGTCGGGGACAGGGAATGTGAACGTGCAGCTCAAGAGCGTGAGCAGCTTAGCCGCTGAGTCGTGGAGCAATTGCTCCAGCCCCGCCGAATTCAAGGTGTGTTTGGCCATTCAACCCCACGGCTGGAATACTTCTGTGACCTGTGGGCTGTGACAGCATTTTCAGGACACCACATTCTGCACAAGCATCAGGCGTGCACCAGCTCCCAGGAGTTATCTGTGGGAATGGCACCTCAGAGTAAGAACAAGCGCCGCATATTTGATTCACCAGACCCTGAGGCGCCAGCTTGGCGTCTAGGTGGGACAAGCTATTCCAAGATGCTAAGCAAGGATTGCTGGAAAAGTCCTGGCATGTGGCCGCAGGGGCTGCGCAGTGGCAACTACACGTTCCAGGTGAAGTCGGTGGATGCGGCCGGCAACATTGGCGCGGCTTCGCAACCGTACGCATTCACGGTAGACGACACGCTGCCGGTGCCGGGCGAGTCGGGCGCGGGGTGGTTCACTGGGTGGCACAGGATCGCCGTCATCGCCGGGGCGGCCGCTGCCGGGGTGATCCTTCTGGTGCTGCTGCTGTGCGCATGCTGCATGCGGCGGCGACGGCTGCACCGGCTGCGCTCGGAGGGGTGCGCAGTTTCCTCTGCCTCTATTTCTAATCTGATCCTCCCTGCACCAGAGTCTGCACAGACACTTGGCATCCAATCTCGGTGGAATCCTCCTGGGATCTGAATAGATCCTCTGGCTGCAGTGAACGATATCATGGCTTCACCCTTCCTCGGGCATTGTTTGACTGGTGCCTGGATATCTTTCGTGGGGCCGGCAGCTTGTGTATCAGGCCAATTCACTTCCTGCAATCTGTTATGCGCAGGCCGGTTGGGGCGGCGCTGTATCCGCAGTCACACCATGACCCGGCGCTGGCCGCGGCGCTTCGGGCGTCACTGGCAGAGCAGCAGCGTGCTTCCGCCGCAGCGGCAAACGAGGCGCGCACGCGCGCAGCTCTGGTCGAGTCTCTGGAGGTGCGAGTTGATAGACCCCTCAGGAAGGCTCTCTGGCTCGCTGTCGGGCAGGAGCAGCTTTGTATGAAAGAATCTTTCTTTGTAGGAATGTGCAACTTGTCAGCGTAAGCGCTGCAATCGGCCTGAGCAAGAAGGATGGCTCCGCATAGGCAGGCGTGAAAGGAACAGCACGCGCCTGTCCTGCGCCGCCCAAGTTTTTGGCTGTGACAGCTTTGCATGGCTTCTTTGTTGTGCTCTACTCACAGATCTACCCAGGCGCATGAGCTGAGCTGACTCTGCCCTGCCGAATGGCATGCATTTTGCAAGCTGGCGCACACCAGGCTTGCACCCTCCACCATCATAGAATCACACTTCACAGCTCGACCCAGCACTGTTCGGAGAAAGCCGAGATTGATTGTGATGATGTAGCAACCTTCAGCCGCAGGCATCAAGAATAACAGCCGCGTTGTAAGAGAATGCTTCATGGTGCTACCCAATCAGAAAGCAGCATCATAGTGTTTTGCAGCTCATGCCCCTGGTCTTCAGAGTCTAGATTGTGACGTGCCGGGCTGTGACATGTAGGAGGAGCGGATGCGTCGGGCGTTGGAGCGGTCACTGCTGGAGCAGAGGTCCCCTAGCCGCCGGGAGGGAGCTCAGCAGCCGCTGCCAAGGGAGCCCAGCGACGCGGACATGCGCCGAGCGCTGCAGGAATCGCTCGAAGAGGAACAACTGCGCAGGTGTGTGCAGCAACTAAAGAGAATTGATCATACCTGAAGAGCATCTGCCTGGGAGCCCAAGTCCCGGGAGTTATTTGCTTCCGAGGGTAGCATGCCCTCGTGATTTGGTGGCTGGAGATTGCTGCTTGCAGATTTGGACGCGCTAGGGGCTGTTGATGATTCCGTTGGGGAACTTGGGCATGTGTTATGCTGGCTCCAATCCTTGCTGCTGCGGGGCTAGATCTAGCTTGCGACAAGAGCCGTGCAATCCTGGAGTCCGCTGCACTGAGCAGGCTGCCAGCATCTGTGGAATGGCAGGCATCTGCTGGGTGACGGCACCTAATGATGAAGCTCAAAAGTGCTTTGCAGGGTGCTGGCAGACTCTGAGCGCGCTGCAGCAACGCCCACAGCGCCTTTGTGGGATAGGTAGCAATAAGAAAATACCAATGGGAGGATGATTGGCATGCGTTATGCCGGTGCATGCAACCGCAGACAGAGCAGCGGCACTGTACCATTCTTTTCAAGCTGTAGTGTAGTTCTAATTTGTGCATGCTGCACTTAAATTTATTTGGCGTATGCTATAGAACGCATTGGTCCGGTTTTGGAATCCATTTTTGTCTTTATCAAGATAGCTGGGAACGGATGCAGAAACCACGATAGCTAGCCATAGCTTCAACGATCATGCTAGGAGAACAGAGAAGGTCAACGGCCAGGACCTAGATGTAGCTGTGCTAGACTTTCCGTTTGAGTAAGGGCGCAGACTGGTCTAGTCATCGTGTGCGTTTGCGTTGGCATGCATGCCCATCTCTTTGACTTTACACGGCAGAAGGATAGTCGAAGAAGGCACCCTAACAGTGATGAGGGTCCTCCTGTTAGGCGCATTTGGCGCTTATAGCACCCCAGAACGCATGGCTGGTTTCAAGAAAATATCTGCCAGTCAAAGTACGTTCTGTAAACGTTCGCAGTGCTGTACGACTAGTCGACTTCCCCTGCCCACGGTGGCCGTGAGGTGCCTCACTGCCCGAGAAGCCTGCGCAGATGCAAACCTTGCAGTCTAGCATGCAGCGCAGCTGACATTGGCAGAGTTGGCCCATCACGCGGTCAGAGAGCGTCTGCAGGCTGCCAGGCCGTGGCTAAGCAGGGAACGGCTCCCGGTGTTGCAAGAGCCCGTTTTCCTGAAGGCTATTGTCTTTTGTGTGCCACCTCACCCTTCAATTGTGAACGGCGATTGAGCGTTAGATGGAGAAGGACAGTAAGAGAGAGGGAGCACTTGTTTGCTGTCCAGGAGGACGTGTTTGTCCTCATCAGTCGAAAGCAGGCGGAGGTCGTGGCATGTGTCACAATCACTCAGCTTCCACAGCTGCAGCGCCTCGATCGCGTCTAATCGTACACACAGCCGCCACGCCAGTAGTCGCACGCCGCCCTTTGGAAGGCTGCAGCACGAAAGATCCACCTCAAGGGAATCTATAATGATGTCCACTTCGGATTGTTGCTATCCACGCAGCAACAAGCAAGTACAAAAACAGGAGTACTCGCATGCCATGCATGAACTCATACGCGTACGGTTCTATTTCACTTTCTAGGACGACTTCGGTAAAAATCACATAAGCCTTTCGGCGCACAATGGCTGAATACAAGGTGATGCTGTGATGGGAAGGTCACTTGGATGCCGACTGCAAAGTTCTTTCAAAGGCCCAGACTAGTCCAGATGCAGGCATGCCCAACCAATCCGTCCTAGCAGCAGCAAGATTCCAGAATTATAGTTCCTTGCTTTGTCAAGGTCGTCTGTGAAATCATTGCTGCGCAAGCCGCGCACGAATGCTAGAAAGGCAATTGCTGCCTCACAATGGGGCGCGGTAGACTTTAAAGCTTTGGTTTGCGGCCGTGGTTTCCCAATTTCGGGAGAGTACGGTACTGTGAATTTGTTTTCTGCGCATATGCCCTGAAGGCCTTCTTCACGGATCGGTTCCCCAGAATGCCCTTCAAGACGGTCTTCGGTTCCTTCTCGGTGGTTGCAGGGCCCATTCCCAGGCCACGAATGCCACGAGGTGACCGGACTGTGGGCTCAAGCTGCATGCAGATCACTCCATGTCATGTAATATGAATCATCATCACATCCGGGAAACTCTGCTAGGCAGCCAAAGAAAGTGCAGCTCTTGGCATAGAATTGGTGACAGGACTTTTAAGGAATGCATGTGCCACAGTGGGCAGCTGAGAATGTTGCTTGTGAGGCAAAGTATCATGAGAGAGAAGGGAGATCCTTGTCTGACAGATGTTCTGCCATTCGCCGCATGAACGTGGATAGGAATTTGACAAGGTTGTTGTTTGGGACTTTTTGCCTTTTTGACGGCTCATTGCTGGGCGCGCATGTCGAGCAGTAGAAGTCTCACATCGGTGCTATTCGTCAAGGGTCTCAAGAACTCGCAGGTATGTTTTATCCTCTGGCAGTGCAAAGTGGAGACACTAGCTAAAAACTCCATGAATTGAATCAAGGCATTGGGTGACCCTCAGTCTTCTTATTGAGCATGAATGAGTCAAGACAAATGGGAGAGTGAAATGCTCCAGGACAGTATGGTCATGCATGACCATACTGTCCGAGTAGTAGTCATATGACTCGTTGTTTGAACCTGGGCCTTTCATGTCAGGTTGGGCCGGACAGCATATTCCGGAAAACGGTTAACCTTCATGAATTTGATCAAAGCACGGTGCCTCAGAAAAGACTGGTTGCCCGATTGGCAGGCACTGCCTAACCAAAGGCGGCTCTTCACACAAGGACAACAACGGCAACCGGCGAAGCTGGCGATCAAGCATTCCTGGCTCAAGGACATTGAGATAACGGTGGCCGGGATCATGAAAAGATCTCTCTAGAGGAGGTGAATTCTTACAAAGACGTCCTTTTCAACTAGAGAAGGTGGCCATTAATGGCCACTTGGGGTGTGTACATTTCGGGGGGGTCCCTCGGGGCCATCGGCAGACATCACGGTACGCACAGGTCACTCGATATGCCACCATTTTCTGTCATTGACGTCCCGATGGAAAGGTCTCGTTTAGACGATTCAATCGCACCCGGGTTCGTTTAAAACCGTCACGTCCTCGCAAAGTTATGAGGGTTCGAGTCCCCGATGCCTGCAGCCCGACCGCGCAACTCCGTGCGAACGTCGCCGTTTTCGGCGCTCGATGTCGCAACGAAAAGAGCTCGCTTAGAGGAGTCCAGAGCAGCTGAGTTTGCTCATTTTGGTGGCGTAGTCGCAAAGATATGGGTTTTGGAGTTATTTGTGTCACTCTTTTTACAAATGTTTAATTCGGGCCCTTGCAGATACGCTGGGCGACCATTCTTCCTAGCAAATTGTCCGAGATTCTCGGGTTAAGGGATTTTAGGACCAACCTCACCCCCAACCTTTCGAAGGGCGTAGTGTTCCTTTTTTACTAATAAAAAATGTACACAATAATGAAGAATGTTTTCATATCTTCTTCCTGGTGCTTGAGCAACCACTTTGACAATACAGCAAATTAGAGATAAAGAAGAAAATCATTACATGAAGTTGCTGTGCTGATAGAAATGTCCTATGTTGAAAAAATCATGTTTTTGTGGTGGTGTGGCAGGTGTTGGAAAGAATCCGGAATGGATAATTATCGCAGGAGGATGTGGCAGCCCTCGTCAACGCCCTCCCAACAGCGAAGAGCCGAAGGATTTGCTCAAGCTGGTGAGCAAGAGAACAGTGCAGCCATCAAACAACTGAGCGGCGTGGGGCTGCTCATGCTTCGACTGATTCAGAGTCCCTTGGTACGAGCTAGCCCTATCATATAGTGCGAAAGTTTTGCTGAGCACATTTTGGTCTACACGCAAGCGCCGTGCAGAGACAAGGACCTTTTCGAGGTCGTTGAAGAAGCATGCAAGATATAGGGGAGGTTTTAAGCTTGCATCGTATCCAAAAGATCCCTTTTCTGCAATATAAGCTTGTGCGGATTTGCGCATTGCGCATGGCATCTAGCTTTGGGTCAAGACCTTTCTTCATTGCCATGGGCAGGTTTCCAGGCGGCTCACAGCACGTCATTTGCACCTGCTGCTACCCTCCAGCGCTCAGGAGATTGAGACCAGAATTGACTTCATGTGCGGCGCCTGCGACGAAGTCAGCGGCCACGAGATGCTGCGCCTCCAGATCCAGACCGTCCTCCATGCCCTCAACCTGCTCAATGAGGGCACCTCCGCCGGCTCAGAACCCGGCGTCCACCTAGTTTTCCTGCCAACGCTAAGCAAGCTGCGGAACGGCGATGCTTCCTTCCTGGAGTCCATGTCAAACAGTGTAGGCAGTCCGTCCCTGTCGTGAACCATATTGACATATTGATTCAATTCAAGAGGCCGATCATTTTGTTTTGCGAGTGAGAACAGCATCCACACTCAGCCTATTTTTGAGGACACAAATGTTCTTGCTTTGGCATTCATTTGTGATGCGCGGTGCCTTGCAGTACCTGAAGGCTGGCGGCACCATGCCGCTTGAGCCCAGCTTTGGAGATCATCAAAGGCGGCCACCGTTGAGGAGAAGACATTACGTGCAGACATCACAGCGCTGGCTAACCAGCTTGCAGAGCTCTAAGACAGTGCGTCGTACGCCAGCTATCCGGTGCATTGGTGCCACCTCGATGTGCAGCAGCATCTAGGTGGTAAAGGCACCAACGCACTGAATAGCTGGCGTACGACGCATTGTCTTGGAGCTCTGCAAGCTGGTTGGCCAGCATTGTGATGTCTGCACGTAATGTCTTCTCCTCAATGGTGGCCGCCTTTGATGATCTCCCCAAGCTGGGCTCAAGCGGCAAGCCTTTAGATACTGCAAGGCAACACGCATCACAAGTGAATGCCAAAGCAAGAACATTCTGTAGTCCTCAGAAAGGCTGAGTGGGGATGTTGCTATTTACTCGCACGACATAATATTCGGCTTTTTGAACTGAATCAACAAGTAATACGGTTCACGAAAGGGACAATTTGCATACACTCTTTGATATGGACTCCAGGAAGACAGCATCGCCGTTCCGCAGGCTGGGCAGTGTTGGCAGAATAGCCAGGTGGACGCCGGGTTTGAGCCGGCGCCGGCGGAGGTGCCCTCATTGAGCAGGTTGAGGCCGTGGAGCACAGTCTGAATGAGGAGTGGCAGCATCTTGTGGCTGCGAACTTCGTCGCAGATGCCGCACATGATGTCAATATTTGTCTCAATCTCCTGTGCGCTGGCCGGGAGTAGCAGCTGCAGGTGACGAACCGTGAGCCGCCTGGAAACCTGCCCATGGCAACAAAGAAGGGCCTTGACCGCAAGCTAAATGCGCAAATCTGCACAAGCATATATTGCAGAAATTGCATGTTTTGGATACAATGCAAGCTGAAAGCCTCTCCTATATCTTGCATGCTTCTTCAACGACCTCAGAAAGGTCCTTTTCTCTGCACGGCGCTTGCTTGTACACCAAAATGTGCTTGTAGAGATGTCCTGTGCTGAAAGGATCTTGTTTTTATCTCTTGAGCAATTTGCAGTGTTGTCAAAGTGGTTGCTTAAGCACCAGAAAGAAGATATGAGAACATTGTTCATTAATGTTAATATTACTGAAGGGGACGTCTTTGTAAGAATTCACCTCTTCCTCCAGAGAGATCTTCTTCATGATCCCGGGCCACTATTATCTCAATATTGTTGAGCCGGGAATGCTTGATCGTCAGCTTTGCCGGTTGCTGTTGTGGTCCTTGTGTGAAGAGCCGCCTTTGGCTAGGCGGTGCCTGCCAATCGGGCATCCAGTCTTCCCTAAGGCACCGTGCTTTGGAATTTTTCCGGAATATGCTGTCCGGCCCAACCTGACATTAAAATAGGACACGTCAGACTATTCTGGAAAGTTTTAGCACATGCACGGGAAGAAATGTGTGCTCCCAAAACAGGCCCTTGTAAGCTAGTCAATCATGATCAAGGCCCATGTTCAAATAATGAGTCATGACCATACTGTCCTGGAGCATTTCACGCTCCCATTTGTCCTGACTCATTCATACTCAATAAGCAGACTGAGGGTCACCCACTGCCTTGACTCAATTCATGGAGTTTTCAACTAGTGTCTCCATGTTGCACTGCAAGAGGATAAAACATACCTACGAGTTCTTGAGGCCCTTGACGAACAGCACCGAATTGAGCCTGGGGTTTGAAATTTCAAGCTCTGCCGGCTCTGCAGCGTGCAGCACAACGGCATCCCCTGCGGTAGTACCCCCTTCTGCCGGCGCTGCAGTTGCGCCCCCTTTGCTTGGACCCCATGCCAGCAGCTTCGCCTTCTTCCGCGGCTGCGGTGGGGCCGGCGGCGCCGGCAGCGCCGGTGGCGGCGGCGGAGGCGCTCCACGCTTCATGCCCATTTACGTGGAGCGCCTCCGCTGCCGCCGCCGCCGGCGGGAGGGGGGCTGGCAGAGGCTTGGCGGCCTGGGTTCCCGCCGCTTGGGGGACCTGGGTCTTTGGGAGTGTGGGAGCCTCCATCCCTGCGCATGGGTGACCCCAGAAGATCAGCACATGCCTCACCCATGACAGGCAGCAACACAAATTTGACCGAGTAAGTCAGCAGGATGCGATGCAGGCCTACATGCTCAGAATGGGTCCCACTGGAAAGCAGGGCGGCTGCAGATCCCCATGACAAGAAGCCATGCAACCACCAGCAGCAGAGCAGCATGACAGCAACAGAGCAGCAACGAGCAAATGTGACATGAATTGTGGATACCTTCGCTGCCTCTATTGTTGTTGGTGCGCTCTAGCGCCTCTCGATGCATCGGCATTGAAGCAAGGCTGGCTCCACGGGAGCAATGCATAGACAGGTCACAACACACTAGTGAGCAATTTCATGGGCTGTATACACATGTGCAGTCACGAGCAGCAGAGCAGCAGAGCGCATGTGCAGAGTGGGTCACATTGAGAAGCAGGCCAGCAGCAGATGCACATGTGTCACAGATCACAGATGTAATCTGAGATATTACAAGCCACCAGACTAGCACCAGGACTATCACATGCACTTCATGTGACAGTACAGTCACAGATGACTACCTCATCTGTGCAGAGGCCTGTATAGGCTCGACCAGACAAGACTATCTCGACCAGCACAAGACAATATGCCCACAACCACTATCTCTGCTCTTCAAACAGGTGGCCATAGCTTTCCCGCATGGTGTCAAAGAACAGATCTATGCTAGTAACATCCTTGTTTGCTTGTCTGAGCATCTGCTCAGCTGAGTGCCATGCTTTGGCAGCAGATCCTGTCAAACAGGCTGCCGCTACATCGACTTGCATTGGGCCAAGCACATTTTGCAATCTGATGTACCTGGCAGCTTGCATGATCCATGACTCAATATCTTGCTGGGGATCTGTGCCAGCAAATTTGTCAGGCATGGGCACCTTAACATGTGAGGTCCCTGGTGAGCTAGTGGCTTGTAAGGGACTGGGATGGCTAGTTCCTGGCCTGAATCTGAACACAGGATTTGCTGGGCCTGGAAGGCTGAGCTGTGCTGGTATATCATTGCTAGTCATGGAGGGTACAGACCCCACATGTGTTCCAGTCAAAGCTCTTGTGGCCAGGTTAGTCAATATGGGGCCTACCGCTGGTACGAAACCATCGATGCTCTGGGTAGCCGCGGCACGCCGCAGCAGCTGTGCAGCCGCTACGATCTCCTGTCTGCTGGGTTCCATGGCACCGGATGGCAGAGGTTGCAAGTCAAAGTCCATCAGATCAGGCGGTGACGCCGCTGGTGGTGGCCACTGTGATGCTGAACCTGCAGCTTGTGCATGAGAAACTTCTGGTATTGCTCGTGCTTGTGTGCTAGTAGCTGGTGGTGAGGTGCTAGTGGGTTGCACGCGTGTGCGAGTACCTTGCCCTGAAGACAGGCTCTGGTGCATTGCTTGTGAGCTAGTGGCTGGTGATTCTGGTGAGCTTGTGCCTTGTCCAGGGGCAGATCCTTGTGCTTGTGCTGAAGCCATTCCTGTAAGATCAGCCATCACATTAGATACATTCACATTGCCTCCTGTGGAAACAGTGCGAGCTGATCTGCTTGTGCCTGCAGACATTGCTGGCACATTAAAAGGAATGCCTAGTCTTGTAGAGATACCTCTCAGTTCTTGTGAGATCCTGGTGGTTGTGCTTGCCACGCTCATCAAGACAGGATGGTCCTCATTCTGCAGCTCTTGTATTTGCTTGATCAATCTGGTCTGCTTGTTGGCTCTTTTTGCAAGTGCATCTACATCAGCCTGGTGAACAGCATCTTGTCTTTCGTATTGTAGAACACGTTGCTCAAGCCATACCAGCCTTTCTTCGTCGGTGTAGCAAGGCTGATCCTGCTCGTGGGGCTGATTCTGCTGGTGATCTCCCTCGGCATCTGGCTCATCGTCAGTGTAAGGAATGCCTTGTAGGGCTGCTGGTCTGTCTTGTGCATCTTGTGTCATGTTTTCATCAACATCTACGTCTTCATCGGACGTTTCACCTTCAACTCTATGCGAGAGCAACTGTGCAACGTCTTTAGGTGCATCGGCAGGAGGATACGACATCACTCATCGATCACATCCAAAAGCCATACAACTGGCGGCCTCATTTCACGCCGCAGTACCCCTCCGGCAGCCGAGAGCAGCTGTACGCGTCTGCCTTGGACCTGTGCTTCCACTGCGGCGAGAAGGTCAACGTCCCGGGCAAGCCGCGGATCCCCGGCGCGCATGATCGTGGACTGCACAACTGCCCGGTGAAGATGGCCAACGGCATGCCTACGCCCATCATCGTCCCAGACGCCTGGACGCCTCCCCGCAAGCCCGGGTCAGTAACTGAGACCTCCTCTCTCTCCCCTCTCCTCACAGAGCCCACCGAGCGCAACTGTGGTTTGAGTTCCACAGAACAAGACGAGCTACAAGCTTTGACTGGTCGGAGGATTTCTGTGAAAGTCCTTCCAGACCAGGTGGATAATTTACCAGCACTAGCACACCAGCATGATCATGTGTGGTTCTCGTGTGAGACCCCTGATCAGGTTACTAGATTTCTGACCAGTTATAGGGCTCTGAAAATTCAGCAGCCCTCCATGTCCCTGTGCATCATGGTGCCCAAAGGCTTTGGAGCCTGGAGGTCATGTTTGCAGAGCATGAAAGTGCTCAGGGAATACAAGCCAGGGGACTGTGTCTTTGATACAGTTAATTTTCCCCTGAGACAAGCCATGCAGATTCTGTATGACCCACCAGCCCAGCCCACTAGCCCACACCCCAGACTGCGAATGCTCGTGCAAGGCACAGTGCAAGGTGTTCAGGTCAATATTTTGCTGGATTCAGGTTCAACTGACTCCTGCGCCTCCCAGCATTGTGTTTCTGCGGGGGGATGGGCAACGAGCGCAACAAGTACAAGACAAGTCCGCGCCTTCAATGGCAGCAAGCAGAAGACTAGCACTAGCTGTACATTAGACCTTTGTATGAATACTTACAAGGAACCAGTAGATCTGCTGATCATTGATATGTCTTTTGATATTATCCTGGGACAAGATTGGCTAGCCAGGCACAGGACAAGCTTGCATTTTGATGGACCAGCAGTGGCATATTTTTACCACTTAGGTTTCATGCATTCAGTGCCGGCTGTCCCAGACGTACATATTAACTGGGACACTCAGACTCTGAGCCCAATTATAAATGCTCTGTCTTTTGAACATGAGCTGAAAGCAGATGATGCTGAAACTTTCATGGTGTTTGTAAGGAGTGATTATGAACTCTCCTGTGACTCCATGATAAATGCCAGCATCTCACAAGCACCAGCACAAGCATCTGAGCATCTCTCAGAGGTAGACAAGCTAGTGCATGACTATTCAGATGTGTTGTGCACAGAGTAACCTCAGGGTTTGCCACCAGACAGACCAGTTGTACACACAATCCCTCTCGTAAATGAAGGATTGACTGTGTTCAAGCAAATCTACCGTCTTAGCCCTGCTGAGAAGGAAGAAGTGCAGAGACAAGTACAAGATTTGCTGAGCAAGGGCCTGATCAGACCTTCCACTTCACCTTTTGGCAGTCCCATACTGTTTGTGAAGAAGAAGGATGGCACCCTCAGAATGGTCATAGATTACCGTTCGCTCAACAAGATCACAATTAAAAACAAGTACCCTCTGCCCAGGATAGATGATCTGTTTGATCGCCTGCAGGGTGGTAAATATTTTAGTAGTCTTGACTTGATGTCAGGCTATCACCAGATTAAGATCAAAGACTCAGATGTGCCTAAGACTGCGTTTCGCACACCAGTGGGGCATTATGAGTTTTTGGTCCTGCCGTTTGGTCTCTCAAACGCACCAGCCACTTTCCAGTCAGTGATGAACAGGATATTTGAGCATCTGGATTTTGTTATTGTTTATCTGGATGATATCCTGATCTTTAGCAAGTCACTGGAGGAACACAAGCAGCATGTGAAAATCGTGCTGGACATTTTGAGGAAGGAAAAGCTGATTGCTAAGCTTCCCAAATGCTCCTTTTACCAGACTAGCTTACCCTTCCTGGGCCACATAGTGGGGGCCGATGGCCTCCGCGTGGATCCCAAGAAGATACAAGTTGTACAAGAATGGCCTACACCAGCAAATGTGAACCATGTGCAGCAGTTTTTGGGCCTTGCCAATTTCTTCAGGGATTTTGTGCAAGGCTATTCCCAGCTGTCTGCACCTCTCACAGACTTGACTCGCAAAGGCCACTTTTTTCAGTGGAGTCAGGAACACAAGGATGCCTTTGATGGAATCAAGTATGCACTCACGCATGCTCCATGCCTGGCATTACCTGACTTTACTAAGAAATTCCAGATAGAGTCAGATGCTTTAGGATTTGGCATTGGTGCCGTCCTGATGCAAGAGAGAAGGCCTGTTGCCTATTTTAGCCGCAAGCTTTCTAGTGCGGAGACAAGATACAGCACCAGTGACAAGGAACTACTAGCTGCCTTCTGTGCTGTGATCCACTATCGATCATATGTGCAGGGCCGGGTTTTTGACTCATTACCGATCATAAGCCCAACACTGGAACTTTTAGGACTATGACCAGGATGCAGATTAAGTGGACTGGGTATCTGGCAAGTTTTGGTGAAGAAAATATAAATTTCATTTACCAGCCAGGGCGCACAAATGTAGCCGACCCGCTCAGCCGTAATCCTGCATTCCTGTCAGCCCTAGTGACCAGGCAGACGAAGCGTCTGTTACAAGAACAAGCACTAGCACCAGCACAAGAACAAGCACTAGCACCAGCACCAGCACCAGCACAAGCACCAGCACCAGCACGTGCCCAATCACGTGACCCAGGTCAGCACTCTAAAAAAGGGGGGCAGGGACAGGACTTGACTGATGAGCTTGCTCCTGAGCCAGTTTTTGAGCCTCATTTGCCCCCTCCTCCACCACGAGTGCTTTCAGATTTGGACAAGAAAATTATTGAAGGATACCAGACTGACCGCTGGTTCAAGAATAACAGCAACACCAGCCCACTAGACAAGCAGGGAGACTTTTGGTTTCGTGACGAGACCATGGTCATCCCAAATATTAAAGAAATCAAGGACACAATCCTGTATGAATTCCATGATGTCCCTTCAGCAGGACACATGGGTGCAGACAAGACTTACCATGCTGTCAGTAGACACTATTGGTGGCCTCGCATCCGCAAGGAAACAAAGGAATATGTGTATACTTGTGACAAGTGCCAGAAAAACAAGAATGTCACTCAGAGAGCTGCAGGACTTCTGCAGCCTCTTGAGATACCAGCACACAAGTGGACTGACATCAACATGGATTTTATTGTCCAGCTGCCCAAGACACAAGCAGGCTATGATGCCATACTAGTAGTAGTGGATAGGCTCACTAAAATGTGCCATTTTATCCCTACTCACACCAGCGTTGATGCTCATGGCACTGCTGAGCTTTTCAGGGAATATATTTTCAAAGCTCATGGAGTGCCAGAAAGCATTGTCTCTGACAGAGACACAGGAAAGTTTATGACTGACCTGTGCAAGATACTAGGCATTCAGCAGAAGATGTCTTCTGCATACCATCCCCAGACTGATGGCCAGACTGAGAGGATGAACAAGGTCTTAGAAGACATGCTCAGGAACTATGTTGGACCAGACCAGGATGACTGGGACAAGCACCTGAGCACCTGTGAGTTTGCAGTGAATAATGCATATCATGATAATTTGCAGACTACTCCATTCATGCTGAATTATGGCTTCAATCCCAAGAGTACTTACATCACACACTCAAGGGAAGCTGGCTCTGCAAGCAACCCCTCTGCTGTCAAAATGAAAGTTGACATGCACCAGGTACTAGTACAAGCTAGAGATGCTCTACATAAAGCACAAGACAGGTACAAGTTTTATGCTGACAAGCACAGACGAGATGTAGAATACAAGGTTGGTGACAGAGTTCTTCTGAGCACCAAAAATATCAAGATTAGAGGCAAGAAGGTCTCTAAATTGATGCCCAGATTTATGGGGCCCTACGAGATAATACAGAGAGTTGGGAAGGTGGCATATAAACTGCAGCTGCCCCCTTCCTCAAAGATATTTCCTGTCTTCCATGTATCTTTGTTGAAGGCATACAAGTCAGATCCCACCAGAGAGCAGATTTCATCTGACCCACTAGAACTAGCTACTGATGAATATTTTGTGGTTGAGAAAATTCTTGATCACCAGCTGAGACACAGACCAGGCAAGAAGAAAAACAGAAAGGTGATGCACTATCTCATTAAATGGGAAGGTTATCCTTCCACAGAGAATAGTTGGGAGCCTGAGAAGAATCTCACACCAGATTTACAAGAGGAATACTGGAGGTCAGAAGCTTCCAGGGGACGCCCTGTTGAAGCGACTGGCTGATTCCAGACAAGACAAGCTACTAGACCGGTACTAGGGGTCCATGCGGATCCGCATCTGAGTTAATCAGATTGCACCAGTCCCTAAGCTGCTCTGCAGCATAGAACTACAAGCACAAGGGCACACAAGACAAGCACATCAGGACTCTGTGTATGGGTTACAGCCCCCTGTTCTCAATGAGGCGGAGGGATGTCACAGATCACAGATGTAATCTGAGATATTACAAGCCACCAGACTAGCACCAGGACTATCACATGCACTGCATGTGACAGTACAGTCACAGATGACTACCTCATCTGTGCAGAGGCCTGTATAGGCTCGACCAGACAAGACTATCTCGACCAGCACAAGACAATATGCCCACAACCACTAGACCCATACAGCTAGAGTCTCTGATAACATGACAAGGGACCATGCAATCACCAGCAGCAATGAAATCATGCCAGCAACAACGCAGGTATAAAGAAGGGAAACGACATCTGCCCACCTATATACCGGTAGTTCGGCTTGAGTAGCACCCTGAGGCAGGGTTGTCCTCTCTTTGCACAGAGTACTACGGAGTCCTAAAGACCTGTCAGGCATCAATTCCATACATGAGCAGACACATACACACGACCCGGTCATCAAGTGTGCTTCTTGAACACGACCTGTTCATTTGCGATGGTGGCCATTAGCTAGCATCTATTGAACAGAAATTCTTGCACGAAGGATCAGACCCACATGGATGAATAATAGGCAAGTTCAAAACGCTTTTATTGGAATTCAGGCGCACTATCGCGTCATTAGACCTGACGCGCAAAAGTACAGTAAATGGTGATCACGTCCTCCACCGAGGGAACGGTCCTTCCGACTGTTTTCTGACAACTGAGGTACCTGAAAGGACTCAGCATCTACAAGGATCAGTGGCTTATCAAACAGGAATGCTTGGACTTACTAGAACCTGCCGTCTGCCGAGGATGGACGGTGGACAGCAGAGTGCTCAACCTCCGATTCCTCCAAAATGTCGCCTGCTGCAGATAATTGCTTCACATGAGCTCACTAGGACCAACAGAAATGTGAATAAGACATCACTTCTGTTTGCTGAGCTTTCTCTCCTTCAGCCTCCTCGTCTTGGCCTTCAGCCAAAATTGAGGGTTGTGCTTGCAAGCATGCCAAAATGGCACACCACACATACCACTGATGGGTATCAACCCCATCCCTGTCCTAATTCCAAACATGATATTGTGCTGTCACGGTGGGCATTCACTGACACATCTAACGTTTTTCCTTGGAGAGGTGATTCAGAACGCACCCCGGTGGTGGCATGGCCGCGGTGGGGCCTTCAACGCCCTGCGCACCATTGCGCTCGGCTGCCATGCCGAGTTGCCGGGTTGCCGGGTTGCTGCCATGCCATGCCTGCCATGCATGTACAACGGTGTTCCCTCTGTGGGCCACAATCATGGTTCAGAGCGCTGTACATTTGTAGAGCTGTGACCTTGACTCACCAGCATGGCTTGGGGCCCTTCTGAAGTAAGGTGTGTGCAGCAGCATCAGCAGCACCCCAAGGCCAACTATTCCCCAAGGCGGACTACTGGCAACCAGACATTGCAGTTCACAAATCACTTATAAACATAGAAGGTGAGGGTGGCTGTAGGCTGGGCTTGACCCAAAATATCAGGCCGGCTTGCACGACTGGGCAGCACTGCATCCTTCTTTTACCTCCCATAGACTTGCACCGGAAGCATGCACGCGAGGCTATGAGTCAGCCCTGTATCACCAGCCTGTCATTCTCCACAGCTCCCCTGGACTCAGTTGCAGCAGTGCACTCAGGAGACTCACGTGACACAAACCGCGCCTGCAGACAGGCTTGTGACGCTCAGATCCAGTAGAATGAAAGTTAAAAAAACAGTGGCCGTCATCTTGAATGTATTCCATGCAGCAACAGCAACCCAGCCCCAAGAATCCAGAACCCTGGTCATCTGGGAGCACGTGCTCAAGCTTGCAAGTCACTGTATGAAAGATCCTTCTCTTGCTCTCCCTGACATAAAATGATCTCGACCTTGACTTAGTCCGACAGAGTAATACATGCACACAATCACCAGGACAAGACTTGTGAGAAGCCTGGCTCCAAGGACAAGGACAATTCATTCAGACATATCAAACCAAGAAGCACTCACAGCACCGGTGCATGGGAAATGGATGGGCACATGTGAATGAGCATAACATCATTATGTTTGTTAAGTTTTCATGAATGTTCTTCTGTATGTTTGCAGGCTTATATGCAGGGACGCCTGTTCTTATTTCTGTTGCAAACCATCCAACATCTGACTTCCCATGGGTGACTTCTCTGTTCCTTACTTAGCAATTTCTGGCTCTCAATGATTTCCTGGTCCCCCAGAACAGCCTGCCAGCCTGCCAGCCAAATCTGCCAGGCAGGCATCGATTCTCGAAGGCCCAGAGGCCCAAGAGATATTATAATTGGGCCACTCAATCTACACCCTGACGTTTATTTACAAATTGATACTCGTACATGTCCACCAGTATTGCAATGTCCTCAAGACACGACTTGTGAGGAGCCAGGCTACTCAGACACACTTCACACCATGAAGATCGCACAGCCTAGGTACATGGGCACATGGAGAAACATCCCAATGAAGACGTTCCTTGCTTGCAGCAATTCATCCAGGGTATCATTTGGGATGTTCACGGAGGTCTGGTCAGCTCAGGACCAGCCTGCCAGCCAGACGCAATAGGCAGGAATGAAATCTGTGAGTCTCCGCAGAGGCACAAGAGAGTGCTGTCTGGGCCTTCTGTGGGCCTGTCGCAAGGCCCTGTCAACCCTCGTTTCCTCCAGGGGTTGTGTTTGTGTGTCGAGCATCGACCCTTGCCGCGTGAGACCTGCCAAGAGGAGTTCTGTCTGGGCCTTCCCAGGGGTCTCTGTCACACCCTGGATTCAACCTGGGATTCTGTGTGTGTGGGCTTATCTCATGCGGATCGAGTCGGCAGCCGCAATGTTGGCCAGTACGTCAATGATGCGCCTCTTGTCATCGCGGAGGGCCTCCAGCTTCCGGGCAGCTTCCTCGGCAGCTTCCCGCATGGCCTTCACATGGCCCCTCTGCAGCTCTATGCTGTTCGCCACCACCTCCAAGTCGGGGAGACCGTTCTGCAGCAGAAGATGCCCAATCTCACCGCCGAAGAACGCCAGGTCCTGTCATGTTGCAGCATCCGACGGGGGCTTCAGCAGACGCACACAAGCGAGCAGTGGTCAGATGTCAACCAAGGAACACAGCGGCATCTGATCTGAAACCCCAGCACAGCAGCGAGGTCAGGTGGCATCGCCACTGGCGCTAGACAGTGACTCCATGTCTTCCTTTCTTTCTCTGGAAATAAGGGTCAGAAGACCTCTGCAACGTTTTCTGCTGTCTGGATATGGGTTCGTGGTGCCCGAACCAGTGAAAAGAGCAGCGCAATAAAACTGTTTGCAGATGCTTTCTAGCTGGGTCAGGAGCAACAGCCCCTGCATGCTCCCCTCCCTTGCGGAGACTCCCGCTTACAACGGTGGCTCAACCAATTTGCAGTCATCACGTGCCTTGCACCACCGCTAAGTATCGGCGCACCAAAAGTCATCCAATCATCTGCAATTTGCTGTGCAGCTTATCTAGCTGAGGCCGCACCTCGAGGAAGGCGTGCTCTCTGCGCGATGCCACTACGGAGTTCAGGTGCGCAGCCTCGGCCACTGTGATCCGGCCATGCAGCTCCTCCTGCAGCGCCGCGATCTTCGCCTGCGTATCCGTCACGCGCCTGCGCCACGGCCCGCACCAACATTACCACCCCGTGACACACCAACATGACTAATCTCGTGACTGATCGTAACTCCTGTCATCGACCCTCGTGGCCCTCGCGCGACGAGGCATGCAGGGCAATACACGACCCTCTATGGAGATGCGAATGCATTGACACTGTTTGGGGTTTGCGGGGCAGTGCACGACAGAAGATAGGGTCATTCTGCAACTATGACGCATGCGTCAGCCTGCCTGTATTGAGCGCGGACATTTATCCTGCTGGAATGCCCTGTGCGCATGTACAGGCAGCTGCCACGTCGTAAAACAGTCACAAGCCGCGAGGATGTGATGGTGCATGTCAGGGGAGTAGGGGCGCACTGATTGGTCACGTCACAGGCCTTCATTGCCCTGGCCACGCCCTGCGCTGCAACCTTGTGGTCGGCCACAATCTTCTTCTGGCAATCCTCCCGCATGCGCAGGTGCTGCAGTCCTTGCTCTGCAGCAGGATCAATGGCGAGGAGTCAATAATGAGCACCAGGTGAAGACAACCCAACAGGAGGGCAGCTTGTGCAGCCATTCAGAGCTTGAGCGATGTTTGCATGCAGACATGTGGGCCCAATAGAGGGGGTGCAATCCTCCTCATGCCTTTGTGTGGAGACCCCAAGGTCCATGCAAGGTGACAGCCAGAACAATCTTACTTCTGCCATCACATATGGCAAGTGTGCATGCATGTGGCAAGGCATGCGAATGCATGCGCCAAGGCTGCGCAACTGAGGGAGTGCCAGCTGTAATCAGCCAAATTTCCACGACGGGCTGGCCCACCATGGGACATCTCGACACAGTTGGCATGTTGCAGGGCACACCTGACCGGCGGGCAGTCTCTGCTTTGGCAAGAGCTTCGTTTCCCAGTTCTGTCTCCTCTGCCAGGAGCTGCATCAGTTGCGCGTTGAGCTGCGCCTTTGACGCGACGCATGAATTCACCTCCACAGGCTGCACACAGCAGGATCCTCAACAGCAGCCCTCCCAAACTCTAACTACTTAGCTCTGTGATCTGGCGTGTTTCAGGCTCACATGCATGTGGCAACACAAGGCAGTCTGTAAGTATTTGCTCCTGTCAAGCAGCCTGAGTTTCTTGTAACGCATTGTAGGAGGCCCGACACCACAATCTCTGCATGCTGTTGAGATGAGTCAGGGTTTTAAGGTGCTGTGGGTGGATGCCCACGTCCTACATGTTCTGCAAGAAATGGCAACAATGGACGAGGCAGGCTGAGTCGACCGACCTGTGATGGCTCGGCTCCTGCCTGATATTCAGGTGCGTTGTTCTCCTGCGCAGTGACCTCCCGCACTGCCTGCTGCAGTAGAGCCTGCTGCGCTGCCCACCGCTGCTGCTCAGCATGCACCGCTGCCCGCAGCTGAGGACACTGCTCCATTGCCAGCTCCAGAGCCTCCTTCGCAGTCCATTTTCGCCGAGGAGCGGGCTGCACCTGATCATTGCCCTCTCCAGGCTGTTCCTCTTCGCCGGATGGCATAGACGAGGTGTCAAATGACACCGCCTGTGTCAGAAAAACACACATCCTCGAGCACTGCCGCTCCCAACTATGTTGCTGCAGGACTGCTGCTCACAGAATGAGTGTACTTTCCCGCACCCAAAAATATGTCCGAGCTATTGTGTGGCACTGCTGGATAAATCATGAGAGAATGGGGATGCAGATATTGAAGGGAGGGACAGCAGGGCTTACCCCACGGCCGCTGGCCTGCATTCGCAGGCACCTCTGGCGCGGTTTTGGGGGTGCGGGGCACTTGCCCCTCTCGCGACCGCGACTGCGACCCTTAGGTGAGGGCTCTTTCCCGGCGCCCTTGGCGACAGCAGCGCCTAAAGATGGCCCCTCACTGACATCCCCAGATCCTGCACAGCAACACTTTTACCTCAAGACATACCGCCCTGCCAAGCATCTCCAGCAAATTGGGCATGTGCCGGGTCAGAGCCCACGCCGACAGCAACACGAGCTTGCAAATTCAATCGCCAGCTTGTGTGTTACATTGTATTCAGATCAGGGCTGGAAGGGATGCTGAAGCAGAGACTTCTAGCCATGTAGCGGGACTCAATCAACAGGGTGCATTGTTGACAGAAGCCTGGGCTGGTCACCTCCAACTATGCGGCACCTATCCTTCTGCCCCCATGCAGCTGCCACTGAGCCCCCATCGCTTTCCTCCAGTACAGGGGGCGCTTGCGCTTGCTTCCTCTTGCCGCCGCTCTGTGCATTGGCGGGCTTCTTGCCAGAGACCAGCTCAGCCCTGTCAGCATGACAGGCCCACTTGAGTTACACGATAAGCCTGGTGTACATGTTCACGACTTGCATGCCATCCCAGCAGGAGGCTGCAGGCCAGACCATTGTGACAAACCTGACATGCCCCTATGTCAACAGCAAACCTGCCTATTTCAAGCAGTCCCTGAAACATACCGGTTTTTCCATGCAGCTGCTACCATGACTCAGATAATGAAGCCAGACACATCTTGTCGTTCCTTCCCTCAGAGGACACGTCCTCTCAAGGGAAGCAGGCGAACCGGATCTCAAGCAAGAGAGAAATTTGTACAGCTGTGAGCACACCTGACGGGCTGTCCTGCGGGTGTGGCGGGCTGCAATCCGGCAGCAGGAGGCTGCCATGGGAGCAGGGCGCAGGGCGGGGCGCGGCCCGTGAAGTCCCGCCGCGCCGCACGCTGTGCCACAGGCGTCATCTCTGGCAATTTGCGCGTCATGGATTTGAGCGAACGGGTTTTGCCGCGGCGCTTGCGGCGGTGAGGATTTGGGTAAATCAGGACCCGCTCTCCCTGGGCCGGCTCCTCGACTGCCGGCGCCCTGCCAACAGCACAAGCACGTCATTCATTTGCGATCTGCATGCTTGCTTGCATGCACGTCTGCTCGACATCTTCGTGCTACAAAACAGCAAGTGTGTTGCTTATATCACTTTGCTGCATCTGCTCTAGGCAGGCTATCTGTCACCATTACAGGAAAAGGTTGCCCTACTCAAAGCTCCTTCAGTGGTCAATGTGCAAAATCACTTGCATGTGCGCCAGCCCAATGGTCCCACGAGTGTGCAAGCATACTGGGATCTCGTCTTCTCCTACCAGACTGACAAGTAAACGAGAGCAACAGACCACCAAATTAAGAGGGGTCTCACATGTCAGACTTGTCGGCCTCGGGCGCGGCTGTGCTGCTGGACCCGCCGGGGGTTGGGGCCATGCGGTGGTGGAACACAGGAGCCTCCTGCTCTCCCTGGGCAGCTTCCTCAGGAAGCGCGCTTGGGCCGGCCTCGTTGGCATAGTCCTCATATTCTTCTTCCATGGCGGGCGCCTTGCCCTTCTCGGACGCCGTTGGACCGGCTGGCAGAGCGGCTTCGTTGTCAGAGGACTCGTCGGAGGAGTCGTGCTGGAGAGCTCGGGGAGCGGCCACCTCGATGCGCCTCTTGGGGATGCGCGGCGCCAGCGGCAGGGTTGGGCCGCAGCGCAACATCTCCGTGTGCCGATTGCGGCGGCCCACCGGGGCCGGGGCGGGAGCGCGCGCCTCGCCGGCTCCTGCCGAAGCTGCACCTGGGGCGGGGCCGCGGGCTGCGGCGCGGGTTGCAGGCCAAGCCGGCGCACTCCAGTCCATGATAGCTGCAAGGGTGGCCGCGTACCCGCGGGGCTGCGCCGGTACGGCAGCTGGGCAGTGCAGCGGGGCCACGGTGCTGTTGGCGCTGTCGTTGTCGGAGTCGCCAGGGCTGTCGGCCGAGGGGCTGACGCGCGGCGGCACCGTCACGGCCGGCTCACGCGGGCCCAGAGACCACACACACCGCTGAGGCCGCAGGAGCTCGCGGCGCTCGGGGCGGAAGCGCGGCTCAGGCCGCGGCGGAGGCGGCGGCGCCTCCACGATCGGAGGGATCTCGTGGGGCTGCATCCCCGGCCGCGGCGGTGGCGGGATCACTCGAGCAGGCGGCGCTGCCGCGACGGGGGGTGCCGGGGCTGCAAACTCTGCAGGGTGCGCGATGAGGGCTACAGGAGGCGCCTCCACAGGCTGGGGCTGTGCTGGTGGCGCTGCAGCGGCAGCTAGCTGCGCAGCTGGGGCCGCTGGCGGTTCCTGGGGCTGTACGGGGCGGCTTGCTGGGCGCATGGCTTCGTTCTTGGCTGTCCGCATGTTGCCGGCACTTGGGTTTGCTGATTCGGATGGTCTTGGGCGGACAGTCTTCCTTGCAGTCCTGCAGGTTCGTTTTGGAGGCCTCGGGGCATCCTCTGAAGACTCTGAACCTTCAGCTGCGTCTGCTGAGCCCCCTGCCCCTGCCAGCCCATTAGGGTAGGCGGCTTTGCGCTTGTCCGCGACTGGCCTGTGCCCCCTTCTTGGTGCATTATGCTGCTGCTCATCTGCCTCGGTGAGCTCTCCAGCAAGCCCAGCCAGCTTGTCCATCATGGTGGTGCCCATACCAGCATCAGAATCCCTCGACATCTTTTGGTCGTGCAAGACGGCGCCTGCACCAGCACAGCATGAATGATCAGCCTCTCGAAATCTGTTGTGCGTGACAGCCCACATTGCCACCTGCCTTATTACCGTCCCTCGCCGGATAGATCTCAAAGCCCTAAAGATTGGTATCTTTGAGCTCCAAGACTTGATCTTCGAAGGACTAGGAATTTAGCCAGCAAATTAGAAAATCATGCACTCAAGGACCGTACGGAGAGGACGACGACGGACACCACGCATTGCATTTCCCTACGTCATAGTAACGCTTGTGCATCCGTAAAGGCTCAGGATCAAGCACGGGCTGCTGACCCAGTTGACTGTCCAGAGAGAACGCCCCGCTTCCCGTGAATCCAACTGGCAAGGCCAGCATGCTGGATCGCACCTTTTCAAGGAGACAAGCTTATGTTCAGGGTCCCATCAGCTTTGGGCGCCGCACAGTGTCCGCAACCAAAGTCATTTGTGGAGCCCGCGGCTCGCTTCACTCCAAGCTCTCCGATCCATCACGGTGGCGCGAGGTCGATTGTTGCGGATGAGGAATCACGCAGATCGGGGTTTCAGGTGCGAGCCATGCCCTAATGAATCCCTCTGTGCCAGGGGAAGTGCCATAAATCCTGAGGCACGAGTCAGCAAAGGTAATAATGGCGACAGTTGCCCGTTTCAGGGCTCTTCTCCGGGGCGTCAGGACAGTTGGAAATGCAAAACATTGAGGGATGGTGCTTCTTCTAGCTAGACGTCCAGATCGCGCCGCTTCGTGCTAGGGGCTCCACCACAACGAGAGCAGTCCTTGTTCGTCATTCACGTGCGTGGGTATCTGCGGTTTTGGGTCGTTGTCTAGGCAGAGTTGGGTCCTTTCTGGCGGGCATCAGGCGAGACACACACGCTGGGGAAATTTGCTGGCAGGGTGTGAACTCCTGGTGGGCTGAAGGAGGTATTGTCGCGGAGCCTGCTGCGTCAGTTGCCCCTTGTGTCTCGATGGTGCACTTTTTGTTGCCAACGTACTTTTCACCCTCGTATTCTCGTAGGAGAAGTGCTTTTGCTGATACTTACCCTAAACAAATGATCGTTGTGCAGATCAGTGTCTCCCAGCTGGTACGGCGTTGGGGCCAACATGGCGGTCCAAATTGAAGCACCAGAATCCCCAACAAAGCATGCAGATGGGGAGGTGGACGACAGGAAGGCACGCTGCAGGCATGTCCTGACCCATGGATTTCCTTTTTGCCTGAGTGGCGTGCGCCCCTGAGCGCAATTGACACATGGACTCTTTGTTTAGGTGTCCCAGAGACAGATTGAGGGTGCAAGGTGGAGGCTTTTGCCCTGACACGTGGTCCTTTGGTTCTGATATTGCTATAGCAGGGGAATTTTGACTTACCCTGATGTCAAACACACCGTTGCTGTGAGTCAACCCTGGTGACATCTGATGTGCCCTGGATTTTCTGCAGGCAAGTCCGCACGACGGTGGCGCTCATGCTCAGCTTCATCGTGGAGAAGGCGGATGAGATGATCCTTCCAGCAGGTGGGCACCTGGATTCCCTCATGTGCTTTCTTCGTCTGCAGTACAGCTCAGCTGGATAATTTCCTGTGGAATATCTGCTTGCTAATGCCATGCAATCGCGTGCATGCACCTATGGCCCTTTTCTGTCTTGAAGAAATATTTTCATGCATGTTGGATTGAGAGCAATCTGAGCTGATATATCCTGCACCCTTAACGTGTACGACGTGCCTGCAAAATGGTGAAGTGGGAGCACCCATGACTGGTGATGGTGGGAGTTGATCTGTGTGTGCTGTCACGCGCAGCCTACAAGTTCATTGGGCAATCGTTGAACGCCACCCCTGCGCAGCTGGGCAGCATCACGCTCACCCGCGCGCTAGTGCAGGCGCTTTCGTCTCCCCTAGGTCAGCCTCCCTGCCCTATAAACCGCCTCATCCTTTGCACATTCGTATTCCCGCTTCCGAAGTGACTACCTTCTTCCTTAGATTTCAATCAGCCTTGCATTGACTGCTGTGCCTCCATGAATCTTTGCACACAAGCTGCATGTCTTGGATGCGGAGGAATGGTGACAGGATTATGCTATGGTGAACTGAGGCTTGCTTTGGTGGGCTGCTCAGGTGGGCTGCTGGGAGATCGGTTGGACAGGACACACATCATTGCATTTGGGTGCTTCCTGTGGGGAGTTATGACGATGGCCATCGGCTTATCTACCACCCTCACTCAGGCATGCATCACTCCAGCGGCCACCAGAACACCATGATGTGCCATGCGGCATGCATGCCAAACTCCAATTGCTGCTCCAACATTCTGTCTCTTCCTGTCCGCATAGACCCAGCAAGCTTCATGCTCCAGTCGGCGTTCCCTTGCATTGCCCATCAAAGGTTGCCTCTAGATGGTAATGGCTCTCTGTTGACTGCATTGGCGCTGCCTATTGCGATTCCGCAATTGTGATACTGTTATCTTGACAATTTATTGTTTTCTTGCAGGCGATGAGCTTCTCAGCGTGGAATGGGCTTGGGTTGGCGTTAGTCATCCCATGCGTTCAGAGTCTTATAGCAGACGTTTACTCCTCCACCACACGGGGACGAGCATTTGGGCTGCTCTTCCTCACGTCAGGGCTTGGTACGCATCACATGCATCTTCCAAGCCAGTTTATTTGAGTGTGGGCAGGTCATGCAAATCCATGCAGGTGCTGCAAGAAGCAAAGGAATGTGCTGCCCTCCATTGAATGCGAGTAATCCCTGCTGGTGATCCTTCATCAGTGCAGCAGAAGAGTTACACCATCCGTTAGTCACCACAGAGTAAAGCGACGAGGAAGACCAGGAGAGCTGTGCATCTGCAGACCTGCGACTATGACATTTCCCTTGCTGCAGGGGGTATGGCGGGGGGTTTTTTTGCGACCAGCATAGGCAGCCAGAAGCCGTTTGGGGTGGATGGCTGGCGCTTTGCATTCTTTGTCATCGCTGGCATCAGCGTGTGCACCGGCTTCCTCACCGCCTTCATGGCCTCCGACCCCCGCAAGGTGCATACTTCCGCTATTCTTGGGAGAAAGAAACCCTGATCTTCTGGAAACGGAGAATTTTCTGCATGTTGACAACATTGCCAAGCACCCTGGCTGGAATGCATGCTGCTTGGGGAAGGTGCGAATGGCATTTTGAGTGTAGTGATGCAAAGCGCAGCACTCTAGAACGAAGGGATGCTTGCACTTGTTCAGCAGACACTTGATAAATCAGAACTGATGCCATGACATGGCATCAGATGCCAAGACAGCGCATCCCAGACCGCAGAGATGTCTTAGAGATGCTGATGAAAAAGTTCATGCCATTGTACCTGCTGAAAATTTACTGCGTCCTGGCACAGGGGGAGCTGAGGAAGTGCGGCGCGAACCGGCGGGAGTGCTTTGGGTGGCTCTGCCAGCGCAGCCGCGAGATGGCGCGGGACATTTACCTCGTGCTGCGCGTTCGCTCCTTCCAGATCATTGTCCTCCAGGTGGGTTTTTTTTGGATGCACAAAACACACATGGCAGGCATGCGCGCAGCTGCATGTCCTTCACGCCAGTTTTTATAAAACTGCTTCCCCGAGTGTGCACGCCTGCAATGTGCTCGACGGCGTTGGCTTGGAAGGCATGCATGGCCATGCTCAGGGCTCATGCACAAGGTAATAGTGGGCAGCAAATGTGTGTCAGACCCGACACTGTGCGCCTCGTCGATGCACAGGTGCTGGCCGTGTGTAAGCATTTCCCAAATGGACCAGGGACGACTCGCGAAAGTTTATTGTAGTGCACCGATTATGCCCTTTGGCACGTGTGCTTTGTGCTTTTACCACTCATTGTTTCATCGTTCCTCAACCTCAGTGGGAGAAAAATACTAAGCCTTCATGTGAGCGTATTGTTTTTTTTTGCATTGGATCCAAGGAACGACAAAACAACGTAGTAGGCAGCTTCCCGCACCTCAATATCCTCTATTCAACCACCCCGCATGCTGCTTGACAGTATTCTTGTGCGCCCGTGTGCGCAGGGCATAGTGGGGACGATGCCGTGGGTGGCCATGGGCTTCACGACGCTCTATCTGCAGCTGCTCGGATTCTCCGACATAAAAGCCGCCACGCTCGTCGCCCTTTTCGGCCTTGGCTGCGCCCTTGGCAGCTTTGGCGGCGGCTATATCGGTGCGCTCCTGCCACATGACTTCTCACTTTTACAGCATGCACTGTTCTAAGGCATGCACTGGGCAGGCCGGACGATTGGGACAGCCCTCTTGAAAATGTTCACTCTTCCCTGTCAAGAACACTGTTCTTCCCATTCCATCCTGCCTGTTGCGGCGTGCTACGAGGTCGGATGCTCGTGACCCAGCTACTCTACTGTGCTGAGCCTTCCTGCTTTGCAGCATAATGATGGCTGTGGCTAATGATGATGACCTGAGGAGATCACCGCTGACCCCACTGGCTGATGCATGCAGGCGACATGCTGACCAAGGCCTTCCCAAACTCGGGGCGCATTATGGCGGCGCAGTTCAGTGTTCTCATGACCTTCCCCTGCACGCTCGTCATCTACAAGTGCCTCCCAGTGACGGCCCCCGGCGGCATGGACACCATGGTTCTGCCCTACGCCGCGGTCTTCTTCTTCACCGGCCTCCTCATCAGCTGGTGCGCCTCTCTTGCTCAGCACTTACCTTGCAGTGCTGTGTCCTCAAGGACTGGGTAGGCTTTGTACTATAGCTCTGGTGCTCCTCTCCTGCTGCCTCTTGAACTGGTTGCTCGCTCTCAGCGCTCTTTATTTTAGGACTGAGTGGCAAGGGAGGTTCCTTAGGTTGCCAGGGTGCAAGCACTTACTTTGCTGTGTTTAGCGCGTCGGTCGAGTTTACGGTTTTCACTGCATGCAGACAAAATGGGAGAGTGATAACAAGTGCATCAGGAGGTCTACTGTGAAATTGTTGCGCAGGTCTGGGACAAACAACAGCGCAATGTTTGCGGAGATTGTGCCGGAGCAGCTGCGGTCGGCCGTGTACGCATTCGACCGCTCCTTTGAGGGCGCCGTGGGAGCCACTGCCGCGCCACTAGTAGGTGAGCGCATAAAGTATCTCCTTTCAGCTTGTACAATCTGAACGGGAATGCGCATGCAGATGCATGTGCCTCAAAGCAAGCACTGGATGTTCATGATCTGTCCGGGCAGACTTGGTGCCCTTGCTTCCTGCAACATGGCGTTTTGTGTGTCGGTCCTAGACACATACCGCTGCGCATCAAAGAATGCTGCTATTTCATCTTGCAATCTGGAAGTTTGGCGTCTTTTGTAGGCATGAAGGCAGCTAGAAAGCAGATCCGCAGAGCATGCATCTGACTGAGCGTCTGCTCCTTTAATGTCTCAATACACACGCACCCTGACATGCTGGGGATTTGCAGGTTTGGTGGCGGAGAAGGTGTTTGGGTTCCGAGGCTCGCTGGGGTCGGAGGCTGTGCCGGACGCGGCGCTGCAGCTGGCCAACGCGCACGCGCTCGGCAATGCCATGCTAGTGCTCTTACTGGCGCCCTGGGGCTTTGACTTCATCTTCTACTGCGGTGCGTCCCCCAGCTCCCTCTGCACCCTGTGTTATCACTTGCTTTGCTCCTCATTCAGTCATCTTAAGCTCCCTCTCCCTGCTGCAATGTCAGGAAGTTTTGCTTCTCGCTTGCATATTTTTTGTGAAGCTTCCGAAGGCTCTGGCATTGATGAATGTGAGGCGGCGTGCTGTGGGCACTGGTTCTGAATCTTCCCTGTTACTTTGTGGCCTGCTCGCTGTTCTGATAACTCAATCAAGGATATGTGCAGCCCAGAAGGCAGGCCATGATGTGCTCTGATAATGCGCAGGGCTGTACTACACGCTGCCGAAGGACCGGGAGCGCAGCCGCACGCTGGGGCGGCTGCTGACGTACACGCAGTCGGACGCCAACCTGTGCGAGCTGGGCCGCATCCCCGCGCCCGACAGCGACCAGACCGACTCCAACCTCGGCAAGCTCAGCATGCCCATGAAACGCTCCAGCAACCCCACCGAGTTTTTCTCTTGAACCTGCCCAGGCAGCGCCGCCACATCAGACCGGGCTTTCTGAGGAGGCTCAACTGCAAGATCAGACAGGCCAGGCAAGGCTCGGTTGCTAGATCTACTAGGCACAGCCGCCTGGTTTGGCGCTGAAGATGTGAGATTGTGGCAAGGCGGACTCAGTTGCAGGCGGCTCAATGCAGCCTGATCGAACAGCCGGCAGAGCTGCAGCTGCGCGCGTGGCTTTTCATTGAGGAAGGAATGGTTTGATGATGAGGCTGCGGGGGTTTAGTGTGGGATTGGGCGGCAGAAGGGCTTCAGTAAGGGAGATGCATGACTCGTCATGTCATGCTTAGTAATGGGAGGGAACGTCAGGGTGCTGGAACAGTGCAGAGGTATGGATTGCTTAACAGAAATGCCTCGGGCATGAGATCCTCTGTCACTGCCAGCTGGCGAGGGCGGCCCGGCAGTGTCCTTGTACTATTCTTTCTCCGTTCCGGGAAGCATGCACCGGCGTGCTTTCCTGACTGTGTCAGTCTTATATGGAGGGCACCCTTCATGGCTGTCGTCTTTCTTCCTGGCATCGAGGTGCCAGGCTTGTGGATGCAGCGCCGTGCGTTACTTGGTCTTCCTTCCTGCGTGAATACGAGAACATTACAGTATCGAGAGATCTTCATTCGGCAGAGGGAGGTGCGACACGTGCGCACAAGGAAAGTACAGTTGAACAATGCTGCGGAGGGGTCGAGAGCTCTGCTGATCTACTTTGTCCGAGGCTGCTGCCTGGCGTGAGTTTAGGTTGGATTTCACTCCTACACCTGTGTCCTACTCTAGATTGTGGCTGACACAGCATGCCTCAGGATTACTGGATTAAGCTGCTGATCAACACTGGCACATACATTAGCGATTCATTTCGGTGAACAAATGGACCTCTTTGGTCAGATTCTATGGGTGCCAAGTTGATGAGATTTTCCTCATTTGGGACTTGTTGAGGCACCCTGCGCTAGGGCGCCCCAGACAGTCGGGATTTCAGAGAGCATTGCAAAGTATGCGAAGCTAACATATGCAATTGTCATGATCGGCAAATGAGCATTAGCTATTGAAGAGGGACCTCTGCTTCTTAGCGCAATTCATGCCTGATCGGTCTGTGTGAGATGGTCAGAAAACGTTGTACAGGTATCCAGATGTGCTGGGCAGAATAGACTGTCTTCAAGCGTCACATGTAGATAGGGTGTTTCAGGCTCAATTCTAGCCTCCCTTGATCTCTGCAGGAGACGGCATGGAGGCTATTGGGGCGGCAATTTCTGGTGCAAGCATGTTCCAGCATGTACGCCCATTGAATGCATGCATTAAGTAATAGGGACGTTCTCTATTGATATTTGTCTCTGTAGGGATGATGCAAATCTCCCAGGTCAACTCTTTCAGATTGTTGTAGAACGCTTATATAGCAAAACGTTTCATTCGTCCCAAGTGCTATCTTAAGCCATGTGGCAACGAGTCAGCAGGGTCAAGAAGCGCTCTGTGTAATTACATTCATAAATTCACAATTGCCTGATATCATCGATGCGCACAGCCTCACTGTCTCTCCCCCTTGCACGCATGTAGCCAGTCTACAATCAGCACTGGCCAGATAGAGGTCTCAGAGGCTCTCGCACCTAGAGGTCATTTTGTCCCTGTGCTCCAGAGGAGTCCATTTTGGGAGATCACATGTGGACCCTAACAATCAAGTGCTGTTGTGAATGCAGCTGTACGCTGCGCAAATGGCCTCCCGCATCTAGGAGCAGTAGCGCGCGCCGGCTGGCATCAGTCGCTTTGTGGATTTATTACTGCTGGCCCTGCCAGTAATCTTTCCTCTTTGAGATCACTGCTGCAGCTGCGCGTGTGTGAAGGCAGCCAGCATGGCCATGTAAGTTGAAGTGTACGGGAAATTTGCTGCATCTGCGGTGGATCAGAGGCAGGACTCCTCTGACACTGCCAGGCAATGAGAGCAGCAGATGCGGACAAATGTCTATGATGCGTTGTGGAGGATCTGCATGTCATATTCATTACAGGCGCAGCTCATAGATTGACAAGGTGAGGATTCCCAGATTTTAAAACGCTGAGCGCTGTGTCAAACTGAGCTCTGTTCTTGTTGGGGTGCGCGGCAGGCTGGGATTCGCTGGTATGGGGCCTGTCTCCAGGCCACAGAATTGAGCATTTCTTATGTCAGAACTCCCCTTGCCAGAACCTCCAAAGGAGCTGCCACTGCAAACCAGCCATGCCACATTGGGCGGGCAAGGCTGCTAAGTCTTGCGGTAGGCAATCATCCCACGGCCATCTCACACAGGGTCTGATGAACAAGCAGCAGCTGCTATGCACGTCCTCGAAACGGAGCACACCCAGCACAGCACTCCACGCCTGGGCCCAAGGGCTGACCCCAAGCACGCATCAGCAAATCACTCCACTGTCACACGCCTGCATGGGCAGGACGTGCTGCAGGCCTGGCAGGGATGACATGCGGATACACCATGTAGCGTAACCCGCCCACTGACTGCACCACCCCTAAGTGCCGTCGCGAAGATGCAGCGGCGGACTCTGTCCCCCAGCCGTGCCTGTCAGGAAGCCCAATGCGCGCCTGGACCGGCCTACTTGGGCTTGTCTGCTCCTGCCTTGCCCTCGGCTTCCTCCGCCGGCGGCTGCATGGCAGGCAAAAGCTTTAGGATAGGATCAAATACTCTGGATTGATGAGCAAGGGTTCCGGACGAAGACATGGAGCCTTGTAAGGTGAAGCCTCTGCAGCATGACCACACAATGACACCAGAAAGACAGTGGGCCCTCTGTTGCGACTCGAGCAACCCAACAGAAGTACAGTAATTAGAGTATCTCCTGAGGGCGTTCACGACAGAGCTGCACTATTTCGTGGGTTGCACACCGGCGCCAGGGCGAAGGGTGACAGGGGTCCGGAGGGTGTGGGTGCTAGCGCAGCAGGTGGATCCACTGAAGGGATGGAGGCCGGTGCCATCGCAAACGGCGACAGCGGCCCAGCCGGCGCGGGCGCGGCGGCCGGCATTGGCGGCGGCGGCGGCCGCTGCTGCGGCTGCGCGGCGGCTCGCGCGAAGCTGACGGATGTGTGCTTTGCGATGCGCTTGGCGATGGAGCGGATGCCGACAGTTCGCAGGCGCATCGCAGCCGTCGCTGCGTGGGTCGTCGCCTCGGCCGCATGCAGGCTCACCTCCCCGGCATCAGCCCCATACCTGCGCAGGGCAACAATGTGATAATTCAGCACGCCACAGACAACATTTAACGGCTTACCTTGCCCTGGATTCAGACGTTTGGGAGCTCATTTAGCTGAGCACATTGTCAAAATTCTTCTACAATTTGAGATGCGATACAGCATGAGCACCTTCAGAAGGCCCTGACGGCAAGATAGAAAAATGTGGCGGGCTGCAGCATCACAACGCAAGCCCTCGCACAGAGTTGTGGGCAAGAGTGGAAGCAGCAGCGGCAGGCGAACACATGTCCAGAACAGTGCAACAGAGCAAAACGGTCACGACACAGGGGCACTATTCACGTGCATGTTCAAGAACAATCGCTTGTTCAAGAGGAGAGACACACTTGTGGCCGACGAGGTCGGCGGTTGCCTGCCCAGACGAGGCAACAACAGTCTTCGCAGCTTCCTCCATGGATGTGTAGATCTCCACAGCCGCCACCAGCGAGGCAGCTGCGATCTCCTGCGCAGCTTCCGCCCGGCTCTGCCCCCCGGCGTTCAGCTGGCGGCCAAAGCCGGCAGAGGGCCCCACGCGGCGCACGATGCTGTCTGCCACACGTACGCTGATGTCAGCCGCCGTCTGACTCACCCGCCCCGCCACTGAGGCACCCTTCTTTGCAAGGTCTCGCCCCCTACGTATGTGTGCCTGCTCGCACGTGAACGGCCATTTTCCTCGGGATTTGAAATGTTGATAGTGTGCGGCAGACATTCAGCTTCTCCTCATCATGCGACGTTAGGAAGACTTGATCACTTTAGAGCCATTGAGTGATGCATGCCTGGGCACATATGATATTGAGAATAATTCAGTGGAACTAGAAGCACCTTCAGCTCTGGCGATATCTGAACTGGATGGGTCGGCTTAATGTCCTGCTGCCATCTTTTGCTCTGCTCCATGATCTTCTGGCTAGCCCATGCTGCTGACATCGCAATGGCCTCCTGCACCTTTGCTGTGCCTGCAGAGCCAACCCAGAGATATCATGACGTGCTCAAATGCTCAAAGTAGGATGTGGTGACAGATATACAGTGCCAGAGTGATGCCAAGTGCACATCACTCTCTGTCAACAGCTCCGTAGAGGCAACCTTTGTCTCCATATTGAAATCCGTCTCACCATGTCGCCACCAAGTCAAGCATGTCTAAGACACATCCGCAGTACATGAGGCATCTTCTCTAAAAGAAAGTCATGCGCAGGACACAGTATATCTGGGAGCCGCACCAGCGGCGATCCTGCCTGCATGAGACGACCCAGCTTCGGCGGATGCTTCCTCCTCTGGAATGGAGGGGTAATCCGCAGTGGGGTCATGCGCGGCAGCTGCGGATGCAGATGCTGTTGGAGAGTCGCCCAATTTTGGCGCAACTGAACTGGTGCTGGCCTGCTGGACCTGCAGCACCTGTGCCACGGCCTCAGTGGCTGCTGGCGTCGACAGGGCTGTCGGAGAGGCATCCCCTTCGCCCAACAGGGCCTTTGTCACGAAGTTGAAAGCCTCCCTGATGGCCTCCTCATTGAGTGCACCTGCCAACTGGAAGGCTGTGCACTCTCCCAAGATCTCCTCAAACAGTGCATGATCTGCATCCGGGGTCCCTGTGCAAGCACAAAGGTTAAGCTCACTCATACCATATCACTAGATGTTCCCAGTGTACGATCTGATATGCGCAACAACATACAGCAATCACTCAATAAAGTACTTCAATAAATTATGACCATGTGCAGAGCACTGCATGGACCACATGACATCTGCATCTGGCAAAAGATATTAGCGGTCAAAATATCTGCGGCACAGGCCAGGCTGCAAGCTGGACCGTGTGAATCCCTCTGCCCAACAAGTGTAGACAAAAGCACAGGTATAATATGCGAAATTTGATGCTGACACAGCAGCAGCAGCTGACGCGCAGCTGGTACTCTGCTGGCAGCAGTCCACATGGTGCAGCACGAAGGAGGGAAAGGCAGGTAGAAGACAGGGCATCAGCTACATGGAGTGGAAAACATACCAGTGGATATCAGGACTGAGTAAAATGCTGTGCCTCCTTTGACTGCAAAAACGTAAGCATACGCTCCGCTCTTTAAAGTTGGGCTGGTTCTCTCTAAAGGCCAGCTTGTTGAGCCAACCTGCAGCCATCCTCAGACCCTGAGTCCTGCAAATGCCTCCCCGAAAACATGGCTCGAAATAATCGAGGCTCGAGCCTTCAAAGGAAGGATACAGAGGAACAGGGCAAGGAAGGTCATGCCTGAGCAGTAATCGGTGAACCATCCTGGTTCGCTCTTAAGCTCAGCGGTCCCTTCTCGACGATTCTCTCCCTACCAGCCTGCACCTATTGATGGAACAGGAGGGAAATGAGTTGCCAGAATATAGAGCAGAGAACAGAGCAAGTGCTCGATCCAAAGGCTCTTGGGCACTGAGGGCTGCTCTGCACCCAGCAGACGACGCACCAGATGGAGCTCGGCAGCAGGGATCAGCACCAAGCAATCTGTTTCGCTTCTCGGCTGCCTGTTGTTCCGCTCCGCCATCCGTTTGCCTGCGGGGGCTTTGCCGGGCAGCGCCTGATTGATCGCCTCAAGGCCGGAGCATCTTCTGCTGCAACAGGCCCTGCCAGCTGCGACACGCAAGCGATCTGCACGCTTTCATCGCCAAACAAAGGTGTGTCTGGCGCCCAGACCGCCCGGGGAGAGCAGGAAAGCAGACTGGCGGATCTATGCGGAAGTTGGTCAGTCATCGATCAGTCAGCGGGGGCACACAGACACAAAGACAGGGCACAAAGACAAGGCAAAAAGACAGATCAATCGTTGCAGGCTCCTGAGAGTGTGGGAGCAAGTTTAGATCGCAAATCCCCTCCGAACAAGATTTGGGCTCCCTCTAAATTTGGAAAAGCGACCCATGGACATTCCAGTGTCGTGCTGGTGCTCTGCCCCAGGGATAAACAGTATATTTCTTAGCCATCGCAGACCATATAAAGCACATCGTGCGGCCACCAGAGTGTCCTGTGGGACTGTTGTGATCGATGCGCCAGGCAGTGCAGCGAAGCAAGGTGCGCCGTGTGCGCTTGCGCTGTGGTTCTCTTGGTGTTGTTGCTTCTCTTGGTGTTGTTGTTTTCTTCTTGTCATTTGAGACTATGGCGCTCCTAGGGGCGATGAATGGAAGCAACACACATTCACACAACCATCTGGTGACTAGGTGGCAGTTCAAACCAGAAAGGGAGTGACCCTGTCTTGGTGGTTGGTGCCGGCATCGGAGGCCTTGCAACTGCTGCAGCCCTCCATAAGGTCTGCTTGACTTGCTCGATCATCTGTCTCTTAAGTGCCCATCTGCATTGGGATTCATCCAACCACGGAAAAAAGCATTTGCACTATCTGGCATGCAAACAGTCTGCACATCGCATATCCAGAACATGCAAATGCACTCACACTAACAAGTATCTCAACAAGATCAGCGAGGAAATCCATCAACACCATACATCGCAGGTGGGTATTCCAGTGAGGGTGATAGAGCGTGAAAATGGGCCGAGGCGTGAGGGCAGCGCGATTGGCCTGTGGCCCAACGCATTCAGGGCTCTGGACGCGCTCGGAGTGGCCAAGCCGTTGCGAGAGGCACACCCGCTGTTCGACAGGTAGTGAGCCTAAGATTCATGTGCCAGACTGACAAATAAATCATTGCAGAAGCATCAAAGCTAGATTTCAAGGGGGGCCAGGTTATGTAAAAAACACTACCTGGGCTGCCTGTTCTGTTGGCGCTTGATTGTCAAGAACCCAGCCGTGTGGAATCATAAGCTCTGGCTTTACAGCACGTGCACAGCTTGCGGACATTGCCTTGGAATGTATGCATGCAGGGAGCACAATCACCCCTGACTAGTCACCTAGCTCTATGTGATCATCAGCCCTGTCTGAGCTCCCTCAGTGGGATAGACGGCCTTGCAGTGACATGCTGAGGCCATGGGTCTGCGCAGGATAGAGCTGTGCAGGGAGGACGGCAGCAGCCTGCGCACGGTGCTCATAGATGAGTGCACGGGGGCGCCGCACGAGTTCCGGGGGGTCTATCGCGGGGGCCTGCTTCGCGCGCTGCAGTCCGCTGTGCCCCCCGATTGCATCCGATATGGCTGCGCCGTGAGCAGCGTGGATCAGGATGACACCGGTGTTCTGCTGCCTGAATTAGCCACTGCAGGCTCCTCTGCTGTGATGCAATGATGCCCTGTGTTCATCTTGTCTAAATCTTTGATCGGCCTGCAATGCTGGCATGACATGAAAGGAATTGTCCTTGCACAGGTGTAGACCTCCCCGTGATCATGTTGTGCATCTTGACCTCTGATATGCACAGCACGATGACTAGGAGTTGTCTGTTGTGCATGCAAACCTGGCTTGGAAATTACACTGCTAAGTACTGCAGGCAGGTTGATTAGCGCAGCTTGAATGATGTGGAGTGTTGAGTGGTGAGCTGGCGTATGGCACAGGGGTGGATATTACGATGGAGAGCGGGGAGCGAATGCGCGCGCCGGTGGTGATTGGAGCTGATGGCGTGCGCAGCAGGATTGCCAAAGCGCTCGGCCTGGGGGAGGCCAACTATGCAGGCTACATCGCCTACAGGTGCCCCGTTGCAGATCGCTCTGGACCCGTCCTTTCTGTTGTGTTGCCACCTGCAGTGCCCGAGCTGCTTCCTAGGGCACATGATGTGCAAGCCATGTCTGACTCCCATTTCCCTCAATGAATATGGAATCTGACAAATGAATATGCTTCATGTGAGTATTTGACTGCATCCAAGGGAAGGCACATTTCTTGCAAGCTTAGTCAGGGCTTAGTCAGCGTGTTCGCTGGTCTGCAGGGGCGTGGCGGTGTTCGAGGGCGGCGTGCCGATGCGCATGAACTCAGTGCGCATGCTGTGGGGCAGCGGCGTCCGTGCGGGGCTCTACCCCCTCTCAGCCACCGAAGCCTACTGGTTTACGACCTGCAACAGCAGCTCGGTGCGTGCTGACTGGTCTTCAAATTGACCTGCTTGCACCTGCTGGCACTGTGAACTTGGTGTTAAAACTGCAGATCATTCACAAAGGATTCCCTGATGCCCAACATGCATGTGCCCTCTCTTGAAGTGGACACATGAAATCACTGCTCAACTCTGATGCAACCAGTATCTTTGCTGCTTGTAGCAGTGACCAGGAGCACCTTTTAGCTCGGTCGCCAGAAAACTGCTTCGTTTTGCTGAATTTGGCAGTTGTGCATGGGGCGCAGACAGCGGTTATCACAGACCCAGAGGAGTGCAGAGCGGACGCTCTGGAGACGGTGAAGGGCTGGAGCTCTGAGATAACAGATGCCATCAAGTGCACCCCTGCAGAGCGCATCACCCGCAGCAGAATTGCCGACAGGTGACCTGACCCTGCCTATGCAATGAGAGTCCTCGCAAATCATCATATCTTCTGCTTCACCTGATAATTCATACCTGCTCAAGAATCTGGTGGTGGCGTATCTGGATGTATACAATTTACATCAGCAATGGTTGTGTGCCGCCTTTCCGCGTCAATTTCATATAAGATGTGCGCGCAAGGAGGCGGCTCCAAGCACGTGCTGGCCAGTGTTTAATGCAGGAGAGGGTCTTCGTGCAGGTGGCTAAAGCCAGGACGGCCGTTCGGCTCGGGGCGTATTACCCTGGTGGGCGACGCGGCACACCCCATGACGCCCAACCTAGGACAGGGCGGCTGTGTGGCGCTTGAGGTGCTGCAGACCCGCCACCTGCCACGTCATCATTTCAGCCTTCTGCCATTTCCTCAGCAGTCTTATGCTTGTCATTGTCGTTTCTCTACTGCACATCACCATAATTCTCCCACCAAGCAATGAAGGACATGAATGTGTGACAAGGATACGATATTACATTACCGTATGGGGACAAAGCAAAAGGTTCCTGCCCATTTGTGCCTCTCCCCCTCATCTTTGATGCTGCATTTGGAAGCAACTGTGCAGAACGTTTAGACGACTTGCTGGCACTACTGCACCAGGTTTGCTGGAACTTGCACAACAGCGCTGTCTGAGAGCTGCGGGCTGATGCGCACAGGATGCAATCGTCCTGGCGCGGGCCCTGAGGGATGTGATGGGCCCAGCAGCATCGACATCAGCGGCTGATGTCAGCACGGCGACATCAATCCAGACGGCGCTGAGGGAGTATGAGGTGGAGCGCAGCAGCCGGGTGCTGAAGATATCCGTGCGCTCGAATTTGATGGGCACCGTGCTGCAGATACCCTTTGCCCCTGTGAGCGCCCACCCTTACCTGCTGGTGTTCTTGAAATAAGCCCGAGTTTGCTTCAGACAGTCTGGCCTGAACAAACGGATGTTCATTGGTGTCACTTGCTGGCAGGACACTGTTTGACTTCTGGAGATTTCATAATTATAGCTATCGCTCAATTAAGTCCTCAAGGCCTGTATTTTGCATGCCTTGCTGAAACGGACTGCACTTACAGCTTGGTCATTGCTTGCTTGCAGGTTGTTGCAGCACGCAACTACGCTGTGGAGAAGTTTCTGCCGGTGAAGGACTTCCTGGATCATGCCAGCTATGACTGCGGCACGCTCTGAGAACCGCGTTCTTGTTGTTGAGGAGTGGAGACTGGATGACTTTGATGTGCCATTACGTGTAAATTGGTCCTGTACAATTTTGGTATTGAAAGGACACTGGCAACTGGCCAAAGTGCTGTGATTTGAGATGTTTCAAAACGCGAGACCACGTCACACTCTGAAGGGTTTTCCAGTGAGATTTACACTGCGGTTGTGATGCCGCCATGATAACGTCATGGGACTCGTGGTCAGAAATGTCATAATTCCACCACTGGCACTTGTCAGCTCGCACTACATGTACAGGCATGCATGTGCCAAGGTGGCAGTAGAGATATACAGTGAAATATTAAGGGTCAGAAATGATTGCTGAAGTGTCTCGTTCAATGGCAACAATACTAGTCTGCACGGCATATACTGCATGTTTCTATTGCACGCGCCCTGCCTTGCTGTCTGCGTTCTCTTTCGGTTAATTCGTCTTGCAACGTTCGCTAGTCTACGTCTGTAGGTACGGCAGCACAAGTCGTGCAGTGAATCCCTCATTTCTTCATTCGTTGTCCAATGGGTATGTCATCTTCCGAGTCAGATCCTGGGTCCCCCAAGCCCCCATCTGCAAATGCCACATCCTGCACAACCCCACATCATGCCAAAGTTAATCATCAGCAGCGCGTGTAACAAGTGGGCAACTGAGTCATACACTTCAGACATCATACATGGTGACAGTGACCTCAGGTCACTGACCAGCCTCTCTGTCTCTCAGCAACACCATGACCGGGACATGTCTACAAATTAAAGGGAGCTGGCAGTATCGCGAGTAATCTGACGCCATACCTTAGACTTCTTGGCGGGTCGCTTGGCCGGGGCAGGCTTCTTGGCTACGGGCTTTTTGGCCTTGGCTCTCTGTGCAAGGGGGACCTCGTCATCGCTGTTGAACTCCTCATCGCTGCTGCTCTCCTCCTCACCCTCGCTCCACTCTGCGGCAGCAGTCACCATCAGTCTCACATCCAGGATACCATCGGCTGCAGCTGCATGCAACTTCAATAAGCACCCTGCTCCTATCGAATAGCAGCAGACTCCTCAACACCACGTCAGCCTAACAGACTCCTCAGCCTCTTTTTTCATGCGCACGGCGTCATACAGGTGAAAACCTCAACGAGTCTCCTCGCCATACAGGTAACCAATGGATGTACTGCAGGCATGTTGTGAGCAAGGATTGATTGCATATGTGCATCTGGGGGCAGGAGTTGATCTTCTGGTGGAAAGCTCATGGGGGCCCACGAGGTACAAGGCCGCACCTGCTTTCCGCTTCTTGGCGCCCGGTTTGGCGCCTGATTTGGCGCCACCGTTGGCGGCCGGCTTCTTGCCATTGGCCTTGCGGGAGGCCCCTGCGCTGGCGGAACCCCCGCTGCGGCCCGTGGCGCCGCCCGCGCTGCTGCCTGATTTCCTCGACGGCTTCGAGGGCGACCTGCGACGCGTGGCAGGAGATTGAGTGGCAGTCATTTATATTGGGGCCCTGGGGAATGCGCATCCATTGTCTCCGTTTGTCCTGCTTCACTGTGACACAACGAGGCTTGTGCGCAAGCAGTGCCCCAAATCTTCAATGCGGATCGGCGTTGGGTATAGCAAGCAGACAGCGTTGCAATCGCTGGTGAAAGCTATATTGGGCACCATTGGATCATGGCATGCTGAGCGCCAATGATTGTGGGCCATATCCTAGGACGCAGGTGGCTTGGGTGTGAAGGCTGCATTTACTGTAATGGAAGTTGAAAGGCAAGCAGTTGCGCACTTGTTGTTCTTCCCTTTGGCAACCTCCTCCTGTGCCTCCTCCAGTGGTAGAAGACCGGTTTGTAACAACCTGCCACAAGCACGAGGTCGCTCACCATACACTCACAAGAAAATGCAAGAGGCAAAGGCGTGAATGATAGATAGCCTGCCTGTCCCATCCTTCTCAAGGCCTGATCTCAGGGAGTCCGGAGTATTTACTGCATGTGGTACCAGAAAGGCTGATGTGAGAAGATGATGGTGGGCACGCACCATTTCTTGGCAATGGCGCTGTCTGGCCGTTGCTCCTTCAGAGATGTGTAGAATTTCCGCAAGGGATCCGTCTGCACTCACAAAGACACGCCTTGGTCAATAACCAGGACCACATGCCAGTAGAGTCATGTGCCATATCAGGCGAAGGGGCAAAAGTCTCAAGCTGCTCAGTAGTACTCACATCTCAAACGTACATTATCTTGTTTACTCACACAGTGAGTAAACAAGATGCACGCACCTCATCAGGGGTCTCCCTGGTCTGCCCTGGCATGTCAAAGACCCTCCTCTCTTTCTTTGGCTTAGGAGCATCCTTGTCAGCCTTAGCAGCTGCCTTCCCCTTGGCATCTCCTCCTGCCTTCTTGTTTTGGGCTGGCGCAGCTTTGCTTGCCCCATTCTCAAGGGCTTTGGCCTCACCCTTTGTTTTGAGTGGCGCACTCTTCGGGCTAGGGCGGGGCTCTACAACCTTCTCAACCTGGCATTGCCAAACTGGGAGGTCATGAGAGTCCAATTTGAACTGGGTGTTCCAGATAAGTCACAATCATCACAGCAAACCCGAACGCAACATCAACGAGATACGGCTAGGACTGTCTAGCTCTTGTGAAACAAAACCGCCAGGATTGCACCCATAAGTTGCGTTCACAAGCATCCCGTCAACCATTGCTATTATGCTTGAGATAGCTTGTGTGAAGAGATGTACCTTCACTGCCTTGCTGGATGGTTCCTTTTTCGTGGCTAAAACTGCATGGCACACCAGACACATGCAATTGCGACCCCTTTTGAGAAGCAGCGACGGGAACAATTGCATTCTGCAGAGAAGGCAGCAAAAAAAATCTTGCAAGAAAAGAGCCATCTTGCAATTGGAGGGACTGCCTTCAACAGGCTCAAGTAACAACGATCAAAGACGACTGTGGATTTTCTCACAATAGGTAATTCTTCAATCTGGCAGACATCCGGCACAACAGGGGCGCACCTGGGGCAAGACGGGCTGCCAGGGGCATATCATCATCACTGGAATCCCCCATCTGGCTGGCTGTTTCCTGGCCTCACAAGCCCAAGCTGGTACGAAGCCCTAGATTGGGAGCCTTTCCTGATGGCGCTTGTAATTGCTCTCGTCTGGGCTATGCAAAAGCTGACCTTCTAGCTGTCTATCCTTGCTTATTTTAAGGTACAGGCAGCAACTTCAAAGCGCAAACAGCCAGGCGATAGGTGGAAGAAGAAAAATTTCCTTTATTTTTTCAACAACAACATCTTGTAAAAATTGAAATCCAAGAAGGGTCCAATGATTGGGCTATGAACCGACCAGCCAACTCCATGCCAACTCCAAGCCAACTCGGCGAGAGTATTGATCCAGATTAGGCTTCCAGATGTCTCTTGCTAGACATAGTCTTGGGTGTGATAGATCTGCAGCGATACTGCAGTTGAAGCACATGCTGTAAATTTAAAGCATACTGATGTCTTAATTGATAGGTAAATATACTTGCTCTCATGTTACTCTTTCAAATCCTGGTGCTGCAAGTGCCTGAATGTATGCGCTGCAGCTGTAAAATTGCATTCTTTCCACATTTATCAAGGCATTTGGTGCATCCGCTTCAGCCTTCAAGCTTTCAACTCCTTCTTGGTTGGCACCTTTGCTGTGATGCCCCCCACAATCGAAGATGCAATAGCCGCTCCCACCACCTCTGCTCCCAACACACCCAATGCCTGCAACGGAACATGCCACCGTCACACCCACCAGCCGCATCACACATCCTATCTCCAACGAGCCCTCCGGTACATGACAAAACTTGTGAGTAGAGCAGCATGGCCGCATGGTACAGCCCTGCCCGTCTATAAGGCTTGGTGGGCACCTCTGCAAATTCGCCAGAAGTAGATCCCGAAATGTGCCACCCTCTATCAGGAAATGAGACGTACACTGTGCAGTGAGTAAGTGGCAATTATTCACCTCTGTGGTGTCCTGCGATGTGGAGGCGCCAAAGGAAGGCAGGGACACGCTCGGCAGTGACACGCTGGGCAAGGACGGTGCCGCCGGCGCGCTCGACACTGCCGGCTCGACTGCCTTCTGAATGGCCGCGCCTGCTGACGCCGCGGCAGCTGCGCACACACAGAGATGCCCTCAGTCGCACTGAAACAGCCGAAACACGGAGACGTCCCACCCCCAACAATGCTGCTGCCCATACACGCCACAGGATAGGCAAGCGCCTTGCATGGGAAAACCCCAGGGGCAAAGCTGCTGCATACGAGACGGCCAGGCAAATCACGAGGGCCTCACTCTCATCACTCCAAAATCAATGAGACCTTACAGAATAAGTATGACAGTATGTGCGCACCACTGGCAGCTGCAGCGGCAGGCGCGATGAAATTCTTGACCTCCTCCTTCTTGGGCGCAGCAGCGGCCTCCCGTTTCTGCAGCAGCGGGTTAACGAAGGCCTTCTTAGCTGCCTCAAGCGGCTTGGCCGCAGGGGCCTCCTTCTTCTGGGCGAAGAAGTTTGGCAGGGCCTGCTTCACTGCCTCGACCGGCGCGGCCGGCGCACTCTGCCGCTTCTGCAGGAGCGGGTTCACAAAGGCCTTCTTCACGGCCTCTTTAGGCGCGGGCGCAGGCGCGGCTGAAGTGACGGCCTTGGCGGCTGACTGGACGCTGCTAGCCGCTGACTTAGCGGCGCCGGCCGCAGCGGAGCCGGCCTTCTGCAGCGCCTTGGGCAGCGGCAGGGCGGACTCCTCAAAGCCCTGCGCACCCACGTGTGGATTAACCCTTGTCCTGGTGGGATTTAGGCCCTGCATGTGCCCCTGATGCACGTTATGGCCCCCAGCCAGGGAGTTGAGCGCAGAGCTCTGCATTCCCTGGAGCTTTCACCTCCACACTACGAGGAGAGCGAGCAATCGCCGATAAGACAGACTCCACTCGTTTGGTGTCCCAATCTGGATATGGCGCTACAGGCGACAAATTTGCAACGCTTGCTGGCTTTGGGTTATTTGCAGTCTGCTGACACAGCTGGGTTTGATTGGCTTCAAGAGTCAGCACACATCATGATCTTCAGAACGACTTTGCTGCTCATCAACCCGCCTGCTTTGCAGCTGGACCTCCGCATGAAGAGAGGTGTAATTCAGAGTGCGATTCACCTTGGGCAGGATGCCTGTTGTGCCAGTCTTCACAGGCTCCGAGAACTTGAGCTTCTCCGAGACCGCAGAAACAGGGTCCACCTGCAACCCACATGCATGTGTCTGTCGACCTGACTCCATATTTTCCTATCCGGGCATGTCAGAACACCAAATTGAGTTTGGCCCGTTTGTGAAGGACACCAGTTGTGATGGAGGCACATCAAAGTGTGAGGCAAAAATGTTCTGTCCATCCTCTGAATTGTTTTCACCATTAAAAGGGCCAGGTGAAATGACAGGCCCACCTTCTTTGCTGGTGCAGGGGTGATCTTCTTCACGGCCGTGGCAGCGGCCTTGACTGGGGCCGGTTTGGGAGCCTCCTTGATCAGTGATTTGAAAACCTCTTTGGGCGCCACTGCCTCGCTCTTTTTAGGTGCCTTAAGCACCTTCACCCCTGCATGCAGAAAAGCCCATGCGAATTCAGGATGGGGTGCATGACGCATGTTGAGTCTTCACCACTTGAAAAGTTCAGGCCGGGCACTTCCTGCAAGGCAAGTATAGCCTCCATCTCCCCTTGCATGTCATCATGATCGCCGTCAATGCATCAAGATTTCACCTTTCCCTCCATTCTTCTCCAGAAGCTCCGTCAGCAGATCTCCCTGTTGATGTAAAGGCACCACAAGATTAGCACCTCATCTGATTGGGACAGCAGCACAACTTCGATTCTTGTCCTCACAATCAAGATCCGAACTGTCAACAAAGCAAATCACTGGAGGAAGGTGATCTGAGGGTCCCTGTACTTACTTGGCCTTGAAGAGGTGCATCCTTAGCCAAAGCCATCTGTGGGTGCCCAGCAAAGAGCAGGGCTGCCATGCCTGCCACGGCGATGTTCCTCGCTGCTGAGTGGTCATCCTCCGACCTGATGTACACAAGATTCCGTGATTAACAGCAGAACCAAGTCGGCAACTGTTTTTGATCTGTCGTTCTTGAAGTCCTTCAGAAAATTTTATCAACACATCTATAGCGAAAGTGCTGTGCAGATCGATCCCATCCCCACCTGTGCGAAATTGAGCACGTGACTGCTGTCCTGCGACGGTTGTCGACGCACTTGCGTGCGGCAGGCCTGATGTTCACGGCAGATGCGGCGATCTGGCCTGCAGCGACGTGGGCAGCAACATGGAGACTCATACTGACCACTTTTGATGCCACCAGGTTCGCAGAGAGCAGTCAGTACAGCTTCCTAGCGCTACTGTTGCACAAGGATCTCGGCTCTATCCTCATCCCCGAGACCCTAAAGCCTTGGACCAGGTGTTTGCCACCTCAGCACCAAAAGTGCAGCTGCTTAGCGAAGGGCGCGCCTGGGATCCTCTTTGATTCAAACATAGTTTGCAGAACTTCACCGTGAGGTTGTTGTATTTTTATTCAAACGCTCAGAGCTATTCTTGTGTAGGCTCCTAAAGCTGGATTGTCACGTGTGACCTGGTGCGTTTTGGCTGATTTCTGGTTAAATAAGATGTGACAGGAGGGTGAATGTCAATAATTTAGTATTCATAAGGTGTTGCAAGCCTCGCCACATTCAGGAATGCAAAACTTTCCGAGTCCCAGGCTGCATGCCTACGTTGCCCTCCTGAAGGACTTTCAGCGAGCGCTGCTGCCCAAGCCATCGAGCCTGGTCAGGAGCATCAATCAAGCCCCATCTACCGACCCAGATTGCTTCCAATTCGCACTCGGCACTTCATCCCATGGGACCCTTTCCAGAGCTGTGGTTGAGTGCGTCCAGCAAGTCAAGCAGAAGCTTGGCCCTGATAGGAGCCCCGATCTGTGCCAATTGTTTGTCACTGCGGATACCTACGGCAGCAACAACATCCGTTTTGCATCAGCGGTAAGCGCGACAGTCCATACATGCTGTGTTGTTGGCATCAGGGCGTCTGCACTGTACTATCCACCAGCCCACAGCTGACTCATTGTTGACATCACACAAATACATGTCAACGCATTTCACTAGTAGTTCAAATGCTGCTTCTGGTTGACATCATATTCTTTCTGGTTTCTCAGTATGTTCGAGAGTGCCTTGCGAGCAGCACCCAGGCCCCTCCAGTTGTGCTTGGCGGCGTTGTACAGGTATGATCCTGGTCAAGCATGACTATTCTTGGTTTTATTGTGTCCTGCTTGACAATGCTTTGGTGGTTTTCAACACTCATTTCAAATATACACACGGAGCACTCCAGCTGAAGTCCGTGCCTTGCCTTCAGAGTTTGATGGGGCAAGGGAGTACGAGCAGCAGCGGGCAGGGAGTCTCTCTAATGGCAGCATCACTTCCAAGTGAGTCTTTCCTGCTCTAGCACACCACTGCGCTGCGACTTTTGCCCCGAGTCCTCCTCATTGCCGCACAGTTACCCGCCCCACAGGAATGCGCACAACCTCAGCGCAACTGTCACCTGCTCCCGCCTTTGTCTGATGAGGCCAATGCACAAGCATCAGAGAATGCAAATGCGGCTTGAATTTAAAATTTGCCGATCCGCTTTGAGCGGTAAGGCATCGATGACGGTGTATTTTGCTGGCGCACAGATGTGAGGCTGTTCCCCTTCCATGCTGTGAGCGCGTCGCTGCCGGATCTGCGGCAGGGCTCCTGGAATGACCTCATAGCGGCGCCTGCATCGGGGGACAAGGGAAGTTCTGGGCCAGACCGCACAGCGGGCCTTATCCTGTCAGAGCCACACTTCCTCCTGGTGTGTGCGCTGCTCCCTGTAATGAAGTCGCAATGACCTGTGGTGAGCGATTGAGAGAAGCATGCATATGATGTCTTGCATGCCAAGCGCTCCGCTTTCACGTGTGCTTGTCAGAGATGAGCTTGGCTCCTATTATTCTGCATAGTGCCCTGTGGCTCTTCAAATGGCAACCTCATCTGGCCTGGAGTTGGGCGACCACTCTGATGCAAGCATCATGTGTTTGTCGGCCGCGCCAGTGGTTTTGTGAAGGGTTAGGAATGTGGTCTTTGTTGCCAGGGGATTCAAAGCGAGGGGGAACCTGTGAATGTAGGTGGAGGACCTGCTGGCGCGGTTGCGGGGGGCACTGCCGGAGGCGCCGCTGCTGGGAGGGGTCGTCGCGCCGAGCGCGTGGGGGCCCGGGCAGAGCTTGCGGGGGGCCCTCTTTTTGAATTCAGACGCGCACGATGAGGGTGCTGTGGGCTGCCTCATGCGCGGGCCGCTGCGCTTCGACCAGCTCTGCTGGCAGGTGAGTGCTGCACCGCCATAGCCCTTGTGCTGCTATCATTCCTATTAGTGTCTTATTACTATTACTGTTATCATTACGCGCTTGTGCCTCCAAGAGGCAAGGTGCGTCCTGCAGGCAAGCTATACTATACTGTGCTGCTCAGTCATGCCATGGTGGTGCCTTGTATAGCACTGCGGATGCTTGTGCAGGTCTGCATGTTTGGATGCAGAAAGCCTGTGCAATCAGTGCGGTTCATTCCGCATTGGTATCTGCATCCCTCTCCACTGCTTTCCTGCTGCACTGTCAGATCAAGTGCTACTGCACCGCAATATTTGTGGGAACTGGAGCTCAGCTTCCTAGCAAGAGCGAGATCTCATTACCGCCAGTGCTGCCATGCAGGGCTGTCGGCCTGTGGGGCGCGTAGTGCGGGTGACTGGAGTGGAAGGCAACGCCATCACGCACCTGGACGACCTGCCCGCCCTCCTAGTGGTGCGCGCCTTCCCAGCATGACAATGCCCTGACTTCTATCAGTTTCACGTGTTGGCAAAGGCGATGTGAATTGAGGCTGCTATCAGAACAAGCCCGCGGTAACCCCTTTGCCTGCGCTCTGGTTTGAGACCTTGGCTTTCCAGCCATCACTGCTGTGTGATCTCGATGCATGATGAGTGTACCTAGCAAAAATTGGTACCGCACTGCTGCTCCCTGCTTCAGTGCCGAGCATGCTCATGCACTTTCAACATGCACATGCAGATGCAGCGGCTATTCACTGAGATGGACGATTCGGAGCGGCTGCTGCCGCTGCAGATCGGCCTGGACCCCACAGGCACCGGCAGCGCTTTCGTGGCCAGGAACCTGGTGAGCGCTTCAGTATTTCATCCTTGCTGCAGCTCTTGCCTCATTTACGGCACGGCATACGGCTCCGGCACATGCATACGGCATTTTGCATTTCAACTATATCAGGTGTCTTGTCGGCAGACACAGACGGCTGTGAAGGGACAATTTGACGGCAGAGAAATGTATGTGTCCCAAGAGGCAGAGAGTGGGGCATGCGATTGAGACATGGAGGACCAGCTGGGGCCCTGCCTGCTTTGAAAAAATTTATTTCGCACTGTCAGAACGCCAATCATGATTGAGCGGGTGTGGGTGCAGCTGGGGTTTGACACGCCGCGGCTGGCAGTGCAAGTGGCGGTGGCGGGTGTGGAGGAGGGAACGCTGCTGCAGCTGCACCTGCGCGACTCCATGTGGGCACAGCAGGGCCTGCGCGACCTCGTCCAGGTCAGCATTGAATCTACACCCCAAGTCATGCTCAAAACTGCGGAAAATGACAAGATCCTTGATGGCGACGCAGCCACTTATTTGTGTGGTTTGTCAAGGAAGGAAAACTCTATCGCGTACAGTGGTCTCAGGTGCTGATGGCAGACTTTGGACAGCCTGTCTTGCCTTGCTTTCTTGGCCATGTTTCTTCTTCTCCTTCAGCACTTGCTGTCCTCCTAGTGCATGCAACAAGATGGCGTTGAGATGGTGGCCCCCAAGGAGGTCTCTTATGTGCAGCTTTGCTTGGGTGCCTGTTGCACCCTGTTTTTGCAGCAGCCTCCTCTGTGGGTTTCAGTTGCTGGCAGTTGAAGGAGGACGGTTGCTGGCAGTTCAAGGAGGACTATTGCTAGAGTCTGAAGGAGGACCGATGACATAGTTGCACCATGCGAATACGGTCATACGGCATACAGCATACGGCAAATTTATATACTTCCGTATTCCTTGGCCAGATTTTATCATATTTGACCATATTCCGTACTTTAAAATTCCGTATGACTGTATATACGGCCTTAAAGAAATCTGTAGCGTGTTGTGCAACTCTGAGTGATGGTGCGTGCAGTGGACTGAGCCAATACATTTGCCGCTTCGTGGGACGACTATAGGGTTATAGTCATTCCTGCTGGTGCTTCAGTTTGAGCGTTGGTGCAGGATTATGCGGAGTGCCTGCCGGCGGATGTGAGGGAGAGGCCGGAGCGGCTGGGTGCCTGGCTGTACTCCTGCGCTGACGTGGCACATCTGGAGGAGGCCTCACTCCAGGCCATCATGCCCTCCACCCTCCTACAGGTGCGGGCATTTGCACCTTTCAGATTGCTGGGAACGCATTAAAGTTGTGACTCTCACTGTCACGGATTTATGAAAAAACGGACTAGACTAGGCGCAGATCGGCACCAGATGATCCTTTTGGGTTTAAAATCCAGCCATCTGGGCCGATCTGTGACAGCCACCTTGGGATCAGATTGCCTTCAAATCTTGCTGGCTGCGCTGTGACTGTAGGAGCGGGTGTGTTAGCAGCAAAGCTTCCTATCCTTGAGAGCTTGATTTGTGGCTGCTTCTCCATCCGTGAAGTCTTGCAAAGCTGGTGGACGACTCATTCCAGTACGAATGGCCTGATCATAATCATCGTCTCTGCAGTCCTTCATTCATCAGAGCCAATCTACAGCATAGTTGCACAGTACGGATACGTGTATCAGGACGGAAACGCGTACTTGCACGTCCGGGACGCGTCCTACAAAAGTTGGGCACCCAATACGTCTAGAATACGGCACGTGCGCCTATGTAGGCAATATGCATGCAAGCATGTTTTGGGCAATATGCATTCATTGGAAGCCTTGGGAAGTGTGCACAACCCTCTTTCTTAAACAGTCTGGACCTTTCAAAGCCGCTCTCATGCGAATCGGTGCTATTCTAGCCAATGTAGGCCACCAGACAGGTGATTTGTCATCCTTTTGGGAAGGTATGACTAATCTAGCCGTCCTAGGCCGTCTGGAACGCCAATACGTCCCCATGACGTCCAGGACGCGTATTTTAAATAATTTGAGACGTACTGTGCAACTATGATCTACAGCAGTGTGTTCACTGCCCTCCCTGCACACTGCAGATGCTGCCTCTGTGTCTGGCTGCAGCGGCAGCAGCAGAGGAGCTGTTGGTATTTGGTGGTGTTAAACATGCGCTGTTGATGTGCAGGGCGCAAAGTGCAGTGCGGAGATTGGGTCGTGGGGGATTGCTGCCAGGTCCACGATGCTCTCCTACTCATCCACGCTTGGCTTTCTTCATCATGCACATGCGTGATGAGATTTGCGGGGTAGGTTGCCGTTCAGACAGCTGTTGGACTGTTTGGATTGTTTGTGTGGAGCAGGATTCTTTTGGAATGATGCAGGAGTTGCCTGTAGAGATAATTAGGAATGGTCTCTTCAGGATAATAGGATCAGGTTGCCTTCGGATCTGCTGCCTGCACTGAGACTGTAGTAGCGGGTGTGTCAGCAAAAGTTTATTTCCTTAAGAGCTTTCTCCATCCATGAAGTCTCAATGAGCTGATGAACTGACAGATTCTAGCCTGACACTATCTGATCGAGTTGTCTGCAATCAACAGTTTTTGCACCTGTGGTTCATGCAAGTGACATGATGAACTGCATCACCCTGGAGAAATCTCATTGCAGTACACAAGGCATGATCATGATATATCACCATTGCAATCCTTGATCCAATTCAAGTCGCATAACCTTGTTGAAGTGATAGCCAAATAGCCATGGTACAGACATGGATAATTACAATCCGGCAATGATCTGCTCATCAGGAAGAGCTCCGAGGGAGTCCCTGGCTCAATTTGGCATCTCAGCCAGATCTCAGCAATAGAAAGACATTCTTTTTGCAAAAGTTTACGTCCGGCAAATATCTAATGACACTGCTTCTAACCAACTGCATTTAAGCCACTACCATCTCAATGGGACTGACACAATGTGCAATGATCACATTGCTTGTAGGGGTGGACCCGGGTGTCAACCACTTAAAAACACATGTTCATCACATTATGCAACCTCCGTTAGTCCTTTACTGTCCTGCCTTGGCTGATCCACCTTCATGCCGATGACTTTTGACCAGAGTAAACTGCCTCCAGCTTCATGTGAAGGGTTGTTGTTGTTGGCTCTTTCCTGTTTACAATCTTGGTGGTTACGGTGCTCGCGCAATTTGAACTCCTGGCAGCAGGAGCAAATCTTTTGCCTTCACTAGCTGCTACCGGCACCAGGGGGTCATTCAGAAAGGTTTCCCTTCAAGCTTCAAGAACCTGCTTGACTGCATCAATTTTGCGTAGATTCTGCGCGTTTTCGTCCCTCAGGTGCTGGTTGTTCGCCTGCAGTTCCCTTATGTAATCGATTACCTCGCTGCTCAGCCCCTCGCCGCCTGCTGCTGCCTCCCTTGCCCCGGATGCTGCTGCTGCTGCGCCCTTGTTGTTTGACACCTTCTCCCCAGCAGCTGCTATGTCTGCCAGGACCATCGGCACGTTCTCTGCTCCCTCATCCCCCCCGTCGACAGGCTGCTCTTCCATATCACCATCCTGGTCCCCCCCATCTATTGATGAAGGCTCCACAGATGCAGCAGGTGCGGCCGGGGCTGGGGCCTGGTCTGCGGCTGTTCCCTCCTCCTCGACTGTGCGCAGCTTCTTGCGGGGCAGCTCCCTGGCGATCTGGCGCAGGCTCCTCACGCGCTTGGGTGCATTTGTGAAAGGGCGCTTGCCGGGGTAGTCGGGAGCTTGATCCTCTGGCAGGCAGTCGACCGGGCGCTCGTCAGTGTCATCAGACTCTTCGCCTGAGTCTGACTGCACGCCGTGAGGCAGGCGCGCACGGCCTGCATGCACAGGCGCCCGGCGCGGCGTCTCATGACGACTGAGGTGCGATTTGATCAGGGCCAAGCGCAACATTTATGGAAGCACCTCAGGGATTTGCTGTTTTTTTGACACCGCTTCTTTGCTGCTGTAAAGACCCTGAAGCTCAGCATGCATGCGTGTGCCAATATTGATCTCTGGGTGGCCTAAGCACCAGAAGAGATGCTGGAACCCCGCCATAAGAATAACAAGAACAGAGCTCTGAATCTGTAGATTCCAATGGCCTAAAGCATTGTTTCTGTACGTGTCAGCAGCTCACCTGGTTGTACCTGACCTCGAGCCGCTCCCAGATCTCCTTGCATGAGCTCCTTGACGTGCAGGCGGCAGGGCTGCAGCCCCAGGGCGCGTGCAACGCTTGCGTGAGATTTGTACCTGCATATGGTTGGCCCTTTGACCGCCCTGAAGCCCTGCATTGCCAGCTCACATTCTGAGGAACGAATAAAGAGATTGAACTTCTACAGTCCTACTAGAAGGTTACATGCTGAGGATGGCCATACATGAACATCTGAAATGATTTGCAGCAACAGAAATTTTTGCTTTCACACCTGTGGAGCGCAGCACTGGTACCAAAGATGCGCCGTGCCGCCAGTGACGTAGTGGCACCGACTGCTCTGCCATCCCGGCTCCAGCTGCCCTCCTGTGAACATCAAGACAAGCTTTAGGAAGGGGTAAATATAAGAAGAGGAAACATTGACACTGACCCGGTCCGGGCACAGCGACACGGACTTGCGCAAAGTAAAAGGCTGCTCGCCACGGAACCATCCATTCACTTAAACCGGTCCGCATGTGTTTCGGGAAAGATGCCTCTTTCCAAGTACAGCCATCATTCAACAAGCAAGAGGACGAGTCCGCCATACCGCTTTTCTCGATGTACCGATAGAGCAGGTCAGTGCAGTCTTCCCTCCACGCACCACTGCGACGACGCTCTTTCGCCATCCTCCCCGTCCTCTTCAGAGCTATACAGAGAGAACTTTGCTATGCAAGGCGCGCAAGAATTGGGAGCATCATAAAATATTTCTTCTTGGGCGATGGCATCATTCTTGGACCCTCGCACCACGTGGACGCACCCTTTACACCCAAAAGCTGGGCTGTCTCAGATCCGAACCACTTGGAGCCATACAGACCTCCAGTGCTTCATGATGAGTCCTCTTCTGGTGTGTCTCAAATATGGTGGGCTTAGACAGTCAGGTCAGCTTAGGCCAGGTCTGATATCAATAATGACAGCTTTATTAGTAATAGTGGCATTTGTGAGCCCGGGGTTTCTCAGTGGGATCACACAACCGGGTACCCGGCATTATAGCTGTGCCTTGACCTCTGCTGCTGCTTGCAAATCTTTATCGGAAGCTGCATCATTTGCTGGATATGTCAGCAGATTATGCTCTGTAGCACTGTCAGGGTGCTTGCAACCTGTAGATGGGCGATAGCTACAGTCCAGTGCATTAAGGACTCCTTCTAAATTGTCCAATCATGATCTTTACAGCGCTCACAATGCTTCACGGTACATGGTGGTATTGGCTCCGGAACATGGGCACCATCAGGCTGGAGCGTTTCAAAAGATGCTTGATATTTCGCCAGCAAGGGCACATCTGCACTGCATATGTGATCCCATCACAGCACACACATACAGCACACAGCAATGCAGACAAATTCACTGGCCCATCAATATCGTTCCCACTGACAATCATTGGGGCACAATCGTCGTTCAGATCTAGCTCATTCAGAAGCAATGAAACTGTCACGATGAACACATGGTATATTTACGCGCAAAGGTAATTGGGGCAGACGGAGACAAGCCATCTCAAAACACCATGTTGCTGGCATGGAGGCGCCTGGAAGGCTGCAAAAGAAAGATGCCAATAAGAAATTGACAGACACACACCTGTCACTATCAAGCACATTCCACAATATCAAATCACATCATTCACTTCAAGCACATGGGCACGCAAAATCATGTGCCAGTTCCTGCCAAGGGTTGTCATTTCTGCAGTACAAGGCAAAATTGCGGTCGAGCTACTGCCTTGACCGATCCTCTCTGGGCGCGACCGCAAGCGCTGCTTGATCAAACAGGAGTTTCACATTGACTTGCACCTTGCTTGGGTTCCACCATTTTGTCCCATCGCCAAACTGTGAGATGGGTCTGTTTCCCTTTCATTTCACGGGCAGCATGCTGCGCAGACAAGCACAACATTGCACAATGCCATGGCAGCTCTACTGAGCAGCGACGAACCAATTGGGAATGAAACAGGGAAGCCGAGCGCAAAGTAAATTGTTGGGGTCATCATGGCCCCAGAATCACTTATTCCCCAGGTGTGTCTGCAGGGCCCACCTCAGAAGCACGGCCACCCCAAGGCCTCCGCAGAAACCATGAGCAGCAGCGTGGCTCCAAAGCAGCCGACAGACAACAATGCTTGATAAGGAATGAAATTCTCCTACTAGCATCCTCTTCCTCTCAGAGCTTCAAGAACACACTGCGCCATTGCACACCGATCAGGTGTGTCGCCATACTTCCCATCCACTTGTTTTCTGTTCCTCTATTCTGAATGCCCTGTGGATGCAGCAGCCTTCACTGCTCTGCAGAAGCGCACTGCCAATATTCTGACTGGGGCATTTCTGCGGCAGTGGCCTGCAGCTCTCTTGAGAAATTCCGTAGACACTCATCCAGCAGTGTTGCTGGGCGAGGGTGGCGGCGGGGAGGGCGAGGGTGGTGATGGGGAGGGCGAGGGCGGAGATGCGCTGGAGCTGCCAGAGGAGCCGGAAGGACTGGGGGATCCGCTGGGGGACCCGGATGGGCTGACGGCCTCTGTGATGGGGGTAAAGCCAGCCATTACTGGGGTGGCGGGCCCAGGGGGCGTCGTCCAGTTTCCAGCCTGCCACACACAGCGGGAGTTTGTCAGCATTACACGGTCTATTGAGAGTATAATCACAGCTGCGGATACTGCAGGGAAGAGGAATTCAACAGCATCTATGCAATTTCTGAGGTGTTCTAGGCAGCAGTACCTGGTAGCCAGGGAAGGGCACTGCATTGGAGTTGGTGGTGGTCGTGCTGCAAGTGGACCCCTCCGGCGTGCCAGCATAGGCCGAGATGTTCTTTTGCTGCACAATCAACACCAGAGGTCATCAGTCCCGTGCAGCTTCACCAAAAGACTATTGCAAAATGATTAGAAAAGACCCCAGCGGTGTCAGATAGAATGCGGGAGGGGAGCTCACGTGAGCAGCAACGACAGCCATGGTGCTGCTGTCAGCCAGGGTGATCTGGTAGGGGTCATCGCTGCCAACGCCCACGGTGTACAGGTTCCAGAAGTTGGAGCCCTGAGCAACACCACCGCCCTGCACGTTCTCGCTGATCTGCTCATACACCGCCTGCAGGAACTGGTCGCGCACGTCGTTGCTGGCCTCAACGGTCTCATCTGTTCAGCAGCACAAACAAGCGTTCAGTCCATGACCTTCAGCAGGAAGCGCTATCAAAGTGCCGGAACCCATGAGGCGGTCGCCTAAGGAATACTTCAAGCACGACCAGAGTCAGCCTACAAAGTGTGGGCACAGCGACTCACCGCCCTTGGGAGAGTTGATGAGCTCGCCGGTGAAGACCTTCTTGGCGGACTTGGCCTTGCCAAACTCCTCCACAATCAGCGGCTTGCCAATGGCGTTGGCATCGCTGATGTGAGCAGACAGCCAGGACCTGGTGTAGTCAAGCTTCTCCTTCCAGAACGTCTTGCCGTGGGTGTAGTCAAAGTTGTCATCGATCTGGCTGCCTCCATAGTCAGCATACCTGTAAGCAAACATCCATATGTCATGAGCAATCTTTACCAGTGGCGTCATCTGCCTCAAAGCAATAGCCAGCAAAGACAGAAAGAAACCAACTGCGTGGTATGGTTGAGCGCGCGAGAAAGATCTTACCCCATCCAGTTGTCAGACCAGATGTGTGTGGTGATCAGGTCAATGGAGGGCACGATGTGGTTGGCCAGGAAGTCTTGGCCCTCCTGAGCTGCCCACGGGGACGATGAGATGCCTGAGCGACGCTTGCCAGCACCAGGGTTAAGGAAAGCCCTGCAAAGAAACAACCATGTCGGTTTATTCATCAGCCACTTGCCAACAGAACTACTACAAAATGGCCTAAAAGTGAGACCTAGGCTGAGCAAGGCCACGGTATATCTTACCTCTCGCATGTTGTGGAGTAAAAGCCCTCCTCTCCGATGGTCACCAGATGGTTGGTGTCGATGGCCTTCATGTAGACAGCCATCTCCTCCACCCACTGCTGGAGAGCAAAGCCACAGCCAGAGCTGCACATACCAACAGCAACAGCTCAACAATGACAGACACAGGCAACAGGCACCTCTTGCAAAGTGCTCATGACACGATATTGCATGGGAAGCACAATGTGGTGCCTTACCAGCGAGGCTCGTTCATCAGGTTCCAGTAGAAGATGGTGGGGTCTTCCTTGTAGATGCGCCCGTTGATGGTGTTCTTGCGGTGCACGAAGGTGTTCAGGTGGTTCTTGTACATCGTGCGGCACTCCTGGTCTGTGTAGAAGTCGTTCTTGCTTTTGGCTGTCGAGGACCAGTTCACAAACCTGTCCATTGAGAGCCAGTAGTCCTGCAGCAACGAGCAGTGCTCAGTAACAGGGCAGGCAAAAGAAGATAAAGCTGGAGAGTAGCAGGGATGAAGAAAGAAGGCCGACCTCAATGGGGAGAATGATCTTCAGATCCCTCTTGGCAGCCTCGTCAAGGACCCAGTCCAGAGATGCAAAGACTTCCTCATTGTACACGCCTGCAAACACCCCACAATTGTGATGAGTTCCGCTAGCCACATTCAGACAAGAATACCGCTTGCCAGCTTCAAATTCTGCAGCTGAGAACATGCAATGCACCAAATGCGACTGTGCTGGGGCTGCAACCTACCTGGCGCAACCTCCAGGATCTTTGTGGGATCCGCGATGACCTTGCCAAGGGGGCCGTCGGACAGTCCAGAGCCCAGAGAGAAGCCCCACGTCCGGCCAACCTTCCAACCAGCCTTCACCATGGCGTCTAAGCGAGCCTGGATTTCAGGGCGGGAGTTCTTGTCGCGCGACTTGTCCATGAGATCCCAGGTGTTCACGCCCACGTAGGCGGCCCTGACACACAATACAGTGCTCAGTTCTCAGACAGCCATGTTCACGGCCAAGTCAGAGCATGCAGCAATTGTCTGGCATTATTGCAAGTATTGCTCTTCTCGCAAAGACCTGCTTAAACATGTCGAGACAGAGAAAGCTCTCAATAAGAGACAGCACATGAGCCCATACCTCTTGCAGCCGATGACCAGGTTGTGGCCGTCAACACGCAGGAACTGGGATGCATTGACACTGGTTGGCGCAGCATCAAAGATCTTGGCAAATGCGCTGCCGCTCTTCCACTTAAGCCTGCACCAAATCCACTGCCCCTCAGATGCCTCGTTCATCAAGCTGGCAAGCATAAATACACGACCCTGAATAGAAGCGATGTTCATATAGTAACTTCTGGCACTGATGCAACACCTGACGCCTGGGTGGCCGCGGTATCCTCCATATGGGTCGCCGGTGGCACCCTCCACTACGATGAGATAGCGGCTGCCTGCCTTGACAGGGACGGACAGCTCGAAGAGGATGGGTGAGTTGGGCGGGTTGTTCTGAGCAACAACCTTGCCGTCCTGGTACACCTTCAAAATCTGCAACATAACACGGCCGAAGGGTTAGCAGCGCTGCAGCAGCCATGAAGACGCTGTGCAAAGTTGCGAGGAAGGACATATGCTGCTATTTTCTCACGTGTGACGCACAGACACAGTTCTCAGCGGTGTTGGGTCTGCACAGTTCTGTTGAGAACAGGCTTTCTCTCAAAAATTGGGCTGGCCTCATGAGGACCTCCATGCTCTGTTGATGTGAGCCTGCTGAAATGGGCGGCAAAAATGGGCTGCAGGTACAGCTAAGGAGCCAGGGCTCTTGGGCAGGCTACTTCAATAACGTTGCTCTGGAGCATTGAGCAGAGTTCATTGCCGCTGATGATATGGTCGACAGCATCTGAAGCTGACATCACAATCAGGACCTCCGGGCATTGGCAGTGGGGCCGATGTTCACTCCGCAAGGTATACAAGGAAAGCCTGACCTGATCGTAGCCGCCTGGGCTGCACATCTCAATGTTGAGCGTGTCGGAGGTTTGATTACTGTCAAGCTCCACCTCCCAGACGCCAGTGTAGCCGTGGTCCGCGATGACGGTGCAGGGCTCATAGGGGTCGGTCAGGTTGGCTGGCAGGGTTGCAACCACGTTCTTGTTGGACAGATCACTGGCCAGGTAGACCTTAGGGGTGTCGAAGGAGATGGTCATGCCGGGGTGGGCGGTCTCGGCGTAGACAACGGCTGAGCCAGTCAGGTCATCCTCTGGGGCCAGAGAGAACACGCCACGCAGCATCTCTGTGCCATTTCCTGGCACGACGCGAGCCTTGCCCAGCGCCTGCACCATGAATGCATCCGTTACACTCCTGTGGCAATAGAATTCAGCTTTGCTGAATCAAAGGAAAGTGTAAGCTTTCTCTGCAAAGAAGGATTGTCAAGGGCTCACCATGTATGTGGGGCCAGAGAGACCGGGGCGGCTGTACTGCAGCGTCAGGACGATATCCACGCCCTCAGCCTTGTTGAGACCAGTGGCATCAGGGTGGGGGTTGCCCACGCTGGCTGCACCTGGGCGTGTAATGTTCCTTGGCTTCCTGCATGGGACATAAAGGAGAAAGTAAGAAACAAGGACCTGACTTTAAGAATTACCACATGCATGTATCAGCACCTGCCTATTCCAGACCAATGCATGGCGCTTGCAAGGTGCGGTCCCAAACAGGCTGCAGAGAAGGAACCTACCTGATGCTGCCATCGACCTTCACATTGCTGGTGATGACATACTGGTTGCCAGAAGTCACGCCCAGGGTGCTGGCAGGGATGCTCTTGCTGGCGGAGTTGAGGGTGCGCAGGTATGGCCCGCTGCCGAAGTAGCCAGACGCAGCGCCCGCGGCCTCAGGGGATCCAGCAGCAGAGGTTGGAGCCGGAGGAGTGGCTGCGGTGTCCACAAGCAACTGGCGACGGCGGCCTCCCTGCTGGATGGAAGCAGTGCTGACGCGGCCCTGCTGAGTCTGCATGCAACAACTAAAATGCATCACAACACAGACCTTCCCAAAACGACTAGTTAGGGAGGTGTGAGCCAATGCTGCCACATGTTCACCCAAAACACACCGGTGCTAAAGCACCGTAACACATCCAAATACACCAGTACTCAAGAAAACGGCAAAATGCCGTAGTAGAGAATAGGAAGACATAGAAGCAGACAGGCACACCAGACAAAGTTTTCTAGGGCCTGGGGCTCATGGCCGAAAAGCAAGAAAACGCCCTACCGACTCTTCACCGTCGCCCCCACGAGTATATGGGAGACCTGACGAGTCTGTGGAGCTCACCGCTGTTGCATTGGCCCAGTACCACTCATAGTGAGGGCAGCCGCGGCGCGAGTCTGGGCCCTCCTTGCAGGCCTTGGGCAGGGGCGGTGGCGGGGGCGGCCAGGTGCTGTAGACTGGGCTCATGGGGCAGGATGTGCTTCCCTGCAGTCCCAGGCTGGACACATCAAGCCTGCAGCCACAAGGAAGAAACTTTTAAAACACCATTAAAGCCTGCAGAGCTGCTGATGATCATCAAAAAATGTCTCCAGCACATGAGAACACATTGAAGGAAATGACATGTGCAGGGGATACATGTGGTCGGTCACACACCTGTACTTGTTCTTGTCATCCTTGAAGGAGATGGCAACATTGGCGCCGCTGCCAGTCTGCTGCGGGGCTCCAAGCCAGCCAGCAGGCTGCAGAATGATGTCTTTGGTGAAGGTAATATTAAGGCCACGGTCACGCTTGACACCAATGGGCCACGAGTAGTTGGTGAAGGACAGCTGCACTCCATTGTCGCAGAGCTCATCTCCATTGGAGTCCTTGATGTCCCTAAGGCAGTTACAGAGTCCAATCATAAAGCTGCCCAACACATCAGAATTCATAAAATGAAGTGCTGAATGAGAAAACAAAGAACATAACGCATGCGCACCAGCAGTAGATTTTGAAGTAATCTGTTGGGTTTGTCTGGCGCTTCCAAATACCCTCAAACTGGGTGTGAACACCCATGGAGAAAGGGATAATCATCCACCCGCCCTTCAGGTTGACTGGCTTGCTGCCAGTGTTGGTGATGTTGCCCAGCACCAGAATCTCGATGGAGTTGTATGGAAGACCTGCGCACACCAGCAAGTGTCAAGCACAGCAAGCATACCAGACAAGTGCCTCAAAAGGAATTGCAGTATACAGTATTCAAGTGGACGTCCGCTAACTCACCACGAGTGTTGGCGCCCCTCCATGCCTCAGGTGGGTTCTTGTACAAATCAGCACCTCCAGCACCGTTGCACCAGTTGACGTTGGAAGGCTCCCCGGCCAGGCATGTCCAGGGCATGCCACCCTCATCCCAGTTCACAGAGATGTCTCTGCGCCACAAAGGCGCGTTGCTGAGCATGCGCCAGATCATGAATGGGGCACTGAAATGAAGATGCATGAATTTGCTGGATTTACAGATGAACGAAACTCACTTGCAGCCCTGGCCCTGCTGTGGGGGAGGCACGAAAACGCAGGTGTCCTTGCCGCCTGACTTGGCGTTGATGTCTGCGACGGCCTTAGCATAGTTGCGCATGAGGGTGAAGACTTCATTGCGCTGGTCGGAGTTAGATGCGTTGGAGCCCAGCATGTTTGAGTAGCCACCTCCAAAGCGGAGGATGCCATCCAGGTAAGGATCCAGTGGTGCATACTCCTGCAGCATGACATCATCCACAGCTGAGTTGCGGTCAAGACAAGTTGCGCCATTTCACATGCTGATCATGGAAGAGCAATCGCACCACAAATGTGTCGTATAACCTTCATACGAAGAAGAAAGCTGCATACCTTGTGAGCCAAATCCCAGAACATAACTCCAGCACATGAACCCCCTCTCTTTGCAGATGCCAAACAGCTCTCGTATGCCAAGCCGTACTGGGCGGGCCTGCACAACAAAAAAATAATCTTTAAATTTATGCTGAAGCACTGCCGAGTAGGCACTAAGCAACAAATAATACGGGATGCATGAATGGGGTGGAACACGATAGGGTCACCTCTTGTCCAGCTTGCAGCCAAACTCTTCGAGGACAACTGGCATCTCGAGCTCTTCCTCAGCTGCTTGCTGCCGTGCCTCTATCCAAGACCTGCGCAGGTGGACGGGCATGATCAGAAAGCTGCTAGGCCTATGCATGCTGCTGGCAAAACCAGTAAGTATCATGTGCAACACTGCATGACGATGTGAGGGATGCTGCTCACTTCATGAAGTCCAGCTGCCCTTGAGTTGTTGAGCCTTCAGCCACGCACAGCCACTGGTCCACGTAGACATGCATGGTTGAGTAGTCAATCCCCTTGGCCTTGTTGTTGCGGACAAAATCCACACCCAGCAGGGACGCCCAGGCGCCTGGGTTAGAGTACATGTACAGCGGTGTGGAGTTGGCTGCAAAGCCCTCTTGCCCTGCGACATCAACATGACCAATTCAGCTACTCTCTCTTGTCATGCTGCATCAATATTCATTCGTCATGCTGCAGGGCGGCTCGAGTGTTAATAGACTGCATCGCAGTTTCCTACCCTTTACAAAGGCCAGCAATGACTTTTCAGCACCATGCATGATTGCAAAGACATAGGCAATCAGCTCGAGGTGACGTGCAGGTTACATGCACCACATAGACACCCAACTAGGGAGTCTGGACTCGAGCCAAGTAAAGCACCTGTGGACAGCAGATGGATGGGGTCCATGGACTTGATGTAGCCGGCCATGTCTTCGATCCACTTGTGCAGGTCGTCGCCAGGGTTGTAGGAGATGTTGTAGTCCTTGGAGCCGTCCGTGGTGGTGCGCTTGACGATGTAGAGCTCGGCCTGGGAGCGCGGCTCGTTCATCAGGTTGTACCCAAAGATGGTAGGGTCCTCCCTGCCGTAACGATACATCAAACGATTCAGGGTGCTGATGAAGGACACAAAACAGTGAACAGCTCAATGAAATGCAACGATAGGCTCGAAATGTCATGCATGATGGGAACAGTTGCTGCAGGTACCTGTACAAGCGCTGGTTGAAGGTGTTCACACGGTTGATGAGCTTCTTCACATGGTCCTTGTAGTATCCAACAGCAACAGGGTCGCTGTAGAAATCATCTCGGCATGTGACATCACCATTGCAATTACCTGCAGCAGACATGCAACCATGAGGTCAAGAGCCACTGAATAAAACATGGCCTTGCAATGGCATGCATGCAGCACTCACCTGACATAGAACATTTGCACAAAAATAACTGCATGCATGAGCTTTTGACTTACCACTGCCAGCCTCGAAGGACCAGATGTTGTACTGGTCGATGCCTCCATACATGGCCCAGTAGTTGGCAAACACAAGCACCACCCTGATGCCACGCTTGCTGGCCTCATTGATGACAAAGTCCAGGCCAACCAAGACCTTCTCATCGTACACGCCTGCAGTAAAGAGCACGATGCATTTGTCAGGTCCTGCAGTAAACGACTAATGAGGCAAGATGCATGCTTTCATGGTCACATGTCAACGGAGCTGATCATGGGCAAAAGAAATGCATGACAACAGGAGCGAATTGTACCTGGGTAGCGCTGCAGAGTGTTAAACTGCAGAGGGCCCTCGTTGAAGGCCCACATGCGGAGCACCTTCAGGCCCAGGTCCTTGGCGGAGTCAAGGATCTCCAGTACCTGTGGCCTGGTCCTGGGGTCTGCAGCCCTAATCATCTGCGGACAGGCACACACAATCTCATGCAGTGCAAGACTTCCAGAAGCACTCATGGTCATGGCACCGCATTTCATTGCAGCTCAAGTGCATGCAGAAGGCTTGTCATGACATGACATGGCTCGACACGTGAGGCTGTGGGGGTGCACATTCATGCATCATGCATGACAGTGCTCCTGCGACATGAGAACACAGGGCATGTCCGTGCAAAAGCAAGGTCTCACCAGGTAGTACGTGTTGGCTCCAGCAAAGTAGAAGGTCTCGCAGGAGTCCTGCTCTCCATCTCTGGACTGGACAACAAAGCGAGTGCCTGACCTAGCCACAAAGTCCTGGATGAGGCCAGCTCCACCGTTGGTGCTAGGGGCTGGGGCTGCATGACAGACGTAGCTCATGAGTTGATGCCACATGAAGCAAGAAATGACATTTGATGGCATGCATGGAGGCCGGCATGTTGGCAAAATCAACAAGCCAGCAGTACGCCAGCCCAGCATCTCAGCATGCATGCATCAATGCTCTAATAATTACAGTCATTCGACCTTCAGTACCTGATGCCTGCTGCAGCTGCCTAGACTGAGCCTTCAGCAGCTCGTTATCAGTTCCTGCGAGCAAGAAGACAGGCCAGGTCAGCTTGTGTTGTGTGTCAGACAAAGGTACTCGGACGGACAGGCTAGACTGCACACACGAGACTACAATTTCTGAGTGCTCGCCAGAAAGCTAGCTCGGTGCAGCACGCCACAAGCGGTCCTGCAGCTCAATCACTGTCACGCAGTGATGCCCCGTAAAGCCTTGTGATCGACCGCTGTCCGCCTGATGCCAAATGCAGCAGCACCGCCCCGATGCTTTCTACAGGCATCCAAGAGTGCCAGAAAGTGAGGAGCGGTCTTGTCAAAGACGCGCGTGCACCCGGACTGTATGTTGGAAAGGCAAGCCCTACTGAGCTGTACTGCACGCTTCAAAACTAAATACCTGGGAAGATATGATCGCTGCTAATAGATCACAGCTGCACAGACACAGATAAGAGCTGTCAGGAACGTCTTGGACCCTGGGCCAGCGCAATCGCGACGCTGGACATAACTCATGTGAGACTCTCCCACAAAATCCGGGCACCCGAAAGTCAAGGCGGCACTGATGCTGCACAGAAAGCCATCTCACAATGCTGCTAGACCACTTAAGCTGACCTCGGACCAAGCCCGCCTTTGGAGGGTGGGGATCAGGAGCCAAGACGTCATACCTACTACACTGAACTTTATAGCTCACCTAAAACGCACACCCACGCTCTGACATTGCAACGGGAACAACTGGCATGCGCCTCCTGCTTTGCTGCAATGCGCTGCGGCATGAGCTGGCCGACGCTCGCCGTACACCACCATGGATGCAGCACAAGGCAGAACCACCTCGCCCAAAACTCCTGCGAATGAGCTGTGCACACTAGGGAAGGCACACGCACCTATGAAGTCGTCGAATTCGGCCCCGAAGCCGGTGGCCAGAAGGGACAGGCTGAGAAGGGCCGCAAGGCGCAACGCCCTGTTCCCCATCGCTTCCTGCTCGCCCCGCGGGCGGCAAGCACGTCGGAGTCGGCTCGGCGACGCTCGCTCCACCTCTAAATTGCTACGAGAGACACATCTAGCACAGCTCGCCGCCTTGGATGGATCTGTGGTGCGGCCTAGTGTTGCTGGATTTTGTACCACTGTAAGAGCTGGCTGGCATGAGAGCCTGACTCGCCGGGGGAAACGAAGTAATAGTTGCCAGATTGGGCATTATTAATGACGCCAGCTGTGCGAAGCCAGTCCACGTCCGCTCCCAAAATGGCGCCAAAATCTGCTTGCAGGTCTTGTGTGATGTCACAACAGCAATTGCGATCCTGGCGGAGATTGTCTGTGGTTGGCAAACCCGACCAGCAGATCCGAAGCCTGCACATGCACGTACCGGCAGCGGCGCGTACCGTGCATGCACACACTTGTATGATAAATATAAACGCCACGGCACTGGCAGCCGCAGCCAAATGACTGCATGTTGCTCCAGAGATCTCCTGGCAAAGGATTATCATGAATACATGCATGCGGTTGTAACGCTAGGCGATCACCGCGCACGGCGCCATGTGCAGGGTACCAGAACAGACTCACTGAGCAGGAGGCATTTTCTGCAGAGGGAATCGGCGGGCCTGCCAGATCTTTGATCACCGGCAGCTGGAAGCCCAGCAGCTCAGAGGCTGATGTTGACATCCGTAAGTCCTCAGCTGCTGCTGAACCAGAGGAATGTGGCCAGTCTTGTGCTGCATGTTGCATGCATATGCCTCTCCCTTCCATTGGTCTGACTGGAGGGCAGGCAACAACCTCAGCAGAATTGGGCATGGGACAGCATCAGGCAGAACTTTGAGAAGTCCTGCTGATTTGTTGTCTTGCAGGATATGTTGGCTCGGAGTCAGTGCAACAACTGCACGTTGGGGTTTGAGGTTGCCAGGGTCTCCAGATCTGGGATCCAAGGGATCGCCAACACTGCTGCCTGGATCCCAGTCAAGAAGTCAGGCAGGTGTTCGGTCGTCTGCGCTTCCAAATTGCGAAAGGTGTGTTTTGGGTCCCATCTGTGGCTGAGTGATGTGAGTTGGCGTAAGGCATGGGACAAGCTCTGCACCATGTGTATCACTCTGCAAATGCAGGGATACGAGGGACAGATGCATCATCTTGTGGTCGATGAGGCATTAAGAACTGATTCGCATCACAGGACGAGAAAAGTTGCTGTGCTGCACAGGCAGAATTGCCAGTTGGTCACCTAACCATCCTGCCTTTGGAGGTTGAAGACTTGACAGCAGCATCCGTTTTGCTGACGAGGAGCTTTGCAACCTCGTTGGACTCTGTCACGGTCTCCCTCAGCAAAGTAGAGTAAGGGCCTGTGCATGCATCTGATTTCACTGGGACCACTTGCGTCAGTATGTGCTTCAGGATACCTCAAGATTTGCTCATGGGGAACTTGTGATGCATGCGCAGTGACTTTTTGAGGAAGCTTCAAGATCCATCAAAGAAAGGGCTATTCTTTGTTGCCCGCTTGATTCCGGCAGGTAAGTTAGGGACATGGTCTGGACCGACAGGCCACACCACACTTCTTTGTCATGTGCCCACTACTCTGCATAGCCACCACAAGGCAGCAGGGCAGTGTTTGTCAAAATCAAACCAGGGTAAAATGCACACCATGCAATGCAGTGGGAATGCCAAGAGGAGGGGAAGGGCTGCCTCCCGGTGCATGCATCATGTGCATCGACAAAACGAACTTCGCAGAAGTGCCTACAACATACTCATCTCTTGATTGACTCTTGAGGGGAGTGCATGCGCGCAGACGAGAGCCTCCTGCCGCCCGGTCGCATGCACAGAGTGGTGGGCACTGCAGCGGTCACCTTTGCTGAGGAGGAGGATGTAGAGGATGTCAGGAACGTCCCACTGCTGCCTGCGGACTCTGCGCACCTGACCAACATGGCCGTCGATGGCAAGCTGCGGAATCAGGGCATTGCCCGGCTGCTACTGGCGGCATGCGAGGATCATGCTCGACAGATTGGCTGCAGCTCAATAACCCTGGTGAGCTCATGCACATGATGGGTCATCCACCCCACTGGGATTCCGAGCATAACATTTGCTGGCCAAGCCAGCATTCTCACATTCATTGTACAAAAGAAGAGTGGCCATAGGCAGGTTCAAGTCTTCCTTGTCTGTCACAGTCCTTCACAGTGGAACAGAATGTGCATGCATGCTGCAGGCGGTGCATGTGAACAACACGCCAGCGCAGAAGCTGTACATGAGTGCGGGATACGACCAGGCTAAGTCAAGGCAGCCAAAGGCGCCGCTGTTTATGCTTCCAGGACGCAGATGGCAGCACAGCATCATGAGGAAGAGCTTGCTCCAGTGAGGCACAAGCCATTCTCTGGACCAACAAATCACCCTGCACTACCGGTCAGTGGCGGGCAGCGATCTGCTTGAGATTATCCCCGGGACTAATCCAGTGCACAGAATTTGGTTGTCTCAACCTGAGCCTGAGCAGGCTGCATTTTAGGATTCGTGACATTGAACAGCATGCCAGTGCGCTGCGTGGCTTGTACAGGGTGCCAAATTCGGTAAGACTGACACTGCGGCATTGTGACTCTGAGAACTTCTGCCACATGTTAGTGGAAGCTGGTCTGATGGGGCCATAATGAGCAAGATGCATTACTGTACAAACATTGTTGTGCGGGGAACTTCCAAAGTCGGAGTCAATGAGTCAATTTGAGTCAATGCCAGCCAAAATTCTCCTGGCCTGGCTGCGTTTTTGTGTTCCCCAGGAATCTGCCAGATATCTGATGTCAGTGACATCAAAATGTGACTTTATATGGCAAACACCCCTCCGTGAGCCTGGCCCAGCCTTGCCCAAGAATCAGCTGGAGCTCCCTTAAGGCTTTGGGAGCCTCCAAGCTTCAAGCTTCGTAGTATGATGGAATGTGCTCAATGTAACGATGATGCTTGCTACGAAGGGAACGATATTTATTGTATTCGCATGCAGCATTCTTAGAGGCCATTAGATTTCCATGCAGCAGCTTTGAAGCAAGTAGATTTGGACTTGCACAAATTTGATTCCTGCCGCAGGCAGCGGCTGCATACCAGTGATCATTCAAATTGATTCACAGTGTACGCGTATTAACCCGCACCGGTGGTACCTGCAGCATGCTGGGAAATGGAACATGTCCAAGGCTTTAGAAAATTGCCTCCTCACTCCCTCAAAATGACAACAGAACCCTCACATTCTGCGATGCAGGCTTAGAGTGCTGTTGCTCCAGCAGCTGGCTGATAACACACCCTCTTCTCCTTCTGCACCTCTACAGATCCTCATCACTCCCGCTTCTTGGACTCTGGTGGTGCTTCACCCTTGAGCAAGGTGTGGTAGGCTCGCTTGTCGGCCAGGAGGGCGCTGGACGGCTTGAGGCCGCTGTATCGCAACTGCACCCACGCATTAGAGCCCCTTTGTCAGTTTTGCACCCTACGATTTGTAAAATACTGGCAGTGGCAAATGCTTGCCCATGCTGGCATACAATGGAGTGTGTGCCAGAGCGGCAAAGCAAGTCTGTACCAGTGAATTGCTTCGGGCCTCTCACCATGTATTCTCGCACATTGTGCGCATATAAAGTTGGGTCCTTGCGCTCCTCCGCTGTTGGTACATACACTGGCAGCTGCAGGAATTTTCAAGCGATGTCATGCATAGGAAGAGATGTGCTGGGCAAAGGCGGGCAGATAATCATGTGTACAAGCAGCATGGCCAAGACAGGGGTCTCAATCCACATCGGGGAAGGACCCTCATGTTCAAGTACCTCATAAGCAATCACACTATGGAAGGGGTTTGCAAACGTCAGAAAGATGTGACGCGGCGCTGAAATGCTCTCCCAAGCTGGCGAGACCCTTCCCTGGTCACGCACATCAAGAGCGCATTTGGGACTTGAATCTATGGTGCCTTTCAGAATTTCTAACAATATCTCCAGACCACGCATGGCCCTACTGAGTGGCCTTATATGAACTTAGGCTGGAGAGTAGCAGGGCAAGAAGGAGCATGCAGGCCATGTCCACGGTGCTTCCAGTGGGCACACCTTGCCGTACTTCAAGATGACTGGCTGGACAGGTGCACCTGCCAAAAAGGCCCCAGTCTTGAAGGGCAGCAAGAAATCGCCATTGGTAGTTGTTCCCTGCATCCCAGGCACAGATCCCATCCCTCTAACAGCAGCAAGAGAGGTGCTGGCAATTGCCTTCTTACAGCATTCCTGTGGCGTGTCTGGTAGCGCACCTCTGGGAACAATAGCATGGGTCTCAAACTGCTGCTCTGCCTACTTGCACTTGCACTCGCCTCCATCCTCTCCTTCACATGCGCCGCAACACCCTGAACAGCATGCACCCTGCCTGTGAGAGACGAAGATCACACAGTAGGAGAACGCCTCGCAATTCAGCGATTTCATGGAGATTGAGTGGGCTGAATGTCGGTGCGCAGCTGCGCAGCTGCGCACCTTTGCACCTGCACTCCGACCCTCCCGCTCCACGTATATGCAGTCCATGTTCTGGCTGCACAGGTTCGCCATCTCGCATCATTGCTCGGGATCAGTTCATGCAAGCATTTTCTGGCCATGTGAGCCTGTCATGTGCGTCTGTATATTGGAAGATGAGTGCCAACCTGATTGGCCCGATCAGTGCCAGCTTCTCTGTTCCGCCTCTAGCCACAAAGCTTGGAAAGTATCTCGACATGTGAATCAGAATGTCGATCCAGCTGCAGTGGTTGGAGACAATGCCAGCTGCCCGTGCTTCCCCTCTTGGCTTGTCCCAATCGGCACGTGGCAAGTGCACCCACGCAATTTTGATGAATCCAATGCAAGCCAGGCATGATCTTGTGTAGAATTTGCCCAGGAAAGGAACAAGCACGTCACGAGATTGTTTAGGCAGCAATTGTGCCAGTCTGCAAGCTAGATAGAAACCCACAATGCAGGACACGGTCCCAATCACCTTCAAGGGCACTACTGTGAATGACAGAAAGCAGAGCCGAAGTAGTTCTATGGAACTCTGAATCCCGCAACCCATGGTTCCATACTGATCATATCTCTGAAATGGCAGAAAGTTGCTGTCATCCGAGATTACCATGGTCAGAAATGCAAAGATCACATGCAGATGTATTGCGACAATCTGCTTATACATGCGTTGGGATTCTCTGCCTCTCCGACATACGTGGCTGTGCACTGGATGTCAGCAAGCCAAGTTCTTTACAATCCAAGAAATAGCAATTGAGGCAGGTCATAATCATAATCTCTGAAGAAGTCTGTTGGAAATTACGAAAGAAAGAACTGATCATTGCGTCGAATGGAATCCAGGAGTTGAGTAACTTACACATGCTTTGCAAGGCACAGAACTAAGAGTGAAGTTGATCAAAGAGGTGGTCCGAAGGCAGAGTAAGGCAGGACGAGCTGGTGAGATGTACTGTACTTAAATTTTGGTGGATAAAGACCAAGAAACGGTGTCATAATATTTCGGGAGGTTTGTAGAAAGCCTCATATCACATGGGTTGTTCTACCAGCAGAGCAGGTAAGCTGATTGTAATCACTTGACTTTTAGCAAATCTCAGCGTTTCTTGTCCAGTTTTCTCCAGAGGATGATAGCTTGATTTGCATGCGGCATGTCTCAATCTTGAATTTGGTAGCTTGACCGTTCTCCTCTGAGCTGTGTACTTGCAATCAGTGCTGACCTCTATACTTGCTGCAAACATCACTGACACTGTCGTGACTTCACAGCACCACCTGAGAAGGCAGACTTGCGCGGTGTCGGCCAAACCGAAGCAGAACCTGGACCTGGGGCAATACCACGTATAAAGCTCGTCCTCCTAGGAGACTCGGTGCGACACCCAGCTGGAGACCAAAATTCTGCATGTCCAGGAGATGCTGCAGATGTGAAATCTTGCTTTGCCTTTTTCACCAGTGGCCTACTCTATGAGCTCAAAACCAGTTGAAATGGTACCTTGCAGGGTGTTGGGAAGTCCTGTCTTGTGTTGCGGTATGTCCGGGGCCAATTTGACGCGAACAGCAAGGTCACTGTGGGCGCTGCGTTCATGAGCCACTCAGTACATCTGCCTGACGGCACAACAGTCAAATTCGAGATCTGGTCTGTGGGCTCTCCTCGACCCTGTCTCAATCCAGCCTTTTCGGGTGCATGCAAAGTGAAGTTTATGCCTGCCTGAGGCATACCACACTAGCTAATGGGAAATAGTTCCATGGGACAGGGACACAGCTGGACAGGAGCGGTATGCGTCCTTGGCTCCATTGTACTACAGAGGCGCGTCAGCAGCAGCGGTGGTCTATGACATAACCAGCGGGGAATCCTTCCAGAAAGCAAAGCACTGGGTCTCAGAGCTGCAGAAAAATGCCAGCGGAAACATAGGTGGGGCAGGCTAGTCCCATGGTTCGATGTGTTCTGGAAGTATTATGCCTCCCTTGGGACCATTGCCATGGTCAGAGCCAATGGGATGAGCAGGCACATGAGCACTGTTGAAATTTGTCTCTTCTTGAGTTATCTTGCATTCTCCCTGGAATTTCTCATGTGCATGAGAGCTGTGGGTTGCTTGCAGCAATTATCCTGGTGGGCAACAAGTCAGACTTGAGCGAGCAGAGAGAAGTCACGACAGAGACTGGCCAAGAGTACGCAGAAAGGTACGGAGCTGGTCACTTTTCCCTTGCAGACTTCTTGTTATTGACCGCACCCCATCTCGTGCCTGATCTGAGCTGAAGTGGAGATTTACCCGCCCAAATTGTGCCACGCAGGAACTCCATGCTTTTTATCGAAACTTCAGCCAAGACTGCAGCCAACGTTGCAGCAATCTTTGATACTGTAGCGATGAAGCTTGCCAGCAATGGAGGTGCATCGCAGCTTCCCACTGCGCCCGTGACGGCGAGCTCATGAGTCCCTGTGCTGATGTAGCGCAGCATTGTCTATATGCCTCTGTTCTGGATGTTCCACAAAGAGACTCTGTCAACTAGGCTGAAGATGGCAAACTGTATATTAGTGACGGTGCTGACCCTTCCTACTTGTTAAACAGCACATTAATCTTGTCATATGTCTGGTGCACTGAGTGTCTGCAATGTTGCTATTGCATGTGATGCAGTTGCAATAATATCATGTTCCGCATTGTGCGCCTTTTGGCATCGTGAATGTTGGATGAGGGTGATTGTACTTCATGTAATCGAGCACTTCACTCCTATACGTATACCTTGCATGCAATCTTGATGGCCATATCCCGGATGGGCCCTGGAAGCAAATGCCAAAAGCAAATCTAGGTATATGTGAAACAGGATGCTCAGCATCCGAAGCTGCTTGGTACCGGTAGAAAACACGATATCAACACCCACTGCCAGTGGGTGCATCCAGTGGATGCGCATGGAATGCCCAAGTCAGCCATCAGCTATTACTTACCATTGGTATATCAAGCAACAGTATCGACCGGGAATTGTGTAACAAATTTGAGTCTGGGAGCGCTCCTGTTATCACCCTGTGCATGTGGTATATTGACGCTGACCATCACCAAATTTGACTCTTTACTATTATTATTATTATTACGCGCGTTTTCACATGAGGATCAGGTGCGTCGCATAAGCTACAAATGTGAGCAAGTTAACTACAAATGACAAGAATTATATTATTACGTCAATCAAGATCAGTAAGTAATCCAATCTTAGAGACAACATCTCATGATCGTATTATTTCAGGCGATGTTGCTGCAGGGTCCCAACCAGATTCCTTTGGCTGTATTGTAGTTTGCAATGCCAATTTTAGATCTCTGTGCTTTCCCTGATGCCCTGAGGCAACGCATGCATGCTCCACAAAGGCATCCCTCAAAGGACATGTTCTGACCCGACAAGCATTGGATCATGGTATAACGGTGCCCCCTCTTGTTGGCTAGCCAGTCACGGCGGCAGGCTGTCCATGCACAACTTTTACTGCCGCACAATCTATCGGTGAGCCAGGCACGCAATTAACGATGCGAAGCTTTCACACAGGTGATGTCTTCTCAGGGGATGTGATGGCTGAGGTCCGTGCACCACATGAATTATTGTCTCAAAAGAATGCTACCCCACTCTTATGCTCCAGAAGAAGAAGGACTGCAAATGCCAGACATGCTGTGCGCCCATTTGTGAGCTCAGCTTTTGGAGTGAACCAGCCTGCGCACACAATGAAATCCTGATGAGGATGCGGTCAAATGTTCCACCCAAGTTGTCGTGGTATATGCATGGCAGTAGGATGCCTGCAGCTGTTCAACGATCTTGTCTCCATACTGTTATAGAACAACATCACAACGTTATTGCAATGAGGCAGGTGCACACCAAAGCTCTCCCGCTTGGCGCCCTTTGTGATGGGTACTAGCGATGCCCAGATGAAGATGGCGCTTAATGCCAAAGGAAACCAAGGGGATTCCTGGATCTGGTCTAGAACTAACTTTCCACTCGAGCCTTCGTTGCTGGCTGCATAAAGGAAGCCGATCATTGCTAGGCGGCAGTTGATTACCTCTGGTGCAGGCCCATTGAACTTCATAGCGTCTGCACAGCGCCACGACAGTGAAATTAATGCTTGGCTTTCGATCTGGAATCTTGCATGCTGCTAGCGTATACCCAAAAACGTAAGAAGCTGTTCAATGTTACTAAAGCAGGGCGAGGTGCGCCATGGTTAGCACTGGAATAGGAAGTGGTGTACTTACCAAATAGAGGCACATTGTACGACCGTGGTACAGGGGTCTGTACCGAAGAATATGATGACACTGACGGCTGCGATGTCGAAACACCCAGTTGATCTCTCAGAGGAGAGAGCGGCTGGCTAGTTGAAGGTCCAAGACTCTTCATGCCTGGCTCTGGTGCTCCTGCCAATGCCCGCGAAATAAAGCGAGCTGTACGACGATTACATAAATGGCCAGCTGCTCCACAACGTCTCAAATGCCGCACCAGATCCTGCTCTAAGACAAGCGACATCACGGTCTGAAAGGTATGATAATAAAGCGATCCCTTAGTCAGTGCACCGCACAAAGAAAGTGGGAGCTCAGACAGCAAAAGGGTCAATGTCCAACTATGAAAGAATCGTTTTTTCCAAGGACTATCGTGGGATGCTCCTTGTTTCCTCACACTTCGCATGCAGGAGGAGTGAAGGGTTCATGTTATAGAGCAGGGGATATATATCTTCTTCTACATATAGGGTTCCTCCTACCAAGAGCATTTCGTACACCAGCAACGTCTGAACATTTCCTAATCTTTGCTCCATTCTTGGAGACCTCGACTGTCTCACCACGAAGAATGGAATGCAACGAAAAGTGGTCGCTGGTTATTTTGCTGTATTTGTGAGACATACTGGCCAAACACCATCTTGTTTCTCTATTTAGCATCAAGAAGCAACCTTGTAGTGGTATTACATAATCGCTACTATCATGATGCGAGAGTTATTGTACTCTCTTGTGGCGCTGAGCGCTGTGGCTGTGACATTCCTCGTCCTAGTCACAAGGTTTGCCTTGGTAGAAACCACTCTTTGCTCCCTTCTGTCCCGAGCGTTGAGGGGTCCCAGCTTTGAACAGACCCAGTCAAATGCACAGAAGTGCCGCGTGGAACGACGTAAACAAGGTATGCGTCGCGACTTTGCAGTCATTCTCTGGTCATCCTTGCCATGGACATGGGCCAGGGTTTTGAGTGCGAATTGAGGCACGCCATGCTGCGCCGGAGTGGACAAAACTGTTGTTTTCAGTGTTCTTGTCGGACGCGCAGGCGTCCACGTTTATAACGTGCGCCTGGCCAAAGCAGCTCTTCAACAGGCCTGTTGTGGCACATTCCATTTATCAGAGCTCTATGTGGCGTACATCGAGGTGCAGCTGCCGTCATGGAGGCGTCGTCTGCGCATTCATTTGAGAGGGGTAGTGGTAAATCTGCGTCAGCGGCAAATGCCCCAGGTTCTTGTCTACCAGTATCCCTCTGATTGTCAGACAGAGCAAAGCCTGAGACCTGCCTAGTCTGTCTGGCATCCATTAAGGGCGTCGATTTCGACCTTCCGTTTTGTGCTTCAAGTGAAAGAAAACAATGCATGTTCTGACCAAGTCTTCTGCTACTGTGCAGCTTGTGGACGCTGAGGAACAGCAGCTGGCTGAGCAGAAGTTGGAGAGGCAGCTGCGCGCTGAGAAGCTGGCGACAGTGGAGGATCTTCTTTGGAACACGTGTTTCCTCCAACAAGACAGCGAGTCACCAGCGAAGACAGGCAAGCTCACCCTGCCCTCCTCTGATTTCATCGCCTTGATCACCTTGTTCATTTAGCATCCCAATGGTGTGATCTGTAGATTTCTGTTTACTGGTGCGAGCCACTTTCTAGAGCGTTCACTGGGCATCACGTGTTGAATGTGCAGGGTGCTTCAGCCACAGGGCTCTGGCGCGGTTCTGCCACCGCGCACTTGTCATATGCACTCAGTGCCTAGAAGTGACGGTGGACGATCTGCAGCTGGAGGTCAGCCAGCAGGACGAGTCAGGGCCGCGCATGGCAGTGGGGGGCAACTTGGAGGGCAAGGATGCCCTCCGCCTCAGCATCAGGCAGCTGTCGCTCACACCGCAAGGCAGGCCCCTGTGTTAGACTAGCCCTACTTGTACTCAAATTGTTTCACAAATGTCTGTTTTCTGCATGCATGCATGCATGCATGTCTGTATGGTCTGCTGATGAGCTGCAGGTCAGCTATGAAGGTCACAACGGGGAGGACCTGAGCGCTTGCTGACGTCTCAGGTGGGGCTGGCAAGGCAATGCCATCACAGGGAGGCGGCGCTGCTACCTGGTGGGACTATTTGTGCGCGCCAAGCACAGTCACCAGGTTCCTCATCTACGCGGCGCCGTCCAGCGCGAAGGCTGAGGTGGCGGGCCTCAGCCTGTCCCTGCGCAGCTACGATGCGCGGCAGCCGTCCCCCTCGCACCCGCAACCCACAGCTGGGTCGGCTGCATCCAGCGGCCATGCCACCCCAACCCATCCCCCCTTCTCGGTCGGGCTGCCTGCCACAGCAGCGGCCACGCACACGTCTGGCCACGCACCGGCCGGCGCGCAGCCGTTCCTGCGGCGCAAGCGGTTTCGTGCAGCTTCAGTTCCTACGCCAGGAGCGGTGTCCAGTGCATCGGCTTCGGATGTCCCAGCGCGAGCAGGGCCGCGTGAGCGGGAGCCCCCTGTGGAGGAGCACATGCTGGTGCAGCAGTGGGGCTTCAGCCTGACTGTGCGGGTGGTGCCACCGCACTGGAGTGAGCCTGAAGCAGGTGCCGCACTGCAGGGCAGCATGGCCCAGGAGGCCAAGCCCTCCATGTACACTAACCCCCTTTATGCATCCGAGGAGACTTCCACCTCCTCGTACAGCGATACAGGTGGGCTGCACTGACTATATTTTCTTCCCTGCTCATGTTGTTGTTGCTACTATTTTGTCTTGCATGATCTGGATCCTCACTATGTTTTGATGCCGCACCAGCTATCAGACGTTGAGAGACAGCTCATTGTGCTGCTGGGGCTGCTTGTTCTCTCCTGACTGCAATGTGCATTTTGTGCTGCAGTGGAAGCATTGGAAGACTTGCGGCACACAGTGTCGTCCATACCGGAGGCGGACGAAGTTGTAGAGCCGGTGGCATCCCCAGAGTCAGTGAAGCGGAGAGTGCAGGGAGACACCGGCAACAGTAAAGCCTTTGCATCCCCAGGTCGCCCGCCAGGCTTGAACGGCTTGGCCGGGCTCGGCATGGCAGACGGCCACACAGGTGCGCAGTAGTTGCCAAAGTAGAGCCCTTCAGCGCGGAAAATGCCCTCCCGGGGCAGCGCCTGCCACGGATATCTAGAACAACGTTTTTGCAGGACTGACATCATGTTTGCGTGACTCTTGTGTGTGAGATCTACCAGCTCATGGTCATCCCCAAAGGTGAATGTGGCGCGTCTGGGTATCTGGCGTCTGCATGCTTCGCCAAATCAAACACAGATTTGGTTTGTGTCTTGAACCGTTGCTGCCATGCCCAGGTTTTGAGAAGCCGTGCAAGGTGCGCGCCGAGCCGGAGGAGTCATGCATGGTGGAGGTGGAGCTGCTACTGCGCGCATTTGTGCCGGTGCTGAGCGCGCAGTCTGCGGCTGTTGCCCTCCGCATGCTAGAGCGGCTGCAGCAGTACGAGCAGTATGAGCGGTTCTGGAGAGTGCGGCCGCAGGTGAGACAATGTCACAGCTTGCTGCGTGGTGCTCAGCAAATTGCAAGATCTCAGGAGCAGGCTTTTGCAGCTCCATAAAGTGAAATCGGATCATTTGCAACCAATAGGTGTGAGCCTGCGCAGGTGGCGGTGACAGCAAAGCCGCAGGCATGGTGGCAGCATGCCGGCCATGCTCTGAAGCAGGAATGTCGCACAATCAGCCGGCGGCAGGCCTCGCTTCACAGCCTGGACGCCCGCCGTGAGAATCGCCTGCGCTACCAGGCAAGCCTCCGCCTGCCCTCACGATGGACGGGGAATGTGCTCTCCTCCCATGCCCATGCTGTGCAGTCTTGCTCATACACATGCATGTCCATTTGTCTCTGCTAAGCTGGTCTTGATAACCTCTACATCGCTGCTTCCCTGCATGACTGGTACCTCTCTGTGGCATGTCTTTCTTTCTCTAGCAATTCACACCGGTATATCCGATGAACACATCATGAACGCCTGTCGTGCCACACAGGCGCTGTATGCAAAGATGAGCGCCAGCCTGGGCAGCTTCCACGAGCCGTCGCGGCGCTGGTGGCAGCAGCGGCGCGTGTCAGCTGCCAGCAAGGCGGAGCGCGCGGGGCTGGCTGCGTTGGAGGCCCGGCTCAGCCTGGAGGAGGTCGCGCACTTCCGAGCCGGCGTCGCAGCCGTGCACAGCCGCCGCCTGGCTGGCAACTACGCCGTCCTGCAGGTGCTGCTACCTGTATATCTGTCTGTGTTGACCTTGTAAGAGCACAGATGACACTGGATACTGCAGTTGGAGCAGCAAAATCTGCAAGCATGTGAACCATGCAGGGAGCGATAGTGCTCCCAATTGTTGCTTGCCACAGCTCTGAGAAGCCCATCAGAGACACTTGGCCTTAGAAGTACTGTAATCTTTGCCTGAAGAGTACGGATTTGCCTGATGGCAGCATGACAATGTCCTTGTGAGGAACATATCGTTTCCATCGACGATGACCTTTATCTTGCTTCACCACTGCAGCACGCGATGGACGCGGTGGATGCTGTGGTGGGCACCCCCGCCAGGGTGCCCAAGCCGGTGGAGGCAATGCTGTTCCAGCGGTGCACGCGGGGGCTGGAGAATGCCAAGGCGTCCCCAGTGACTGTGCGCATGCGCGTGGCCTGCCCCAAGCTGGGCCTGCAGCTGGCGGTGGGCGAGGAATGGATGGCGCTGACGCCGCGCGTGCCGGAATCGCCCTTCCACACCCTGGAGGCCGCCATTCGCGACGTCAGCATCACCCTGCAGCCCACAGGCGCGCTTGTGATCTGCTCGAGCGCCCTGAGGCTTCCTGTTTAGTGTCATCTAAATTGTACGTTCCTTGAAATGTGGAGGGTGGGCTTCCTGTACAATCTTCTGTTGCATTGGTATTGGTCGGCCAAGCAGCTAGCTCTTAAGATGCATCAGCATATTATAGTGTATGCAAATGTGGGATGGGTTGGCCTTGCACATTAGCAAATTAAGACTATATTTGGTGGGCCTATATTTTGAAATTATTTTGCGATGCTGATCCTGGCAGGCCAGGCGACGCTGGTGTGTGAGTCGATGGCAGTGGGAGGGCTGGCCACGCTAGACGAGCCCTTGCCGGCGCTGGTCATGCAGAGCCCCTCCAAGCACTGCATGCGACTGCTGGCCGTGGCCGACCTCCATGCGGCCGCCTGCCGCGTGCAGAGCAGCGGGGCCTTCGGCGCCGGCAGCTTCCTCACGCTGCGTGTCGGCCGGCCCTGCGGCGGCCGGGAGACCCCCTGCGACTCCGGCAAGGGCAACAAGGAGTGGTCCCTCGCGCAGCCGCTCGGCATGCAGGTCGAGGTGGAGGCAGCCGGCATTGCGGTGCGCATCTGCACTCCATAGGACCACTATACGTATTGCTTAATGCATGTACACAGCGCAAGACACACAAGACAAGCCATTGGCCTGGGCTTTGCTCTCTTGGCACCAAGGACCCATGAGGGGTCACTCGAATGAGCCAGGGAATTGGCTTCAGTGTGTGTTTGTTGAGCCATGCAGTGAAGAGTGGATTTGCATCTGTGTGTGGCCGTGGCACACAATGATCTGAGCTGGCTTGCTGTGGTGTCTCAGGTGCTGCACAACACCGACGTGGTGGTGGCAGCGCTGTCGTTCTGCGGCGAGCTGGACCGCATCAGGCACATGCCTTTGGCGTGGCCGGCAGCCTCCGCGCCTGCACATGCTTCTGCTCACACGCCGATGGACCCGTTGCAGCCGCAGACGCTGTCGCAGCGCGCGAAGCTGGCCTTCACGCTGCACAAGCTGCCCATCCGCCGCAAGCTGGCCATTCCCCTCACCTCCATCCGGCTCTCCTGCCCGGGTGCGCTCCCTCTCTGCAGCTGTTTGCCTGCGCATTTGCCAAGAAGCTGTAGTTGACCTCATCATTATGTTGCAACTGTGTCTAAGAAGAACGGCGAGGCAGCCTCACCGTGAGTGTGTTCACCAAGGTCCCTGAGCTTCAGGACATTGCACTTATTTCTATATATGTATGGACGTCACGGCTTACTTGGAATAAGCACGCCTTGACGGCCATTCCTATACATGCACATGTGTAACGCTGTGTGGACGCCCTAGAAGGAGAGCATGTTTGCTATGCCCTCCCCTCTTCCCGCAAATTCTATCCATGGTGCACGCAAGACACATCATTTGCTGATGTGGATATCATCGCATTTCTCTATAGAACCTTAACTCTGCGGAAGAGCTGTCCTTCTTGATTGTGGTTAATTTCTAGCCATCTGCATGAATCTTCTACTGAGGGGGTGCTGCTTGCTGCTGCAGGCATTGTGGGCGTGATCCAGTACCAGCACAATGTGAGCAACAACCCTGGAGCGTCCAAGAAGGACGTGGGCAGCGGGCCCTCTGGCGCCACTGCACAGCCGGCACCTGGTTCGGAGTATGAGCTGGTGGCTGCAGTGTCAGGCATCCGTGCGCAGGTGAGCTTTATTTCCAACGAGACCAGCACTTCTGAATAGCAAGTCCTGGAATAGCGCCTCCCAAGGTGCCTGCCTCCCTGATGCAGTTGGCATGTATGGACAGCGTACTTCACAGAAGATTGGCTCTCACTTGAAAGTTCTCAAGAACAGAGGGTGAGCAATTCAGAAATCTGAGTGGAATGCGCAGGTGTACGGAGAGGACTTTCAGGACTTCATGCACCGCGGCGCCACACAGAGGAGCAGTATACACTCTTATATTGACCTCTTCTGCTACCAGGCCCCAGCCTCCAGGTCAGCCTCCTTGGTTTGCATGTTGAGGATCAGCCTTCGCATGGTCTGCTGTATGTGGGCAAAGCAGCTCAGCCAGCTTTATGGTCACATCTGCACTGCTCCTCTCAAAGGGCGCGACCCTCTGCCTAAGTGCCTTTCTCACGGGTAGTGAGGCCAGAAACCTCTGTGAGGCATCCCACAGAGGGAAGTACTTGCTGGGAGCTGGGAGCCTTCAGATTGACTAGAGCATGCAGCGCAGCATGTTTGTTCGAGACTGAAGCAGTGCAGCTGAGGTGCTTCAGCCGTGGACAATATGCGTCTCGCTTTTTCTGTGGCCCCGGTCTTTCTCACAGCTTGCACCTTCAGCCCAGTCTTGTGGTGCCTGAGAGCCAACGCTCCTGCAACAGAAGGATCTTGAGAGAGAAGCCTCGTGTGATGCTCTAGTCCTTGGGCCGAACACATGGTGGTTTGATGGGGCCCAATGCATGCAGGCGGCGGGGTGATGCGCTGCAGCGGCGGCTGCTGAGTTTCCGGACGGTGGCAGCGCGCAGCCTCTTCCTGCGGCGCGAGTCCTCAGAAGACCTGGGCTCGCAGGAGGCCGCCGACCCAGACATGCAGGCCATGGCCCAAGTCTGGGGCCACCCAGAGGACCTCCACCTGTACCCGGTGAGACCTCTGGGCACTCCAAGACCATGAGTCTATTGTTGCTGATGATAGGTCAAGAAATGAGCAACTTCTAGAATGAGCTGCAGGTGTCCAGGGTTGGCAGGGATGTGTGGTTGAATATCTCCCAATACGAGATAACGCCCACTGTACAGGATGTGAACAGCACCAGAAGTGCAGTGATGCAGGAGGGGAGCTCAAACGAATGTCGGACTGCAGGGTCCGGAGCTGCAGGAGGAGCACCGGCTGAAGGGGCAGCAGGACAGGCGCGCGAGCTTCGTGTCCAGCGCCAGCGGCGGTGGGGCGCACCGAGCCAGCAGCAGCGGAGGCCCCTCTGCCGAGGATACCTGCCCTCCCTTCCCCCTGGTGCCTCTGCTCAAGGTGATCTCCTTTCCCAGTCCTCAATCTTTGGTCATAACTATCTGATATCAGTCCATTTGGTTCCTGCAACTGGCAGCATGCATGAACTACCAGAACCCACTGCTCACTTGCCGACCGATTGGGACTGTCGAGTGCAAGTCCGTTTGCCGATATGTTTCTGTCAACATTATGTATTAGATATCTGCAAATAGAGCCTGAATAGATGCTTGACTGTGATGCTTGATCATTGCAGGTGGCGAGCATGCATGCAGAGCTATCGCAGAAGGTAGTCCTGGTCCCCACCGCGCCCACCAGCCTCAACGCCAGCCTGGCCCTTGGAGCCATCGGCATCATGGTAAACCCCTTTCACTGCAGCATCATGGCAATGGCAATACACCATATCTAGAATGAGTCAACCAGCTGTATCTTTGTAGGGGCAGGAAGTCTCACTGGCATGCAGTGCCTTTCCATAGGCCAAATGCAGGATGTCATGCATGGGTGAGATGCCATTTGACTTCTTCAGCAATAATGTGAAACAGCAGGGAATGATTGTTCCATTGTGGCGGCTTGATTCATAGGTGTGGGTGTCGCCGTGGCAAGTGGCGCATGTGCTGTCCATCGTGCGCACGCTCCAGGGCGACCTGGCGCCTGCCTGGCAGCCAGCGGCTGCCCGGTCAGCGCCTCGTCAGCGCGCCAGCTCGCGGCCCTCCTTCATGTCCTCCTCACATCTCCATGTCGCCTGCACTCTGGATGTGCCGCTCATCTCCGCCATTGTCATGGTGCGCATATGGTGCCATCCTTGCTGGAAATCTCAATGGCATCAAGAGGTCAGGGGGATGACGTATTCCTGTGTTCCTTGGAAGCACTTTGGGCTAGCGGAATTTAGCCCATTATCCACACATCCAGTGATGCTGTAATCCTACTTTCTGTGGGATAGCTCAATCTTAGATGGGTCTTTATGGGAGTGTAGGGGCTGCAGACCTTTTGCAGCTGCAGAGGCTGCCTTCTGAGATCCTTGCACATATGCCTTTCAAGAGATCAAAATATTTGTCTCATGCCTTTCAACTGTCTAACCTTTTTTGCTTGTGCAGGTGTCGAGGGATGCCAGCAGTGCGGTGGCGGGCACTGATGGGGCGACCCGCTTCAGGCGGTGGGAGTGGGGGCGCCAGATCAAGGAGGGGCAGGCAGCACACGCCTGGAGCCGCTTCCTCACCCCTCTCTACGGCATGCAGGTCATCGGCCTGCTGGCCAGCGCCACATATGCAGTGCGCCTCTTCCTACTCCTGCTGCCTTTTTATCATGGGGCAACTTAAGGATACATGTCCTGCGCAAATGTGGTGATCTAGCTTTGCGTGGTGCTGATGTGGTGGAGCTTGGAGTATCATGAGAACCCAACAGTAGGGACACATGAAAACGGCGTATCATGTTAGTTGGTATGTTGGACTGCTGACAATGCCAGCATGAAGGGCGCTGCCCTGCATGCTGCTTCATAGTTCATCCCCCGTTGGTCAGGTTTATGTATGCTATTGCTACACTGTCCTCGTCTGTTGTGCGCCAGATGTAGATGAGCCCTTTCCTGTTGCTGCAGGGCACGGGGCGGCTGCGCGCGCGGCTGACCATGGACGGCGTCCTTGTGCGCGACCTGCAGCTGCGCCCTAGCTCCAAGTTCGCGTTCCTGCTGCGACCGCTGCCGGCGCGCGCTGCCCAGCTGGACAGCTACGCCACGTCCTTCCGCCGCCGCATCCTCCGCGTCATCGGCACCTCCAAGGCCAAGAAGCGGTGCGCTAGCTTGACTCTGAGAATTGACTGGCACCTACCCATGCATGTGGGACTCTGGAGCATATTGAATGCATGCATGAAGAGTGTGATTTGTGGCATATTATGAGGGTAGCCTGAAAATATTGAATGCATGCCTTTCAGAAAGTTACAAGTCTTTGAGAAGGATGAGGCTCCTTCTGCTGGATGTGGCACAGCCGCCTGTGCATGGGCGCCCCCTTGCTGCCGTCTGTAGAATGTCAGAATGAATCACGATGGCCCCGAGTGAAGGGTCTTGAGGAGAGCGACATAAGATGCGCTGTACTGCCACACAGGTGGAACCGGGCGACGCGCATGATAGTGCTGCGGCTGCGAGCAAAGCAGCGCATGTTCTTTGGGATGATGCAGTCGGGCGTGAAGGCCGTCAGCTTCCTCAGCAGCGGCGTGCTGGGCCCGCAGCTGTCCCTGGTGTTCACCTTGGCGCCCCCGCAGCTGCCCTCGCGCGGCCACGGACCCCGGCCGCATGCCGAGCCCGCCGACTTGCAGATTGAGGTGTGCTCCTCACAGCTCCCTTGCATAATTCTGGTCATCATTTTCCCATGTGAGCTATAGGATGGCTTGCATGCAGACATGCATGCGTAAAGGCTGGCGCCTTGTTGTTAATAGGACAACGGTTGTTTTGTCATGGTTGGTGATATTATTGCTGCAGTGTCCAATAACCATCTACACCACGTCATGTCTCAGTGATCGATCGCCCATCTAATGGGATGGGATGTGTCATGCAGATCGGGCAGATGCTGACTAACCTACGAGTCAGCACCAACAACATGCTGCTGCCCTTCACTGCGCAGATCCTTTCCCTGCTGCAGGACACTGGATTCCACAAGACAATGGGTGAGTGGCATCTGGTGGAGCATCACAAATGCATGCATGTATGTGCCTGAGCATGCAGTGCTTCAACATCAGTTCCAGTTGACTTTGTTGTGAGCCTAATTGACTGCATGCAGGTGAGGAAAGCAGCGAGGAAGAGGTCAAAAGTCCCAGGCGCAGCGGCGGCATGGCCTTCCCGGGTTTGAAGGTGAGAAGCCACCCCGAGCCTTTCATGAGAGTCTACTTAGTGCATTGCGCGGACATGGCGTGTCTATGCCAAGTGAAAGTAATACACTACACCACTCCATTAACAACTATTGCGTTGAGATCGAGCATACTGTGTCACTTGAAGAAGGCTTTGGCATGAGCTGTCAAATAAATATGAGCCCACAACCCCTTCGATTGAATTGAGAACATGGTGGCCACGAGAGCTGTGATGGCTGACTGCAAAATTGCTCTTGGTCAATAGATGCAGCTGGGCATGGTGGGCCTGGACATGGTGCTGCTGGTGATGGGGAGGGAGCTCGTGTCCTTCAAAATCGTGGACGCGGCGCTCACTGTCGATGTGACATCCGCCAGCGAGGCAGAAAACGGTAGCAACCCCAGCGCTGTCACCATCGGCCTCACTGTGGAGGACATGAGCCTGCGGGACATGCAGGCAAGACCTTCTTACCGCTCATAATATGATGAATGAGATTCCATGCATAGGTTGCTTGGGTTGAGGATCGGAGACGTGGCCTAGAAAAGGTGGCCATGATTCTGCATCAGATGCTTGGTGAGCAAGATCCATCATCTGATCATTGTGATGGAAATAATTGGTGAAGCTCTTTCTTCCTGTATGCCTTCCTGCACATTTACTGCATGCCGAAGGCCTGGGAGTATTAAAGGGCAAGCCCTTACAGAACTGCGTGGTGTGTTGCAGGCAAGGCCGGAGCACAGCATGGTGCTGCGACCCAACAGCGCTTCGGAGAGCTGCAGCCTGACGCTGGAGTACACGCAGCCGGTCAAGCGCAACCAGCCGCCCTCGCTCATCATCGAGATGGCCAACCCGCGCATGCTCGTCCTGTTCAGGTGCGTAGATGCATGCATGTGCCTGGCGTACTGTTCCAGTGACATTCGGTTGAAGTTCATGGGGTGAAAGCTTTGCGTGAGGGCAGCAAGAACCCATGCATCCATTCATAAATGCCACATTTTACAATGCATTCAATGTAGCATGATGGAGGCTCATGATCCAATTACTTTCGTTCCATTTGAAATGGATGCTTGGCATGCATGCATGCCTTTCTGTCTGCATGCGCGCATGTCCGACTCAAGACAGACTGCTGCAAGCAAAGTTGTAGTGCGGCAGATTGCTGACTGTGCCCACATGATGTGCACTGTTGTCCCGCAGGTTCCTGCATGACATCCTGTTCGGAGTCCACATCATCACCAAGGGCCTCAAGGGCAGTGCTGGTCTTCTGGAGGAGCCAGGGACTGCCAGGGCCCCTCTCACACCGCAGCCTGTTCAGAAACCTGCTGCTCCAACTGATGACGAGCAGCTGCTGCCGCTGCAGCTGCTCATCTTTGTGACGAACCTCAGCGTCCTGCTGCCTGCTAGCTCGAAGTAAGCGCCCCAGACAACCGACAATGCATGGTTCTGTGACAGTCTAGCACGCTTCTCACTCGTGAGAGATTGCCAGGGAGTCACATCAGGGAAACTCATCTGACTCACAGTGGCTTTCAGTGGCAGCACCGCCGAATGTCCCTGACAGTCCCAACAGACAGCCGATAATATGGGACATTTTCTGACTGGTGCTGACGAAGTCTCTAACTGGCTATTTGCAGGTCCAGGCAGGTGCTGGAGTGCGACGCAGACACGCTGATAGTGGGCGTGCCTGGTTTGGCGCTGCCAGACTCGGCGCTGGCCACGGCGCTTCTGCCCTCCGTGCCTGACATGGTGGAGGCCAGCCTGCGTGGCAGCCGCCTCGCGCGCAAGGTCGCCCGCCCCGCCCCGCCCCCACCCGAGGGACAGCCTGACAATGCAGCTGGTGAGCTGTAGATCCTGCAATCATCTAGCGACATGAATGCGCCCATCTTGATGGATAAGTTCGGGTTGGTGTATGCCTTCTCGTGTGGGTGGTGCTTGTTGCGTCTTCTGACAATTGCATGCAAAGCACCATCCTTGAGTGACTCGGGGCGCCACCAAGCATTGTTCTGGCTGTCATTCAAGGAGTAAAGTGGGCCAAGGGCTGATGTATATGTCCAGCATCATGTGCCAATCTGTTCTCATGGCTGCTCTGAGCCAAGGTCGAAAACATTAGCAACGCAGCATGATATTTGCGCCTTTCATGCCGGGGCTTGCTGAAGCATCTGCCTTGCTACCTTTAATCCAAGACTTGCTCCACTGACTCAGGGTTTGCCGGCTGCGCAGTGAATGACGGTGGGGAGGGGCAGGAACATGACGACAGCAAGGAGGAAGACGCTGGGGATGACGAGCACCTGGAAGTGCACAACTCCGACAGCGTCTTCACGAAGGTGGGCGGTGCTCCTGTCTTCATTCCCATATATTTCCACTCCAAGCTGCATCACTCTGTTGTTGCTTGAGCTCTGTCAAACATGGCAGAACCATGAAGATTGAATGAGCCCTTTGGAGATTGGAGCATGCACAGCTGTAAGTGTGCCTACTCTGAGCCAGGCGCCTGAGCCCACCGTCTCTTTGCACAGGCCATGAAAAACTTCTCGCAGTGGGAGGCCCGGGAGGAGCGGCGTCTTCACAAGGACCTGCAGCGCCACCGGAAGGGCGTCCTTTTCCTGGGGGACCCGCCCCCTGACCCTGTGCTGCCCAATGCCGACGCGGGCGTGCTCCACGTCCCGGATCAGGCAGTCGCCGCACAGGAGAAGGAAGCCCGCCTTCGCACGCGGCGCAGTGCTTTGCAGCACACACCGTTTGCGGACGTGAAAGGCAAGCGGCGGGCGGGTGAGTCATTGCCAAGGGTACCGGAGGGAACGCCCTCGGCAGGCCCCAGCCGGCTGGCCGGCAGCGGCGCGGGAGGGGAGGGGAAAGATGTGCTGGCAGGGGTGGATGTGGCGAAGGCGCCTGGTTTGGCGCTGCCCGGCCGGGTGCCCAGCGCTCCTGCCGAGCTGCCCAGCGGCGTCCGCTGCCACAGTGCGCCTCATCACCCGCCAGAAACCCCTGGTGCGATGCTGTGCCTCTACCAATATCCTTTTGCAGATGCGATGGGTTGTGAGGATGAGCAGAACAACACAATTGTTGGCAAAGGTGCACGAGCTCCTACAACATGTCTTATGTTGCAAGGCACTGAATTCCGTTATCTAGTCAGGTGGGCGCTTCTTTAGGCCTGGTGTGCAGGTCCTTATGTGAGCCGTTAATGGCTGTTTCCTGCGCTCAAGCTCATGATTGACAGGGACCTGGGATCATCATAGCAGGCTAAGCCTGTGCCACAAATACTCTGCACAGTGGGCATTTTACCGGGCATCAAAATGCCTGGCGCTGGCAAGAGCCCGCTGTACAAGCATTCTGGCATTGGTGGTGTCCAGCTGTGGAGGATCCTGATCACCATCACCGAATGGGGGCTGGAACAGACCTTGCTCGCGCTGCTTGTCCAGATCTTGTGCACTCCTGACAATGCTGCAGGCCTTTGCATGGGCACATGAAGACAAATATCTTATAAAACTTGCATGCAGGCATGTCAGAGGAGCCGCCGGAGGTGATGGTGGCCATTCTGGCTGATGGCCTGGTTGTGCGCTGCGCCTCTCTCGGCCCAACTGTGGCCGCGCCATCTCGGCGGCGCACCCGCTTCTGCCCCAACACCGTGGACGTGTTTGCGTGGCCCATGGACCAGTACGACCTCACCAGCAGGTCCGTAAGAAGTTGCTTGCCCAGAAGCTCTGCAGTACTTGATGCTGTTAGCTAGAGATTGTCTCGGAGGGCTCAAGCAGGGTGGTTGCGATTTGGGATGGGTCATCATGCCCAGTCTAGATTTAATTAAAGCGCACTATGCAATTTGGGCCATTCCTCGTTGCAGTCAATCCTCATGGTTGGGGCAAATAACTTTACACAGAGGGTTCTGCAGGTACGTATACAAGGTGGCTGGTTCCTTGCTGATGGCATTATGGTGTTTGGTTGCTGCAGAGCGCCGTTCATCCACCAGGCAAACTACGCGATGGTGATGTTTGAGCAGCGCGACGGGGGCCGACCCTACACGCAGCTGCACCTGACAGCGTCCACGTTAGCAGCCGCGTTGAACAACGCAAACTACAGCGCGCTGCTCGGCTTCGCGCAGGGCAACCTGGCCGAGATGTCCTCGTTTGCGCGCGCGGAGCGCCGGCCGCCGCCGCAGCCGGAGCAGCGCACGACCTTTACCGACTCCTTCTGCTTCGAGCCGCCCGCCGGGGACCGCCCCTCCTTCTACATGACCGTCTCCGCGCCGGACCTCACGGTGTGCCTCACATTGCTCTTTGTAGATGCCTTGTTTTTGTTTGTTGTGTTATATAATTACAAGCATGAGCAGGACTTGATGGGCCTTATCGACTTGACGGTGCTCATGATGCTAATCTTTGTTGTTTCCTAAAATCATGGCTGTGTCTGGAATTGTGCATGCTTGCGGACAGCCACGCTCGGTAAACGCCAGACCAACCTCAGTGGGCCAAGAATGCCTCAGTCCATGCCATATATATCCTTGATCTGTTCTTTAATCCTTATGAGCACCATGTGCTGGGTTTTTATTGCAGGTTGTGCTGGAGGCGGAGCCAAGGGAGTGGCAATCAGAGTGCTCCATGCAGGGCCGTGCGCCGGACCAGCTGCACCCCTTCCTCAAGACCCGCTTTGAGGACGTGGCCATGGACCTCGCCGTACTGCAGGTGCCACTCACTTCGCCTCCTGCTGACCTTATTACATCTCGAGGGGTTTCAATCCCCAGTCACTTTCGTTGGTCTTTCATGGAGTGCATTCAGGTGTGATGATGGCGCCATGGGGAATGGTTTCAACCATGTTGTTGATGGGTGCTGGCTAGTCTAGAATCCAGATGCGCTGGATCTCCTTCAGCAGCATGCACTCTTAAAAGGGATGCTAACTACCTATGATGCTCTGGCAGGGGTCGTGCGCGACGCACATGAGCATAACAGCCGCCACAGTGAAGGCCGACGACCTGCGCCTGGCCTACTCTGGCGCACTGCGCCACCTGGAAATAGTCCGCGACGGCGTCTCCGCCTTTGCTGCCGGCAGCGCCTTTCCTGCAAGTGAGTTCCTGTGCTGTTGATCTTGCTCTGTCCCTGCGCTTTGTCCAATGCAACTTCTGGGTTGTGGCATTTGCTGCTTGTATGCGCCTTATGGTGCACTTCCCTGACAGCAGCAGCCAGGAGCAAGCCTGTTCCTGTGACGGCGTCCATCTGTGAACCCAAGTTATGCTTGATGTCAAGGAGGCTGTGGGAATATTGCTGGGGCAAACACCTTAAGACTGCAGTGTTGCTAGCCTAACGGGCCCTGACCATCACGTTTTCACCGCCATAGTGGCCTCTCCTCTAAACGCTATCGTAGCATTGCGAGGTAGGCAGAAGAACAGGAGCGGCAGTGAATCTGGGGGGCCACAGCCTCTTGGGTAGCATCGGTCAAGTCTTGATGTGGTCAGGCGCACTCTGGCCCATTCCTAACTGACATCATGCCAAAGAAAATGTCTGAGGAAAAGCATTTCGTTTCTGTAGTAGGTGGGGCCGGTGCGGGCAGCGGCGCATTCTGTGGCAGCGGAGGGGGCGATAGCGCCTCTGCGGCGACCGGCCCATCCTGGGAGCGAGTCGCGAGCCGCCTGGGCGCCTCAAATGTGGCGACCACCCCCCAAATGGCGCCAGCCGCGGCCGGCCCGGCTCGGCTCGGCATGGGCGATCTCCTGCTAGAGCGCTGCACTAGCATCAGCGCTGCCAAAAAGACCCCGCGCTCCGCGCAGGGCCTCGCAGCAAGCCAGCGTGCGTTGACGCTCGGTGCCTCCGGGTCGCGCAGCCCGCTGCGGCCGCTGCAAGGGACGCCTGCTTCCGCGGATGGGAGGTCTGCTCACAGCGGCGCTGCCGGGACATCAAGGCCGCCCATCGACCCCTCCAGCAGCCAGCAGGGTTTGGCCGCGCGGTGAGGACTGTGCGCTCTAGAGAGCTTGCCGTGAGGTGGTTCATAGAGTAGTTATTGGTCAACCCTGTGTGCTTCGTCCAGACGGAGGGTTGTTCGCCACCCAGTTGTCTGCTTGGACTTCAATTCTGGGACATGCACGTGGCCTTTTACCTCAGTTCAGGTCGTCTACTGGGGGACGGACAATGTTTCCTGCATACTGTATGCTGCTCTTTCCTGGGCCGCCTCTTTAGTTCTCACCCAGCCTTCCACCTTGGAAAACATGCAGCAGCGGCAGACAGTGTCATAGCTTTGAAGGAGATTCACGCAGCAGAATATAGTAAAACACATGGTGTTCACTGTGCAGTGCCAAGCGCGCGGCAGCAGCCGCGCCGCCGCAGCCGGCGTACATGGCAGTGGTGGAGGTGGCAAGCGAGCCGGAGCTGAGCACGGCGTTTCCGCAGGGCGCGCCGGTGGTGCACCTGATCCGGTCGCCGGCCGTGCTGCAGAATAAGGAAGCCGCGCACCTGACGCCCGACGAGTGCACCAACATGCCCCAGGGCGCCACCCTGGAGGTGAGCTCAATATTGTTGATATTGATAATTGCGATTTGGGATCATCAATCCTGCAATAATTCTCCAATTCTGCAATTTGCTGCCCCTGTAGCGCCTTATGTCGAATGTACCCAGTCACAACTGTGTGAGACATTAGTGCCTATTGCTGCTTAGTATATAAATTGTAACCGTCTGAGTGATTGCTGAGAAAGCTTCTGTCATGATTCTTTTACACAATTGACTGAACATTGTCTGCTGATTTGCAGGTGGCTCTAAGCCTGATGAAGGATGGCACGGTGGCAATACAGGCAGCGCTGGCGCAGGCGCAGCTGCAGTGGCCCTTCCTGCATGACATTTCCCTTGTGTCGGCCATCACCTCTGTCTTTCTGCCGGCCGCCGCGGCCGCCCCCGGCGGAGACGACTTTGCGGCCGCGGCAGCAGCCGGCGCGGTTGCGCGCGCTCTGCAGCCCGGGCCATGGCTCTACTTCAACCTGCTCCTTGTCAACTCGGCGCTGTTCACACCCGTGCTGGACAAGGCACGCCTCTTCCTTTGCTGGTTTTGTGCGCTGATGGACTCATGCAGGACAGGCATATCGAGCAGAAACACAAGCCTCTGTGCTACTTCAACTCTGAAGATCAGATGCGGCGTCCACTCGCAATTGACGTTGGCCATGCTTAGGTTTATCTGGTGTGGCTGATGATTCCTTGATTGCTTGAGATTGGGATACAACCTTTGGGTATGCTTGCCGCAGGTGGCCACATTTGACATCGTCAGGCAGAAGTTTGGCGCTGGAGCCGTGCACACCAGCCTGCACGATCGCCTGGCCGGAGTCCTCCTGGTGGCAACAGCGCTCAGTGGAGAGAGCCCAGGTGAGGCACCTGCATACTGTCGACTCTTCTATCTTCTGCCATAGAGCGCCTGACTAGTCCGTTGATGTCCAGCCATAGAATTTGTTGTCACCGCTGTTGCAACCTTTCAACAACAGCTAGGGTGCAATGCAAAGGCCCATAGCTCAAATCATTTTCAGCTTTCTTCACATGCATCTGCACCTTCCAATATATACTTGATGTATAGATCAGTGTAAAAACAACGAAGAATACGCTTGCTATAACTGCAGACACTGCGATGCGGCTGGAGCAGAAGGGCCTGGCGGCCAGCTGGTCGGGACTGCGCTTTGCATACGCAGCCGGCGGCGACGGCGAGTCGGACCTGCGCCTGGACCTGCGCAACTTTGCCGCGTTTGTGCGGGATCCGGCCGCGCTCGTCACCTGCCTTCTCCTGCCGCACAGCTGTGCCGTCCGCCTGGAGATGCAGGTGAGCGTCAGCACATCCACAGCACACCTTGCCCTCCATGTCAGAAAGGATTGCCTCAGATTAAACTTCAGAGCAAGCACATTGAGAAAATACAGCTCCCCACAGTGTGGCCCATTAGCTCACACTGCAAGCCTAAACCTCCCTGCCGCAATCCTCCCACAGGGTACGGAAGAATTGGTGCATATTCATAATGAGATATTAAAATATCTCCGTTGCTTCAGATTCCGCACACCTCCGAAACACCGCCAGGTGGAGAGGAAGCGCAGCCGAGCGGGCGCGCGGAGCAGAGCAAGGCGCAGCTGTCCGCTGCGCTGGCCGAGAAAGACCGGGCCAAGCGCGCGGCTGAGCGCGTGCAGCACAGCAAGGAGGAGGGCGCGGCCGTCATCATTCAGCGCGCGTTCAGGCAGTGGCGCTGGCGGCGGCGGAAGCGCAAGTCCAGCAAGTGAGCATCTATTCTTCCTTTGAACCGTATGTCCATTTGGATCACTGAAGCATCTCGGGTCCTAAGCACGAGCCACTTTCGCCCTAACGCTCTCGGCCCAGGCGTCTGTGCTGTGCCCCTTGACCTGGATTTGCTGGTGATGTGTCATGTGCTGTGCAAAGGCGTGCCATTCCAATAGCAACGGCAGTGTGTTTGCTATAATTTGCGGGGGGTTGTGATATGGCCTTGTCCATTGGCGACTGCCCTGGGCAGCTCGCTGGGTAGGCAGTGGCCAGGAGCATTTTATGTCGCACGCACTTTGCTGCAGTACCATTGTCCCATTGCTATAGAGGTGGCAGCCCTGCTGCAAGCGGTGATCCAATGTTGTATTGTGCAGAAAGCGACAAGGGGGGGGGCGCTAATTGCTGTTGCATGCAATGTGATCCCGGACTTACATTGGCAAATGACACAGGTGCTGATGATCAGTATATTGTTGCAAAGCCGAAATTCTTCTGGATGATAGTGGTGGTCGGTGCGCAGGGCGGAGGAGGAGTGGATGCAGTCGACCGGGGCGGAGGTGCTGCGGCGGCTGGGGCGGCCACCGCTGAAGATGCCCACCTCGACCGAGGACAGCCTGATCGATGAGCTTGTCATGAAGGTGGCCTCCCCACGCACCAAGGACCTGCTCCAGGACTACGCCGAGCAGTACAAGGTGCGCAGCCTCTGCACGTCATGCTCTCTCCTACTGGAGTTCAGATCAATGCATACCCCACCAAATTGTTCCAATCGCTTGTGCAGGTACAGCAATTGCTTTGTATCCGTTCGCATGTGCTACCAGCCAAGCAGAGGGTCGCCATGCATGCTGAGAATTTGCCGGGTGCCTGGTATTCACCTGTCATCAGGCCAAGACTTCACTGATAAAGTCGACGTAGAGATGCTCACCACAAAGCTCAGCTGCTTTGTTTGGCACAGCATTACACTTGTCGTTTTGGATCTGATATAATGCTCTGCCCTTAAATGCGCAGGCTGATGACAAGGCGCGGGTTGTGGCGGTGAATCATGCGCCCACGAGTGTGCGGCTGCGCGCGAAGCTGGGCTCGCTGACTCTGCGCGCTGCCTTCTCGCACATCCCCCTCCTGCACTCTGCGCAGTGGATGCTGCAGTCCGTCTGCCTCGCAGCGGACGCCACCAACGGCGACCTGGCCGCTGCCACCGCCGCTGTTGGCCAGGTGAGCAGTGCACATGTCGTCTGTCCGTATAAAGATATGCATGCATGAGCTCCGAAGTTCATGGCCACCACTTGATAAGATATATCAGGGAAGCTGATGGAGAGCTAGGATGAGCATCTATCAGCTTCCCTCACAGCTTCCCACAGCTTCCATCGTCTGCGCCTGTGCCAGGGCACTTTTGCATTTGACGAGTTGAGGTACATGTATAAACGAGTGCGCTTCTATTTCAGTGCGCGAGGAAGTGCTTGTGGCCCTTTTCCATGCTGCATCAGTTGCTTTGATGATGGACGCAGAAGCGGATGGCCATGCGAGCCATCAGATAGTAAGCACCGGAGTGCACCAGCTGTTCTAGTTTGCTGCACGGACGCAGGAGGTGGGCTTCCGGCCGAGCCAGCTGCGCGTGGACGCGGCGGTGCGCGCGGTGTCACTGGTGCTGTGCAACGACAAGCTGAGCACATACGGCGCCCCGGACGTGCTGCAGGTGTCATTGGACCAGCTCGATGCCCACTTTGCGCGCGACCGCGCCTTCGCCGACCGGCCGTCCAATCAGGCAAGACCTGTCTAGGCTGCTAAATGTCTGCAGCTTCCTTCCAGTTGGTGTTTTCTGGACGCCGCAGTTCTCTCCTGAATGTCTGAGCCCTGTCAACAGATCAGCAATTCATACCTCGGAAGCGTTGTCTGGAGTTTGTTCCTGTCGCCTGACCTGGGCGACGTCATTTATGCCTCGCATAGTAGTACATATACTTCAGACCCAATGCTGCGGCCGGGGTGCTCTTTCAAAAAGCCAGCATCCTCTGTAGGGAGAGATGAACAACTAGTGCTCAATTGATGCGCCAGCATGATACTAGTAAATATGGTCATGTACTTGGCCTGTCCTGGCAAGCGCTTGTAAGTTTGGCCAAGAAGCTTATCTGTCGACCTGGGTGTGCCAGGTGGGGCGGGTGATGATGCGCCTGTGGGCGTCCTTCCTGAACAACAGCAGCAGCCGCTGGGAGCCCATCTGGGAGAACTGGCCTCTGCAGCTGGATCTGGTGGACAACGTCTCGCCCATCTACCGCTCTGACTTCAGCAGGTGCTGCGCCCATCAGCTGCTGCTCTCTTTTTAATGCCTTCTCCTCAGCCGGGTTTGGTGTCAGGAACAAAACATGCAGTACGAGCGAGGTTCATGCGAGCATGTATCCAAAGCCTGGAGGATTTGCCGGTGTTTCTGCGGCACAGAAATATTGGCGAGATCTGAAAGTGGTGCGCTCTGCAACCACAGGCGGGTGTGGGTGGGCTCAGAGGAGCATTTGAACGTGCAGTTTAACCCAGCCGCGCTGCTGAGTCTGGGCGACGCGCGCACCTTTCTTGAGGCGCTCTCCGACGTTGAACCTCGCTCCCCCGTCGTTCCCAGAGGTGACTTCCGCATCCTTCTCATACATAGGATGAAAAGGAGGATGTATTCTAGATATCCACATCTCCAATTGTCAAGCCGCAGGCCAGCCATGCGCTGCATTTCTGCACACACGGGTTTGTGCTTGAGTTTCTGAGGAGGCCCAAGCTGTGAGGAAGCCCACCAGAACTGGTGAGCTTACATGCAACTGTAGGAGCTTCCTGGGATGTGCAGCAGACTAAATGCGCACCTACTTATACCGCACAATCCCGGCATACCTGCAGGAGACATGCACATCTGCCCTTCAGGACTGAGTAGGTCTGTGATGTGCTGGTACAAGTCCAGACACTGCCTTGGTGCTCCCGTTATCCAACTCTCATGCTTTTGGCGCAGGCGGCCCGACGCCGTCCACGGTGTCGACGACGAGCCGGCTGGCGCAGCTGGACGCGGCGCCGCAGATGGCGGAGCAGATGGCGCAGCGCGGATCCATCACCAGCCGCGTGCCCCAGAAGTACCTGATCCAGAACCAGTCCGGCCTCACCGTCTTCTACTGGGCCGACCCCGTGCGTACACCCCTCAGTGCCGTTGCATGTCGATGCCAGAGAGTGCTCCCGGTGTACTGCCAGCCTTGGCCGGGTCAAGAGCGCTCCCGTCCTGATTGCGGCCATCAGTCAATGTTTGAGACAGATGTAGGTTTTGATGGGAGGTGGTAGCTGCAGTACCATGGGGGGCTTACGAAATGCAGGTATCTGCCGAGCTGCTTATGATGTTGCAGTGGCTAGTTCTCATTCGATCTACACAATTACCTTCTTCCCTTGCTTGCATGTAGGGACGAGAGCAGCATTGTTTCAAGTGGCAATGCTGGCTGACCGCATCCTGTATTCATTCTTTCTATGTCTTTGACAGCTGTTCTTTTTGCCATCAAAGTAGAGGGAGCTCTGAGGCTTCCTGGATGCTCGCAAGTACTGTACTACTGCTCTTGTCACCTGCAATTTGAGCGCAGGGTGTGCTGCAGGGAGAGGGCGTCCAGCGGACGTTCAGCCTGGAGAGCGGGGCAAGCGAGACGCTCAAGGTGGCGCCGACGCGCAAGGTGCTGAATGTGAGCACCTTCTCCAAGGGCGGGTCCATCGAGAAGGTCGGCAACGTTATCAACCTCTACTTCGAGGGCAATTGGATGCCCATCAAGGTGCGCTGCAGCCTCTGTGGTGATGACTGTCAGGCTAGTGTCCTTCCATTTGATGCAGGATCAGAATGCCATTTTTGCACTGATCCAGAAGAGGTCCATGTCAAACGCAATGCATCTATCTGCCGGTGGTTTCAAATCTGTGTCAAAGCTTCCTTTGTGCTTTACCTGTCAGATTCTGACAGCAAGGAATGCAAGAATTCAATGCAGGTCAAGAAACAGGTTTGTACTATATCTTTTATGAGCATATGAGCTCAACATACATCAGTCTATCAATTGTCAGACTCTGCCCTGACAATCATAGCATGGCGGTGCAGGACGTGGCGGTGAGCGTGGTGGGCAAGTACCGCTACTTCATGCACTCACCGGCGGAGCACGACAGCGTGCCGGTCATCGTGGATATCATCCTGGTGGGCCGCACCAAGATCATCACTCTTCACTCCTCCATCTGGCTCGACAACCGAACTGACCGCCGAGTGGCCTTCCGTCTGCATGTTCCCATCACGCCCCTGGTCGCTCCCGTGGCCGAGGCGCCCGGCACCTCTTCTTCTGCCGATTTCAAGACTGCCGCCGCCATCGGGCCGCTCTGCCCCGGCGAAGGTGCGAAACTCTTGCGCTCCTCCCTACCACTTGATGTCTCTGTGTTTGGGTGCAGATGGCGAGGTGTTCTTTCATAGGTCAAGGTGGCACCTTTGGGTCCAGCGGATATAGATGAGTGTCTGCTGCACCCTTGTCAGTGAGCTATGTTTGTACAAGCAAGCGCTGTGTTCCAAATGATCACCTCTTGTCCTGTGTCTTTCATGGGTCCTCAGGGTGTGCGCAGTCAGAAGAACAGGAGAAAGAAGCTTTGCGGATAACAAAGCAACGGTGTGTGCTGCTGACGCCTGCATGGGGTGTGGCTGCAGGGGTTTACCTGCCGCTGACGGCGGTGCTGGGGGGGCTGCTCTTTGTGCAGCCGGAGGGGTATGAGGAGGCCAGGCGCGACGTCATCCGGCTGAGCGCTGACGTGGACGCGCTGGTGGCGCAGCAGGGCTACATCACCTGCGATCCCCTGGACCCCCTGGAGGGGGGGCCCATGGAGCCCCACCCGCTCCACTGCAGCCTCCTCGTCATCCCCGCCCAGGTGCTGCATGCATCTTGCTCATGGTACTTTCAATGTAAAGGGATTCAGTCATGCAGCCATCAGGTCAGCTTAGCCTCTGCCCAGTGCATGTCCTGCTTGTTTTGGTGATGATATTTGTACCAAAAAGCACTCGGTAGTGCCCTTTTACCTGAGCTATTACTCTCACTCATGCTGTACTAGGATGCGCTTCCTAAGGCCATCTAGTGAGTGGAAGCCACAGGAATGCAGATGCATGCGTGCTCTACCTCTCCAAATATCTCACCACACGAATGAGGCTAATCCTGACCTTAACATCACACATTTGAGCCCATATTGCTTGGGGGGCAGGTGAACTCGGAGTTCCAGGCGTTCAAGCACATAAAGATCACAGGGCCGGGGGAAATGGCGCGCGCGACCAAGTCGCTCGAGGCCACCCTGGCACTGCAGCCGACGCTCATCCTCACCAACTCCCTCCCCTGCTCCCTAGACGTCGTCGTCTGGCAGGTGCGCTGACAGCTCAGCATATCTTTAGACTCCACTTTAACCGGCTTCTTCATGGCATAAGATCAAGCTTTGATTGCTATATACATTGCGGTGAGTTACAGGTGTGGTCTAAGTAAACATGCAAGTCTGCACCTCCTGCTTTTGACAGGCCCTTGCTTTCTGCTTTCTGCATTTTGACAGTCGCTGCTTCCTGCTTTGCATTGAGCACCGAAGGCTGGCCAATATGGACGTTGCAGGGAACTCATTGTGGCTGCATGTGTGGTGCAGGTGGCACCCTTCAGGAAGCTGCGGAGGCAGAGCTCCCAGGGGCGCACCAAGAAGCTCGCCAACTACCTGAAGTATGACATGCGCCAGATGCACGTCGCCTTCACCGGGACCGTGCCGCTGACTGCTGACGATGAGGAGGAGCTTGTGCGATGATCAGATCTCTCTGTTGCAATGATCCATGAAATCAACAAAGTTTCTGTCAGCCAACCAGAATTGCTTCTAGACTAGCTTGGACGTATTCTGCAGGCCGTCTTTATATTAGACCTTCATTTGCTGCTCGGAGCTTTTGCCTCTTGTCCTGCAGAACATCACCTTGCATGGAATAGCACCGGCACCATGCAGCAGTCAGCATGGGAGTTCATGCCTTATATGCATTCAACGATGATTGTGAGCATGCTGCTGACATGTGCAGGCACATGCACGCATGGGAGAGGAGGGGAACGCCCCTGCCTCCGACGAGGAGGCAGAGCAGGCGGCCGGCCGCAACGGCGTGGATGGGCGCGACCGCGGGCAGTACATCACCGTGTCCCTCAAGCCGGGCGTTGCGCAGGTGGGGTCTCAACGTGGGAGCTCTTGGATGTTCTGTGTAGCTGCTGCCATGTCGGCTCCCACCGCATCCATGGTGTTGCGATGATCAGGAGGAACAGGGCCCCCAAGACCTTATATTCCCTGACATATGTGCTGTGCTCCATTATCCTATATCCAACATGCAATTGTGGTGCAGCACCTTCCTTGTGATGCAGCACTTTCACCCTGTTAGGTCCCTCCAGAAAGGTGTCAGCCTGTCGAAGCACCAGAAGGCCCACATTTGAAAGATCTTCTGTGGGGTGCATGCAGAATGTGTACGCGAACATGGAGGGCAACGTGCTGGTGCACGTGTCGGCGCCGGCGCTGGGGCTGTCATCGGCGCACTGGGCGGTGGTCAGCTGGGGCCAGTCTCAGCTGACGCGCGAGAGCGTCTATGACGCCAAGTACATCTACCGGTGCGCAGCCAGGCCGACACCTGCATCAAGCACTGCAAGACTCTTGCATCAGCTCACAGGGGGCAGCACCAGCGCATGCATATTTCGCAGTAACGCGATCCAGATGGACAGGCACACAATATTAGTCGCATCTTCTAGGAGGGGCCAGGCACCATTATATGTTCAACATGCCTCATGCCGCGAAACGACTGTCTGAGCTGGACCCAAAGGATGCCTAAGATCTGCGAATTGAGTCCACCTGTGACATTCGGTCAGCGGTCGACAGGCTTACTGGACACTCTGTGTTGCCTGGCTCTCCTGGAAGTGCTACCCTTGCATCCCTGCAACATTTAGTTCAAGCCGGAATGTGTGCTTCGCCAGTGTAGTCTTCGCGGGAGCCATTAGATCCTGCATTTTGAAGCATTCCTCTGTGCATAAGATCTAATTCTGGTGTGACTTGCTGCAGGCTGCCCAAGGAGATTGTGCTGCAGCAAGCGCACCTGCCTGACACAGCACGGCCCCCCAAAGCCAGCACGGTGGCGCGCTTCACAGCTGCTCTGAAGCTCGCCGGCCGCCGCTTCCGCGCCGACGTCGCCCGGCAAGGGGCCAAATTCGGCAAGGTCGCCGCGGCCGCTGGCAAGCAGTCCAACATCCTCAAGCTGCAGGGGAGCGAGCGGCGCACGAGCGGCGTTCTGGGCATGTCTAAAACCGGCAGCCTGCCCGATGCAACCGCCATGCAGACCACCCCAGTTCTGCAGCAGCCCTCAGGCATGCACTCTTGACCCCTGTCTTCTCCTCGCTGTTCTTTGATTGCGCTCCTGTAAAGATGGTCTCGTTCGCTGGTGTTTCAGCATCTTGATCTCTTCCAAGTCATATAAGAGGATCTGTCACGCACATACCTTCAGCCGCCTTGTGTTCACCATGTGGAGTGGGGGAGGTACGAGAGGCAATCAAGATGCGTGGCTGGCGCAGGCGCGAGCGTTTCAGGGCCCAGGAGGCCGCAACCTCTGGAGGTGCACCATCAGCGCGGCGGGTCGGGCTTCATCGGCCCGGCCAGCCCCACCAGCCCCTTCGACAACGCCGAGTCGTTGCATGACCGCCTGCCGACGCTGGCTGAGGGCGGCGGCTGCGGGCAGCTCACCTCTGAAGACATAGGTGCGCACCTTCAATGTCAACTCTGTGAGGATCATTTCAAAGATCCCTGGAGCTTTGCGCTTTCTGGTGTGCCCTGTGAGTTAAAATTGGTGTGCAGTACATTAGGAAGACCTGCGGGTCTCGATTAGACGTAAATTTTGTCCTCTGTTGCTGGCTGATTTTGGAGCCAATGGGCTGAGCGGGTCTTATTAGGCTATGTGCTTGACACTGACAACCTGGCAGCCCTAGGTTTTCAGATGTCTCTCGTCTCCTTGACGACCTCAGCGATCATTTTGGAGTCGAGGACGAGGACCAAGCGTAGGATGGGATAACTTTGTTGACGGCTTCGACGTCGGTGACAAAGTTACCCTCATCCTACGCTTGGTCCTCGTCCACGAATCTGAAATGATCGCTGAGGCCATCAAGGATGTCTCCTTACAGTGCTGCAAGATGACTGATCCCGAGTCAGCGTATGATGGGTTGACCTGGTATTTGGCCCTGCAGCTAGACGTGAAGAGAGCAGCCATATCTGGTCTGGTCTATCGCTTCATCACAGGTCATGGTAAATCAGCTATCAATAGATTGACTCGTGCCTCATTCCTGTGTGGTGCAGAGGCAGCTGTCGACGAGGGAACGCCACTGCTGGCTGCCGGCGAGCAGCAGACGGCCTTCAGCGGCAGCCGGCCGGAGCTACCGCCGGTGCGCGAGGGGTACGGCGCAGCAGCTTCAAGGAAGCTTCCTGAGCCGCTGGACGCTGCACACCTTCCAAGCAGTTCCTCGGGCGCAGCGCAGATCCCTGAGGCAGACCTCATCGCGCTCAACTCGCCGCAGGAGTCTGTCAGCTCGCCGCAGGAGTCCTTTATCGTGAAGAGCCGCTCGGCTGAGAGCCTGACCGGTCCCTCCTATGCCGAGAAGGGCAAGGCGAAGGTGGCCTCAGCCTTCATAGGGCTGCAGGGCGGCTGGTTGAATGAGCCGGGTGCGCTGGCAACGGACGGTGAAAAGGCTGCAGCGGATCTGGATCTGCTACAGCGGACCTTCGCCGCATGGCGGTCTGTGTCGGCCGCGCAGCATGCACGGCGCGTTCGCGGCAACCCCGGCGAGGTCCCCCCTCATGAGAGTGCGTCCCTCCAAATGCCTGCATGCCAGCAATATACTGGTCCACTATCATTCCTGCCTTTGAGGTCCCCCACAGCCCTAGCTCTTCTCTGTAGGTTTTGTGAATTGAAATGCAATTGTATGTGTGTCCACATACTCAAAAGATGTTGGATTGTCTGGTGGTGGAGACGCCATTATGAGGGGAGTCCGTCTGTGCAATGGGTATTGAGGAACTTGGCATGTGCTGATGCAGGGCGGAATGCGCCGCCACAGGTGTTCCTGGGCATCGACAACAGCCGTGCGCGCGGCCGGCCGGAGCAGCCGCTGGCGAAGCTCACCTTCTTTGCGAGCTACTGGATAGACAACCGCACCGGCATGGACCTTGTGTTTCAGGACCACGCTGCCGCCGCGCCCAACCCCCTGCTGCTGGGGGCGCGCATGCCCGGTGCCTTCGCGCAGGTCCTTGTGCCAGGTGATCACTCGTGAGCCTGCTCTTTCCTTTTTGTAGTCGTGTTCACTTTGCAGCGCAGTAACATTCCAGGTCCTGTGCATTGTAGCCAGGATGAATGGGTTGACCGAAGGATCTGGCTCATGGCTCACCGGCGACCATTCTTCATGACGAGTATAGGTCTGTGATGGATCATCCTGTTCTGTTGTGCAGCTCTGCCGAGCCAGGAGCTGTCAGCGGCGTCGAAGGAGGTTTGGGACGTGCAGTCCGCCGATGAGATACTGGTCAGCCCAGTGTTGCTCAACAGCCAGGTGCGGTTTTAAATAAGCTCATCCCCATTTGATGACCTATCCTGACATTGAGAAGATCACACCACAACGGCAGTGTGATGGATGGCCTTTCTCATTGGTGTTGTGGTGCGCAGGAGACGACCCGGTTTTGCCTGGCCAAGGGCCCACGCACGCGCTTCTCTCAGACCATCCACGTCAACACTGTGGGTGAGTGTGCTCCACCTGTCCCTTCCTGCAGACTTTTCTTAGTAAATGCCGCATGGGCCATGTCGTACTGGAGCCAGCTGTCATCGAGCAGTGCACAAAGTTGGCTGCAGCTTGACATGGCCCACCGCGTTCATGGTGATCCTTAGGCCGCCATGCTCGAACCAATACAGCCATTTGTGTATGTCTAGTGCGGCATTGCCGCAAAGTTGAAATTTGGATCAGGGAAGTGCTTCCTGCTGCACTCGCAGGATCTAAGGGCAGCGTGAAGATCCGCGACGCTGCCGTGGTGCCGCCGGCCGCCGTCCTGCGGGGCATGCTGCGCGTGAGCGACAGTCTTCCTCGGGGCATCTCACGTGCCAGCATCGCCCGCGGCGGCATGGGCCGCCTGAGCTCCCTCCGCCGCCCCTCTGTGGCGCCTGCGGCCAGCACTACCGCGGCTGAGTCATCACCGGCGAAGCAGATGGTTGCCCTGGAGCTTGCCGCGCAGCCTGACCGCCAGGTGGGCGCCCCCGAATTGTACTCTGCCCCTGTGGCCCTTCAATGTGTGCCAACTTGGAACATCTGTCAGGTCTGCAATTATAATTGGATAATTGGTGTGCAACTAGAACTGCAGTGGATGAGTCATGACACAACTCTCTGGAGTCTTCACATCCCAGCTATACATTGGCTTCTGTTATGGTGTAGTGATAAATGATGATTGAAGGACAGATAGGTCAGGTAGGAACCTATCTATGATGAATGAACTTAAGTCTTACACAACAGCAAGGGGATGCTGCTGATAGCTCACAGTGTTGAGTGTGCGTGCAGAGTGTGTCGCTGAACTTTGCGGCGCTGGCTGGTGTGGCGGAGGAGCCGGAGGCTGAGTCATCGCCGCTCATCAAGCTCCTGATGCAGGCGAGCCTGCTGCACTGAATTATATGCTCCGCAGGCTATATACACCTAACCGAAGAACCACTGCATGGCCTGAATCGCTCATGCATGGTGGAGAACAGGCTGTCAGTTAGTGGGCTTAATCCACCACAAAACATGCAGGTTGCTGGCGAGGCGGATGCAGAGAGGCCGGTCAAGGTCTTCCTGGATGTGGAATTCCCGGCCGCTGCCCTCTCCCCCAAGGTGCCTACAGCTCACTCCATGTTGCTTCCTCTCCAAGTCTTCACCCAGAAATGTCCCAACATGCCTCAGACCTTCCGATTGCCGCGTGAATAGAATTTCTTGGCATTCCTGCAGAGTACTGTTGCTGTACTGAGGGACATTGGAGTAGCATAAAAGAAGAGACGGTGGTGTGACGTGTTTGCAGGGGTTGCCTCCCACTCGTTATGCGCTGTCTGGGCAGCTGGACAGTGCAGGCCAGGCAGCATCGCTGAACGCCGTCCAGAGGCGAACCTCCCTCACTGCCGAGCCAGACCTGACCACTGTTTCAGGTGCATCTTTCAGGGGCACATCTTGCTTGTTCTTGTCTGAGGCGCCCATGCATTGACTTCTGTGTGTGCCAATGCCAAAGTGAGAAGGTGCTACACCTGCCACGTGGGGTTGAGATCGGCTTCTTGCTAGCTTCCTCCCATTCCGCCTCGTGCTGATGTGAAATTATAGGAGCTGAGTGTTGATATTTCTGCATCTGCAGAGTCCAAGGCGGCTGTCAACAACACGCGGCGTGCATGGACGGTGCATAGGGAGTATGAGTTTGCTGTGGAGGTCACAGCGGGGCCGCCCAACTCCGTCTTCCGCCACACCAAGGTGCTCCCTCCCTCGCTTGTGAGCTGGCCAGCCCCAGAGCCAACACTTAAGTAATTGAACTAGCTCAAGCGCACCTGACATCTGAGGCTGCAGGATATCAAGCCCATGTATAATTCATTTCAAGGCCAGAGTGGGCTTTCCATCATGCAAAAATCTTGGCGAGTCAAGAGTGATAGTCAAGGGGTTTCACCCATCCTAGGGGCACTGAGATAGACATTGGCGACAGCTCAATTAGACCTTGGGGTACTAAGTAACACGCATGCGCAGGTGGTGACGGTGAAGAGCCGCTTCATCGCGGACAACCAGACGGACATGATCATTGAGATCAAGCAGAAGGGCACCCCGGATCTGGACGACGGGCCCCTAGACCACCGCTGCGCGCGCCGACTGAAGCCGCGCGAAAGGTGCGGCTCTCTGTGTACGCTGTCATCCAGGCAGTGGCCACAGCGATGACTTGATGTATAGGAGGTTTGCCAGACGTGAAGCTGCTGCCAGCAGCGCTGTGCTTGAGAGTGCGGCGGCAGCATAGAGCACGCCTTGGATTGCATTGAATGGTCTTGACTGCATGTCGGCGCCTGAGTTGTTGAGCTGCAGCGGTTTGAAGCATGAATTGCAGAGTCTGTCGATCTCTCTGAGGCTCAGAGGTGGTTCTCTGGTGTCTTGACAGGGCAGCGATCCACTGGGACGATGCGGATTTACCCAAGGAGGTGGTCATGCGGCCGGCCAGCCACGGCGCCAACCAGTGGCACTGGAGTGGCAGCTTCCGCCTCAGCACCAGGTGCCCTGCTTGCACCTGCCCTTGTTGCAGCACCCTTTTCAGTTGCTCTTGCGGAGATACTCGGCCAGTGGCCTCCTGTGCATGCTGTGTGGGGCTCCTTGGACAGGCTGGAACGTATCGATCTGCATCTCTTCGCATGCTGCTGGAGTGACTTTAGAGGAGCGCGGAAGGGTGCAGGAGAAGTGCAGCAAGTATTTCTGACGTGCATACAGGGAGGAGTACTTTGGGCTACGCGTGAGGCACAAGATCAACCGGGATCGCGCTATCAACGTTCCCGTCAACTGCACTGTAGGCCCGTCAGGTGCGCGCGCCCAGATCTGTCCTGCTAATCTCAACCATTAAGATCACGTGTGCACCGACTATGGCTATCTATAGCCGCATTGCTTTGATGGTGCATGCGCTGGACGTTACTTCTCTTCAAGACTCTGCTTTTGCACAGAGTCTCTGAGCAGAAGCGGGGTCCTCAGAGGCAGCAGCTTCCAGTCCATTCGCACCTTTGTGCTTACTTCCAGTGTAGTACGCAGGAACCTCATAACACAGCCCATGGCCTGGCATGCACACATAGTGCTGAGCATGGCTGCTGGTCTGACATGCACGCAGGAACGGTGCTGGTGACCTTCAAGAGCCACACGATGAGCGTGCCCCCGTACCGGATCGAGAATCAGTGCAGCGACGTGCACATCTACCTCGTGCAGGCCTGTCTGGCCGGCGAGCGGCCTGGACGCTGGATCTGGCTGCCTCCGCGCCTGTCCGGCTCCTCCCTCGCCTACGCCTGGGACGAGCCCAATGAGGAGCACCGTCTCCGAGTCAAGGCGAGCTCCCCTTTTATTGGCCTGGCAGCCCTCCTGGCGATACCCTTCACTTCACTCAGCTGGCAGCTGTCCTGAGGCAATCCCTTTACCACGACTCAGCTGAGAGCTGTCCTGAGGCAATACTTTTTACTTTAGTCAGCTGGCGACTGTCCTGGGGCGACCCCTTTCCCTTCAATCAGCTGGCAGCGCCGAAAATATTAGCTGTCCTGCGACTTCTTTTCCTATCTACCAGGCTGCTTCATGTCTTCAGTTGATTTTTATAGATGATATTCGGGCGTCTTCTGTGGTGGTACCAGAGGTCCATCAATACGAGCTTTTCATTGCATGGCTGCATCGTCTTTGTTGGAAGCTTTGGCAGTCCCAATGGGCTGCTGTGGGTAATGCCCCCATTTGTACAGGCAAGAGTGGTGCTGGCTGGAGGGCAAATGCAATGCATCAGCTCGAGCAGCTCATGGCAGGACTTAAAATGTCTGTGGGTGTCCATGCAGGCGCGCGTGGCTGGCAAGACTGGGACGCTGGTGCTGGCAGAGTACTCGCTGGACCGCCTCGGGGTCAAGCCAGTGCTGCGCCTGCCCACGGCCAAGCGGGGCAGCGCCGACCACCTGGCCAACTCAAACGTGCCCAGCGACCTCCAGGAGAAGGTCGCCTCGCTGCTGGCCTCCGAGTCCTCGCGCAAGGTGCGGCCTATAATACCATCTGCTGCCTCCTGATGCCGTGCGTCATGCGCGGCACATCAAGCAGCCTGGAGCCTGGTCACTTAGATAATGTCCTGCCTATGGCAAAGCAGAGCACATCGGCAGGACCTGCATGGCTCGTATCAGAGCTTGAATGAGCTCTGCCAGATATTCTGAGTGCTCAAGAGTGGGTGTTGTGACTGCACAGCCGGCAAGTGGAGGAGTGCACAAATATTCCTGTTCATAAGCTTCTTATCTCTGAAGTGAGAGTCTTGCTTGGTGCCTGCGCAGGTGTATATTACGGTGTTTGCTGACGGCCCGACGCGCGTGCTGCGCTTTGCGGACGTGCAGAATGTGGGCGCGGAGGAGGCGCAGCAGAGCATTCTCGACTTGGCCGCTCGCCTCAAGCAGGTGCAGCCAGTGCCTCTACTCATGTGCATGCTGGTCTCATCCACTGTTCAAGACGATCAATGCTGAGCTCAAGGCAACACCGTGCTGGAAGCATACCACGCAAATGTGGTCAATTTGCTTGGGGGCTGTGTGATGTAATCAATCCAAGGGTGACAGAGTTTGATGACCTCTGTACTTGCGGCAAATGGCTCTGTCCAGTCTCTATTGGCTGCCAGACACTCTTTTCAAGCAAAGTCATAGGGTTATCTCACTACCCATCTCAATACCTGTATTTCTGTGAGCTATTGCTTGCTATCCACTAGATGGTTTCAGAGTGTAGCATGCTGCTTCATCAAATGCTAAGCCAATTTTAGCGGGCCTTTAAATTTTGATCCTGATACGCATGCACACAGGTTGAGGAGGAGCTGTGGCGGGTGAATGCGCGATTCAGCGCGCTGCATGGAGCTTCCGGCATCCGCGAGCTTGACCTGTACGGCCGCGCACCCACTTCTGGGGACAGCCAGCAGCAGGCCAAGCTGGATGCCGTCACAGCGCTGCCATCATCGGTGTGTTTCCACTGTTGCCTCCACCGTCATGTCTGGAGCTGGGTGGAACAAGGAAAAATCGGGTGCAGATCACATAAATTTAGAGACCTGCCTCCCCTGCCGAATGGGTATCAGCGCCCTGACCTATGCTCTCCCTGTCAAACTTCCTAGAAAAGCTCGAACTGCTGCAATACCAAAATTTTGCGCCTCATCAAGCGCAGAACATATTGAGCAGCCAAATTTGAGTGCAGCGATGTGTGTGCATGCAGGCTGGTGGCAGCGCGTCCCCACCGGTGCGGCTGAAGATAGCTGGCCCTGCAGCAACCCCTCCAGCCAGCACAGCCTCGGGGATGCTGCAGCTCGTTCCAGAGCATGGAGCGCTAGAGTGCCAGCCTGGCAGTGCTGGGAGGGGTGTGCCAGACAGTATGCCAGCTGGGCAGCTCCTGGACACCGGCCCCTCCACAATGGCTGAGGCAGGTTCCTGCGCCAGTTCAGAGGTGCGCATCAGGGCCGCCCAAGCGGCTTTTGCCAACTCTCCATTGCATAAGGCTATGTTGATTGGCCAATGGCACATTTGAAACGTCGAGCTGGGCTTCCTGTTGCTCAATGTCTACCCTGTAGAGGGCAAAACGTCGCCATGGGACCATGAATTGCTAGGTGCCTCTGGTGCAAGCTTGCTGCTCAACACGTATGGCCAGTGAAGCACATAGCCTAGCCTGCTGCCGAATCCCTTGCATACACCCTTCCAGGGGCATGGGTTCTGAGAAGACATCTCATAAGTGTCTTTTCGGCATGAAGTGCTCACCGTGCTTCATATCAGTGCCGATGCTTGAATCGAACAGGTTGTTGCTGATCTGTGGCAACACCTGGTGGCTCCGGTTTTACAGTATGTCACATGTGCAACGCTGCATGCCGTGCAGAGCGGCAGGTCGGTGGCAGAGGAGGAGATAGTGGTGCCGCCGTCGCGCATGGCTATTCTGGAGGCGTCGGCGCTGGAGAGCCGCACGCGCCGGGGGGGTGGCGGCGACCTGGGCCACCTGCTGCCCATGAGCGCCACCTCTCGCAACGTGCAGGGCAGCCAGCTCATGCGAAGCGCCGCCGAGGGCGACTCCGCACTGCTGCTGGGCGGCGACCTGATTGTGACCGTCTTCCAGGTGCGCTGGTGATCAATTACTTATTCTGAGGTAGTCCTACAGGACATTGAGGCAAGCAGTGCTTCCCAACTGGTCACCCACCCTTGACGGAGGTCTACATGTCAACCTGCTGACCAGCGTAGTAGGAACATCAATCTGATGACTCAGCGATCCTTTACCATAGATATCTTCTGCATGATTTTCATATATTTAGTATATTGCCTGGTTAAACAAAGCTGTCCCTCCAGGGAGCTGCATTGAGCAGTGATGAACAAGGGCGCCTTGAAGCATGCATGGCTGGCTGCTGACCCGTAAGTACTTCCTATCTTGCAGGCGGAGCAGCTGCAGGGGCAACAGCGGCTGACGCACCCTTTTGCGCGCGTGCGCGTGGGGGACCAGTCACAGCTCACCACCGTCCAGTGGCAGAGCCTCAGCCCGACCTGGGAAGAGGCGCTGTTCTTCAGGGATATCTGCGCGGCCAGCGAGCTAGTGGTGGAGGCCTGGGATGTTGGCGGCTCGCGAAGTAGCGAGCAGCTGCAGCGGCTGACGGTGGACCCAGTGAAAGTCATCGCCAACTCGCGCTTCCTGGGCCGCGTGGAGGTTCCCCTGTCGGAGACGCTGCGCCTGCGACGAGGTGAGCACTTGTTGCCTAGCCAGTCTTAAGAACTCGGAATAGCCAGTGCTACTCATGGCTGGTGTGCAAGCATGCATGACTGCCTTTGTGGGCGAAGATACTTACAAGCGTGGTCCTGGAAGAATATTGGGAGCCACAACACGCTCTGATGGAAGAAGCATCTCTCAATCAGGAGTGCCCACTTGAGGTCCTTCTTTTCCTCCTTTATCTTTCTTGCCTATGGAGGCAAGCCAGGGAAGGTCTGTGGGCTGTTTCTGAGCTCTTGTGCTACTCTGACTGCAGGCAGCAAGCACTGGTACACGCTCATGCGGCGGGACGCGGGTGACGCGGTGTCGGGGCGGCTGCAGCTGGGCTTCAACTGGGACGTCACTGCGCGGTCGCTGCTCAGCCTCAAGCTGGCCGCCCTGGAGAACGTGCTCTCGCAGCGCCAGGAGATCCTGTGCGCGCTCAATCCTGTCCCTGCCTCCACTGCCCAGCGCTGGACGCGCGACGCCCACAAGGCCCACGACGCGGCTGCCCAGGTGGGCAGCCTTTCTCTGCCTGGAGAGTGATTTTGCGTGCAGCCTCTGGTTCGCACCATGGAACATGGCGTCTCCCCTTACCATGTAATGTCTCTACAGCAGATGGCTTGGTATTGGCCATAGAGGGTGTGAGAGATGCAAACGGGTGTTTGGTGCATCAGAGCCTGAGGGTGTGTGGGATCTTTTGCATGCATATTTGTGGAACTGGAAAGACCTGGCATCGCTGTTGCGTCTGGCGTATTGTATGATGTTGCACAGAACATTCAAGCCCAGCCTAGTCAGATTTCTGATCTGGGGCTGTGGATGCATCAGGGCGGCCTGCGCAAGGTGAAGAGCGCGGAGAAGCTGCTGGACGATGTGCTGTCCTGGCACTCGCTGGACGAGCAGAAGTCGACCCTGGTCGTCACTGTGCTGGAGGCCCGCGGCATGCAGCCCCGCAAAGGTGGGCGCACACCTCCGAAGTATTTCTTTTTACGGGGTGGAGATGTGATGCTGATGTCGGATCCTTCTTGTGCTGACATCCGATCTCTGAGAGTGTCTTACTGGCAGACCCGGCAACTTTGATCTGGCATGCAAGTTCTCATTGACGGCCAGGAATGCTGAAGAGGTGGAGATCTGTGCGTGCAGGCGTGGTGGTGGCATTTCAGGCAAACCAGCTGCCCAATCCGCTGGTGGAGGTGGATGTGGCGGGTCACCCCGTGTACCAGGCGGCAACGAAGCAGACGCTGAAGCCGCACTTCCAGACGGCGGAGCCGGGGCGGTTCCAACGGCTGGCGGCTGACGCGATGCTGACTGTGCGCCTGTTCGATGACAAGGCGGGCCGCAAGAAGCACCTGCTCGGCGAGGCGCAGCTCTGTTGCACCCACCTCCAGGCATGCGCGCTGCTCAATCTCTGCAGAATTTCAGGGTGCATGATGGGTTTCAGGAGCCCATTTGTTGACAGATCGCTGTTCATGGACATGTGTGCCGCTGACACTGACATCATGTAGCTTCATGGTAGCTACTCGCTGAAACTGTGGTGAATGTGGCAATTGTCGGGTAAAGTGGCACTGCCATATCAAATCTGAGATGTCTTGGTGCAAGATCATACAGATGTTGACAGCATTGTCTTGTTTTCTGCATAGGGAGTGGACCCCATCTATGTGTGGCTGCCCCTGACGGCTGCCAAGACCAGCCTCCCCTGGCACTCGCGCCACAGCGGCGCCCACTTCATCGAGCCAGCCGCAGGCGTGCCTGAACTGCAGGTGCTTTCCATTCCGTGCATCCCCCAGCAATGTACTTTCTAGGCCCTGCCCAGTTCTGTACGACCTGCCCAATATGCACCAAGGTCTGGCAGCTTCAAGACCAGCTCTCCAAAAGCAATGAGCACTAGAATTAGTGTAAATAGCTCATGAGTGACTACTATACTTCGCCCTTCCATGGAGATCTGCTGCGCTGCCAGAGTGGTTGGCCTGCTTAGGGGCTGGATCTGACATGCTGGCAGTTGTCTGACGGCCTCGATCAACTGCATGCAGGTGCACTTGCGGCTGCAGTGGGTGCGGCAGGTGGAGCGCGGCCGCATCATGCACCTGGACGTCAACTTGGAAGGCCTGGGCTTCAGCGTGGTCGGGTGAGCGCCTTTGTGGTGCAGGAATAGGCATTTTCAAAAAAAAGGCGTCAGAAAATGATAGCACAGGCCATACCTTGGTGACTGAGCTGCTCTTGCACCACATGTATATACGTGCCGTCTCCTGGCCGTTTTGTGCACCAATCTGGCATATCCATTTTTTATTGGTTCGATGTTGTTCGGACTGTGATGATCTGGGTTGTCTTGCGCATCCGGCAGCTTTGGTATCTCTGGGGCTATAGTCACCCATTAGCTAATCATGCAACACGGCACCACCCTCTCACCAGCATTTGTGGATGCATGCTTGTGCAGGGGCTTGCAGGACGAGCTGTTCAACATGACGCTGGACCAGCTGCGCGTGAAGGCCGAGCGCACGCGCGCAGAGGCCAAGCTGGACGGCAGCATCCAGCGCATCCAGCTCGACAACCAGATGCTGGTGCGCCACCACTCCATTGCTTTACACACTTTCGAATGAGTGCAACGAATTGGGTAGCATGCAATGTTCGCCTGAGGCTCCTGGATGGGGCTCTAGAAGGAATCAGTTGAGGGAAGAGCTTCTGGCCAGACTTTGGTGCCAATCTTTTGCGAGTGAATGTGGGCCGTGGAACACTGAGATGCTGTCCAGGGCCTTTAAATATCCCTGTCATGCGTGCAGGATGCGACGCAGCCTGTGGTGCTCGCGCCGGCGTCGGCAGCGCACGCCCACGCGGAGGCGGGGAAGGCCGGCGGCCCGACGCCCATCATGCGCTTTGGAGTTGTGCGTAGCTTCGCCAACAGCCTGGTCTCCAGCGCGGTCGAGAGCGGCTCCGCGCCGGCGTCGCCCATGGCCGGCCCCAGCGTGCTGCGCAAGGAGGGCGACATCCTCTCCTTCCGCTCCCTCTACCTGGACGTGGGCGAGATCGACGTGCAGACAGACGGTGCGCGTGGAAAGCCTCACTCTAGACTGCTGAGACATAAGGGCTTTGGAAATCAAGTGATGACCTGCAACTGACCTGCAGCCTGGAGATGACCTGTCACTTGTCACTTATCAGAAGGGATTGCCAATCTAGATTAAGGCAGATTTGTCTGGGCTGGCAAATTAAATTTTGAAGATCTTTTGTACCCCAACCCTTGTCTTTGGGGCTCCGGGGTACTGGTGGGGTTGCGATGTTGAACCCTACAAACTTTCGAATAGGGTTCGTTTTCTGGGATGGGCCAAGTGACGGGGATTGAATCCTGATACGACGCGATGCGGCAAATCTAGGACTGTCGAATGGCTCACATAAGTGAGGGACTGAAGCCGGGCTGACTGTCATATTTTTATGCATATTGTTCAACGCGTACAATAGCTAGATCGCGAACTGCAACGCACTCGAATTGAGACTTGCAAATTAGAGCGCTGACGAGAAGGATACTTCTGCTTCGCTTGGTGCAAGATTTGCCCATTCTGGCCGGTGCGGAGGCCTGCGATCCATAGATCTGGCCTGTTGGAGCATTCGCTCGATTTGAATCCGTGTTCCGTTCAACCTTGGGATGTAGAAGTGAGCGCTACCGCTTGCACTGTCCAGGAGCTAACAAATTTCGAGTTTTTGCTGTGCAGATGGCTTCTTGGAGGCTTTCCTCACGTTCATCGTAGCGCTTCCCTTGGCAGACATATGGCAGGTGCGCCTTTCACGATCCCATATTTCTGCTTAAATACTTTAGCGCGTTGTGGCACAAAGGCTGGCAGATTTGATAGAAGAAAACTCCGTGTGTGCTTCAACCTCATTCCTGATGCTCACCTGGGACCATTCATTCACGATGCTCTGAAGATCCACTTGTGGATGTGGCTTGGTGAGCTCACCGGTGAAGTGCTGTCTTTGTGATGCACCTTGCAGGACGTGGCATGGCGGGAGCAGCAGCGGCGGCTGCTGACGGCGCAGTTCGGTCCGCGCGAGGTGGAATCACTCGCCATGAATGCGGTGCTGCCGCTGGACACCGAGGACGGCTTCACAGGGACACCCCTGCGCTGGGTGCAAGAGCGAGAGCTCAAGGTGCCCTTGCCTTCTTCTTGCTTCAATTAGACTTGCAAAACATGATGGATTAGGATTGTGGCAGAAGTGATGCAGGTCATGCACCTGGAGCTTGCTTAAGTGACTGGTATGGCACCATAGAGACTTGTCTTGAGACTTGCCACAGTGTGCTGAAATTTCAAACTCAGTGCGCTGCCGGTGGCCACTTTTTAAACGCTGCGCTGACAACCTCACTTGTGAAGCGTTCACGAATGCCTCTTGCCAGAATAACAGTGCCGCACAATGGCAGCGGCTGCCATTGCCTGTCTGAAGGGGCACCAACCTTATATGCCTGGCCGGTGCAGGAGCTGGCGGTGCTGCGGGGCCAGAGCGCGCACTCCTCCTGGTTCTTCATAGAGAGTGCGCGTATCGGCGACATCAACGCCAACGTCACCATCGCTCTCACCTCATCCATCCTGGCCGCCCGCCACGGCGCCACCGCCCCAGAGCCAGCCTCCGGCCTGTTTAGGCGTGTTTCTGTCTGCACCCCTGAAACAAGAAGAGTGTCCAGCAATGTCTCGCTTTCAGCGTATGGTGCGTCTGCAATTCAAATTCCTATCATGCTTGGGGAATTCAGACGGGGCTGTGGTGTCACCCACTGTGACGGCTTGGGGCTCACAGCATCACCACTCCTAATTAGGCATGTCAGAAGGTGCAGCAGTTTCAATGATTCCTGAAATTCCTCAGGCTGAGAAGGGACCTTAGCATATTAAAGGGTCCTTTTGCACACTGCACTAGGTACTAAACAAAAATTGAAGGACGGTGGGACGGTCAGATTGCGTGTGTTGTGTGCGGCGTGTGCGAAATGTGAAAAGGGGGGACGCCAGTGTGTACAAGTCTGTTTGGTGCATTAGGCAACCAGCTGGGCAACGACAAGAAGGTGCCGTTGCTTCGTGCAGCAGCAGCAAGAGCGGCTCATTGATTATTTTGATGTGTTGGAGGCCTCACGCGCCATCTTTGATGGGGCGGAGGGCCTTGACAGAAACGATATGCTCTGACGCCATATGCTGCATTGTTGAAGAGGAAGCTTGCGCTGCGCAGGCGGCTGATTGGAGCATCGGGGTTTCAGTTGATCAATATCAACAACGTTCCCCTCCTGCTCCGCGGGTGGTCGGTGGACACGCGCCTGATTGGCCGCAAGGCCCTCACCAACAGCCTCATGAGGCACTACATTGCGCAGGCCATCTCGGAGGCCCACAAGGCAAGCACCCTTGTGCCCTATATGAGCAAAAGTTTCTTGTGGAACTGCATGTCGCCGTGGCATAGTGGCCATGGGCCATGTTTATGCTTGACTGAGAGGTTGCACAAGTCCTAACGGAAAGGTTTCTGCCATGAATGGAAGACCGCATGACAGAGAGCTACATGCACGTTGCTTATGGTGTGGTGCAAGCATTTATGTCTTGCCACTGATTCTGCTGTGTGGACCAGGTGCTGGGGGGAGCAGGGCCGGCGATTGCGGCGGTCCCCCTGACGGTGGTTTGGGCCGGGGGGTCCTTTGTGACGCTGGCGACCGGCCTCGGCGCGGGCAAGGTGGGGCCCGTCGGTGCAGTGCAGCGCGTCGGCTACGTCTTCTTCATGAGCGTCGCCCAGGTGAACACAATCACACCGCCAGCAACACATCCAAGCCATGCATGAGTACCAAAATTAGGTTTTCGCCATGATAGCTTGTCTGGCAAATGAAATTTGAAATTGCCATCTGGGACTTGAGATTTGCATGCCTTATGTGCTTCAAGCTGCTTGCTATCCTGATACTCAGCAGAACAGCGTGCAGTCTTCCTGGTCTAGTCCCAGTCCGGCACTCTCTGCAATGGCATGCACCATCCTTTGCTGGGCTGCTGGTATGTGATAGAAGACTTGCTTGTTTAGGCAACTTTCTGGCCATCATGTGATTTCATTGCTGGGCTGGGTGCAGGTGGTGGGCAGCTTCTCGCGCGTGGGCCTGTCGCTGTTCACATACGTGCCGCCCAACCAGACTGGCACCTTCAGCGACACCGGCGCGCTCAACCGCGCGGTGCAACGGCCGGCCAACGCGTTTGACGCCTTCCGCCGCGCTGTGGAGGAGGGCTGCTCCGGCCTCTGGTCCGGCGTCTCCGGCGTCGTCATGGACCCCACACAGGTCGGCGCAGCCACTGCTTTAAAATTAGCAATTTGAAAGAAACAATGCCATCATAGCGCCCCTCCATCCCATGGGTGCTCATGTTGACAAGCCGCAAGGTTAAGGGATTCTGGGGCTTTAGACACAAGGCAGACGGTCGCCACATAGCTCTATGTAGCCTTCACAGTATGAACCTAGGATGAGCTTCATGGACAGAATGGCGCTGCTGCTCGTATGCTGGAACTTTGTGCCTGCTCGGCAGCAGGGAAGATGCCTTGTTGAGCAAGCCTGCTGGAAGAACTCAGATTTGTGAGTACTGAGCGAGCCACACAGCTTCAACACAAATGCTTCGTGGTGTTGTTTCATTCTATGACCATTCCTTGGTGTCCAATGCAGTGCCACTTGAACAAGGCATGTGTCTTGTAATGTGCTTTGGTTGCGCACACTAGGTATGATAGCCCATGCCCAATGGCATATCCCAGGATAAATCGGAGCTACAAATATAAGGCCCGGCCATAGCTTGTACAATTTTTCGTAGTTTCAGACTGGCCTCAGGTCCAGGGGGACATAGGATTGGGATTGGTTTGTCAAAAGAGATGTCGAGCACAGTATGTGGTGGTGCAGGGGTTCCACAGTGGAGGGCTGCCGGTGGCGCTGCTGGGGGTGGCCAAGGGCTTGGCAGGGCTGGCAGTGCGGCCCACGATGGGACTGCTGGAGATGACCAGCAAGGGGACGTATGGCATGGGGCTGGTGTGCCTGGGGCGCGAGGCCATCTCCGGTAGCACGCTGCGTCGCGTGCGCGCTCCGGGCGCCCTGGCCGAGGACTCCACCGAGGCGCGTTCCCTCATTAGCTCAGTCCCTTCATCTCTTGCGCACATGCTGCAGCTGGCCTTTTCTGCTGCATGCAACAAGGTTCTACCCGTGATAGCCTGGCAGGATATCAGGGACGTCCTCTGGAAGTCCCGGATCATGATTTCTTTCCAAGGATTTTGGCTGCAAGCTAGAGTGGCTGTGCAGGTGTTTGGTACAAACTTTCCCATGCCACCAAAAGTGACAAAAAGAATTGTTGTTAAAAGCCACGTTGGCATTTTTTTGCCCTCGAAAGGAACTATCATCCAGGATGGTAATATAGGTGCAGAGGTTCTTTTTGCGTGATGCTTGAGTTGAGGCTGCGGTTGAATGCTTGCTGCTTGTTTATATAGTACCTACAGGCATGGCTTTATTTCCTGTCAGGCCATTACCGGGACTCCAGGCTGGTTTCTCCTATCGCCACAACTTTCATATCTGCTTGAATTGAGGCTCCAATTGATTCTGCCTGTGGTGCTGGCCAGCGCGCTGGGGCCAGAATATGCACTGCAGCATCTCAGAGACTCTTGTTTGGGGTTGCAAAGTCATGTGCTGACGTTGCGCAGGCGGTGGAGAGTGCGAAGGACCCGGAGGTTCGCGCGCGCAACCAGCGGCTCATCCAGTCCTGGCAGGCCGCGCTGCCCACCCTCTTCCCTGCCATCAAGGTAAGCATTCTTCCCTGCCATCACAAGCGATGCTCCCCCAATGCTGCAGGCCGCTGTGTGCTCTGATGAAAGCATTGTGTATTCTAATCAGCCCGCATGGCCTGGCGCTCTGAAAATTTGGCAATATTTCTGACTCGCATGGCTTCCCGATGGGTGCTGCAGGCTGGGCGGGTGCTGGACGTAATGCAGGCAGGGGAGAAGCGTGTAGTTTTGGTGACTGACAAGGATGTGGCGCTGCTGCGGATGCGGATTGTGTCGCTGCGGTCGACTTACCGGCCCATGTGGTTTGTGCGGCTTTCAAGCATCCAGACAGTGCGAGGTGGGCGCACACCTGATTGCCCATCACGAGTGCTGAACATTTGACAGCCCTAGAACGGTGCCAGCATCTTGGCTTCATGTCATCTCTTTAGAGGTTTGTGTCTGCTAGATGGGGCTTCCACACATTGAGGACCTACAAGTTTAAGTTTGTTTCTTGACCTGTGTCTTGGCCTGGTGGAGCGAGCAATGTGTTTCTTTGGCTGTCAGAGCTGGGCCTGTGCAGGGTTGCAAAGCTGTTTTCAACACGCTCCAGAGTCTTAGGTGAGCACTTCATGCAAGAAGGTCATGAGCACCCAGTGAAAAGGAGCATCCACTCACCAGGACTGTTTGTGCCCCTGCGCAGGTGACAGCGAGCGGCTGCGCATCGTGATTGACTACCTGCACCAGGTGGACACGCACTGCCTGGGCGCGTGGACGGTGCCCGGGCGCAAGCGCATTCCCTGTTCCAGCCGCGACGTGCTCGAGCGGCTGGCGCTGAAAATCAACTACAACATCCGCACAGTGTCCCAGGGCGCGCCGCCGCTGCCGGACACGGATTTTGCGCGGTTTGCAGCGCGGGAACTGAGCATATTTGGCTGAGCTGCTTGATGGAAGACTGGATCCAGTTAGAACGATACCATCATTTTTGAAGGAGCTACCCATAGGAACTCCCAGAGGCGGTTGCAAAACACCGCGGTGGAACAGAATCGGGTTAATGCTTGGAGCCTGTTGAGTGCAGATTGTGTGAACCTCTTCCAGAGACTTCGAATGTTTTTTTTTTCGAATGAATTTGAACGGCATGCTTTTGATGGTCATGGAACGTCCTGATCCTTCATATAAAAGCGGTTTGCAGCGCGGGAACTGAGCATATTTGGCTGAGCTGGCTCGATGGAAGATTGGATCCAGTCAGAATGATACGATCATTTTCAAGTAGCTACCTATAGGAACTCCCATAGGCGGTTGCAAAACACCGCGGTGGAATAGGATCGGGTTCATGCTTGGAGCCTATTGAGCGCAGTTTGTGTGAACCTCTTCGATAGACCTGGAATATTGTGTGAATGCCATGATTTTGTTGGTCTCCGAACGTTTTGATCCTTCATATGAAACACCTGTCTGGAAAGTTGCAGGCTCAGTCTGTGGGGCTCTGTCAGGAAGCCGCCCTCAGGCTGCAATTGCATTGCCCTTGCTTTCGTTGGCTTTGTATTCTTGGCAATCACCATTATGGATCTTACATGTGCAGTAAGAGATGCTGTCACAGTCTCATATAACGGTTGTATGAGACTCAAGACTTCTGCTGACAAAAATTTTACTCAGCCTGCGTTGATTCCGAGTATTTCCTGGTCTTAAGAGTACTTCCTGGTCCTGTTCCTGGTCTTGAAGACTCAGATCATCAGAATGGGTCCGCATCATGCAGCTGCATATGATATATGGTATTAATCCAGATTTTCAGACTCTAGCTAGGTAACACTGCTAGTGACGGGGGTTGGCACTCGTGGCACGGGCTTGAGGTGTGGGCAATCATGGTATATTTAGGGTTTGCCATATCTGCAGGACATTGGCTCTGCCACATTTTGCAGCGCGGTTGTGTTGCTCCTTGTGTGAGGTCAAATAGTCTCGAGCATTGATAAGATTCGATTCAAAGTCACTCTGAATCGGTATGGCAGAAATGTGCCTTGAGCTGACTCATACATCAAATGTAATAAGTGCTTGCCAATTATTTGCAAATCATCAGTATGGCAGAGTGCTTCGCAGGTGATCACAGTCGGCAAAGAGCAGTTCCGTTGCACAGAGCCGTTCTTCAAGCCTTCCCTGATTGGAAAGGACGCTCCTGGTGTGGATGAGATGGTATCAGCGTGCATCAACAAGTGCGACATTGACGTGCGCAAGACGCTATATGAGAGGCTGCATGTGCACGTCAATGTCGCACTTGTTGATGCACGCTGATACCATCTCATCCACACCAGGAGCGTCCTTTCCAATCAGGGAAGGCTTGAACAACGGCTCTATGCAACGGAACCGCTCTGTGCCGACTGTGATCACCAGAGTATTGCTATCATGTGCTCTCATATAGCGTCTTGCGCACGTCAATGTCGCACTTGTCGCACTGATGGCATCGTCCTGTCGGGAGGTAGTTCTCATTTCGAGCTAAATCACCCTTTGGCATTTAAAGATGGAGAGCCCAGAGCCCTCCATAATCTTTTGATGTCGGTCCAGCCCAATAATTTGGCATAAGCAATTGCATTTAGAGAGCTTGGGCATGCGAAGAATGTCAAGTTTTGGTGCTGCAAGACAAAACGTTAATTGTTCTGGCAAACCAATTACATGACCATCCTTGTGTGTTTGGTTGAATGTCGCAAAGACATTTACAGGCTTTGACTCATGGTGCATGCAGGAACTACGATGTTCCCCGGCATGGTTGAGCGCCTGGCTGAGGGCATCGCGCAGCGTGCGCCCATGCCCATCAACTTGGGTCGCAGCGCACGAGCGGAAGTATGCCGTGTGGAGGGGAGGCTCCATTATGACGAGCCGAAGGACGTTCAAGAAAGTGCGCTCTTGCAGCTTTCAAGTTCATCATGGAATTGGGAAGGCACGCACTCGGTGGCTGTAAGTCGTAGCTGGCATCATGGGTGTTTATCCCATCGGATTACTAACTCTGGATTATTCATAATGGCATTATTAATTCTGGTTGATGGAATGTGAAGTGCATACCTGTTGTTCCACACTTTGCAGTTCTTGGAAGCCTGCAAGAGCGAGGACTACATTGCATTCATTGCTCCAGCTGGCTCCTTTATATCTGTAAACTGGCTTTTCAAATTTGGTTATTTGCCTGATGCAGTCATGGATCATGCAAAGCGAGTACAACGAGTGTGGCCCCAACATCGTACATAGGAAGTGTTTTTGAGGAAAATTGGCAGCTTGCACAACAGCATATGCACAAAAGCCGTGGCAGAAGATGCACAAACTTCGGAAGCTTAGCCCTTGTGTTGAAGTGACACATGATGGAGATGTGGCAGGGCAATTCACATGGTGTGAGATGGGGTCTTTCACTCAAAGTTATTGCCACTGTTGCCACTTTACACCTAGTGTTTTGGGGTTGGGGTGTCCAAAAATGGACCCCGGTTTTAGGGGTGATCTTGGGCAATTTCGATGTGCTGGTCACGCCTATGAAGTCCTTACTTGAAAATTCGACCTCCTTGGCTCTCTATAAGGCCTCAAACATGGTTTCAGGCTAGGGTTTGCATAGGGTTGGCTCTAGCTTCTTGGGATGGGGCCTATGGTATGGTGGAGAGGCATGCAATGGGGCCCACACATGTGGGGCTTTCATTTGATGCATGTCCCACCAAAAGTTTACAAGCCAATTTTGAGTTAGCACTCCTTTTATGGAATCCATATTTCCCCTGTCTCACCTTTTGAGACTCTAGCTCCTTGGGATGGGGCCTATGGTATGGTGGAGAGGCATGCAATGGGGCCCACACATGTGGGGCTTTCATTTGATGCATGTCCCACCAAAAGTTTACAAGCCAATTTTGAGTTAGCCCTCCTTTTATGGAATCCATATCTTTCATGGCTACAGATTGATCCTGTTTTGTCACGTGTCTGCATAATGCCTGTCTCGACCTGCATGCACTGCTATGCACCATCGGTTTCATATACTATCAAACTTTCCATAGCCCCAAGGATGGATGAAATCCATGAGGTGCAGTCCTTGAAACCACTTCTCAAAGTATTGCTTGCACACCCGTGCATGGGTACAGATTGAGCCTGTTTTGTCACGTGTCTGCACGATACCTTTTAGGGAGGTTGGGGTTTGCCATGTTTCAAAGGGCACCATGCCAAGGCAAACAAGGTGTGCAATGTCATGCACCCTCTAGCTAAGTTGTATGTATGCCCCTTGAGGGGATGTGAGGTGGTGGCAACAAGGGCTTGGTTCCCAATGGCTCATATCCCCATGTTTCACTTTCCCATGTTGGCAATTTTGTTGGCAACACTTGGCAACTCTTGGCAACACACAGCCTAGGCATGCTGCAGCAAGTCGCTCTCATGACAAAGGCTCAAGGGACCCACAGGAGGGCATTCTGGAGCTTCCATGGCCTTGACACACCCTGTGCACAACTTGCTCCCTCCTACCAATTGTTCCCACTGCACATGGCACACCATGGGTCAGCACAAGGCCCATGCTAGACATTGCTAGACATTGCAAGCCACTGCAACCCTTATTTAAATTCACACCCATCTCCAAAAATTCTGGGACACCCATGGCAACCCATAACATGGCCTTCTGCATGGGACTGTGAATTTTATATTTTATATTTAGGGTGTAGGGTTTAGGGTTTAGGTCCAGGGTTTAGGGTTTAGGGCTTAGGGTTTAGGGTTTAGGGTTTAGGGTTTAGGGTTTAGGGTTTAGGGTTTAGGTTTAGGGTTTAGGGTTTAGGGTTTAGGGTTTGGGTTTAGGGTTTAGGGTTTAGGGTTTAGGGTTTAGGGTTTAGGGTTTAGGGTTTAGGGTTTAGGGTTTAGGGTTTAGGGTTTAGGGTTTAGGGTTTAGGGTTTAGGGTTTAGGGTTTAGGGTTTAGGGTTTAGGGTTTAGGGTTTAGGGTTTAGG